GATGGGCTAGCCACTGGGATCAAATATTATTTGCAGATGAAATTCGTTCACATCCGAGACAGAAAGAGAAACCCAAAACACCGCGAAACAGAATAAAAAATGAAAAACGAGCACGACGATAATTGATTCTGAACTCACATGCTTTCTTACTGGTTGTAAGTATTGCACGTAGTACTTTTACCTGCACAGCACACATCTGCCGCATATATTCCCAGGGGTCCTCTTCGTCCTCGAGCGGTCCTTCCCACCAAAATTCTGCTTCAGACCAAGGTGCGTAGCTGGGGCGTCTGCGGGATGGCATGCTGAGCTCCTGCAAAGCATTGTAGCTTTTGGGTTCCCCTGGTGACGACGGACCTGTGAAAATGTGTTTCATGACACTGCTCCCCTTTGCAATTTGCAATTGCGAAGTCTCATGTCGGTCTCTTTTCCTCCAACGAACAGGATGCCACCCAGACAAGTAATTCATCACGAAACAAGTTCAATAAGTACCTGCTCTTTCACTACCCGACGGTCGCTGCAGATTTGACCCCATCCCCTTTCCCTTCCCTTTTGCAGAGTTGTCCGCGGCGCCGGTGGCGGTGCTTTCGCTGCGCGCTGACGTCTTTGGCGATTCTTGGCCGGTTAGCCAATTCCACGCATTGGCGAAAAATCCGGGCTCTTCGTCCTCTTCGGCCGGCGGCTTCGAGTCCCGCGCGCCGCTTTCCAGCTGGCTCGAGTCTCGCGTATTCGCCCGCTCGCCCCGTTTCTTTTCGTTCGACTTTGGAGGAGCCGCTTCAGCCTTCGACTTCTTTCGGGGCGTGCTTTTCTCACTCCCGCTGGGCGTTCCCCACCCAAACAACCTGCCGAAAAAGCCCACCTCCTCCTCCTCCTCTTCCGGCTCGTCTTCTTCCGGCTCTTGTTCATCCTCCCCACCGTCAGTATGTGCCGAACCGAGAAAGTCCTTGATACCAGTCCCCTGGTTCCGATTATTGGGATTCTGCTTCAGACCAGCCCCGGCTCCTTTCCCGCCAGTCGCCGGCTTGCCGCTCTGCGGAGCTCGCGACCCTGGCCCTTGGGAACTTGCTGGGTACGCCTGCTGCGAGCTGGTTATCCCGGAAGGCAAGTTGTTGCCTTTTGCTGTGCCGAAAGACCGGTTCAGAGCCATGGAGGCGCGAACGATTCCGCGCAGCTCGCGCGGTCGGCTCCCGGGACCTCCGGACTCGCGGGCGCTCGACTGCGGAGTGGGGCTGGGTTCCTCTTTCGGCTGCCCACGAGGCGGACTGGCGGGCGCGTTCCTCGGGGGAGCGGCTTTTGGCCCTGCGGATGCTGGACCGGCGGAGAGGCGCGCTGGCGGACCCCCGGCCAAGTTCGGTAGACCGCCGGACGTTCCGCTCGGGCGCGGCTTTTCGTCTCCGCCCCGGCCAAAAAGGTTTTCGAAAAAACCGGGCGTGTCGCTCAGATCCTCGTCGTCATCCCCGTTGTCGATCGGTGGAGTTTGTTCGCGTGGGGTGCTTTTCTCGCTGCCGGAAGGCTTGGTCGTCCCTCCGCCAAACAGTTTCTGCAAAAACCCGGGCTCCTCCGCCGGCGCCAGCTCCTGTTGTTGCGCAGGCTGCTGCTGCTGTTGCTGCAGCTGCGCATTGACGTTCATGCCTGTGGTGCCGTGTACCGGCTCCCCCCGCGGTCGCTGCATAAGAGCGCCGGTCACTGCGGGCCCACGTTCTATTGAGCCTGTCGAGTCCCGGCCGTCGTCGTATCCCATGCTCCGCCGTTTCCGCTCGTTGCTGAGTGCCGAATTTACCTCGTGCGCCGTGGAGCCTCGCCCCTGCAGGGGCAACATGCCGGCGTTCTGCAAGGCGTTTGCGGATTGCCGAAAGTGGAGGTCGGACATCGCGCGAGCCTCTTCCGCGTTCTGTGGCTGGAAAGCTTCGCTTGCGCGAGACCTTCTGCCGCCGCTACCTCCGACCGACGATATTTGCGATCCACCCAATTCGGAAAACCGCCGCATTTCCAATGAAGACCGACCCATCACCTCCCCGAAGCCGCATATCTTCTTCCACCGATCTTGTGCTACTTGCTTCTTGTAGCCGCCCGCGTGCCTATCCGCCTCTCCTTCGCTCATCCGATGCATTGCCATCGCTTGTGCTGGATCAATCTGTTTGTGTTTCGATAAACACCGGATACAGATCGATGCGAGAACTGAATTTCCTTTGCAGTATCAAAATGAAAGTCCTAGCTTTCTACACCTAGACCTAGAAGATCATAGTCATACGCCGGACATTGGTTTTCAACAAGTAGCTCGCGTTGCATATACAAGACTCGTTCGAACCCAAACAAACAAAAATGACTGTCGCATGTCCACACGCAAGAATCAGTACGTGGTGCGCCATGTGTTGCAGGTAATTCAAAGCTCGAATGTCTTCGGGCGTGTAGACGTGGTTCTTGGCGCCGGGCTTTCCCGCTTGCGCCAAGTTGTAGTTGATCAAAGTGACGTAACTGCGCAGCCGGCCCGCGTTGACGGTAGTCATCTTCTGGTTCCCGGTGCGGAGCACTTGGATGCGGCGGCCCTTCGAGGGAGCCATGCCCCGTTCCGTGCGCATGACTCGGGCCTGTTCCTCCTTCCGCTCTTTCTGCGCCGCGCGCAGCTCCCGCACCGCGCCATTGATCACCCGCTGCGCCTCGCCGCGTTCCCGACCTTTCTCCTCCTCTTCGTAGTCCATACCGAGCGGGTCGGCACGCGACGACTTGTTGGCGCCCAGCCCGGCTTTCTTCGGCGGCGCGATGGCCTGGATGATTTCGTCCGCGCCCAGGTGCCGCGAGTCGGACATGGGCAGCTGCCCGAGCCGGTGGAAGGCGCCGTCGTCGCCCTGCCGCATCTTTACGATCAGGTTGATCACCCGAAGTTCCTTTGTGACCCGCATGGCCACGTCGCGCGCGCTGGACATCGCGTTCAGTTGGTCCGTCGTCACCTTGGTCGTCACCGACGTGCCGTCGCTGGCCTCCAGCACGCGCAGCATCACCTGGTACCAGGGGTTCGCGTTCAAAATGTCCTCCTCCTCGGGGTTCAGCAGGGAGATGCTGGGCGCGCTCCAATAGGCGCCGTAGTCCGGCGGCAGGTCCGACAGCTCCTGCATGCTCTTGCTCCGCATCAGCGACGTGTTCGGGAGCAGAATCGCGAGAAACTTCAGTGTGATCAGCAGCGCCTCCCAGTTTCGCGGGTTGCTGATCAGGTGCGTCTGCCCGTGGGCGCGTACGGCCTCGTTCCCGTCCGAACTACCCAGCGCCGGCGTGCCGCGCCAGAAGCACTGCTCGGCGGCCAGAAACAGGGCGAAGTCCAGGTCGTACTGCGTGGCAATCTCGTGGTCCAGGATCGCCGCGTCGACCTGCTCCGTCTTCGGCCGGGGGCTTTCGGCCAGCTGCATCATCTTGATCAGCACCCGGACCTTCCGCCACCGGGACACGATCTTCAGCAGCCGCCCGCTCTTCACCATCACGGCAAGGTAGGCGATGTAGCTGTCGATGCAAAACTGCGACACGCGCGTGGAAGACGCCTGGTGCACGAAGTGGATCGTTTCCTCGACCAGTTGCATCTCCCGCGAGATGTAAACGTGTTCCGCCAGGTCCCGGCTGTGCGACGGCGGCAGTAACGGGCTGTCGTCCACGACCTGCGGCATTTGCACTTTGCCCGCGCCCCCCAGGTCGGCGGCCTGGTGCACCGGTTCCGGGGGCGGTGCAGCTTCGGCCGCGCTGCTCGGCGGCGGAAATTCTTCCGCCGCACTGCCCCCTGTGGAGTACACGTTCTCTTCGTACGCTGCACTCTGCATGCGCTCTTCGCTTTGGGGCATCATGGACGGGAGGCCGCCGCGCCCCGCCGGGGGTGGCTTCGACGGGGGCTCGTTGCTCGAAGGTGGCGGGTTGCTCGACGACGCTGGGCGAGCAGCAGGGGTATCGCTGACTGGTGCGTTGTAGCCGACGGGCGCGCTCGCCGCGGAAGGAGAGTCCAGAAGAGATCCCGGCGCACTCGTTGGCATCATGCCTGGAGCGATTCCGATGTGCTCGTGGTTGGTGCGCGAGTTCCGTACCGCAATGACGCGCGTCCGTGCCGCGCCACTGTCGAAGGAAGACGGCGCGGCCTGTTGGCCGCCAGATTGCGGCCTTGAGACAGCTCGTGGCGGCGGTGCGGCAGGGTTAACGAAAGCCTCGGATTCCTCGTTCTGGGAGCGCAGTTCAAGGCCGCCTGAACTGAGCAATTCGTGACGACTCCCTCGACCCGGAGCATCGTAGTCTTCAGAAGACCTCGTCTCTGAGGCCCTCTCTGAGATTCGTATCCGTCTAGGTGCCTTTTTTTGGCCACTTTTTCTACCGCTGCTCGCGCGCTTTGGGGGAGCTGGCGGCTCCTCTTCCTTGCTTTCTTCGCCACCCATTTTATCAAGCCAACGCCCCCGCTATCTTCGCTACTTTTCTTGGCATAAAGACAATTAGCGCCTGAGCACGGGATCATTCGAGTGCGCCCGCATCAAGGTTCAATAACTCGTCGTCTCCAGGTCTAGAAGGGCTATACCGTACGTAATGCCACAGTTCCAGAAGCAGCAACAGAATGAAAGACCATGAGAAGTGAAAGCTCTCTTGATCGGATGAGAACCGTCAATTGTAGCTCAAACATTGATTTCCCGTGCCTTCCAGTCCATCACAAGGGATTACTTCTATTCTGCCCGCCAAGGGCGGATATAACGACTGCGCAGAGTACGAAACGACGAGCGACGACTAGCGACTACGACACAAGACGATGCGGATTGCGAAAACGACTACGATTTTGTTCGTCGTCGTCGATTCATTGCGAGATTCGCTGTTTCTGCGCAAAAGCTATAGCGAGAGCGACGAGAAATAAAAATAACCATACGATGACATTGAAGAGGTGTACACGAACTGAAACTCTCGCTCTCTCCAAAATTTGAAAGTAGACCTAGAAGATGTGCAATCAATAGAAGAACAGACACTGCTGCAGCGACGAGCTAGCTAAGTTTATTCCGAAACTGGACGCACCGCCACAACAAATTAGCTCTGGTTGTAGGACTATCAATTTGTCGTTATTTTTGTCGCTGAAGTTGCTCCACTCAAAAACCCCGACCCTACGCGGACAGGTCGTTTACTTATTCAAGTGACCAATGCACACCGTCTGATAGACTGTATTCTCGAAGTTGTTCTGATAAATGGACTAGTAGATAATCTTCAAACAGCACACGCCGAACGTCCGCGCGCCTCGGTGAAACTGAGTTTTATAGCTAGTACTCAACATCCCCTTCGCCCAAGACAGGCGCGGCGTCGGGATCTACACCGACGTCGCCGTCCATGTGCTCCTCGTTCCCGCTCCCCATGCCCTCTCCCCCTGGTTGGTTGACCACATCCGGGTAGTTGGTCCCGTCCGCGACCATGTTTTCGCCAGTGTTGGCTGTGTGTTGCCACCACTCCGTCGGAGGCGGCATCACCGGGGCGCTGTTTGGTCCCGACAAGATGGGCTGCGCGTTGGCGCCGTGCCCGTGGCCCTTGTGCGCGTGCCTTTCGCGCTGCCGGTCCCGGTAGTTCACCCAGTCCTCAGGTCGGTTCAAAATCTCACAATACCGCACTTTGTGGTCGTCGGAGCCAGTCAGGAATTTCGTGTCATTGGGGTGAGCAGCTATACAGAAAACCGGGTTGCTGTGCTGGTGGTGGGAGGTGTGGTGGTGGTAACCGCCACGGGCTACCGCTGTTTTCAAGGGATGAGAAATTTTGATTTAACGTTGGGGAACAGGGATCAGAGCAACGAACACGCCAAACTTTATGTTGGTATGGTGACTCGTAGTTGCCCTTGTTTTCCTATGCAGCTATTCGTGTCTTTCTTGACAAAATGAGTAACAGCACATCGCAAGAAGAAAAAGAGTCACAGTTTAAATACCTCCTTGCAGGTATTCTCCAGTTTGCGCGTCGAGAATGCAAAGGTCGTTCCCAGACGACGCCACAGCGATGAAACGCTCCTGGCCGATGAAGGCTGCTCGCGCGTACTCGAGATTCCTTGCGGCGCAAACATTCATATTGTGGACCGGCTCGTTGCCTCCCTTTCGGGCATCCCAAAGTTTTGCTTTACCGTCACAACCCGCGGTAAGGAAATACCTGTTTTATGTGGTTGTGGATGAGTGAAAAATGAGAAAGGGAAAGCTCGAAAACAAACTTAGCAATACAGCATCCCAATGCTTAGCGGGGGGCAGATCAAAAAGACTACTGAACCGCGTTTCTACCTCAGGTTTCTGCTCCATTTCACGCTACAGACGCTGGCGCCGTGATGTGCCTTGCTCATGCTATTCACTACTCGGTTGGCGACAACGTCCCACAACTTCACTTCACCGTCCGAGCTCGCTGATGCCAGAACCTTGCCATCGCTGGTCACAGCCAGGTCGTTTATCATACCGGTGTGGTACTGATATTTTATGATGATACATTTATCATATGGAACAAAACTGCCAATGTCTACATAACATCCCAACAATCGTCGCCAAAAATGAAAATAGATCAGCGCAACACGAATGAAGCAGTACGTCGTTGGGATTTGGGCCTGTGAAGCACTCCAGCCTTGTGAGATCGTACAGCCGGATTGTCGGGTGGGCGGTGCCGACGTAGAGGTAGTCGCCACTGGGGTGCACTGCCATGGTCTGGACCATACTGCTATCGGGGATGCTGGATAGGGACTTCAATTGCGTCTGGGGGCGAGTTAGATCGAAGACCTTCACGGTCTTGTCGGCACTTGCGGTGAAGAGGTAGGCGAGATGTGGGTGGAAACAGAGGGAGTTCACCGGGCTATGGAAGCATCAGAATCGAAATTGACAAAATCGAAATGATTTGTGATGCATAAAAAGATACCAGTTGGAGCCTCAGTTTCCAAGTGGCGCATGACAAATTTCGAGAGCACCAAAATCCAGTCTGTCATGCTGTTACGGCAAAGAAGACTGCTCCTGTCATGCTACTCTGACAGCACAGCGTCTTACCCTAAACAGGCTTACAATCTGTCTCATTTGCCAGCTCCCCAATACAGGCCTTCAGTGTCCTACATTTTCTGCATCACAAGTTTTTCGATTTTGTCGATTTCGATCCTGACACTCCCATACGGGCCCTGGTGGTCGTATAGGGTGCGCATCACGGGTCGTACATCGGACCCCTGGTCACGCCTCTCGCCCGCGTTTTGCGACCCGTAGTGAAACATTTTGTTGACGTCCAGCACTTTCACCGTGGTATCGTGGCTTCCGCTCGCTGCGAACCTGTTTTGACGGAAGTTGTACATTGGACTGCTGCTCGCACATCGTGGATCGATCGTTCAAATGATTGAATCGCGGTTACATTCGCCGTAAGTACAAACAATTTCGAAGTCATTTGTGACTCGCAAAAAGCGCCACATAAGTTGCACCTGCCGTCCGGACTAAAAGCCACTGCTCGCACCATCTGTTTGTGCGCCGTGTTGTAATGGACTTTATTGAAGATATTTGCTTTCTTCCTGTGAAGGGGTCGCGCCTTGGCAACGGGGGGCTCTTGTTGATGATCCTTGGCGTCCTTTCCGTCCCGATCTGGAGGTTTTATTTTGTGTCTGTTCTCATCAAAATTCTAGTTTCCGCACTCCGTCGACACATTCCAAGATGAATCTCATAAAACTCCTTCGCTAATGAACAAAAACTCCTCTACCTTTGCCGTCCCTTTGCCCCTTCCCCTCGCCTTTTGCTATACTTTCCGGATCGTCGTCAGCGATGACGTTTTTGTAACTGTCGGTGTAGGTTATTTTGTCCAAGCCGTCTAGGTCAAACCTCGGCTCTTCTACGTCCAGACACCTCTCCCCGCTTTCCAGCTTAGGCATGGGTGTGAGCCCCATGTCGGTCCACTTGTTTTGGTCGCTGAAGTGCTTGCCAAAATTCTCCTCGTACAGACGGAAAAGCCAGTTCGATTCCACGTGGCCGGCCTCTTTCAACCCGGAACGATTTTTCAGCGACAACGCCTCGTCCAGAAATTCATCGTCCGCGAGCTGGCGAATTATCAACTCGTAAAAGGAAACCTTCATCGGGTGCATGGCGCGCCGGGCGTAGTCTTGTTGGACCTGTAAGATGTGCGATTGTAGTTATACAACAGAGTGGTGGCGCATGACAGACGGATTTCACATGATCAGCCGCGATGCGAATGTTGATGACTCCATGCAATGAAATATGAAAGATAACAATGTACAATACATACAGAGCGGCTGCAACATCATTTGTGCGTGTCATCTTTTTACCGGCATGCCCATGGTCATCCCCATCGCTTCGAAGGCTGCGTCGAGTTTCGGTGACCCCTGCGGCGGAGAACCCTGTGGTGGCCCGAGCGAATCCAGGGCGCTGAAGACCGCACTTGGGTCCTGCTGCATACCTGCGTCGTCCTGCTCGACCTCCATCGCCATCGGGTCATCACCAGACCCTGCAGGGTCGTTGCTCGTTGTTGCAGCTGGCGCGACCGGGTCGTTGCTCGCGGTGGACGGCCCAGTTGGCTCAGCCACCACCACGCCCGGCTGCGGGGCCTCCGGGGGCGCGGCGCCGCCGTCCTCCATGATACTGTTCTGCTACCCTATGAAGAAAAAAGGCAAGAAGTGAGTGACTACTTTCTTACAAGAGGTATTACTCTTCAAAAATGTAAAAACACTGCGGCGCTTTCTTCATGAGGCCCATAGTTGCTCTTAAGCTTAACTTACTTCTCCCGTACCACTGCAGTAAATAGAAACACAAATTCACAAACTGGTGACAAAAAAATGCGGTAAACAAACCAAAAATCGTTCTTGTACTCTAGCGTGAAAAGTTAAAGTGATCAACAAAAACAGAGACAAAAATATCTCTACAGCTTTACAACAGCTTAGGAAAGGACCAGAAGGATCTTCAGAAAGATCCTCACTTTCTCTAATCTGAGATCATGGATGGATCTATCGTTGCTGCCGAATCCGCGCTCGCATACGCATATGCTTGGCTGAACAGAACTACTACAATGGATCTGTAATACTAAAGGAGCATGCGTACATCATGCGCATGCCTATGCCTGCTCGGATCAATCTCGGAACGACAACGAGAGCCACAGCTCCACAAAGGAACCTTCGAACTAAGCCAGCATTAGCTAGCAATAGCATCCGCAAAGTTAGTACTATGAAATGATGTTGATGTAAGTATCTTCACAACTACTTCTTTGTTTCAGAAACAGAAATGGGGGCAACTTTCACTTGCTTCCGGACGTCTTCCGCGCGACTGTGCGATTTTTACTTGTATGTCATGCGTACCACAATTTGACTTTTTGCAAGTTCATTTGTGGCAAATGGCTACATGTGGTGCAACATCACCCGCGGACGCGGTGCACTACTGTTCCTTACTTACCTTCTTCCCTTGCTTCCCGAGCGAGTTGTGAGCAACATTTGCTCCGCTTGTTGCAATGTCGGGCGCAGCGCGGACCGATCCAAACCCGTGGAGCTGCGCCGGCGCTGCTGAAGCACCGAGTCCATGGGACCGGGGCCCGTGGAGGACCCGCGGCGCTTCTCGTCCACGGACCCCAGCGAATTCAGCTTAGTTCCGACAGCGGGCAACAAGACGGGACATTCGGGCAGGGACTCCGGCCACGGCAACTTTATCTTTCCTCCGTTTGCACCAGCGTCCTCATCCGGCTTGATCAAGCGGGTGTCGTCCTCGAGAAGCTGCACGCACAGCAGCAGCGCCTTGCTCTTCACCGCCTCAACCAGGAGCGTTTTGCGCCGCAGTGTCCACAGCTTGCAGGTGGCCTCGATCAGAAAGTGGTCCGTGTCTTCGTTTTGCTTTGTGGCGGTAAGCGCGACCCAACGGGTGTTCTCGAAGGCGAGAACGTACAATTCGAAAGCGCCGCGGCGAAAGACAGCGGACTTCGTGGAACACACCTGGAACAGGTTCCGCTGCTTGTCCAGTTGCAGACCGCGACGCGCCTGGGACGAGGAGTTCGTGTTTTTACTCAAACAGAAAGCACAAAATGAATATGAAAATTCGTACGCAGACAGAAAAACATCCAAGGGCCACACTTCAGAGAAGAAAGAGAAATTTATGACATTGTTGTAATCTTGTCATTGTTTGTGCCCAACAACACTGCGTACGAGTACCGGCTCGAAAGCCTCGCCCACGGGTGCGACGAACGGTTCCTTGAGATTTCCGCTGTTGGTAATGGAACCGAGGCTCGACCGCCGTCTCGGTGCGGGCGTCTCTGGCAGGCGAAAGCTAAAGGCCTGAAATTTCACCGTCGCGCAGTCAAGCCCGTTTCCGCGCAGCAGACGCGGCAGCGGTATGTCGAAAGAGTCACTTTGCTTACTGGTGTCTGCGCTTGATGTTCCGGAGTCCCCTGCCCCGAAGGAGCGCACCGAGTCTGCGAATCCGAAGTATATATGCGATGACGATAAGTTCAAGCATCATCATAAAAAGCGTATGCTCGAAACAGCAGCAAAATCAAAGTAGAACGAACCAAGTTCGCTAGCGCGAATTCTCGCTTTTCATGAACGATGCGAGCCAGTTAGATAAAGTCCTGAAACTGCCTTACCTGCGCTGCCTTTTCGCTTCTGGAAGAGTTTGATTGTTTGCCCGTCCGCCCTCCCGCTCCCGCGGATTTTGAGTAGCACGGCATCAAAGAAAGCGCCGACCGAAGAGAACAGGGGATACCCTGTTGATACGCTGCCCGCCCGCGAGGAAGTTCTCGAAGTCCGAGTTGTATGTGGACCTCCGAAGCTGCCTCTGGCGTACTGCTGGTGGTCATTGGCCACGACTGCCGCGGAATGATCAGACCACCCAGCTGATCTCGTGGACGAAGACCGCCCGCCCATCGTCGAGAGCCGCGCGACCCAGCCGAGCCGGGAGCTCGCTTGCACTACCCCGGTCTCCATAACGGACGGGGGCGGGGCACATTTTTCTTCCTACAAACAGCAATGTTGTTGTTGAATTTCCATCGCTGCTCCGAAATACGTTTACTTGAAATCTGGTGAGCATACGACATCGCCATCCCGCTCGATGGAAATGCCAGTTCTAGCGTTACCTTTTTCATTCTAGACAGTACGAACACGCGATCACGCAGCTGCTGATCATGCCGCATCAGGAATTAGAAGATGCAAGCACCCACAGGCTCTTGCGATGTGGTGTACGTAAATGTGGTTCAATATCGCTTCAATGCCCAAGGCACTATCGCCCAGGCGTCGTTCGCACAGGAGATGGTCTAGACTTCACAGAAAAAGAGTTTTTCTCCAGATGGCTCTGCACGTCTTTGCTGTCGGCCCAGGACTGGTAGCCACAGAAAGAAACGATCAGGGCTAGCAAGAAAGCGTGCCACGCAACGTTGGCCCACTCCAGCAGTTGCACAAACACGATCCGCGCGTCTGCGGCAGGATCTAAAAGGTGGTCGCCAGATGCGGAGACAGCGCTGTGCAAGACGTCTTTGCAGAGAGCTAGCATCTTTGGAACCAACAATTCCGTCATCGCAAGAGACAAGTAGATGGAGATACTGAGCTGAATCCAGTACCGCGTCTCAAATGCGTTGTAGAGGTAGCAGAGAAAATGCGTGAAGTACTCGACGCCAGCAGTTACTTCGCCGAGCTTTGGCCGAATGCGGACGGTCTGTCGCTTGATCACCGCCCATGATCCCCATTGCGTGGGGGTATGTAGAGAGCAAGCGCGGAGCACGGTCTGAAAATCTGCGTCGATGAACTGCACGTCGCACTCTGCATGTTCTCCACGATTGCGCATGTCTGACACCCGGAATCGAATACCTAACAGACTCAGCTTCTCTTGGAAAAATTCCGCCACGTCTTCCCGCGACACTGCGGCTTTCCGTCTGAACTCGTTGGTGGTGCCCGTAGTTGTGCTAGACTTGTTGGTGGCCCCAGCCGCAGCAGCTCCATCTACTTCTGATCCAGCCACGACCCCGCTGCCAGGTAGGAAGCTACTCAACATCGTCCGCGGACTCGCGACTCCGACAGCACTGCCCTCGTCCACCGCAGCGGACGCACGGGGTCTGCTTGCGCTGGGAGATGTCGGAGACGCTTTCGCTGGTCCACCCTTGACGACACCGGCCCGGGCTTGCGGTTTGCTGCCGCTTGCTTCTTTGCCGGGGGAGGCGACAGGAGACATCAGCACTACTGAGGTGGGAATATCGCACACCGTCAGCGTCCGCAGTCGCCGCTCCACGATGGCATCAACGCTGCGCAAGGCCCGCAAAACGGTGCGCAGAAATTGCGGCCAGGTCGCCCAGGTAGTGGAGGACAGGAGAATCATGCCCACCACACCAAAGTGTGAGATGATGCTGTCGACTAGGACCAAAACGAAGGTGTGAACGCTGTGAATGATCAGCACGAGCAACAAAATCAGCACCGCCCAGAAAGCAAGTGGCATGTTGTACACGGACATCCAAGCCTCCCCAACGCCGTAGCCTAAGCCCATGTAGTCCCCGATGAGAAAAAGGAGCGCGCTGTTCCGCGCAGCCGGGGGCAAGCCCTCTGCGCCATCCCAGGACTCCAGGGACTCGCTTCTTGGCGAAAAGCCTTCTGCGTCCTCCGCCTCCACGTCTGTGTTGTACAGCCAGAGGCTGCTGTTGCGGACCTCGTATGCTGGTGAGAATACGTAGGCGGATTCCTGGAGAATCCACTCCATGCGCCGTTTGATGTCATAAATGCTCTCCATTGTCGTGCCGGTGACGTTTTTTACTCTGTCGATCTACACCGCACTCCGTGCGTTGTTCTCTCCCGCGCTCGCAGTCGCACTTCTATGTATCACATGATGATAGATCCAATACATAGCTCTATCGGTATCTTGCGTGCGATTGATGCAACCCTGATAATTGGCACGCTTGCACTCCTGCTTAATTTTCATCGCCTCTCCACAATACGTTTTGCTTTTTGACCACACTCGATGAGGAAACCAGGCCTTTGCTGCTAGTTGCCATTTGTTTTTCCGTACGAACACGAGATGATCATGCAGCTCCAGGAGCTGCTGATCATGTCACATCAGGAATTTTTAGAAGATGCAAGCACAGGCTCTTGCAATGTGTTGTAAATGTGATTCAATTTCGCTACAATGACGACAAAAACTTATTCCATGTGGTTTCTTGGAAAAAACTGCGACTGAAGGTTCCACCACTGCGAAGCGGCGATTGTGTGTTCTTGTTTCATAGCGTTCAACAGAAATTATGTAAGGCACTCGGAATGACCCCAAGGCTATGCTTTCCTGTTGGCGAAAATCGCAGTGGGGAAGTGATGCTGATGCCCTCAGTTCGCTACAAAAATGCCGCTCAAGATTCTAATTTTTGATTCGGGCTGTGCCGAATAAAAATGCAAAAATACTGTGTGCGTAAGAGTAACCACGAGGCATGAGGCTAGAATGATACATCAGGTACATTTGAAAACAGTAACAGAGGAACAATTGGTACAAATTGAACAAAGCTTCAAGTACAAAAATATGAGAAAACAGAAACAGTTAAAGCAAGTAGGGAATTGGAAGAGATAGGCGCTCAAGCCTCTCTATTTTGTGAAGTAATTGTAAGATTGGTTAAAACAAGACGATACACATTGGCGTAATCTTCCATAAAGACAGAACGTGCGTTAATTTTTCTTCCACGCCTTAAAAAATTCAGATCTTCGGTAAAAAATTCTCGAATTTTGTTTCTTTTTCGACTAATTTCGTCCTCGTCCTCCATCCGCTTTTACTCCAGCGGGGACCCAGACGTGTTCGAGTCCGGACTGGGCGGCATCGGCGCGCCGCGCATGTGGAACTGGTGCACCCGGTGCGGCGGCTCGTAGCCTATTGCCCAGAACTTGAGCACCAGCCAGGTGAGGAAGCCCATCGTAGCGCATAGCACGACGACGAACCCGGCGAACACCATGGAAAACGAGGGCACAAAGCTGGCCGGGTAATTTTCGTACACCTCCGGGAACCACCGTGAGTGGTCGTCCGTGAAGCCGTTTCGGGGCATGTAGAAATCCTGGCGCGGGTAAAAGGAGGGCAGCGCCTCTTGCAGCCAGTCGTCGTAGCCGCCCTCGCTCTTGTAGTTCTGCGACCGCCAGGAGAGCACGTTGTGCCGGTTCAGCTGGTAGGCGGTGAACGGCTCCTGGGCGTCTTTCGATGGGTACAGAACCACGTTGTTGACCAAAGACGACCCCCCGGCGTTGTTGGTAGTGGTACCTCCTCCCACCACCTGCACATTCAAATTCGGCGTGTTGTAGATCGCGTCCACGCCAACCCCGCTGTGCTTCGGCAGCAGCTCCGTGGAGACGTAGTTGAAGTAGTCCGGGCCCAGGGCGACGGTGGTGCCCACGTCCGTGCGCGGCATCAGCACGCACCGCTCGGCGGACACGGCCACCCACCAGCAGTAGAACCGCTCGCGGTCCGGCACGTTCTGGCCCCGGCCCGCGGTCCAGCTCGCGGCGCACATCTTCTGGCACGCGTGCGCGGCGATGTCCGCAATCATCTGCGGCTCCGGCAGCGGCTCCAACGCCTTGTTGCGGCGCGACACCCGCAGGTCCGCGAAGGTGACCTGACTCGCCTCGTGCAGGCTCTTCACCCACTGCTTCACCGTGGCGTCCTGCGTGATGAAATCCGTCTTCACTTCCACCATCACCGCGCTCGCGGGGGTGGCGGCGCCGCCGCCGACCGCGGGGAATAAAACCCGAAAATCGGTGGCGGACATGGCGGTCTGCTCACTGCCCTTGTCCATCTTGGTCAGCAAGTTCGCCCGCCACCCGGTCAGCGCCGCGCTCATCTCGTTGTGCATGAACTTGTCCGCCTGGTCGACCTGTCTTTGCAACAGTTCCTCCCCGCGCGCGTCGCTCGGCGGCGGCGTGCTCTGCGCGCCGGCGGCCTTTCTGCTGCTGCGAGCCGCTGTCGTACTCTCGGCACCTTGTTCATTTTCCATTGCTGCTTCCGCGCCCACTCTACTACTGCCGGACGACCAGTGGACCGGGGCTGGGGTGCTGATGTCCGGGAAGCTTTCCGCTGTGTTCAAAGCGTAGGAGAACACGTCCTCCTGCCCGCTGAACAGCGACGCGTCCGGGCGGGTGAACCAAAAGTTGGGACTGAGCACGTCCGCGTTGGAGAACGCGACGGCGCGGGTCGCCGGGGCGGTGATGGACGCGTGCTGCCAGGAGTGCATGTTGTCCACGTTGGTGCGGAGCAGGGCGTGGATCGGCGAGTTGCACATGAAGTAGATCAACAAGACCGGCGCGAACACGGCGAGTAACAGCAGGTACACCCAGCACTGGCTGAACACGTTGTTGCGGAACTTCCCGTCGATGGAGACGGTGACGAACACCACGAAGCTGAACAGCACGATGGCGCCGATCATCACCGGACTGAGCAGGTTGCTGGTCCAGGGGGCGATCAGCTGGCCCTCGCCGCGCAAAGCGTACAGGTCGATCGAGTGGTACCACGGGTTCGCGATGGTGGACGTGGTGAAAAACCAGGTGAGGTAGACGAACGACCCGAAGATCAAACCCGCCATCACGATCAGGAACAGCCGCGGCTTCGCGATCAGGTTGCCGGTCGGCCGCTCGCTGTCCAACATCAGCCACATCCCGTTCTTCGTGCCCCACTGCTCGCGGCGGCAGCAGCTGCACCAGCCGCCCCGTTTGAACCCGAGGTGGAGCGGCGGGGTGGCGGCGACCAGCGCAGTGACGATCAAACAGGGAACCAAGGAGTCCTTCAGCAGGTACATCAGCTCCGACGGGTACGCCTTCTGCGACAGAATTGCGACCTTGAAAATCGCGGACGCAATGCCGACAATCACGTGGAACTCGAGCAGCGCGGTGGAAACGCGCAGGCAGCAGCGGCCCTGGCGGATCGTCTCGACCACCGCGAAGAGCGACTTTGACGTTGACGAGAAGGGCGCCACAATGCTGGCCTCGCCGTCCGCGAGTGCCACCCCGGCGTGACTGGCTCGCAGCGCGCCGCAGTCGTTGCCGCCGTCGCCGCACATGCCGACCACCATGCCGGTGGACTGGGTGCGGCGCACCACGTCGACCTTGCCGTTCGGCGTCATGCGCCCAAACACGATGACCCGCGGGAAGATCTTCTCCAGCAACCGCGGATCGTGGTCTGCGAGGAACCGGTAGGCCGCCTCGGTGAGCGCGAAGTAGTACTTCGGCCGCTTGGAACTAATCGCGACGGGCGCGCGCACCGCTGCCTTCAACTCGTGCTCGTCGTCGCTCCGGGCCGCCGCCTGCAGCTCCTTGGACAGCAGAGTCGGTCGGTACTGCGCGCTCACGCGCGGGAGCGACCGGGCCGTCGGAAACGCGCCGCCCTCCACGTCCAGGTCACGGTCGAGCAGTCGCTGCCTCTCCGACTCGCAGGCGTCGCTGATGGAGTCGTCAGCATCGGACAAGCCCGCCAGTTCCAGCGCGTTCGTCGGCGCCGCGGGAGCAGTCGAGTTGTATTTTGGCACGACCATGGCTGCGTGGCCGTTGTCCTCCATAGTTTCGGCGAACAGCTCCATCTGCTCGATGAGCCGCAGCAACTTGCGGTCGTCCACGCCCTGACCGTCGAAGTAGAAGTGCTCGAAGAGTAGGCTGCGGTTGGTGGGCGAGAACATGGGCGACGGACTCAGGTGGACCGCACCCTCCTGCGTGGCCTTCACCGCCTGCGCGATTGAGACGGGCGGCTCGCCGCCACGCGTCGGGTACAGCGTCGACGTGTGCGCTTCGAGCTCGATGTCCGAGGCCGCGCCCGCGCCGCCGAACCTGGCTCCCTTTTTCCGGTAGAAGGCCCCGTTGCCCGTGCGCTTGCGCGCCTCGGCCGCGGACGGGCCCGTGACGTCGGTACCGAAGAAGGAGATGCGCGAGCTGTACCGGGCCCCGGGCTCCGCGAGCAGGTTCATCCAGACCGGGAGGTGCTTGTTGTCCGTTTTGCGCAAGAACTGCCAGTGCAGTTCGTCGGGAAAGCTACTCGAGTTCCGGCGCCCCTCGCGGTCCAGGATCTTCTCCACGTCAGCGCCCAAAATGACGGCGTTCCTGGGCAGCATCCCGACTTTCTCCGCCACGTGGATGCCGGTCCACAGGTTGTCTCCCGTCAGCATCACCGGGTCGACGTTGCCGTGGCGCAGCTCGGCGATCGCGGCCGCGCTGTCGGACTTGAGCTCGTTCAGGAAATAGATCAGCCCGAGAAAGATCATGTCCGTTTCGAGATCCACCCGCGAGCTGGTGTGCCACCGCACGACCTTCTGCCCGTTCGCTTTGTTCTGCGAGGACTCGTCGACCGGGCGGTACGCGATGGCAATCACGTAGTACCCCTCGACCGCAAGGGACTTCGTCAGCTGCTCCGCGTCCACCGGAAGTGTGTGCGGCAGGCACCGCTTCGAGATCGCGTCGAAGCTGCCCTTGGAAAAGAGCACGTGCGAGTGCTGGGGCGAGGAGCGGCCGTACCCCGTACCGGACAGGGAGGAGGACAAACCCGTGGACAAACTGCTGCGGTGACTGTGCACGGAGGCGTCGGAGGAGGTTCCGGACCGGAAGGAGGCACTGTCGTTGGAGCGGGAGTTCCGCGCGCCGCGCGCGCGGGCGTTTTCGCCGCGCATGTCCACGACGACCGACTGCATCTGCGTGCCCTGGTCAAACTCGAACTGCCGCACGGTCTTGAACAGCAACTCGCCGCCGCCGGGGTGGCGCTTCGGCCGGAAGTACTCCACGCCCTCGCCGATCCGGGCGGCGAAGTCCACGTTCAGCACCCGCACCATCTCGCGCTCCACGGAGTTCCCGTACAGATTTCCGTCCACCTTCGTCACGGTGTGGCAGGTGGCCATTGCGACCTCCAACAGGTTCGCCTTGTCCATCGGCTGGTCCGGGGTGTCGCGCACGGACACCAGGGGGCCAAACTTCACGGTCGGGCCGTGGAGACTCTCCGCCAACGTGCGGTTCAGCGGTTCGAACTTCTTCTCAAAGATCTTGTTCGCGGCGCGCGCGTTGGCCTTGTTCGTACTGGACGCGGTGGTTCGCGCGTCCGCGGACCCCTCGCCGCCAGAGTTGCTGTCCGAGAAGGACCCGGAGGACGAGTGCGAGTTGGCCCCCTGGCTGATCGGCGGGGTGGTTTGCGTTTGGCTGCTGGGGTTCGAGTCCTCGAGAAAAGTGTTCATCCCACTCGCTGGAGGGGCGGCCGGAAAGGAGGACGGTTGCAGCCCTGCGGTTACCGGCCGGATGCCGTGGAGCTGCAGGCCCTCTTCCGTGATCGTGCCCGTCTTGTCCAGGCACTGCACCTTGATCTCCCCGGCCATGATCATGCGCTCGGGGGAGAGCGTCTGTGTGGTCGAGGGGGAGTTCTTGAGCCGGTCCGCAGCGCTCTGCTGCGCTTGGGTGAGCCCGAGCAGCATCAGCGGGCTCGCGACCTGCGTGGACAGCGAGATCGCCTCGAAGCAGGCCATCACGAGGATCTGGAAGAAGCCCCGCCCGTCGTTCGCGCCGTACACCAGCAAGGGGATCGTCGAGCCGAGCTGCAGCAGAAAGACCATGGTGAACACGAACGGCCCGAGCTGGTCGGTGAACCGGTAGTACACGGGACTCGGGTACAGAATGCGCCGGATCATGTTGCCCTTCATGGTCGCCGTACCGGTCTGCACGACGAGCCCGATGGCCTTCAGGTTGCGCTTGCTGCGCTGCGAACCGAGGGACTGGAGCACCGTCGTTCCGCAGTGCAGGTAGTGCTTCTTGCCGTGCGCGACCACGTCCAGCCGGTCCTCGTTGGCGGCGCGCCCGCGGCGCTCGATCGGGTATTTGGTCACCGGCATCGGCTCACCGGTCAGATCCGCCTCGTTCACCAGCGCGTGGCCCTCGAGCAACACGCAGTCGCAGGGGATCACGACCCCCTCCGGGATCTCGATCAGGTCACCCGGGACCAGCTCCGCCGAGTGCACGCTGCGGAACGTACCGTTCCGGAGCTTGGAGCGCGCGTTCAGGGACTGGATGCCGCTCAGCGTTTGCAGCCCGCGGTCGCCCTCCTCACTATTGCTGTCGGAGTTGTCGCGCGAGGGGCCGGCAGAGGTCGACGGAGTGCTGGTCCCCGTTCGGGCCGCGGCAAGTGCGCCAGTGCCCGCATTCAGCCGCTTGAAAGCAAGAGCCCCGTCCGCATCCTTTGGCGCGTCCTTGGCCTGCGCGTTCCCATTCTGAGAAGTTGTGTTTGAATGATAGAGAATGAAACAAAGCGCTTAAACACAAACTGAAACTCCTAACCTAAGGTCTTAATCAAAATCCACAACTTTAGAAAACGGCAAAGTAGGTCTTAATACCTTCATGTCGGCGATGTATGTGAACGTGTTGTCGCTCTTGTGGCCCCCGCTGGACTGCAGCATGTGTCCGTCGGACATGGAGCTGCCCTCGGACTCGGACTCCTCGTCGTCCGCCTCGACAATCTTCGACAAGGTCGGGTGCCGCGTGTCCCGTTGGTTCGCGCGGCGGTTCAAATCCATCCGCGACATGTCCACGGGTTTTCCAAATTCCAGGTACTTGTCCCGGCGCTCGTCCCGGTAAACGAGCAACCGAATCCCCTGGATCCGCGCCGTCTGCTCCACGTTCTGCATCACGCGCTTCCGCGCCATGGCGGCGAGGTAGAGCTGGATGAGGAACACGAAGAACAGCACGGCGCCCGCGGCCACCTGCCAGAAGAACGCGAGCGTGACGGCTTGGAAAATCTGCCACAGGTTCACCGCGTTCCCCAGCTCCTGCGCCGCAAACCAGAAGAAGCTCGGGACCCGCACGTCGATCTTGTTCTTCCCGCGCAGCAGAATATCCACCGACACAGCATCGACGGTTAGAGGTTCCTGCTTGTACAGATGCAGGGCGTTCAGCGTGTTCCGGTCCACCACCTCGTTGCGGGGCGCAGCGAAGATTTTCGCGGTGTGGTCGTAGGTCAGACGCGTGGACTGGAAGACGAAATAACGGTAGGTAATGCCGTTGATGTCCTCGACCATGACTTGCACGTTGTCCACGACCGTGCGGCTGATTTCGTTCTCGTAGCGCGCGTCGTCTTGCGACTGTTCCACGATGCGCTCCTCGATCGAGACGTACTCGGCCTCGCGGAGCGACATCTGCCGCATGAAAAAGTTGAAGATCGCGTTGCTGTTCTTCAGGTAAAGCAACCACATGAAGAAGGAAATCACGAAGAAGATCAGGAAGACGCCGCCAAGGTTGGCCTTCATGTAGGCGTCGTCCGTCATCCCGAGGGAGCAGTTTTGCCTGAGGTAAAGTATTTGATGAAACGGATAGAATACCACGGCGCAAACCTCTTTTTTTACTTCTTCAAAGAAAAGATAGAGTTTCAAACGATGGTAATGGTGTTGGAAAAGTTGTTTATCACAGACAAAAGAAAAAGCCAAACAACAAAGGTATCAATATTGTACGCTCTCCTGTCCATGTTGTCCCAAACCGATTCCGGACACAGCGACAGGTTGAAGAAGCCGTTTGCGAACCAGAGAAAGTGGTCGGGTATGCTGACGGTGAGCAGGCACAGCAACAACGTAGCAGAAACGGCGCAGAGCCACAGCATGTAGAAAAAGTACAGCACGGACCCGAAAAACGTGTAGCCGTAGCCGAACTGGTAGACTACTTGCTTACGCACGATGCCGCTCCGGCCCCCGTGGTCAATCACCTCTTCGGATACCTTGGCAAAAGTGGCCGCGTACGTGGTCGCAAGTGTTCCGTACACGCCCCCCTTGACGTCCTGGTAGCCCTGCTTGAGCAGGTTCTCTCGTTGGTTCTCTGAAACGCGCTCGCGCACCATGTCCCGGCGGCACGCGCCCCACATGACGAGGCGGTACACCAGCGTGATGACGAAGAGAAGCCCGGTCCAGAAGTACAGAGCCAGAAAACCCGGAGCGTCGAAGTGCATCTGTGGTTGGTTGGTTTTCAGGTTCAAATAAATAGTTCGTTAGATTTCATGAAAACGAATAGAGTCGCCCTCGCCATAATCACTTTCAAAATCGAGTTGTAATCAAACGCCCCACTGGAAAAGCTGCGATGGCGAAAATTATAACTGAAAGAATCCAAAAAAGCCAAAGCATACGTTGAAAGGCGCGTCGTGGGTCTGCATCGTTGCACCCAGGGACCCGAGTGTGCCCTGCCGCGGGTCGGGGTGAGTTGCGCCGTCATGATGGCTCGCGCTCTGCACCCTGAAAGTTGTAGGTCCGGGTTCGCTGCTCGTCACTACAACTCCAAGCTGTCCTACCACGGCCAGTAGGAAGACCTTTATGGTTAAACGAACATCCAACATACTAGGCGGCATTTTCAATGCAAAAAGAAGAAACAAAATTCGAGGAAAATGTATGAGAAAGGATTAGGCGGGCGGGTGGGTAACACTAGTGATGAAGCTAAGACGATCGTTCTTCCGGTTCTATGCATCTGGTCGTTCTTAGCGGCCCACCCGAGCCCGACGGGATAAAAAAAGATTTCTTGGTGTAAAAATGTGAAATATCGTCATGGATGAAGTAGAAAAATCAAAATGAGGTCCTGGGGCATTCATAAGGCAAGCAAACCAATGTGTGGCACCATAGCGGTCCTTTCCTACACCAACAAGCAGTTTTAACTGCTACGAATGTCACACACGACGCGAAACCGAAAGCAGATCCCTTGCTCCCACTTCTATCTTTGTACGATTGTCTACACCGAGAACGCGATTTTTCGAGGTTGAACGAAAAGGGTAAGAGGACGTTCGTTACACTGCACGAAACCGACATTTTCAGGACCGGAAACAGTCCGTGCACGGAACCGAGCACGCTGCATGTGCAGACGGTAAAATGTAAGTACGTCTTTGTTGCACGAAACCGAGACCGTGATTTTGGCTGATGCACGAGACCGATGAATTCTGACTTTCCAATCTTTTCCATTACGACCTTTTCTTTTTGGCTCGGTAGTGTGAAGTGAAACATAAAACCGATGCAGTTGTATGCATACACTAGGTTACCGATGAGGCTGTGATTGCGTAGAAAAGTAAAAAAGTGACATCAACACGTACGCTCTAAGTGGCCAACACATGATGGGTGTGCTTGATGGCGCGCACGAACAGCAAAAGCCAAAGCGCCGAAGCGGATAAAATTCGTAAAGTAATGCCAGTGATTTCTGATACCGCGCCTGCATGTTCATCCACTGCGTCACTATCTTCTTCTTGTTTCAGCCGTCTTCACGAGCCAGTCAATCCCAGTCTTTATCTGCGCACTCGCTTTGTAATTGCGCCCGGGGTCTTCTAAAACCAGTGGCATGAGAACCCACGCTCGCCCGCTAGATGCCACAATCTCCTGAAGCCCATTTTCCGTTGCGATGCGAGCCGCCTCAGCCTGGGCAAGTTTATCTAGCAGCACCTCTTGCTGATCTGCTTCGGGCTGCACTTTCGCTGCTGCATCACGGCTTGGTTGTTCCTCCTCATGTTCTCGAAGGGCCATTTCCACTAATACGGCCCTGCTGAGCTCGACGTAAAGCAAAACCGGCATCGTTCGTATCCTGTCGTTGTAGTCCTTTTGCTCCTCTGTCGTCTCGGCAGACGTCCTCCCCTTGACGTCCTCACGTAGGAGGCTTACTACCTGCGAGTCGGGATTCCCGCCATCGCGCACCTGTTCGCCGAGATGGTAGCGCAGGTACTTCACGGGGTGTGTCATGAGCGGCTCTTGTTCCCTCTTTTCCGGTTTCGTAAACCAGCTGTACTTTGAGCACCGCGTCCCTGCGTGGCCGCCCGGGTAGATGTACAGAAGCCCGTCGGCCGGCTCGTCCATGTGACAGTGCTGCCACAGCGGGTAGATTTTCGCCCCACCACACACGGAAAAAAAATGCAGAGTCAGCCGAGGTTTAGCCTCAGCGCCGGTGGACAACGCTGCTTGATGTTCATCTGCTGGAGGCCAGGAAAAGATTCCCTCTAAAATGCCCATGAGACTATGGGAAAACTGCCGCGTCGAAAAAAATTCATGTTCATCATTAGAGTGATTGTTTCCAAGATCCCCGATCACGTCGCGCGTCGCCACTGCCAGTGCATTCTCAATCCCACAAATCAAAAACTTGAAACCTGGATCGCTCGCACTTCCGCCCTGGCGTGCCGGAGCTACTGGTGCTGCAGTGCTGCTAGAAGAACCGTTGCCCATATTTTCTGCTTTACAGTTGTCGTGCGCGCGGCGAATTATTTTCAAAAATTGCCATAGAGTGGAATACGGAATGAAAGAACAGCGTTTACAGATACTTATTTGGGTCTGGGTGAAGAAATGTTTATATTATTATTATTATCGAAGCCCTACTGGGGTTTGTGCCCGAGGTGACCACAACGAATGTACGAGAGCGGAAGGTTGCAAGATCTTGCGGTGGTGCTGTGATGTGGGATCTCGCGGGATCTTTGGATTTGTCGCCGCTGTAGTGCGGTTCCACACTCTCAGTCTCTCACAAGATCTCTCCGGTGGGGCGGGGGTGTGCCCCGGTGTCCCGTTTACCTTCCCACGGTCTCACGGCTCAGACTCAGTGCCAACCACGTGTGTGCGGAACACCACTGAGCCCCCTCGCGCGCCGTTAGTGTAGGTTGGTTTCATTGTACGGAACATAAGCGCTCGCGCCGCGGACGCGGCGTTGCACGCCCTAGCGGGCCGTTTATTCGTGGGCATTGTGGGTGCCCAGTTCGGTCATGGATCTGTAGTCAGGGCGCTCTTGCCAGCCGTGGGGCCATGCGCGCTCTGATGTGAGGGGGAGCACCGCTGCGCACAGTCTCCCCATCTGCGTGATCCGGTCGCCGATTCCTGTTGGTTGATGTGTAGGGCCGGTGTCCCGGACGTACTGTCTCCAGCTTTCCAGCGCCTCGCATTCTTCGAGTATGTGGCCCGGTGTCAACGGGGTCCCGCAGTAGTCGCAGTGCAACTCGTTGCCGAAGGATCTACTCTGACTTCCACTGACCGTGGACAGCCAGAGGCGTTGAACCAGCCGCGCGCCACGGAGATATTTGGTGACGCCCCAGACGAAGTCGCGCGACCATTGTCTGGCCGCCCAGTCTCGCCCACTGATGCTTCTGGTTAGCCCCAGGGACAGGATCCCTACCTCTTCTTGTGCTTCTATTTCCCGCAGGAGGAGCTGCTTCACCGCTGCGTGGGGGACGGGGAGGGACGGGAGTTCCCGCATGTCCACTCGCCGGGCGGCCGGGGCCACGAGTCCCAACAACGTATCTATGAATTCGTTGCCCGCGACGCCCGTATGGGCGTATACGTGGGTGACGAGTGCTTCGGCTGCGGGGATGCGGTCCAGGGCGGTGAGGACCGTGCACAGTTGGGGTTCGAGCCGGTTTCCACTCGCCGCCGCGGTCATCCACCCCCTGCAGTCACCCACCAGCCTCGCACGGGTGGCGTGGACGCCCGCCAACTGCTGTGCCCCTACCTGGGCTCCCCCTGTTTCCCCGGGATACGCGGATGGCCCGATGCCATACAGATGTATTTCCACAGCCTGTAGAGCGTTTTGCGCGAATAGAACCGAGCCCCCGAGGATGCGGCCGTGCCTGCGGCGGTCCCCATCTATGACCGCCCCCACGAGGGAGCCATCACAGAAGGACACAGCCGCCCCCTGCTCAAGCTCTTGGCGGAAGCGGTCGTTCTGCCAGGCCGCGTCCGGTTGGGTCGCGTCCTCATCGAACGGCGCCGCCCATCGCTCGTTCGCAGGCGCTGTGTTTGCATCCCTTGTCGGGTAGCTCTCGCCCGGGTTGATTTCCCACCTGATCTCGCGGGAGAGGCGAGGTCGCGGGCTGTAGGATTCTCGGTGGGTGTTGCTCACGCCGATGGCCTCCAAAACCCGGTGGGCTTGGTCACCCGCGCGTCTCCCGGCCCAGGTGGCGCGCTTGGTTTCGCGTAAGTCGATAGCGTTGTATTCCCACAGGGGGCGCCCTTCCACCCGGGTTGCACGGGTGCCGGTGTGGATCACATACCGCAGGACGAAGTTGCCACCTAGTGTTTGTGGCAGGCTGGGGAAGCGGCTGAGCGCCTCGACAACGTCTGTGCGGGATGGCAGGGTGTTGCACCGCCACGGCGCGGACCCACGCGCCCCAGGCGCGCCTGCTTCTGCTGCGATGCCACTTTGTAATGCCGTGGTGGCCGGGAGGGCTTGGCCTTCGCGCGCGAACCTATCGAACCAGAGCGCGACCTCGATGGTTGCCAGGGTGTGCGCGTTGAACAGGCACGCGGAAGCGAGGAGGACCTCTATCCGGGTGTGTTGTAGGGCCCCCGTGATGAGTCGCGCGCCCTTATGTAGGATGCGCGTGTCAAGCCGCTTCATCGCCTGCTCGGGGAGGTAGGGCCCCAACACCGAGAGCGTGAACCGAACGAGGGAACCCACAAGCCCGAGGTATAGTGCGCGCAGTGTCACGGTGTCGGCTTTGTGCCGGTACCTCCTTTTTATGAGTGCGAGGCGCTTTGTGCTCTTGTCCACCAGTTTGTCGCAGTGGTCTGCGAAGCACCCGTCCTCGTCAAAATGGATGCCAAGGAGGCGCCCTTGGGTGACCTGGCGGTAGGGCAGCGGGGGGAAGCGGCGCTCCGCCCCCGGTTCTGGTTGGCCTGCTGCTTCGGCGCCCGCGTCATCGACGTACTCGTCTGTAAGTATGTCGAAACAGAAGCGCGCGCGTACTGTCTTGCGGTGGAGAAGAAATGTTTATAGCTCGATCTGGCAAGCTGTATCTAAGCGCAAGCCTGCTGCACAGAAGATCGGCCATACATGCTCACCCGACTTCTAGAGAACCAAGCCCTGGATTGACCATGCCGGATGCTCTTACGGATCCCCGACGATAGTTTCTACTGAGCCAGAGCCTGCGAAGATCTTACTAGTGGCACGTCATCCACGAAACCGATCCCGATGCTAGTGTCATGGTCAATTTGTCGCGGCAAACTAGAGGAGACCGAGAAAGCGATTCAAGTCGCTATCGCTTGATCTTGATGACAAGCGGCCTGGTAGAAACAATAATGGATTCCTGCGCTCGTCCTTACTGGACAATGTTGGGGTTCCTCCGATGGTAAAGAAAACTCTCTGCGAGATCTTACACATTGTAGTCAGTCAACTGACTGAAACTATCTATACACTCCTTTTATTCGCTTTGACTTCAAGTACAAGTTTTTCGTACAACACAGGTGGAGAAGGCTGCATTCGTCGAGTTCTGTGAAACCACTATTCTTTTTTTGAGTCATAACTGCATGCGTGACAGCACAGATTGAAATGGAAACAGATAATCATGCATTCACTCTTCTTCACTAGCTCGTCACTCAAGTTCTTCTGCTTGTCCAGGCAGTCCTGCGGCTGAAACTATCTCTATGAATACAGGCTGAAACACAAGAAAAACTACACTGAAACATTTTTCGGTCCTTGCTTTTCACCTTTTGCAGATGAGGAGTTTCCTGAGCAGGATGACAGAGAGATGGAAACCGATCCTGATTTTGAGTCTCTGCTCGGGGAACGCACACGATCCCTAGAGCCGTCGTCTTTCACGTGGCGCCGAAATCGCATTTGTCTTTGTTCGTCAATCGGCGCCACAGGTTGCGGCTCCCACCGCCCCACCGTGCCGCTGCCGAGGCCGCTCTTCAGTTGTCGCAGAAGTGCGACGCCCTCCGCTGCTTCTGTTTTTTTTTTTTTTTGCGTTTTTTTTTTCTTGCGCATGCGAACACGGTAAAAGATTTCAAACCGAAACTGAAACTTCTTCCTAAACATAGTTGAAATCGAAATTCGACACGAGACGGGGGCATCTTCATCTCGGCCTGTTTCGGCAAACGAACTAGAAACACATTTCCTCTTTAACACTCCGATCGCAAACAGCTAAGATACTTTTCTGGTCGCCCAACAGCTCTCCTGTTGTTTCCGTGAAGTCATCTGGCCCAAACTGCGCACGGTGGCGCGGCGAAAGCAAGGCCCGCAACGGGATCGCCGCCGCCGTCCCGTTCGGCAAACTACAACGGCCGTCGTGCTTGCCCCGCGCGACTGCCACTACGTCGCCGGAGATCGTGTTCGCGGCGTGAATTCGGCGCATGTTTCGGTTGAGGGGAACGGGTCGGGCTTCGTCCAGGGGGTTCTGCGTGTGGATTGTCGACCGCTTGTTTGGCGAATTTTCCGTTAAAACTGGGGACACGTCCGTGGAGCTCGAAACGTAGGTGTGGTCCGACATGCTGTCCCAACTCAACGCCCGCGCGGTGGCCCGCAAACCGCACGCCACGCCGCCGAGCCGTCCTTGGGCGTCCTGGATTTCTCTGTCGGGCGTGGGGGTCTGCGTCTCGAATAACAAGCCCCGCCGAAACGGTGACAGCGAGCCGGCCGTGCTAAAATTGTTCTCGTAACTGTTGTTGAGGCCCAGGTCGTAAGATGAGGTGCGGCACAGCAGTGCATCGCGGCTCGGGGAAGCTGCACTTCTTGTCGTCCCGCCGTACTCAACGAAACAGTCGGATGATAATTCTTTTGTACTGCTACTCGCTGGCTCATCGTTTCTGCTGCTGCCCGGCGGAATGTCTGTTGCGGTTTTGCTCGTACTTGGTCGACCGATTTTGCCTAATTCCTCCTCCGCGCTCCGCACCGCTGACGCGGTCGCGTGTCGCAACCTCATTCTCGCGGTTTGTTCCTTGAGCGTCGGCCCTGGCTGCTCCGAGGCAAAGGAAGCGAAACTGTGTACGGAGTACATAGCATCCCCGTTTGATGAAACAACGCGAGCCGCACTGCTGCTTGTTTGCCGGGAGCCTCTCGTCGTGTTTGCTTTCTCGGCGTCAGCTGAAGGAGCCGAGCTTCTACGAGTGCTGTCTCGCTCACTCAGCATCAAGTCGTCTCCGACGGAAGGGAGGGACAGGCCGCCGGCAGCGACCTGCCTCGTGATCGCACTCGAATTTGAAGAGGACGAGGCAGAACTCGTGGCGCGATCGATTTTTAGCAGTTGCACTGGTAATGTCCCGTCTTTCGCGGAAGGAATGACAGAGAGATCAATTTCGCCAGACAGTTCGTCCCAGTGAATTTTTTCGGGCTCTACTTTCTTGCTCGCGAACGCCTTTACCGTTTGGGCCGCGCTTTTGGCTGCTTTAACTGTTTTCGCAAGCGTTGCGTCAATGTCCTCTGTGCTAGCGACGATACCTGTTTTGGGTGGTGCGTGGTCGTCCAAAAGGGAAATAAACATTCCCCTGACGAGGACCGACATCCATACATGAGCATCTGTCCCCAAACAAAAACGGGGCTTCTCACCGAATCAATTTACCGGAGGGGGCTGCGAGCGTGCCAACGTCTACACGACTTGTTTGCGGTGGTAAAGCGCGCGCCAAAAACGACCGCATATGCTGTTTTTCTTCCGGGCACTCCAATGTCCCGCTTTGCTCACTGCCACTGGAACACCCTGGTAGTATTTGTTGATCATGCGCATTTAGTCATGCCTTTCTCATTTAGCCGGTGCAATGCCCCACGCGAGGAGTGCGTTCTCTGTGCATTCGGCAAAAGAAACACGGATCCGGTTTTACCTGACGGGTCCGCCACTGACGAATCCCCCGCATTGAGCTGTCGACCGTCGTTGCCGCTGTTCGACTGCGTTCGCGGCGTCGGCGAAGCCGCTGCGCGCTCGTTTGGCTGGAACCCCTGCATCTTGTGGGAGGAGACAGAAGATGACTTAGACATTCTTTTTCTTTTAGTCGTACACGAAAATCCGCGCTCAGCATTTAATAAACGAGCTGCGTCTCGACCAACTACTTCGCTTCCAACAACAAATCAACACAAACCGCCATTTTGTGGCAACAAAGGTTCGTCCAGTTTGGTGAAGACCGACAAGGAAGTTAGTAACTGCCCCTCAGGCGAAAACTACTCAGAGTTGCTCTTTTACAACCGTGATAAATATCGCATCCCGGTTGTCAACTTTTTATGCGCGCATATTTCACTTTCGCATTAGCACGTTGTCGTTTTTTTCACCACTTCAGCGCGTGGTACATTTTCCCCTTGCCATCATACCCGGAGCCCTTTTTCGCGTCGCGTTCGACCACGTTTTTCCAGGCGGCTTCGGACAACCGCCCGTCCCAGCTGAAAACCTCTCCAACGGTGTCGTGCCCGAAGAGACCACACAGCAGCGGTTTCTCTTTCCTTTCCATGCCCGCCAGACACACCGTGGGCGTACTCATCTCGCTCCACGCGACGGCCCCGGCGGCCGCCCACTCCGCCAGTTCCTGCAGAAAGCGTTTGCTGAAGCGCTGCACGTGCTCGCAGGACGAGGCCCGGCCGCGGTGGAGACCGTCCGTGCGGCGCGTGAACGCGGCGGTCCGGGAGGTGCGCCAGCACCACTTTGGCGGCGTCTGCTCTTCGTAGTATTCGTACCACGCGGTGAGCAAATCCGATGGGTCTTCGTAGTACTTTTCAATCAAGTCCCGCACGACGTTTTCGCCCGACCAGCCAACGTCCTCCTCGAAGAGCCAAATCTGGTCGTAATACGTGAGTACTGCTTCGGACAGATCGGTGGTGCTGCGTTTGGTAGCTGCTTCTTGGAACGAAAGACCTTCCACTGGTCGTGTACCAGGATTAGCGGTAGACTTAGCTTGCGTGTTGGAGGTCCGTGGTGATGCTAAATCCCTGAGGTGCGCAACAGGCAGAACCGCCCCACCCAGCTTCCCCGCACGGCCCTTCTCCCCCACCCGCCACCTAATCGCGTCTAGGACGCACTCGTTGTGCATGCCCCAGGCCCAGGAACAGCAGCCTCGGCGTCCTGGAACCGTGCCCTGAAACCCGTGAATGTGCCGGCGCATCTCAGTCCAGCCGTGGCCGTACGAGGTCCCAAATTCGATGTCGATACAGTTGTACTCGTGCAAATCTTTCCCTAACACACACCGCAGCTGCGCGTGGCTCGGAAGAATGTCGGTAGTGAAATCTCGATCTTCGTCTTCGGAGTCTTGACCACTTTTTTCCTCTTGATCTTTTGTGGTTTTTGCGATTTCTTGATGGGGAAATCCCTGCAGTTGATGCTGAGGAGGAAGCACGACAGGAGGCTTCTCCTCGCCATTCTGCTTTTTCACATCACTTGCAGTTTCTGCTGGTTTTTCACTTCCTGACCCGCCTGCCGCGGCTTGCTTTGGTCTGTAGTACTCTGCTTGTATCGGATCCTCGCGCAAGCGCTCCGCTCGCGCCGCACGAAACAACCGGTTGTGCGTGACATCAACGCTGCACACAAAGTCAACATCTAGTGCAGTACATGTCTTGCAATCTTGGCGCCATTGAAGCATGCGTCGCAATTGTGCGTGGGTTGGACAAACCGCACGTACGAGGAACAGGACGCGCGGCTTCGGCTCGAGTCCGGAATCCTGCTTGCGCCAGGACGAGTCCATCTGTTTCTGCCGCTGTTCGCACACAACCAAAGCACGGCTCTTGATGCGCCGTCGCTCTGGGCCGTTCGAGAAGCTCCAGACACCATCGCGGGGTCGCTGTCGGTCGAGATAGGCATTGATGAACAGCGACGAAGATGCAGCTAGAACGCCGGGTGTCTTGAATGCCATATCACGTCCTTGTTGCACGGTAGAGGTACCATCTCTAGCACTAACTGCATATCATCTGCACAGTATACCACCGCCTTGAGTTGTCTTTCGCTCTCGTCTTGATGAAACCTGCTGTCCTTACGCCTGAGACCACAGTCGTGGTTCTTTGCGACCTATAACAAACTACAGACGAACAACACAAAGGCCGGCAATTCCCGCGGAGATCAGTGACATTGATGTTTTTTGGTTTCAAAAGAAGCTCTCAAAATATCGGACTATTATGTGCCCGAAGAAGTTCTTAAGTTCCGGCTCAGTGTTTTTTATTTCAACCCTGGAAATAAATCGAGCGATTTAGTATCAATTCCCTACAAGAAAGCAGCTCTGAAAACTATTCGCAAGAGAATCGCGCGCCAGAAACGATTTCGCTCTGCTCGTCAGATGTCATATCTAATACTTTGCAAAAAGGTATAGACGTCGCAAAAGTACAAAATATTGAAATAGCGATGCTCTAAGTCTAACTTGATGTCCGCCTCCGCTGTCACAAGAATCAAATACAAAAGGAAGCCTGTTGCGGCTCTGCAAAAGAAGGCACAGCTGTCAAGCGACTACTGACACACAGTAAGTGGCCGACTTCATCGAGAAAATAATTTTAAGTTCTAGGAAACTGGAGGCACTGTAATTCTTAACTCATTTAGTGTATCAACCTGGATCGGTCGAAGCCGGAAAGAATCCATCGTATAAAGGCAGACTCAGAAAAGCGAAACAAAAAAATCAGATAGTTCAGAAAAAAGAAAAACTTATTTGGCTGGCAATGACAAAAAACTAATTCCGGGTTTACAACTGCACTACCTCGCCGAGCTACTTCGCCTGTGCGGTGAACGATGTTCCCTCGCCCTGCTCTCCGGCTTCTTCGGCCACCTTGGAGTTGCGGCGCTTCTGGAACGAGATGTGGGACATGTTCACGCAGAGCTGGTTGCCGCAGCACATGGCAAAGGGCTCCTTGGGCAATTGCATCAGCTCCTCAAACGACTCGTCGTCCGCGAAGATGAAGGGCAGCACGCGGTTCACGAAAGTCACACTCTCGAGCGTGTCACCTGTCGAATTTTTGATACAACCTTGCTTGCCGGTCTGGTGCTCTAGGAAATCAAATAAGGACGAAAGTGTGTGCGCTACGCAGCATGCAAACCACAACCAGTAAGCCTCTATCGCATGAAAGTTGCATTGATTCAATTTCATTCTCTCTCGTCGCAAAAAAATGATACCGGGTTTGACTATCCGCACAACTGCTTGGCTTTCCTCGCCGTCGTTGTTAACCTTCGTCGAGTCGCCGTGCCACATCACGCATTTTTCGTCGCTCCCCAAAATCGGATCATCCTTCTTGTCGATGTTCTTCAGGATTTCGGATAAAACCTGAAAGTTGTTGCAGCAATTTCTTGAAGACCAAGATTTATTCTTGATAAAGAGTCTATCATATTCATTTTTTTTTTTTATCACGGCTTCATCTTCATGCGAACTTGCTATACAGCAGTCCTACCTTCTTCACAGCCTCCTGGTCTGGGAAAAAGTCGAGCGTATCAAATGCAAAAATGTCTGGGTCTGGAAGATTGCAACTTGTCATGCTGTTTTTGGAATCTAAAAAAATTTGTATTACATGACCAGCAAGAGGGGTGCAGTTTGTGCTACACGGGCAGGGCATTTCTCATGCGGAAGGTGCATCAGGAAGCCCTCTACAAGTCTGCGATGCTAGGTCATGCATTACAGGCATCATGGGTCATGAGAAATATGCATGACAAATCTTGCATTCTTCCAGACCCAGACATTTTTGCATTTGATAGAGCGCGCGCGGATGCAAGAAGTCGATCCATTTCGCCAAATCTGCCTGTATCTCGTTCGCATCCCGTTTTGTGAATTCTGTAAGAATGATGTGGAACATTTGTGTGCAACACTCCATAACCGGCGATCCAATTCATGCCTGCGTGCAAACGATGCCCAACTCTACATCAAAAACAAACTAAATCTTTGTCACACCATGCGACCTATACTTGCTTTTCCGGGCTTTTTTGCTGCCTTGTTCAAATCCGCTCGCGGTTTCGGCTCTGGCTGCTTGATCGGCTCTCCCCAAAGCGAACCGGTGCAAATCCGGCAATTGAAGAAAGACATTTTTGCAGGCACGATCTGAACTTTTGGTTTGCTTCTTGCAGTAAGGAGCCAGTGGTTAAAGTTCTAGTAGCTTGAGAGTGCAAGTCTAGTATAGACAAAGGAAACGTGACACGTTGATGAGGTAAGCCCGCTTATTTTTCCGTTTGTGTCGTTCTCTCTACTTTCCGACGAGATAGATTTGAACGACAACTCTCACAAAACTCATTCTCAGCTAAAAATCCGCACTGACATGTTTTGGTGTCCCTCAAGAACATCTTGCACTCGTATACTCAAGAACTATAATCAGTGGGGAACAATGTCCATGATACGTGCTAACTCAAACGCACGCTGGAAGGCAGAGAAAATGCCCTGTAGGTCCGCAACCCTGTAACTCGATGCTGTACAACGCCATTGGAAACATAATAGGATCCGTCCGAAACGAAACTTTTATTTGTAGATGGAACGAAAAATCGCGAAATGCTTTTGGCGATGTTAAAGTTAATCTCAGTATATCCCTTACACAAAGACCGCCGTGGTGTCCGCCATATTACCGTCGGGCAGCAGCTTTCGTTCCGCAGGAACTGCTGCATCTTCCCCGACCGCCTCGTGGATTATTTGCGTTGAAATTTGCCAGGATGCGCGGAGGTTTTGGTCTCTTTTTTCATCTGCGCGAAAAGGGCCGCCGATCGGGTACCAGGCTGGATAATTTGTGTTCCACAAATTGTCGTGAATGACAAAGCCGAATCGTGGCGAGCATTCGGGTGGATTATACGGGGTCGGGAAAGCGGGCGGAAGTAATGCCGTTTCCTTCTTCTTGTCCCACAACACTACAAGTGTTGTGTGCAGTGGAGACACGCCGAGTGCGTGGTAGCTATTAACTTTTGCGGAGGTCGTGTCAGAACTGGCGGCCTGCTCTACGGTCGTCCTTTCACAGACGATCGCGGGATGTTTCTCTGGCCTTTCGCTGTAAACTCCGTGCTGGTGCGGACTTGCAAGAGCAAAAGAGCCTGGAATAGTACTGTCGTCAGCTCCACCTTCACACAGGTCCACGTAGCGGCCTAACTTTCGGCCCCGGCAGCGTGATGTGCTTGCACCATGTTGTTGCACTGTAGGAACCCCCGCAGAGAACAGAATCCAGGAAACCTCGGGAAGGCGGGTCGGTCTTTTGTCTTGCAGAAGCACATCCAGCTTAATCTCGGCAGCCGTGTCTTGTTTGATGTGCGCTTTTTCCGCAGCCGTATCCGCTTTCTTGTCAAACCTTTCAGGAATTGAAATTGCGAAACGCGTCACGACTTGCTGAGGCGCCCCGTATTCCTCGAATGGAAGAGGCGCGTCGCTTCTGAGACAATGTCGTGACATTGTCAACTTGCAGTCGACCGCCCAGTCCAAAACAAGCGTGATGGAATTCTTTTTTCTTGTGGTCGATGTCCCATAATTTTCCTCTTCACCACTTTCGTCTTCTGCTTCCTTGCTCGTGCTACCCCTCCCGCCTCTGTCGATGGAAACAATCACTTCCCGCACGCGCGGCAAGTACTCTGTGTAATTTGCTTGATGCTTCTTTAGCCCGGGCTTGCTGAAATCAAAAGCGTCGGTGGTCCCGAATTCCTCGACAAACTGTGTCATGTTTGCCGCACTCAACGCTTGGTAAACATATTGCCCAATTTTGTACCCCGGCTCAAGTTCGGGTGGACAATTCGTGCAGATTTTTGGCTCGTATTGTTTGCTTCCTTCTGTACTTGTCTGTCGTCCAGTCGATGTTGCCCGATGTTGAAACACCCCGCGCAACGCGCCGTGGTAATCAAAACAGACCAGCAATTCTTAGCACGGGACCACCTCGTACTTTTAGAGTTTTCAAAAAGACCGGAGCACGAGTTCAAAAGCGAGCTCATTACGAGTTTAATCCGAGTTCAATAATTTGCCCAAATCCGTTGACTTCAAAAAGGGCACAGGTCGCCTGACTTTTGACAACTTCCAGGCAAGGTCAAATGACTTTGTGCGGAATTTGCATCAAAAAAAGTCAATTGACTTTATGCTAATTCCCAGAAAAGTCAACTGACTTCTGCAAAAAAATTGGGCACATTCTTCAAACTTTTGCTGCCTGTCTGTGAAATGAGCCGAATTCAGGAAAAGGCATTTGGCTTTTCTTGAAATTAGCACAAAGTCAATTGACTTTTTTTGGTGCAAATTCCGCAAAAAGTCATTTGAGTTATTGCAAACTCCACGCAAAGTCAGCTGACTTTCGACAGAAACGCTGGCTCTCTTCGATTTTGCAACAGGTCAAGTGACTTTATGATAAATATAGGATTTTGTCGGCGTTCGTATTGAACTCGCACTGAACTCATCTTTGAAGTCTTTTTGAAGTTTTTTCGAAGTACGAGGTGGCCGGATGCTAACAATTCGCTTTCTGGAATCAACACCGAGAAGGCTGCGGGTAGTAGTTCACCAGATTGGGTGGAAACTGTGACTTCTGACCAAAAATGCGCGTTGAGGTCCGCGCGTAACAAGATGTCCTTTGCGGGCGGCAGCATCTTCGCGCGTGGTTCCCCTGACGGCCCGCCAAGCTGGCTGGCGTCTTCGGTTCTCTTTGTTCTTTCCCCTTTTCCGACGTGAAGATCTTCGTCCAGGGAGAGCCCAAGCTCAGCTCGTAGGCGCTCTAGAAGGATATCCCCCAGTGGATGCGCGTCCCGTTTCAAAATGCGCAGCAACGGCCAGAACAAGTGCAAGTTTCGCTGTTCTAGGTAGGCGGCGTCCACTTCGTTGAAGACAGAGGTCTTGTTGCTTTTCCGGTCGTTATCAAAACCCGCATTGCTCCACAAGTTTGTTTTGTTCGCTGCCTCAACCCGGGCGTTACCTGCTAGCCCCCAGGTGTGCTCGGTGCTGCCAATGAAGAGCCGCATGAAATGCCAGAGCGCGGGGTCGTTTTTTTGCAGGTCGGCGACTCTTTTACTGAAATAGAAATGGTCAAAACAGGACGTGGTGTCGTGTTTCGACTTTGCCTCGCCCCCGTCGTCATCGAATTCTAGACCTGGTTGTGTTTCTGTAGAAGTTGTTTGCGAGGTCTTCCCGCAAATGAACTTCTCAGCCTCGCGCATCACGATTCGTGTGCTGGCAGACTTCAAGAAGTCACTTTGCACGCCATAAAGCCAGATGTCCCCGATTTCTCGCGAAACTACGGGAAGCGAGTGCCGGCGCGGCCAAATCTTTTCCGCAAAAGTGTCGTAACTGGTCGAAACGATCCCGTTTTCCAGGCGTGCTGCGGTCGGGAAGAAGATTTGTAACGCACCGAAAATTTGCTCCACTTCGGTCGCATTGAAAGGGCCTTGATTATCGTTCTTGAAGGCGATCACCAAGGCGGTGTCAGCCAGAAGGAAGGGCTCGCTCGTGAACTCCCATTTGCCGGAGGGAAGAAGCTCGAAGTTCCCATAATTTCGGTTCCAAATAGTCACGAATCCCTGCTCATTCTCGTCCGTGTCGGATTTTTTTTGGCCAGCCTGTTCAGCTTTCACTCCGCCGTGTAATTTCTTCGTCTGCTCCCTTTCTCTCCAGAGAAAAATTGGCGCCGGAATTTTCGGGACCGAAGAAAAAATATTCTCGCCGATGCTGACCAAACGAACACCGTACTCGCGCAGTATCGGCAGCGCAGCAACGGTCGTGAAGGGCACGTCGCGCTGACTGAAAGTGACGCGCCCACGACTGCGCGATATTCCGACTTCACCGGCCAAGCCCCGCACGAGCTCTAATCCGTACCTGAACAGAAAACCGCTCCCATGTTCCACTTGCGCGTTGAAGGGACTAGCCGTGAGGGCTATGTCGCCGTCTTTTAACGCTTGGCGAAACTGGTACTGCTCTGCTTCCGTCGGACAACTTAAACCCGGAATGACGCCCTTTTTCTGCAAAAAGGCACAGTCCTGCAGGTACATGCTAGCGAGCCAAGGTCCGTCCAAGGTGTAGACCAACCGTGGTGGGTTGCGAGTGTGTTCCGTTTTCGGGTGTCGTTTTTTCAGCAACTCCACCGTTTTCACCGCAGCGGGAAAAAACTCTTGAAAGTACCGGTTCAGAACCGGCACGGCAAAATCGGTGTACCCCTCGTCAAAATGGCTGCTCATCACCACGTACACCTGCTTCACATTTCCGTATTTTATTTCGGCGCTTGGTTTTTTACCTTCTGCAGCTTCACCCGCATGGAGAAGAAACAGCAGACAGAGGAGCAGGAGGTGAGAAAGAGTACAGATGATGCGAAGTTTTTTTCCCACGAACCGCAAGCTGCACGAGAGCTGCCACATGTGGACCGAGGTAAATGTGCTGCTGCACCGAAGCAATCGTCGCCGACTTTCCATAATTTCGGCGACTGAAGACACGTTAGTTTTGTCTTCGGAAAAAAACAATCTCCGATGCCTTACGCCTAGGCCGCGGCAAAATTGATGCTGGTAATATCGCTGACTCGTCTCCTCTTCCTGTAGCGAGCCAAGAAACCTGTCTAACGAAAGAAATCCAAAGCCGAGTATCAAAGTTTTCCTTGTTTTGCTTTACTATACAAAACGAAAGCTCCTGCAAATGGCATTTTGCACCGGCTCGAACACGGACATCAAAGCCCACGGGTATAAGGGAATACCTCCCGAAGATGCACGAACAATTTTTGCGTCTGATGCGGGGCAGTAGCACAGTACAGCCAAATACAGGATGGGGAGTCATTTAGAAATCCGTGCGGCAGATGGGATGTTGACCAAGCGGTCACATAAAGTGGTTGGCAGAAGTCTACCCATCTTTACAATGAGAGTCTGCGTCGAGATCATGAGTCTTTACCTTTAATACACAAGGAGCTCGCTGTGGAGCGGGGGTAGGATGAACTAGCAAAATTATCTGTTTATCGATGTGACACTCAAACTTCTCCACAAAATAAAGCGATAATGTTGTAATAAGTAGTGTAGTGTGGAAAACGAGTGCGCATAATGTTGTAAAAAACGCTCGTAAAAACCTTTGCAGGTTTTTAGTAGAGACAGTTCTCCAGGGGCAAATCACCGAGAGACAGGAAATGCAACCCTCTAGGCGATTTTGGTTAATCCGAACATCAGTCGGGTGACCCAATTGGATTGTAAGATCGCGTATAACCCCATGCAGCTGAGCAGCACCAGCACTATCGTGCTAGCGGCAATCTCGTCCCGATTGCTGTCCTTTTCCAGCAGGGCCCGCAACCACAGCTCCTCAGCGAACCGGTGAAAAACGTACACCACCATTGCACTCTGCGTGATGTGTTTGTGGACCGCAGGTGTCACCGTCCCGTTTGCGAAATAGTAGGCGAAGGCTGGTCGTTTTGTTTTGTTTTGGATATTTTCGGTCCGCTAAATTTGCCGCGCAATCACGACCACATGACCCATGCGTATATCACTATTCCACAACGAACTACGGCGAAAGAAAGACTAAAATCACTGGAAAAAAGCATTCACAGATGGTAACCGAAACAGATCAATGCAACAAACTTATCCTTCCACCTAACCAGCATATTAACTACTTACCTGCGAGCACGGCCATCCAGAGCCAGCTCCTGAGCAGTCCAAGGAGTCTTTGTTGGTCGTCGTAGAAGGTCAGAAACGGCCCGACCCGTCGTGCCGACCGCGCCCCCCAGAAGGTGGCGACCGGCCATATGGCCGACAAAAGCAGGATAACGACGCCAAAGGTGTGGTTCGGCAGCAGCATTCGCCGCACGTGGGACAGGTGCGACTGGAAGAGGGCGAGGAAGTAGCCGAACATGTACAGCATCTCAAACAGCATCATGACGAACCACATGTTCACGCTCAAAAAGTCCGACTCGGCGTCTTCCTTCAGGCGCGGTGCCGCCAGCACGAAGGTCATCGGGATAAACATCACGATGGAAAACAGCACGACGCACTGCGTCGCGAGCAGGTGCATACCCTTCTGCGATCCGGAAAGCATGAAGAGCGCAAAGAACTGCAGGACCATGGTTATCAGGCAGGTGACGCCCAGCGTCAACCACCACCAGGTCTTCATGCCGTCCGAATTAAAGACCACGTTTGCGACCACCGGAATCACCCAGTTCACCAGCTGCGCCACGACGCCGTAGATCAAGCACCACTTTTGCACCATTCCACGCTGCTCTTTGAAAGCATCGGAGGCCGGAGCGGCAACTGCAATGCATAATTAGGTTTTTATTTCTTTTTCCATAGCCACCTGCTCTATGAACATCAAAGTTCTCAAAAATAGCCTTTGGAACAACTCTGATCCAGCATGGAGAGTGTTGCAAAAAAAATGGAACAAATTCACGTTGCGGTTTCAAAAATCAAGTACCCTCGCCCAGTATGCACCTCTGTCCGGCTTTCACGTAGTCCATTTCGAATAACGCCTTGTAGTAGTGCGCGTACTGGCCCCAGGCGTAGTTGGCGCACGCGAAGCCCCAGAGCGCGTACAAGAACCACATTTCTGACTCGATCACAGTGAGCGCCCCGAATTCGTCTCGCATCAGAGACCGGGGGATCACGCTGCACACGGACCCGAAAATAAACGGAAGTATCAACCGCTTGAACCGGCGGGCGCAAAAGTGGTGGAAGGCGTCTTCGCCCACCTTCGAACTCAGCTTTTCCACGTACTTCTCGAGTTTCGGAAATTCTGCTCCTCCTGTGGTACTATCCGGCGTTTTGTCGAGGTACTGATCCAGGACCGGAGCGACTGTGTTCCGCCCCTTGAACCCGGAAACCGCCGCACTGATGTAGCCGGACAGTAGGAAAAAGAGCGGGATGGTGTGCAGCGTGCCCTGCTCCACGACGTACTCCCACATGTTGCTGTTTTCGCGCTGGCGGGCCATGGACTCGGTGAGCGCGACGCTCCCGTTGTTCGTGTACGTCATATACACATTGCTAAACATCACGTTGTTCTTCCACACCCGGTCGGTGACCTTGTTTGTCAACACCTTGCCGGGCTTCGGAATCTTGTTGTTTCCCAAATCCGCAAACCGGTACGTCTCGTTTTGACTCTGCGCGAACTCCGTCTCGTCACTTATCGTCCACCACACATGGCCGCATACCACGTTCCACACGCTCTGGGTGCGGCACCAATCCAGCCAATACAGGCGCGGCGGCGTCGGCGCTTGGTCCGCATCCTCGGGCGGGGCGGAAGTCGAGGCTCCTGCGTCTTTGGGCTTCTCCGGGGTCACCTGTTCCGCCATTTCCGATTGTGAGAGGCCTCCTGCGCCTTGCTCCGCCGATGCAGTTACAACTACAGGGTTGTTCTCTTCGTCCTCGGGCATTATGGAAGCCCTGTCGGGCATTTAAGAAAACATCTGAAACCTTCTCAAGAAGAACCCGATCCTGTGTGTGTATTTGTACACTCGGCAAAGTAAAAATCGATCCTGCTATGCAGCCGCGAGATCTTCGATCTACTGAATTATTATGTCGTTGTGCGACCTCTCCTTCGCCTTCCTGAATACCGAGCGAGTCAAGCACTAATAGCAATAGCTGCAATGACTGTCAATTGCCTATCTGCTACCAGGGGAACGACGTCTCTTGGGCGTTGCCGTTGCTTCAAGTCCTGCCAAAAATAAACACAGAATTATAGCCAGGTACTAGAACGGTCGAAGATAGATTTTGAAGACACAACTTAAAAGATGAAAGGCAACAACGACATCACCTACGCGATTGCGATTCGTGCGCTCGGGTTTCAGGCCCGGCGATCAAAGCGCCCGATCTTCTATCATGAACTTGACCTTAATCATAATCTTCAATCTGCTCGTTGCAACAGAAATAAAGACACCGATGTACTTTTTTCCCTGTCGAGCCAGTACTTCTTAGTTCCCCAATCATGTACACGTTCCTACTTCTGCTAGACCGATCACGAAGAACCGAAGTTTTCCAATCCTGGTGGTGAACACAAGTATATCAACTCAAATGAAGCTCGATCTTCTCCTGGGTCATTTGACATGAAACACGGACACCAAAAAAGTATGACTCTTTTCCGTCGAAGCTCTTCTGTCCACCGAGGACAGCCGTCTCTTTAATGGGCTCATTCGCTCGCAAACATTCCAAGTCCACATCAACAGTTCATGTTCATTATCTGGCCCTGACAACATGAGAGCTCTCTTCTCGATCTCGTCTGCAGCTATTAACAGCAAAAGCCGTACCACCACGTGAACACGGTCAACACTGTTACAGTATCCATAGCCCAGGTGTGTCTTTCCGAATGAAGTCTGAGGTCTTGACATCGTCCTTGTACACCTTGCTTATCCTGTGCAAAAGTATTGCACTCGTACTAATTGCAGATATGCATGATAAATCCAAATTTCTACCTGAAATAGCATGACAAATTGAGTTTTTTTCTTGGGAAAATTTGTAATGCAATTTATACGTAGTACGATACTTTTGCAATGCATATTGTTCCACAGACACCAGATCCAGTCCGGCGAATCCGCCGTGCCCTGGTTAAATCGGGCCCCGATGGCGCGGTCTCGATCACCGGGAAGCTTTGCATAGGTTGTGGACGGCAGTAGGTACCGCACCAACTTGCTCCCCGTAGCCGTTTCGAACCCGGCCGCGTGCACTTGCCGAAAGCTTGGATATACCATCGGCTGGCCCTTGCCGGGGCGGCGCTGCGCCAGGGGACGGCGGAAGCACGTCGTGAACTCTCCGCCATCGCTGAACATACCCTGTTGCCGCGCGATGGAGTCCAGCTTCTGCGGCACGAAACCGAGATTGTCAATCTCACTGAACAACGGAACACGCTCGAGCAGCGACTGTCGATCTTTATCCGGAAAAAAGTACCAGTAGTAATCGTCCTGCGTGCCGAACGAGGTCTTGATGTTGGTGCCACTGCGCAATTGTACCTGCGAAAAAAGCTGATGTCGTCGGCTGCCCAGATAGTTGCGCGACCGGGCACCCGGAAGCTGCTGTTGGTGCAAGTGCGCCAACTCGGGGGCCCCTGAGCGCGTAATCTCCTGATGGTGGTCGCGCCCATCGTCAAGATTAGCTGGGCCTGAAAGAACGTCGAAGATGCTACCAAACCAGCCCATAGTCTTCACACCATGGCGTGCTCGCCCTCGCTCACATGAAAATTATTTGCTCCTGGTCTGCCTAGTCGGCGGATGATCAAAAATTCAAGGAGCAGCCGCCCGTTACAAGGCAACTACGAACTCTTGTGCAAACGAACTCTGACTCACGCTCGTGCGACTCTCTCGTCTCTGGCGAGTGGATCCTTGGCGAAGACGAAGCAGACTCAAGAAGCTGCAAGATATGGCAATATCAAGGGGGCGAGGAGATGAAGTACGCCCGACGACAACGACGACGACGACGACGAGCGAATACGAACCGAACAGGCACTCAACCCCGTAGACTTTGGGTCTTTGAACGGCCTATGCGAGGGCGCTGCAATGTTGGAAACCGTAATAAATGGAATTGAAAGGGTCTAGAAATGTTGTTGCTACGCTGCTCCTTGCGAGAAGCTTCGCTTCGCTTAGCATGATGGTAGTTAGTAGCGTGGGTAAAAAGCTAGTAACAGTCGGCTCCTGCCGACAAACTAGTACTAGATAAAAGAAAATTTTAAATTTCAAAACTGTAGTAGGTATTTGGCGAAAAACAAAGCTAAAAGCGTTGCGCTTATCTCCTCTATTTTCCTCAACCAGTACCAGAAAATGGAGCTCCTCGTAAAAAGAAAAGCTGAAGCTGAAGCTCCGACACGTAGCCGTGCAAAATAAAAATTTCCAGAAATAGCTAGTGACCTGTAGTGTAGAAAAAGTAAATGTTAAAAAATAAATCATCATACATCAAAATAAGTGATTCCGAGCACCCGACCGGCGCATTATCAGACCAGTTTGTGGCTTCTGAAGCTCTTCGCCGCGGCTCCAGGAGCCCCGCCGACGTGGGTGGTCGAGGCCCTGGTGAATCTGTTCATCGTCATCGACATGGCAGCCGGATTGAACGACGAGAACGCGTCCGGGCCATTTTGAATCTGAATCTGCTGGGTCTGCGGTTGCGTGATCGGCTGCTGCGTGATCGGGTCTTCGGCGATCACCGGTCCGGCAGCGTTCGCATACGGGTCGTTGAACTCCTGCATGAGCAGGACCCAGTTCTCCACCCGTCGCCCGTTGCTCAACACCAGGTCGTTCGTCCGCTCCTGGTGCTTGGGCCGCATCTTACTGAGCGGCAGGAAGTTTGCCAGGGCGGACCGTTCCACGGTCAGGATCGTCTTTATCCGCTCGAGCACCCACTCGTTGCGCGCGTCCACCCGGATACGGGAGTAAGTATCCGACATCATAGAAATCAGCAGGGGCATGGCCAGCAACGCCGAAAGGAACACGTAACACTCGTACAACATCAAGGTGGTGATCGGCCACTCCGCGTTGTGAATCTGGTCACTGAGCTCCCCCAGACTGGCAGCGAACAGAAAGTGCCACACCTCAAACGGGCCGGTGGGAAGCGACGGGTGCGCGGACGGTGTGGGGGTGGTCGGGTCTGATGTACTAGACGTGCCCAGAAGATCTTCATGCGGTGCACCCCCACCCAACAGATGGTCAAACGGCGCCGGATGTATTCTGGGGAAATTACTATCCGAAATTCTTCTTCCGCGCCCCTCATCGACTTGCAACTGTACTAGTGCTGACGCGGCCGCGCTTGATGTTCCTGCTGTAGTTCCATTGCTCGCATTCGAAAAATCAAGGTGCTGGCCTGTGGACCCAGATCCTCTCGACCCAAGCGCGGTATTATCGCCTCCGGCGAGTGTGAGACCGCCGTGCGTTATGACAGCGATAAAGTACGCCAGGAAGCCAATCGTGAATACCAGGTAGATGACCATAAAGATCAAGAAGTCGTGTACCAGAATCTTTTCGATGATCACAATAAAGGGCCCGATCAGCCGGAACGGGCGCAGGTACACCATAAACTTGAGCATCCCGATGATGGACGCAATCGCGTACAAGTAGGTGCTAGTGGACACTTTGTACGCGTTCTCCTCATCCCCCCCCACCAGCTCCAACACGTACCCTACGGTCAGCAGCGCGGAGAACACGAACTTGGCTACGAGCCCGGAGGTAGGGTAGGACCGAATCATTTTCTTCCACCCCCGAAAGTGCATCTGCACCGATATCTCGAGCACGGCGAACCCGATCAGCGTAAAGAGCGACACCGCCGCGGGCACCACGTGGGACAGGCTGAGAACCAGCAGGAATAAAATGATCAGGTCCACAAACAGGTACGCGTAGTTCAGCTTCCGCGCGTACTGGTCCCACTTACCCATCTGCAGCTCGACGATGATGGGCGTGCCGCACAGCGACGAGAGCCGCAGTGTCGACAAGATCTCCAACGCGGACAGCATGGGCTTTTTCCGGAACCGCAGAACCGTCTCCACGACGGAGTCCCGTTGCTTCCCCTTGCCGCCGTAGTCTTTCACCGGCGCCAAGCTCTTCGCTGCCGTCGTAACCGCCACGCCTCCGAAGTTGTCCTTCACCTTGTTCTTGGCATCGCCGGCTTGTTGTTGTTCCGCGGCGGTGGTTTTTTTCTTTTTCTTTTTGAAGAGCGAAAAGCTCACCTCCAGCTCGTCCTCCGAAGCGGTTAACGTGTCCTCGCCCCCAATCCTTTGTCCCTTCGCCGCGGAGACGGCCTGCGAAGCCGCTGTGGTCCGCACGGAGCCGGGGACGAGGGCGCCGTCGTGTTCGTTGTAGTCCACCTCTTCGAAATCCTCGAAATTTGCCTCGTTGGGCACCTGCTTGGCGAGCAGGGAGTCCAGCACGAGCAGAGGGATTTTTCGGCAGGTCATGGGCCCGTAGGACCAGACGATTTCACTGTCTAATTCCAACAAGACCGAAAAGAGCGACGCCTGCCCCGTGCACACGGAGAGCGCCAGCGGCGTGAGGGCCGAGCCGTTGCGCGATCGCATGGACCGGTGAAACAGGTCGGGGAAGAACTCGTGGAAGGACCGGCAGTGGTCCTCGCGGCCGTGCAGCACCGCGATGTGCAGGAACGTGTTGCCGTACACGTCCCCCAGCAGCGGGTTGGCATTCCGGGCGATCAGCAGCACCGCCATCTCCGTGCTCGCGTGCACCGCGGCGCACGACAGCGGCAGCGCCCCGCTGTACAGCCGGCCCGTGAAAAACGACCCGGTCACCTGCGCGGTGAGGTCCGCCCCGTGGTCGATCAGCAGCTCGACCGACAGCAGGTCGTCGTTCATGATGGCGATGTGCAGCGCGGTCTCCCCCCGGTAGGCGCGCACCGTGTAGGCCGCGCTCACGTACGCAATGGCACGCTTTTTCACGTTCCCCACATCCTGGCCACTCGCCAGATCCCGCGTCGGAATTTGCGCCTCGTTGTTGTCCTCAGCTGCTCCTTCCTCGATCCGAGGTCTTCCCCGGCCCGATTTTTCGCCCTCCGCCAGCACCAGCGGGTTCGCCCCGGGGAGCTGCTCCCCCTCCGGCCGCGGTTGGGCGGGGGGGCGCTTCCGCTTCCCCGCGCGTTTGCCTTTGTGCAGGGACCCGTAGAGGCCGGAATCTTCCGGCGACGCGTGGCCCTGCTCATCCTTCTCGGTTCCCTTGCGGTATTCTAAGTCGTTCGGGTCGTCGTCCTTCTTTTCCCGCAGGGTGGTGGCCTGGAACTCGCGTTGCCAGCATACGCGGTGTCCGAGTTTCACCACCAGGTAGTGCACCAGCACGCGGTGGGCGGGCGTGTTCAGGAACAGGCAGATGTGCAGAATCGACTCCCCAAGCGCACCCCGGCCGTGGAGAGCCACGTCACGCCAACTAAGCTGCGCAAAATCGCCCTGCTGAATGGCGATCAGCTTCCGCACAATGCGTCGGAAGTTCGCCTTCCCCCGTTCGCGGGCGCCTGCGGATAGATCAGTCATGTGCGCACCGCCTCTCGCAGCTGGAGTGAGGCCGTCCGGCGGGAACGTGGCAGGATCTCCCGAAGCTGACAACAGTAAAAATTCCTGCGTAGAATTTCGCCCATACGTCTTTGTCGCGCTGCCTTCGGCCCGCCGGTGGTCCCGCCGGGGAGTTGTTGTACCTCTGCCCGAGGACGCAGGGGTCGTGGCTTCTCGTGAAGATCCCTGAAACTCCTGTTGCAGAGCCAACGCAATCGGCAGCTCTTCTGCCTCGTCAATGAGCTCTTCGATCTCGCTCGTGAAAGATTCTCCGTCGCTGGCGTGGTCCTCATCAATGCCAGAAAGCAGCGCTAAACTACGAGTAGACTCGCCTTCCCCTTCCGCCAGGGGGTCGTCAGCGGCCAGGGGGTCCGCCTCGTCTTCCTCCCCGCGACCAAAGTGACCCTCGGTCGCGCGTTCGTTATCCTCGTCGTGCGTTATGCGAAAGATTTGTCCGCCGCCCGCGCCCGGTGGGATGTTAGGATTGATCTGAAGACTATTTTTCGAGTTCTTCGACGCCGCGGACGCATTCATTCTTTCTGGCGCCAGGGTCTGGTTGATCGTTTTGTTGCTACTTGCAAAATTCACATGTCTGCTTCCGCCCCTTTGTTGGTCCCCCGGAAGCAGGAGCCCGCCATGCATGACTCCGCTCTTTTCGGAGCGAAGAACCCCGGACTTCTCCACGCGCATGCCGCTCTTCTTGCCTTCCGCGGCCATCTTGTCGAGACTGCGTCGGATGCTGCCGACGAGCTGCGCGGCTTGCTGGTCCTTCGCTGCGGCTGCACCCTGCCGACCCTTCGGGTTTTTCCGCCCGAAAAACGTCTTCTTCATCTTCTCTTTTTCCGCCGGCGTCATCTCCGGCGCGGCGGGCCCGTGCCCGGTGCCCACCCCCTCGTCCAGGTAGGCGTCGATTCGGTCGAACAACATGCCGGTGTCTATGGCGTCCGGGTCCGCCCCGTCGCCGCCAAACTCGTCCAGGAAATCCTCGACCAGCGCGACCAGGGCACCCTGTTGGAAGTTCACCAGCGCGTAGCACAGGGGCTCGCCGTCCGCGTCGGAGCAAATGATGTGCCGTGCCGCCTCCTCGGCCTTCGTCGTGGTGGTTTGCGTGTTTTGGTCCGCGAACGTGAACCGTTGCGTGCTGTCGGTGAAGGCCTCGAACCCGGGGCACACCGTGCCAAACAGCTTCTCGGTCTCCTTCACGGAGATGCGCTCCGTATCCACGCACATGATCAGGATGAACACCAAGCACGGCAGGATGGTGAACAACACCGCCATACACAGAACGTTCATGGTCTTCGTGGTGATCAACGTGGAGGTGCGTCCTCCTCCATCCTGGTGATTATTAGGGAGATCATCTGTTCTCTGGGTCGACGTGGTCATCTTTCCTTCTGTCTCTAATAGCACTACACTAGGTCGACGCGAGGAAGATGTTGACCGTGCGTGCCTGCTCGTCGTTGGTCTTCGTCCTCCTCCACGGTCTATTTTTGCAGCAGCTCCGACCGGCCTGCTGCTCCTGCTGCTGTCCGCATCATGAGAATTGTTGCTGTCGATTTCGTCCTCGTGAGGTGGGAGCAGTGTTGTTTTCCATGTGCTTGTGCCGCTGCGGTCGGGTGGTGTTGATGTATCTCGTCCGTGAATCGCCTCCATTTCATCGTCCGACGATAACAAGTTGATAAATGCCTCGTCTTCGACATCTTCCTCCGAGTTCGGAAAATTTTGAAAATCCTCGTGCCTGGGTGGCGTGTACCGACGGGTTCCCGCCCGTAGTTCGGGTTCATCCGCATCAGCTCTTGCGACGACCTCTGTGACGCTACTTGTTGCAGCTTCACCAGACGCATAATATGATGGTATGTCGTCTTCATCTGTAGCTTTCACTTTAACAGTACTAGCACTTGTGAGCGAATCTTTGCTGCCTAGGCTCGCGCTCCTCTTCTGTCCGACGCGAATATTGTTATCCCTCGCGGCGCTAGCTTTATTTCCCTCCTCCGGTCTTCGTCTATTCGGTCCGTGACTATTCAGGAGGTTGAATCCGAAGACAAAATCCCCGCGCTCGCTCCAGTGCAACACTGCGGCATAGAGGGCGCGCGCAAGCACCCTTCGGCTGGCGAAGCCGCACATTGCTTCCCTTGTGGTCCTTTCACCGCGAGAGTAGAACAGCTTTCCTTCCACCGTAGAATGAAGACCTTCACGAATCGCCCCTGAGATGTTCTACGACTGCTGGTGCAGCAACCATTAGCAACTACGCCCAGTCGATACTGTACGTGCGCTTTATTTTGCAGATAATTTTTCGTCGTGTGCTGGAGCAGAAAAGTCTACGTATTAGATCCTGACCGGGGTAATTGAAAACATTCACGATCTGGGAGCGAGACACATTCAAATTGGTAGAAGAAGGGTCAAAACATACGGGGGAGTTTAGTACCTTTCATGTTTACATCGGGATACGTATAGGAAAAGGCTAATTTTACTCTACTTGCACTGTTTTTGAGAATCCATCAGAGTTAATGATCGTATGTTACTAGTTTACGATTTTTATGTCGGACGTTATACTCGCGACCGATGGGCAGCGTTCTGCGGCAAGAACGACTTTTGCACGAAGGCAATGCGGTGACACACACACGAAGACGAAAGTAAACGTGATGCACGATATTGGCTAAATCATGAACGAAACCGAAGAAGACTGCAAAGCTAATCTTGGTTTTCACGATGGGCAATGCACAAAGGATCAACGGCAGCAACGAAGACGAACATGATTGCGGGTTGGGATCGATGAATGCATCAGAAAAAAAAATGCTATTTCTCCGAAGGAGAACGAGGTGCGGAGCGCTGCTCGACCCGCTGCACAAAATCATAATGGAAGGATAGTCAAATCTAACTAGCATTCATATTCCCCAGGCGAAATTGCTCTACGTAAAAAGATCACACCTCCAACATCTTCAATGGTTTGCACCACAGAGCAGCTAGCATTCCCCTTTTCGGATCGATGGCTATAGGACTTCTAGCGCCCAACGGGCGATTGGTAGTTCGACAGTCCGACTCTCGGCGAACAAAAACCGCGAGAGGTCATCTCTGCACGGCCGCTACAGTTCCATTTTTTGATTTACCCGTTCTAGAATGCAGTGGTTGAACTTCGATCTTTTGAGCGGGTCCACCTCGCCCGGCTCGAGTCTCTCCGCACCGGCGTAGACCTGGTCGAAGCAGAAAGGGCTGACGCACTCGTCCAAACAGTTCTCGTTTTCCTCCGGATGTATCGCTTTACAAGCTTCCGTCCGGGCGCACTCCCGCCGCTTTGTCGGCTGCTGGTGCTGCGTGTAGTAGGTCGGATTGCGGCCACGCTTGGCTAGGACAAAGAATCCTTCATTTTGCCGCCGCACAACGAAGCACGTGTTGACCACCATGATGCGCAGGAAAGACGACAGGCGAGACCATGCTCTGATCGACCACGCAACTTTCGATAGCATGACCCACGCGACGTGGGACAGGAACAAGTTAGTAGTCGGCGTTGTCTTACATTTTGCATTGACTGCCGTATGTAGAAGTGTACATTTGCTTTGTTTTCTATCTTCTGAGGTATACCCGGCGGCGAAAAATAATTGCACATCCACAAAACATCAGTTGAGGCCAAGGCAGCGTCGAAAAAAGCACCGCATGAACAGCGTAAGCGGTGTACAAGCAGGCACAGTGGCCTTGAAGCTGCAAACGAGGTAGCAGATGTGTATATCTGTTTCAACTTCTTCTTGTACTAGCCTTGTTCATACAAAAGAATTTTCCATTCGCAAATCGTTTTTGAATCGTACCAAACGCATTTTTTAGTTCTTTTTCTGGTACATTGGAAGAGGCCTCCTGTGAAAGTCTGTCTGTCGCAGCTCTGACGCTGGCAGCGCGGGAAATCTTCCCGTCCCACCGTTGCAAGCGACAACAGCTCTCGACAATCTTTTGAGGCAAAGTGCGTTTTGGTGCTGTTGCTGACACAGACACAATCGCATTCACAACTACATTCAAAACTACAGTGTGTGTTAGTGTTTCACAAGCTTAAGCTTTCGTCATTAAGGACCAGGTTTTCAGGGATAATCTTCTGCGGCGACCTGCGCGGATCCTCGACCTCACCCGCGGGAAAGATTTTTCAAGTCTTTCCCAACCGCAGTCGCTCGGAAGTGATAGTTTCTTCCGATCATATCTCCTGCTTATGAGTCAAATCAAACGAAAAGAATTGGTGATGTTTCCCACAATGAACATGTGGAACTCGTTTGTACTTGTTTTCGCTATACTGAATAATGTCGAATTTTGGTAGTAGACTGCTCAAGCACTAGCAGTTCTACTGTTACTTGATTGAAATATTGGATCTTGTTAGCTTGTGCAGCTATTTTTGAATAATGATATAAACGTTGGAGGACTATTGATTCGTTTCCTTCGTTAATTTTCGTTGCGCCAGTAAACTGGCGCTAGGTTCAAAACATCTGCATCAGACAGGCACCACCCGCAGTCCTTGCCCCTCACGCTGTGGCGTAGAACCCGGCCCAAAGTTGGGGGTGGAAGAGCTCCATGCTAGGATAACGCTCCCGGAAAGACTGCACGAGTTTTTCCAGTTTTTCCTTGGTCGCGACGTCTTCCGGAGCGGGTTCCGCGGGACCGGGGGTCTTGTGCGATTCGAGCTTGGCGTGCGTGATCTCGGACACGACCTTGGTAACCGCGATATTGGCCGACAGGTCCACGGTCATGTGCTCCAGTTTCGAGGCTTCCCGCTGCGCGTCCGTCACGGTGGTTTGCAATTCCTCGAGCAATTTCTCTTTCTTGCCGATTTCGTCTTCCACCTGGGCCCTCTGCTCCGTCGCAGTCTTCAACGCGCGCTTCAGACTCTCGACCTCTCGCTTCGTGTCGACCTTGCCGCTCTTTTTCGCCTTTGGCTCATACCTCGGATAACGCGGAGATTTGGAATTAGATTGTTCTTCCACTACTCCTCATCTTTCGACAAAACGACAACAACTTTATTCGCGAGTGAGAATTCTGAAATGGAAAATCTAAATGAAGCTGCCCTTACTTGAGCTGAATCACATCGCGCTTGTGCACTGTCCGCTCCATTTCTGTGATAATTTGCTCCTGTCGCCGCTTCAACTGTTCTAGTCGCAGCTGCATCCGATGAATCTCTTTCTTCATCGCCGTGGTCTCGAGATCACCGACACTCGGATCCAAAGCCTGCTGCATCTCTTGTTCCAAGTGGATTTTTCGCTGCCACAGCATTATCTGCGAGACGTTTTGTTGGCACTTGATACTTTCTGAATGACCAAAATTACCCGCACGGAAAGTTAATAGGGCGTAGTTCTAGTTACTCACTTATCCGATACAGCAATCGCAACCACGCGTTCGTTTTCGTGCATTCTGTATCGAAATAGAAGTGCACGTACCTGTTTCTCTGCTTCTATTGTTTCCGCTTCCATATCGCTCTTTTCGACCTTGATCTGTTCGATGTGCCCCTCCATCTTGGTGCAGGCAGCCTCGATGTCCTTCAGCTTGGCAACGAACTCCTTCTCGCTGCACTCGGCGTCATTCGCGAGCTTCACTGCTTGCTCCTCGTATCTCGCCATGTTGCTATTCATCCGGTCCATCTCCTGCTTGATCTCCTTCACATTCATAGCCAAGTGCTTTACTTCCTGCAGCTGTGTCTCCACCTCTTTTTCGCTGCGAACCTGTTTTTTTTTTCAATTGCTTGTGATCGTTGGCAGCATGTTGTAAGTAATTGACGCTGAAGTGCAAGTCAGTAGCGGTGCAGTGTCACGCATTCTATACTCGAGGTGTCACTGAAGAAGTATGATTGTCATTGTTCTTGTTGCAAGAAAAAAACACTGTGCATTATACCTTCTTCTGTTCGAGAATAATTTTCCGATGCTTCATTTCTGCGATTGTTGCTTTTATTTGATCCGCGGTGACCTGCTCCTCTAAAATCTTGTGCTGTTTCTTCAGCCATTCCTTCTGCTGGAACGCACAGGCGGCCGCTGGGAATTTTTCTTCTAGATTTCTAAAAGAACAATGGTCAACACGACTACAGACAGGCAGGGACAACTCACGCTGCAAGACTTCTATGAACAAAAACAAATGAAAAAACTCTGCTATCCGTTTTACATCTTTCTCCTATCTGCCGCCGCAAGGACTTGCATTTTGCTTCTAGTGGTCCCGAAGACTCTACGGCCTCTCCGAGCTCCTCCTCCAGTCGCCCTGAAATAGAAATTCAATCGTAAATCCAAAACGATAATTCCAGGAGAATGAAAGGAGGGGTGCGACGAAGCTTCCAAACGAGTTACTCTTACTTTCTTACTGTGTGACCAAGGCAACTTCTACGTCAACATCTACTTCAAGAACGACAGCAGTATACAACAAAACAAAGACGATACTCCTCTTGTCATCGTATTCCCGGTTAAGCCGGTCCACGAAGAGCTGTTTTTTCTCGATTTGCAGATGCCTCTGCTTGATTTCGCTTTCGTGAGAAGCGATCACCTTCGATCGCTGGTCGAGGTCGGAGTTTAGTTCCTTCACTCGGGCAGCGAGGCCGCTCAGTTTTGACCTTGTTGTGAGGACCTGCATCTTTATCTTCGAGATGTCGTTCTTCGTTTTCGCAGCTTCCTCTTCTTTCGTCACCACTTCAGTGGCAACCTGTTGAAAAACAGTACAATAATTTTTGCAAGACTTTGACATTCTGCTCCTATCCTACCGGATGGAAAAAAGAAGATAATCCTGTACCTGTACTACTAAACCAGCTCGTAAAAAAATAAATGCGCCTCCGATGATCTCAGAAGTCTCTTCATCTATGACAGGTACCTTTTTGATATTCTTCAGTGTGGCTGCCTCGTTTCTCTTGCTCGTGACTTGGTCGGAAACAAAAGCGTCGATTTTGTTGTAGGTGTCTGATATGTGCCTCGACGTCCGTTGAACCTTGCCCTCGAGAATGTCGATTTCGTTTTGACAAGTCCCTATGGCGGTGTCGAAATGCGCGGTTTCGGTTTGTGCGTGATCCAGCGACTTTTTCAGCATGCTGTAGTGCCCCGCAAGTCTTTCACGCTCTGCGCGAACCTGATATTGTATGGTCCATACAAGAATAAAAATCCGACTTGATCGGGAGTACATGCGACATCAAAGAATCCAAACTGTTGCATCTGGAGATTAATGGTGCTGTGACGAAATTTTGTATAAAAATGTCGTGTGGTCACCAGGTATAAAAATGTTGTGTGAGCATCCAGTTCTACCACTGTCATTTGTGACTGCAGGTACTGGATTTCCTTCATGTTGCGATCTTGCACCGCTGCGAGCTTTTCATTTTGCTCTTGCTCGGTTCTAATGCTGTTCTGCAGGCCGCGGATTTCGTTCTGAATTTCGCTCTGCCGCTGTTCCACCTTGGACGTCGCGGAAATCACCTCTTGGGCCCTGTAGCATTGTATACGGCACAGCAGTTTTGTGTTTAAAACAAGTGACGGCGAAGCACTAGCTCAAGCATACCGAAGTAGTTCTACCAACAATGCACATGGACATACACATTCCTTGATTCCAGCGCCATATGGATAAAATGCATGAATCAATACGCCTCGTCCCGCTTTTGTATCCCTATCAAACTGGATCGCCATGAAAGCTCCAATTGTCGCTTCTCGAATGAGACCGCTTCAATTTCCTTTGCGGCTTCCTGAATCGTCTTCACTGCCGCTTCAGTTTCCGCACGTTGTGCAACTATTTGTGCTTCATACACCGCTTTACTGTCGTTCAGCTTTCGGATCTCTTGATTCATCCTGAAAGTTTTTCGATTTTGCACATCACATCAGCGGTCTTGTACTACAGTATCAGTAACAAATCTCGATATTCATATTTCCACTTTCTCAGAATTGCGTTTGCTATTGCATCAACAACATGAACATTGAGTGTTGAGAGAATTACTGGCTTCTTACTTGTCAATCACGACATCCTGCATTTTCTTGACCTTCTCCTTCTTCTTTATTACGTCTTCTGCTTTGTAGGTCGCGCGTCGCGTTATGCCAATCTCACCTTTCATCTGCTCATTGTACTCTTCCACCTGCCGCAGGGTGGTGTTCAGCTGATTTAGTTCGTCCTGGGCTTTGTTCACTTGCTTCAGTTGCTTGTCAACGTCTCGCTTTACTACTTCGTACCTGGAGTACAGGAAGAAAATTTTGTTTGATGTTTTAAGTACATGATAATGGACCAAGAAAAAAGCTAAGAAAGTCCATGAGCTTTTCCAAAATGGTGGTCTGAGAATCGATGCATGTGGTCTGTACGAAGTAAGACCTTGACCTGGACACCGCACAGTTTCATCAATATCAAGTTATATACTCGCTAGTGGTGGTCTCGAGTTTCTGGTTTTCATCCTCCTTCGACTGCACTATGCTGGCGAACTTATCCTGGATTTCCTCCTGCGACAGCTGAAGTTTTGCAAGTTGCTGCTGTGCGTGGTAGAGGGTCACACCTGTTTTTTCGGCGAGACAACATAAGTACAAACATGAGCGCTCTTTTTTCCTTGCGTGTTCTAGCTCTTCGCATCTCATGACAGTGAGTTGTTGTTATTGACTAGCTTCAAAGGGTATAATCTTCGTGTGCGAACAACAATAAATTGGAACCGATATTTTCTCGATGGCCCACGAGCTTTTTCAACTCTTCTTGCTTTTCGGAGAGCTGTAGCCTTAGCCTGTCCTTCTGTGCGGTGAGCTGCTCGAGCAAAGCGCGCTGCACGCGCGCCAGCAGCGGGTGGTCCTGCTTCAACAGCGGGATTTCCTCCTCCTCCTCGTCCATCATCTCCGGTGGTGGCTCCGTGGGATCCGCCATTTTCGCGCTCCTTCACTGCGATATCAACCAACACCACTCACGGACGTCGTTTGAACAACAGTGCGTCTCACACTACAAAGGTTCGCTGTACAGGAACCGAACGTTCGGAGGCTGTGACAAGGCTCGTGCCTGGCACAGCGTCGGCAGTACAAATTCTGATGGTCAAGCCTCCCCGTTGGCGTTAGTCCTTCACTCCGGAACTTGCGGGGTTCACCGCGGTAGGCTACGCATCCCCGCCGAAGCAGGCGCCCAAAGCACAACCGCGGAGGATCGCCATGTATAATTCAAATTCCCTACAATTACTTCAACCACTATAATCTCGGTTGGTCTGGTGCGTGAAATTATTCTACTGGTATTCTACGTTCCAATTCCAAAATCTTGTTCTTTATCAAAATCCATTTCGTTTTCGATTTCCATATTTTGATTTTCATTACTTAGACGCAACGCAAATAAACTTGTCATCGTCCAGCGCCAGCTTCGACTCTGGAATGAAGGTAAACAATAACTCGCGCAGGGAAGAAACCATCGACTCAATGGCAAATGCGAGTTCCGACAAAATTCTTTTAAGTCTTTAGCGCTCGAATGCTGCACGGAGTTATCTCTCAGATTTGGTTCAGTGAATTCTCCCGGTCCAACGCCTCATGCTCCGATTTCATCCATGATGACACTCAGTCTCAATAAGTGTCAACCAGATTGTGCTCGGAGTCTGATTGAGCCAGATTCCGAGGAAAGCATATACACAGTCCAGAGTCGCTCGGGAAGACGATCGACAAATCAACAATCAGCTCAAGTCGCTTTGATGTCGATGAAAATAAAAAGGAGCAGCCCGCCACGTGCCCGCGACACTGGCTGTCACCACTGTATAGAAAAATCCCTCTTTCGATGAACACCTGCTGCAGATCAAGAAAGACGGACGCCAGGGGACGAGTAGCTCGCCCTCAAGCGGACTCACGGACACGGATGTCGTAGATCTAGTAGTTGTCGTTCTTGAAGTTTATTTTTCTTGTTTCTTCGTTCGTCGATGATACATATGGACATGTGATATGATTTGTCAGCTTTGGACCCCGCGGTTGGCACAGCAGGGATGAAGCGCACGTACAAGCAGTTGAAAAAGTCGCACCGCAGAAAAACTTCAAGAACTGCGTGGAATAAATTTCGAACCGCCAGAATCAGTGATCAACACCGCCGGCAGACTAACAGGGAGGTTGTGGCACCAGCGGTAGCCGAGGTTCATATTCGCCATTATTTAGTAAAGCGCGAACTTCTCGTTTCTAGCCTTCGCATCTTCGTCCTCGTCGCTGTCGCCTTGATCCACGTCCATGCCGTGCACGGTCATGCCACCGCCACCTCCCATCATGTCGTCCACCACACTCATGCCGCCCCCCATTTCGGTGAAGCCGCCATGATCGGCGACGGCCTGCGTGAAACCGCCCGCGGCCGTTAAGCCTCCTTCGAACGCCATGCTGCGGCCCGCCTCGTCCATGGGGAGCACCGGCTGCAAAACGCGGACGTCTTCCAGCCCCTTCCCCGTGTACGAGACATTTCCGCCCATCAGCAGGTTGTACCGCATCGCCATCGTCGCCCGGGCCTTCAGCGTGGGGCCCATGAACCGGTCATCTTCCAAGCGCACGATCTGCTGGTTGTCCACGTGAGTCTCCTCCGGGTACACCGTGGCCATACCGGCCAGCGTGTGGGCCACACGTGCCTCCACGCGCCCCGGAAAGGTTTTGATTTGCGTCCCAAAAACTTTGTGCGTCGCGGTCGTGTCTTTATCTGTTGTCGTGCAAAAAAGGGAAATCTTCGTGCTCAAGCAATCCATCAGTGCAATTCACTGTATTTTCATCAGTGTTCATGCGAAGGCGAATGTGAGGACAGTACAAAAAAGATGAACTGGTTGTTGACAAAACTAAACTATACTCCGAATCGCTTTTCCTAGCTTGTGCCGGCGCCCGAGCTCCTCCATCGCGACACGCCTCGCGTTTGCTTCCACTCCGATAAACGTCAACTTCTGGTGTATCATCTCATCGGGAGACAGGTTCTTGAATAACTCCTCCGGATGGGGTCTGGTTTGGTGCCGCCTGATTGCCCTTTTTCTCAGCGCCTCGTTTGGCTCGTCATCCACGTCCTCCCAGTTGCATCCTGGTGAAAAGCGCAACCGCCCCGCTAGATTTCTTTGCATACATACTGTTTCTGCCATTTTTGGCTGGTGCCTTTTGTCTCCTAGTAGGACAAGGTGCAATGAAGTTCTTGCGGATGAGTGCGAATAAACTCCAGCGAGAGTTCGTGATCTGCGCCCGCCTCTATAGCAGTGTGAAGATGTGCTGGTGTCAGGGCACTGTCACCATGGAGACAAACAGTCACGTGGGGGATCGATTTTGTTTCTTGGTCCTTATCCAAGTCATGACCAGTTTAACAGTAGTAAGACCACTAAGAAAGACACTGAGTGGAGGTCCGTTCCATTATGTGAAGGAAGTTCAAGCAAGTTCTAGCAAGGGAAGCGTGCGTCTTTCATCTTCATAAGCCTGTCTTGCCCCTCTTTTCCGGATCGAGGCCGTCGTCCTTTTTGTCCGGATCGTACCCGGGGTCTGGCCTCATCAGTCGCCAGTGCCGCATATCGATCTTGACGTGTTGCTGCGCGGCCGTGAGCCTCTTGGTGAGACTTTCTATCTTGCTCTGACGCTCTTTATCGAGCTGCGCGATCTTTTCGTTCACCTTTTTGTTTATTGCCTCGGTGTCGTCCTTGTTCTCCTCGGATGCAGCTACGCTAACCTTGATGCGGTTGACTTCCGCCTTCACGCCGTCGAGCTGCGACTTTCCTGCTGCGAATCCCTCTTTCGTCATGGGCTGATCCGGCGATACCGGACCCGACCACTGCGTCTCTCCTTCTCTTTTGCCGGTGAGGTCCTTCGACCGCAAATAAGCGAGCTCTTGAAACATTTTGAACTTCTCCAAGAACATGCTGCCAATCTTGCTGCCTTGCAACTTTTCGAAGGCTTGCCTTCTGCCGGACTCCATTTCCTTCTGCTTAAATGCGATCTCGATGTTGGGGTCTCTTGCTAGCACCTGCTGCTGCAAATTCTCGTCCAACTTACCGTATTTCAGAGGATTTATCTTCAGTTCTTCCATCAGTGCGGACACGTCTGTGGTTTTTGTTTGTCAAGAAGGTAGTTTTTGCTCCTTTGCATAAAATCTTGTCTACTCCTTCTGCTCCAACACGTTATGGTCTTGCACAATACGCAGCAGAAACCTTGAGATTGGTACAAATTGAAACAAAAATGGTCTGGACGTCTGTGTAATGAACAATACCTGCGACGTCCGATATCACGACCTCCTTCTTTGGGGCACGCGGTTCTTTGGGCTCCCGGTCCGCGCGTTTCACACGGGGTTCCTTCGGTGCACCGGGTACGCGTGGGACGCGGTTTTGGTCGGACCCTCGTCGGTTCAGCCTACGCTGCTCGGCCCGGTCGCGAAGATCCTCTTTGTAATCTTCGATGCCCATTTCGACGATCTTTGCACCTTGCACTTGTCCCATTTCGACCTCTCGGACACTCTGCGCGTCGGTCTTGAACCTCCAAAATCGGTTGATCTGATCGTAAACAGCGACCGTCTTGGCGAACCCGCTCTCTAACTCGGTCGGCTCGATGAAGAGATACGTGATGTTCTTGTCCATATCCCCCTTCTCTTCGGGCCCGATTTCCTCCTCTTGGTCCTCGTCCTTACGAGCCGGCTTCACCCTGTTAGTTGTTATTTTCAATCAAAATTTAAAAAACTTATGCCGGAAGATAGACGATGGTCATGCAGAAGCAGAAACACGACAAGGAGTTGACAACGCACACCACATATTCATAGAAATCACTTGATTGTACTACAGCATCGAAATTTCTATAAAAAAGAGCGTAAAATAATAAATGGTATACAGGTGTATCTGGTCTCCGAGATTTTCCGCAATTACGTCCAGAATTTCCTGATCCTGTTCGAACTGCCCGAGCAAATTGGCGTCGAAGGCTTGCTCGTGACCGTGTTTGATACCCGCCTTTTGCGCACCCTGCACCAGTGCATCCGCGTCGTGCTCGAACTCTTCGAACTCCGCCTGTGCCGCCTCGTGCTTTTTTGCCGCGTCTTCACCCAGAAGGTCCAGGTCGTCCAAGTTGTCTCGAAGCCCGCGATACTCCCTTTTTGCGTCCTGTTCATTAAGATTACGATTTTCTCTATGTTAAACATGGAACGATGTTGAGGATGACACAGTGGGTTTCGCATCTTCGATACCTAAACAAACTAACAGCACGAGTAAATTTGCGAAAACAAAACTCGTATCGTACGTCGTCCTTTTTTCTCCTTTTTGCTTCTGGGTCTTCGTCTTCATCATCCTCGTCCTCGTCGTCTTCTGTAGTGTTCATTTCGTCGTTTCATTCTAATGGAACGCACTGCATCACAATGCCCAACACAACAGCTCTTTTTTTTTCTGTCATGCCCTTTTCAGAAAACTACAAGACACTGCTAGTTCACGAAACCAGGCGTATTAATGTTGAATGAAAACATTATACCTTCCTCCTCATCTTCATCTTCGTCGTCCTCATCTTGATCTGCGTCTTCCATAGGCTCGTCATCGTCTTCATCTTCGTCGTCGTCATCCTCTTCATCCTCGTCCTCCTCATCTTCTTCTTCCACGACCGGTGCCTGCGAGTTTTCAGTGTACATTTTTGAATTCTGCAGGCCATTTTCCTTTCATGCGACGAGGTAGGTTAGGAGACCAGCACTTTGATTGGTCTCGCTGCTTTTGAAAAAATCAATGACGGTGAATCTACTCAAGAATACCTTTTTCGACGATGCGGCCTTTGCTTTTGCCTTGCCCTTTGGCGCAGGTGGTTTCGCCTTGGCTTTCGCGCTCGAGGACGCCTTCTTCATGGCTGGTGCCGGGGGCGGAGCTGCTTTCATCGCCTTGCTTTTCGCCGATGCGGCGGCTTTCGCCTTCGCTGGTGGTGCTTTCTTGGGAGCCATGTTGCCGAAGTCGTGGTGGTCTCGTTGTAGAGGGATGACTCACTAGCGTGGTCCCGGCACAGACGACTGCGTGTCCCGCTGGGAAGGCTATATTTTTCTGAACTCTCTAGTCGAGAGAGCGCACAACATACTTTCAGAAGCAATTACCATAACGGGTCTCATTGGAGGTGTTCAGAGGCTCATGGATTCTACATCATTCATTTTCGTTAATTAATTTGTTATTGTTGGTGGTCGCTGTCGTTTTCGTACTGCCACAACAAAAAAATAGTCGCTTTCTCGGTTCGTTCTGCCAGCCCCACCTGTCGCTCAGATGACAAATCGAAGACTGTCTTATCTCCAGAACAGACGAGGAAACGACGAGATCGTGTTCTTTAGTTTATCTTTGAGTGTTTCTGCAATAAAGATATTTTGAATCGACGACTTGCTATTTCGTGTCCATGCAACACAAAGATCTTCATCATTTCAAGATAGTAGATCAACTCGAGCGTTAGTAGCACAATGGAACAGATGAAACCTATTTATACAAAACGATCTTCCTCCTGATCTGGTGTATTTCAAATTATAATGTCAGAACTATAGCGGAAACGCAAATTTGATCGCTACGCGATCGGTGGAAGATATTTTTCGTTAACGCATCGGCCGTGCAGATATTTGTCGTTAACGCATCTGGCTGACACCATCAAGTCGTAAGTGTCGCCCAGAACTAGAAGGACCTGCTGTGGAGACAACAATTCGATAGTGCTTAGAAAAGATTCCAACCAGCATGAGGTAGGTGCGTTGTTATTCTAGAAGCTACCCAAACAAGGTGCCGATATGAATAGATACTTGTCGCCTTATTGATGTCGTGGTGTGAACTAAACTACACTCAAGTCGTCGAAAAAATGACATCGCATCTGCTCGTATTTTCCGGTCAGTCCGAATCAACGGAGCCGGAGCTACTGGTGTCATCCTCATCCGCCCCGCTACCGAAGGCACTGTCGTCAGGCGGAAACCATTCTTGCGCACGGTGTCTCTGGCGCAGCTCCAAATACGCCTCCTCGTCCAGTTCGACAATGTCCTCGCAGTACGAGTAGTCGCCGTCTGTCGCAAGCTCCTCCAGTGCGACCCAAGCCTCTTGCAACAGTTCGTCCGTGAAGCCCGAGGGCTTCTTCTTCGGTCGTCGCACGTTCGTGAGACCCATGCTCTGTGGCCTCACGCAGTCCGGGACCTTTTCGAGCAGTCGGGGCTGCTGTAAAGTAGGAGGTGCCCCCTCCTCGTCAATGTCGTCAGCATGATCTCCCGGCTGCTTAGTTGATGTACCGGGAGGTTCATAATTTCCTTCCTCGTCGATATCAAGGTCGACGTTTTCATCATCTGCAGGATTTTTATGTCTTCCAGGTGTAGTACCAGATGCTGTTCCGCGCACATCTGCGCTGTTGTTCATCTCGCGGCCCGCTTGAGTTCTTTTATGTGGCGGTTTATTCTTTTTACGATTTTCCCCTGGTATTATTGGTCTGGACCCATCGACCACCGATATGTGTTGCACATCAGCCACCTTAAACCGCTCCTCGAACGCTTCCACCGGGTAGGGCAGCTGGTGGTGGGCGCACGGGTACCGGATGCCGTTTAGAAGGATGTAGTCGCCGCAAAACTCGAGCTGCGCCCCCGGTTGCTGGACTTCGCGGGCCAGCTTTTGCGGCAGCCGGAGCACGGACACATCCTCGAAAAAACCCTGCTCGAAAGCGGGCGTGTTGCGGATCAGCGGCTCGTAGCCTTTGCTGAAGGTAGTTTCGCCCGCTTCCGTAAGGCTCTCCACTTGGTACCCGGCGACCTCGTCCTCGTCGTCACTGAAAGTGGTGATCATATTTTCTTCTCCTTAATAGACCGGTAGCAAAGACAGAAAATGTCCTGCACCCTCTAAAGCGAAATACTGATGATCTACATCTAAAAAGTTTTACGTTCTATGACATAAGGAGATCTTCTAAGGGATGCAGTTCATCCCTTTGCCTATAGAAGCCTTTTCTAGGCCTACTATGACAAAAACAGCATTCTGACTCTGTCAAACTTTACACATATACTGCCTGCGCAATTACATAGTGTTCAAAGTGTGAGCATTGCAGATTGATTCAGCATCAGCAAAATTAGGCTCTATTTGTTGATCTAAGTCGCTTAGAAGTACTTACTTAAGCATGATCTGTCGAACGTCAGCAAGTTTATTCTTTCTACTTACTTCTTGATCGCAATTCACGAACACGTCTTTTCCAAATGATGACACATGTCGAGCCCGCGGCTGTGAGGATCTGATGCGCTTTGAAGATGCGTACCGCATACACCTGATATAATCATGCGTCGCTTGTATTTCTACCGTAACTGTCCCGACAACAGACACATTGAAGATTTTTTATCCTTTCTTTTCCAGCTGCTTGAGCTGCTCGGAAAGAGCTAGCCACTCTTCCGCTTGATCCCCCATCCGGCTCACGTTGTGTACGCATATCTCCGCTGCGTTCTTTCCCCCGCACTGCGCGGAAGACTCGAACACGTAGCCGAGGGATTTCCGGAGCTGCCCCAGTACATTCGGCTGCCGCGTGACCGGGTACCGAACCCGGAGATACTTCTGATCCAGATGCTTCCCCAGTCTCTCGACGATCTTTTCGCACACCGCTAAATGCCCGTTAGCCGTGGCGACCACAAGGCATGTGCAGCAGCGGTCCCGGCTCTGCGCGATTTGCAGCAAAGTGGAAACTTCCAGATCCGGGCGAGTTAAGAGTTCTAAACCCAGAATTGCACTGGCAAAGAGCTCACAGACCTGGCTGGTCCAGTTTTTCTCTTCGTCCGCAAATTTCCCGGTCGTGTTCAGCGACTCCGGCGTGGCCTCGCGCAGTACCCGGATGAGAAGTGCTTCGAGGTAGGTGAGTAGCTGGCTCGTAAGCTTCCGATCTGGCGGCAGCAGCGGCACGGGCTTCAGGATTCCGCGAAGAAGAAGGTGGAGCACCGACGCACCTCCGAACGCGGTTGCTTCGTTGTAGGAGGCATTTACTATTCTCGCGGCTGCTGGAGAAGTAGTGCCCCTGGAAGCAGACGTAGAGGCAGCAGCGCTGTTGAAAATAAAGGTCTCTTCTTCACCGCCCCTGTTCGTGGTCCCGTGTTCTACGTAGTCCCCGAGCACTCTGTGTGCCTTGAGCCGCAGGAGACGTTCCACTATGATGCAGACCATCTCGGATCCGTAATTCTGTACCACGTGCTGCAGCAGCGGTACGGATGTAGCGCAGGCGTCGTCGACTTCCCGAAACCAGTACAGGAACTGGCGAAACACCTCCATCGCCTCGAGCGCGTTGCAATCCAACACGACCGGCCCCAAATAGGTCGTGCTGAAGGCCGCGTCCAGAAAAGCCATGGGCGGCGCGTTCGCGGAAAAGTCGCTAGCAGGAGGTACGCTGTCCACAAACTGCGGGGGCTTGATTAACAAACGCAGCGCAGTTTCGCCCACCTCCTCGCTCTCGTCCTCACCATGGACGTAGTAGTTTTGACCCTCTGTTGTACTGGATGAAGTGGCTTTCGTACTGGACGCCGCTGTGTTTTTGCCAGGTGTATTCTCTGGGCCGCCCAGACTATGTTCAGGAGTCCTCGTCTGTCGTTGATCCTGCTTCTCCATCTCATGTCCTCGTGGAGCGCATGTAACAACTCTTGACACCTCTGCTTCTGCCACCTCCGGCGACGTGCCGTCAGCAACTGGTGAGGGTCCTTCATCATTTTCGAAAAAATTGTCGTCATCTACTCCTTGGAGCAAAATAATGCACGGTGGGGGAGCCCGCGGCCATCGGTCCGCGAGAAAGGCTTTTAGCTCGCCAACGGTGGCTAAGTGACTGACGTGGTGGAGCGGCACGCAAACTTCGTCATCTCCAGATAGGCCACACACGCGCAACATGGTGCAACTAGGCCTCGCATCATGATGACTCAATTGTCAATTGAACTTGTACCAAGCGGAAGCAAATACACGTCGTTGAGACCGTCGTAGTTCCTGCACATTGCGAAAAATCAAAATCAGACAAAGTACAATGAAGAGGTGGTGGTTGATCTGGTGCGCGGCACGTGCACGTAGTTTACAAAAGGATCAAGACTATTGATGATGCGACGTCTCGTAAGGGGAAGCAAAAAATTAATGTAAGCTCAGCAATGTGTGGGGATATCAACAACCATTTGTAGTAAACGCGCCTTTTTTGGCAGGATTCATCCTCCTGTCAGAGAGTATTGATCACTGCTTCAAAACCTATAATGAAGCATCCGCATCATTGCACACTGAGCACCCTGTTTCTTCTTCTATTTATTTTCAAAAAATGTTGAAACGATGATGTCTCTCGGCGATTTGCAACAGCCCTCGCTCGCGATTGTATTCTTCATGGTCATCAAAATCTAAGGCTGAACATCAACATTTCTGATTCCCCGCCAGGAAATCTACACGCACCGTCAAAGTTTGTCGGTGGTGGTATAGAGCATGGTATCCTTGATGATCTACTTCCAGATGCAGTTCTGCCGCAATCCAGTACGACATTATCAGAAAATGACAGATATGATCACCAACGTGACCTAGCAATCTGCATTTCTGAAAGTTTCATATCCGTAGAGACAAAGTTAGAAATCCTATTTTTTCCATTTCATGCAGACACAAGCATACGAGTAAAGCATCATGCTTTACTCGTATGCTTGTTGCCCATGCCATGGGCAACGTAGTCGAGTTCTACCATTAGTCTACTGTCTTGCATCGTGCAGATAATTCAGATACACGAGAGAGGTAGTTTCCCCAGGTAGCATTTTTTATCTCGGCAAGTAAAGCAAAGAGAAAAAAGAGAACTCGGTCTAAAAAAATCGAAAAATTCCACTCGGAAGGGATATCCAAACAAGTTTATGATTATGTGAGGGCCTACAAAAGTGTATCTCACGCATGAAATTCTTTTTGGAATCTTCGAGAATGGGCGATTTACTTTTTGCAGACAACTCGATACTGAATTTGAAAGCAAAAAAGGACTCAAATGTTGTAGCCAGACGAGCACCATGAAAATATCATGCAGTCAGAATCAATTTCAACTTCAGCAACGAGGACCCATCTTCAACGAGGACCTCGCTATAATGAAGTATAAAACTACAACGCTAACGCATTCGATACAATACTATACAAGCGGGAAAAAGGAGCAGGAGCAACGTTACAAAATAATTTTCGGTACCCTTTCATACAAACCTTTTTCCGATAAGATGATCGAGTTGATGAGGACTCAACAGCAAGGCACGCAAATCCTCCTATGCCAGAACGTATCTCGACAATATGATATCCAGAAGAGTCTTTGTCTTACCTTCGGAAAAAAATTTTAAAATTAAAACGGTAAACTAGGAGGCGTATCTAATCTACTTCACGACAAAACAGAATCGTAGCTCTCACGGTATTAGGGCTCCTTACCCTCAGGACAAGCCCACGGGAAAGGGCGACGGCAACTGCGGCGCCCCCTGGTATGTGCAGTGCTCTCCCTTTGCCAGTGGAAGAACACCTTCTGGGAAGGCTGCATCCTTCACCTTATCTTCGACCGGTGATGTAGTTGCTACCGGCTTTTCGACTTCATTTTTGTTTACCTGTCGCTGTAACGAACAATCTGGGCTAGCTGTATTAACTTCTGTGCAAGCTGCCGTAGTATTATCCCGCGTTGCATCCGGGCGGAGGCACGGCTCTTTTAAACTGGCTGCCGCGTCGTTCTTGCACGAGGCCGGAGCTGGACCCCGGCCTGCCGCCGAAAATAACGCTGCATCCTGCTTGCGCCGGTAGCAAATCGACGTCGTCCGTCCGATTCGCCGTACGAAGACCGCACCGCCGAAAATATTCGGAAACTTGTAAATTACCAGTGGCCGACCTTCCATTGCAAACCCCAGCCAATGCCGGGCCGGCTCCAGTCGCAGTTCGCGCGTGTGCACCGTCTCGCGTGAAGACACCACCTCCCGTAGCCGGCGCTCGGTCACTTTTTTACCAACCACAGTGAACGCCTTCAAGTACGTGACTTCGCAAGCGGGAACCATCTTTTTATTCCTGCCAGACCTGGAACAAGCACTACTTGAACTTGCTTCCGCTTTGTCGCAGGGGGTAGTCTTGCTGTTTGCGGATTTGTTCTTGTTCGCATTCATGCCGACGCCCACCCCCGCCCCCGCCGCCGCACGCTCCGCGAAATGCTCAAGGTCCCGCGGCACCGCTTCGGAGCAGCACTCCCATTCTCCCTGCAGGCACTCGAGCAAGTCTTCGTCCGGTTTCGCTTGGCACAAGGGGTGGGGCGGCGCCTGCGGGTCGTACGCGGGGCAGGGCGTGGTTTCCTCCGGGAGCGGCTCCTCCATCGCGGTTTCGCTTGCGGGATTCGAAAGCAGGTCGGCCGTCGAGACGTCGTCTAGTTTATCCGTTTGTAGTTCTTGAAAAAGTTTTTGCGACACAGAGTCTTTCGACAAGTCGTCCCCGCCCAGGTCGTTGCTTCCCGCGCTCAGAATCTGTTCCAGGCAGAAGTCCTCGTTTGCGTTCATTCGCACTTCCTCGTCAGCATATTCATCCTTGTTTGGGAGCCAATCGTCCCGCAGTTCCTCCTCGGTCGGATGCTGGTAGAGCTCGGCGGCCCCGTCGTTTTTGTTCTTGTCGAGCTCGAAGATTTCAGCTCTCTCCTCTTTCGCTGCGTCACAGCTCTTAGCTCCTTCGTGTAGTAGTTCTTGATGTACTGACTCACCGTTCCCAACACCGCCGACAGCCACCGGAACACTACACTCGTCGCCCTCGGCGGTTTTGATGTCTACCACGCGGCCGTCCAATGCGACAAAAACACCGGCCTCGAGTGCTTGGTCAGTTATCTCGTCACTTGTCAAATCCTGGAGGCAAACTGGCACTGGAGCGTCAATACGGCGCAGAGGTGCCGCCTTCGACTCGTCCTGGTGCTGGTGCGACATGCTTCGGATTGAAGATATTGCTGATGTGCTGTCCGCATGTACTTTTTGTACTTCCCGGACACCAGGGTGTACAACTTGCACTTTCAGCATTTGTACGAGGCCATGGCCTTGCTTCATCTCTGCGCTATGCCTCTGCAGGTCCTGTGGTCTGAGCGGTTCTGTGGTCTCAGCGGCGTACTGGCAAGCGAGCGTCCGCTCCAAGACACGGGTGATCCGTTGTACCTCCTTGTACGTCGACTCGAGTTGGCGCTGGCGCTTCCGGTCCTGCGCGGCCTGCAGCAGCTCCTCGACCTGCGCCTCGGTCGCCCACGCTTGATAAACATGTTGGTTCGCTCGTAGTTCTTGGGGGGCCGGCGCCGGATTCTGCGTTTTTGCCCCCTTCTGCCGCAGCTTCTTCTCCTCGTTCTGTAACCGCTTCCGCAGCATGTCTAGCAGCAGACGCTCCGTCGCAGGCGAGACGTCCTTGTCAGATCCGACCTCACGTGCACGCCACACACGGTAGTTGTCCGCACGTCGCAAAAACATAACTGCGTCCTCACTGGCACCCACCAGGAGGTCCCGCAACAGTGTGGCGGCGGCGTCTGACACCGAGATCTCCGCGCAGCACGACGAGGACAGCATTTTTTCGTCCGCTAGGTCAGTGAGCATGCGGTGACACACCTCTGCCACCAGATGAACCACCATCTTGTCATGATCCGACGGTCGCCCCACGATACTACCGTTGGACCCGCCATTCAAACTATCCTCGTGGGGTCTTGCAAGTCTGTACTCTTCCTCCTCTCCGACCTCGGAGGTACTACGGCAGTTCCCGACGTCAAAGTGATTTATTGGAGCACGACAACTAGCTGGATTATAATTATATCCAACGCAAGCTGTTGCCGGCTCGTGGTTTTGCGCACAGCAAGAGCAATCTTTGTCCGCCAACAGCCGACACGAGTAGTTCTTGTCCTCTTCTGACGACACTACTCGCGCTTTAACACCAGAAGAAGTAGACGAAGCTGAGGCCGCCCGGTTCGTCGCCAAAGCGCCTCCTCGTCCTCCCCCCAGGACCGGCGGCAAGTGCACATAAATGCGTGCGAACGCCGGCGCTCCGCGGCAAATCCGGGACACAACTCCAAATCTGCTGCTCGTTCCGCCCACTGGGGGGCGACGGAATGAAGTTCCACCCGTACTTCTACCGGGCTCCTGCGCTTGACGCAATCCGATCCGGAACCACCCCGAACTCTGCTTCTTGAACCCCTTGTGGTCGTCCAACTGGGACACATCGTCACTGGAACAAGGTCCACCTTCCTTGAAGTCGGATCCTGACTCTGCCCCTTCGCCGAGGGATTTAGCGACACTGGTGCTTTTCGGATTGGTAGAAGACGGTGTTGCAGTATAATCTGCGGTCATGGTTCTATTGCTGTCTTCTCCGCTCTGTCCACTTCGTCCATTTGCGCCGGATTTGCTTCGGTGTCCTCGGAATGGCCACTTAATCGCTTCCGACTGCAAGTCAGAGTATCCAAGATCGCCCAACGTCGTTATTGCACCTCGGCCGCCTGCAGCTGTACCGCTTTCGCCGATGCGCAAAAGAAAACTTTTGTGTGGCGGGTTCGTTTGATGGCTTCCGAGATGTTGATCTACTTTGCAACCGGTTGGCACCTCACTTTTGGAGCGCAGCTCAAGCAGAGGATTCCTCTTTTGTTCCCATCTGTTAGTATCGTCACTCTCGGAAGATTCGGGGCTCCGAACTGCGCTTTTGCCTCCTTGCAGATCCGGTTGTAGAGTGGGCGTGGTCGCTTCCTCCTCTGGAACAGCACTCAAGATAGCGCCCGGAAGCGACTTGAAGAACTGTTTCAGGTTTTTGTTATCTACAGGCAAACGTGGCGGCCCGAGACAAGCGCCTTTTCTCCTGGGTGGATGCGCCGCTGACAGACCCACTTCTACACCTGGAGACGTATCACCACGCCTACTCGGTGAGCCGGGAGTCACCGCCAAAAACGTCGGTGCCGTGCTACTACCTTCGGCTGCTTTGCAGTCGCCGCCAGAACAAGAAGTCGGGCTGCTAGAAGTACTGCGCAGACCGTCTATCGCTCCGGAGATGTCCCCCCGGTGTGCAGCGATGATGTGCGTCTTTTGCTCGCCAACATGAGAGAACGTACTACCGCCGAGTGCAGTAAGAAAAGACGTCCGTTGCATCCTCCTTTGCAGCACGGTACCCCAGCTGCTCCGCGTCTTGTCGACAAGATCCATGCCGAAACCTGCTACAAACAGGAAGGCATTACTTCCCCAACAGCGGAGGAATGCATGCGTTGCGAAAATTAACCCAGCCTCTGCTAAAAATGCTATCGGCCCATACGCAGAGCATCAGCACCCTGGGCAAACAGCGACCAGCACCGCCTAGCATTTCTTTTCAGTCAAAGAAATAACAATGCGTATCGTTAAAATAGATTAAGATCACTTACTTTCCTGCATTTGAGATGAAAAAGAACATTGCAATTCCGGCCCGCTTTTGTTCAGTCAATCGAACAACCATTTGCAGAAATTCTATCAGATTCATCCCGAAGCCATAACCTGAACCGGAAAAGGATCACTTTGGTCTTTCCTTTCTTATATCTAAATTCATTTTCGTAAGTATGCAGCGATATCGCCGCTGCAAACGCACAAAAATCGTATCGAACATCGCTTTGCCAATACGCACCACGCGCGCGGCCCCGGGCCTCTGACATGGGCACATTTTGTTTTGCTTCGAGTCGCCAGAGTCATTCAGTCTCTTGAACAGATCCCGCAGAACAACACCCACGCAGCAGGCCTCCACTGATAAACAAAAGCCGTCGACAGTCATAAGAGCAGATCATCATGATCCTTTTTTATTCTTTATGTTTACGCATCACATACCACCGAAGAGCAAGCTTCCTTTTATGTAGCAGACGATAGAGATCCATTTCGAGCACCTAGAACAGCAAAGTCTTCTTGCCCGTCGAGCTGAGTGGTCCGTGGATGCGCCATGATTTGGCGCAAAAAGGAACAATCTTCTTGTTCATCACGATCATCAACATCGCCGGTCGGGTTTAGCATCTCCTGCCTTGTCTCTCTAGCGGACGGAATGCTGGACCTAGAAGTGCTCTTGTTCGTGCTGCGACCAGGTTTTACTATCCTGCCGACCTCGCAAAACGAATCGTCCAGCGGCGAAGACATTGTTGCCCGGGTGCTAGTCGTAAAGCGGCCCTTCGCGTAAGAACTTCTGGGGTCCACCACCTCGGAGATGCTCCGATCGTGCCGATCCAAGTCTTCTTGTTGCGCTGTCGTGTCTGGTACGGTTCTTCTTACCCGTTCCTTCCGAGCACTGGAGCTGCTTCGATCAGTACTACTGTTCTGGCTGTGCATCACCATCGCGGTGGAAGATGATGTCGCGCTTGTTGATGTTCCGCGAAGCGGGAGAGCAGAATAAGTGGTCTCTCCTCGGCCACTGTCTTCGCTTCTTCCGCGCGCAACAGCCTGTGTAAGTCCTCCGCCTCGTCCCAGATGAAGAGGAGGTGCCATTGCCGCTACATCAACTCCCGCCACACGAGACGATTCCGGCGAAGAGCCCCTTGTTTCGTGGCCAAAAAACTGCTGCTGCCCGTTATTCGCCTGGTGAAAGTGCTGCGCGGGAAATTTCTTCTCGTGCCGTGACAAAGCCTCGTTGGATAGCACCACCGGCATCTGTCGATGTTCTTCATCTCTCAGGGGCGGGGGTCGTTGGCCCCATTCTTGATGTTGGCCACGCGTCTTCCTGCTAAGATCGCGCAGCGGCGGCATCACGGGAGCTGCTGTGGGTCCGGCTCTCGTTTGAAGTGGTTCATCCTGCTCTTGTGAAGATGCGCCTCCTGCAAGAACTCTCCCCGACATAGACGACGTTGCAACAACTCCAGCGTCACGTGGCCGCACGGGCTTAGTATTTTCGCGCGGGTGCACGACCGGCAGCGGACGGGTTGTTCCTTCTGTAGTTTCCTCACGCTCGCATTGAGGCCGTAGCCGCGCGTCGACCTGCCCAGATGTCCTACTAGCCCCGGCAAGATAGTAATTCCGATCTCCCCTACTTTTGGACGAGCGCTGCCCACTAATTGCGGTGGTGGCCGCAGCCGCCACAGGCTCAACATTTTGTCCTCCTGCAGCACATAACTCGCTCTTGCTCGGGTATTGGCTGCTCGTGCCGCTCCCGCTCCGGTGCCTGAACGGATTTTCCACTTTCTCGCGCCGGCGCTGCATGTCCCGGAAGTACCGGCCGCTGTTCACCAAGGCGAGCATAAAGTCCACATTCATGAAGTACTTGGACGAGCGTACGGTGGAGCAGGACCCGCGCAAGTGCGGATCTCGATTCGTCATGGTGTAGACGAGCTCCAGCAAATGTGGGTGCTGCTTAAACCGCTCGTAGGTGTCCTTCACGGACCGTAACTGCTCCTTGCTGGGACCCTGCCACCGCGTCCGATTGCTACCGCCGTTATAATGAACAGATTGCTGGCTCGTCCCTTCATGCCGTTCTTGAACATGGTTTTTAGTATGATGTCCAGCCGGAGGAGGCGGCCCCACCTGCCGATGCCGAAGATCCTGTCTGTGTGGTCGTGCTGCGTCGTCCCTTGTAGAATTCCGGTCCGGTCTTGTTCCCGTCATTTCCTTTTCCCCGGCGGCCACTATCTTTTTCATTTTTCCGCTTTGCTGTTTTTCTTTCGCCCCGTCGCCAACTTCGCCACCTCCAGTGGTCCGCAGGGTGTTGTCGGTGGCTAGCGGCCGTGGTACCGGGGTAGGATTCGTATTGTTCAGAGCCTTCTTGGCCGCGTATTGTTGTCTTTTCAGGGTTTCCAGCCGCTGCAGTTCGTCCAGCAGCTGCATGGTGGGATTGTCTTTTACCATCATGTAGGCCAGCTCTAAGTGCAAGTCTTCCGGGGAGTTCGGGGGAAACCGCAGCTCGGTCTGCTCCTTGGTCTCGATTTGCGAGAGGTCCAGAACCCCCCTGGATTCCGAGGGGTGCAAAAAATTGAAGTTCTTACTGAAGGGGAAAAGCACCGCGGCCACCGTGCCCAGGGAAACCTCGTGGTGCTGGTGGTCCTTTTTCTTTACTGCATTCGGATTATTTGCGGCATTCCTATGAACAGCTCGGCGGCCGGCCAAACTACTCCCCTCCGTGGCTTTGGAAGAACTGCGGGATCGGTTCTCTGTAGTCTCCACAAATGGGGCAACCCTCTGCTCTTGTCGTCCAGTCCTCAGAGCACGTGGATCTCTTTCGTTCGCGACCGACATTTTGACTCTCGCCCTGCTAGTAGAAGTCCTGTCTGCTGTTCCTCCACCCGCCTCTTTGATGCCGAGCACGTCCGTGACTCTGTCGCCCGGCCGAAAATCTAATCTCCGCGGATCTGCGCCTTCGTCCACCAGAACCGCTGGTCGGTCCGTCAGTGTCGGGTTCTTGGTTCCCGGAGGTGCATGTTGTTGAAATAAAGCCGCTGTCGCACCGTCTTCTTTCCCTTTTTCCCTCGAATTACGCGGTCGCTGTTGAATAGACGTCGGCAGACTCTTCTTTGCAAAATTTCTCGCGGCCGTCGAATTGACGGCGGTGTCGACGACAAGATTTCCCGACGGATCTCGCTTCAGGTCGACGCCAGCCGCCCTCCCCGCCCTGGCAAGATTTTTATCCTGCTTACCGCCGTCTGCTCCCGCTTCACCATCTCGCGGGGTGTTGACCACCCTGGTGCCTGCCGCTTTATCATTTCTGTTTGGCGACCGCTTTTTGTTGGTTTCGGTCTTTTTCGTGATGTGTCCCCCCGTGGCGAGCATGTAGAGCACGACCCCGAGGGAGTAGATGTCTACCGCGGTACCGTATTTCTTGCTCTCCTTGCTGTTGTCCTTTCCGTTCGTCAACCCACGGACTAATTCGTCCGCCTTGTTCCTACTGGGCGACTTTATTTCGCCGCCGCGACGGTTCTTGTCCTTCAGCGCCAGCACCTCCGGGGCACAGTACCCGTAGCTGCCACAGAACGAGGTCAGCCCGTCCGTGTCGGTGGCCCCGATGTCCTCCTTGGCGAGCCCGAAATCCGTCAGACGGCAGGTTTTCTGGGCAGACAGGATCACGTTTTCGCATTTCAGGTCGCGGAAAACGATGCCCTTGCCGTGCAGGTACTCCAGCGCCAATAAGATTTCCGTACCGGCCTTCAGCACCTGGATTGGCAGCAAGCCCGGCGTCCCCTCTTGCACGAGCCAGTCGTGCAGGTCCCCGCCCGGGCAGTACTCCATCACCTTTATTTGGGACATAAAATAAGACTTTTTTCGCGGACTCTCCGACAAAAATAAGTTCATTTCACATACCTCCTGAAAGAGAGGCTCGCAATCAGAATCACAAAATAAAATAAGCTGTGCATACCAGAAGCCAATGGAGCGGGGTCGAGTAGGAGGCGTATAGCAACACGATGAACGGGTGCTTTAACGCTCGCAGAACGTGCTCTTCGGCGTAGTAGCGACTGACGATGTTCTGCACTTTGTATTGCTTCTGCACGATGATCTTCATTGCCAAATTCACACGCGGGTCGTCCCGCATGCAGACCTTGATCACGGATCCAAACGTTCCTTGACCCAACAGCTTCAGGCAGTTGAAGTCCGAGGGCCCCAGCCTGTTCCAGTCCACGTTTTCGAGCGGGTCCTTGCGCTTCGGCGGTGGGCGGCTGTTTCGGCGCAGCAGCATTTTCTGCACTTGTCGCTGGGTGCCCCCGTTGAAATCGATGCTGGTGCACGACAGGGGATGGGACATCCCTGCTCCAGCTCCTTTCGTGTGTAGTTCGTTTTGGCCCGCTACTGCTTGTAGCTCTTGACCAGCTCCTTCCATCAACCCCCTTGCGGGGTCCTGGTTGTATTTGCACTTTGATGCAAAAAGGTCCTGCTTGCTGTCCGCGCTGTTGCAGCGGGAATTTCTGGTGCTCAGCAACACGTTTGGGGTGCTGTCCCGGGACCCGCCCCCGTCGGAGCCGGACCGATCGGACCGTCTCCTCTCCAGCTCGTCTGGCTGGTCCGCGTTCGTTCCGGCCCGCTTGGCGCTGTTGTAGGTGGGACTCCACTTGCCCTCCTGGCCGGTGTTCTGCTCCGGGTTCAGAGCGAGCCGCTCCTCCTCGACGGTGCGGAGAAACGACTTTCCGACGAAGTGCGGGGCCGCGGTGGCGAAAATCAGACTCGACAGCCCGCAGGGACGCAGCATGTGTATCCTGCATAAAAACGTCCCCATACCATAGTCAAGATGGGGAATCGGCTAGACAAATCCACAAGCTTTGGCTGTTTTGCATGACAAATTTGGACTCGTAGTGTAGTGCTGGTTGAGGTAGCTCAGCAGCATTACAGATCTAGTATACCATGCTGATTGGAGCATGACAAATTCCAAAACACGACTAAAAAATGCTTCTCATTGGGCTCCGCATGCGTAACATTTTCAGCATGCAGATTTGCATTACAACTATGGGGTGGGGACGTTTTCAAATGTGATAATGTGGGCGACTACGTTGTCCTCGATCGGGTCCTTGCTGTAGTAGGGGTTCACGTAGTGCTTCTGCGTTATGGGAGTGTCAGGATCGAAATCGACACAATCAAAAAGTTTGTAATCCATAAAATGTAGGGCACGCATGGCCTGTGTTGGAGAGGAGGCAAATGAGACCGATTGCAAGCCTGTTTGGGGGAAGACGATGTGCTGCCAGAGTAGCATGACAGGAGCAGTTCTCTTTGCCCAAACAGCACGACAGACTGGATTTTGGTGCTGCCAAAATTTGTCATGCGCCACTTGGAAACTGAGGCTCCAACTGATATCGATTTTATGCATCACAAGTCATTTCGATTTTGTTGATTTCGATCCTGACGCTTCCATATGCGTTCGGGTCAACGTGGTCCGCAGCATCGGGTACGGATCGTCCATTGTCGGCTCCACCCGAACCGGAGCGATTCCGATCGTGCGCCCCGGCTGCTCCACCTCGACCGTGGACGCGGTTCCCCAGGCGTCGACGCCGACCCAGTTGTAGCTCGAGGCCGCCGCGCCGCCCGCCACTTCCACCGGCCGGGCCCGCGTCACACTGCCGTCCAACAGCGTGCTCACACGGATGCCCGTGTTCGAAAAACGCTTTGCCGTCGATTGCGCAGTGGTACTTTTCGTCTGGCTGTGCATCGAACTGGTCGTTGTTGTACCTTGGGTCAGATTTTTGCCGCCGCTTTCCGGCCACGGACTCGACCGGCCGCGGGTGATATTAGCGGCATCCTGCAGGAAATTTGGTAGCGGAAGAACCGGACTGGTGTCGGGCTGCTGCGATAAAGATCGCACAGTCGAGCTGTCGTCACCCTCTTCACGTCCACCCTGCTGCGCAGTCAGTACTAGAGGTTGTTCACCCGAGGCGCCGAATTTGCTATTTTCTTCTGATACTTTCTTCATGTGGTTGTCCAGTCCATTTTCACCAGTGACACCAGCCTCAGCGACGCCGTCTAGTTCGGACATCATGTTGTCACGGGCAACCACGTCGCTCCTGGAACTGATGCGTGTCAATTCGGGAGATGGCGACTTTGCGGGTTCGCGAAGACGAGAGGCATTTTTACAGCCCTCGACTACACAATGCTCATGCGGTGGTGGTCCAGGTCCTCCACCCAGCGTGCTTACAAACGCTACTTCTCCCGAGGTGCTGCTTGATGATGTCGTTCGCTCCGGCGCTCCCGCGTCAAATGTGCCCATCTCAATCATCTGCGAGCCCGCACCGCCTCCCGTAGCAGAAGTAGACACGGCATCATTCCCGCTGTGCGCGAACTTGCTCGTGCCGCTCGTGGGCGTGGCGTCGTCCTCCGTCGAGCAAGACCTATTTATGCGCGCCAGGGCGGCTTGGCTCGCCTTCTTCCGCGGAATCGCGACCTTTCGCGCTTGGAAGACAATGTGCTGTTGACTTTTTGGCTCAAAAATTCTACAACTCGGTCCATTATGCCAAGTCGTGGAGGCGCGAGATGCAGAGTTGTTCTCCTCGTCTTCGATCTCCGAGGCAATAATTTCCGAGGTCCTGCGGTCCGCGCTTCTACCGAGCTGGGGCTGCACATCAAGCTTTCGTGTTTTTGAAGGCGAATGCGAGATCACAGCGATCTGCTCAACATCTGGACGTTGAACCGGGGTATTTCCTGCTGGCGGCATAACAGGAGGTGGTGGCAGCACCGCACAACTACCGTTCCCGTCATCGTCCAGTGTCCACAGCGCCTCGCCACTTTGGATTCTCGGCATCGCCGAGAATCGCGAGGCCCGAGTTGCGGCTTTGGAGGAAGCATGCATATGCTCTCCGCAAATAACCACCGCTCCGCCGTGGTCCAGCGTGTGCTCGTGCTCCTCCGGCACGCTCCCGAGCGAAGTGCCCTTGGATAACCTGCGGGACCGGCGCCACTCCTGCTCCACCGTGGTGGAGAAAAAGTCCGCGCTTGCGCCGTCGACCGCCGCGGTCGTCGTCGTCGGGTCCGAATACCGCGAATTTGTGCTCCCGCAGCTCATCCGGGAGGACTCCGAGTCGACGGAGTTATTTCTCCGATGATTTTTACACGACGAGGTAGACGAGGAGCCGCCCCCCAGAACCTGCTGCTTCTTGTTGTGCATCACCACACCAGATCGCAATGAGTCGAGAATGCTCATGCTTTTGTCCCGGAGCTTCATCAAACTCCCCGTACTCGCGCAAAATCCCAGGCCACCGCCGCCGCGCTGGTGCGGCTGCACGCCCTTCCGCCGCTCCACAACCGACCGCAAGTCCACGGGAACAATGCTGGGTCCGCCGCCGCCCGGCGCCGGGTGCTTGGTCAACATAACCAGTTCCTGACTGGGGTTCCGGTTTTCATCGCGGCGCCGCGCCCCCGGCGCGACGAAAGCCATGGTTTTCTCCGCATCGAAGTCGTAGTCTGCCGGCACGACCGCCGAGGTGCTGTTGATGCCCGCTGTTTCATTTTCATCTGCTGGGGTACTGCTGTTCAGGTACGGGTTATTCACCAGCCAGTTGCCGTTCTGCCCCCGCCGGTCGCCGAACAACTTGTCATCCCAGGAGGTCGCCTCGCTGTGCATCCCGTACCAGTACCGGTTTGCGGCGTTGCTGATGTCGAGCCGCACGCGCGCCTCGCGAATCAGGTACAGCATCATCTCTACATGGCCCTTCGCCGTCGCCAAGTGCATCGCCGTGTTCCCGTCCACGTCTTGCAGGTTCACGTTCGCTTTCGCTTTCACCAGGTACTCCGCACTCAGCCGGTGATTCTGCTCCGCCGCAATGCACAGCGCCGTCTTGCCGCGGAAGTTGGGGAGGTTAATGTTCGCGCCCGCATACAAAATCAGCACGTGCAGGCACTCCTTCTGGTTGTACAGCGCCCCCACGTGCAGCGCGGCGTGGCCGTTGTCACGGCGGTGGTTCACGTCGACGGTTAGCTTACTCGTGTCGTTCAATACCTCCTTCAACGTATCCTTATCCCCGCTCGCGGTCAGCAGAAAAATGTCGTGCCGGTCCGGCCGCAGGGACTTCAAGTTCAGCTGAATCAACGTGAGCACAATGTGTGCGCAGAGTGCAATCAGATACATGCTCGTCAGCCACGGCTTGTCACTCCACAACAGCCAAAGAAACCGCTCCGACTCGATGTTTAGCGAGGGGGAGGGAGCAGCGAGGGGCACTGATGTAGCTCCGTCGTTCACTGCTGTAGTCGGCGTCGGATCCGTCCTACTTGTTTCGGCGCCATCGTGGTCTCCAGTTGCACCAGAAAAAGTACCCGTCATAGAAGTTGTACTATCTTCCCCATCAACATCTTCAGCCACCCCCTGCTGCAAAACCTGACTCGTCGTGGAAACCCGCTCTTCCTGCACACGAACTCGGCCGAAGATGCTACTCCCTTCCACGCCGGGTGCTTGGTCGTCCACGCACTCGTCGATGATGACCCCGCTCGGCGTGCGGTGGATGTACGTGAAGGACGCGAGAAGCAAAAACACGAGGAGAAAGATCACGCGCTTGCCGCACACAAACTTGAGCATGGTCCGGGCGGGTCGGGCGAACCCCGGGTGGTCAACGAACCGCCCCAGGTCGGCGCTCATGTACATGAAGCCCACCAGGAAGTGGACGACCGCGGAGGTTTCGTTGCGGGATACGGCCGCCAGTGCGGTCACGTCGAGGCCCCAGTAGAAGCCCACGAAGAAGAACGAGGCCACCCAGTTGAAGGAACCGCACACCCAACAGTTCATCACCCGCACACAGAACCCCAGCGTCATCACGGTGCAGACCACCTCCGCGATCCGGCCCCCGATGCAGAGCACAGAAAACAGGTAGTTGCGGTCGAATCGCTCCTTCACGAACCCGGACACGCGGTAATCAATTTCCGCAGCCACGTGGGCCAGCGTCCAACAGCTGGTCGCCAGGGACAGGTACAGCACCACCGTCTCCACACAGTGAACCCAGCCCAGCGAGCCGTTTAGGGGAATCCAGTTGTGCTCGACCGGGTCGTACACCATTACGTTGCCGAAAAGGCTCGTACCCGTCAAATCGTGGGTAATCATAAACGCAGCGAGACCCGCGAAGAAGGTGCCTGGGAATTTTTATTTCACGCGTGTGGAGACAGGATAACTTTTCTTAGGACTATGCGAATATATATAATATAGATTCAACATTATAGCACCGCTGCAAGAACAAGCAAACAGCTGAGTGTAAGTACTACGTAGGAGCGTTATCTCTTCTAAAGAGTGTGGTCATCAAAATCAATATTAGACTTATACTTTCATACAGTCCGACGAAGCTCTTCGTGTGCAGCCGCCAACCGGGCGCCGCGCAGTTGGTTACCTCGTAGGGATTGTCGGAGCTCGAGGCTGAGATGTCCCCGGTGACGTGCTGTCGGCGAATGTAGCGATTATACGCCAACTTGCAAATCATTCCTTGACCAAAGCCGAGCACAAAAAAACGCACCAACCAGGAGAGAAACGGGTACTGTTCCCTCATTTTCTTATTCCAAAATTTGTCGCCCGCCGAGAGGTAGAAACAAAAGCTGCCGGCGGCGACAAAGCACACGCAGCCGCAGATGAAGGAAAACAACCACATCAGCTCCAGGGTTTTCATGTACCACACGAAGCACACGTACGTGATGAAGATGTTGGTGCCAAAATCGACCAGGTGGTACCCGCAGAAGACACTCAACTTGAAGATGGACTCGAAACGGGTGAACCGTTTCATCTTGACCGGCACCACGGCACCGTCCGGCGCAGGCTTCGAGCCCCGGAGGGAATCCGACTTTTTCAGCAGCTTCATCTGCCCGGGGTTGTAACTGCCGCCCGGCGTATAATCGTCCTCGTCCTCGAAGTAATTGTCTTCGCTAAGTGCGGCGGAATCGCGCGATCCTGTGTCAGATTCGTACTCTTCGGAGGAATGAAAAGGCGGCATTTGCATCAGATTGTCCATCTCGTCTGTGGAGGTCGTCCCTGCAGTTCCGCCGTAATCCAGCATCAGCACTGGATTTCGATCATCATAAACTCCTACAATGCAGTTGTTCATATTTCCCGGCGGAAGTGCGGACCCCCAGGTTCGATGTTGCAGATCGTGCTGCCCAGATGAAGTGCGTGTATTTCTACTGCTCGGGTGATTGTTCGTCCATACTGAAGAAGATGATGTACGAAAGTCACCGTCTTCGTAAATCTGGACGGCAACCTGGTCCCCATTCCGATTTTGCGGGGTCACGGTCCGACTTAAGACAGACGTGTCGTCGTGAATGTTATCTTCGAGTTGATGGCTTTCTAAGTGGTCCCGGTCAACAACAGCATATCCTCCGTAGCTGCTGCTGCCTTCCTCGTGCATGGGATATGTCGAAAAGTCTGGCTCCTCGTTCTGAATCACGTGCCAGGAAAGACCGCTTTCCGCATTACCATCCTCGTCCTCGCCTTCCTCCAGCTCCTCCTCGGGCTCGAGGAGTGGCACTTTCATGTTGCGCGGCGTTGGGTTTGTTCTATGGGCCGCGGTGGAGAAAGCGGCAGACAATGTCTGAGAAGACGAGTTTGCAGTTGCGGCGACGCTGTTCAAGTTTGCGATCCCCAACCCGGAGCGTGCGCGCTCAATGGCGTGCATTTCGTTTCGGTAATTCGTGTTGAACACACGGGGGATGGTTTCCGCCAGGTTCTCTGCGTGTCCAGATTCCGGCTCATTCTCCATACACACCGGAGTAATGTTTCGCTCTGCGGGCGAAGAGGAGACAAGTTTACGTCCTTCCTTGGGAGACGTCATTTTCGATCCGGACTTCCCGGGACGGAAAATGTAGTAACTCAGCCACGAAAAAATGAAAAACCGAACAATGGGCCGTGCCAAAACATCAAAACAAATGCCAACGGAGATCAAGATCAAGCGTTCCCTTTTGACAAATAAAAACCTGACTTTTTTACGCAGAGAAACAAGGATCAGGTCTCACTCAAGTACATTTTTAGGATCCGAACCAACAGGAACAAAGAAGAAGAGCTCGTTCTAAAATGAAAAACGAACCCCATCATGACAGGAGCTGCGGGTGCGATTCATGTTCATCACACTCACCTCCGATAAAACTTACAAGGACAAAAAGGGAACATCATGACTCAATTTTTTAAATTTGATCTTGATCTGCCACGTCAAGGCGAGCTTGTTACTTAGGATCATTGCAAATGCAACTGCCAATCACGAAATTCAGGAAGTTGTGAGCAGGCCAAGAACGCCATCACATTTTCAAGTCTCTTCGCATGTTGATGAGCTCCCGACAGATGCATCCACTCCATCTTGACGCCACTACAATATCTAGGGTGCTCTCGCCCCTCCGCCCCAGGACCATGGCGAACGCGGAGAGTCCGGTGGCGGCGATTCCGGCCGGTCTGGCAGCAGCTGCCGCACAGTTATTAGTTCGTCCACCCGGGCCCAGATATCCGCAATTTCTTCCTTTTCCCGATGAATTTCGTCCATGGTGCGCCGCAGCGCGCCGGCTGTGTCTCCGAGAAACTCAACCTCACCTTTTTTGAGCAAGAAGACGAGTCAGATTTACTTGCTTTCAACAACCTTGCAGCTTTTGTGTGAGAACATATACATACATGTCAACAAGTTGGCAGCTCATACTAAATTCCTTCCTGAAAACACGAAGGAGAAAGAACATTATATATACTTTCAAGTTCGGCCACCCGTCGTTGCAGTGCTTCTGCGCTTTCGGTTTCCCTTTCCGTTTCGACCTCTACATAGTTTTTGTCCTTGGAGTCCCGGTTGCCTTCTCCTGTTACTGCCTGGGATTTTTCTCCTACGCCGTTAGTGTCCTGCCGTGCCTTCGAAGTACTAGAGAAGTAGTTCTGCACATACTCGGAAAACGCCGTCCACACCGGCTCATATTGCTGCCGAAGAGACGACACGTTCTGAGCCGCCGTCGCGGAGGCTCCATTTTCCGGTGACGCTGCGGCACTACGTCGCCCCTCAACTAACCCGGTGCTCGCAGAACTTCCGCCGGCACGAGGAGTAGCCCCGCCCTGTGCTGACTTTCGCCGCAGACGGCGAGAGGCGTTGGGTGACAAGGGGCTTTGCCCGGCACTTTCGCGTCCGCGAGACGCCGTCGGCGGAGGTTCCATCAACTGCGATAGCCTGGAAGACCACATGTTCGGAGCCTCTCCTTTCCACTCCCTGATATTCCCGGTTAGCCGCTGACGCCGGAGCTGTCGGGAAAAAGAAAACAGACAAAACAAAGCAGCTCTATCTGCAGCGACGCGGATAATCTCGGCTGAGATACGTAATCAGCTACCGAAACGAGGTCACCCGATGCTGGTCGACAAAAAACAGCGAAAAAAAAGTTTGATTTTGTTTTGTCGAAAAAACTAAACCGAACCTCCTAGAATGGAATTTCTTTTCTGAAAACTTGAACAGCGGGGCCGCATGTTGGAAGTGCTGCGTGCCTTCGGAAGGACAAGCGACGCAGCAAAGCTTGCACAAATCATCTGTGTTCCCGTGCGTTTGACTCGGCGTCACAAATACTCTTCTGGTGCGTTTTGGTCACAATCGAATTGTCTTTACCGCGAGGCAAAATAGAAGCTTGTAATGTATTCTCGTGAAAAATTTCAAAAATCTATTGCCTCCGCACCATAGCCCCACAGTGCCCAAAATTTGCCCGGTCCGAGACACATAGAAATTTTGGAATAGAATGTCGATTCCCGTTCTACTTGTTCCATCATCGCCTAAACATTGTTACAATCGTCTATCGTCCAAAAAGTCCTCTCCTGGGCGGCTATTAGCAGAGTTTTTTCGAAACACTCGTGAGTCCGTATCACATCATGTGATGATCCTAATACATAACATACAGGTAATTTTGATAGATCAAGAATAGTGAAAGTCAACATGCCTAGCAGCCTGCTATAGTCTGAATGAAATCGGTTTGCAAGCGCCACGACCTGGTGCCACGAAAATCAAAAATCTAGTTGCTGCTGAGTTCTAAAAACAAAGATCTGCTTTCCTCGGAATAATTTTCAAATTGAAATTTTCGATACCTGGAGGATGATAATTTTTACAAACAGTCTGTACCGATATAATTTTATGCTATTCCACACAATTTTAGTTGGTTGTCTGATAAAATTGCAATCTCAACAAATCGAGTCTGATACCAAATGTAAGCTGTTCTGGCTGTTCGAAAGATGATAACGGTGTCTGATTTGCTGATACAACAATGTTGTATCGCACTGTGTCTGATTTTTTGCTAGAGTGTATTACTGAATTAAACCTGAATAGAAGCTGGCATGGTTGAAGCATACCATCTTCAATCGATACCGAGCTTCGTTTAGCACGGCCCATAAACCACCACATCTCCGATGTGAAAGTCCTCCTCCTTCAGTTTGCGCGGGCTCTCCGGATCCAGCCGTTGTTTACCTGAAAAGTCCGTCATTTCGAACTAATGGCACGCCGACGTTGGCTTTCACATATGCACATTTTCGACACTGCAACTGGTTCTCTACTCAGTTGGGTTCACGATTCCCAATCGTTACGAGTAGTTTAGTACTCGTCTTCGTCATATTTTCAAGAACAAGAAATAAGCAAGCACTAGTACCGGTGTAGCCGCTGGCCGGTGGTGGCGGCGCGTTTTGTCTGGCGAATCTCACCGGCCACACGCTGTTGTATTTGTCCGCGTGGTATTCCCGGTTGTAACTGGACTTCGCCGACATCGTGCCCACTGCCTTGTGCGTCTTGTACCTGTGTGGCGAACAACGTGACCGATGATTATCCATCCGCCCATTCCAACTACGCTGAGTACTGCTTTTCATCTTCTGCTGGAATGGTATATTCATACAAGTCCACTGGCATGCTTGATCTTGAAAAAGAACCCTGCTCCATGGAAAAACCGTAGAGGTCAACTTCAAGGTGTCCTCTCGTTAAATAAAAACAGCTATCTAAAAAAATACGCAGGTTTAAAAGCAGCTGGTCTGGCGTTCTTCGTCGCTTGAGGAGACGGGCATGGGTATTCCTTGTGCTGGAAGGACTGCGTGACCATAAGCTTGTTCTCATCGGACACGTGCTTGGCCTGTTTTGTCGTGATTCTGATTTATTGATGCATAGTACTTTACTACAACTACTTTAGTTTCCAAATCAACACGCATCAGAACAAACCAACCGGATCTTCATTCAATTTCCCTACCGCACATCCAGCAGGACGACGACGTCCTCTATCCTGCATGCAAAAGAATCACCATCGGAGATGACTCACCTGCTGTGGTTTGAAATTTGGCGCGATGGCTTTCTCGCTTTGTGATCGTGAGTATTTCGGGTACGAGAAAGCCGTTGTGGTTTCACCGTGAAACTGTGCGCCCTTGCCGCCGCTTGAAGTGGAGGGTGTCTCGCATTTTTCCTTAAACAGGTCGTAACACTCCTTATTTATCTGCACGCCGTCCAATGGCCGCGGGACAAACCTTGTTTAGTACAGCGTGGTGCAATTCATTCTCATTCGCAATTATAATTATCTGCCATGTCGGCTCCGCTATTTCTTTTTCAATTTTTCCTGTGATACGTGTGCATGATTATGTCAGTGAGGTCTCCATCAACGGAAGCGAAGCAGGTATAGAAAATCTTTTGCAAACAGAAGAACTTGTTCTGAAATCTTCTATTGACTGATGGGGTTGGGAAAATAAGTAACTTACTGCTGGGTGTAGGCGCACATCGATCGCTGGTAGAGCGGTGCGCGGGAGGGCTTGAACTTCCCACTTCGGTTGATGTCGTGGATCCCCTGCACATTTGTTCCCCGGCAGTCTCGGTGCAGTTCCGGCGTTTCGCTGGAGAAGATGATAGGATCCCGAAAGCTGTCCGCCGTTGAGGTCGAGTAGAAAATGTTTCCTGTTGTATGGAATGCGTTGAGATCGCTATCTATCTTCGCTGAATCATCTATAGAACTGCAGAACAACGATGGAATAACGTTGCTGGAACTGAAGTACAACGGTCGAAACGTTTTTTTCATGATTCATCTCAAGTACAACATGCTCATGGTCATGCACGTACAAGCACGCTCGCGCATGACGCTCTTACTTATCGCTCGTTGCCGCACACGGACGAGGAGACCGACATACGTCTATTAAAATGTGTAAAATATCAAGTACTGTAGATGTGCTTGTTGAGTTTCTCGTAGCCTCTTGGGATAAACTTGGGTCGCACGTCAGCCGGCGCCACTTCCTCCTCCTCTGCCTCGCCCTCGGCGAAGGTTACTGTCGGTGCGTCTTCCGGCATGGTCTTTTTTCTATCGTATTCTTTTCACTACCCAGGTGAAGCTTTATTCTCAAAAAATAAGTTAAAAAAAACTACAGGTTGGTGATTTGGGAGAAGAAGGTAGCGTTGGTGTGCCAAACACGACAAGTGGACGAGTGGTTTTTGCGAATCTGGTGCGGGATGGATGGTACCCAAATGAAAAAAATGAACGGAGGTATTTTTGCAGAATTTTTGCTCTGGGCTGAATACCTCTTCCTATGCACGATACGATTGGCTCGACGTCCCCAAAAATGAACGAGTTTTCATTTGCCGTGCCTGCTCTTACGATGTACGAGGGAGTGAGCAGCTTCGACGCAGTTAGTTTTCTTATTTCACGACGATGTGATATCCAAATCTCTAGCGCTCCAAGTTAGTACGCAATTCACGTTTTCTAGCATCAGTGGCGATGCTGTTCTCTCTGGCTTTAGTGCTAGCTAGACTGACATAATCGGTACTTTCTTGTGAGATGGCCAGCACGAACAGCAAGACGCAAAAGTGTGTGCATCAGCACACGGTGAAGCGGAAGACGACGTTGCACGGACGTTTCAAAACAGCAAAACTACCTGTCATCATGTCTTTTAAGCGGAACAAACATCCTGCCAGGACGGAAAATGAAAATGCGAAGAGCTGCATACAGCGTTTTCTAAATGTAACTGACTCGATCTCGTCAGCGAGATGGAGAGGTATGCCACTGAGACTCGAAGCGCAAATGCTTCCAAATTTACGCAGTTTAAACCTGCGCTTCGTAGGAGCGAAATCGAAACTACTTCGGGGGCGAAGAGGTTTTTAGATATTCTTCATGGGGGGGGTGCTACCAGCTTTAAAAATACCATCCAGGGGTAGTTCAACATCAAAGTCAACCGCCCGAGCGATTCCAGAAAAAGGAAGGTCAAGAATATGATCAGATGTATCGTGTGATGCGGATGCTGAACGCTTTTCACCACCAAATCACATCCGTGGAAACTCCCTCCTTCCTCGGAATAAAGGTCAGTAAAGGCGACGACAGGTGGTCGTGAAAGGCACAATCCGAGGTCGTGTCGAGATGAGACCGAAGTATTCATGGGAGCGCAAGGAGTTTGTCAAAGGTTTCCGTTTCGACGTCATCGTCTTACAAAGGAGCCCGTCCGTCGACGCGCAGCTTCAAATAAACGCGGAAGATGATACAAGTACATGACGCTGCACCCCCTAGGCCGCCGGCGTGGTTTTCGTGGTAACCCAGGTTCCGTCTTCCTTGTAGTACCCTTCGACCCAGGCGCCGCTTTCGTCGTAGTAGCCTCCTTCGCCCTCCCACTCCTCATCTTCGTCCCTGTTGATTTGTAATTGCAAGTTAGCAGACGCAGTAGATTGCTGAGAATGCATGATCAATCGTGAATTGAAACAGTAGAAGCAACAAAACACAATAGTGAATAACCAAATTGGGTTCTTTGAAGTGATTATCTGATTATGCCATGTACCAGTCTTCGTCGTCATAGCCGTATCGCTCGTCAAGCGCGCCGGCCACATCGAACTTCGTGTTCTTATTCACTGCATTTATTTTTGTCTTCGCTGCTTGTGCCGTCTGCTGCTCCACTTTCTGTTTTCGTCGTCAAGTTTGTTGTTTTTTTCAGAAACGCCATCTAAAAGAAAGTTTAGATATTGTCGCAACAAAGAGAATCAGAAATTTTACAAACCAAACAGAAGTTGATTATGTATTCACCAAGGGCCGCGGAAAATGCTTCATTGTTGATGAAAAAATACACCAATAAAAGAGTACCCTGACGCGGATAATTTCCTTCACTTTCTTCTCTAGATCCTGTGCTTCCCTGAGGGAGATTTTGTCCGCGACACAGACGAGCAGCTTGGTCAGTAGATTGTTGATGCATCCTTTCATGTATGCCTTCTTCTCCACCTCCTCTACCTTGCCCTGGATCTTGGCCATTACCTCCACCACCTTGTCGGCGGTGTCCAGCGTAAAGTCGTCCCATTCGTCCTTGACCACCTGTTTCTCGGCCTGCTTCTGCTTTTTCGCGGGGGAACTGGACGACGCCGCGGCGGTGGTGCCGCTCGTCACAGCCTTCGACGGGGACGAGTCCTTCCTCGTGAACTCCGCGAACAAATCGTCCGCCAGGGCCGCGTATGAACTGCAAATATGTCTGGGTCTGGAAGAATACCAAATATAGCCGCCGGGGCGGAGGTAGTGAGGTCGTGGGCGTTTTCTTGCCGGCCATCGCCTTGGCCGCGGCCTTGCTTTTTCTGGGCTCGCCATACCGCCGTGAGTAACGTTAGGCCGCACGGTGTTGCGGCCGCTCGATAAACGTCGCAGCTTTTGGCAAATCTCCGAAATTCCTTTCCGAAAGCCAGCCCCCATGCTATGGAGCCGATCCGGGCGCCACGGGGGGCGCCCAAAAAGCGAAGAAAAATCGGGCCCATAGCATGCGGATTGGCTTTGCGCGTCCGGGGCGCTTTTTCTTTTTCGCGTTTTTATCTTTCCCTCCGGCGCTTTTTGCGAAGCTTCCCAGGCTCTGGAACCGGCGAAAAGGCGGCCGCTTTCGCGGCCGCCCAAAATGCTCCGAAATCGCGGCCGTGCCAAGCTGTTTCGCTGTTCTGATTTTGGGCGAGTTTTTTGCGCGCCACTTTTTGGGCGGCCCAAACCGCCAGAAACCAAGGCGGTGGGCGCGTCAGAAGGGCGCCCCTTTTGCCGGTTCCCCTGGGTCGTTTTATCAAGTGCGAATCGGTAGTTTTCGACCGGGCTTGTTTGACTTCAAAGCCCCGCCAGCTTAATAATTGGAAATTTTTTATGTCAAAAAACGCTTTCGGACGCTTGAAAACTGCCGGTCGTTTTTCAGGGTATATGTCAAAAAACCTCCCTGGTTAGAACCGTTCGGTGACCTCACTACATACAACCCTGTCATGCATATTTTCCATGCCCCATGAGGTCTGCAATGCAGGAGCTAGCATAACAGGTTCTGCGAAGTCTCTAGCATGTCTATCCTGCATGACAAACTACCGCTAAACTTGTTCAAACGTGGACACCTTTTGGTAATCATGCAATACAAATATTGCACTATCCAGACTTAGCATGACAAGTTGCATCCTTCCAGACCCAGACACTTTTGCAATGCATACCGCGTCTGCCGCCTCTTGGAGCCGCCGTAGCCGTGCCTTCTCCGCAATAGGGTCGTCTAGTGGGACGTAAATCTGATTGAGAGTTTCTTGTGTTCTTTGCGTGTAGTACAAAGTTGATCTTTTTGTTTGTTCCGCGAGAGAATCTGAATCATATCCATTCCGACTTGCACGCAAGAAATTACACGGAGCTCACAGCTGTAGTAAACGCATTTTCATATTCACCTACTAAATGCGACCAAACGGAAACCTTTCTTGCAAAATGACTATGTATACCTCGGCTTTCTCTTTTGACTTCGCGGCGGGCCCCTTCGGAGCGGGTGCCGGTTTTGCGACGGGCTCTTCCACAGGTTTTGTGGTATCCTTGTCCCAATCGTCCTCGTCATCGTCGTCCCAATTCGCCTTTTTCGGTGCATTATCAAATGCAAAAATGTCTGGGTCTGGAAGAGCACAGCTTTGTCATGCACATTTTCCATGATCCATGATGTCTGTGATGTATGCCATAGCATCACAGATTTTTTGAGCGCTTATCTATGCGCATCCAGCATGACAAATGCCCCCTCCGCGTAGCCAAATTTGAATCCTCTTGCTGGTCATGCAATACAGGTTTTTTTAGCATCCAAATGCAGCATCACAAGTTTGACTCTTCCAGACCCAGACATTTTTGCATTTGATATGCATCTTCGTCTTCCGATTTGTCCCAATCATCGTCGTACCAAATGTAAAAATGTCTGGGTCTGGAAGAATGCAACTTGTGATGCGCATTTCAAAACACAGAAAAATCTCTCATGCATAGGTAGCAAAAGTAGCCCACTTTCTGTCACCAAAATGGGGGATCTGTCATGCGGATTAGGCATTGCGGAAGCTTCGCGAAACCTGTGACGCTAGAGCTTCCATGCCAGACCTTGTGCGTCATGCAAAAACAGCATGACTCTTCCAGACCCAGACATTTTTACATTTGATACGTCGTCGCTGGCGCCCTCCGCCTTCACGGGCTTTTCGAAATCATCATCCTCCCAGTCGTCCGTCATGACTTGGTTTCACTTGTTTGGGTCGCTTGCGATGCAGTTCGGTAGAAAGATAAGTAAGTGTTGTACTTGGTCGCTAGTTGCGCAATGTGATAATGAAGTAGAACTTGCAGCAGTTAGAAATACTTTAAACCATATATCTTACTGGGACAACTACTTGCAAAAAACCCTAGGTTTTCTCCTTCGGAACTTTCAGTTGTTACTGTCAATAAATATTGATTCCAGAGTTCTTCAAGGAAATGGTCTGTGCAGCGGAAGATGGATTCATTGATAGTGTACACCTTTCAGATTCACGAACGATGAATAATTATTCACGCAACGAGTCATTGAGCGTGTGTCCCCGAAAGAGAGAGAGAAAGAGTTCTTGAGGATGTATTCCGACTACTCACTTGCTCTTTGTTCGCATTTCCTTTTTGATCTACCATGTCACCTCAAGATGACTAGTACGGATGGGATGGCGGCAATGATTCATCATGATCGGGATCGGGTACTCAAGTACATCTAAATAATACACGAGTTTTTTTCTCCTCGTCAATAAAAAAGCAATACTTCTCAAGGGGACACGCTACTGCGCTTCTCTGCTTGGGGTCCTTTTTGGAGCGAAGAGAAATCAGTGGCACTCGCATTTCAGATTCAGCATCAGAATGAAAATTAATTAATCTGTCCTCCCCAATAAAAACTACGTGTCCATACTTCGCAACAGATCTACTTCTCGATTGTCAAACAACTAGACGTGATCTCAACGCACGTCCGATATTTTGGATCTCGATCCCGATCGACGCTTTTTTCTTTCATGATTTTCAATTGTGCGGAACATTCGACAGAAATCTGAGGTGAGAAACCGACTACAACTTCCGTACTTGTTCAAGAAAGGACGTACTTACATGTATAAATATTGCTCCACCTCTCCGCGATCGCGAGAGACAACTGCGAAGATGGAAAGCTGTCATTTCTTTAGCTCTAATAATTTTTTGCCTTTTGTTTTTCATCCCGTCACAAGTCCGATAATCGTCCGCATTTGAATCTCGATCATACGGTTGCGTGACTATTTTTGATAGTATTCCTCAAGAGCTAAGACGCCAGAACATTTTTGGTCTGGTTACGTTTGTTTGTCAGAGTAAAAAAAAAAATAGCTTCACAGTAACGACCAACGGTGTTCGTGTTTGGCAGGCGCATAGAGCCAAAAACTCCGCCCGCCTCTGGCATGAACTTGGCTCATTCACTTCTATGGCGAACAACATCCGCGCCGCGCTTGCGAAAAGAAGCCAAGTGGTGCCAAGAAATCGCAAAACCAAATCAGTAGTAGCGCTTTTAGTACTGCGCGTATTCTTGCCCGTTGTAGGCACCGTAATTCTGGTAGCTTTGCTGATACTGTCCCCCTCCAGGAGCCGCCCCACCGTATCCGTATTGGTAATTTTGTTGAGCTACTTCCCAAGCAGGAGTTCCCGCCGAACCGTAACCGTAGTTGTCGCCGTAGCCGCCGTTCTGGTTGTAGCCGCCGTAATATCCACTACCCCCCTGGGTGAAGATGGGGTGCGCGCGTGCTTGGCTGGAGAGGAACCACGACAGAAGAGCCAGCACGGCGACTCCCCCACCGACTCCAACCCAGAGCAGTGGGTTGCCCACGCCCGCACTGGCGGCGATGTCTTCACTTGCTGACGAGTCTGTGTCGTTGACTGCGGGAGGGGGAGTGGTCGTTGCTGCAGGGTTACAGCATACTTTTTTGCACTTGTCCGCGTCGCAGTAGTTGTTCGTTGGGCTGCAGATGTTGCGGCTCCCTGCTGCTACGCAATCTGCCACGTCAAAGTTGTGGTAACCCGATGGGCACACAGGATGAGCGAGGGCGCCTGATTTGTATCCACTGGCGCAAGTCGGCCCCTCTGGTGGCGCGAGGCATAGCGCGACTGCTCCGAAGCTCTCGAGAAGGCTCGTGTCGTGCTTAAATACTCTCGCGCCGCATGTTGCGGTCTTCATGTCAGCGTGTCGGTCGACCCCAAGCAATTCGGGCAACTCTTCAGCAGTGTGGCTGAAAGGCTTGATGTTAGTAGGGCACACGCCAGGATCACAGTCTAATCCGTTTGTTTTGTTTCGCCAGCCACGCAGCTTTTTGTAGTGACCTGTGTATTGCGGCGCAGCGTTATTCCAGTAAGCACATCCCGCCGCAATCAGAACCTCTCCCGCTGCGCACGCGACGTCTACCTGGGGTCCGAATTTGTTACTACCGGAAACCACATACCGGGCCTTGTCGGTCGAATGACGCAATGTCGGACGAGAACTCCCTAAGAAAACGTCAAAGAAGCTGGAAGCGAAGCAAACGACCGTGGCAGTGATGTTAGGCATGGCGGCGTCGGTAACAGCATCCGTGCACACGTACGTGCACCTCCAGGCGTGTCCACCGGAACTGTCATTTTCCGGCAGGCTCTCTGCCAAGAGACAATTTTTGTCGACATCACCGCCGAAGGTTCCCCAGTTGAGTTCGCAGCCACCGCCTACCATGTCTTCGTCAGCAGCACACCGAGCAACCGACGAACGCCTCGAGAGCTGGCCGTTCGTGTGAAACATTGCAATTTCGTTCGTGACGTCTGGTGCCTTGGCGGGTGCGTAGCTCGGTGGCGGATTCAAGGCCGTGACGAAACTGAACACGTTGTATTGTTTGCTGAGCCAAGACGGGAAGTCTCCGTATGTAGGAGTGTACGTTCCATTGAAATTTGCCTTGTCTGCACACGCAGTGCCGTATGTAGGACCCAATCCGTCGAAAATGGTGGACCTACCATTAAATGCGACGAAGGCAGGCATTGTTGGGTGCTTGGCGCTAAACTCAGAGACTGTGGAATCTTGCAGACCATTTCCAGGACAGTACGCGCCGCCACTCACAATCGTCGGCCAAAAATCGCGAAAAAATAAACCGCTCCCCGCCCTCTACATACTCAAATATTGTGTGCGAAAGCGAAGCTGGATATCATACCGCCTGAATCTAGAATTCTTGCACGTTGATGCAAGGAGGCAACGGCACAACTTTATTGTTATTCCGCGTTCGCACTATAGCGCCACCTGCACCTGTCAATCTTATTTGTCCCACGGCGAAGACACCTTAGATTCCGAAGCAGAGCTCCGCGCTTGCAGGACTGGCACAGCAGTGGCCTTCTTCAAGATGATACCCTCCCCGTGCTTATGCTTTCATGCAGTGACAATAAATCGATCAGTGCTAACTAAAACATGGTTCGAGTATAAGGGCAGGAGTTTCTGAGAATGTATTTTAATGATATTGCACCATCCGATCACACTATCCAGGAAACAAACACGAAATGTGTTAGTGTACTTAAGTACTTAACGTGGACTAACAGAATGCCACAATTGCTCTGCATGACTGCACACGTACTGCCATGCTCATGGTCATGCAGATGCACATGCATGGCTAGTACGTGAACGCACGCATGGAAAGAGGCCACTTACTTTGGTTGTCTGATACGATGACCGGCGTGACTGATTGTGATTGTGTTGGCATTTTATGCATTACACAAACAATAATCAAGGTGCAAATCCCAAATCTGTCAGACTGAATCCTGACTAGGACCAAGTAGGTGCCGACATCGCTGTCAATGGGCTGTCCAGGCCCATGGAAAGAGATGCGGAGGCGCGAACGCACGCCCCGGAAGAGTCGCTCTCAGTAGTCATGCGATGGCAAACTGCTGGTGGCTCAACGGGCCGACCAAAGATGGGAGCAGCATTGATGCCCTGAAGGGGCTTGATGTGCTGTAAACTATCCTCCCGTCGAAGACGCATGGGTGGGAACGACTGCCCAGGACGCACGGACACGTGCCTAGTCAGGGTCAGACGACAGGGCCAACAAGTAGGAGTGTGTAAGCAAATCTCCTACAGGCCTATAAAGGGTGGGATGTGAAAAACTTTTGCAGCGACGCAGTCGCCGCCACATGTTTTCCACTCGGATCCGTGCTTGAAGCGCACCGACCCGGCACCACTCTCCCACCAATACAACATACCAACCCTCGTGCGTCTCGGATCAACACAAGAGCGCGGATCTAACTCCAGCCCATGGCATTTCTGTATCAGTGGGGAGTAGCACCTACTTGGGCTCTATCAGCTTTGGGCTTCTCCCTTGAACTTGTTACGACTGCTCAAAAAAACAAGTAAATATGCAACACTAACACACTTTTTTTCTTGGATACACCTCTGCCGGCAGCCGGACGATAGTACGTCACGCGATTAGTGCGTTGCCCGTGTTCAAATCGGATGTTATCAGCCACTCTGTCATTCCGCCCGCAGTACTGCTGCAGCAGCAAACTGCGGCCAAAAGCCAGGGGAAAAGTCGTCTGCATCTCGCCGTCGGTATTGTTGTAGCCAGCGCAATCATTTTCGTACGGGGTGGCCACTGGAACACAAGCAGTGCCGTGGAGAATGTAGCCTTCGTCGCACGAAGCACAGTTTTCCTCGCCCGGACCCGTGCAAGCAGATGGAGCGCCGTGCATACCATTTTCGCAAGGCTTGCACGTCGTGTCCTTCGAGATACAGCATACCTCTTTGCACTTGTCCGCGTCGCAGTAGTTGTTGATCGGGCTGCAAATGTTACGGCTCCCTGCTGCTGCGCAACCTGCCGCGTCAAAGCTGTGGTAACCCGATGGGCACACGGGATGAGGGAGGGCGCCTGAACTGTACCCACTGGCGCAAGTCGGCCCCTCTGGCGGTGCGAGGCACAGCGCGAATGCTCCAAAGTTACTTAAAAGCTCGGCTGCGTCAGGGGACACCCTGGCGACACATGTGGACCTAACAAGACCAAGACCCAACAAAGAATACGATCCAGGTAGAACAAAATACAAAATGTTTATTGACCTACTTAAGGTCCTACGTGGTTAGCGTGGGGGTATCTTTATGCTCTTAATCTTTAGCCATTGAGGCTACTCCTGTTCGTGTCATGAGGTGCATACCATGCATCTTATCCTCATCATCATCTCCATCTTCAGTATGTGATCACCATCACAATTCCATCTTTCACTATCGTGCTATCTACTTTGGATCGTTCGTATTGGATCTTGGGGCATGTGCTGAGTGCATTGCAATAGCCTCCCCTGCTCCAAGTCCAATCGAATATCAATCCATTTTCAAATCGTAAAAACTTTTCTTCTCAAAGCCTAAAGCAGTAGGAAAATCGAAAAACACTTTTCGCATAAGCCTACAAACAAATAAGGGCTTCAACCGATGTTATTACGCATTTATGGGGCTTAATCGAGCTGCCCCCCATATGCTGACTTTTAACCGGTTTTAGCATCCAAGATGCTAGATTCTCATCGTGTTTTCGTCAAACCCCTGACGACCCACGATCGAAAAGCTCAGCCCGGTTCTCGTCTTAGCACCTGAAATTTTTATGGAAGTTCAACAATTCCACTCATATCACAAAACGAAGAGTGTTCAAATCCAGTGGTGATCTTCGTTAATCCGTTGGACTTGTTTTTGGCACTTTCAAAATATATCGGTAGCAGTAGTGATCTCGCCACTACGTCGCGTATACAACAAACGCGTACATCTAAATGCTTCAGGCGTCCTGAAGTACCAGTGCGATTCAAAGCATATTTTTGACCTCCCTGATTGTCACACTTCAGAGAAATCGGTAAAGAAATCTTCGGAATAGGAAAGTAGTTACCAAGCCAGTTTTGTAGTGTGTTCATGACATAGTAAAATCGCAACACAGTCGTAGCCCCATCAGTCATAGAAACAATTTCCGCTTCTGTCACCGACGTTGCCACACTCGACTGCGTAATTGCCCTCCAGAATATCGGGCATCCACAAACGTTCACTACGATTCCACTGATAGATTGGCGGCCTTCTTGTGCTCCAAAATCGCTGTCCGTCCATACACTCAGTGTCAGTTTCCCTTTGAGCGTTTCCTGGCGATTTCGGTAAACCAGCACTCTCCTCGTGCGTAGGTATCGGAAGATGCGTTTTAGCGCGGTGATAGTTTCTTCCGTGGCCTTAGCCTTAGCACAGAACTTTAGTGCTACTACGATGTCCATACGAGTGCTAGTAGCAAGATAATTCAAAGAGCCACAGTATTCCTGCTTGAGTTTCACAAGTTCAGGCTTTTCTTCGGACGAAGGGTCTGGAGCGGTTATCATAGGGCATGCCAAAGCTTTGCCACTGATATTCCCGCCGAACCGCTCTAAAATCTTCGTCACATAGGCGTCCTGCGATAGAGTTACATCGCCAGTTTTCTTATCTTGAATCAATTCAATGCCTAACAAATCGTAAGTGCGATGCGTTGCAGTGTCTTTGACATCTTCAAGAAAAAGTCGCAGAGGTTCTTCCAAATCTTTTCGCGCTTGCTCACAAGCGGCGCGCGGTCCGAAGAGCCAAAAGTTGTCTACAAACACTACCAAAATTACATCCTGTCTATGCCAAAGCGTTGGCTCACAGGGATTCCTAGCCCAGCCATGCTCACTCAACTTTTGGTCTCGGTGTACAGCCCACGCCTTGGGAGACAACCGCAAACCGTTGAGCGCATACAAAACAACGGCATACTTGTAGCCTAAAAGTTTTTGAAGACGCTCGTCGAGAGCAACTAAAACTTTAACAGGGTAGCGCGACTGCAAAAATGCATTGCGGGCATCCGCGGGCAGCATGCAAATATTTGGATTCTGGCATGCAATAGCGACAAGCAAACGCAAAATGCATAGGTCTGGCACTTCAGCGAATTTCTCATCGTGGCTAGAAACATAGTCCATGTAACCGAGGCACACGATTCGAGCCTTTTTGCGTTGGTCTCTTTTCACACTGAGGATCATGCGGCAAGGAATAAATCTATTGCCTTCCGCGACCCATTCATCGACCTCTTTTTGCCTAGCAACTCTGAAAACATGCGAATGCGCATTAACTTCTTTCGTAATGGCTTGCTGCCAATCTGCTTGCGATTCCACTTCCGACTCCTTAACAGGGGCAGAAGCAATAGTTGCTTTGAAACAAACAGCAACTTCGTGCTCCTCCCAATCGGGACACAAAAACGGAATGACGAAGCTGCAAGACTCATCATTTTCAATCGGCCCTAGCGGATCGATTTTTGCTTGGTGAAACAAATCTTGAGCAACTTTCTGCCTCTGCTGCTCTTTCATGTGTTCATAGATGGGCTGCGAGTCAATAACTTCACGAATTTCAGCAATGGCTTCATTGCGTTCTCTCCATGCTCCCCGGACGGGGCCAGCATTGGCCGCTATCCGTCTCAGCTTTTCTCTTTCTTTCTTTTCAAGATTACGGTAGACATCTCTGGCGTAATCTTTTGTGAGTCGTAACTTAGGCGCTGACGGTCGGGCATGGGATTCGACTTCCGCATTCTTTGTAGAATTGGAATTCGAGCCAAGATTCCCGCCGATCTCCGCGGAACCGCCTAAAGCGTCGTCGCCCAAAAGCTCATCATCTAATTTTGGAGACTGGGAAGGATGCATCACAGGCGCCATGGATGAATCTATCTCAGAACTCGCAGGGGAAATCAGTAACGGGGCGCAAGAAGTGAATATCTTTCGCCCTTTCCTGCGTTTCACCTTCAGCTTTTTGGCATTCTTTTTCGCGTACTGGAAATCTTTCGACGCCGACTCAAATTTGACTTTAACTGGAACCAGCTCTGATGTGTCAACTTCTTTCGGTACTTTTTCGCCGTGTGTTTTTCTGACAACACGGAGGAGCGATGGAGGAAAATTCATCTGATCAAAAGTCAGATGCTGTCGCACATGCGACGCGTGCACTCGCTTAAAATTCCCATCGTGATCTACAACAAACGTAACGGAGTTCGCATTAGTCTGCTTGTAAATAGCCTTAGCAGGTCCCAGCCAGGCATGCGAGTTTTTGTCGAAAATATCTACCAAAGAATCAACTTCAATCTTATCCGCTTGAGGATAAAAATTTCTCTGCATCTCGGTAAGCTTCTTCATCTTAGAGATAAATTGCTTATCCTGTTTCAGAGATTCAATTTCGGCCCTGGCCTTGCATCTCGCATTGTATGCCTCACAGGTGGCATCCTTAGTGACCATCAACTCAGCCTGCTGCAGAGTAGCAGACTCAGGATCGTCAGGCTCCAGCGCGTAGGGATTCAAAGCCCATTGGGCTTGGTATGGGCACAACCCATCCAAGGCCCGAGTTGGGGTCATGTTCACCGCATTGGTCGCTTGTTCCACAAGAAGTGGAACCAAGGACGCACTCTGGCCAAAAATGTAATACAGCTTTTCTAGCACCGCTCTAAAAGTGCGATGGCGTCTTTCGATCGAACCATTGACCCAACTACTTTTTGGAATTAGGTAAAGAGCAATCCCATGGCGCTGCAAATACGATCTGACTTGGCTGTTGTCAAATTCCTTACCCTGGTCGCACAAGAGGGCCCGGCCTAGCAATCCGAGTCCCCTGACCTTTTCTAAGAATTCAACTGCATCCGAAGCTTTGGGCACATGCTTCAAAGTCTTTGTGTAGCTCGCACGACTATGCAAATTCATCGCGTGTAGTGCTGCGTACTTTTTCCCCAAAGGAAAAAATGTATCCGAAGATGTAAAATCAGACAACTTCAAGCCATCCACGCCCCCAGTGGTGTGATGCGGAAAAGCATAATTTTTCAGACGGTTCAGATTGTGTTTGCAGAAACCAATCACCATTTTTCGAGCCTTTGGCGAGGAATCAATCTGCTTCACAACCTCCCAGAGTTTCTGAAATGTCGGGAAGACCAGGCGCGAAGAAAGTTGGCAGATTTTCTCATACGAGATTCCCGCCTTGGGTTGGCGCAGCGTGGTGTCAACGCCTTTCCGATACTTTCGGGCAGGCTTGACCCTCTTCAGAACTTTCTTCCCCTTTTTCTTTTTCTTCTTGCGTGCTGCCGTCGGATCTTTCGATGGTCCTGAACTTTTGTTCAGATTCTCATCGACCGATGCCGGCGAGGGGGGAGAGGAATCTTTTTTAGGAGGACCCGGATTCACAGAAACGTCAAAAACTTGCGAAATTGCACTTGACATTTCTCGAGCCCGTTTATCAGTTTGCGAAGCGGCAAAGCATCTAAAGTTTCCGCCATCAACAAACTCCTGCGCGCGATTGCCATCGAGAATTGGAATCGCTTCACCGACCATACACTCGATAATACGCAATTTTCGCTTGGTATCTTCGTCCCGAAACTTGTAAAGCAAAATCGTCTTTCCACTGAAACTGGGCGACATGCGTGCGATTATGCATGCAATGGCTTGGCTGAGGTCTTCACTATCAATATTAATTTCTAGCGGCGAATTAGCATAATCATAGCTGTACGGCCTAAATTCGGCGTACTCGTCGTGCGTGGAGTGGGATAGTCAGAGGATGTTCGCCAGCTGCGAAGTTCCCCCGATGCTTACAAACAGCACACTATCAGTAGCCATCTGATTCAGTTTGAATGTCAACTGCATCTGTAGAATTCCGTTGCGTATCTGCATCGGATATCCCATGCAGGTGCCCGACTGAAAGTTCGGATAAATGCCAGCGGCTAACAGCTTGGGCATCGACAAAACGGTCTTTTCCCCTAGCGAGGGGACAAAAAGTGTATCCTTACACTCGAAACCTTGACCGACCATTTTTCCCACTCCAGTAGCGACAGCTGCGGCATCGCTAGCAGTAATCAACTCCTCATGGGTATTCCGGTGTTCGTGAACCAGCTCCAAGTCCCCCGTCAAGTGGCGGCTCGACCCAGAGTCCAGTAGAACCCACTTTGTAGCAACCCCCTGGTTGCGTTCCTGCGTGCCCGTGGGTTGGCTAGCAGCAAAACTCCACTCCTTCTTTTCCAAAACCACGAAACTTCCGAAAAACTGTCCACCCTGCTGTTGCGGATGGTTGTTGGTGTACTGCACCTGATTCGGCTGTTGGTTCTGGTTCCAAGGCTGGTTTGCGATCATCATCTGCTGCTGCGGCGGCTGATTGTGCTGTTGCTGCGGCTGCTGCACAGCAAAACTCTGACCACCGCCCTGGTTCTGCCAGTTGCCCTGCTGCTGTTGATTCCAGTTTGCGTTTTGGGCATGGTAATTCTGGTCACCACCTTGTTGCGGTTGGTTGTAGTTGTTGTTCCAACCACCACCGCCATTGTTCTGATAGTTGTTCCGGTAGTTGTTGCACCCATTGCGACCTTTGCCTTTCTTCTTTTTCCAAAAGTCGCGGCGGCCCTTGCCTTTCCCGCCATTGTGCTTGCCGTTACCACCATGCTGCCACTGGCCCTGATTTTGGTTCGTGTAGAACGAACTCTGCTGATTTCCACCATTTTGCGCGTTGGCTCCAGCAGTGTTCTTCTGGGGTGGCTGCTTCTGGTGCAGTTTGTCGGCACGACTGACGGCTTCGGCAACTTCGGACATGTTGCCCGGCTTCAGCATAATCATCGCGGCCTGCAGATGTCCAAGCGCGTTATTTTCCATAATGCGAATCTGTTCGGACACGGGAACCTGCGTGCTGTCGACCTTCGCAGCACGCTTCATGAACTCGTCGTGGAAATTCGAGGGCTTTTGCGTCGCCTGCTGCTTGTAGCTTTCCAAGATCGACGCAGCGACCGAACCCTGCTCCCACTGCTCCTTGTACGCATCCCGAGCGGCTTTCAGCTTCCGCTCTGCGTTTTGCATCTGCGCAATTTCATCACGACCGATGATTTCCATCCACCGAGACAACGCGACCGAGTTTTCGACTCGGGCCTCCAGGCCATCCAAAATACGCTCGTAGTCCGCGGGGTATTTCTGCATTGCAAGATTGATCCAGCGGTAGAAGAGCGAAGTCTGGTCCTTGTACTTCGGCAACTTTTTCAGCTCCAGCTCCTGCGGTGCCTGGGCCTGTTGCTGGTTGCCGCTATAAAAAGATCCTGATCCACCCGGATTCCCACCGGGGCTTCCTGAGATAAAAATCCTTCCTGAGTTTGGGCGTAGGCGAAACGGCTCGCCAGACCCACCATAGTCCTGATTTTTGTCACTCGACCCCAGGCCGTTCACCGGGAATCCCCCGCCGTGCTCCTGGGCTTCCCAGGGCTGCTCGTCCTCATCGCCGAAGTCAGGATTGTCTTCATCGTAAACATATTCATCCTGCTCGTCATCCTGTTCCTCATGAGCAGAAGTCTCCTGGTCTCGACTTGCGATCTTCAGCTTGTTGCGCTGCTTGCGATCGCCCGCATTCAGCCGTCCGTGCTTCGGACCCGTCTGGTTGCGCACCCCGCCTGCCATTGCGGTTGCTGCTACCTTGGGATACTCGGCGAATACGGAGGCGACGGCGATGCTCAGCGCGAGCGCGAGGAAATACATTCCTTTCTCTTCGTGCGGGGATAGGGGTGCTGTAGTTCTACTTACAGATATTTTATGGGTGTAAATTGTACTTGAAATCTTACAAGCTTAAGATGTTGGGCTCATAACTCTGTGGACCTAACAAGACCAAGACCCAACAAAGAATACGATCCAGGTAGAACAAAATACAAAATGTCTATTGACCTACTTAAGGTCCTACGTGGTTAGCGTGGGGGTATCTTTATGCTCTTATTCTTTAGCCATTGAGGCTACTCCTGTTCGTGTCATGAGGTGCATACCATGCATCTTATCCTCATCATCATCTCCATCTTCAGTATGTGATCACCATCACATTTCCATCTTTCACTATCGTGCTATCTACTTTGGATCGTTCGTATTGGATCTTGGGGCATGTGCTGAGTGCATTGCAATAACACATGTTGCACTTCTCATGTCAGTGTGTCGCTCGACGCCCAGCAGCTCGGGCAGCTCGTTGGCGGTGACGCTAAAAGGCTCCAGATTTTGCCAGCCGCGTAGCGTGTTGTACGACCCGGTGGCTCCTGTCGGTGCTGCATCATTGTGGTAACCACACCCAGCCGCAATCATCACCTCCGATGGACGGCACGCGACGCTCACCTTGGGTCCAAACTTCTTCCCGGTTGTCGAATACAAAGCAGGGCCGCTGTTTTGACGAAACGTCGGAACGGCACTTCCTGAAAAAACCTGAAAGAAGCTAGCAGCGATGCAAACCGCCGTGGCATCGACACTGTGCTCAACGTTGTTGCCTGTGCACACGTACGCGCAGGACCAACCAGTGCCAGAACTCGCGGGTCGATTCTCTGCCAAGAGGCATTCATCCATGCCGCTTGAACCGCGGTCACAGCCGCCGCCAACCATCACTTCATCAGCAAGACAACTCGCGGTTGTCGGAGGGTTGCGAGAGTCACCAGTTTCCGTTCGAAATTGCGGAACTCCACTTGTCGCGTCGGGAGCCGAAGCCATTTGCTCATTGTAGTAAGCGGCGGGCGGCGGATTCAAAGCGGTGAGAAAACCGAAAACATTGAATCTCGATCTGCTTTTGGTAGTGAAGCGTTTCGGATCATAAGCATGATCAGCAAGATCGTCGGTGTCAACTCCGTCTTGAAAACCCCGATCTGGACACAAGGTGCTGCAAGTCGGACCGTAGTCGTCAAGTTCTGCCATTCCAGTCATGGCATTAAAAGCGAGTCGCGTAGCCTTCAAACGCGACACTTGCAGACCGTTCCCAGGACAGTATGCGCCCCCACTGAATATGGCCGGCTGCGACATCCGGTCAACGACTGCCGTCGGATGCCATTGCCAATAGCTCACTCGCCAAGTTTGCGTGCCGGTGGAAAACTGCCCATACTGAACTGTGGTTGATAGATCCTTGCGCCCACAGTATTGCTGGAGCAGCATACTGCGCCCGAACGCCAGAGGGAAGCTCGCTTGCAGGTTGCCTTTATCGTCATATCCAGCACAATCATTTTCGTCCCGCTTCGTCTTTTGAGCGAGTGAGGGCGCGGGCAAAAGCGAGGGAACTTTCGCGACGGGCGAAGACTCATTGCGTCCGCTCGGCTTGATCATGCGGGATGCCGGGGTGTCGTGCGGTTGCACCAGCGGACTGTTCTCTAGATTCTTCAACCCGCTCAAATTCCTCGCTCCTGCCCCGGCTGTATCATTAATCTGGCCTGCGATTGCCAGTTTATGCTGCATGATGTATACCGCATCAAATGCAGCCTGGGAGGAACGCTCCTGAACTCGGCTACTCGCGCTACCAGTTCGGGGAATTCCCTCGCCGGAGAAGGACGCAGAAACCAGGCTAGATGATGAGGTGCCTCGATTGCCAGGTGCTGTTCGGGAGGAAGACACAGGCTCCGCTCTTGGCGCAGCACGCGGGCCTCGCGTGAACGAAGTTCTCGATGAAGAAGACGGCCTCGTACTTCCTGCACCTTTATGTTGCTCAACGTTTTCTGTCTCCTTCTGCACGGAGCCGTCCTGATCCAATAAGATGGACTCTCGCCGCAATTTGGAAGACGGAGCTTCATTTGTCGCGGAAACCGGGGGGACCAGCCCGAGACAAAGCACTAAAACCACAACAACAAAGATGCTGCGCAAAAGGAAAATCGTGCCGGAGCCGACGCTTGCAAGCGGAACCTCAGCGCGCCGTCTTGCTCCCTGTAGTTCTGAAATGGCAAGCATCCGCGGTGATGCGGTCCCGCTTCTTGTGGGCGAGAGAACGCGCACGAATGACATGTTGTATTCAACACGAAATGCGGCTCGTATGGAGGACTTCTTGTGCTAATCACAATCACAAACCTGGCAAAGTTTTTTCGGGGGCTCAGCAAAATTCAGATAGTGTCATAGGTGGTGTCTGCGTGCGTACGTTGTAGCAACGAGGTCATGCGGTCTGTGCAAGTTACACGAACAATCAACGTCGCCGCACACGACTCTCCAGATACCTCCGCGACGCCGCCCTCTAACCTTGGAAAATCATAAACCTCTCTTTCTCCGTCACTCGATTATGACTCTACTAGTAGACGCTCCACGAGTGCACGCTCGCTCCACGAGTACAAGACATGAAAACAAAACCTAAATGCCTAACGCATCTTTCGCTAGGTGCTCCACCCCAACATCAAGATCCACTTCTCCCGATCGCAGGCGTGTTACTGAGCTGCAAGTGCAACAGCGGCAGCTGAAGGTGATTGCTCGCTTTATCGCGGAGAAAATAAATGCAAGCTGCGTAGTTTATTCGTAGTATAGTACATCTGCGTAAGTAGTGTTAAGTCGTCGAAGCAAAGTCTCAAATTCAGGCCCGAAGCTACACTTCCGGCTTGTGCCGTAGTGAGAAAGGCGAATCCGCACCTCCCCGCAGCCATCGACGGTCAGGCTTCCCATACCGAGCTGAGCTTCCGCGCGAAGATGATTTGCAGGGGCCGCTCGTTCGCGAGCATCTCGCGAATTTCCTTTTGCCTCAAGTGTCGCGCGAGGTAGTGGCCGATCCAGAACACCAAGTCTCCCCGCTCCACGAGGTTGTCGAACGCCCACGAGGCCTGTTCGTTCAGAGTGCGAACCCGGGGGCACGCGAACTCCAGGGTTCCTGGTACGGCGTTGCGCCTCCGCGCAATGGCAAAGCCCAGGTCCTCCCCCTGCACGTCTACGTCCAGTGCGACCAGAAAGTAGCCGTACTTCGTGTAATCGAACTCCGCCTCCGGGACCTGCGGCGCCACCTTCTCGAGCTGAATATCCGAGAGCTCCTCGTGCGCGGCGGTCTCCGCGTCGATCTCTTCGGCCTGCAGCGCCTTAGCCTGGTCGCTGCGCCGGGTGAAATTCAGTTTCGGCGGTTCGTCTTCCTCGTCCCAGTACTCCTCGTCCTCGCCCCATTCACCCTCGTGCGCCTGCTCATCGTCATAAACGCCTTCTTGGGCGTCGGGCGCCAGCGCCGCGGGGACCCCCATCGGGGTTTGCTTCACAAAGTTCCCAAACTGCTGCACCATGCCGGACGCTAGGCCGGCCAAGTTCCCGAGTGCCCCCGGCGTGGCCTCAGCGGGCGGCTCATCTTCTCCGATGTGGGACTCTGCGTAGCGCGGTGGCGGCTTCGGGGGTGGCTTCCGCTGCACGGTCGGGCTGGCCTTCTGTAGTTCCTGCTGTGCACCACGAACGGGCGGCGGCGCGGCTCTTCCGGCGGGCTTGAACGCCGGTTTCGCGGCTTTGCCTGCACTCGTGGTCCCGCCATTTTTTTCTGCAACTACCACCGGAGCAGGCCCGTCGGGAGATTTCGCCGCGGAACCAAACTGCTTCGCGTTCAGCGGCCGGGCGCTGCTTGCAGTGAGCTGTTCTGCGAACGACACTTGTTTGTTCTTCCCCAGCTGGATGTCGCGGACCCCGGTCAGCGGTTTCGCTGCCATCTTTGGAGGGCCGACGCGGTAGTAGTCCGCCTTCTCTCTGCGCTCTCGCGCTTCCGCGGCGGTGTCTTCCGTGGCGTGCGGATCGCCGTAGAAATCCCGCTTTTGCCTTCGCAGCCGCTCCTGCTCGGAGTCCGTATCGGGCAAATCTTGTACGCGCGCGCGACTCCGCAAGTCCGCGGCCCGCTGGTTTTCGCGCTGCACAAGCTGCGGCTCGTTGTGGTAGAAATCCCGCTTACGGTCACGCTCGCGTTTCTCCCGCGCGCGATCTTCCTGCTCCGCCGCGCCCTGCTCACCCCGGGGCGACACGTGGTGTGGCATGTACTCGTGCCCGTAGAAATCTGCCTTCTGCTTCCGCTGTCGCAGCTCCTCGTCCGTCGTTGCGTCTTCGTCGCCGGCGGCTCCCTGGAACTGCGTCACGCCGCGCATGGCCGCTTCCATCATGGTGTGCGAACCCTCGCGGAGAACAGGAAACTTTTCGAAAGCAGCGAATTCCAACTGGTTAGAACGACCAGTTGCTTTTCTATCTTCCAGCTCAACAGCTCCTACCGTATAATCTTCCCGACAAGTAGTTTTTGATGGTTCACGGCTCTCGGCCTCCTGCTCGTGCTCGCACAGATCGTCTATGATCATCGTTTGATGCATCCCCTCGCGTGCAGGTCCCAACGCAAGAGCACCGTGCAGATCAGCGTACCGCACCAGCGCACGACCGTTCATGCCCACAATCTCCATCCCGGCCTCCACATGCGCCGTTGCCGCAAAACTACCGGGCTGCACCGCCAGCACAAACAGCCGTGTGGAACTTTCGCCTAACGTAAGGCCCATCTTCTCCAAGTGACCCGCGTGCGGCAGAAACAGGGTCTTGCGCCGATGAAACGCCTGCACCACCAGCCGCAAGGGGGTCAAAGAAGCAATCGTTTTTCGCACGGACTTTACTTCGCTGGCGCGGTCGAAGCGTGCCGCTACCTGCGAGTTTTTTTTTCCCAAGGCTCAAGTGAGAAACAGATATCTTGGAACACGGACACACAATGAAAATGATGTAAGGTTCAGGTTGTACGAAAACGCATGAGCAACACGTATTCAAACAGCAAAAAAATCCGTTTGCCCCTACCTGATCAATGGGAACAGGGTGTGACCATCCGTCTTCCTCTCCGGGCGGTATCCTCGTGGGGTTCTGGTCCTTCTTCACAATCCCGTGGAGCAGGTCCCCAGGACGGAGGTGCAAGTGATCGAAAGCGTACTCCTGCAAATTGGTCAGGGGAAAGCCGCCTTTCCATTTGGTTTTCGTGTCCACCGAGAACATCGTCTGCTGGTCGTACCCGTCCGGGAGAAACACCTCCAGCGTGACGGTCGCCGCGACGGTTTCCACCGGCCTCTCGAATTGCATCTTCAACGTCGTCGTTTCCGCTTGCTGCCACAGGTACTGCGACACGTGGCCGTCGGCGCGCGCCCGAAGCAGGCGGAAGAAGGCCGTGGAGGGAATCTGGTCCCGCCCCGCGTGGATCAACCGGTCGTGCACGTGGATGCCTTCGGCGAGGGCGAACCGGTTCTCCTTACTCGTGTCTAAGCGCTTCACGAAGACCCCGTGCTCGCGGTCGACCCGCCAACTCGCGACCCCCAGCTGCTTCGCGGTCTTCAGGCTCCGGACAGGGATCTGCACCTCGAAGTTGATAGGTTTAGAATTCGCCGCCGCGGACGTAGGCGACAGCTCGTCCACGTCCTCGGTCTCTCTTTCCATATCTCTTCCGGCCAAAAAGTGCTTCGGCGCCTTCTTGTACACCTGCCCTTTCGGCTGCGCGGCCCCCGCACCGAACAGCCCCGTGACCTTCGCGACGATCGGGTTCTCGGGCGCCTTCGCCACGGGCCCCTTCGGCTTCTTCGGCAGCTGCCCCGCGCGGACGGACCGCACCAGAAGCTTGTCCGGCAGGTCCCTCTTGGGGGGTGGCGGAGGCGCGTTCGTGCCCTCGACCCGGCGCAGCTTTTTCTTTCCCGCGGCCAGCGCGTCCGGCGCGTTCGCGTCGACGGACGACGAAGACTCCGAGGTGGCGCTGCTTTCGGTGGATTCGGCCGGACTGGACTCCGCAGCCTCCCCACCCTCGGGCACATCTCGATGCAGTTCCAGGTCGAGCGGCCGCTTCGTCCGGAGAACTTCCGCGACCTCGTCGCGGTTGCCGTAGTCCGCAACCTTCTTCCCCGCCACCTTCACAATCGCGTCTCCGGCCTGCAGCCCGACCTTCTCGGCCCACGTGTCGGGCGTGATGCGCTTCACCAAAATCGGGTCGGGGGGCGCGATCGCGAAGGGGACGAACCCGAGGGCCTTGTCGGCTTTTTCCGCGGTCACACGCACGGTTTTGATGGTGCCGCCCTCCTCCTCCGAGGCCGTTGCCACGTTTTCGATGCCCTCGAACGCGTTGGGCGGCATGCCGAAGGCCATGCCGATGTTGCCCTGCTTCGCGCCGGCCTGCTGCGCCGCGATCACTTGCGCGGCGGGCTTCGCGCGCGATTTGGGCGCGGCCGGCGGCTGCCGCACCACGCCCTCCTCGTTCACGGTCACACTGGTGTCCAGATCTGCGGTGTTGGTCGACTTCGCGAAAACCAGGGTCAGGGGGCGCTGGTCGTTCAGGATGTCCCGGAGGTTGTTTTCCGTCAGTTCTGCCGTGGACACCGCTTTCGTTATCGTCGGTTCCTCCTCCAACTGTGCCGCAATGGCCTGCTGCGTCTCCGCCGCCTCGTCCAAATCGGGATCGTCAATGCCCCGGTCGATCGGCGCGAGACTCCGTTTCGCCTTTGTCTTTACTTTCGCCTTGCCCAGCACGCCCACGCGCCTCGCGGTGGCTGCGGTCGCGGCCGCCACTGCACCCGCTGCGTTGAAGCCAAAATTCAGCGGCGTGCCAAGCGTGCGCAACACGCCGGTGGTGCGACTGGGTGGGGCACCCAGTTCCGTTTCCCGCCGGCCCGTACGGTCCGCCCGGTCGGCCAACCGCTTCTTCGCTTTCTTCTTGTAGTGCGGGTTGGGTTCCTGCACCTGCACTTCTAAAAGCACGTCCCCCCGGTTGACTCGCGAGTTCGCGGCCCACCCCGTGGCGTTGACGCCGCGCACTTTGAAGGGGAAAGCGCTGTAGTCCAGCCGGAAGCCGAGGTTCCCGCGCATGTTCGACGGAACCTCGGCAGCGTACTGATCCCCCGTGTCCATCAGGTCCGCAAGCAATTCGTCCCGGCGGGTGACTTCTGCAGGATCGACCCTTTCAATCACTTCACCCACCGGTGGCGGAGGTTCTGCCTCTGGTTTTTTCTCCTCTGGCTTTGAATCTCCTTTCCTCTTGGAGGCGGAAGAAAACAAGGATCCTATCCCACCGCGTTCGGCTCTCCTTTCTGGTGAAGTAGGAGGTGCTCGATCGAAGACGAGTTCCAATGGCCTCAGGGTCCACTCGTTATTGTCCACTTGCTGTGGCAGCTGTCCATTCACGGCCACAACCCGGTCGCCTACCTTGACATTTGCGGATGCCGCGGCGCCGTCGGGGGCTACGCTGACGACCCGAAAGCCCGCCTCGGGATCGATACCGCAGCCCATGTCCGCTTCCTCCACAGTGACGGCAAACGTGGTGCTCTTCTCCTGCGAGAATTTTTTGTCTTTCAGCACCGGGCTTGCGGCTACAACTTGCGCTCCTGCGGAAGATCTTGGTTTCACAACGATGCGCAGCGGCCTACGACCCCAGTCCGACATGGACACGTCGGGGATTCTTTTCCCATTGATGGTCACGATGGTGTCTCCTTCCTGCACGCCGGCGCTCGCAGCAACACCAGCCGGGAGAATGTTCTTCACCTTCATGGTGCGCGGGTCGATGTCACAGGAGAGCTCTTCCTCCTGTACCGTGAAGGCAACCATCCCGTCTGGCGCCGGTTCTTCAAGAGGCGTACCCGCTTTCGAGACGGGCGGTGTAGCTTTCGCTTTGGTGCCAAAGACCTGCGACTTCCCAAACACCGTTGGAGGCTTTGGCTTGGCCGCAAACACGGTGGACTTGGCGAAAACAGAGCCGGTCACTGCCTTTTCCTCTGCTATCGCAGGAGGCTCATCCTGTTTGGAATCCGGAGGTGCTGGTGGTTTCGTTTCCGCAGGCGGAGGCGGCCTCTTCGGGGCGGAGGAGGGCGGTTTTGGTTTTGCCTTTGGTCGTTGTTGTACAACTACAACTCCTTCCTCCGGTGCATTGGCTGTCGCTGGTGCTTCTACTTTCGCAGTATCAACAGCAGCCTCAGCTGGTGCGTCAGATGGTGCTGAGACAGGTTGTAGCTCTTCCGTCACTTTCTGTCCTTTCTTTTCCCGGCCTTTACCTTTTTTCGTACTTTTACCGGCTGCAGCCTTCTCCTGGACCGGCACAGCCGCACGCCGGAATTGCAATTCCAGCGGTCGCTTGACCCAATCATCTGGCGGTAGATCGGCCGGCGGCACCCCGTTCGCGGTGATCACCGTGTCGCCTACGCGAACGCCGTGCTTCGCGGCGGTGCCCCTCCGCTCGACGCTGACGACCTCGAAGTTTTTGTCTGGATCGATGCCACAACCCATGTCCGGATGGACCACGCGCACAGAAAACGTGCCGTCGTCCTCCTTCTCCTCACGACTTGGCTCCGTAACAACTTTGAACGGAGACACGCCCGCGACCGCTTTGTCCTTCGGGCGCTCGACCTCCAGCTCCAACGGCCGCTGCGTCCACACGTCGGGAGGCATCTCCTGTGGCGATTTCCCCGCGATCCTCTTCACGACATCACCCACTCGAACCCCAAGCGCGGCCGCCGCACCCCCCGATGCCACTTCGAGAATACGAAACTCGTCGGGGTCAATCGCGCAACCCATATCGGAATCGCGGATCTCGATGGTGTACGACTCCCCCGCGGCTACCGCCGACCCCGGGGCTGCGGCAGAGGGTGCGGAAGGACTTTGCGTTGGTCCAGAGGAGGCCTGCTTGACTGCTGGTTTTTTCCCAGGTGGTCCTGTACCGACGTTGATGCTGTCACCCATCAATCCACTCGCGAACTCGAGCCGAAGCGGGCGCAAACTCCAAGCATCGGGCTCGAGTTCCACCGGCGCTTTCCCGTTCGCCCGAACCACGAAGTCGCCGACCCGGATCCCCGCCCGGTATGCGACCCCTCCAGCGGCGACGCTCACTACGCGAAATCCGCTCTGGGGGTCAATGCCGCAGCCGAGATCCGGATCCTCGACGACGACTAGCTTCAGATTTTCATCCGTCTCATTGGTTTCGGGAAAAGTCGCAGCTGCCCTACCGCCACCCTTGTTCTGGCCGCCCCTGGTACCGCGGCTCGGCTTCTTGTGCGGGCGCTTGATTTTCGGCAGCTCGACGGCCTCGGGATCGTGGCGCAGCGTCAGCGTGATGGGCCGTCCGGACCAGGCGTTCCGGGGAACGTTTTTCACGAGCTCTCCATTGACTCGCAAAACGTGGTCGCCAGGCTTCACGCCGATCTTTTCCGCCGGTCCGTTCTTCGCCACAGACACGACGACGTGCCGCTTCGGGTCCACGCTGCAGCCCAGCTTGCCCTCTGCAATAACGAGTTCGAACTCGTCGTCTTCTTGATCTTCCGCTGGCTCTTCCGCTTTTGGCGCGATCGGCGCAAAGCTGCGTTTGGGAAGTGGCCGCGACTGTATTCCGGGAAGACCGCCGACCAACTCTAACTCCTTCTTTTTTACAGGTTCTTTTTCATCTTGACGAGTAGTTGTAGGAGCAGGACCACCAACATCTCCTTCAATAAATCCATGGTCGTCATCTCCCTCTTTCTTCGTTTCATCTCGAACAAGCAGAGGACTTGCGGTCTTCTGTAAGGAATCGGCCGCTGATTCCTTGTGCTGCGGTGCACGACCCGCAGCAGCTTTCCGTGCGACGTGCTTGGGATGTCTGTGCTTCGGATGTTGCACGGCCGCAGCCCCCGCAGTCCCTGGCTGCAGCTGCTCGGGCACTTCCTCTAACTCCGAGTCCTCCTCCTCGTGCTCTGCGGACTCTAGAAGTCCCTGGTCCGCAACAGTCCCCGTTTGCGATCGCTTTTTCTCCGCGTGCACTTTCCTCTGCACAGCCACGTGGGACCCTGGATCGACACCTTCTCCCTTTTCCTCATCTTTCCCGGCGGCAACCTGGTGAACATTACGGTGATGTGGCAGGTGGTGCCGCGGGTGGTGGCTGTGATGGTGCGGACGGTGGTGCTTTGGTTTATTCGACGCCGCCGCCACGTGGTGACGCGCAGCAGCATGATGCGCCTCTTCGTCGTGTTCCTCATCAAGCGGCGCTGTGCTATCCGGCACTACCTCTATCTCGTGCGCATCCTGCTTTCCAGTAGCGAGCTGCGCGAAAAACGCGTCGTGCTTTGCGAACATGAAAGTCGTCGGTCTTTCCGTCATAGCGGTGTAGAGGTCGTCTTTTTCCACCATGTCGGCTACCGGCTTCCCCCCCACCTGCAACAGCTCGTCGCCGGCGGAGACGCCCTTTTGCGCCGCCCACGACCCGGATTCCTCCACTTTGTCGATGTACATCGCGCTCGGCGGCATGTCGAGGGGCGTGAACCCCAAGACGCGCTCGCCTTCCTCCGCGTCCACTGTGTAGAACGTCGGCAACGCGAAGTTAAGGAAGAGCGGTCTGCGTTTCGCGACTTGCGACGCGAGAAAACTGTCGACGGAGATGAATCTTCGCTCCAGCCGCTTTTCCTCAAAAGGGTCCAAGTCCTCCCCGTCTTTGCTCTCCTTCTCCCGCATCGCGCCGGCAAACATGTCTTTCACCTGCCATTCGCTGATCGCGAGCACCTCGGCACCGCTCATAACGCCGTTCCGCTGGGCCCAGGCATCCGGCTCGACGTGCGAAACGAAGATGCGATCGTGGAGCGACAGGCGATGCAGCGAAAGACCTAAATCGTGCACCGCTCGCCCACTTTGGTCCTCGCCGACAGCGACCGTCAGGAGCTCCCGGCCGGCAGAAGGAGATGAGACGGCAGGCCCTGGTTGTGCAGGAGCGCCTGGTTCTTCATCCGCTCTGGTGGTTGCCCCGGAAGCCGAAGCTGCTCCCGCTGCACTCTTCGCCTTCGCTGCTCTCGCGGCTGGCGAGGACGGCACACTGTCGGAAACGGCAAACCTCCGCGCGGCCTCCTGCTTTGCGGCCTCCTTCACGACGGCCTCCGGGGTCCACAGCATCTCCACTTCCTCGTCCTCCTCGTCTTCGCCGTCGGAACCGCTGCTGCCCATCCGACCAGGATCGCCCTCCCGCACTTTGTAGTCCCGATCCAAGACCACGCAGTTGGCCCCCACCGGGAACTATCAAATGTAAAAGTGTCTGGGTCTGGAAACTTGTGATGCTGGGTGGCGTATCATGAGGAAGCCATAAGTGCTGGCTCAGCATGACAAGTTTCTGAGCTTCTAGGTGTTGCCTATTCTGCATGACAAACTGCGTTTTTGCATGACAGGAAAGTGGGGCTCTTGGGTAACCTGCATGACAGATTTAAGAGTCATGCCAGAGAAGCATGACAAATCGCGCATTCTTCCAGACCCAGACATTTTTACACTTGATAGGAACGGCACTTCGACGCGCGACATGGGGCGCAGGAACGTCAGCTCCGCAAACTTCTCCTTTTCCGCGGTCACCTTTGCCGGCTGCACCAGCAATCCGGAAAATTCCGCGCGGTGCCAAATGTAAAAGTGTCTGGGTCTGGAAGAATGCAACTTGTCATGCTAAATCTGAAGCATGCAAAAATCTGTGTTGCATGATTACCAAAAGTCGTCCAGTTTTGACAAAGTCGGAAGGCAGTTTCTCATGCAGGATAGGCATGAGAAAGATCGCACAGAATCTGTCATGCTAGGTCTTGCATTCCAGACCTCATGGCCATGGGTCACGGAAAAGCTGCATGACAAATCGCGCATTCTTCCAGAACCAGACATTTTTGCATTTGATACGCGGGCGAGGTTCGCAATCCGCTTCCCGTTCACGGCAAACAGGATGTCCCCGGCCTGTACGGGGGTGTGCAGCGCGCCCCAGGTGCCCGGGGTGACCGCCAACACCGTTATGTCGCTCCAGTCACGCACGGGTGGCGCCTGCCGCATGCGCAGGCCCATCTTGAACTGGTCGGCCTTCTGCTCCTCCGCGGTCTGTGGAAGAAACTTCTTGCAGGAAAACCGCACCAGGCGGTGGGGATAGGCTTGTTCTTGTTTTTGCGAATCAAGTAGAACTCCACCTGGTGCACCCGGTGCCGAACGCTCCTCGTGCTCCTCGTCCCTTGCAGTTGATATTGGAAGGGTCTTCAGCGATTCGTGCATTCCCGGTTTGAAGGGTCTGCGCACCTGCAGGATCAGCGGCCGGTGGCGGTCGTCCAGGAACTCGGAAACTGACTCCAGCGTCATGGGAAGGTAATCTGGGAGGTACAAATTTCCAATCTTCAACAGTTCGTCCCCGACCTGCAAGCCCTCGCTGTAGGCAAACCCGTTCGGTTCGACCCCCGACAAGACCAGCCGCTTGAACTCGAACCTGCTGCCGGAAGTGCTGCTGCTGGAACTGCTGGTCGAGGCAGTACCCGTGCAGTGTTTGGCCGAGAGCTTCACGCCGAGAATGGCCTGCAAGTCTGGCGCGCCGCGCGATCGGAAGCGCGGGGAGGGCAGGAGGCATTCCAGGAGCAACATGTTCTTTTTCGCGGCCACATTTGCCGTTTTTGCAACCACATCGCGCACGCCAAACTTTATCTCCAAAGGGCGAATGGTTTGTATCGCGCGCACCAGGTCGGTGACCGTCTGGAATTGTTCCACTCGGGTCCCTGCAACAGAAATCACCTCCATGCCAACCTCGACGCAGTTCGTCTTGTGCGCCCATGTCCCGTTTAGCACTCGGGTCACGAACAACTTCCGCTCGGGAGGGCTGCCGACGACCCCGAGCCCGAGCTGGAGGAACGCTTCCGCGAGCTCGCGCCGCTGCAACAGCGACGCGGAGGAATGCAACATGATTGTCAACGGCGACAAGGAAGAACCACCAACGGGAAAACGCGGACCATCTTGTATGTCCCCCAGGCCAGTTATGCAGGTACGAAGAGAATGGCACAGGGGCGCGAATAGCTCTCACCGACCACTCCAGTAATATACGTCACTCGAAAGTGTTTTGCTTTTGAAATCATTCACATTTATTTCTCGAGACGAGACGCTCAAGCAATGCTATCGACCGCTCCCCAAATCATGCTTTCGGTTAAGTGATTGATATTTATCAGCAGGATCCATTCGGCGAACGGATGAAGGTCAATTCGTGAGCGTGATCAACACTAGAAAGATCTTCTGCTATCCCGCAAGAACAGCGAAGTAGCGAAGGCTTACTCTGACATGCATATGTGCTGCCCGACACGCAGCGGTTTGGCCAGACGCTTCGGCTCTGGCGATTTTTCAGCTTTTTGAAAAATTCCTTTTGTGTCGCTAATTTGATTCTTTCCAGGTAAAGTGACGCGCGCACCAAGATGATGTTCCATAGAGAGCGATCAATCCCGCTTGTGGGTGGCTTCAAGGGCTTTTACCAACGTCTCCATCAGGTCCTCGTTCATGTTTGGGCCCTGTGCAAGGCCCATCATCGTGAAGAGAACAGGAAGCTGGTCGGAATATATCGCTTGCGTCAGCACCTTCATGTTCTCCTTTAGCTGCGGAGAGTGCATCGTATCTGTTGAAGTTTTTTTTTTTCACACTGGAGGATGGGCAAATAAAAGCAAAAATAAAAATTGTTTCGTGTCTGGGTCCAGCTGGCAAAGCGAAACTTCTTGATCTCTGGATGCTCTAGTACAAGCAGTACCAAGTATTTACCTATGACGTCCTGGTCTTCCTGCTGATCCTTGGGCATATGCGTTTTTAGCTCTGCGAGCGCCTCACTGTCTTCCGCTAATGTAAGAAGCACATCGGCTTTCAGCATGGAGTTCAGGGTTACCCGTGATTTCTGTTGTCGATGTTTTGCAAGTGTGTGAGAAATTTATGATTCCAGCTCATCATCATGTCGTGTGGCTCTTTTGATGGTGTTTCTTTGGTTCCTTTGAAATAACGAGTCTAGCTGCCTAAAAATCAGGAAATTAATTTTTCATCTACTTCATCCCCTTTACTCACCTACACGTGTAGCACGAAAACCAACTAGTACCCTGGATTGATCCACATTTTGCAGCTGGCCCCCTGCGTTCTGCAGCAAGGCCAGCAGTTGCGCCTGCAGTGCCGCCTGGTTGGCGGGGGGTGCGGCGGCCGGGACGGCGGCGGTGGCTGCCATCGCGCTGGAAGTCGCGGGCTGCGGGATGGTCGCGGCGATCTGCGTCGCTAGTGGTATTTCCGTGCCTATTGTCGTGTTGAATTTCTTTATCAGCTCGTCGTCCTTATCGTCCTTTGGCTCCTGCATCCAGAAAAACACCCGCACGGACGATGACGTGTATTTTAGGACGTACCTGTATGAAAGTCAAAGGGTGGATGATCATGATTCTGCCTGTTCGAGGACACCAATTTCGAATAAAACTCTGCAAAGACAAGCAGAAACTGATGCTTGACGCCACCCCTACTGGTTCAAGTTCAATAAACTTAAACTATCATGGAAAAATCCTGCATGAATGAAAAGGTAGTTCTATCTTACACGCGGCCAGTGGTGCATTTTCTAACCCGCTCCAGGTACGCATCCTGCACGACGACGTAATCGTCAATTTTCTCGTTTTTGTCCCGGTCCCACCACAGCACGTGGTGCAAATCTTCCGCGTCCTTCACAAGTTGAACTTTCCCCTTTCGCTTGTCCGCTGTGCACATCCGCCCGTCCCAATTCATCTTACCTGTGAACAAACGCAGAAAGTTGTGGTCTCTCTTGTTTGACAAATTCATCCAAAGTGACGGCGAGCATGTCCCCAGAAAAATCCAAACGTTATTCTATCTTGGCAGATGACAAAACGACTTCTAAACAAATAAATACCTGCGCGAAACTCCACTACTGTGGACATCCCGCTTGCGACGGCGGCCGCCATGTCGTTTCAGTACAGATACAGAATTCACCCTAACAAATAGTAATCTACACCATTACTCAGTTGTATACTATTTTGGCATCTCGAAGCAGCTACTTAGATGAACGAAATTCCAAAAAAATTCCAACAGTATGTTCGCTGCAGATTCAGATTGATTTATCATCTTAGGCATTGGTTATCAGGAAGAGAATACACTGAAAACATGTTGCATGAAAAAATGCACAAACACAATTCTAAGCGTTGCTATCTACTGAACTGGTTCAGCAAAGGATCCGTTGATGGTGCCAGATATCAGCATCTACACCGTGCGGGTTGTTGTAATCAGATTGATCGAGTTGTACATCCAAAAATGTTCTGCGCATTCAAGTTAATTGCTTCGAAAATCGCGTGCACTAGCGCGAGAATAACACGCGTGGAACCTCGCAGAGACACACGGACGGTAAAAGCCAGGACATGGTTGCGTTCTTAGCTCGAGGTCGTCGTTGCTGCGAAGCCGAACGGTTCCAAAAAAGATTTTGTGTGCAGGAAGTTCTTTCCAACATTCGCAGAAAAGTGCCGTTTTATCGTTGAAACAGGAGTAAGTAGTCTACGTCAACTTGGGGAAAAGAGTAGCTGGGTGGAAGTGGAAAGTGGAAAAATTCTGACTAGCTAAAGAAAATTTTCAGTGAGTAAGTCTAACTCAGGGCGTTTGCTATGTATGGGTAACCTTTCACGAACGGGAACGGAATTTTTGGAAATAAGCAATTCTGAAGACGGGTAGATCGATGTGAAGCTTTTCGAAATGAGGATGAAAGTATGAGCAAAAACGAATTGATCGAAAGAGAACAGCTCGAAACTGTGGCTGCGCCAGTTTATTTTAACTCGTTGCGTCGGAAGCAACAAAAAAAGCTGCTCGCCTCGCGGTTTTAGCAGGCCGGGTCCAGGGCAGGCTCCATGACATAGTCGCTTCCGTCTTCCGTCCAAACTTGCAACTTGTATGCTACAATGTCCAGGCTCCGGCAGATCTTTTTTGCGTAGCACTTACTGATGCAGCGGTGCTTGTTGAGGTCGCCCCAGTGCCCAGTTTGTGTGACGTGCAAGGGCTTAACAGTGGGGCACTCATCCTGGTTGGAGCCATGCACAAAGGGAGGCCAGTGCCTGCAGCACACCTCGTTTTCTTTGCACAGATCCATCTTCCCGTTATTCCAACAATCCAATTCGCCCGATCCATGCTTCCCTTCTTCAGTCAGTCCGGTGTCGAAATTGATAGAACGCCTCGTACAATTATCCCCGTTCTTGTCGCATTTTCTAAAATCCCAGTTGTGGTATCCAATTGAAAACAATGCTCCATCCCGAGCAACGGACAAAGAAGTAAGCATCGTACTCTTCCTGTCGATCATGCGTAATCGAAACTATTCATCCATTTTCGCACGGAAGCACTAGTACACAAAATACGTCCTCTCGTGAGATTCTTCACGCGAAGCCGGTTGGTCGGCAAATCAATGCAAAGGACAAAACTGCGTCTGACTGTGCGTCTTGCTGTCCTTTTACAAATTTGCAGCGCATGATAATGCTGCATGTTATTTTTATCTTCCCTAATCCTGTATCTACGTACCACGCATTAACAGCTTCTAGGGGCTGCAGCAAGTAAGTATAATGGCCTCAAAGTCGAACTGTGTCTGCTCTCAGGGATGAAAATTATTTCCAGCGGGATATCAGTTCAATGTTACCACTCATGATCGGGATTTCTTCTGGACACTCTTTCCGCCCTTCAGGACGAGTGCCAGGAGCCTTCTCTGCCTTTCGTCCGCGCAACTTTTTCACTCTGGTCGCCTTCTGCTTCTGCCGCGCTCCGCCGACAAGAATAGCGGCTTCCGCCAGCGCGCAAACGGTCATGAGTCTTTTCATCCTTCCCAACGACGGAAGGGCAAAATGGGCTGGCGTTTTCTTAGAGCGATTTATCTCTTGCTTCCAAGAGTTGCTGCACAACCGACTGAGCTTCGTCAAGTACTGGCTGTATGGAAACCTAGTTACAACGAAAGGTCCTCAGACTGAATCCTGAATGTTTGTCTTGTTCTTCCCATCCGCATTTTAAAAGACCATCGAAACCGCCACAGCCAAGAAAGCACGAAGCAGAACGATTTTTACGACGAGCACACATTCTTGTTTTGTAAAATGTCACGTTGCGAACGACAGGAACCCATCGCGCGGTTTGGAACGACACGACAATCAGGAAAGAAAAGAAACCAAAAGAACGAGTGGTGACGAAAACGACTCATGTCGACGAGAAGGCACGTTTTACAAAGAAATGCAGGGAAGTGCAAGTGGCTGCGGCGCATATAAAAAAACGACTTCTGGAACTTCAACTTCCGAACGGCAGCGACTACGCGACGGCATGATATAGTACCCAACGTCTGCTCCTGTGATGATACAGATCGACAACTTCAGGGCTGCACGCAGTGCTATTATGTATACAGCATCACGATGCGGATTTGATTGTTCGCTTGCCTTAGTGGGCCGTCTTCGTGTGGCTCTTTTTCTCTAGTCTAGGTGGTCGCTCGAACAAGTTCGCTGTTGCCCTTCTATGGTGCAAACCAGGACATGATTGCCCTCTTTCCTCTTTCGGGACGCCAAGATGCTCATTGGACCTCCACGCAACAACATTCTTACATTCGGTTTGGCCATTCAAAGATTAACACTTTACCTGGGCAATTGTACATGGATCTGAAGTTCAAACCTGGATGGTAGTAGAAAATCTTGCATGCCAGCAAAAACTTGATAGACTTGACTCATCTTCGCGGATAATGGGACTTCGTGCCCGCTGTTGGCATGTATTCCCGCTGCCGCTGGGGTTCGTGGCTCTGCACCTGAAAGATTCATTTATTTATTCGAGGTCCTCCTTCTAAGACTTTCTTCCTACAAGTCGATTCAAGCATGGATGTTGCCTTCAAGTGCCACTGGAAATTATTTTTTTTTGTCATAGTAGAAAGGCTCTGCTTAATGAAAAGCAAGACTTCCTACCAGTGCGCTCCGCGTGAAATCTTGACGGACGTAAGGGCGGAAGTAAAAGTCGTTTATGTGTCGCACCGTATCATTGAAACACGCATCGAGGCCGGAAAGTTGGCTCTTCACCTTCGCTTGTGGGTCCACGCCATCTGTGATAAAAAGATTTTGCATGTTTATGAAGCAAGTGCGCTCTACTCCCAATGCGAGGGTAGAAAATTCTCTCCCAGCACACCAAAGTGAAGCTGCTCCGACTAAAACCCAAAAGCAAACTGGACGATGTTGAGCGCGACCAGTCAACCCAAAAATTCAACATCAAGGTCGACATTGACATTTTAGTACATGTGCTTTCGGGTGTAAAATTGTTGGTCGGCACCGCCGGTATACTCTGGAACTGTTCCCTTTCCTTTCTTGTCTTTCCCGTGAGGTTGTACTCCTTCCGCTGGCTCGAGAGAAACCAGTTCCGTGGGTCTGCCTCCGGCCTGGTCAGCACGGTCATGCTATTACTCCGTGAAAATCGACCTTGGGAGGAGCTCGAGGTCGTTCGTTGCTGCGAAGCCGAACGGTTCCCGTCCTCCCGCATACTATGAAATCGGGGGTGGTTCATTTTTTGTGCGTCTTGTTCCTTGTAAGAAGTACAAGGACAACTACTTACCGGCTTTCTGTAGATTCCTGTCTGATCCAACTTCAACAAGTTCGTGCTCTGCGTGTCCTCTTCCTGAACGAACAATAACAAGCCTCTCAGAAGATCCTCTCCCCCGCTGGTTGTCTTGACAAATTCTCGAACGAAAATCGAGCACGAAGAACCATCACGATTGGATCTATGTATGATAGCGCTCCACCCTTGTTAGTGACACACCTAGCTACTTAATACCGGCGACACTCGGCGAATCTGAAAGACTTTGTCCTTGTCGTAACTTGAAACACGAGTTCGAAATAGAACAGCTCACCAACAAGCTTGGCCAATGGCCTTGACTTCTTCGCAATTGATCGTGATTTTTTCGTGGGACGCAGAATGCAGCGGAAACTGCGAGCGTGTACTAGTTTGAAACTAAACTTGAAACTGAAACCGTAGCGATTCTTTATCAATCTTCATAAACAAGCATCAACAAGAACCGTTGATGTGCTCGTCTAATCAGCCTTGCGTTTTGATGTGTTGCTCTTGTTCATCATCAGGTGCATTTTCTCCGCAAAGTTGTCCTTGATGTCCTCGTACATTTTGTTTTCGCAGTCCATGCAGAAATGCAGACCCATCTCCACATCACTTTTGTTGCAGAGCAGGCAATCGTCGTTACCACTTTTCGTCAGATTCTGCAACATTGGAGAATTTTTCAGAGCGGCCAAAAACTGCTTCTCCGAAAACTCCATAGCACTTTTTCCGCTTGTTGCTGGTGCGGCTTTCTCATTGATTCTGTCCGCGGTCTGCTGGAGTGAAGACGAGGGTTGCTGTTCATCTCCTACGTGTTCCGATAACGATCGACATCCTTCTTGTTCAGCAGTGGTTGTGACATGATTCGTCCTAGCGATTTGTGCTTTCGCCGAAAATGCAGGGGGTGGCGGAGGTTTTCCGCTCAACTTGGCGCGACTCGACGCGGATCGCGCAACGCGCGGTGTCGTCTCTCGACTGCTACTGACGGAGAGAGAAGATTTGGACGTAGCAGATTTCTTGTTGGATAGTTTGCTACTTCTCTCCTCGTCGAGACACTTCTGCTCTTCGTCAACAATGCCGGTGCTGCTCCCGAGTTTTTTCCTTTGCTGCGATCGCAGTCGCCCTGGCCGCCCAGAAATCTCTTCCTCAGACGGAGACGCCGAAACCAGCCCCTCGAAAAAGTTGTAGCGGTTCTTGTTTTTTGGCTTAGTTTTACTTGACGTCGGTGCTTGTTGTTCAACATCCTTGTTTCTGAGGTTCTCCTCTTCTCCGATTATTTCCTTCGCGGATTGACTCGTCGCCAGCCTGGATGGAGGAAGGAAAGTCGTGGCCTGCTGCTTTTGCCCGCCATTAGTCGTCGTGCCGGCAAAGGGAGCAGCAGCTCGCGTAGTAGCTCCACCTCCGCCGCGGTGGTGGTCTTTTCTCGTGCTCGTAGAACCGCTGCCCGGCGCAGTTTTCTTTTTCGCTTGATCTGACGCGGTCGAGCTGGCGCTGTTTCTTCCGTTCTTGGACGTCGAGGCCGAAAAGCTACCACCAGGTTGTGACTTCGCACTCTCCTCGCCCGAAGCGGTCATGCTGCGTGCTCTGCCCCTCGCAGCCTCCTGCTTCAAGGCAAGCGCCTGCGCTTTCCGAAGCGCCTCAGCCCGTCTCGCTTTCTCCCGCTCCTCCTCAGCTTCCTTCTCCGCTCGCTTTGCCGCCCGCTCCGCCCGCGCCTCTGCACGCGCTTTGCTGCGCTCGAAGTGCCCGGAGAACTTTTTAGCAAAGGCATCCTGGAGAGAGACTCCCGGCTCGGTGTAGTTCAGTTGCGGAAAGATTGGCTGCTCCTCGCGCGAAGTTGTTGTGCGGGCCACAAGGTTGCTCTGCTCGATTGAGACCGCTGGGGTGGCGTTTTCTGAACCTGCGGCGGTACTCAACGAGTGCGCTTTACTTCCTTTCCCGCTAATATCGCCTGAAACAGACCTACTTCGCCAGCCTGCTGATCCCAAGACAGCGTCGGGTGCCGGCTCTGGATCCAAACCGAAGTGCTCCGCGAAGGTTATTTCGTTCGCTGTCGCAACAGACTCCTGCACATTTGCCTTAGTACTCGCCGCATCTGCTACTTCTGTGCTCTTCGACGGTACCATCCTCGGTTTCGCCACATCCTCCATCACGGCAGATAAGCTGTCCTGCGCCGACCGTATCAACTCGTCGTTGTGTCGGTCAGCTGATATCCAACCGTAGCTGCTAGACGCCGAAGCTGTGCGCTGCTCAACTGCTGGTGACACTACGGACGCCATTGGTACCACGTCCAGATCTGAGTTCGTCGATAGTTGCACTGCAGAAGGCTGCATCTTGACAGCTGCTCCTGGTTCTGGTTTGTAGTACTTGTTGGCGCGTTGAAAGGGCGGCTTCTCTGCCGAGACCGGCGCTGACGGCTTTGGTATTCGCGAGATGGTTTTCGGCGTGTCGGGTCGCTGCTCGAGCAGCACGCGGGCTTCCGATGCGTCGGGGGCGAGGGAAAAGAGTTCCGCTATTTCCGGTTCGAGGCTCGCTAGGGCGTCCGCCCCGAAATATGTCTCCGCCTCCGCCTCCTCTGGGGTCCGAGCAGTATAGAACCCCGATTTGTCCCCGGGTTCACTTGTCACTGCGGAGGTTTGCTGCTTCTCACGAACTACGACGTCTCCTGCGACATCAATTTGTTGCTCTCGAACTTGAATCACGGTGTCCGACGAGCTTTGATGCGGCCCTTCGCTGGAAATAAAACGTGCTGACAAATCATACTCTTCGTACTTCTGCGGCGTTGGGGTCGGCGGTATGGCAGGGAGAAGGTTTCCGTCACACACGATCGACCCGTCCGACGGAGAGATGAGGCTTGAAGAAGGTTTCGGCGAACCCGCGGAATGACTGAAAAACTCCATATTCGCGAACGGATTTTCCGGCTTACCCCACCCGGACCGCATAGACACCTGTGTGTTTGAAGAAGAAGAGAAGTTGGGTTAATAATTTGCCGCGGTTATCTATTTCCAATTGCAATTTGCACATAAAAAACGACCCACGCTCCGTCTACGAAGATGAAATAGAAATGACGCAATTTCCTACTTATGAAAAAATACCGGCGACTTTTCCTTCTTCCCTGGTTTACCGTGAGAATTCGTCGCGATGCCACTGTCGAGCGCCGCTTTTCTCCGGAGTGACGGCGACGCCCGCCGGGCTCGACGGTTGGGAGACCGGAGTTTGTCCACCCGCAAGCGCATCCGCCGCCGCGTCACGCTGGATTTTGAATTTTTCGAGGAAGACGAACTGGCGCGTCCGGAAGATCCAGTTAATAACGGTACTTGAGAGGTGGAGGACTCAAGCTGCTTCTCTTGGTAAACCCCCCGGTGGTCCTTCAGTTCGTGCGCTGTTCTTTCCTGGTTCTGCTCTTGCTCTTGTCCCTCCTCTGCGTCGTAGGCAGCAGGACTATGGCGACTAGTACTGGCAAAAACTCCTTGCTTGTTGAATGCGGGTGAAGTAGGTGCAAACACTGGCGAACTTCTGGTGAAGACGTGCGTGGACAGTAGAGGGTCGTGGTTTTCGAACTGTACTATCGTGCTGTCAGCGCCAGCGCCGAAACCAGCACCCGGTAGGACATCATCATCCTGATTTGCAGCTCCTGGGGCGGCTGTTTGCTGCGCCAAAACCTCTGTTCCAACAACAATCGCATCTTCCAGCTCCTCTTCCAGCTCCGGGGGCGGCGATAGAACGCCCGCCCTGGTGGGTTGCAATTCCGGTACACACAACTCAGCTGGACCTAGACGTCTCACGCGCGTCAACTCACAGGACTCCACGAGCTTCGTCAAAAGCTCCACGGGTTTACAACTTCTATCGACCACCTCTGACGCCACAACTTCTTCGGTTCTACTTGGAGGACCTGATTCGTACACCTCGTCGTCCTCCTGCGCAAAACAAGCTTTGCCGAAATTGAAAGAAGAATCAGACTGGTCCTGCACGCGATCCAGCACGTCTTCGATCTTTTCGAAGAGCTTTTGCACGTGATCCACTTCCTCCTTGATGTCCTGCTCTCGCGAAGTTGTACCGTTCATTTCCTCTTCCTCGACTGCTGGAAAATGATCTTGATCTTCGAGGATTGCCGAAGGTTCCTCTTCGTCATCCGCATGAACATCAAGATCTGCGACGTGCAAGGAATTTTCCTCCTGCCAGTCCTCTTCCACCGTGCGCAAGTCCATCTCCGCGAGGTCCACCTCCGGAATCTCCACTGCATCTTTCGGGGCCAGCAGCGGCGCTTGCAGCACTCGCGAAAGAACCCGTGCCTGCGACGCGTCGGATATTGCGACCACACGTGGAGATTCGCTATCACTATCCTCTCCCTCATAGGTGCACTGCACGACAGGGGAGGGGTTATTGTCCTCGTCCGCGGATTTTGTTGGTGAAATAGAAACCGTTCGTCCGGTGGATAAGATTCGCTTCATGGGACTGCTGGTGGTTGGCGCCAGGAGCGCGCCGCGGGAAAACCGGTAGGCTTCACCGAACGAGGTGCAAGAGGAAGTTGAGGGCGCTCTTGTTACAAATTTGGCTGCAGTTGGTTCAATTTCACTACTACTTCCTGCTGAAGTTGTAATTCCTTTATTCACCACACGCGGCTCTGGCTCCGCAGGCGTCTCCTGCCGCTGCCGTGCTTCATTCTTGTTTGCAGCTTCCCGCACTGTCGGCTCGCTTTTCTTCAAAGGCGGGGACTCGGACAAAAACTTGTTGCGCCGCACCACTGGCGAGTTTTTGCGCGCTGAGGGAATCACGCGCGATATTGCGTCCAGCTGCTTCAGGTACTGCGGCCGCTGTGTGCTTTTCTCATTTGTGCTCGCAGCAGCAGCACCAGCAGGAGTCTGGCTGCTCACCTTTGCAGTTACCGCGCCCGTTGCAGCTCCGGAAGGTTTCAACATTTCTCCTTCGTCTTTCTGTCTCTCGAAGCCTGGTGGTGAGCAGGACGCATCTGCAAATCCGTGGTGGTAATTGGTTTTTTGCGGACTTAGCCCCGGGATGACCAGTTTTTGTGGCGAGGAGCGATACGCAATCGGCCGACGAGACGACGACGCTGATGCCGACGATGTTATATTACCGGATGAGGATGTTGTACTAGTTGCAGCAAGCATCCTCTGTTTCTGTCTCACCGAAGCGGGGGAGCCATCGGCGAAAACACTCCCCGAGTCATCTTCATCCGCGTCTACCGAGAAATGCACTGCGGGGCTCGAAGTGGAAGTAACTGGATTCATCTTCGTGACCACTGAACCTCCTCCGGTCGGACTTGCGACGGCGGAAGAAAGAGCGACGGACTCTCGCTGGAAGTCAAAATCCTTTCGCCGATGAACGTTCGCACCTCTAGAAGTCGGTGACGCGGCGGAACAAGAACCGCTCGAGCTCTCATTGCCGACCTTCTGTTCCACCCGAAACGCCACCACACGCCGCTTGTTTCTCTCGGCCGACAGCTCCGAAAACTTCACCAGGCTGGGGCTCGCGGGCGGTGGCGTCGGACAGCCGGTTGCCTTCGACGCTGCGGTCTCAGGCAAGATTGATCCTTGCTCGCAGATCACGATCGAGGGGTGGTCTCCTCGCGCCGACCGGGCAGACAAGGGAGGAGCAACCTTCCGCGGCGACAAGCTCGCCTTCCGGGGTGAAGGCAGCCGCATGTAGCTCATCGCGCGGGTCGACTGGGTCAGGAGCGGAGCGGTTTCGGCTTCTAGCGGTGTTGGTGTCGCGGCGCTTACTGCAGAAATAGATCCAGCTGTATAATTTTTCCACGTAGTTGTATTGGAGACGAACAGTGGTGTCGTTGTACTTGATATTATCTTCCCTGGTTGTGGTTGCAGCAGCTGTTGGTGCGGTGTACTGCTACTAGTGGACCTCGTCGCGGGGTAAAAGAGCAAAGGCCCGCCGCCCGCGTCGTTGCCCGACTCGGTGGTCCCAAGCCAAGGCGCACTGGCAGCTGCCCCACTTCGCCCTCCCCGGAAGCGGTCCGCCGACCGCAGATGCGAGTTCGCCCCCGCTTGCGTGGGCGTGCGACTGTAGGAGCTCACAGTTGTGATATGAGCCGGCAGCCCGCTCCGTGTGTGGTCGGCGGAGTCATCCCCCTCCTCTCCAAAGCCCCTAGACGCAAAAATTGGCTCCGCGCGAGTGCCGATCGGTGTAGTAGTTGCTGCACGAAGTTGTAAATGATCCGTTGCTCCTGCTCCTGTATTTGCCAAACTTGTCGCAGTACTTAGAATCGGAGGTGCTCGCGGCATCGCTGGTGCAACGAGAGTTGTGAGACCAGGATTTGTTCTTGATGAACGCAACAGTGAGTGCTCGCGCGGCTGCATCATGACAGGTGGCTGGAAAGAGATAGCACTTGATCTGGAGAGCGGTGCATCTTCCTCTCGCTGGGGTAGCGTTGCGGTTGCCGCACTTCTTCTCGGTGGCTCGTTATCCCCCGCAGGCGGTGGCACAAGAACGGAATCCAGAAAGTTCGGCGTGAAACCTGATGTGATGAAGATGAACAATAGATACCGAGCTGGGAGGACATCATAGACCTCTGAGCAGACCCTCACACATTCGAACGAACACGAATTACAGTGACCCACGGTACTAGTGTAGCCCCATGAAGCATGATCTTCGAAGATCTAAGTAGTACCCGGAGCTGCCTGTACAGCTGGAATCGGGCTCCTGCCATTCGAAAACTGGCGCGGCGGCTGGCCACCAGTTCCCCCGAGTAAATGCTGAATTTTGGCAGCAAAGTCTCCGCCCGCCGGCGTCTCCTTTGAGGGAGCGGAAGAAGCTCCTCCGAAGAGCCGATCCCACATTCTCTAGCCCTACGACTACCCGCAGGAGGGCCACAAATAGTATCAAGGGGGATGCAAAGGTACATTTACCGGGCGACCGACGGCCCTTTCTATTTTGGTGGAGTACTTATTTTACATGTTCCGCATTGTCGTTGGTCGATGGAGCACAGACTAGCGACTCTCCAGAATACTCATGCAGGCCACTCACGCTCAGGCCGCACGGTGAGTCAGGAAACTTTGTTCGCGCACAGGGATACTCAACAACACGACCGCGTTTTTACGCACGGGCTCGAAAAGGACAACACGAATTTGCCGATGGTGTATCCTGCTTGAGACACGCGATCATGGGCGATGTTCTTTTCATCTCGCATTTATTTTCTTTTACTTTTTCATCCTGATCCTGTTCGTTACTGCTGCATTAAAATGCTTATCAGCATACCTTGCGCGCTCGCAATATTAACGTCGAATTCAACAGTGCTGACCTGTTTCTGACATTAAAGCTTTCTTGGAAGATGGATTCTATCTCGTCGGATGCAAACATTCAAAAGGAAACAAGAGGTTGTGTTGATGTGACTCAGTCTATCATGGAATCATACAAGGCGAAGCTCCTACTGGCTGTTTTCAAAACGTCCTTCAGCTTGAAAAGCAGCCCTCACGCCCTTGCGATATTAACATTTGCGAAACTACTTCTCAAGAACGAAGATCGCAACCGAAACGTTCTCTAATTGAGCATTTACTTGATTTTCAGACTTTCGCGTCACCTACTCGACACGACGGCTGCTGGCGCATTTACTACGTAGTTGGACACCAGTAAGTTTTGTAATGAAGTTAACAAAAGCATTTCGAACGACCAAAAGGCCACGGTCAGGGGCCCGAAAAAGCTCGGGAACTTGAACAAATCAATGAGCAGGATGCCGTAACTGGATGGCGGCGACAAGATCGCCAAAATTGCTAAGGTCCTAACATTCGCGTCGTAGAACGAGAGCAATCCCGCGGCTAAAACAAGCACAACCGTCGTGCGGATTGCGAAGGCGGCGACGAGCAACTTCCTCCCATTTTTGGAATAGTACCCGCCTCCCGACGAATTTTGCATGCCGCCGAACAAATCCGCCTTCGCTCCGGATAAAAAGTAGAGCGAAAATTGAAATGGCGAGGCGATTACTTCCAAAATTCTCTCCATGTCCGGCGACATTCTCGCCCCGCACGCGTTGAGCACGCAGCCGAGCACGATGGCCCCCAAAATTGGTTGGAGAAACACCGTGTGTGCGTGTGCGCGCAGTCGTTGCATCGTGTCGCTGCGAAGCACGACATCGACCACTCTGCCGAAAGAGAGTTTGTAGAGCTCGTAGCAACAGATCCCAAACTGCCGCGCTTGGAACGATATCCATCCATAGAGGACTTGTCCGGTGGTAATGCGTGTGTGTTGCCCGAATCTAAAGGATTTGTTTTCTCAAACTTGTTTTTATCAAACAACAGGGCAACGGCCAAGCGTCGTAAAATTGCCTACCTGCAGGACACGACGAGCGCCGAAAACAAGTACAAGTTGAAGTTGCATTGCCATACCACGTACACTTTTCGCAATGATTGTAGCAAACAAATCGAAGAAAAATTATACCCGAATAGCACATCGTCTTCCACCCGCCTGCTCTGCGACCACAGTCTCTTGCTCGGGACACCGAACGGCTTTGCTGGGTGTGCATCCGCGAAGCTGTCGTAGTAGTCCCCGACTATTCCCGACGGCCCGCCGCGCGTTTCCAGCCAGCTTGTTGGCAACAGCCACGAAACAAGCCAGGACCACCTACTGGAACTAGTACTACTCCGTCCCCAGGACTCCTGCTCCCTTTCCGGCAACGAAGACGAGAAGCAGCCGTAGGAGGTCAAAGACGGGTGCGATCTGCTCGTTCCCTTGCCGCCGCCCACGGGCAGGTGATATCCCGCAAATCTCGCGGACAACGGGTCCGTCGCGAGCATGTCCTCTAGCGGGATTCCGGCGTACGGTTCCTCGCCGTCCTCCACGTCCAACGCAGAGATTAGATCCACAGTGTGTCTTCGAGGTCTACTTACTTTCTGGCCGTTTATCTTCCCCTGATCGAGCATATTATCCTCCTCGCTGTCGTCGCGACTTGTACTACTAGGTGGAACCTTCAAATGCTTCTTCCGCGACGAGGGGACGATGTGTCGGCTCGGACAGCCGTCGATGGGGAGCTGCTGGTGCTGCGTACTACTTGTGTAGAAGTGCGGTTGTTGCTCGTGGTGGGGTGGTTGTCCCTGTCTGTTTGAAACGACAAGGGAGAAACTGCCGCAACGGGTCGCGGAAGAAGATCCACGGAGTTGTGAAGAGCAAGAGATTCGGCCGTGGTCCTTCGAACCTGTGGTCCTGCCAGAGCTCGACGATGTTCCTGCCGGGAAAGCTGCGCCAGCAGAAATGACACTATTCGCACTCGCAGAAGAATACACCGCGGCGAAGATGAAGAGTCCGAATTGGCAAACCCAAGCGTTCCCGGTGACATCCCACCAGATCAATTTTCTGATTGCCTCGACCCCGAACGCGTCTGCGATCACCGGGAACAGGAAAGAAATCATGCAGCCGTTGCACATGAGCAAGAGCCATCCGTCTTCGAAGGAAGTCATGTCCTCGTAGCTCAAGATCCGCGACGTTTTGGTGCAACTACTGCTCTGCGGCAATAAACAGGGCTTGTAGTTCTGAGCTTGGCTACTACTACTGCTGTTGCTGCTGCTGTGAATATTACCCGCCGCGGCCCTGCCGGGGTAGGTTGTAACAGGAGCACGCATCAACGCGCCACGGCTAGAAGCCGATGCAGCTTGTTGCCCATAATTCATCTTGCAAGGTTTCTCATTGGGCAAAATCGCCTGCGCGACACCGGACGAAGGAGAGAACGAGCTTGTTCGTAGGTGAAAAGTAGAACCATCTTCGTCCGGGGGAGGCGCCTGCCGATGCAGATCCGCGTTCGGACTGTTCCGCGACGTCGACGAGCTCGTGAGGAAAAAGGACGGCAATATTACCCGCTTGAATTTGTCGAAAAAGATGCCCAGGAACCCCCTCTTTTCCTCGAGCGCGCCCGTGATTAAGTCTTGCTCGTCCAGGTCCGAGGGACTTTGCTGTGGTCAGAAATTTTTCATGCAATAGCTTTTGCGTGAGCCGCGCCGTGCATCAAATCTTGCGATTCAGATGAAAGAAGAAAAATGCTTGTAAGTAACCTAATCGATCCTGTTAAATACCGAGAGCTCGACATCAAATCAACAAACTCACACAAACATAAACCGCTGTTCGTATCAATACCCCACTGGTGTCCTCGCTTTCGTTCTGCCACTCGAGGACGCTGCTGGCTTCCGTCCTTGCGGACGAGTCAGGCGAGTGCTCGTAAAACAAAGTCGTCTCGGCACTTCGGGTAGACGGCGTTGCCGGCTGTTTCAGCTTCCCGCCCGTGACGAAATTTGCAATGCGCGCTGCACTCGGAGGAGTGATCTTGGTCTTCGGACTGGAAGAAGTTCGATGTGTAGAGCCGGAAGTAAAATTGCTGTTTGCGTTTCGAAAATTACGATCACCGGTAGTCGAACTGCTAGTACAACTACTGCTGGACGATGTTGTTCTATTTTCGTCACTCCTCCTGTTGGCCTGCAAGATATTCATTCCGCCTGGGTTCTGGAGCTGCATCTCCCCCGACACGACAATCCCCGTGCTGCTATTCACTTGGACGTGGTGTGGGTGGTCGGTGCCGTTGCCGAGCGGAGGCGAACCCAACGGTGGCGACTCCAGATCGTAATCGTCCTCGGCAGAAAGGTCCTCTACATCGCACTCCGGAGACCCCATCGGCTCTTCGGATGGTCGCTGCGCAGCAGGTTCGAGGGGAATAAAGGGCGGAACTCCTGTTGTGTACTGGAATTCCCGCGACGGTCCTCGCATTTTTCTTGTTGTACTAGGGTCATTGTAATCATCTCCCACTGCATGCTCGCGGTGCGCCGGCCACTCCCAGCTTTCTTGGACAAGGAAATCCGAGTTTTCGACCGCGAAGTGGGCTGTATTGCAATACTTTTGCCGAGTAGTGCTTTTTTGAAGGCTCCTTCTCATCTCAATGAACGCATTCTTCGCACGAATTGATGGAGTAGAATGATGAACATGCATTACAAGCAACAGTGGAAAAATCGTAACTTCCTATTATGAAGACAAGTACTCCGCCACTGCTCGTGCTCTCTGCTGTAGTGCTCGTGGCAGCTCCGTCGCCGTTCCCGGACGAGGACCCAGGTTAGGCAAATCCACACAATGTGGACTGTCGGCGACAGCCACGAATACTTCTGCACGACGCTGTCCTGACCTACGTCGAGTCGCCACAAGTGGCGCAAGAACAACGCCGGAAGGAAGACATTGAATATGCAAAATCTCACCGTCGCTAGCACAGCGGACTCCCTCGGCTGTGCATGTGTTCCAAACGGCTCCAACGCCCCGGCAGCTTGCTCTCTCTTCGCGGCGAGTCGCCGCTCTTCATACTTGTGATGTAATTGCGCAAACACGCTCCCGGCAAGCAGAATCCCGAAACAACAGAAGAAGCTGGCCCCGCCCTTCCACGGGGCGGTAAGACGTTCCCGCAGATACTCCTCCGGCTTCGTGCCCCAGTCAATTAGCGCGCTCAGTTCGGCCCGTTGGCGCTGCACCAAGGTAATCTTTCTCAGCGATTCGGCAGAGAGCTCCGGCATTTTGGATGATTTTTGACCTTCGTGAATTTCAGGGCTTTTCTAGCATTACATTTCAAAAAATCTGCTCCTTTAAACTGCGCTCTCAAGAATTTCAACAAAACATTCGATATCCAATACACCGAAACGTAAGTCTACAAGCCACTTCAAGAAATGAACAAAAAAGTACGCGCCAAAACTTTCATTTCTCTCACTCTCTCCGCAGCACCTTTTTCTATCTGCTTTGCTTTTCAGGGATGATGATCGGTTATACACTGCCAGAAGAAGTTTTCTTCAGCCCACATCGGGACTAACTATCCCACTAGAACATCAATTTCCTTCAAAACAAAGGTCCTCCCGTTTGAGCCCGACCTACACTTCAGCTGCGCAAGCTCACTTGGGTGATAATGATATCTGTGTTTAACTCTGGGCCTCTTGGCTCGCATGGTCAGTACATTCAGAGCGGTTAGAGAGGCCTTTTTAATATCCCCAAGGAGTAAGTACTACGACTCCCATTCCCTTTCCAAGTATCTTTTCTTATGACACAAGACATTTGTCGCGAAAAGAGAAAAGTGTCGGTGTCCGCGGAAGCACGAACCGAAAACTACAATTGAGAGTTTCTATTCCCCCTTGATTTGTTTTGCGCCTTCCTTGTCATCCGCTTCGTCCGGCTCTCGTTTTCTTTTCTTCTTTGTTCCGGCCGTCTTGTTTCCGGCGCCGTGCGCTGCCCAGGCCTGCTCGTACACGGATCTGGGCACGAGCCCAACGTTCGTTTTTATGTACTCGACCCCATCGATCACTTGGAACTTTTTCGCCTTCTTCGCGCCAGTTGCTCCTGTCGACGAGGAAGCTGCAGCTGATGTTCCTGTTCCTGTTGCCGTTGTCGAAGCAGCGGTCGTCATGGCAGTTTGAGCTTCGCCGGTGGTGGACGCGCTCGTCGTAGTGGTTTTGGCCAAGGAGGTTGCTGCAGTTGTTGGGTTTACTATTTTCGCAAAAGAAGGATCACCGCTCGAGGTACTGTCCGCGTTTGTGGTTTCTGGTGCTGCGGAGGATTTGTTATTGCCCACAGTTGCATCAGATGGAGTTATTGTTTTCATGGCAGAGGAAGTCGCAGCTCCGCTTCCGCTCGGTGCCGGTACTTCTACTGCTGCAGCAGGAGGCTTTTCGCTTGTTAAAACTGCCGAGCTACTGCTCGATAAGCCCACCGTGCTCGCCGCACCCCCTTGATGTTGTAATATCGGCGCAACCACAAGAGCGGGGGCCGAGCCTGTGCCTGTGCCTGTCCCCGGCTCCTGCATACTTCCTGCTGCCACCATCGCGGCGGTCCTCTGCGGTGATATCTTCGGCCGCACAGGAGATACCCTCGGGCTACTTCGCACTACCGCGGCTTGCCCGACTCCCGCGAGCCCAATCCTCTTTTTCATTGATTTCATTACAGGAGCTTGCAGTTGCGGTCCACCAGTAGAAGCAGACATGACTGGGCTCGAGCTGCTGGAACTACTACTCGCAGCGGTCTTTCCGACAGCCAACGAAGCAGTGGTTTGTTGCTGCACGACACCAACATGATCCATCGCAGATGAAGACGCGGATGCGGGTACTACTACAGCAGCAGGAGTCGTGACAGGAGGAACAACCACCCCTGGAGGCGCAACCAATGGCTGCACGGGCGGGCTGCTTCCCGACAGGACACTAACGGACAACGCCGGCGAGGGGCCCTGCGAACCGGCTGCTGTGCCGTTAAGCGCACCAGCAGCCTGCGCGTCCGACTTGGCCGCTCGGAGCTTCTTCCTTTTCGCCCTCTCTGCCTTCTTCGCCTCCTCTGCGGCGTACTTCGCGGCGAGCGCGGCGGACGCGGAGAGCTTCGGCTGCGGTTGTTGCGGCTGTTGTTCGGAAGTTGTAGATGCAGTCGCCTTGTTCTCGGAGGTCGCCTTCTCCCCCGGCCGCCGTGTCGGTGGTGATTTATTCCCACCCCCCGTGCTGATCGGTTCCGGAATGTGGAATGGGTCGTCTGCTGTCGGTTGATTTTCCTCGAATTCTCCAACTTGTAAAATCATCGGGCTCTTGTCCTTCTCTATTGGGCTGATCTCGGCTTGATCCTCGAGGGGAAGCTTGGGCTGCGAGGGCTCCTCGTCATCGTCGTCAACCGGGCTCATGGCGAGCTCCTCGGGCGGCGGACCGTCTTTTGCCAGGTAGTACCACTCGCGCCGGAGGGAAGAAAGCTGGGAAAAGTTGATCAAAAATTATGGGTCATTTCATATCCTCTGTCGAATGTTCTTTAGCTTCTCTTTTTCCTATCCGAAGTCACACTCATTCCTTCATCGTGGTTCATTCTCATTGCATACAACGAACGATAATCAATGCAACATGTGGGCGCGGCAATCAGTATCGACTATAAACGCAAATCATCATCAAAGAAAGAATATAACCACAATCTGTACCACTCCTCGCATCATAATGTCTGGCACCGCGCCCTCCCACATGTCCTTGCACAGGAGGCAGTTCCCGTTCGGATCTTCGACGCCGCATTTCTCGCAGACGATGGAGCGACAGCAGCGCTGAAAGACCGCATTTTCGAGCGGCTGTTCGCACCGCGGGCACAAAAACTCCGCGGGCCACTGCTCGGGCAGGAACTGCTTGTCCTGCTGGAAACTCGGTTCTTCTTCGCCCGAGGAGGGCGACTGGGGGGTTGGCTTGTAGTCCCGTGAAGCCGCCTCGGACTCGATGATCTGAATTCGGGACTTCAAAGTCGGTCGTCGCTTCACCCATACAAAGGTTTTCGAGGGTATATTAATGTCGTTGGGGTACCTGTTTTGTTTTCAAACATTTCGCGGATGGGAGGCGGGCAGTGTCGCAAAATAAATGGGATGGATTTCTTGCCGCAGTTCGATGCAGGAGGACGCGCACGCAGGGGCGGCCCCAAGACCAAGAGTTGTGGAGCCCTGCCCTAATATTAAATTGCAGCGACTATATCAAGTGGTTGAGTTGTTGCGTTCCCCTTTTAGTATGCTGGAGTGAAGATAGTGATGTTTTTTCTTCAGAGATCCGTATCTGGCCGTCAGCGCGCTGGCAGTCAGCTGCACGCGCGGAACCATTTTTCCCCTGTACCCAGCATTTTTGCATTTTGCTTTCTTGCTCAATTTGAAAAATGTGAGAATGTCGTGAAGTAGGTGTAAGAAAGTGAAAGATGTGCATAAACATGCGCCCTTCAATACAAAAAACGTCAACACCAAACCAACGGCAAGGGAAAAAGAGAGTCAGTTCATTTGCGAATCATTTAAGATGCGTGACGGTGTGCGATACAGGCTCTCCTCCCGTGCATAAGTGCAAATTGCAAACGGCTCACAACGAGAGCCACATCGTCAACGCGACGAATGCAAAAAATCCTGTACGTAGTTTCTTGTACTTTTCTGCGGTAGGTTTTTCAAAAAAACACTACGACCTCGTGAAAAGAATGCACAAGATTTCGCATCTGACATACGAAGACAAGCAAAACAGGAAACGATTTTTAGAAGAGAGGACGATTCACCATTTGCTGTCTAGTCAACGAAACGGACGACTGTCACGTTTATGCCTATGCGTTGGCGTCCTGTCACGCGAATGCACCACCGAGTAGTTGCACAGACCAGGAAGCACCAGGTACAAGCACAGATCACGTGTAGCCAAAGTGTGATAGCACGGATCACTAACCGACAATGGACTGACTTTGGATGTGCGTCGTGGTACTGTATCTATAGTCAGTATCGTGTTGTAGATCAGCTCCCGCGACTGATAGCCAGATCTGGTACCACTGATGATCTAAGAACAACTTTCGCAGTATTTCTACCAGAATCGGTAAATCAAGCGAAAGCAGTCCGGTCCCTGACAAGAGCTTGTTTTGGCTCGCTCCTGTCTGAGAAATGTTTGCTGATGGTGTTTTTGGAATAGGGAATAGCTAGCTGGAAAGCTGGCTTTTTTGCAAGAACCACACTAAAAGAGAGTTCCAGCCGGAATGGGGACCACACTTGTCTTTCTTTAGATACTGCAGTGACAGCCCGCACTGACTCCTACTTCCCGCCACCCGGTTCGAATAGGTCCTGTGCACGCGGAAGATCAGCAGCTGGTCACAAAATGATCGGCCGAATTGCTTGTCCCTGGAGGCAGTGGGTTCGGCAGTAGTCGCAGCAATTGATTCCTTGCCCGTCGACGAGAACGCTGGGTCAGTATGCCCAAGCAAACGCCAGATCCGGCTTCCCACGTCGCAGCATCGTATACAAAAAAGTGCAGAGTGTAAAATACAGAGCAGAGCAGTATGTTGCTTGTAAGTATTTAGTTCAGTTCATTCTCACAAAGTTGAAACTGAAAGAAGAAGGCGGATGAAGAACGCACGCGGAGAGGGTCGATTGACTGGAACCGCAGCGACGGCCCGTTTCAATCATCCATCGTCAGAGGGAAGTCAGTAGAACTTAATGATAATGCCGCAGTGATCGCACAAACAGAGGATCAATATCTTTATCGAATCAAACTACTTCCATTGATTTATCAACATTCGGTAAAAAATCTCACTCGAAGCTGCAGCAGAAGTTCTGTATTTACATTGCAACGAATTCTTGACTGTACTCGCTATTCCTAAAAAAATTCCATGTGTTGTACTAGAGAAGCAAAACATGATGAAAAAACAGGTTTCCGTACGGTTGGTTGTCGTCCTTGTGCAAAATGTCCACATCTACGGCTAGCATCTTCTTTTTTTCCGCGATCAGCTCCCGGAGCACCTCGATGTTTACTTCTGGCCCCTCGAAAGTCACCTGCTCCCGCCCGGACTGTTTCGATCCCACCTCCGCGACGAGCTGAAAATACACCAGCGATTTGGCCGCCTCTTCCTTCTCCCGTTTTTCGATTGCCGCTTTCCGTCGCTCCTCGCGCTCCTTTTCCTTCTCCTTTTGCGCAGCGGTTTTGTGGTGGTTACGATGGTGACCGTGGCCGTGACGTGGCCCGTGACCATGGTTGTTGTTCCCATGGTGGTGCTTGTTACGCCGGTGATGATGTCCACCTCCCTTGCGCCCATGATGATGCTGGTGATGCGGACGCCGTGGCTCCGCCGGTTGCGCTACGTTATTGGAACCCGAGCTTTGCTGTTGGGCGGCCACCGCTGCGCTGGAAGAGCCGGCTTTGCCGAAGATCGGGGCGATCTTCTGTACCGGGGGTGGTGCGGCGGGCTGCTCACTCGATTTCGGCGCCGTCGGGTCCAGCGACATGATGGAAAGGAAAGAAAAGGTGGTGAAGGTGATGTGCCGGCGGCGCGTGTAAGTAATTTGGCGATTTCTTTCCTATGTGCGTGTGCTGACGTCCAAATAAAGTCGCACCACTTCTTCGTCGAAACCCTTATCGTCCCAAGAACGGTCCACGCCGGCGAGTGGAAGAACCCTTCAGGAAGGAGTGCAGCAGCTTTGAAGGAGCACACCGAGGAATGAAGACCAGTTCCATATTTGCGAAGTACTATTCAGCGAAAAAAACTTTTGTTCATGGCTAAACATATGTTGTATCTTTGTCGTAAAGAGAAGGGAAATTTGGGTAGAATAGTCTTTCATTCGGGGTAGAAATATTTCTTTCTCGTCGTTGAGAGGTGCCTGCTGTTGTGAAGTTGTAATCCGCGAAAAAACTCGAATGTTGCTATAATTTCTAAAAACCACAACGCACCACTTTGCGCGAAACAAACCACGACATCTTTTCGTGCAAATTGTTTGTTCATGCTTGTACTGGTAGTTACTTCAAAAAAGAAAATCTAGCTCGCCGAAAACGACCGTTTTCGATTTTTGTTCACGAGTGCTGTTCAGAAGAAGTGTTGTGGCAACATGCATGCACGCAAGAGATTCAATCATCGAATGGAAAGCCGAAGATCAAAAGCGTCACAAGCGTCACCCCGAAAAAGCACTCTACTTCCCTCGGTGTTAATATCGGTACTTAGGCATTTATGCGTTTATTTTTCCTTGGTCTCTCCCAAATGTTGGCAAAAGATCACCGTCTTCACGCGAGCAATTTGATCTTCCTTTTTTTGAAGCACCTTGCTTTCAACATCAACATCAACCCGTGTGCAACATTTAATAGACCGACCGTGTGCTCTTTGCGAAAACCTGATAAAAACCAGCTCGACATCGACATTTCAGCATTTTTTATTTACATCGCCTAGAAGCTGCGGAGTGATGATCGCTGGGATCATCATCTTCACGCGGGGTAGCACGAATGCGACGTGGTGTACGGAGTCGCATCCTGGACCACACCACGCCGCGAATACATTCATACAACACAACCGCGAGAAACGCGAAGTGGAGAGGAACAGATTCCGTCGAGGTTCCTTTTCTTTCTCGACGTTCTCAGCGCGGGGCGTTCCAAAAAGCTTTCAGCAGGTCGAGGTAGTTGGCCGGGCATAGCAGGTTGAGAATTACTTTATCTTCTCTGCCCGATGCGCCGGCTTTATTTTGCAGGTAGGTTTTTCTTTCGTAAATTCTAAAGCTACAACTACCTCGCGCCCTGCATGATAGAGAGAATTATCCGATTTCTTGTTCTTATATCATACACAAAATCTCATTGTACACATGGGTCATCAAAACAGCAGAAGTCGGCTTTCATAATACACAGCGAAGATCACATTTGATCATGTTCCTAGTAGGGGGGGAGAGGCGTATTGATGTGCTAGAAGATTTCATGTTACAAAGGTTGGAATAAAGTGCATTTTTCATGTGAAACCGGCGTAGAGTCGCTTACAATAAGTGGATACATAAGGTGTGGAAATGATGCGTCTTCGTCTCAAACTGCATTTTTCTGAACCAATTTAGTTAATTTCGAAAATATTCAGCTAGAGCAGGATCCGGATTCATAGGATCCTGACTATTGATCGTATTCATCAAACATTTTTGCGTTAGGTAAAGCGAGCTCATTCGAGTGTCAACAAGAAGCCCGCTGTTTAGACATCAAAATCACTTTAACTTTTTGCATATTGTAAATTTTCGTGATCATCGGAGCGCCTGACTGTAAAAAACAAGCGAAAACAGCTCAGTAGCGGTCTTGTCCTTTTTCGAAGCGCCTGTGGACCTCTAGCGGTCCCGCTCCGATGTGATTGTGGCCCGCGGGGAGTTGAGAAGAACCTGGACGATGAGTTTAATATTTCGCGTTTTTTTTCTTGCATTTACCATGAACTACGGCAACATCATACATAATTCCGTCGTGCTCTGGGTAGTTAGTGACAATAAACACGCACCGCCCGAACATATGATCATCCGTACCAACATTGTAGACGCCGCAGCTTTCTGCTTCGAGCTCCACGAGTCTGACGACGTCGATGCCTTTCAAGGCCCAGACTGCGAGTCGTCCCCGGCTGTTCACAGCCCGCAGAACGTCGACGCCCCCGACTAATTGCTCAATGGGCGCGTTCACCCCAAGCTGCAACTTCAGCTGATGCACCCCGGAAAACGGGTCGATGCCTGATTTTCAACATTTACGGTGGAACAACTTCATCTGCGTTTTTGCTTCACAATGGACGATGACCTCCTGCTCTTTTGGCAGTTAGCTTACTTACTTGCAATTTTTGCACCTAGAAGAAAAAGCCACAAGGATCATACTACGCAACTACTAAGTACATCTGCATCACCACTAGCTCGTCATACCGATTATCAACCCGCACTTCGTCCCCACCATCACTAAGTTCCTCCACTGCGTGAGCGAACTGACGCCTTCTCGGAAGTCGAGGCGGCGCATGCACGGTTTTTCCAGGTCGTATCAAATGTAAAAATGTCTGGGTCTGGAAGAATCCGAAATTTGTTATGCTGTTTTTGCATGACGCATAATGTCTGCCATGGAAGCCCTAGCATCACAGATTTTCAGAGGCCTTCCTGATGCTTATTTCGCATGACAAATGCCCTCCACGCGTAGCACAAACCGGACTCCTCTTGCTGGTCATGCAATACAGAATTTTTTAGAGTCCAAAGTTAGCATCACAAGTTCCAACCTTCCAGACCCAGACATTTTTACATTTGATAGGTCGTATGGGTTGACGAAAGAAATTTGTTCGTCCCCGCCGATGATCAGCATGTCCCCGTCCTCGAGCTCGCACCGCTTTTGCTCCTCCGCGGTGACCGATAATGGGTTGGTTCTCTTGTAGTGCAGAAAGGCGGCTTTGGTGCAGTTCCCGACGTGGTAGAGACAGTCGACTTCCAAGTAGCTACCGAACACCGGCGCCAGCGTCCACATTTTAAGTTTACCCTGCTGCGAAACTGCAAGGCAACCCGCTTGCTTGGTGGCGTCTGTTGTGTGCGTGAAGAAAGTTTGAATTCCAAATTTTCATCGTGGCAAGAACTGAGCAAAGACAAGAACTTTCTCCTCTGGTACTCGCGCATCAAATAGAACTACACGAAGGTGGTACTATCTAAGCACCTGATGTCCAGAGCCTCAGGATGTGATCGCCGATTTCCCCCACGTCCATAGGATTGACGTCTTTTTTCACGAGCTGAAATTCCTGGGTCGGTTGCCCGGGTCCCCTGCCCTTGAGCGGTTCGGGTGAAATTCTCCATATCTTGCCCGCTCGGCAACAGCAGAGAACCTCGTTCACCTCCTGACAGTAGAGAATGTTGTTCAACTCCGAGGGGAGATCGATTTCCGCCAGCATCTCGTTCGCTTTAAAGTTCCAGAATCGGATCCGGCTCTTGCCGTCGCCTGTTCGTATGCGATAATTTTCGATCTTTCTCCCGATGTATTCACTCAGTGCAACACGCAGTCACATTCCGCGCTGCTGCTGCTCCTTCGTACTTAAAAATCAACCCTTTGCTCGCTTCTTATGGCGCGCGAGTAACTGTCTGTCGTACTTAAAAATCAAAATGCGCCACGACCGGCACAACAAAATTAATCTTGAAATTTGTTCAACACTTTCTACTATACCATAAACCCCTGATATGCTCCTATACGCGTACACCAGCATCGGGATTCCGAAATCATGATTTTTCGGTGACGGCTTCAACTCCGCACTTTCTATGTAGGCCATGGCGCACACTTCGCTGCCCGTGCAGACCCTTCTTATCACATCCATCTTTGGCGGCCCTTCGGTGACGACGACCGTGCCGGATTGATCCGCAGTGACCAGGAGCTTCTTCTCGGGAATCTGGAGGAGCGAAGTCGATGAAATGCATTTTTAGTGTGTGACAAATCCAAAAGCTGCTCGCTGTGTACTTGCATCACAAAGATAACTTTTCTGGAAGCCACAAGTACACTAATCTTCAAAAATTATCATAATTTTGAATATACGTTGATCAAGTGCTGTATTTCTGACAGCTGGTCCATCCTCGGTAGCTTCCCATAGGTGTTTTTCATGCTCCCCACATCGCACAGAAAGGGCACCTTTTGCTTGGTCGGCTTCGTGGTGTGGTAGTAGTCCACGGTTCGTATGTAGAAGACTTTGTCATGGTAGGCGACCAGGATGTGTTCCTTTTCCAGCTCGTGCTTCTCGCCGTAGGCGACGGAAAGGCGAACCATGGCTGCGGGAACTTTTGTGGGGGAAGTGTTTTTCTTATCTGGTCACCGGAGAGAATGATGTTGAGGCGAAGTTGTGCCGAGTAGTGTAGAAGGGTGGCAGCCCCTGCGGCCCCAAAGGGAAACTTTACTTCCGGTATTCTTTACTCTTGCTACAGTCCGCTCCTCGTTCAACGGCGGTCACGCGCACGCAGCCGGGTCATTCTCTGTTTTTATCTCGTTTTGTGTAGTTCGTGCTTGCTCATTTCGAGCGACTATTGATCACGCCTAGTGTACTGTGTGCTACTTTGTGAAAGTGTACAGGAAGATATCAAGTTTTTTTCGCTTTTTAGTCTACTATGTGTATTTCTTCTGCTTCTAACGCTGCAACACTTCTTGTGGTACTTACGCACACGGGAAGACGCTGCACTGCCTCGTCGTTGTTCAGTTCTGCGCATCTCATCTTTTCCACTTTCTGAGTTGCAATGAAGGGGAACACGCTTTATCTGGGTTTTCGAGACTGACGCTGGCAAAAAACAGTAAGAAATGAATCCTTCAAGAACGTGAACTACGCTATACCCATTTTACAATCAGAAACTCCTTTTCATCTTCACAACTTGCCATGACACTGTTTGAAACAAAATCAGCTGCGCTTCTTTTTGAAGCCAGTGTAAGTAGTGACTAATCATCCACCGCAAATTTCACCCCCGCCGTTTTCTTGCCCGTCTTCTTCGTAGCTCTGCCCTCGTTCAGCCTCCGATTCGCCGTCAGACTTAGTGTGTATCAAATGCAAATATGTCTGGGTCTGGTAGATTGCGACGTTTGTCATGCTAGTCTGGCGTAACTCTGCAGTCTGTATTGCGTGGCCACCAAGAGGTCCTCTTGCCTGTCATGCAGAGGCGCAATTTCTCATGCGAAATACGCAGCACGGAAGCACGAAAAACCTTGTCATGCTTGGCGGCGCATCACAGAGCACTTATTGTTCACGGACTTGCATCACAAGTTTCCAGACCCAGACATATTTGCAACGGATAGTGTGGGCTGCGCGTCGATTTCCTTCGCGATATCCATCGCAGCGTGGATCTTCGACAAAGCGCCTTTGCGCCTTGCGGGTTTGCGCATTCCGTTCATCGCTACCCGCATTTTGCTGTCGATCTTCGACGTTTCCCTCGGTGTTGTTGCTAAATCGCTAAAAATATTAGGCGCAACAACAAGAGCAAGCTCATCATCAACATCCACCCCGTCGTCGACGGTTTCCCGTCGATTCATCAAAAGGTTCGATCGAGAATCCGGAGCGTCAGGGGGCTCAGCTTTGGTATTCTCGCGGTGTTGAAAAACTTCTGCGTCGGCGGAACTGTTTTCCTCCTCGACGTAGGTCTGGGGCTCGTTCTCCTTGTTGCAAGAACCAGAGTCAACATCAGGGACTCGAGACGATTCGCCATCTTCTTTTTCCTGCTTCCCATCCGCAGCGGAAGGAGCTGCTTCTTCCCTTCGCAAGATGCTCGTTGGGTTGCGGTACAGTAACAAATCTTGATTCCTCACCTCGTTCCGCGGCGTCAGCTTCAACCCCGGCACCTTCACTCGAGACCTCTGTTCAAGCTTGCTCAGTGGAAGAATCTTACTCGTCCTCCGGGTAGCAGCTGCGGTTGCGGAACTAGCAGCGTTCAAATTTGTGCTGCTCCGCGGTGTCATCCGGTCGTGGTCAGTAGCTGCGGAAGTAGGGAGTAGTACACTGCTTTCGCTTTCGCGACCTGCTTTGGACGAAATTTTAGCCCCCTGGTCTTCAGTTGCTGGCTTTGTCGCATCGACTTCTCCACTAATCTTATTCTTCCTGGACAGACGCAAGGACTTCATCTTGCTACTCATCACGCCATCGGACTCCGAAGCTGTGGTGGACATTTCCGGCTCTGGGACCGCACCGCCAGCTGCATCCGTTTCCGTGAGCCGCTTGCTACTTTGGTGCATTCTCATGAACTCTGGTAATTCAAATTCATACTCGCCGTTTTCGACGAAATCTCTGAAACGGTCACGAATCTCAGCGTCCCGAGCTTCGAACAGCGCGTCTGCGGACTGATAAGTGGTTCGAAAATGATGTTATACAGAAAGTGCGACCATTGTTCGAAAGAACGAAGGTAATGAAAAGCGAATACACTGAAACACTATACATCATAGGTCGCAATACGCAATTGTAATTATTCATGAAACAATACCGTTGCATTTTTTTCTTTGCACGCCGCGTCTCTTTTTCGTCGCAGCTCGGAAATTGCCTCGTGTTGGTCTTCGCCCCAGAGGTCGGCGACCTCCTGATAATAGTCCTCCCCGCGGCCATATTTGCGCAAGTTGTGCGAAAGTCTTCCGCGAGGTGTCGACACACACATGGCTGTTTTTTTCGGAAGCGAATGACACCGCTAAAAAACGGGATTTCCCCTACTTACTTTCTGAACATGACTTTATCAAAGGATCCAGAAGCAGGCTAATCAGGTCTTCACTTCTGCCATTGCCTCGTTCAGTATGCTATCTATACGTTGCTGCTTGCTCCCTGGGTCGTCTAACAGTTTCTGCTTTCTCTTGGCGATAATCGACGACACGGTTTCCACCGCGGGTTTCCTGCACGTGGGACACACGGGCTGTACGTTGGCGCTTCGCTGCAGTTCCCGCCGCAGATAGGGGTCGATGCAGTCAAAGTGGAAGCCGCAGCCGCAGGGGAGTCGCTTCGCGTTCCGCGGTAGGAGCGTTTCCTTGCACATGGGACAAACCGGCGCGTTTTTGTTCTCCACCAACGCGGCAAGGGTGCCATCCTCCGCGTTGAAGTGGGATTGGAGAAGAAGCTTCTTGCGCTGCTGCTTCGCGTGCAACGCGTAGCTGGGCGTGGCATGGGCATTGCTGCTGGACGAGGAGGAAGAGGAACTGCTTCCGACGACGGGACGCGGACGAGCAAGTAACGACATTTTTGAAAATCTTATCGTACAGAATTGGTTTCGAATTGCAATCTGACTGCAGGGCAGCGAAAGTAGACTGATAACAAGCTGTGCTCAATCCCAGGCACAACTTCTACCTCTTGCTAGCACAATCCGCACTCTTCGCTCACAACAGCGAGTTTTTACACCGAGTGAAGAAAACGCTTCAGACTACGTAGGTCTCCGCACGACTTACGCGAAAAAAAAAGCACAACAAGAAAATTGATGGCAACATCTTCGAAGTTGTAGCTCATCGTTGACTTGTGCGTATCAACAAATTATGTGGTCATTCGTGGCGTCCAAAATCAGAAACAGGTCGTTCGTGGCGTCCAACATCAATGCAAATTCATCCGAAACAAAAGAGGAAACAAAAACGTGAAAACAGAGCCTGTAAATGTGATTGTGACCATTCTCATCAAAAACAGCTAATTACATTTTTAGAACATCGAAATCTGAAACATACATGAAACTGCGAATTATCCGGATCTACTACATCCAGTATCTATAAAGCAAGTCACCGCCTCCTTCTCGCCGTGCCGGATTTATTTATCTCCCTCGACTCTTCCGCTACTCCTTTCCCGAACCCGCGCAAAGCCCCCGCACGGCGCTTCGGAGCGGCTAGCCCCCGGAGCTCCAGCAGGGTCGGCGGTTTCCCGGTTTCGAACTTGGGATTTTCCAGCACCCGTGGCGGAAGCTGCACCCTGAATTCCCGCTGTTCCTGCTCCTCGAAGCGGTTGCTGTACTCCTCCCACGTTCGGTATTCGTACTGGAAGGGCATTTTGAATTTTTTCTTCCTGCCAAAATACGTCAGGTCCTCCGGGGGCTTCACCCCTTTTCGAAAGCTCTTCAACAGCCGGCCAGGGATAGAAACCGGCACGCCGCCTCCGCCGCCGGTGGTGTTCCAGGAAGCTGGGCAGTCGGTGCGCTCCGAGGAGGGCTCGACTGGGAGTTGCCGTTGTTCCTCTTCGGAGGTCAAGGTCTCTTGTGCTGCTTGTTTCCGGAGGTGGTCTTCTTGATGCTGCGGAGCGACAGCTTGATGCCCTTGATCAGCATGATCATGAACTGCGGTAAGGTAGGACCAGGCGGGTAGTTTCGACGCTGATGATAAGTTGTTCAAATTTGTTTCTACTGCAGAAGAAGTGGTATGACTATGACCTGCTCCCCCAGCGTGTTGATAAAATCTCTGCTCGGAGTTGTAAATCTCCTCCTGCTCTCCTTCCACCCCCTCGTCCCGCTCGGCCTTCGCGAGCACTTCGCCCGGCCAGTATGCTGGATTCTCCAACTTTGTTTTGAACAACCGGCCGGGTGAGAAAGGACTGCCCGGCGACCGCGGCGGCTCCACGTCGTACTCCGGTTTCAGTAAAAACTGCTTATGCCAGAAAAAAAGTGCGTAAGTGTAAGTCTGTGATTCAAAAATGCAAAACAGTCACGCTTGTCATGCTGAACGTGCGTCATATCCATGCTTCATACGTGTCTTCACGTACTAGCTGCGCATGACAGGTTTTTCCTGTAATGCAAAGAAAACGAATTTGTGATGCTGATCTTCCTACAAAGTTACAGTAATACAGTTTTTTTCTTGGATACTGCTCAGCAAACGCAGACTCCCGCACCGTCGCCGCGTCCTTCCGGATCTGCTGCACTTTTTCACGCACCTGCAGCATGGTCTTGCGACTGCTCTCGTCGACGTCAAAATGCGAAAATAATTGCTCTACTTTTCTCGGGGTTGCAGTGGTGGAAGAGGAGGGTGGGGTTCTCGGGGTCGTTGTTACTGTGTCGCCTGCTCCGCTGTTTGGTGGTAATTTCTCTTCGTGCAGCAGAGGCTCCTTTGATATTCCCGCAATTTCATCATGATGTTCTCCGGTGTTAGCACTATCCTCTTCCTCCTCGTCTTCTCCGTTGAGGAGCTTCCAAAAATGCTCAGCGGTCTTCTGTTTTTCCACGTTATGCGCCAGTCTTGTTCGGGGCGTGCTTCCCCGCAGAGAGTACAGGTTTTCATGCGCTTTATCCTCCAGGAGCGTTTTCGCCCGGGCGGAAAGAACTTGCTTTTTGTGTAGGTTGAAGTTGTGCCGCTTCAGGGGAATGTACATCTTCGCCTTCGTGTTGTCCACCTTCGGTTTTTCGTTCGCCAGTCGCTTCTGTGCACGGGCATGGAGCACCTGTTGGGTGCGAAGTGCGATACAGGCTTGGGTCGGAGCGATGGAGGTGGAGTGCGGACCGCCGCGGTGCGGCCGCGTGCTATCGGTGGAGGTTGCGGGCAGGGCCATGCTTTCTACATATCTATACAAGAGTGAAACCACGCTTGGTCATCAACATCAGAAAGACAAAAAACACTAGCGCACGTACGATGAAGTTTCCAAAATCGAGAATAACAGAAAGAAATGCAACACGCGGCGTGGCGAAAAAAAAGTGACCGGAAGAAAAAAAAAGAGTGGAAAACACAACCGACACCAATGGCGCGACCTTTGTTCACCAGCGCAAAAGTGGCTCCGACTTCGGATGGCCGTTTCTCTGGCCGTGTTTCCTCGACGCAGCGCAAAAATATTCGGTCACAACCACATCGTTTGTCCTGCTCTGGAAAGGTCACTAATTCCGCTGGCAATGTGCCTCTAGAGTTCACAGTTTCAGACCCATCATCATATGGAATACGAAAGCAAAACTACATAACCATGAAAAAACCAACTCTTTATCCTGTGGACAACGACAATATCACGAGACGCGGACTCAATAATTGTAGCGATCAAGCTCGGGACAGTGTGCGCGAAGCAAACCTGAAAACCCAGCAGTGACGTCATCGGTGAGACCGCGATAGAGCACTGGCGGCGAATCGCCGAAGCGCGGGGCGGGTGAGGCCACGAAGTCTTCTTCGCGTCGCAGCTGATGAAACCGGCCACTGGCGCCCATGTCGTAGTCGTCGATCTTGATGTCGGTCACCTGGTTGTAGTCGAACACGATGTACTCGGTGCCACGTCGGTGCGTCAGACAAACGGAATCCTTCTCCTCCCTCATCAGACTCGAGAAGGAATTCCAACCATTGGCATTCTGCATCTTAACGTTACCGAGGTTCACCATGCACTTCAAAACTCGCACCTTGCCGGCCTCCTTGTCCGCTTTCGGAATGTTGGACTTTCGGATCGCGTCGTCTATCGTAGTCGCAAAGTAAATGCCGGCACCGCCAAGCCCCCACTGTCCGCGATAAAATTTTTCCTCCTTCCGGATGTTCACGGCAAATTCGGGTTTCGTTGCGTGAAACAATTCTCGTGGAGCAGAATTCTTCAGGCGTTCGCGGCGACGTGCCCACAACTTTCTGTGCTCTTTTTGCTCCTCTTCACTGAGGTCATTCCAGTCATACTATCGTGAGCAAAAATCCCCTCTCATTCTACTCGAAACGTAAGTCTTTGCTGCTGAAATTTGACCACAGGTGCCTTTCCCTTCCATGCAAGGCGGGACGCAAGAGCATGTCGGCGGCAATCCCTTATGCGTATGAGTATACTCACGCAGCGTAGACGTTCGCCGTGCTCAGTCACTACACTGCTACGCACCACCTAGATAAGTCTACTCATGAGAGATCCCAGATCCTTCGGCGTGCACAGCGGTGCCGCATGACAAGTCTTTGCTCGAGCTGAAGAGTGGCGTTTTCGTTTTTGATACAAATTTTTTTTTCTCCTTCTTCTTCTTCTCGTCTTCCACTTCCTGCTGAGCCGCCATAGCCAAAACTCGTCCTCCACTGCCCGCAAACTCTGCCTGTTCCACCAGCAGAGGCCCAAACTTTCCGCACAGCTCCTCGACAGAGCCACCGACGACGACGTCCTCGGAGTCAGCTACACTGGCATCGACATTGACATCGACAATCTGGTCGTAATTGAAGACGATGTACTCATCACCGTCCATGTGGGTCAAGCAAACCGAGTCCTTCCCCTCCTTCAGCAGACCCCAGAAAGTGTTCTTCCCTTCGCAATTCTGGTACTTGACCCCGCCGAGATTCACGGTACAGCGTAGAATCTGCACTGAGCTGAGCTTCGACAGTGCGCCCTGCCGCTTCGCATCTTCGATAGATTTAGCGAAATAGAGTCCGCCCCCGTAACCTCGGTCCCTCCCCTGGTAGAACATGTCCCACTGTCGAGTCGCGCTCGCCGCTTCAGAAGTAGTGGCGTGGTACAAGACGACTGCCTCGCCATTCCTCATTCTTTCCCGTCGCTGCCCCCAGATCTGCCTGTGATAGCGCCAATCGTCTTCCGTGAGTTCCCGCCGCGACATGGTATATTTCGTAAAGGAACTGAAACTGAGGTGAAGCCGCTCTCTTCAGCAGGATCTTTCTTTTATACCACAATAACGGATCATGCCACTCAAAATCACTCTGGAGGCAACAAACTGCTCATGTTCTCTGTGTCCTTCTCCCTCGACCTCGAGCTCGTTCCTTGAATTACTATGACGAACCGCGGAACAACTATCTCAAGGCATCAGCAGATGGCTATGGACGCATCAGGGACAGTGCCAGTGCTCAGGGTTTTTAGAATTTGTTTGCTTTCGCATGAGACCAAGCATGAGCAATTTCATCTTGGCAGAAACATTGTACTTTGGTGTCGAAGAGGTGAGTTGTACTGCTTGGTACATGGGATTTCATTTCAGAGTGCACATTTCACATACATGACATATGGCAGCTTGCTAACATATCACATCTCTGATACCTAGCTAAGTACAGTGCTCGCTGTGCAGTGCTCCTGTATAAAGCCACTGGCGCTATGACATAATACTTTGGGTTTTTGAGGTGTTGGGTTTTTCTTGGTTCCATTTCCACTACATCCGTCGCAACTGCTTCTATGCTGCTAGCTCGCGCGGTTTGAATCACAAAACTACATCGAGCATCCTATTATTTTCGTCAGGTCGCAGCTTGACGGCGTTATCCTTTTGCGCGCAATATTTCCTGAATATTCGCAAATGCTTTTTTGTTTTTTATTGAGGACAAAACTATTTTCACTCCACGGCTAATGTCTCGGTGAACTTCTGTGGTCGACTCTACTAGCCGTGATTATTTTTTTGTTTGATGTTGAAGCGATTTTGTATCTCGAAATTTGTTTATTGGTTTTGTTAGGGAGTAGAAGAGTGTGACAATTTAGGTGGTTGTTTATGGGTGGTTGTGCATGAGGTGTGGTTTATTTGCTTTTTTTGGAATTTTTTGCTTGATAAAATTAGCACGAAACTTTCGTAGATAATAATCTGGTTGTTCGTAGAAAATTATTATGTTTGCGGGTACAATCTTTTATGTTGTTTTTTCAAATAGTTCCACTGGCGTTTAGACGAGCATCACCGCGGCCTAAACTTTCCGCGATGCCCTCCCCCTTACCGCTTGGTGACGGATTACGGGCGAGAGACTGCCGTGTAGTGTAGCCGGAACAGATCGGACTGATACTAAAATTTTTGGACACGTCTTTATAAAATTGTAGAACTTCTTATTTTCTTGACAAAAAAGTTGTCAATAAACGAGGGACGACAGCACTGGCTAAGATCGCACTTGGAGTGACAGTGTCAAAACTGCTGTTTTTTAGAATCGAAAAGACCCACTGAAAAAACGGACTGAGCAAGTGATGTAGCGTCTCGCTTACGACTCGACTTTTAGTCTGTAGGCTGGATGGAATTGCTGTTGTAGTAATCTATCTATTCATTTTTTCTATTTCTTGATTCGTATTTTTTTACTCCTCTGCTGGGCTCTCATACAAGGAATGGTCGATTACCGTCAGATCGTGACTGATGTCTTGAGAGCGAGAAGTTTTTTTTATCTATTGTGGTTCTTTTTGCTGTAAAGTATTTTTCTGTTCAAAAGCGTAATCTTTTTAAAATTGTCGCGAAGACAAATTGCAAACTCCGTTTTAGTTTTTGTTTATCCAATCTGCAAGAGTGGTATTGATGAAAAGACGTACTGCATAGTAAACTTGGCGAGTCACTCTAACTGCTGGACAATGAACCTGCGCTACTGCACAATGCCACGGTATCACGGCGCACGGCACCTACTTATTTACCTGTAGCAGATGCAGTTCACACTGGCTCTGTCCGTGCACGGTGTCTTGCGAAGCTTTTTTCTGCATCAAAAAATCAATTTGGGCGCACGCCCGGTCAGAGCTGCAAGGGGCGGTTTGTCATCTGTTATAAAATTTTCATGCTATAATCTTCTTGTGCTGTTGTTGTTTTTGTCCTAGTTTTTGTCCTGTATTCAATGAGCTATTTTTACAAAATAGCCAAAACTTAGTTGTCCTATTTTCGTGTTGCTTCCCATCGGTGTAGTGGCATTTTCGACTGGCGCGGAGTTCCTGAGTCACCGAAAAGAAATGTGCACAACCATGTAGACGAGTGACAAACTCTTTACTCAAGGAGCAGCGAATCACAAAACACGACGGCCAATGCTAAGCTCCTCCAAGAGCAATGATCGCAGCTATCACTACATGCTGCTCCTTTCGGTATTTGTCTTGGTCCGCTACCGCACTAGCTACTGTTATACCACAAAATAACCTGATGAGATGTTGATGTCTTAATAGTGACTATTGTTGTAAACCTATTTTATCCGATTTGTAGAAGGAATGCCTCTCGTCCGAGTGTCCTCTAGATTTTTCTTAGAAGACCACTGGCAGCAGAGTCTTTCCGTCATTTTTTTCGAATGAGAGAGGTTGTGGCGAATTACCGGTGTCGTGTTCCAAAAAATCGGACTCCCAAGTATTTTTGTGAATTGGTAAAAATGAAGTGGAGGGCTATACATGACATAGAAAACGTTACATTGAAAACAAAGTCTGCTCCTTGACTGTTCAAAAGAGAAAATAACCGGGTGAAACAAAGATACAAAGCTATCAAGAAAATTCTGTACAGATTCGATAATAAAAAACCAAAATAGACTATAGAAACGAGAATATGACTAAAAACAAACCTGAACGTGAAAAATCCTCGGAAAATCAAGCGGCGCTACGAAGAGACTGCTCGACGCGCACCTGCTCAAATTCGAGGGAGCTCAAGCTTGGAAAACAAAATTGCAGGGAAAATCTTGTTACGCTGGAGTTGAAAGCGCGCACGCATAATCCCAATTGCATTTACCACCACTTCGCAAAGAGAAGAACTACTCGGCCTCGAGAGTCGACTCGGGGTGAATTACTAGTCACAGGGTCTATTTTCTCCCTCCAGGCCTCGTAGAATTTCGTGCTGCGGGTCATAGCATCGCGGTCCAGAAGAATAACCGCCGCAGTTGCGCAACCTTCGCCTCCAATGTAAATTCGATTGCGGGAAGATGTGTAGAGTTGCAATTTGTTCATCCGATATTACCAAAACTACTCAAACTGCGTTCATTAATTACCACTGGTCAGCAACAGCATCGCTCGACATCCACTCCGATAAAAATAACCTGTGCAGCCTTTTGGGCCATAAGCGCAGAGAGTCGAAGCAAAAATCTGTCGCCAACAGAGTGGGTGTTCTTGCTTGTTCTGAAAATAGCCAAACTTTGATATTTTGCGTAGTAGACCACAAGACAGTTACTGTACAATATGGTGTTGTTGTTACAATAGAGATGATAGGGTAGTTCCGTACAGTGCTGCGCGCCGATAATTCTTCAAAAGTTTTGCCATTGACAAGTTGCGTAACTAAGTAGACTCAAGCGTTATTATTTTGCGTAGTAGTGAATGTTCTTGATGCATCATACAAAGGGACAAGACATGAGGGAAAACGACCGACCCTCTTCTCTAGTCTGTTCTATTCCCCCGACAAGAGTTTTGCTCTGGCCGACTCCCCGTCGATCTTCAGCTGCTCCTCGTGCATGACCATGTTCAGGAACTCATCGAGATTCAGCCCGCCAAAATTTCCGTAGTCGTACTTCTTCACGAGCGCCGCCGCTTCCTCCGTGGTCAGATTGTCGAAGCCGTCCACCAGTTCCGTGGCCTCGACCATCTGGTCGTTGTTTGCGTCAATCCGCTCGAAGAACTCGAGTACGACATAGATGGAACTGTTGACCTCCTCGGGAATCCGCCCGTCCTCCGGTTTGAACTCCGAGAAGAAGTCGTTTCCCTTGTCGTCCACGACGATAAAGGCGGGGAAATTCTCCACTTTGATCTTCCACACCGCCTCCATGCCGAGCTCCTCCATGTCGAGAACTTCAACCGACTTGATGCAGTTAGCGGACAGAGTTGCGGCCATGCCACCGGGGGAACCTAGTGAAGAGATTGAGCAGTATATTAAACGAGTAGTTCATTTTTGGAAACAAGACCCATGCTGTAGTTGAACAATCTGAATATCAGGGCGACATTTATGTGAAGAACAAAATGCAATACCACCTATCTTCAACAAGCAATTTTCTATACCAAGGTAAAATCCGCCGTGCTTCGAGCAGCTGTCCGTGACCATCTGTGACCTGTTTCCCTTTCCGATCATGACCATGGACCCCCCAACGGCCTGAAACGGCTCCACATAGGGGTCCATCCGCCCGGAGGTGGTTGGCCCGAACGACCCACTGGGCATGCCCGCGGGGGTTTTTGCGGGTCCGGCGTAGTAGACGGGGTGGTTTTTGATGTATTCGGGTAACGCGTCCGCCCCGCCCTTCTGCAACTTCCCGAGCATCCGGGCGTGCGCAATGTCGCGGGCGACGATCATGGTTCCGTTCAGGGCAATATGGATAGTAAAAGTGTCTGGGTCTGGAAGATTAGAACTTGTAATGCTAGCTTTCCATACCTAGAAAATTTGTATTGCATAACCAACAAAAGTCGCGGCCTCTTTTGTCATGCAAAAACGCAGCTTCTCATGCGGATTGCCTATGAGAAAGCGTTTTGGGAAGTTGTCATGCCGGACTGCATTCGGAAGTGTTTTCATCCTGCACATTTTAGCATCACAAATTTCCAGACCCAGACATTTTTGCAATCCATAGGCAACGCGGGTTTTGACAGGGTATTTTGTAAGGGTCTTCAAAGTGTCCTGCATCGGCTGGTCCAAGTTGATCTCGACCGTCTGCATCTGCGGGCCGGGCTCGCGGGATTCCTCGACGCCTGAGGTGGATTTTATCAATTCATCTGGTCACCATACGTCATACCAACTGTCCTCCGCTAAAAATTTGCAATGGAATTACAGTGAAGTTCATGCCTTTATTGCAGGGCTTATTTGCTGGCATGATCATCATAGACACAACTTTAAGTTCTTCGCCTAGTATAGTTACCTGCAACGCTGTCCAGTGCTTTCGTTTCCACTTGCAGTGTCTCTTCCTTTAAATCCCACAACTGGCTGGGGTTCATCTCCAGCTTTTCGTAGAACACGCCGTCGGATTGGATGTGCACGTTCATCTGCCGGTCCGCGGAGCAGGACACCCCGATCCCGACGGGGCAGGAGGCTCCGTGCCTCGGCAGGCGGATCACCCGCACGTCGTGCAGAAAGTACTTGCCGCCAAACTGCGCGCCGACGCCGAGGTTGCGGGCGAGGAACATGATTTTGTTCTCCATCCCCCGGTCCCGGAACGCGCGGCCGTTGGCCGACCCGGTGTCGGGGAGCGTGTCGTAGTACTTGCAGGAAGCGAGCTTCACGGTTTTGAGATTCTGGTCCGCCCCGAGGCCGCCGACCACGACGGCTAGGTGGTACGGGGGGCACGCGGCGGTCCCCAGCTTCATCAACTCTTGCACGATGAACTGTTCGAAGCTGTTGTCGTTCAAGAGCGCCTTGGTTTTCTGAAACAGCTGTGTTTTATTCGCCGAACCGCCACCCTTCACGATGTAGAGGAACTTGTACGCGTTTCCCGGGACCGACATAATGTCGATCTGCGCGGGGAGATTTGTCTTCGTGTTCTTCTCGACAAACATCGTTTGCGGGGCGACTTGGGAATACCGAAGATTTCCGTTCTTGTAGGCGTCGCGGATACCCAGGGAAATGTCCTTCTCGTCGGTACCGTCGGTCAGGATCTGTCGTGTGGGTTTTGTTTTGAATAGAATTTTTGAAACGCAAAAGGAATAGCCTCTTTTTTCATGAGACAAAATAACTGCGTTTAGAAGCAGCATCAAATACCTACCACAAAGCTGAAGCACTGCAAAAATCTAAAAGCAAAAACGCCTCGCAACATCAAGTACATGATATCCCCTTTTTGCCATGACCACGGCGGTTCCTGTGTCTTGACAGGAGGGCAGCACCCCCTTCGCAGAAACTTCTGCGTTGTTGAGCAGCTCCTTGGCCACGTAGCGGTCGTTGTCCGAGGCCGCCGGGTCGTTCAAGATCCGGTGCAGCATCAGCAAGTGCGACCGTCGGTAGAAGTGGTTGACTTGAAACACCGCCGACTCGGAGATCGAAGTGAGAACTTCGGGCGGGACCTGCGTGAAAATCCGGCCTTTTTTCCCCAGCTGCACGTTCCCGATCATTTCGGACAGTTTGTTGTCCTTCACCCACTCCGTGGTGTCGAGAAAGGTGCCATTCTGAAAGATGTTCTCGTACCCCCAGTTCTCGGAGGAACCGTTGCTGTTGCCGCCTGTTTTTTTGCTTTGTTTTGTGAAGTAGTTATTCCTTCAAGCAACTGTGGATTGGGATTTTTCATTGATTTGTAGCCCAATACGAAGATGAACAATAAAACGCTGCAGTCCAGCATACCATCAAGCATGTCGGCAAAACATGAGTACCTGATGCGAACGCCCGCACCGCGGTGCCGCTCGCAGTGCGCGGAGCGAAAGAGCGGGTGGCTTGACGAGCGAGAGGCCGCCAAGCCATCACCATTTTGTCTCCTGATAAACCTCGCTGTTACTCTTACTTTTTTACACTTAATCGAATGACAAAACCACCTGTCTAATCTGGCAACAAGTGACCAAATTAGACAGGGTTAGGCTTTCACAGACGCGCCGACATTTTTGCTTACGACGTTTACACTAGCTGTACAATTGTTTTTTACGTACGTTTGGCTTTCTGAAACCTGATAAAATCAGGCGGGTTGTGGGTTGTGCACAGGCACTGGAGTGATGGTTTTGGGAGAAGGAAACATAAAATTCTGTCTTACAATATTGTCTTGCACGTAGGCTGAAGCTTCAGAAGCTCGCAAGGCTGTACGGAAGAGAATGACGCTACGGGCAATTTGTGGTCGCACGATACCGATTTCAAAAAACTTCCTGGGCTCAATCAATTGCACGAAAAAGTACCGAATGCTAAGGATTCTCGCATCTAAAAATGAAGTAAGCGGAGCGTGCCCTCGCTCTTGATAAAGTAGAATCCGCGTTGCTCGACATAACACTTCACACAAGTAGGAAAAAAAAACCGATAGCTCCGCGAAATGTTTTGTATGACTCTGGTGGACATGCTCCGTCAGTCTCTCGACAAATTTCCAAAAATTACGAGCACAGTGGGAACAGCAAAACTTGGCTTTTGTCATTCGTTGGCTCGTCGAACGCTCCTTTCGTTTTCTCTGCGCCTATCTAAGCTGTCTTCCTGCATACACGGAAACCACTCTGACAACCTTTCCCAGCTGTCATCTTCAAAACGGCTTGTTCTGTCATGATCGGAGCAACTCACTCTATCTTTTTCAACACCCAAGGCAAAAACAAAATGAAAGGAAGTTACAAACTCAACCTCACCTCGCCCCAGTGGTGACCGCCCAACACATGAAGATGCTCATCACGATGCCGAACAGACTGACGTACTCCCCGACGTTCCAAATCCAGCGGTTTTCCTTCAAATTCGGATTTTTCCCGAACACCACGTACAGCGAGAATAACGCAACCGACCACAACACCGCGTACGCCGCCCACAGGCAGTAGTCCGCAAAGAGAAAGTACTCCGATTTCAGTTCCGGCATGTCGTCGAAGTTATCCGGATTGTACACCGTCGTAACCCGCTCCGCCCGGTCTGGCACCTCCGACCCGTGCCGTTTTAAGTTTCGCTTCTTCGCCTCCTCTGGCGTGAGTCCGTTGCGCTGGAGGGACACCGGGAGATCCTGTTTTCTGATATCTATGCCGAGCTCCTCGGATGTACTCGTGGCGCTGGTGGATTGGAGGATGTGATCTGACGTGCTGTCGGATTGCGTTGTAAAAGGTGTTCCTGTGGCAGATACTGAACCTTCCGCTTCTACTGCGCCATAATTGCTGCTGTTCCCTCGCTTCTTCAGCTCCCTCACCGCGGACAAGGGTAACACGCTTACATTCTCCGCCATTTCCTTTTTTCCCGTTGGTATTTTCGGCTTTTCCTTCGCCATGACGGTGGGAATCGCGTAGTCCTCCGGTCGACGCCAGTCGCCCTGGTGCAGCACGTAGTCCCATTTGTTGCGGAATCGTGGAAGGGAGAGGTTGGAAATGGCTCGGCTGCAGGTTGCTGCAAACGGGAGTCGCAGATCCGCGGTCAGTGAGGGTGGACTCCCGGCTCGGGCCGCCCGGAGCAAAGCAACTGACGGGACGGAGAGCATGTTGGTTTAGATGTTCGTAGAAAGAATTATCCGTATACTGAAAACTACTTCTTGCTCCGGTTTTCTCGCTTCACTAGTCACCACATAAGTACTGGATCAAATCGACTTGGACAAAAAGCACTTTGCGCCTATGTACCATTCATCAAACTACCCTGCAAACAAAGACCGACACCAAAAAGGATTCCGCGGAACAGCACCACAAGCTTCTGTATTGAGAAACGCGCACGCTGCTTTGCGCTTGCCAACGCTGCTTTTCTACTCGTCATGTCTTTTTATTTCCAATTTTCCTTTCGATCAGAAGAGAAAGAGAAATAAAAAAAGTTCTTTGGCATGCAGGTTTTGGTGCGTTCGATTCGCGAAAGACGAACCTCATTTCACGTAGGGGACCCCGATCAGCTTCCCACCGTAGTAGGCTGATATTGGTGCCAGGATGAGGGAAATCAGGGCGGAAATCACCTGATAGTTGAATTTTGATATCAGAAACATTTTTTCTGTTTTACGAAAGACAAAGAAGAGCCGACCGATGAGGCCGATTCTCGACGCATAAAGCCGCATTGATTTGTCATGGTCAAGTTGCCACAACGACAACCGATGCAAAAAAATCAACTCAAAAATACCTCCGACACCACGAACGACACCAAGTACTGACCGGTTTCTTGGACCATGGTCATCCCCTCCTTGTTGAAGCACTGGTTATCGTAGAGGTCCGTCATGAACCCCTGCGTGCCCGCTCCCAGGATAACGCCGAAGGCGATCCTGTGTTGATAGTTTGATGCTTGCACATCACGTAAACTTGTCATGCTAAGAACTCAATCAGAGCAGCAACTTAAATAAACTATGCACAAACAGCAAAAACACATAACAAAATACCACTTGACGCAGGAGGAGAAGAGGTTGACCCCGGCCTTGCAGGTGACGGCGTCGGGGACCGCGAAAAAGACCACGCAGTCAACCACGTCCGCGACGACACCTATGCCCGCGAGGAAAAACGCTGGCAGGGTCAGGTCGTGTACCTGAGAGTGGTCGAGGACGGAACGACTGTCGACATTTAAGTTGTAGACATGCATCGCAGGAACGCTTTAAACTGCAGAATGTGCACCACAGCTTCGCCTCCACCGGTGCGGTCTGTTATGGAAGCAGTAGAGGTGTAAAACTACAAAATCAACTCTAATACCATCTTTTTTGTCTGGCACACTTCTGATTTGCAGGTGCCTGGTATATCGGCGAAATCGCGGCACCAGTTCTCCTATCAAATGTAAAAGTGTCTGGGTCTGGAAACTTGTGATGCTGGGTGGGGTCTCATGATGAGGCTACAAATGCTGGCTCCGCATGACAAGTTTCTGAGCGTCTAGGTGTTGCCTATTCTGCATGACAAACTGCGTTCCTGCATCACAGAAAAGTGGGGCTTTTGGGTAACGGCGTGACAGATTTAAGAGTCATGCCAGACAAGCATGACAAACATGCATTCTTCCAGACCCAGACATTTTTGCATTTCATATCTCCTTTTTCGTGTCTCCGCCACCGCACACTGTGGCGCCGTCTTGGCAATACAGGCCCACGACGGGTGACCTCTCGCAGATGTAGCCTGATAGAGTTCTTTGTTGATATGGTGGTTGAGAATGGAGATCGAGATCCTCGCCGGAGTGAGTTTTGACTACAAACATGGGATGACCAAAGTAAAAATCCCTCGGGTGGACTACAGCGACAATTCATGCGAAAAAAGCATCAATAAGCCACTTTGATACCTGGCGGGCAACACCTGTCCCAGCACATGTCGTTGTTATCATTGTTGCACTTGTCTTGCAAGGTCGACCGTATACAGGGTAGGATGAACGTGCCGTCGTCTTGCTTTTTTGTCATGCCCGTGTAATTCGCTTCTAATTGGACCACTAAATGGTCCCGGAATATTATACTGAAGACGAATGCGACGACGGCGGAACCTGGTGATGTTTTTTTGTTGCAATATCACTTGTGATCACAGGAAAAATGGAATTCTCCCGATACATACACATACGAGAGCACAGCAACGCCTTCTTATTTTGCATTTTCCAAATCCCAAAACTGCAAAACTATCAACCGACAGTTAGAAGTACCGAGCGCCAGCACGGTGAGGAAGACTTGTATTATTGCTCTTGGACTCAGGTGTTTTATCACGGAAAGGCGCTTCTCCGTTGGTTTCTTGCCTTGTCCGGCTGCTGGATTTATCATGGCCGTTTCGGAGTCCATGGCCTCCATGCCGACGGGCTCTGGGCTCACGCCAGACATACTGTGCGATTTTTCTCGTTCAGCGGCGGCCTACCGAACGCGAGCGGCAAGAAAGAATCCTTGCCGGGGGAAGAGGAAACGAGCGTCAGTACAGCGGAGTGGCTATTGTCCGGCGCAAGGACCGCTCCACGCAACTTTCCGTAAAAATTTTCTGCTAGGTAGCTGTTGCACAACTGCTTCTTTCCGGGATGTACTGCGACAACTTCTAAAAAACAGCGCACTGTGGCTCAGCGCTGGAATCTCCGTAGCACTGTTCGCGACACCAAACGCGCGAAGCAGAAGGCCGGACTGTTTCCACTGAAGAAAGGGAGGAAGCTGCGTCAGAGGTTCTTGCAGACCGTGTATGGTCGAGGTCCTGCGGGGATGAATTTGCAGCGGCGTGGTCGATCTTTCCTCCTTATCTGCTCTCAGCTCCTTGCACTGTTGCAACACAGTACCTTTCAACCTCACTTCCGCGCCTGGATTCTAACTCGAGCCTGGACAAAAACCGCTACCGCGTTCTCGCTTTCTCCTTTTTACACCGCGGGCTTACTAATGTGGAGTACTTCTTAGCACTGCGTCAACTTGCTGTGTCACTTCCGCACGTCACAGCTCCCAGCAGTGCCACCTCCTGTCTACTTCCGGGCGCGACGATTTTCGTCTGCTAGTTCGTCTTTACTTTCGTCCCTCTTTTGTTTCACCTCCAGTGCAATACTGTACTGCTCCCGCGGAAAGCGTTTCACACTGCTTCGGAGCTCACGCTGCAGGTTGTTCCTGTTCCACTTTGCGCGTGTGCTTGTCGTCAAAAATAAGGTTTCAAAATTGCTCCTGTCACCGACGGAGCAAACAGAATGGCACTCGCAGGAGGTCTTCCGTCGAAGTTGCAGAGGGCCGCGTGAAACAAACTAGTACAACAAGGTCAACTTCCGTTACAAAAGGGGTAGAAGGGAGGCATGCAATTTTTGACTTACTAGAAAAAAACTTCAAGGGTAGTAATGTACAAGGGGACCAAAATTTCTTTACTAACTTCCCGTTCGGAACCGGAAGTATCCTCCTGCTATGATATGGAATGGATCAATATTCTCATAATTCTGGGTATTGTGCGGGTAAAATGGAGTCCTGTAGTGACAGCAGCAGGCACGAGTATGCACATCATGTGTCGACGGCGACGAGGATGCAAAAATGTGGAAGTCTCATTTTGCACTACCACACACACCAGTGACAACCGAAACTTTCTCTCATACTTCTCTCCACCGCTCACTCTCTATCGCGAGTCGCTGCTCTAGTTTCGCTCTGCAAGACGTCCTGCTCTAACAATCCACTCTCTCAGCCACGACAATCAAACACATAAGCCACAGACGCGACCGTTACTTCATGAGCATCTGATGTGCCAGGAGGTCCACACAACGGTCATTGCTTATTGCTTCAAACTTTCATGCGCGCTGTCGTGCAAAAGGTCTTGGAAAAGAAAAGAGTTCAACGCTCCTTTGCAGTGCGTAGTTTAAAATTTCTTTCACAAGAACGAGGACATGAATCCTTCCAGACTGTTCGTCTTGACCGGTATGGAGGGCGGCGTGGGAATTTTTGCAACTACCTTCCCAATGGCCGAATACTGCCCACGGACGGTTAAGTCCGCGAGCATCAGAAACGCGAACAACCCAACCGGGACGAGCAAAAACCCCTCCAGCCACTTCTCGCCTAGGTGCGACGCATACTTCTCCCACATCCGGTCAAAAACGCCCATCCGTTGCAGCATGAAACACAGCAAACCAATCGCGGTAAACACGCCCACGACGATGGTTACGTTACGCGCGCCGTTTTCCGTGTGCCTCCAGACGTACCACAGGTACATGGGAATCAGGAAGAGCGATCCGAGCGCGAGCCCCTTGAAAATTCCGAACGCCGGGGCCACGTGCGCTTCCACGTCGCGGAGTTTCAGCGGTGGTCGGGGGTCGGTTGGAATGGCCCTGAAAATTTTTGTAGCGAGAAAGTTTGCGTCAATTCGAAAAGCAAGGATGATGATGTCGAGTTGAAACAAATCCATATTCAAACTTTTTCATCGAGGAGGCAGAGAAGAGAAACCAATCCAATACTCGAATTCGTAGTGCTTGACCTCCTCAGCCTCCTTGTACATGGGTCGTGGCTTGACATCCAATCCGAGTCGAGCCGCTGGACCCGGAATGTTTTCCAACGCCGGGTCGGGTTTTGCCTTGTCTTCCATCCCGAGCCGTGTCATAGGCGAGTAGGGATCCTTCTGTTTTCGCTTTGCCTTCTCGTCGCGCCTTTTTCGCTGTTGGATAGATGCCTTTTTGTTTTCTACCTGCACGAGCTTCGGCGGAAGTCTTCTCGTGACGAAGCCATCTGCGGTGTGTGGCAAGAAAGCCCATGATGAGGCCGTGGTGGCCAGAAGGTGGACCAAGCGCGTCATTTTGGAACTTTCTTTTTTCGAAGCGTTGGCCCAGCAGCAAAGGACTAGCTACGTTGAATGTAGGCTTTGCAGTGAAGATTGCAATCCAACACACAGATTTTAGTCCAAGCCGCTCTGCTCTCACTCCGTCTCCGGCGCTATTAGCGCACAGTCAGCATGATCATCTCTCCGCTATGCCACTACTGCCCTGCTTTTGATGCGCTCGGATCTATTGAAGAGCTCATCGGAAGATTTTTTCCCGCGGCCACTGCTGGCTGTTGCTTTGCGAAGCCAAACGGCGCAGCCCCAAACTGCGTGGAAAAGCCGCCCTGCGGATGGAACTGGCCAAACGAGGACGCGAAGCCCTGTAACGGCACTGCAGGAGCACCGAGAGGCGCAACTGGCTTGGGTGCGGCACCAAAGGTCCGCCATGCCGGAGCGAACGCGCTGCTGGTTGAAGAAAATGCGGCCACAGGAGCTTTTATTTGCGGCTGTTGAATCTGCCCGAAGGAAGTTCCAAACCCTTGAAACGAAGGGGCAGCAGCCTTGGTCCCATCGCTGCTCTTCGTAGTGGTCTGGAGTGGTACGGCAGGAGTCGTTGCGGCCGCTGTCAAGGAAGTAGCGAAGATTCCATTGCCGGGTGTAGGAGCTTGCTGCAACACGCCGAAAGAAGCTCCATTCGCATTTGCGCTGCCAGATGCACCTGGCGCGGTGCCGCTGCTCAATGCTGGAAATCCGAATCCGTTGTTGAAACTACCACTCGCACCGTTTTGCGTCTTCGCGCCAAACTGGGCGAAAGACGAGGCAAATTGCGACGTCGAACTTGGAGCCTTTGCTGCGGATTGCTGCTTGACGGCCTCGCGCTTGCGTGTGTAAGACGCGGGCTGCTCCACTCTAGGAGCGGGTGGCGCGGCAATGGGAACGAAATTATCTGGCGCCGCTGACATTGGATTCTCCTGCGCGGCCTGTCGCTGGTGCTCGACACTAGCTCCCCCCGTGGTTACGTCCAACGATTTTTTCCGCAGCGGCGGCGGCTTCATGTCCGAAATGCTATTCTGCTGCGCAACAGCGGAGCTTCCTGCAAAGATATTTTCTTGCTGCTTACTCCCAAAATCGTAATCCGATTGCGCGCCGCCCCCGTCCAGGGAAAACCGGCTGGCCAGCTCCTGGCTCGGAAAACTTGGGCTGAATGGCGGCGCGTAGAAGTCGTCATCTTGTGAACCTAGTCTAGATTTCTGCGGACTGTAGCTCTGCGACGGCTGCGAAACGAACTCTTGCGTGCTGTAGATCCGGAAATGCGGCAGCGGTTCTATTGGGAGAACAGAAGGACGGTTGGCGCGACCTTTCTGGCCACTGTTGTCGTTCTTGTGCTCCTCACCAGCGGCGCCGACGACGAGTGGCTGATTGTTTCTATGTGGTCGATGTGGACTCCCACCATGCTCGGATGAGTCACTGAGAACAATGACGCCGTCGTCTGCGGTCATCATGTTGTTCACGTTTCTCTCAACATTTCCGGCACTACCATATCCGATCATGTCCACATCCTCTTGTGCTTTTGTGCTCGGCTTCAATTTCTTCGTACCGACAAAGGCAGAAGACGACGAAGACGACGACGAAGAAAACCCAGCTCCGTTCTGCGCCGCAGGCCCCGGCGAGGAGGCTACTTCTGTGTGGTCGCGCTTGACGCCTCCGCTTTGGTGTCCAACTACTACTGGAGGACCCTGTGCTGAAGTGAACGCAGTCGCAGCGGAGCCTCCGACTGCGAAGTTTCGGCTGCTGCTGCTGCTACTGCTGGACGATGAAGAGCCACCCAGTGGGTTCTGGCATTCTAATCGCACCGGCTCCCCCGCCGATACGTTGTTCCCTCGCGTACCCGCTCCGGTGTCACCTGCCGCCGCTCCTGCAGTACTCCTGTTCACTGCGGAGATCATGGCCGCCTCCGCCGCCAGCTTCGGGTCCGCCGTCGTTACGATCGTCGCTTGCCTGGTCTTGTGAAACACCTGCATCCCGCGTCGCTGCCCGTCGAGCATGCTCGCGCAGTCCTTCGCTTTTTTCTCCACCATGTCGTACACCCGATCGTCCAAAGTGCCCGGACACGTCAAGTAGTAGATGTTCACCATCTTCGCCGTCTGGCCGATGCGGTGCGCGCGGTCCTCCGCCTGCTGCAGTGCGCCCGGAACCCAGTAGAGCTCGGCAAAAACGACCGCGGAAGCGGCGGTCAATGTCAAGCCCTGCCCGCACGCGGTGATGGAGAGGATCGCAACGCGACAGGATTTCTCCTCCTGGTATCTCTTCACGAAAGCCGGCCGGTCTATTTGCTTCGTCGATCCGTCGATGCGGATGTAGCTGCCAAGATTTTTCCAGTACTTTACTCGCTCTTCGAGGGCGTCGAGCATGACTTTATGATGTGCGAACACCAGGAATTTCAGCTCTGGCTGCTCCACGAGCAAATACTCGATGTGCTCGAGCACCGGTTCCACTTTGCACTCCGCGGTGAGCTGGAATATCTCGCTGATGCTCGGCGTGTTGTCGGCATTTTTTTCTGATCCTCCGAACTGCTGCGCAATTTCTTGGTCTAGAGAATTCACTCCATCGAAGTTTTCGTTCAGAAGTAAGTCGTCCAGACAACCATTTCCGTTCCCGTTTTTCTGACTTTTGAACAAAAGATTGATTTTGTCTTTCACTAACTTTTTCTTCCTCACGTCGCACTTCTCCGGATCGAGTCTCATTCTGCACCGCAATTTCGGGGGCAGATCCCGCAAAACGTCGTCTTTCCGGCGACGAATCATGCAGGAAGCGAGCAAAAACGTGTTCAGTTCCTCCGCGTTCTTTACGCCCTCAAAGCTTTCAATCACCCTGCCCTTAAACCGCTTCGTCTCCTTCTTCGCGAACCGATTTGCGAAAGTGTTGAAGCTCGGCATGATGTAGTCCGGCAGTATGCAGCAGAGCTGGGAAAACAGTTCAATGGAGCGGTTTAGGGATGGCGTGCCGGATATCCTGAGTAAAAACGTACCCACACCAGAGTCAGGATGGGGATTTTGCAACACAAACCTAGGAGTTTTGTGAGTCACGCGTGACAAGTTGCACTCTGCAGTGTAGTGCAGGTTAGCAAGTGCAGCCGCATCACAGATTCATATGCTCATCCTGTTCACAGCATCACAAATTCCAAAACACGATTGGAAATGGCCCTCATGGGGATGCGCATTACAAGTCTTCCTCTCTTTGCAAATCTGCATTACAACTCTGGTGTGGGTACGTTTTTACTCAGGATACCCGACAAAAGCATCACCCGCTTCGCGGTTTGGCAGATCTCCATCACCTGCCTCGTCCGCTGCGCCTGCTGATTTTTTATGAACTGCGACTCATCCACGACGACAATCTTGTAGGGCTGCTTGCTCGCCGTTTTGCGGAATGCTGCGTTTCGGAGGAGTTCGAAGCTGGTGATGACGATTTTCGCCATCGGGTCGACCTTGTCCTTACTGGTAAGCAGCACTTGCGCGAAGCGGTTTTCTAGATCGGTTCTCGCCTCGTCTGTTGTTGTGCCCTGCGTTTGATGTTCCTCGTCAGTTACTGCCTCTCCGTTCCGCAAAGCGAACGCCTTCGCATCCTCGGCCAAAATGTCTTCGTTCAGGATGAGGGGCGGTTCCTTCTGCTGCATCATGTTCGACCTATGATTTTCCCGAAGATCTTTCGCGACAAGCCGTTTGATCGTCCCCGTGCCGTCAGCGTCCCCGAGCCACTTTTGCACCTGGTCCCGCCAGCCAAAGCGCAAACTGCTCGGGCAAACAATCAAGCAGGGCAAATCCTCGGCGTAGTAGTCGATCGTCATCAACGCCTGCAGCGACTTCCCAAGCCCCATCTCATCCCCGAACAAAACACGGCCGCCGCGCTGGAGAGCAATTGCAAAGCCCTCGCGCTGGTAGGGCAGCACGGCTGGAGGAAGCTTCTCAGCGAGTTCTTTTGCTTCTGCAGGGGACGGCACGACCCGGGCGGTGGCTTCTGAATAGGTGTTGGTGTCATGTCGTTGCGCTCCCGTGCCACTTAAATTCGATGACACGGCAGCATTTGAGCTGCCAACTGGTGTCTTCATCCTTTGTATCAATTGCCACGACGCGCTGTGCAACCGAACCCCGTCCACCACCCAGCGCGGCACCGGTTCACACAAGTCAAATAGAATCCCGCTCACCTTCTCGTAGTCCTTCATTTGGAATTGCCATGTCTTGGCGTCGATCTGCGTCACTCTGCCTTCGAGTATTTGGTGTAAATTCTTCCCACGGATCGCCTCCTCCGGAATCCCTCGGGCGTAAAAAAAGCTTGCGTGCATCGGGAACGGACAGAGCCGCAGGCAGCCCATCTTCTGGGGCAAGTTCGCGCCGACGTCCAGCTGCTCGACGTCCCAACTGAAAAACTTGCAGCGCTTTTGGTTTTCACTGCGCGGGCAGCAGAGAAACTCACGGCCGCAGTTTGCGCCCTGCTTCCTGACAGTGCGCCGCGCGACCAGCTCGCCGCAGTCACAGTAAACGGTCATTTTCGAAAATGCTTTTTGAAACGAAATCTAGCACGGAATCAAAGGACAACAAATACAAAAAAGCGGAATGATTAGATCGAGTAGCACAACTAAGGCTTCCTGCTTCACAAAGGTTCTCACAACAACTACGTGGCGGTGACGGTGACCTAGCGACGAATACGACCTGCGACGACGACTTTTCCATCGATTCATTATCATTTTCAAGCAACCATATATTTTTGATACAGTCATGAGCAACGAGAAAAAGACCGGAAACACACCGCGACAAAAATTGCCCGGCCTCAAGTGGCGCAAAAATTTTCGGCCCGCTGCTAACGCGCCAATGTCAGCATAGCAACCACCTGCTTTTCTTCGAAATTTCCATATTCCTTTTTGTTCTTCCAGGAATAAAGGCGTAATAGATAGTTGTACTTCGAGCGAGATGATGCGGATGCGTTGCGCCGGGTTTCTTTTTTCGCACGTCTTGTTTTCTCACAAGTTTCTGAGCTCGAAAAGTTTATCATTCCTTCCTTTGCTCGGCAATCGAAAAATGCGAACTTTCTTATCCGAACTGCCACAAAAGGCGACCATAGTTCAGGTCGCACTCTTCCTCGTCCACGACAAGTTGTCATGAGTGTCAAAAATCATTAGATGTGGGTCAACTAAAAACGACTTTCAGTTTTATTTTCCAATATCTAGCCAAACTTTAGTGTACTTACTTGGGAACAAATCTTTGTGGTACTGCGCTAGTGTACTTTATTTGCACAAAATTGTTTGCCGGTCGGGGCGTCACGGGGGGTTCCTCACGATCCGATCGCGCTTTCTTCCACCTGCATGGGGCTTCCGGCCTTCACGGGCGGCGGCAGGGGGCTGGCTTCCGGCGCCGCCGGGGGCTTCAGCTTGTACAGTGCGGAAATGGACTTTTTGTACTGTATCGAGTGAATCGCGTTCGCGAGCAGCCCCCCAATGCAGACGCTGATTTTTGTTTTCCAAATGTGTAGGTAAGCATTAGAGGTCAGGCAACGTCTTATCTCAACCAGGTGCATCACACCATGCAAACCAGCATCAAAATATCACGACAAACCGGAAATACAATTTGATTTTCGGGCACGCCGTGACGCTTTCGTGATTGAGGCCGACGATGGAGTTCGTTACTACCACGCTTTCCAACTGCGACTCCTGTATCCTCTGCACGGCCGGGCCGGAAAAGAGTCCGTGTGTGATGAAAGCAAATACTCGGGTCGCGCCGTTGAGTCCTGAAGAGTTAGATTCATTCTTGCAGTAGATCTTGAAGCATTTGGGTCTGAGCGGCACTCAAGCGAGCGAAGTAGCGCTTAAGCCAGCGCAAAACATCAGCGAAACGCATAAGCGAAGCGCATAAGCGAAACGCATAAGCGAAACGCATAAGCGAAACGCATAAGCGAAACAAATAGGCGAAACTGCGTAGGCGGGGCGCACTACTTAACCGGGGCGCACTACTTAAGCGGAGCGCACTACTTAGGCGGGGCGCACAACTTCAACGAAACACTACTTGAGCGAGGCACCACGTAGGAGGGGAACTACCTACGCGAGGCACTAGCAAAGCGCGGCACTACTTAAGTAGCGCACTACTTAAGCAAGGCACTACTTAAGCGAAGCACTACCTAAGCGAGGCACTGCGCACTGCTTTAGTGAAGCACTACCTAAGCGAAGCACTACTTAAGCGAGGCACCACCTAAGCGACGCACTACTTAAAACGGACTGCTTTAGCGAAGCACTACCTAAGCGAGGCACTACTTAAGCTAGCGAGGCACTACCTAAGCGACGCACCACTCAAAACGCACTACTTTAGCGAAGCAAAGCCACGTAAGGAACGCACTACCTAAGCGACGCTCTGCTTAACCGAAGCACTTCAGCGAAGCATTTAAGGGAACGATTCAGGCGAAGCACTTAAGCGAAGCACCTATCGCTTCGAAGGACTTCAGGTGAAGGGCGCGAAGCACTTAAGGGCGCGAAGCACTTAAGGCTCCGAAGCATTTAAGGGCGCGCAGCACCTAAAGGCGCGAAGCACTTAAGTGCGCAAGGCAGGTCTGGGAGAGAATCCTGATACAGAATCAGAAACGCGGCAAACTCTCAAATTATACTGAGCTGCTTCGCCGCCTCACACAGCGTCCCCGCCGTGTCCACGATGTCGTCGACAATCAAGCAATCGCAGCCTTCCACCGACCCAACCAAGTCCATGCGCTCGATTTGGTTCGGCCTTGACCGGTGCTTGATCAGCATGGCTAGGCCTGGGTTCTGAATGCCGCGCTTCATCATCGCATCCTGGAACTTCTTGGCACGGTACACGCCACCCGCGTCAGGAGAGACCACGTTCACCTTCTGACTAAACTGGATATTGGCGAGGATCCAGTCGAGCGCGACGATGTGCGATTCCAGGTTGTCCATCGGGACCGTCGGGGAGAAGAAACCCTGTGTTGTGACAAGTTCGAGTTAAAAACAGTCTTTGCGCATGCAAATGTCAACACAAGGAGGGTGGACGCATGGCACTTGACGTTCTCTTGCACAAAGAGAATTGCAACAATAGTAATATACTTGTATCTGCCCGCAATGCAAATCGACGGACACGACTCTGTCGACGCCCATGCTCTCGATCATTTTTGCAATATCAAATGCAAAAATGTCTGGGTCTGGAAGGTTGCAACTTGTGATGCTGCGTTTGGATTCCAAAAAAATCTGTATTGCATGAGCAGCAAAGGGAACGCATTTTTTACTTCGCGGAGAGGGCATTTGTCATGCGGAATAGGCATCAAGAAGACCTCAAAAAATCTGTGATGCTAGCGCATGCATCACGGACATCATGACTCATGCAAAACGTGCATGACAAGTCTCAGAATCTTCCAGACCCAGACATTTTTGCATTTGATATGCAACGTCCGCTGCGGATATCGGGGTACGGCTGTCCACTTTCCGGTCTTGTCTGGCGTAGCTGTGAAGTAGACATTTCATCTCGAAGATGATTTGCTTAAATGTCGCCCAGAGATAAAAAATTCAATGTGAAATTTTCGCATTTTTTCGCACACTCACATGCAAAATTCGGAAAAGACCAAACTTCGCAGCATTTTTACCCGTAGTAGGGGATTATTGCGGTAATCCTTTTTGCCGATGCTCTTCTCGCGGTGGATACGACAAGCAACAGTTCCATAAGGTTGTCGTTCACTGGGGGTGAAGTTGGTTGGATGACGTACACATCCTTCCCTCGCACGGTATCCAGGATTTTGATGTAGACCTGAGTTGTTGCATTGATTTTGGGTCCATGCGACTTCCAATTTCGCTTCCAGCTAATGATCTGCCATGCCGCGCAACACTACTGTTCCTTCCCTTCCCTTTATACATAATACCTCTCCATCGGCGAAACGCTTGACCTGCAAGGTGTCTTTGCTCGGTACGCCGAGTTTTTCCAAAATTTTTGCGGACAGCCCGGGATTATCAAATGCAAAAATGTCCGGGTCTGGAAGACTGCCAGGTTTGTCATGCGGGTTTTCCATGACCCATGAGGTCTAGTATGAAGGACATAGCATGACAGATTCTGCGAGAGCTTTATCATGCCTATCCTGCATGAGAAACTCCCTCCCAAGTTGGTCAAAAGCGGACGCAACACAGATTTTTGCATCATTCAGATTTAGCATGACAAGTTCTAATCTTCCAGACCTAGACATTTTTGCATTTGATAGGGATTACTGCTGCCGGTCAGGAAACAGCAGTTTGTCTCGTCCAATTTGCCCAGCGCTGTGGACGCCATGGTTGCGAGAAGAGAGGGTTTTTTTCTACCTTTTCTCCTTGCAGTAGCAAACTCTTACAACTGCATCAAGCAGTAAAAACAAAAATGAGTATTGGTTTAATATCCTCAAGCGACTTCGGCTTGAAGATGCCAGCCGTTACATGTTGTAGAAGTCACGTGAAACTTTTCTGCACTATAGAGACGGAAGTGCCGCGCTCGGGGAGCGCTTGAACAACTGCGCTTTCTTGAGGTACGTAGCACATAGATAACTACATTTGGAAAAAAATAATTAGCTTTTTGCCGGAAGCAACTGACGCAACATTTTTTTGCCTCGCGAACGACAAGTGGCTTCAAAATTTTTGTGCGACAAAAATCGCGGACATCTTTGCAAGTAGGTAGTTTTCCGGAGAACATTCTGATAGTCAATATGCACCGGGTTTCATCCGTTTTCCGACTCATGTAATCTGTGCAGTTTCATTCTCAAAAAATCGTTCTTCGAACGGTAAATGTTATAAGGTTATGATCATCCCGCGCGTGCAGTGCATTACGGTCATCTTCTTTTCCGTGCGAGCTTTCGCTTTGATGTTATGCTAATGAAATGCTTACCCAGCACATTCCTTCGAGAAACTCACCGCATGTGCAGATACTGCATCATGTTCGTATTGTGCAAAAAAAAAAATCGATGCTTCTATGCAGCGGTGTTGAGCCTGTGCGAAATCTACAACAACTTTACAATGACGAGTCTCCAGCGTTATTTCGAATGAGGCTGCATGACAAAAATTTAGAACGAAACGTGATGCACGCGCTCGGGCTGGGATAAGTGTGGACTCAATTACGAAAATATCAAACGTCGGTGACTTACTTTGTTTTCATGGTATTTTTACGAATAAGTTACAACGCTACTGCGTCTAGCTCGCATAGGCCAGAGCATTCTCAATGTTTGTGCCAAATTGTTACATCAAAAGAAGATCTTAATCTGGTGAGCGTGAGTTCGTTAAATTTCTTAGAAGTTCTTTTATCTATCTTACACAAATAGACTCGGCTACTTCCCCCGAATAAAAAAAGTCGTTGTTACATTGACGCCCCGCGTTTACTATTTTCCATTCGCGAAAAATTGCTACTGTTCTGCGTCGTCGAGCCCTGACTTGAGGATCCCTGCGTGCTCTGCCGCAAGTGCCGCTCGTAGGAAGGCACCCGGTCCAACTGCAGCGTCTGCACCGTCATACCCTGGACGCGATTGCTACTGTCGCCGCTCGTGGTGCGCTGGGTGTCGCGCGGAGATAGCTTGTTCGTTGCCGATCCTGATAGCATGATGCCCATCATTTCAGCGGCAAGGCGCGACTGTTTTCGCCGGTGCATATCGCTGTTCTCTCGGGAACCCGCATAGCCGCTCGTGCTGTTTTTCGAGCTGGACACAGATTGCATCGATGCCTCCCGGTGAAAGCTGTTTATCATTTTTCATAAGGGGATTCATTCGCACGATTTTCGGTTTTTAATTGTGGATGAACTACATCAAAAACAAAAAGTAGCAAATAAATACGGGTTCAAGACGGAGATGACCGACCCGGTAGAGCTCTCCTTCCGTATTCTCCCGGCCCTGGATGAGAGGGCGGAAGAAGTACTGCGGGCGTGTGTCAAGTTATTCCTTTGCTCGCTGCTACTGGTGATGGACGGAGATCGTTGAGAGGAATTTGTGGAATCGTCCTCATTCTCGCGATTTACAAACCGGCCACTCCCCCGGCTCCTTCTGCGCGCATGGCTCCCGCTCGTCTGTCAACAGGAAAACTTCCCCCTCCCCATATCAAAACGACGTTTCGGATGCTGGACTTCAGTACACAAATCAGACGTGTCTTGCAGTAGAGGACTGCAGGATATGCCAAGCCTGGGTAGACAGGTCTTGACGTAGGCGCCAACCATGGCAAGCGTCGACACTGTAGCCCCAGCAGCATCACAAACCGCTTGCATAATACGGCGGAGCCTGGGGAGTTGCCTTCTAGCAAGAAACACGCGATTTGTGACTACAAATCAGCATCAGAAATTTCCAAAAGAATGCCTTTTCGATATGAGGCGGGGGTTTTTCCTTACGATATCGTCTGCTGGATGATCAAAGAGTCCAGCTGCTCGAAGTCCGTCTCCTCTTCCGGACCGTCCTCTTGCGTGATGGTTAATTGGATCGGCTTTCGCGCCATATCCCACCGCATGCGGAACAGGGAGATGTCGTCCTGCTGGCACAGGGCGTCGAACAGGGAGGGAAACTTGAAGAAGCCGTCGGACACCGCGATGGCGATGTAACTGGCGAGAATGCACCCGAGCGCGATGTGCCACATGCCCGTGTTGAAACCGGTCAACTCGAACAGAATCACCACGCTGGTCAACGGGAAGCGAAAATTGGCGGAAAACAACCCGATGACCCCAAACGCGACGCAGGGCTGCCAAAGTCGCGTGTACATCGCGGTTGGAAGGACCAGCTGAAACACCGCGAGGGTGGTGCCACCGAGAAACCCACCGACTATCAGCGACGGCATCAGGATTCCCCCCGGACCCCCAACCGCCACGCACAGAACGAAACACGTCATCTTGCAGAGTGCAAAAATCAGGCCTGATTTAGGAGCGATGGCGTCGAAGTAGATGCTCTTCAAGCTTCGACTATGCACAAATTGCATAGCAGTGAACCGTACGAAAATATAGAAAAGTCAAAGTCGCACGTGATTCTTTCAGAAAAAAAGCCTGCAAGAATTTACTTACCTGTCAAAAAATCCGACGTCCTTCCCGGCCGTGGTTCTAGTTTATGGTATTCGCACTCCCCGGCCGATAAATCGCACTCCTCTGCATGGAAATCGAAGAAGCGCTGCAAAGAAGCGGTCCCGATTCCCCACGTACCTTTCAAGCCCGTCGTGTAGTAACTGAAACAACCGATGGCGGCGGTCAAAAAACTGGTGGTGGTGAAGGCAAACACCAGCCACTTTGCTTCTTTCTCCGGTCGCCAGTCTATGGTCTTCCCGAGTCTACTATTGAGCTCTCCAGCGCGTCGGCCGGAGGAAGTTTTCCCCGGCGACTTCGCAAGTAACTCCTCGTTGCCCAGGTTCGATTTGTTCCCGACCGTTGTGTCCGGACTGGGATAGTTGTTTTCTTGTCCCTCGTCCGGTGAAAACCTCACTGCTTGTGTTGACTTGTTAGCGGGTAGTCCACCCGGTGGGGTATTGACTATCATCACGCTACTGCTGCTACTACTACTACTACTTCCCAGCTGCCCTTTTCGATCGTTAGACTGCGCGGAGTCCGGACGTCGTGGTTCTTTTCCCGGCGACTGCTGCTCGCGAGAAGCTTGGTGAAAGTGGGAGACTCCTTTCATCTCCTGGTGAGCCGCATGATCTTCATATTGCGGTTGTTCCTCGCAGGAGCTGGTCACTGATTCCGGAACCGACCCAAGTATGTTCACCGCCGAACTGGCGCTCATCCCGCGCGTGCAATGCCGATCGTCCTCGCTCGGGGGCAGGCTCAGACAGCCCGACTTTTCGCAGGTCAAATTGTAGTGCCCCGCGGAATGTAAAGGCGGCCACAAGTCCGGGAGCTGCTGGTGGGGTTCTTGCTGGACAAAACCAGCATCTCTGGTCGTTATCTGATCTTCGTTGTGGCCTGGCTGAAAATGGTGCGTTGGAGTCCCCGGCGGGAGAACCGATACGTGTTCCTGCGGCGAGGCCGTTGGGGAGGTCCTTGCCTCACTCGGATGTTGTCCCGGGGACGTGCCTAAGTGGATCACGAGCGAGTTGTTTCTACTGCTTCTCCTCCGCGCCAGTTTCTTATCGTAGTACTCAAACACGGAATGCTTGTCTCGCACACTACCGGTCACCGTGCTGTTTTCCCGCGAGCCCTCCTTGATTGGACTGGGCGGACAAACGAACCGGCACTTCAGCGCAGTTTTCATCTCCGTCGCGGAGGTCAGTAGTGTGTGGAACGCCCGGGTGGTTGAGTTGCCTCCACCCGCGTGGCTGGGCAACTTCGGCAGGTGGTCTACTGCTGTGCTACTACTGTTTTCCGTCGCCGCGCAGGACGTGACGTTGATAGAGATTTTCCCGGTCTTCTTGCCACTGCTGCTCCCGCTCTCCGTCCCGCTGCGGGACGAGGAGTCCTGTTGTTTGATGTTATTGTTTTCTCTATCCGATTTGCTGTTGTTGCTTGCGGAGCGCGAGATCGGATCCTGTTCTTCGCTGATGCTCTGATCGGTGCTACTGCTGGAGGAGCGCGTCTCTTCGCTTTCAGACCTTGCTCCATCTTCCCCATTCTTCGCCGGCCGGGTCAACCGCTTGAATTTCGCGCGCAGCCAAAGCAAACTACTGCTCAGCAGCTTTCCGGTGGCGCCGCAGATGAGTCCGATCGCGCCGCCGAACAGGAGCGACAGAATCTGGAACTCGGGGTCAGCCATGTTGGCGGTTTTCAGATTCAAGTGCACCATTTGGTGGTCGTGGAAGCCGAGCCGCAGTGTCAGCGTTGCGAACACGCTGCCGACCGACATCAGTCCGATCAGGGGACGGGACAGCGACCCGGTCAACGGGCCCAAATCTTCCATCGCGTACACTATCGCGGCCACCGGGCAGTTGAAGGCCGCGGCCAGCCCCGCGGTCATCCCGAGGACGCACAGAATGCTCATCAGCTTTGGCGTGCGCAGGCCTGTTTTAGTTTGAGAAATGTTGGTGACTCCGTCATCGCTTGACGGTAGCTGCTTCGACGAATCCATCAAATTCACATACTTTTTTGCCTGAAAGAGGCTGTACCGCAAATTTGGCCGACGGTGGTCGAAATCGACGTGCAGAGGTGGATCGTCGGGCCCTCTCCTCCAAGCGAGTGTCCCGCTCCCAAATAAAGCGCGGTAATGACCATTCGGCACAGGCCCTGTTTTGGTTTTGTTAAGTTTGCAAAACTGCATCTGCAGACGATCACCAAGACAGTTAATAGCATCCCGGGTGGTGTCCCGACGTAGATTGCACATCAGAAGATACGAAGACCTTGCCCTTACCTGGGGGAACACCGGGATGACGTCGCCTCGCGCGGTGGCGATGAGCGCCTCGGTGGTCCCGCCGCCTTTGATGTGCGCCAGAATTTTTTTCGGCACCATAGCGTAGAACACGCCGACGATGAGCCCGGCGGACGTGCAGCAAATTATGGACCAGACGTAGATGCTAAGGTCGGTTTCCCGAAGCAAGTACCCATCGATGCCCGCGAATTTGGAGTAGCTGCTGCACCCGTTGATGCTCAAGGCACAGCCGCTGAGCGCAATGATGGTGTGGAAGAAGGCGGTGGCCGCGCCGCAAACGACTCCGATCACAATGGTGAACACGACGAGGGCGATGGGGTAGGTGTTATGGTTCTCGTGCATCTCCTCGGGCGACTGGTCGTCGGCCTCCGCGAGCGCCGCGGCCAAGTCGCGGGTCTTGGCCCGCTGCAGCGCGAACAGCGAGGAGCGGTTGCCGGGCCGGCTCCCGCCCTCGAGACTCGCTACTTTGCTCAGCAGCTCCGCCGGGGCGGTTACCGAGCGCCGGGGCGCCAGTATCTTCTCGGAAACCGCGGCCATATCCTGCAGAGTCAGGGGGTGTCGACGCGGGTGCTGAGGGCGTCGTAGACGCAGAGGCGCCTTCTGTGCGGTCTCGTGTGTCGCGAAGGCGCAACACGAACCTGCGCTGATTCTACATAAATAACTACACGCGGCGCGCGGCTTGTAAACCGGCGCGCATCGTCTTTCCTAGCGGAGACGACTTCTGATTTTGTGCACGTAGTCTTGAGGAGCTCTCTCGGATAGTAAACGCCCCGCGACCCTCGCCGCGAAGGTATCGTACTAGCGTCAGGGGTGCTGGACGAATCGCGCCCACCTGCGCCACGCGGGTGGCCAGCGAAAGAAGCGGAGCGCAAACAACAAACACTACGAACAACAGCAAGTCTCGTGGCGGTGCGACAAGCGCCGCCGCATTACCGCGCGTCAGTACCGCGAAAGCTGGCCAGACTCGAACAGCTGGGGTATTTTTCTAGCTCCCCGGCAAAGCAGCCTATTGCGACAAAAGTGCGACCGTCACGGCCCATTGTTGGGGGCGCCAATACCCACTACGCGACCCCCGTATACGCGCGACGAGCTGCGCCCGGGGGGTGGCTCGCCTTCCGCCCGGGTTCCACGCGCTGAAACCAGGGACCCAGCGCGGCCGGCGGGCCCGGACGTGCGTCGGTGGTGCGTGATGGGTGCGCGATCACTACAGGCAGGCTGGCTCTAGCTGTGGGAGGCCGGCACCTTGTTGCTTCATTGTTTTGGACAGGACGACCCACCATAGTCTGGTGGTCTTTGGCCAGAAAAGGGGTGCCTGAGGAAGAAGGTCGACGCTTGAAATTTTGCGAACATTTCCTTCTGGGTTGGACAAGCAGATCCGGCAGCGTTGTACTGTGATAATTTGTCTCATGTGACACATTTGAGCACCTACGTGAGTGCTTTTATGTGTTGGTAAAGAGATTTATGCCATTTTGGAGTTTTTCTAAAATTTTTGAAAATTTTTAATTTTTTCAAAAGAGGCGATGAATGCACGTTATAAGGAAGCCAAGTGCGTGCGTCAGCATGTCGATGATCCCTCTCTTAGAATCCTCATATTTTTTATTGTATATAAGACACAAAATTTACTCAATTTCGAACATTGGAATTTTTCAAAATTTTTCAAATTTTGTAGTGTTTTCATTTTCCCAGATATAAGGAAGTCTACAAGTGTTTCTCCTGTCGGACTGACATGGAACTTTTACAATGTGCGTCGTTAATTATATGGATTCGTAAAATTACTTCAAAACTTTGCACGGAAAAATTTTCAAATTTTTTCAAAATTTTGAAAGTGGTAGAAGAATTGCTTCTAAGTGAAGACTGTTCCTCACTTTACTAATATATCGCACTCTGATGCTGACCTGTAGAATTCAAAGCGCATTTTCCAATGGTTTTGCATGATTTTATCGAGTATTCAAAATTTTTCAAATTTTCCGATTTTTCTGAAAATCTGAAAATGGTTCATTTTTACAATTGCAGGCTTTGGGATTGGCATAATCGGAACAGATATTGTGATACATAGTTGCTGACAGCCCAGATGGTAAATATTATGGGCCACATATCCAGCATCTGATTGCTTTAAATTTCTGAAAAATTTTCAAGTGACTTGATTTTGTGGAGTTTCATGATTTGCATGAGTTTTAACAGTCTGACAACAGATGCAATCTGCTTAATTTTACATATATGGTGTGTATTTCGTTGAGCGGATGCGTCGAAAGCAGTATTCGACACTTTTTCCAGGCCCGACTTTTTTTCGTTTCTCCGAGTGGTGATCCATCCACCTCTATAGGCACTAGCTAAGCTGTCTGGAAAACAGGAACTACACCCCCCAAGCACCGTTGCTGGTCCAGCTGCCTAGTCTACCATGGGCCCTTACATGCTTCGCATCTGCATAGTCCAGTACTGCCTCCGCATATGGCTACCTGTGCGATCCCGATCAGTCCTATATTACCAAGGGGTGACGCGTAATCGCTCCAAGGGCATACCGCGGTGGTCTTCTTTGTCTATTGCGCTTGCCGGCCCGTTGCGCGTCGCGTACGCGCAGAAACCGCGGCTGCGGGATGGGTAGCCGCGCGGGCGGAACGGGCAAGCGTTCGCAGTGCGGGAAACGACGCCGGCGGGGGGGGGCGGTCGGACAAGGGTGTCGTAGTTCGCTCGCTCTCGCGTACTTCTTTGACTGAATAGGCCAGGCGGCCGTCGCTCCGCCGCAGCTCTTACCACGAGGGATACAGCGCTTCAAAGCTGCTCTGTCGTTCTCGCAGGGCGGGCATTTGAGAGAAAAGCAAATCGCAGATGTGAGTGTGTGAGTTTTCTACGAGCGAGATGCACACGCCGAGTTCGAGTTCCTGCGCGATCGCCCGGCACGGGATGCTTCTCGAGTAGACCTGCATCGAAAACACGCCGGACACTTAAACTGTAGCTTCCGCTTGATAAAGATTCTTTCAAATACGGTAGAAACAATATGAACGATACCCGTTCCGCAGCGGGCACGGAGCGTCCCGCTTCTGCGCGGCTAGAGGCGTTCTTCGGAGGCGGGAAGTACGCAAAAGCGCGGCGGAAGGCGCGGCAAACAAAATACACCGAGCCAAAGCGTGATAAGTACAGTGCCTGGCGCTCGGACTATGACGACGCAGCGGTGTTCGCGATTCCAATGGACCGGAACGAACAGGATGGCACCATCCAGAAGTCGAGTCCCTCTCGCGGCCGCGCGGAGCAGCCCCATTCGCGCAGCGGTAGTAGAGCGTCGAAGGACACAAGACTGGTCGCGGCCACGAGTTTTTCGCCGCCGCAGTCCCCGGGCGGGGGTGGAAAGTCGACGTTTGTCCTCCCGCGCTCCGTACCCGATTTCAAACAAGACGGGGACCTTTCTCCGCGGTCGGCGCAACGAGTCCACCGCGACAACCCCCCGAGACCGCGAACCGCACCCAGCGAAGAGTCGGCCGGGCTTTTGAAGTACCTTCGGAGCATGGATGAGGCGAAGAAGCAGTCGTTTCTGCACGAACTGTTATCCGCTGACCCCGCGGCTGTGCAAGCTGCGGCGGCACTAGCGGGAAATGGCATGACGGACACAACTTCCGCTCTCCCCATGGAACCGGCCGAAATTCAAACCACCGACGTCTTCGACGCGATCGTGGCGGCTCCGCCCGTCCGTCGCACGGGTCCCGATGACCCAAAAGCGTTCGAATCCCCGATCCCCTCGCCGAAAAGCGAACCCCGGCGGCGACCGTCGGGAGGCATCGGAGCCGCCCACGAGGACCGCAATTACGGCCAGGAGAGTGCTCCACGCCTGCAGAAGGCGCTTGAGCGCGATGGGCCCGGGAGTAGCGACGGGGAGGAAAACTCCGACGAGGAAGGAGGTAAGCGCAAATCTGCCAATGGTTCCGGGACGAGAGGTGGACCTGCTCCGGACAGCCCGCCCGGGGAGCTGGGGCTCCTCGAGCCCGACCCGATCGGGGGCCGCATTCCCAAAGTTCTAGGGAAGAAGCGACGCGTCTATCGGACCCCGTTGCTGACCCAGTACCACTGCTTCATCGTCGCAGTGGTCACTTCCTTCATCAGTCTCGGCCTATTCTTCCTGACCCTCTGGGTGTCTTCCGCGAGCACCTAGGTACTTACGGCGGCACAGGGCTTGGAAGAGGTGTGAAGGTTTACTTTGTGCCCGAATTACTGCGGATGATTTGAAGAGGTTAAGTACGTATTCTGCGCGCACGTTTTGGTTTTGCAACCCTGTTTCAAGTTTCAAGTTGCAGGACGACGTAGCACCTCTGCAACCAACATGGCACCTCTGCAGCTAGGCTTTCTTCGGAAACGAGAAGCCAGTTTCCCTGTAGTGTTCGGAGTTCTGACAACGTGGCTTTATTTGGGTGTGGGATTCAGAACGGCGCTCTAAATAGTTGTGTGGTGTTTATTTTCTGTAAAAAAACTTGTACGAGTCATAGCCGTGGTGCACAATTGTTTGCTAGCTGGGACGAGCAGACGCTCGATCTTTCACGAAGAAATAAATTTACGAAGCATAAGATAGAAGTCTAGCTTTCCCGTCCACAACCCGGAATAAGACATGTGCCTGATTAATAGAGTTGTTGCAGACAATAAATTTTTTGAAACCATGGAGTCCCGGCTGAATGGCGCGAACTACTGCACCGTGGTGAAAGCCAACCGAAATGGCAACTCGCTATCCCTCGATGTGGACGTCGTTGGGGACCCGCTGCGCCCCCGCGAGGCGGTGATCACGGTCATGGGCCCGAATTCACGAGCGCGCGCTATCGCTTGTAAGGGCTGCAAAGTGACTGCAGGGTTCGGGGTACTTATTTGTTTGCTTCGGTTCTTTCTACTGAGATTTTATTGCGTGAGCAGTTCTTGAATCGCTTTTGCAAAAATCTTCGTTACATGCTGAGGACGGGGCTCTTGCAGCACGAGCGGTGAGAGCGCCGGGAAATTTATGAAGCAGTTGCCCACACGACGGTAACATCAGCTTTAACTTTTCCCCAGGTACACACTTGGGTTGCGTTGGAGTTTCAGCTCCCGCGGGGCAGCGTCGGAGATGTGTTTTCCTTCTCATACAACCCAGGATGGTCTAGCACCCGTTTGACGAATGTGATAGCGTACGACACGCCGGCACAGCAACCCTTCAACACACAGCCCACTCGGCAGCCCTTCGTCAACGACACGGCACAGCCCAAGTCGACCCCAGCTACTGCCTTCGCAACAGGAAACGCGCGCCGCTTGGACAACTGCGCCGCTTCTGGTGGCTCAAGTTCCTCTTCGAGCCAGTTTGCGGACTGCGAGAACACGGCGACTGCAAAAGCCGGGGGAGAAGAAGCGCGAAGCAGGTTGGTGTTGGGAGGAGAAATTTCATTCCCGGAAACTACACACCGCAACCTGCGGCCCCCGTCGTTCGATCATGATTCGAGGAGATTGCCAGAAGGCGGAACAGCAGCGCTAGGACTGCGAAGACGAGCGTCGGACCCAGCGGCAGCTATCTTTCAAGCGGGCACGCTCGCGGAAAATGAAAATATGAGAATACCAGACACAACAGCACAGAATACAGCAACAACGAGCGAGGAAGAAACCCCACCAACCTACATGCAGATGCTCGAAGATATGAGTACTAGCAACGTGCGGAAGATGGATCCGACCGACATCACCAATCCACCGCACTTGCATCACACCCAAAACCCTTACGCCTTCGGCGAACCACAGCCGCCGGACCCGAGCGCATGGAAAGCAGCGCTGCTTACCGGAACGCAGGCCAGCCAATACGTGGGGTTGCTCCAAAAAAGACTGATGAAACTCCAGAACTACAAGTTGCTGGACCCGAATACGTTTGTGGAGCACTGCCTCTACGCGGATACCGGAACGCTTCTTTCGCTGTTGCCGGTGTTGTCCCTCCAAAAGCGGATTCCCGACCCGAGGGTGCTTCGCCGCGTTTTGCCCAGATTGTGCGACGAGTTGGAAAACGCGGCGCACGAAGCGGTCGCGGAGAAGTTTGCGGCAGCCTTGCTGCGGATCGTCAAGGAGTACAAAAGGCTTGGAATCATTGTGGAGTGTGGTCGCGACGAGTTTTCCGGGCTTTATGCCCTGGTGAAAAGGCTCGCACGCAGCGTAAAGCTGAGCAGAATGCAAGGCCCGACCGCGATGAGATGCAACGATATCAGGGACATTTTGGCCCGAGATTTTGGCACATGAAGGAAGGGTTCAGGCTTTTCATTCCGATTGAGAACACAGGACGAGTTCAGTCAACTACACATAGCGATTTGCAGATACAATTTTGAAGCACAGCATGCACCACTTTCTCATACCCCGTAATGTCCCTTGCTTACGACCAGGAGTGTTGTTCATTGGGGGAAATATTTCATACGTTCAGAACTGGCGACTCGTCAATGATGATGCATGCTCCGCTTTCTGTTTTACATCCCGTGCCCTCAGGAGCTTATAAGCGTTTTTTTTTTCGGTAAGGTAAGGTGGGTGAAGATCGCGTTCGTGGTTCATGTGATCCATCTCGAAAAGCTCTTCTCTCTGCTAAAGTTGTAAGCGATCAAGATTTTCATCGCATGTGGCCAGCAGCAGAACGTAGTCTCTTTGCCCTAAAGCACCTGACTTCTACCTAGTACTTTTCCAGAAGCGAAAAAAAGCGAAAAAGATGGACCGCTTCACGCTGACGGTGCTGCTTTGCGTTTTTAACGGCGTGGCGTCCGTGACCATGATGATGGGCAACAAAAAACTCGCGCTAGTTTTTCCCTTTCCCTTCACCACCATCCTTCTCCAAAACGCGGTGTGTTTCCTCATTTGCGCCCTGCTGATCAGGATACAGGACGGCCAGTCTTTGTACAAGAAGCTAAGGTCCATGCGGTGGGCGCACTTCCGGAGTTGCCTCGCCGTCGGGGTCGCAACCAGTCTCGTCTTGTCGACCTCCATCGTCGCTCTGCGCTTCGCGTCGGTGCCTCTGGTCGTGGCTTTTAGGAATTTGACCCCCATCGTCGTCGCGCTGCTTGATTCGCTCGTCTTGGGGGCGACCTTTCACAACAGCGCGAAACTGGGGCTGGTGTGCGGGTTGGGGGGGTCCCTTCTGTACACGGTGTTCGATCCGCCGACAGCGGCGCATGCCGTACAGAACACAACTACCGGGGATTATGAGAATAAGGCGCTTGTTACATCAAGCAACAACACGACCAAAACTACTACAGCAGAACAAGCAGCAAACACCTCCACCTCAACCCTCACGGCAACGAATTCGGTCCTTTTTCAAGCAAACTTCGGTCTGTTCTTCGTCATCGCGAACCTGCTGCTCAGCGCCTTGGTGAACATCCTGGAGTCCACGACCATGCGGAAGTTAGCCGCGGAACAAAGTGCGTCCACGGTGAACTGCATCCGCATAACGGTGATGCAGCCGATGCTGCTGGCGCTCTCCACGGTATTTGAAGACCAGCAGCATGCTCTCCATTTGCTGCGCGCAGACGGAATTGCGGTCCTTGATCGGGTACAAGGGACGATGAACAGTGGTAGCACAACTATGGGACCAGCAGGAGAAATAACGTCGACTGCGCCGATGCTTTTCATCCTCCCGCTGTTTCTCTTGACCGGCGCTTTCGCAGCCTTGTTCGGCGTTTCCGCGCTCGCTCTCAGCGGCTTGCGCGTCAGCCCCACAACGCTGGCGTTTTTAAATGTGGTGTACAAACTAGCAACTACGGTGGTCGGGCATTTTTTGTTTCCCGCAAATGTCCCGATGCTGAGCTGGTGCGGCTATGCGCTCACGTTCTGCGGATTCCTGTTTTACGCATTAGGTCGGCCAAAGAAAGATGGCGAAAAGAAAATAGAAAAGATCTTGGACAAAAAAAGAAATTGAAGTATCATCATGCCAAGTCGCTTTATTATCATTGCGCAGCTTGTTGCATGCTGCCACTGGTTTTTGAACATCATATACAATTTTCAGATCACGCGTTTTCTTTCATCCCCGAGTGCAGTGCCTGGAGAAGTTTGAGCGATCGCGCGCAGAAATTTCTCTACTGGAGCCTCTTTTGCCTTAGCTCCTTTGGCTCGGGTTCTTACATTTTTTTCGATTCTACGCATAGCAGACGGGCAGGACAAGTATTCAAAACAATATTTACACATGAAATCACTATATCAATCCTGGATCAAGAACAGCCCAGGGACAAAAAAAATCAAGTTGCTGGACCGGGTCAACATCATGATTCATCGCACGAAATCTTGGCAGGTATGATTCATCAACTTGCCGCAACGACTGCGGTCGCTGCGGGCAGTCTGTTGTCTGCCTGTCTTGTGACTGTTTACGACTGCCAGACGGGTGACACCGTCGCATTCGAAGTGTCCCCGAGCGCGACCACCAGTGCCAGCGTGCAGTCGTTGAAGTGGCACCTCACGCGGTCGGCTGACTTCGGGCCGTTTCCGCTTCGGATGCTCGATCTGTACGCGGAGGGAGAGCAAGACCTGGAACGACATTCGCCGGGAGGTGAGAGGGCCTTTCCTTCGCAGGGCACAGCGAACACCTGCCCCGCTACGTGCGCAGGAGGTAGTGAACAGAGGCACGATCAGTTCGGGGCGGATCCTTTCGCTTTCGCGACATCTTCATCCACAACGCGTGCGGCGGAAAGCTCTCGTAACGATGCGAGAACATCAACCTCGACCTCCGGAGGCACCAGCACCAGCGGATCGCCGACCTGCGCGGCACTGGACGATACGCACCTGCTCTGCCCCAACCCGAGAAGCAGATGGCGGCAATCTCAGGTCCGCGGTGGCACGTCCTCGAGGCCGTTCGTACCGGAGGAAACAACCGTTGTTCCGCCGTGGCGGGAGGTGCACAACCAGGCGAAAAACGCGCTTGGGTTGTTCGTCAATGCCGAAGAAAAGAGCAACTACAATAGCCTCCCCGTCGTCTCGCGAGCTCGTTATCGCCTAACGCGAAAGTCGTACGCGGCGCCGAGTTTTCCGATGCTCCTGGGGCATTACATTCGGGACGAGCTTCTTGCGTGGACGCTGCTGTCGCCCTGCGAGGCTACCGGGGGACGCATCGTATTAGAACAGCCACCCATTCTGTTGCCCGCGAGTAGTAGAGAGGGGATCACGGTGCCTGAGGACAAGCAGCAAGACTTGAGGAGCAACCAAAACGCAGTTTCATCGGGATTCCTGCAGCAGGCACGCGTGCCATCGGCTGAAGGATCTTTGGAACAGCGCGGGCTCGTTCTTGTTGATTCTGCAACTACTACTGAGGCGTCAAGAACTACTAATAGGCCCGCTGCCGGATCCGCGCCCGCCGGAAGAGTTTGGCTGCAGCGCTGCGAGGCGAACGCAGTTTTATCGCGTATAGAAGATGGCACGAGCAGCCGTGTGAAAGCGAGCCTGAATCCGAGCGATGGGCCGCTTCTCATGTCCCCTGCCGCGGCGATGGAACAAAGAAGTGACCGCGCACTCCGGGCTGTCTTTTTTCTACTCGACGTGCTCCAACACATTGAGACCCTGCAACCTTTACGGCTGCTTGCGCTCCAGCGGCTTCCGCAGGTGCTGGGGCTCATCGGGGGCCGCACCACCGTTCGGGGTAGGGTCGCACAGGAGGCGGCCTGGGGCTCGCTTTTGCAACTCCTGGTGCAGAATGCGCCGGCAAATGGAGCACTTCGCAATGAGATACTGGCAACGCTGACCTGGCTTGCGCGTACCACGGAAGAAAAGTCGCTGCTGCGAGAGCTGCAACGCACTTTGCCCTCAACGAGTAGAAGAAGCAGTAGTGGTGTGGGAGATAGAAAGGTGCCGTAGGGTTTTCCCTCAACGAGTAAGGTCCAGCGTTTTCAACTTAGAGAATGAAGTGCATGTGCAAGTGACTTTTGATATATAGGCCGGTGTTTGGTCTTGTTACTGCCGTGTTCCAGCCTTCAAAAGATCATACAAAGGACTTGCTCTCGGGATTCGTTTACAGCATGCCTTAGATAGCAGCTCGGACACTGTGCGCATGTGTCGGACGTTTTGTCCAGAACTACTTACATCGATCGTTGTGATTGTCGCAATTTAAGAAGATTTATCCTTCAAATCGTTGCGTTTATGGTCGCTTGCATTGTGGCGTGTGTTGACTCTCTGGGGGGGAACTTCGTCTCATCGCCTGGATTTTTCGCTTTTGTATGTTCTGTCGCTTTCGCTATTTCTTCGTCGTTCGTTATCGTTTTTGTAGAAGCATTCGTGCGTACGGGATGTGACTGAAAATACTCCACATCAATGCGGAAATACATTTATTGTAGCTCGTTCCACCTTTTTTTCTCACTAAAGGAATCGACTTTATCCGTATGCTGCCACGTGCTCCTGAGTAGCGATTTGGTCTAGTCACTTTCCGATCCGCCCAGCATGGGTCGCGCGGGGATTCAGATCGGGCAAGGGATTATTGCGGTGGCGATACTCCTTGGCATCGTAACCCTGTTTCTGCCCTGGTCTGCACAGCAAATGATCTCGGGAAACGGTATGATTGTGTTTCTTTCTGATGCAATGCAGCGTGCGAGCACGTATCATGAAACTCCTTGAGAACTACAATGCAGCGTGCGGCCACGTAGCGGTATAAATATGTCTACGAAATCCTTGAAAGAAAAATATTCTTGAAACAACATCAATCAGGCTTCGAGACCGCGATCTTTTACCTTCACCGCATCTATCTGAATTCGAGCTTCAGTATCGGGTCCAACCTAATGGAAGCCATGAAGGCGCGGGGCTACACGAGACATCCCTGCGTTGGCGGACCAAGTTCCAAAATGACAATCGGAGGGCACGAAATGACGCTGCACACCTGTTGGAGTGTACTTATTATTTTCTAAAGCAATTTACTATTTCGACGTCACCGGGTTTTTTTAAAGATGAAAAGTGATGCGCTATTGAGGATTTGGAGTTCTTTCGAGGGAGTTAAAGCATACGCTTAAGTGCTTCTCCCACCTCGTCTCCCTCCCCACACACAGATACCAACTTGGAAAGCAGCGCTGCACGGTAGTTCAACGGCAGCCTTGACAAACGTGGACGCGACGGGAATCCTGGTAGGGGGAATCCTGAGCGGGGAAAACCAGATGATGGCGGTGATGTACGGCGGGGTCGTCGCCTTTGTCATGGCCCTGGGCTGCATTGTCGGGAACCTTGCATGTATCCTCTTCATTGGCCACTACGCAAACAGCCGCGCTTCGGCAAAGACCAGAAAATTGGCCAGTCTTATGCTGGTATGAAAATGCAAGTTACTTCTCTTCTCGTAGATGATTTCCTAGAAAAATTGAATTGGATCAAATTCTACTCCCGTCTTTCGCTTGATGTTTCGTGCCGCTCTTGATCATTTGAATTCCGGAGCCGGAAGCAGGCGGGAACAAGATCATTATCCCGAGAAATAAGATATTAAAAAAATGCGAAAAACAAAATTTTCAGAAACTGTCGACCATGCTCGGGTTTACGACGGCTGTAGTTTACCTTCTTGCCGTGATGATCATGAGCAAAGAACGCGGCGGGCTGTTCGGGATGTTCTCCTCCGAGTCGGCCGTTATCCCGCGGGAGGGGTTTTTTGTCTTCTTCTGCGTCTGCGGGGTGAACTTGGTAGCTATGGGGGCTTCCAAGTACTGGAAATCGGACACCAGCGAGTTTTTGGTATCCTCTGCAAAGAAAGTGAGCCACAAGTTGTGCACAACTTGATTCTGGGACGAAGATTGATGTCAGCATGAGTTGTAAAACATGATAACTAGTAGTAGTATCCCGCACATCAGGAAGTGGTCATGAATACAGAAAGTTATGCAGATTTGTCTACTATCTCTGTTTAGGGTGGACTTGTGTAGAAAATGAAGTTTGCAATGCATATTTCACGGCGAAGGACAAATTGCGGAAAAACATGGATCTGATGGCGGCTTCGGAATCGGAGGACGACTACGACGACTGGACTCCGTATTACTAAAATGCCTCTGATGCGGAGCGTTGCTGTCATGCAGATTGTGAGTCTCGAGTTTGGAGGGGCTTACTTTGCTGACCTTCAGAAATTTATTTGATTATCGTTGAAATTGCTGTAGTATTATCGAGAAGGAATCTTTGAAAAGTGGTATTGGAATCCAAGATAAAATTAATTTGCTCAGCAGGCAACTCATTGGCATTTTTGAGGAAGAAATTAAGCCAGACCCGTTTCGTAAATAAACTGTATAAAATTTTTCGATGGCACAATGACCCGCCAGCGTTACTACGTCGACCTTGTACATGAGATTTCATCCGTTTGAATAGTTTGTACGAATGTTTTAGTGTCGCGAGCATGTCACGGACTGCGGTGAGACTCCTATCAAAAGATACACGTGCCTGTAAATAAAGACACTAAAACTTGTATTCACAGAACGACAAGAATACCACGTGATTGCGACAGAAGGATGATCGAAACGGAGGTTGACACTTCGTGGGATTTTGTTCTGACGAAGACTACAGGTCATGATCGTGATCCAAATCACAAAATTTTGGACAATGATCCCCCACTGAAAGAACAAGTTTGATGATCTTCAGAAAAGTTCTCGAATAAAGCACCTCGCATACTCTTACGAAACAGAGGCCCCACGGTTGAAAAACTGAAAAACAAGATCCACTTTTCTTCAGTTTTATGTAGAAGTGTCTACTATTCTCGATTCTTTTATCATCCACTTCTCTCGTTGGAATTAGACCAGCAGTTTCGGCAATTATCTAGAAAAGCTGAATCGCGTTTAGTTTTTCCCCTTCAAGAACCCGCAACTACCTTCAAACTGTCGTGGTGTGCTAGTAAGCCCTCGGCCGTAGTCCCCCCGCAAGTACCCGCTAGTATTGAATCGCCCAACATGGTCGCAATTCCGGGTTTCAAAACCACGTACGAAGTCCTCAAGCCCGGCCAGGGAGCCGCGGTCGCGAAGAGCGCAACGGTCACGGTGCACGCCACTGGAGTGGTCAAGGAAACGGGAAAGAAATTTTGGTCCACCAAAGACCCAGGACAGCAGGCGTTCACCTACCAAGCCGGCGTTGGTATACTTTATTTACTGGAGCAGCTTTGCAATGTTCTACTTGCCTAGGAATGATGAATCTCCATGCAGGAAGATCATGGCACAAGTGGAAAAAATGTTATCGAATGCAAAAACTATAACCAGGTCAAGTAATTACCGGGTGGGATCAGGGCCTTTTGGGTATGCAGCTGGGGGAGGAGCGCAAGCTGACCATTCCGGCCAACGAGGGCTACGGTGCAGCCGGCTTCCCGGCGTGGGGAATCCCGCCGAATGGCACACTGGAATTCACTCTGGAGGTCTTGACCATTCAGTAAACTCCTGCTCAACACGCCATTTGCTGCTCAAGGGGAAGATTATGTTCGGATTAAGAGCAGTGCGGCCAGGGATTTTTTGGAATCGAGGAACAATGCCCTGACATAGATCGACGCCTTAAGTAGTAGCAGCATGGCGACAAATAAAGAATATGGAATGTTGAAAATGAAGCATACCAGGTGCGCAATGCGACAAAGACTGATCAAGTGCCACTTGATTCAAGTGGAAAACTGCTTCTCGACAAACGTGTAAATATAGAAAAGCTGGACGTAAATGAAAATGACGAAAGATAAAATCTCAAACGCCACTACCGGGGGTAGCCGACGTCGCTGGTCGAATAGTTTATCTTGTCTCCACTATGTTCAGAAAGAACTTCTGCTCCAGAGTCTGTCAAGAGGAGCAGAAAAAGCGAGTCGGTTTCGGATGAAATGAAAAGGGGTGAAGTGTGATCAATGCTTTGAAATTTGAGATGGTTCTCTGGTACCGCATTTGGAGGCTTTAGCGTGCGTGAGGTGACAAAAAACTGAAGAGGAGTATTTTTTGAGCAGCATCGGCAAAACAAAAACAGCACGAAGAGTGTGAACACGTGAAGCAGCTGTTTGTCGCATTGCGATAGCGTCGTATTTTTCCGTTACACGCAACTCAAACTTACTTTTTTAGTTTGCTGTATTCGCCTTGGCTACTAGTATAAGTGCCAAGAAAGAAGCGTGCTACACGTGTATTTGTCAAGTAGGATTTATTCTCCTCGCGGCTGGTCAATTTCGTCCGCGTCTAGATTTCTTGCTCGAAAAAAATGTCATCTTCCCCCTCGGAAGTGAAGCCTAAGCCGCCCCCGAAACCGATGTCCGAGATTCTGGAAAATGCGGGCAAAAGATATGGCCCGCTCAAACGTTACAATCTCAAACGTTACAATAGAATCTGGAAATCTGTGATGCAAGAAGTGCGTGATCTATTCTAGTCCCACAGGATTGCGCATGACAAGTTTCGGAGCCCCAAGCCGCACTAGAATCTGGCGAAATTTGTATTGTAGAAAGTGGAACGCTCTGCGAGTCTGTCATGTTCGTCATGCAATATCTATTGTAACGTTTGAGATTGTAACATTTGAGCAGGTTATAAAAGAGCGCTCGGCGGTGGGCTCGCGGGGTCAGCGGCAATGGTGGTGCAAGTCACAACCCTGATGTGGATCCGGACCATCATGAACTACCAGTACCAGTGTTGATAATGTGCAGGATTAAATTCGCGCACGTGAATTTGATTTGATTGCAGGATCATGAATCGGATATATCAGACATCCTATTTTTCAAGCCACTGCTGCACATCGCAACTGGTATTGCTGTAGATTTATTTTCGACATGACACCGCTATGAACTACTGCAGGTACCGCTACGGCATGTCGCTGCGGCAGGCGTCCTCGACACTGTATGCGGAAGGAGGGATCATACGGTTCTACCGGGGTTACTTTGCCGCAATAGCGCAGGGCCCGCTGTCTCGATTTGGTGACACAGCAGCGAACGCCGGTGTTTTGGCAGTGCTGGATGCAAACGAATCGACCGCAAGCTTACCCTCAGCGGTTAGACATTTAGATTTTTTTGTCCTGTGCATAAGCAATTTGATCATCGAGGAGTGCCTGGACGATCACAGTATGCTTCTGAATTATATCTGTCTCCAGCCAACAAAATCACTCTCATAGGTGAAAACCATCGGTGCCTCTGGCATGGCAGCATCCTGGCGGATTGTGATCACCCCAATAGACACAGTGAAGACCATTATGCAAGTCGAGGGACGCTATCAACTGTAAAAGTGTCTGGGTCTGGAGCAATCCAACTTGTCATGCTGATTTTGGATTCTAAAAAAATATGTATTGCATGAGCAGCAAAGAGACTCCAAGTTTTGCTACACGAAAAGAGCATTTGTCATGCGGTATAGGCATCAGGAAGCCCTCACAAGATGTGTGATGCTAGGGCATGCATCACAGACATCAGGAGTCATGCAAAATGCGCATGACAAACCTGGCAATCTTCCAGACCCAGACATTTTTGCAATCCATAGCCGTCCCGGTCTTGACATTCTCTTCGCGAAGGCACGATATGGATTGCAAAAGTGTCTGGGTCTGGAAGATTGCAACTTGTCATGCTAAATCCGAATCATGCAGAAATCTGTGTTGCATGAGTGCCAAAAGCTGTCCACTTTCGACCAAGTTTGGAGGGAGTTTCTCATGCAGGATAGGCATGGCAGAGACCTCACAGACTCTGTCATGCTAGGTCCCGCATTCCAGACCTCATGGGTCATGAAAAACCTGCATGACAAGTTTGCACTCTTCCAGACCCAGACATTTTTGCATTTGATACACGAGGCAAAGGACCAACTGTCTTTTGGCACGGGGCCTTGGCGGCGTCGGCCGCAACTTTTGCGGGTATATTAACAGATCTAGAGTCATCTATGTTCTTGCAAGGATTAAGTTCTTGCAAGGATAGTAGTTTCTTTTCTTTTCCCAGGACAACTCTTTTTCAGCATTTGATTTTTGCATCCGAAGTTGTTCCTACTCAAATAATAAAACAATCACGAAAACAAGAACAACGAACACAGGTCACTACCCGTGGTTTGCGACCTACAATACGCTGCAGACGGTTATCCCCAAGTACGACGACGTGCTCTGGCAGAAACTCGGTCGGAACGCCGGCATTGGGTTCGTTTCCTCCGTTATTTCCGATACCGTCTCGAACAGTTTACGTGTAGTGAAGACGTACCGGCAGACCAACCCGGAGCCGATCTCCTACATGGAAACCGTTAACAGGGTCGTGGAGAAGGACGGATACGCCGGGTTGTTTGGACGCGGGTTGAAGACCCGGATCCTCGCCAACGGGATGCAGGGTCTCATGTTTTCTGTCATGTGGAAAATGTTCGACGACGAATTGAAGAAACGGGACTTCTTCAAGGCCGCGAAGTAGAAACAAGAAACTCGAGAAGGAACAGCATCGATGAACCAGAAGCAAATTATACTGTACTTGGTTTGATGATATAATCGTGTGCAGATGAACCTAGTACAGTGTGTTGTCTTCAGAAGTATGCAATCACGAGCAGCGTGAGGACTCTTGTTGTAAAAGGTCGCTATGTGGAGATGCTTGGTCGCATGGAACTCACCAAGCACTGCTGCATAGCCTGACCAATATTAAATCTTGCTAGGTACAACTTGATGTACCGCTGCGGTTGACGATTTCTTGGTTATGATGTGTATTTTAGGTGGCTTGTTGAACTCCAATGAGGTCGTCTGTGTAATGTTTTGGAACTCCTTTTCATGCCACCCAGTGGTTGTGTTTATCGCTATAATGATTGAACGCGAGTCGCGTGATTAGTTTTTTTCTGCTTTTGGAACAACAACGCTTCGAACATATTGGCATTCAGAACGGCATAACAGCAACTGCGCCACAGTTGCAACTTTTCAGATGACGGAATCCGACAAAACTCCAAGTCGACGCAATATCTACTTTTGAACCAGGTACTCGAGCAAAAATCATCAGCGGCGCTGAAGATGCTTTTGGAACTCCACAGCATATCTTCACAGGCACATCATTGCTGCACTGTTCGCTTGTTGCCTTGATGCGAATTTCTTTTTGGTTAGCTCAAAAACTTTTACATCTGCTTTATTGGCTTTTTGGATTTTTTTCTTTTCTCAGAGCGACCAGGAGCGAAAGCGAAAGGATGAGAGGGAAGCACTAAACTACTTCGTCCACAGAATCTCTTTTCTCCCCCGTTGATTTTTATCGTTGCCACACTGCGCACCTATGTCGTCGTCTTCTTCCTCCTCTTCTTCGTCTGCTCCGCGGCCAAAATCACTGTCGATTTTGATGGTTTCGGATTTTTTCTACCCCGGGCTCGGTGGAGTGGAGAAGCACATTGCCGATTTGAGCGCGACCCTGGTACGACGAGGCCATCGGGTGGCGGTGTTGACGCACGCGTATGAAAATAGTAGCAGGGAGCAGCTGTTGAAGCCAACGGTCAGGGAGCGGATTGGTGATCGAACGCTGGCGCCATCAAAAAATCGCAGTAGTCCAGGGCCATATTTGTCTACTACTGGAACATCAAATAACGCAGCCTCGTCCGTGTCCCCTACAAGTTCACCACACCCAGAGCAAGCGGACACCTCACGGCCGGAAAGCGACAGAAATAATTTCAGCAACAGTGCGGGAGATCATGAACAACCAGCACGCAAAGTAGAAAAGTCGACGAATTTCCCCAACAAGCGCCCGCGACGCCGGTGTGGTGTGCGGTACTTGAAGTCCGGCGTCCGGGTGTACTACGCGCCGGTCACCTGCATCCCCGGCACCGAGGTCGCCTTCCCGACGGCCTTTTCGCTGTTGCCTTTACTCCGCAACATTCTGCTGCGCGAACAGGTAGACTTGGTGCACGCACACCAGTCCACTTCGGCCATGGCGCACGAGTGCATGTTCCACGCGAAGACGTTGGGTTACAAGACGGTATTCACGGACCACAGCCTGCACTCCGTGACGCAACCGACGGTGGCGACCATTCATATCAACAAAGTGATTTCCGTCGGCCTACTGAACGCCGATCACGCGATTTGCGTCTCCGCGATCACGAGGCACAATCTGGCGCTGAAGGCGGGGTATGCGAAACGACGGATCACCACCATCCCAAACGCGATCGACTGCGACAAGTTTCGGCCGGAGGTGTTGATGAAGGACCCCCGCGGGGGTAGCCAATTTCGTGGAAATAGTGGCTGCCGGAGTAGCAGTAGCTCCAATCATGCTGTTTCGACGGGTGCTGGCCACGCAGACACAACAGCAAGCGGTGCAAACTTGTCACTCGATGATCCTGCTGTTGATAGTAGCCACACACTAGAAGTAGAGCCTCGGGAGAAGCTCGAAACCCCAAGAGATGAGCATGCATTTTCGTGTTCAGACGTTGACGTCGTCGACCACGCGGGGCGAGTTCTTGCAGAAGGAAATCTAGCAGAGTTGTCGGCGTCCGCAATTACTACGACGGGTGAAGACAGCGCAACAACACCAACAACCGTCACTTTCGTGCTGATGAACCGCCTGACGCAGCGCAAGGGGGTCCAGTTGCTGGCGGAGGTGATTCCGAAAATGTGCGAAAAGTATGGAAAAGCGGTGGCGTTCATCATCGGGGGCGACGGTGAAATGCGGCCGGAACTGGAGGCTGCGGTAAGACCCTGGCTTTTCTTGCAAGGGGAAGAAGATGGTGGAAAAAGAACAAGCAGAAAAATTACCAGGGATGGACGAGAGGACTCTCGACGTCCAGAAGAAGAACACGCTTCTACATCTTCTTCCTCAATTAATACAGCAGCTACAACTACTACGGCACCAGCCCGCGTGACTCTTCTGGGCGCGGTGGAGGCTGAACGGGTGCCGGAGGTGTTGCGGCAAGGGGACATTTTTCTCAACGCTTCCCTCACCGAGTCCTTCTGCATCTCCATCGTGGAGGCCGCCAGCTGCGGGCTGCGCGTCCTGTCCACCAACGTCGGTGGCATCCCGGAAACGCTGCCGGCGAGCCTGATGCGGCTCGCTGACCCGACTGGAGACGCGATGTTTCAGGCGATGGAAACCAGTTTCGCGGAAGTGGTAGCGGTGAAGCGGAAAATTTATCCTCCAGCTGGGATCATGGTGAAAAACAATACAGGAGAGAACCGCAGTGAAACATCAAACGAACATGTTGTCTACAGAAGCGCCGCGCCTGACTATGACAGAGAGAACGCCAAGAACAGCGAAAAGCAGCGACAACTGCGCCAATATCAGGAAGTGAAGAGAATCTACTGCTGGTCTCTCGTCACCGAACGGACGGAAGAAGTTTACCACAATATCCTCGCCGCGCCGAAGAAGAGAATACGGTCACGGCTGCTGCTCGTGCCGCAGAAACTGGGCTACGTCAGCGCACTGCTGTATGCCTACATGGTGGTGCTGGATGTTTTCTTGGCGTGGGTGCTGAAAATTATCCACCCAGCGGAACTCGTGCAGGTCGCGCTACCGGTATCGAACGTGGCTACAGAAGTGTGATCTTCAGACGCGTTTCCTGCAGCTCGATGTTGACCGGTGCAGGCTTTGATTGGAAAATTCTGATCGACGAGAATGAAAGATGGAAAGCGTATCCGCAATGAGATGAAGATCTGGTTCTTCCGGTGGATCAGTCAAAAGCAGAAGTGAAGATGTTGATCCCCTACAAGCATGAATGGGCGCAGAAATGGCCTCCACCCGGAAGGAAAATGTAAATGCGAAATGAGAACAAGATCCGGTCCACCAATGCGGATTGAGAAGTAGAACTGCTGCTGGAGGTAGAAGTAGACAAAGAATCCAAATGAATCCTTCTCAAACAGGTTCTTGTGCGACTATGAACTTCATCTGCAGGAGTTGGATTATCACAGCACAAGCAGTAGTCGTTTTTGCCGCGCAGGACTGGGGGTAAGGCAGACAGGTAGGGACAGTAGAGTACTTACAGTGGCTGCACCAGTCAAAAGACCATGAACAAGAACTGCCTCCTGTAGTCACAATATAGATGTGAAGATACATTCTCGCAGAACAACTACGCACTAGCAATGGCCAACATGTTTGACTTCCAGGAGCTGGTTCCGGACGAGTTTACGGCCGAGCAACCGGAGCTCCGGCCCATGCTGACAGTCCGCGTCCGGGCACAGGACGGCAGCCGGATCATGAAGGCGCTCCCGCCGTTAGCGACGGAAGTGATGCATCTGAAGCGGATACGAAAAGTCGAGCAAACGTCCTCCTCTTCGACTTCAAAAATAGAAAGTCACCTGGAAGTTCTGATCGGGGCTCCGGTGGTTGTGCGAGCAGCTGAGGGGCAAATAAGTAGAGCAACATCTTCAAGAACAAACGTTGCACCATCTTCAAGATCATCTCTCACAGGAACTACAACCACAATTGGTCCAGTAGCTGGAGAAGCTGAAGCAAGTGACGTCGTTGCTATCATTGGGAACGCGGCCTGGGAAAAAGTTCAACCCCTGGTGTCCGCCATCCAGCTCGTGCAGGTCCCCGCGCGGCCCGCCTACACGGCGGAGCAAGTGCGGGTTTGGGGCGGGTTTTGGCCCGTGACCTACCGCCGCCCGGCTAACCTCCCCGAAGGGATCGCGTCGGAGGCGGAGCGCCGCTACGAGGCGGTTTTGGAGTGGTTCGAAGGCGATCCAAGGCTGGAGTGCGTGTTTCTGCTGCCGCACCAGGAAGAGCCAAATGATCTCGGAGAACCAGAGAACACTGACTCTTTCGCAGCAAAACGCCGGAAGACAGATGTTGAGCCGAGAAGTGCACAAGAACCGTCGTTCGCAGCAGCGACTGACGAGAACGTGAGAAATTTCCTGTGGTTCGGCGGTGCGAAGGCGGAAGGTGCCACATCAGCAGCGAGCAGCAGTGCGAAAGTCATGCAAGAACCAGACGAAAGAGAAGGCAGCGAAAGAGAAATAAGGTTCCCTGCTGTCGTTTTGGATGTCCCACCAAAAGAATCCGCAGTCGCTCCCCGGCCAGCACAGACCCCAGCGACCGCTGCACCGGAAAACAACAAGAGAACAAATCCCTACCGCGTCTTCCAAATTTATCAGAACGACAAGACCAAATCCCATCCGCTGAAATCCCACGCGGTGGTCCGCGCCTGCGACGCGATTGGCCGTTCCCTCGGCCACGTGCAGCGGAGCACCACTTCGGGCGAGCAGTATCTCTGCGTCAACGCGGAGGTCTTTTTGCGGCGGGAACCTTGCGTGATGTGCGCCATGGCGCTGATCCACAGTCGCGTGTCCACCGTGGTGTTCCAGCAGAAGGATCGCAGTTTCGGGGGCTTTGGCGGGGCGCTCTCCCTCCACCGGGAGGGGAAATTGAACCACCAGGTCAAGATTGTGCTCGCGTCGAAAAGAAAGAACGAGCGTACTGTACAGGGTGATAAGGCCGCGTCGAAAACAGTTGTAACAGCGAATTGATGTTGTGAATTCAAAGCGCAGAAGACATGATGATGATTTTTTTAAGTAACGACAACCTCTATTCGATTCAGCTGGTACCGGTAAAAATCACGGCGGCTTGGCGACCTTGCGTCTGTTGAGCGAATGGCTCTTGTACAAGTTCCAGTAAACGGAAAGCGATTTCTGTTTATTACTTTCGGATCCAAATCATGTACTTCAACCGGTTGAAAATGGGCGAACTTTGATCGATGTTGAGTTTCATCGGTCTTTGACTTCATCGGTGCGGATCATTCGGTCCCTACAAAGAAATGCTGCTCGCGCGTATTGCCGCAACTTTGGCAATACCTGCCACGTGCAAGAACTTGCTGCAGAATTATTATAGACTTTTGACAGACGATGAACATCAAATACGTGTACGAAAATACGCTGTGGCAGCTTCTCACTGTCAGAGACTTTCATAGAAGCTCTAAGTAAGTCTAAGTTGCACGACCAGCACGGCCACGGACCTCTGTCGCGTGCTGTAACCTCCTCACAAAATTATTTTTCCGCGATTCATCCTTGAAGCCGCACCTTTATCATATCGTAGTCGTTTTGTCTACTCCCCGTTTTTAACTTCTAGAACCTCCAAACCAATCTATCCAAGATCGATCAACATGGCGCCTTCGGCTTCCGGCAAAAAGGGCAAGGTGCTGCCCAATCACATGCAGCTGAACACCGAAAAAACCAAGACCGTGTTGGTCCGCACCTCGGACCAGGAATGGCTGACTACCTCCCTCTCTTCCGGCGTCGCCCGCCGGCTGATCGAGCGGAAGGGAGGCGATATCGCCCGTGCCACCACGGTGGTGAAGTTTGGTCCGGACCAGACGTTCCCCCCGCACACGCACACCGGCGGGGAAGAATTTATTGTGCTGGACGGGCACTGGCGCGACAAGTACGGCGTGTTCCCGAAATACACGTACATTCGCAATTTCATTGGCAGTGAGCACGCGCCCTTTATCGGCAGCGACGGTTGCAAAATCATGGTGAAGCTTTGCCAAATGCACCCGACCGGGGGAAAGCCGGCGAAGGAGCCCGAGCACAAGGCGTGGACCGGACTAACCGCCGCGAAAGTGAAAGCGGAAGGGAAACAAGTAGCGGAAATTGGGGGCGCTTGCGTTTATCACGAGCTTGAGCTGTTCTCGAACGGTCTGGAGACCGTGAAAATTATGGTTTTGCCGAAGGGACAGACTTCGATCCATCTTCCCGTTCCGAAAAACGGCCAGGAGCTGTTCGTGGTGGATGGGAAGATGAATTCTTCGCTCGGCGAGCACAACGTGGACTCCTGGGCCCGGTTGACGGAAGAGAAGTTGGGGAAGGGTGGAAAGTTGAAGGTGAACACGAGCGCGTCTCCCTGCGACGTGTACCTCTGGAGCAAAGAGGGACATCTGAAATCGAAGGAGATCGACCTTGAACTTATCCTGTGCAAAAGTATCGTACTCGTAGTAATCCGAGTTATGCATTACAAATCTAGCTGGTTAGGCAAATCCGCATTACATAATGCTGCGCCAATTTGTATTGCGATTTATACTAGTACGATACTTTTGCAGTTCATAGAACTGGCGCGGAAGCAAGAGCTGGAGTGGATTGAGGCGAGGAAGAAGTGTGCGGAGATATTCAAGAAAAAAAGTGTGTAAGTGTAACTTTTTTATTGCAGGAGCAGCATCACAGATATCTTTATGCATATCAGAAAACCTGTCATGCGTAGTTAGTACGCGAAAACACGTATTGAAATCGCCTCTGATGCATATCCGGCATGACAAGTGTAACTGTATTGCAACATCTGCAAGACAAAGTTACACTTACACAGTTTTTTCTTGCGATAGGAGTGCTCGGACGTCCACTATGGAGGGAAAAAGTCGATGAAGAAGTCGTCGATGAAGTATGAGATGAGAAGACAATTCCCTATCCCTTTCTCCCTCATTTGTCATGCTGAATTTGCAATTGTCAATCCGCTGCTGCCTGCTTGTAGGAGTAAGTAAGTCGGCCTGAGGACATGTATAACAAGCTACAATGCACTGCATAAGCCTGACACTGCATTTTTCCGTGTCTACTGGACGTGTCATGTAAGAGCTACAGTTCTGTTTCTGTTTCTGCTGCTGCTCGTGCCACACAAATGAGTGAGAGGTGGTGGAGAGCTTGTGCACTCTCACATGAAGAAGAAGAGCTCGGCGACGAAGATGAAGATGAGCATGAAGAGCGTGAAAAAAACGATGAAGAAGAAGTAATTGGGAAGAAGGACAAGGAGTGCTGTATTTGTATTCCGTTCTAGTAGCGACGCGGCAACTTTTTTGGAGCTTCAATTTTCTATAATTGATCATTTCTTCCACGGTTCGCTCCGGCTACCGTGACGCACTTAAATTTCTATTATTGATTTCGGTTTGACGTCAGGTTGAGCACGTGAGGCGGATTCTCAACCGTCACGCTTTTTCTGTAGAATCAGATTTCGACGGTTTACATCTGACATAGTGACCGCAGAATTTGTGCCACCGAATAAGTCGCCAAGAACTATCCGCCAAGTAGCGCGTACTGACAAGTAGAAGTATTCTTTTACATTCTCATCTAGTACGATAGTAGCTTCGCACCGTGACTGTAAATCTTCATTGGAAGGAACGAAGTGAAATTGTGATTGAATCACAATTGCGCTTCGTTTCGTTCGGATCTTCGCAAGCACTCGAAAACTCAAGTAATGTTTGAGGCATGAATGACATCATGACATTCGGAGTGCGAAGTGGATGCTTCCGTTGTTGCTCTTCGGAAAAAAAAGGGTCAAAGACAAAAGAAGAACGCAACAGCCATGATCTCAATGAGCACAGGAGGAGGTTGCAGCTTTTTCGTGGCTCCCGTAGAAGTTCTCCTTTTGGGTTGTACTATGAGTTTGCTTAACTCGCCAGAATGGTGTTCTTGTCTGACGATCATTGTTTATCGGTCGTGGTGTGGACAGTATCCAAAAGTAAAGTCGCGTTTTCACGGACGTAGAAGTTCAACCCATGTCACCTCTGCGATTAAATGTTCATCGGTTCGTTTGTGTCGAGTTTCGCGCTTCCCTATTGACAAAAAGTGCTGCGCTGCGTCACTCTCAGAACGAGGACGCACAGCGAGAAGTTCCGGCCTAGTCAGTGTTTGCTTAGTCAAGAGACTTATTTGAGTCTATGCGCAGGAGGAAAAAGAAAGACCACGACGCGTGCGTTTCCATATCATCTTTCATGCCCTCTCTCTAAAGGCGAATAGATGAGAACAAGCCAAGTAGAGTCACTAACGGGTCCTCAAAATCCATGCTGGGCCACGTCCGTGGGTGGGATTGGCGCGGGCGGTTCTTCTTCGTGCGCAAGCCGTCGGGGTTTGCGCTGCGGTGCTCACCGCTGCATCCCAGCGTGGAGCGCAACCTGCAATCGCGAACGAAAAAGGCGATCGAGTATTTTTTTCCCTACTCGCTGGACCTGGACACAGAGGGTCTACAACTGGTTACCAAAGACGAGTATTTGGCGCGGCAAATCGAGAAGCACGCCTCCGGCATCGTTCACTGCTACCGCTTGTGGGCGGACATCTCGATGCCGCGCAGAGGATCGTCGTCTGAGGCTATGGCGTCTCGGAGCTACTTCGATGTTTTGCCTTCCTTGACTGGGAGCTTGTTGCAGGAGTGTGGACGAGCAGGTGACGTGGCAAGCGGCCTTGGAAATAGTACTCTTCACGGACTGGATCGTGATGTGACGTCCATTTCTACTTCGCCGTCGGAACTACTTTTCACAGATGAGGAATTGCGAATGCGAAGCGGAAATGATTTGCTCGCCACGCACGGAACCCTTGCAAGCACGATCCGCAGTCGCGGACTGAAATTGCGGAGCTATTTTCCAGAACTGGCTCGGGATACAGATTTTCACGCAGCAAGAAGTGCGCTTTCAGGAGTCTGCTCGGAAAGGTCAACGACAGCATCTTCTTGGGCCCTGCCCTTAGGAAGCGCAACAAGCAACGCCGCACATCGCACCGCGCCAGCTGCGCAAAAGACTCCAAATGTAAAGATGTCCGACAACAACCCCGGCGCGTTTGGAAATGTGTTGTCAAAGTCGATGCTTTTCGAGTCAAAGCCCGGGGCGGCACATCAGTTACAGTTTCAGTTGCTGAGGAGCGTGGGTAACTTTGGGCTTTATGACGTGCAGGTCAGGAGCCCCGCGTGCCACCAGGTGCGGGTCCAGTTTGCGGATGCGGGATGTCCGGTGGAGTTATACTCGAATGAAAAATCCCCCCTCCCCAGATCGAAACACAGTTTCTCATGCTGGATTTGCGTACACAAATCAGATTTGTCTTGCTGGCGAGGACTGCAGGCCCATATCAAGCCTGAGAAGACAGGTCTTGGCCTAGGCGCTTAGCATGACAGACTGCTACGCTGTAGGAACATAAGCATGACAAACCGCCTGTAGAATGCGGCGGAGTCTGTGGAGTTGCCTTCATTCAACACAGAGACGATTTGTGGCCACAAATCAGCAACACAAATTCTCGAAAACGCACCTTGTCAATATGGGGAGGGGGGATTTTTCCTTTTGATAAGTTCGATCGGTACTACCACTGGAAATACAACGAAGACGTGCGGCGCAACGCGTTTGACCCCCAAGCGGCTGGTGGTGTTCCGGGTCGGGAGGATGGTGCTTTTTCGGATAATTCTTCTTCTTGTTCAGGTGCGAGTTCATCTCGGAACACCTGGGAAGAGGAGGAAGAGATGGCGCTTTGCTCTTTCCCCAACGACGAGTCATCTTGCGCTGAAGAAAAGCGTCTTGCGTTGAAGCACTATGCAGTGAAGCTGGAGGATCCGTTGCGGCCGGGGAAAATGCTTGAGGTTTCCCTCCCAGAAGAGGATAGGGACCCAGCCTGGAGGCCAGGGACTTGTGGAGAGCGACGAGTTGAAAGTGCCTATGGCGACAAGGGCGAGTTTATTACATTACAAGAAGCAAGCGCAAATGTTGGTTTCGTGCGTGCATGAAAAAAACCGCATGCACTGAGCAGAAAAACGCATAATTTCGGTTTTATTTTCAGCAAAGAACATAGAATGTAAGAAAATGTACAGTGGCCAGTACCGAGGCACTCAAGAAATGAATCCATTGCAGTACTCCGCTGAGTAAAGTTTTCTTGTTGACCCAATGAATTGAAATTATCCGCATATAGTTTTCACTTCCTATTGAATATGGAATTGCTGTGCACCCAGTGTTTTCTCCAGTTGTCAGTAATGACGGAAAATGGGACGGACATGCGGATGTGGCTGCGTCGAAAGGGCCGCAGACCCTGGGTGGCGGAACGAGAACAGAATGTAGGGCGCGAGTGGTGGAATGAGCAGTGGGGGACTTCTATGAGAGGCAGGCGGGTAGTTGTATAGGCAAACTGCAAGAGTGACAGAGTAAAAGTGTCGTAATTGCGAAAAATCTGAGTGTTGCGGGAAACGTCGGGTCGTCAGTAAGTTATTGAAAGAAAAAGATAATCATGCCGGTCGTCCGCGCACTGTTATCCTCTTGCCTTCGTGGAAAGAAGCCATCGCCGGTTTTGACGTTTCGAACCGGCGCTTGAAGGCGCACTACTCTTGGAGAGCTGCGGTGTGACCGAGCTGGACCGAAACCATCTAACGAAGTACGAGGAGGATTTTTCTGAAGACTGATCTGCCACTCAGACGACACTACCCGAAGATCTATCATGAACCCCGACCCGGTGCGCAACCTGGGGCCCTGGTCCTTCACCATCCAGCAGGAGACGCCCGTGCACTGGCTGCGGTCCGGTCCGTTGGAGAGCTACTTGTTGAAGTGCGAAGTGGAATGCAACCAGGTCGACGGCGCACTGGTGTCCACCGGGGTGCTGCTGCATTCCGGCGACGACGTGCTCGGCGGGGGGAGCGTGTGGATGGAGGTGAAGGACGGGCGAAAGGTGTACTGTTTAGGGGGGAACGACCTGGCCAGCAAACCGTTGGTCACGCAGTCCTATCCGGTGCACTCGGTGGTGCGGAACGGCAGGAACGTGCTGATCGAAGAGTGGGAGTTCTTGCTGCAGGGCTACACAGGCTGCGCCTTTTTCGATCAACGCCGAGTCAGGATAAAGTTTTCGCTCAAGGTAGATATTTTTGAATAAAATTACGAGGAGTAGGCACAAAATGCTGGCGAACTCTGTTTCAGGCGGCAATATGTGACTTTTAGATGAATTATCACTGTAGTTTGCGTCACCGATGAACAAGAATTCTTCTGTCTGTTACCCATTCGACCCTGTTGCAAAAATCTTCACAGCGCGGAAAGGGCGCCATTGCGTTCTTCAACAGTAGCAAGTCGCCGGTGTGGGAGAACCCGGAAGCGTTCGATCAGTTGTTCAGCGGGCTAGATGTCGTCTTCCGAAACATCCGTCTGACTGTGGTGTCAAAAAAGGTGGAGCTCGACACGTTTCTCAAAGACCCGCAAGTGAAAGTCACCGAGCCGCAGAAAAAGGTGATTAAATGTTCCGGTTGTGACATCTGTTAGCGCAGAAGTGTGAGATTTTTGATTGTCTTTCGATCGGTTATGAATTAGATGGCTTTTGAGTGTAGTCCGCCCTCCTGCTCTCTATCGCGGTGTAGCAAATGTTGGTAAAAAACGTTCACTCAACAGGTCAAAGAACTGTGGAACGAGTCGGAGCTCGATACGAAGCGGAAGCGCGCGGAGCGCCGCGCCCAGCTGACCGCGGACGACGACGGCAAGAAGGGGCCGCCGGAGGTCGGCGATGTCGGGCCGGAGCACCTGGGCGAGGGGAATATTGGTAACATCGTCGAGCTGGAGGAAAAGCTGAAGGAGGATGTGGTCTACAGCCAGGCGCAAACCCTCGGCTCTTCCCTCGCCGAGCAGCGGCGGCAAAAGGCGACGCAAAAGATGAACCTGCTGCAGCGGCAAAAGGAGCTCGTGGAGAACATGGGCGAAAGCGTGCTCTTCAGCAGCGCAAGCTCCGGGTCGAAGCCCAACTATGGGAAGAAGAAGTATTTGTTCATAATTTCAGCTCTACCTCAATGAATGCACAGGCAAACTACATTTTTGACGCAGTTTGAGTTCCGACTTTGTTGCCACAAGAAATAGAAGTCAGTGAATTCTTCTCGTCCATCCTACACAGGCCCACCACGCTGACATCGGCCATGCGCGCGCACATTCTGACGAACGATGAGCTAACCGCCGACAGGCAGCACTACGACGACGAGTGGTTTCGAAAGAGCAGCGACTTTGGCTTGCTGGGGCAGCAGTACGAGTTTGGATTGCCGCCGGAGTTGGAAAAACCGCCGCCGGGGCAGCACATACGAAACCGAGACAAGGGCTTTAACAAGCCAGGGCCGCCATCGCAAAAAGACGTCGACAAGTGGCGAGAAACGAAGCAGGTATTGTTCCGTAGGACTATCTCCATGTTTGTGGATGAAGATCGATGAGTTTCAAGTTCCAACGCAAATATACAACATTCTGAGCTGCATGAAGAAAGAAGCAACCTTTTTACTGAACCAAATTATCTCGTCTCAGGAAATGCGCGCCAAGCCTGCACTGACCGAGATCCCCGAGTCGGAACTGCTTGGGGTGAGAAGAAGACTCATGGTCTACTTGGACACCTGCTCCGATCGGATCTCCCGGACGCGGGAGGAGCTGACGGCGCTGGCGGCAAAACGAATGTTGGCAGAGGAGAAGCATCCTAGAACTATCCTGTGCAAAAGTATCGCACTCGTAGTAATTGCAGTCATGCATTACTAAGTTTTTTTCTCAAGCCAAATCCGCATTACTAATGCTAAGGAAATTTGTAATGCAATTACTACTAGTGCGATGCTTTTGCAATTCACAAGAACGGTGCAGCAGCAACTCATGTCGCAGCAAATGGAACTGGAACAAAAGCTATCCAAGGTACTTACTCGCTTATTTGAAATAATCAGGGGTTTTCGTATACTGATCAGGTTCCGAGTTTATTTTACCGAAAGATCAGCACTAAGCAGAGTGTTGAACTTTTTTCTGCAAAAAATTCTTGCCTTACTGGAAATCAGGACCAGCGAGAGGAGGTTTCTCTCATGGAAAAATTGCGGGAAGTGGATCTGGAACTGCAGGACTTGCGCATGGATAAACCATCAGTGCGGGACCTCCTGCCACCAGTGCTACAAAAAATGCTCGACGAGGACGAAGCCCGCATGAAGCAGGCTGGCGCGCGCGCAGGCTATGAGTCGGGCACGTAGAATGGAGTAGACCGAAAACAGATCATCCCATGTTGTCCATGAAAAAGAACTACGCAGAAACAGAAATACACATGCGCAGAAGAAAAAGAAAAGTTATGAAAGCTCGCAGCTCGCGAGTGGATCGATTCTTGTGCTGGTCGGGTGACCACATTGATATTTGTTCATCCCCTCCTGCTGATCGGTGACTTTCATTTTTTGGATTTTACATAGTCTTCTCATTTTTTTTCGCGTGTCATCGAAGAGAAAAGCGTTATCTTTTTTTCGACGACAGCGATAACACTGTTTCAGAATTGGAGGATCTGTGAGCGACGGAGGGTTGTTTTTTGTGTTTTTTTTCAGCTTTTTTTCTGCGAGCTTGAGCGTCTTTTTGGTTTTTTGTATCCGAACGCGAGCAGAGGGCCGCTTTTTTTTTCTTGCAAGACGAGTGCCAGCGTTTTTTTTGGCGTGTACTACAACATTTTTCAGTGTCTTTCTCAGTCATTTCCTGGTCGTGTGTGACCAAATAAATCCACCTTGTCAAAGATTGCTCTCCCAGCCTATTATAATACCTCTCCGTACTAAAAAATTCTAGCAAGTTGTCCAAAGAGTCTTCCAAGACTTCGGCAATAAAAATTTTTGTACATCACTTCTGTACAAAAACTTCTTCGCAAGATGGGTTGTGGTGCTTCCAAGACTACCGCCGTCGCGGCCGCCGCTGACGCGCCAGTGCTGCTGAAGAGTACAAACTGTTTTCTTTTGTCATGACTAGTACACAGCATACCATAGTAGAAGCATGCGGTGTCAACAATACACCTAAAAAATTCCTATAGACACCAAAAACTTCGTTCCGTTTGCAAAAGTCAATTTTACGACACACAAAATCACAGCCGGTGAGGAGACCAAGCCAAAGGTAGCAGTGCCGGAGACCGCTGAAACCAAGGTTTCCCCCGTTGTGGAGGAAGTGGTAATGTAATCGGAGAATGATTTTTTGTTAGTATAACGGTCAGAATACGAATTTACCGCTCAAGAACATGCAGCGCTACATCGTCATCGAACTTCAAGAACTCGTTGAAAAATGAGGAGAAAGTGAAAGAATCTTGCAGGAAAATTGTCACACATAATTTGAAACCAGGTCGCGAAGGCCGCGGAGGAATTTGCGGCCTGTGGTCCGCAAATTCCCAGGGGGGTGCGCTCTGTGGTCCCCTCGCGGTGTGTAGCTGCAAGGCTTTGCCGGAAGGTGGCTGCCCGAGCCCCCCTGCCGGCGCCCTCCAGGCATTCTCTTATGGGGTGTCTTAAGTCGTCGTCGATGTGGCGCCACGCTAGGGCCAGCTCGGAAAAGGAAGGGCAGTAGGCCCGCGCCCGGCTTCGCATAGGCCAGGGCGCAAGAGGTTTCGGGCCCTGGACAAGCAAAGCCAACAAAGCTGAGCTCCTTCACCTCAGTTCGGCAAGCTGGTTGCCCTTCGTGAAGTGAAGCGCCTCAACTCAGGCCATTTTTGTAAAACCCGCCCCCGACTGCGAGGCGGCTCGAGGAGAGACAAATGACACGGCCCCACGTGGCTACCAGCATAGGCGGGATCACCCGGCTCCGGATCGGGGGCCGGCTTGTTCGAGGTCGACACACATGAATTTCTCAGGCTCTGAAAGAAAAACGGCGTTTTTCTTTCAGAGCCTGAGAAATTCACGTGTGTCGAATTTGTTAGCTTCAGAAGCTCAAAGCCCTGGTGGCCAACTCATGGACTAGGCAATGGAGCCAACCCCGGCGTTCGGGGATCACGCGGCTCCGGATCGGGGGCCGGCTTGTTCGAAGTCCACAAAAGAGAAGCTCCAGAGTTCTGGAAGAAAAACGGCGCGTGTCTTTCAGAGTTCTAGAAGCCTCCTTTTCGGGGCCTTGTTGACTTTGATAGCTGAATGGGGTTCGCCGGGGCTGGGTTTTGGGCGCGTGTTATAGGATTCGCAGAGGGTTTCGAAATTTGCGAATTTTTTTTTTCAGAAATGGATTCTCACATGAATTTCCGAGAGCCTATATAATTTGAAACCAGGTCGCGAAGGCCGCGGAGGAATTTCTTCCTCCCAAGGCTCGTCTCTCCTCCCTCCTTAACACGGTCACGCCAAAGGCGGGCTAGTGTTTCTAGTATCTGGGTCACGCCAAAGGCGGGCAAGATGCTTCCTCTCGTTCCTATTTCCATCCGCCTCCTCTCCCTCCTTCACACGGTCACGCCAAAGGCGAGCTAGTGTTTCTAGTATCTTCTGGGTCATGCCAAAGGCGGGGAAGATGCTACCTCTCACTCCTAATTCAATCCGATGCCAGCCCTGTCCTCCTTCCCAGGGCTGACGCAAGGCTACAAGATAGAGGCAGCTCTCTTTATAGGCATTTTATGAAAAGGAAAGTAAAAAGTCTGTTCGTGCACGAAGTGCATTCCATTTCAGTGGTGCTTTCGTTTCTTCATCAGCGAGTGTCATTTTATTCATTTCTAGTTCATTTCTGAGAGAATTTTCCATGCTTTCTGCTCAAACAGCAGTGCGATTCTGCACTGAGAGTCAATGATAAGTGCGTTTTTCCATGAGAGATAAGCATGAGAGATACGCACGAGAGATGCGCACTCATGAGAGATAGGTGCTTGCGCAAGCATTAGCATCTTTAGGCTCTTGATCTCTCAGCGAAGATTTATGCATGGCTGGAGCCGCGGATCATGATCGATCTGCACCCTGTCGGCAAACGGGGAGTAGGTTTAGGCCGGTGCTTAAGGCGTTGGTGAAGACGTTCACTACCAGCAGACCGCAAGAAACTAACAACGAAATCTTTGCTCTCCCCTCTTCTTCTTGTTTCTGATTTCTTCTCTCTCCTGCTCGCTTTCTATGCTGCGTTCCTTTTTTCAAACTCCTGTCTCCAAAACCATTTCCAGGTTCCAAAATTCAAGATCGCAAGGCAAAAATAAGTTCTGTTATAGCTTTAGTAGTCAAGTATAAGTAGTAGATAGTTTTGTTTACTTCAAAATGCAATACTGATGTTTTTCGATTAATTTGAAACCAGGTCGCGAAGGCCGCGGAGGAATTTGCGGCCGAGGATAAGAAGGTCGAGGAGAGCGCACCGGCTGCTACCGAGGAGGAGGTTCCGGCTGCCGCGGAGGAGAAGGTCGAGGAAGAGAAGGTCGAGGAGACCACGACACCGGCGGCCGAGGAAGAGAAGGTCGAGGAGACCACGACACCGGCTGCGACCGAGGAGGAGAAGGTCGAGGAGGCCGCACCGGCTGCTACCGAAGAGGAGGCACCGGCCGCTGCGGAGGAAGAAGCACCGGCTGCCACGGAAGAGGAGGCCGCACCGGCTGCTACCGAAGAGGAGGCTCCGGCCGCCACCGAAGAGGAGGCCGCACCGGCGGCTACCGAAGAGGAGGCCGCACCGGCGGCTACCGAAGAGGAGGCCGCACCGGCTGCTACGGAAGAGGAGGCCGCACCGGCTGCTGCCGAGGAGGAGGCACCGGCTGCCGCCGAGGAAGAACCAGCTGCCACGGAGGAGACCGCGGAACCAGCCACGGAAGAGGAAGTATAACCTGCTCAGGTGTTACGATCTCAAGCGTTACAATAGAATTTCGAAATCTGTGATGCAAGAGTGCATGAGCTAGCCAACTCTCATAGGATTGCGCATGACAAGTTCCGGAGCCCCAAACCCCACTACAATCTGGCGAAATTTGTATTGCAAAACGTGGAACGCTGTGCGAGTCTGTCATGCTCATCATGCAACACAAATTCCAGACTTCATTGTAACGTGTGAGATTGTAACGTTTGAGCAAGTCATAGGAAGCTCCGGTCGAATCTGAGGAGGCGGCGGCCCCTATCAGAAGGAAAAATCCCCCCACGCCATATCGAAAACGAAATTTGCGATGCTGTATTTGAGTACACAAATCTACTTGTAATGCTAGAAGGCCACGAGCCGCAGTCCTGGCCTCGTTTGCAGGCAATTTGTCATGCTGCTCCCCACTTCCAGCTGCCTCCTGTCGTGCTGAAGATGCAAGGCTTTCCCACGCCATCCAGCACTACAGTCCACATCTTTTCCCTTCTAGCATGACAGAGCTGATTTGTGGCCACAAATCTGCATCACAGATTTCCGTTCTGATATGGGGAGGGGGGATTTTTCCTTTTGATAGCCCCGGCGGAAGAGGAGGCTGCGGCCGCAGCGGAAGAGTAAGTGGTCGGCTAAGGTTCTCCTTCGGGAATCGTTTGTGAGTATCCATGTAAAAAGTACCTCCCGTCATGGAGTGGAGAGACTAACAAGATGAATGTTTAGTATCACTTTTAGGAGAAAAACATAGAGTTGTATTCCTCAAGTATACTACCGAATAAAGTGCCACCTGTAAAACTCAAATTATGCAAAAAATAGTTGATGATAGTGATGAAAGCAACAAGCCTAAATGCTGTAGAACCTTGTACAATTGATCAGACGTTAACAGTGAAAGTTCCGATTGTTATGTTGGATATCGATGGTAACAGTGAATCAGACAACTTCAGACAAAATTATATAGATACTACACGTACAATAGGCATAGACAGAAGAAAAACATGAATGCATAGTGAATTTGAATCGGAATTGCTCGATGAAGAGCAAATGCAAACTTGAAAAATTGTTGAAACTTGGGGGAAATTTGAACATCACAGAATTTCATATTTCGCACCGCATCTCATCAAAACAGAAACCGCGCAGCTTCGAAAGAAGCTTTCTCCACTACGGAAAGGAGAGAATAAAGGCACTCAGAATAACCCATTTTGTTCTCCACCAGGCATGATTCCGGATGCCGTCACTCTGTTGGTGAAATTTGTCTCGAAAAACGATGATGATTTTTGGTTCATTTAGTTTGACCGCCACGATCCCGGTTCAACGTTTTCGTTTTCGTTCTTCAATCGAATTTGCCATTACATTTATCAGAACATCACAGGAATCAGACAGAGATCAGTTTTATCAGTACTAACAGATTCATCTTCTAGAAATCCGCGGTCGTAATAAACCAGTTTTTTCATCTCACACAAGAAGCTCCTCCTAGTTTATTGAACAGCATCTGCTCGTTTTGAAAACCAAAACCTCACTCGTTCACCGCTTTTCCTTCCGACATCATCGAGAAAAACATGGAAAATCTCGGGCAAAAACATCGGCTGAAAATAGTACCAACCAGCGACGTAGCGACAGCAATTTCCAAGTGCGCGATAATTCGAGAAGAAGACCGGCCGGAAGCAAGAACGAGGAGCGCAAGAACCGTGGCAGGAGCTGCACAGGAGTCCGATAATTGCGCTGCTGGCGCGCTCCGTCTGGAACACGTACTAGCGACGTCGAAATATTTTTAATGGTCGGGCCTCCAGTGCGGCTTTGACGTTGATCTGCACAAATCTTTCACCCTTTGAAAAAGTAACGAAATTAATAGCTATCATCCGGCCCGGCCCTGCCGAGAAATTGACAGCAAGTCAAAGTACTAAACCTCGGAGGAAGATGGACCACCGCATTTACCGGCCCCAAATGACGAGCGCGGCGCCGAAACAGCCCAATGCGCAGAAGTATTTTGTGCAGAAGCTGGTTGCGGCGGAGGAGTCGGAGTTGATTTATTCGCTCGAAAACCTGCCCGATGTGGAGATGTGGCAGAAGAGCACGCGGGAGGAGGACTGGCAGCCCATGATGCAAAAGTTCCACCGGATTCTGCTGAATGCAAAAACGTCGGCGCAGCTGACTGCGCTGGTGCTCCGGACCACTATTACCTTTTTGTCCAGCAGCACCCGGGTGTGCACGGGGAAGCACTACCCCAGCTGTGGCAAGGTCGTGGATTTGGTGCTGGGGCAGCTCTCCGGTCCGGGCGCGGTCTCCTACGAGCAGGCCAACTCCCTGGAGGTGTTCGAGCATGCCATGCGGTTGCTGAACGTTCTACTGCTGGACGGCAGCAGCGACGTGTTCTCGTATCTGGTGGAACGGCAGGAAAGGTACAGTTTTTTAGGATTTTGATGTTTTAGGATTTTGGCCTTCATGAAAGCTCTTGTTCACCACCACTTATCGAGTAGAAAAAAGGTAAAGCAGTCCCTACTTGAGCACTACACAAACGACAAAACACAGGCTCCCCGCGTTACTTCAGACGATGCAGGTCTGGACGGAAGGGTACCAGCTTTCGCTGGAGGAGTGGTCCGGCACCCACATCGCCAGCACAGATAAGTTACGGCAGCAGATTCTTGCCTTGATAGAAGAGGACGACGCGAGCACGACGACGTCAGAAATAATAAATCAACAGCCTCTCGACGTCCAGGGTGCCACCAGCCCCGGCGGGAGCAGAATTCTTTTCGCAGATGTTGCAAGCAGCAACACTAAAGCGGTCTCGCATCTGAGCGACGCCGAGCCCGTGCAGTTTCGGTACCAGACGAATCGGCAAAGGCACATGTTGCACAAATACGTTCTGCACGAAGAGCTGTTGAAACAGAACGAGCCGACGTTTTTGGGAGGAAATACTAGCAACAGCCTATCAAATGCAAAAATGTTGTCTGGGTCTGGAAGATTTGGAGATTTGTCATGCTTGTCTGGCATGACCAAAAAGTTTGTGATGCGTCTCCAAGAAGAGACCCTTTTGCCTGTCATGCAAAAACGCAGTTTGTCATGCGAAAAACGTAACACAAAGAAGCGCAGATATTTCTCATGCTTGCCTGTGCATTACAGAGCATTCACTATTCCCAGCGCAGCATTACAAGTTTCCAGACCCAGACATTTTTGCAGTTGATACAGCCCAACAGTGAACAATATCCCTCCCGAACTGCAGCAACGGCTCGAATCCCTCTGCTGTCTCTCGATCCCGTTTCACGGCGCTTGTGCTTCTGTCACCGGGTTCACCGTGGGTGGGGATATCGTCCTCTACTTCCAGCGCTGCTTCGCCGCAGCGCGGTTGGCGTGCATTTACGGAATAGTTTTATTCCCGACTAACGTTTTGTCGAATACGTACATGAAAAGGGTTTCTAAACGGGTGATCACGGAACTCTCCGAGTTTACGGGGTGGAACAGCTTCAAAGACCTGAACCCGGGTTTCGTCCCGGACTTGGTGCAATTTATGCAGACCAACGCCGTACCCAAACCGGGCGCGGAGCACTTGCTCACTTGTTGCGGCAACATGGTGATGTGGCTCCTGGAAAATAAATCGAAGCCGTACCTGCAGCAAATCCTCCCCTCGCCCGTGCAGCAGTTTTTCACGAACCCGGTGAAGAAGACGCTTTCTTTAGTGAACCCCAAAATCGACGGCAGCACCACGATTCTCCTCGGCAGCGAGGAGGACCCGGCCAGACTGAAGGACTCGCTCTGCCTCTGGTTGCAACTATTATTCTCCGCGATCACGAAGAAGCTCGTGCCCATCCAGGAGCTCCAGACGGACCGGCTTTTGTCGTTACAAGACGTGCTGACCTTCATTGCCTACGCGCCGGAAAGAGCGTTTTGGGCGCCGCTACGGCGAGCGATCGACTTGCTCAACGCCTACACGTCGCAACCCTCCGCGCAACAGAATTTGCGGGACAACAAGGCGCTGGGGCGGCTGATCGCGCGGTTCACGCACGAAGTGAGGGATCTGGACAGTGTGCATGATAGTAATGCGTTTTTCCTGCAAGATTTCTTATGCGCGAAACCCAACTCGTTCTTCACCGGCGGGAAGCTCTTCCTTCCCGCAGTGGACGCGATGGAGGTGGACGAAGCGGAAGATTTAGACGTGGCAATGATGGAAATCCCGACGTACACGGCCCTCGGAGAGATCCCTCTGACGAAAAAGGAGCGGATCATCGATTTTCATCTCAATTTCGTAGACTTGCTGAACAAAAAGCAGGACCGGAAAATCGCGTCCAAGGAAACCGGGTACCCGTTCTTAGTGGACAGATTAGAACCGTATTTCGCGTTGAACGAATTGTTCTATAAGAAGCAAGCCTTGTTAGACGCGTTATTGAATCTCTTCTGGGGCTACGGTACCAGCTCCGCGCACACCTTCACTAACACTGCGCCGGCCGGGGCTCAAGGAATTTTGGCAGCTTTCAGCGACAACTGTGTCTGGCAGTTGGACGGGTCGAGCGTTTTTCCGAATGGGGAACAAACAGCTGCGATGAACAGTAGTAGTGGTCCTGCTGGCGTAGCCGCTGCCGCCGCAGACACAACCACTTCTGGCGGAAGTAGTGCGAATCAACAGGAGGATGCAAAAATGGAGGACGTCGCTACAGCGCCGTCTGCAGGAGTAGTTCCTCCCGCTTCAACAAACAGTACGACTTCGTTGTTCGGATCGGATGAAGATGCTATCAAACCTGACGGGTTCTGGACGCTGAAGGAAATAATAACCCCGACAACAACATCCTCTTCAACAAGTATCCCAACTACCACTGACAGCTCGTTCCCGATGGTTCGAAAGATCGTCAACTCGTCAACGGAAATGACGGTCGCCCTGTCGCCCGATAACAGTACTACAACTGCAACCTCTTCCAGCACCGTATCGCAGAAAAGACCAGCGCCCCGGACGATGCAGAACGTGACGAAGTGCATCCTCCACTCCCCGTACTACAAGTTTTCTTGCTGGGAACAGCTGATCCAGGTGATTATGCGCGTGATGGGGGAAGACCCGCCGAGCATGCCGACGATGATGCCGGTCTTGGACGAGTGCCTGCTCGTATGCATTGCAAATATGTCTGGGTCTGGAAAGTTGTGATGCTAGCTTGCGAATTGTAAGCAACCTCCAATATTATGGGGACGCGCATGGCAAATTTCTGATCGACTAGGTCTTACGTAAACTGTTTGAGAAGAAGCTGCGTTTTTGCATTTTACAAAAAAGCAGCGCAGTAGCGCAACATGCGTGACAGATCTTTGTCACCTGTCAGCAGAGCATGACAAGTCTTCCAATCTCCCAGATTCAGACATATTTGCAATGGATAGCTCGCGTTCAAAGACAAAAGCAAAGCGCACCACATATCCTGAGTAAAAACGTACCCACACCAGAGTCAGGATGGGGATTTTGCAACACAAACCTAGGAGTTTTGTGAGTCACGCATGACAAGTTTCAGTCCGTAAGGTAGTGCAAGTTAGCAAGGAAAGCCGCATCACAAATCGATCTGCTGATCCTGTTTACAGCATTACAAGTTCCCAAACACGATTGAAAATGCCTGTCATGGGGTTGCGCATCACAAATGTTCCTGTCATGGCAAAGTCGCATGACAACTCTGGTGTGGGTACGTTTTTACTCAGGATACCACATCCTCCGTATCGCGCCCGGGTTTCTGTCCTTCTTCGTGTTGCACGAATCCGGGGAGGGGAAAATTAACGAGGCCAACGCGATGAAGCATTTGGTCGAGTTGGTGATCGACGCGAAAGTGTACAAGGAAATCGTCGAAAACGACGCGAATGCGTTGAAGGAACGGAAAAGACTCCGGGAGTTCTACAAAAAAGCTCTGCCGGACTTGTCGAAAGCAGACCAACTTGATGGGGCGGCGAAAACAGCGGCGCAGCAGGCTGCTCTCGGAGATGGCAATAAAATAGGAGCTAAAATGGAAAGCAAGAACTCGGTTTTGGATGAAAAAGAGGAAAAGGAAAAGAAGAAAGCGAAAGAGTTGAAGGGGCCGAAATTTGACCCGAGCAAGATCCCGACGGAACTGAATCCGGTGAGGCAGCTCCTCTGGGACGAGTTGCTCATGTCTTGGAGCTTGAGTCCGGACGGCGATTTGAAGGACTCGCTGGCGACGGCGATTCTCGGCGGGTCTGGCGCTTCGGAGCAGACCGAGGAGTCGTCCCGGAATTCCGCGCAGTTGTTGCTGAATTACCACGAAAATAACAGCAGCCACAGTGCAACTACGGGACGAAACGTTTTCCCCGGTGGATCATCAACAGCCTCTCCTGCTGCAGACCCCACCTCCGCAGCGATGAACAACAACCTCCCGCCCGGCCGGAATTCCGCCTCTTCTTCCGGCACGGAGAACGCCTTTCCACCAGTCAACTCCGAAGACGAATGGGAGGAAAATGACGAAGACCACTTCTACCGCCTCTCGTCCTCCGACCGGGACAAGGTCGGGACCAGCGAGGAGCGGCGCTTCCAGAAACTCATGGTCGTCATCGGACAGGGGTTTGAGGATTTGGTGCGCCACCGACCCAGCTTGATACAAAAAGCGGTGACCGCGTGCCACGAGGTGCTGAAGGACCTGCTCGAGGAAGGGAAAAAGCTCGCGGAATTCACGCCTAATACAATCTTGCAAGTGCCTGTAACAAGTGGATCTAGTAGTACCACGACGGGTGTGCAGCAACAAAAACAGCCTTCTATGAATAGCAATAAACCAGATGCATCTTCTGCTTCCATGTCTGCTGGCAGCTGGATAGGTGCAGCAACGCAGAGTATTTTCGGCGCCAGCACAGGCATAGCAAACAATCCGTTTGCAACTGGAGGTGGTGGAACGACAACAAACACTAACACTTCCGCAACAAGTGCAAGCAATCCCACGGCTCCTGCTTCCTCCACGAGCTTAGCAGGTTATCGCTTCCTCGATCGTTTCAGTAACTACTGCACTTTTCTGGACAACTTTTTCAACTCCCAGGAAGCCTCCCAGAAGTGGATGTCGGGCAACGCAAGGATCGGCGTGAAGGACCTGGTCGAAATCGTCTGTTTGCCGTGTCTCCCGCCCCAATTTTTGTCGATTCTGAAGGGGCGCCACCCGGTGTGCCAGTTGTTCCGGACTTTGTGCAAGGGGCTCGGGGTGCCGAAGGAGTTGCTGGATAAAAGTGATTTCCTGGTGAAGCAGGCGAACAAACCGGAATTCCTGCAGGAGATGGTGCTGTCAAACCTGAGCCGGCTGGACAACTGCACGCAATTGGTGATTCCCATTCTGGTTTCGGGCTTGAGCACCACAAATTTCTCCTCCGGCCCTTCCGCGGCGCTGCTGAAGTCCGTGATGCCGGTGGTGGAAGTTTTAGCGCCCGTAATGAAGCCTTTATTGTTCGGCTACGCCAAGAGCCTGGCATCCGGGACCTACAACCCGCCGATAGCTTGTTCTACTTCCTCCGCCACAGGGTTATCTTCCGCGAATACAGAATTTTTAAATCGGCCACTGGAAAGGACGATGTCTGGCGATATCGAGATGATGGATGCGAACGACAATTCTTTTCAGTTGGAAGGTACTGGAGTAGAACACAACAACCACAGCAACAGCATGCTAGAACACGGCAGGTTATTTGAGGAAGTGGCAACTTACCGCCGGTACCAACAGTCGGTGAAGAGACGCTCGCATTTGTACGAGCGAAAATCCACGAAAAGGAAAACTTGGAAATCGTGCCACGACCAGGTCCAGGAGTACTACCAAAAGCACGTACCTGGGGTGAACAACCATTCATCGTCTTCCGCAGCAGGCATTTCCAATGCTTCCGACGCCGCCAGTTCCTCCTCCTCTTCCGCAAAGTCATCTACTGCGGCAAAGGTACCAAAGCCGCCCCTGGGCAGCCCGAGTTCCAACCCGAAAGACCACACAGCCGCTGCCACCGGGCAGAAGGACGCGAAGCCGTTCGTGGAGCCCAACGCTCCGAGGTCGACGAGTAGTCAGGCGAAAGCGGAAAATTTTTTGGACATCGAGAATTTCGTCGAGACGCTCCGGATCTTTTTCGTCCTGGTCGCCCGGGTGAGCAACTACCCGTGCAAGCGGGGGAGGGCGCAGTTGAATACCGAGGGCCGGGTCAACAGCTTATACCTGATGAAGATGGTGCGGGACTTGTTCGACGTGCCCGATTTGTTCGAGGAGGAGCGGATCCGGATGAAAAAGTTGTACCCGAACAGCTCCAAACTCACCACCTCCGGCCAAGTCCCCGTGGGAAAGGAAGCGGCCGGAACTAGTACATCAGCAAGGTCCTTCACGACTCCGGGCAGCAGCGGCCTCGGGCTCGGATCGGAGACCAGGCGGAGACACCAAGAGAAGGTCGACTCGATCTCGACCACTGTGGACCCGGATGTGTATTTTGGGGAAGCGACCTCTCTGTTGAAATTGCTGCTTTTCGAGCCCGTGGACAGCGAGGCGGGCAGCAAAGAGCACAACGGGAAGCGCGTCCCGCGGCCGGTGCCGGGCAATTACCACGTGCGGGCGCAGTTGTTGGACTTTTTGTGGAAGAACAAGGGGTTGGCGCAAGTGGGCCAAGCCATGAAGTACTGCGGCGACCACTTTTTGCAGGAGTTCAACGCGGATCAAGTGCTGGAAGTAGAGCCATCGCTTTCATCATCGTCTTTGCTAAAACCGACTGAATCCACTACTTCACAAGAAACTTCTTACCAGCCCATCGCCGCGCAAGCGACAAAGGTTTTACCGCTGGCTGTTTGTAAAAAATCCGCGGCTTCGTTACACCGGTATAAGCAAAAGACCGCTACCCTCCGCGGGTTCTTTGACGTGTTTGAGAAAGCGACCAATCTGAAGCGCCTGCTCGACAGTCCGATCTCGCAGCAATACTACCGCCTCTGCGAGCAGCAAAGAAGCGGCGCGACGCAATTCACGACCGAACTGCAGAAGGCGTTCTTCACGGAAGTGGGGGTCATCTACGAGCCGCACAACCTTATCGCTTCCGTCCTGTCCATGATCGTGCCCTATTTACACTCCTTTTTCGTCAAGGTGACCAACACGGACAAGGTTCCAGAGCAGAACCGGATGGACGTGCACTGGCAGAACTTGCTCGCACTGCGCAGACAGGCGGTTTTGGTAAGTGACAAAACGCTTCTCGCGGCCGATGACATGATGGAGGACGAGCATCAGCAAGCGGTTGACAACAACTCCAGTACAACCGGTTTACTCCAACTGGGCAACGACAAGCGTCACCAACTGAAACCAGCGACCGTTCTTCCGGACCAACTTATGTTCCAAATGTTCCAGATGTTCCAAACCTGCTGGACTCTGAACTCCGCCCCCAGCAACGACGCGAGCAAGCCCTCCTGGACGGTGAAGTATGCGGTGAATAACGTGATCGGAAACAACACGAACTACGGCAACTCCTACATTCCGTTCATCACCAACGCGGGCAGCTCGTCGGACTTCGGCAACTTAGACATCCGGCGGGACAAGATCGTGGAGCGCGAACTTCTCGGGTACGGCACCCCCATGGTCGCGGAGCCCATGCGGTTCAAAGTGAGCAATAGTTCCTCCACGGGACAAAACACGACGTCCTCTTCTGCGAGTAGTTCGAACCTGTCCGCCTACCCCTACGCGGTGCCGAAACAGTCCGTGCAGTACATGAGCATGTCTGGTGGCGGTGTCCCGACCGCTCCGGTGCCGTATCAACCGCCACCAGTACCGGCGATGCAGTTCGGCTTTCCGAAACCCGGGGGGCCCGCGCCACAACAAGTTGCCCACATGGCCAACAACCCGTTTGTCAACCCACCGTCGGGGATGTGGTCGACGGGCCCGATGCCCAACTCGTCGCAAGATTTGCAAAACCAAATCCGGGGTCTGCTCAGCACCGGAATCTTTGGCGGGAGCGATGGGGCGGGAACTACAAGCGCGCCTGGTGCAGGAGGTGCTTCTTCCGGACAAGCAGCCCCAGGTGGTGGTCCTAGTACAACAACTTCTAGCAGTACTAGTGCCAACGCTTCTGCCGCTGCTGGATTGGCTGCCGCGCTCAACGCTGTTGCTGCATCAACAAACGGTAGTGGTGCAACTTCTTCCGCACCCACTCGCCGCAGTGGCCCGCCCGCGCCACCTGCAAATAACGCGAGTAGTAGTTCAGCAACGGGCGCGCCGTCCGCCGCGCAGCCAGCAGATCATGCGAAGGCGAGTTCACCGCCCGGTGCAACCACCTTGGATACCCCGATGGACGTAGCCTCTGCGGTGCACTTTGCGTTGCACGGAGTGGTCCCACCACCAGGTAGTAGTACCGGTCTTCCACAAGGCACGCCGGCTACTGCAGCGGGGAGTAGTGCTGCTGCCGCCACTGGGAGTGGCACTGCGGGAGCAGGCGCATCAACCGGGAGTGCATTAACAACAGCAGCAGCGGGAGCGACAACCTCTACTACTTCACCGCCTACACTTGCGTCAAAAGCGCCACCGGGTCCGCCTCCATCGACCACGGCTCCCGCTGCCTCCGCAGCGGCCGCTAGTGCAGGCACGAGTGGTACTACTGCACCAGCGACGGGACCAACAGCAGGAGGAACGGCAGCATCGTCCAGCCCGCCTCCTAGCAATGCCATCCCCCCGCCGCCGGAGTCCCCGCAGGGACAACTCCCCTTCACGGACGAACAGATGGAAACGTTCATCACCATCGGGTTTTCCGAGCGCATGGTCCGGACCGCGGTCACGGCGCTGGGCGGGGCGCCGTCCTGGGACGATGTGATGGACTACATCATGATGAACCAAGAGAGTCTGGAGGAAGAGGAGGCAAATCTGGTCCTCGAGGAGATCCAGCAGCAACAGCAATCATCTGCCTCGAGCAGTCCGGTGGATCTTCCGCCGGTGGCTGTTACGGGAGGAGGACCTCCGCAAGAACCTTCTGCTGGTGTAAATGCTGCTCCAGGAACTACAACAACGCAGAGTAGTGCAGCTGCCGCACCAGCAACTTCGAGCAGCAGTGGTACAACTCAGGCTGTGGCCCTCGCGGATCACCTTCAATCGCAGTGGGACCAGTTGAACCGCGAACAAAACGCGGAGATGGAGATCCGCGCCGCCGAGGTGGAGCTCCGCGCCGCCGAGGCGCGACGGGACGACTTGCAGCGCCAGGCGGATTTCTTGCGCAGTGTCGAGAGTGTCACCTCGGGAACAAATGCAGCGGCGGCCGGGACTGCGGCGGCGGGCTCCCTGGGAGACTTACTAACGACGCTACAGCAGAATCTGGGATCACAGATTTCCTCGCAGAGGACCGGCGCAGGTGGATCATCTTCTGCGGGAGGTGCTTCTAGCAGTAGTGCGCAGCTCCCAACTGCTGGATCACTACTCTATGAACAAAGTACCTTGGCTCCCGCTATGAACGAGACACCGCCCGGGTTGCAGGATTTGTTTCAGGCGCTGGTGGGGAAAGCGGGCGGTATTTTTGGCGCCGCGCAACCTTCCAGCGCCGCGGGGATGAACTCCTCGACAAGCGGAGCAGCCGCTCGCGGCGGCCCGCCACCGCCAAGTAGTGCAGCAGCTTACCGAGGGTTTGTTCCGTTCGGACAGCCACCGCCAGGAGCATCTTCCTCTAGTACAACAGCAAATCCCACCACGCAGGCGAAAACCAGCGGCAAGAAGGAACAGGATTCCAAGTGGGCCGACGAAAAGGACGAGAAGTACCAGCTGATGATGACAGTGAAGACGATATCCTATGTAAAAACGTCCCCACCCCATAGTTGTAATGCAAATCTGCATGCTGAGAATGTTTCTCATGCGGAGCCCCATGAGAAGCATTTTCTAGTCGTTCTTTGGGATTTGGGATGCTCCAATCAGCATAATAGGCTAGATCTGTGATGCTGCTGAACAAGCTAAACAGGATTGCACTGCGAGGCCAAATCTGTCATGCACAACAACCAAAGCTGGCTGATTTGTCTAGCAGGTTTCCCATCTTGACTATGGGGTGGGGACGTTTTTGCTCAGGATAGACGATTGCGATTTCCAGCCTGGACAGCGACACTGGACTGGAGCGCGCGATCGTCAACTGCCTCGCGGAAGAGTGGATCTACAAATCCAACACGAAGCAGTGGCTGTCGGAGAAAAAAACCCTTTCCGGCGTGCAGCGTTTCATCACGCCGCTGCAGATGGGGCACTTTTTGTCGCCGATCTGCCTGCAAGACCTGGCCCTCGCAACGCCGAAATTTTCCGAGAAGGTGCTGAAGGTTCTCTGCACGCCGACCGCGAGCGACGTCCGCGACCAATTTATGAAGCAGGACATCCCGCAAAAGGCACTGGCTGCGTGGACGGAGGCGGTAGCGAACTGCAACTATGTCCAGACCGACGCGTTCGGCAAGCAAAAGGCAAAGCAAAACCGGTACGCGCAAGACGTGTCCCTCCGGTCCTCCCCTCTCGCGTCGGAGTCTGAGGATGAAGAGGAGCTACAAAGTAGTGTCGAACTACAGGGCTCATCTGTTTTAACAATGACCAGCAACTTAACCGCGATTCCGGCCCCCCCGAAGGGGCCGCCGCTGGGGAGCCACAGTGCCTCAACCGCTTTGAAGCATACGACGCAGGATAGCAGTACCGCCGGCGCTAGTTCAACGACGGTGCCCGCGGATGCCGCAGCGGCCGCGTACTTGCTGAAGACGATGGAAAACAATCAAGGAGAAGAGGAACAGAGTACCGGCGTGCGCTCGGTGCGAAAGTTTTTTCCCCCGGATTTCTTGCGGCACGTGCTCGCCAACGGCCTGTTGTATTACTGTCTCTCCCCCCCGGATGACGAAAAGCTGGAGCGGCGGAAGATGGTACAAATACGGAACCAGCGCAAGACGCTGGAAAGACTGCTAACCTTGCTTCACCGGTGTATGCAGAAGTATCTGACCGCCGTGCAGAGCGAAGCGACCGCGAGCAACCCACGGAATAAGCAGCGGGACGAGAAGATGACAATGTCCACACCTGCGGACGAAATATCAAAAGCGAAGCCACCGTTGACCGAACAGGAGCGAAACCGGCTGGAAAGGGAACTTGCGTGCGTGCTCCACTCGCTGGCGATGTTCCTCTTCCGGGACTGGAGCGTCGTGCAGAAATTTGCCAGCGTGGATTTGATGCACGGTGACCAGTTGTACGTGTTGGACCCTACAGAAGGCTTGCCGGATGTCGCGGAAGAAGAGTCCGCAAAAAACAACTTGGAAGACAACCACAACGCAGATGAGAGCAAAAGGTTTGGGCCGAAGAGAAATTTCAGCTTTTACAGCGCCCCTCAGTTTCTCTTCCGCTTGTTCCTGATTCTGTTGAGGAAGACCCCCATCGGCGCGGCGTACGGGAACAAGCACCCGGCGCGGGGGAAAACCTTCCCGCCTGGGGTGGACGTGGAGAAGCTGCAGGCGGCCTACCCCTTTGTCCCGTTCCTCTATCCGGATTTGAACGACAAGCTCGAGGCAAACCGCGAGCCGGAGGAGACGGAGCTGGAAATTTTGTCGACTCTGTGTGTGCCGGAAACTGCAGCTGGTGCGGTGGGTTCTAGTTCTTCGGGTAGTAGAACAACCGCCGTTCTCCAGCCGCCGTGCTACATGGACTCGCTGCTGATGTGTTGCCACCTGCTAATCCAGAAATCCGACCAGACGCGGGATTTGTGCGGAAAATTGTGTGAGGCAGACCCGGATACACACCAGATCCAGGTACAGAATGTGAACGTGTACTTGATCATTTTTTTTTTAGGATTTTTCTCGAGCATCATTTTTTTGAAAAACCAATACCAAAATCTGAAACCAATTCTCGATAAAAATAAAAAACAGATGTACCACACTCGCATGTCCCCCGGGCAGATTCGTGCCTTCTGCGTGGGCCGGTACATGAAGGGGCGTAGGATGTTGCTGCTGAAAAACGTGCGGTTTCACAACTCGACTGAGGAAAACAAGATCATGGACCGGGTGGTCCAGGGGTTGGAGATGCGCGAGGACACGCTCCAAGCCTACAACGCGGCTTGCGCGGTGGGACAGGATAAAGTTGCCTTGAAAGTGAATGAGCTGCTCGCGAAGATCCGAGAAAAAGTTTCCGAGTTGGAAATAAACGAGGAGAAAGAGAAGGCCGAAGGAGCACCAGCAGCGGTAGTTCCAAATGGAGGCGCAGCAGCTACAACTTCCAGTGGTGCCGCTGTGGAGAGCAAGGACGTCGGACAGACTGCTCCAAGTACAACTGCGGTAGTAGAAAATAACGACAAAGACAAGCCGACGGCGATGGAGGTCGACAGTGAAAACAATACGGCTCCTGCTGCAATAAAAGAAGCTGGTTCGACCAGCAATCGGCTGTGGAAGGAGACCCCCCGCGGAGGAGCAGACACAGCCGACCGAAAATGCTGCGAGACAATCATTGAGTCGGATGTCAGTCTATCAAATGTAAAAATGTCTGGGTCTGGAAACTTGTGATGCTGGGTGGCGTCTCATGATGAGGCTACAAATGCTGGCTCAGCATGACAAGTTTCTGAGCTCCTATGTGTTGCCTATTCTGCATGACAAACTGCGCTTCTAAAAAGAAACAAGGAGGGGAGGAGGTAACGCTGAGGGCCCTGGGAATTATCGAAAAGGCGACCAAGCTATTGAAAGAGGCCGAAGACCTTGAACCCAATCAGGAAGAAGAGAAGAGTACAAAAATGAAGAACGACAGAGACTCAGACAAAAGAAGCGAGGAGGGAAATAATAAAAGGGAGCCGGATGGCGAAAACGCCCAGAGGGGTGACTTTTACAGGGCAGAAACGTACGAAGGCACGCGGCCCGGATACGTATTCAAATTAGGCCAAGCAGGGCAGGGATACTACAGGGACAGAGGACCAGAGGAAGCCGCGCGCATCTTCTTCAGCTGCTGCGTAGGATGGGGGGAAGAAGAAAAAAAAGAAGACGCAAGGAGGAAGCGGGCGTTGCTGAATGCGGACCAGAAAACGGATGAAGGATCACTAAAAAAGAAAAAAAAGGAAGAGGAGACGAGAGACGCCACAGATGCAGGGAACCAGGGCGAACGAGAACAGGAAAAGGCGAAACCAGACGAATTCCCGACACTGGCAGAACTAATGGGAAGCGACCCAGTGATGTCGGAGGAGGAGATGCGGGAAAATGAAGAGAAAAGAAAAAGAGAGGAGGAGAGAAAAAGGAGCAGGCAGAGGAAGTACGAAACCCCACTGCAAGAGGAGCTCGCAAGGATGTTCAGGGGTCTTGATAAAGACAAAGGCTCCTAGAGGCATAAAAAGAGGCACGAAGACACGAGCATGAAAATAGAACACACTGAAAAATGGCATGTGCGCAAATTCAAGAAATTGAGGAACAGCAAAGAGGCAGACTAGATAAAAAAAAATAATAAAGCATAAGGCGAAGTGGAGAACTACTCGCGAAGCCGAAAATGAAGGGTGGGGGTGTTCTGGCGCGTGCGGAGGGAGGAGGGACCAGGAGGGAAACAGAAGAAAGAGAAATCTAAAACAAGATGGCGCCTGCTCCGACCTACGCTGATCATCTCGTTCCCGCTAGCCCACAAGGCACGGCGATGCTCATCATCTCGTTAACGCTGGCCGCGAAGTCGCGGCCTGGCGATGCTATCCGGCCTTAGCTTCTAAGAAAGAAGGAAGAAACATATACAAGAAGTGGCGACAGGGTTGCTAATTTAAAAGACTGCGCTAAGGCAGCACCCCCCTTTCCCCAAGGGGCCCCCCCGGGGCGGGCGCGATGGCGGCTCCGAGTAGGCGGAGCCCTTGGGCCCGATTCTTCGGAAACGCAGAAGAAGGGTGCGTGGAAACAGGTCGGCTAAAGTGCTTGAAAGGGGCACGCTTTGGGGTTGTCCGTCATCGTGATAAGGTCAGCAAGTATGACCAATGTGCCCCCTGTTTACGTAATAGCGCGCAACCGGCCAAAGAGTAAGACTCGAGCAAGTTTGTAAGACTAACCCTTCAAGGCTACACAAACCGAAGCTCCACCTTGCTCGCGGGCTTGGATGGTAAGGGGGTTCTGCCACACGTAGCGCCCACTGGCCGCAATTACGCGTAAGCAATCGATAGCGGTTTTGCGGCTGCGGCCGGGTGGTAGCTAGGACGTGGAGCAAGTATCCACCTAGGGGTATCGGCAGAGGCTAAATCTGTTCTAACGCCCAAGGTATCGGCAGAGGCTAAATCTGTTCTAACGCCCACCCGCCAGGAGTGAAATGGTCACTACTACTACTTGCATCACAGAAAAACGGAGCTCTTGGGTAACGTGCATGACAGATTTAAGAGTCATACCAGACAAGCATGACAGACATGAATTCTTCCAGACCCAGACATTTTTACATTTGATACAGTCTCGCGCTGGCCAACTTGAATGTGCTCGAGGAGAGCCGAACCGCGGGCCGGAAAAGGCCCCGAAGCGACGACAAATCCGATGCGACCTCCTTCACCACCGCGAGCGGGGAGAAGATCAGCGTCAACAGCCGGGTCGACGAGGCGTGGAAGCACGTGGACGTGTACTACTGGAACGTTCTCGGGGACAAGGTTCTCACCGGGATCAAGGAGCGGAATCTCACCCCCGAAGCCTTCGCGGAAGCGTTGCTCTCCACTTGCGTCGCCGGGCAGCGCGCGTCCATGCGGGTGAAGGCGGCGCTTGCGCAGCAGGAGTTGAACGAGAGCTGCGATAAGAAGCCGGAAACGCCCCGACACAAGTCGGACAAGAAAGTTGCCGCAAGAAGCGCGTCGTTGCGGGAGATGCTGTACGCCGACGACGCCCCCGGCCGGCCGGTTTTACCAAATTACGCGATCGAGCACCGGGCCGACCCGAGTCGCAGCGCGCGCGGGGAGCAACCGAAGAAGCACCGGAGCAAAACGACAAGTTCCAAGCCGGTTCCAACCGCGGAGGAGAACGCCGCCGCCGTCGTGGAGAGTCCGGACGGGGGCCCGCCGATTGCAGTCTCCCATCAAAAAACCCCTCTCTGGGACACGCTCGCCGCGCTCTTCGCCCTGCAGAGCGGAACGCTGCACCGGCACAGCGAGCAGGAGTCGCAACTGCTGAACTGGCTCCACGGGATCGGGCTGGACCGACGCGTGGGCTTGTCGGAAGAGGGCAAAGTGCAACTTTTCAGCAAACACAAAGCCGCGACGTCGCTCACCACTTCCGCGGTGCCACTGAGTGATGCGAAAATGAGGGTGGAGGATTTGAAATTCGAATTACCCGCCTTCAGCAACGAGGAGGGCTTTTTGACGGAAAAAGCGTCCACGAAACCTGGCGAGAAGTATTTGAAAAAGCTCGTTGACTTACAGCATTGTTGCTTGGACACGATCTTTGTGTACCCGGGGCTGAAGTCGCAGTTTGCCTTTCCCGTCGTGCAAGTGATTCACGCGCTCGCCGGACGGGACAGTGGTTGCGCTCTGGACCTGCTTAACACCATGCGGGACTACGAAACCGTTCAACCGCAGCTACTACAACACGGCATCGATAAGGACGTTGACAAAGACCGCCACCCAAAGCCAGCAGCGAACCAAGACCAACCAACCACCGTCCGTCTGTCCGGTCTGAACGTGCTGCTCACGAGGTTCACGAGGCTAAACTCCAAGTTTCCCGGGTGGCTGCGGTTCATTGCGCAGATTCTGGAGCACATTCTGGACGACTCGGCGGTGAGGAAAGAGATTCTGGAAGACGCGATCCGGCAACTGTTCAAGGACAAGGCAAAGAAGCGCGGCGCCGCGTCGGGCGCGACGAGTTTAACCGAGTACGACGTGAGCATCTTCCTGGAAACGCTGCTCGAAAACGAAACGGTGAACGAGTGGGCTCATAAAGATTTCGACACGTTTCTCGAAGCGGTTAACGCCACTTGCCAACGGATGCGCAGCCAGGTCGAGAAGGGCACGCTGAAGGCGAAGGACTTGCATCTCCCGAAAAGTAGGAAGTTTGAGCTGAAACTGCGAAAGAAAGTAGAGCATCAACCGGAGACGACCACAAAAGGGGAAGCAAATAACGCGCTCGAAAGCTCGGTGAACAAAGACACCGATTTGAATATGGAGCTGTCCGCGAGCGCGGGACCACCGCCGGGAGATAGCAACAGTGTCGAGAACAGCAACAGCAAGCGCGCGAGCTCGTCCAAACTGCCGAAAACCGCTTCCAGCGCAAGTTCCTCGAGTTTGCTCGTCACGACGTCGCAGGGCTTGTTCCCCACCGCATCGAAAAGTACTGGGAGCAATGACACCGGAACGAAGCTGATATGCACGCTGATGGAGCAGATGCAGCTGATTCACGATTTGTACGTGAAGTTGGACGTGTATCAGGATTCTCTACTGCAGGAAGAGAAGTTGGAGGTCGCGGAAGAAGCGGAGAATGTGACAATAAAAGAGAAAGAAAGAAGAAAACGCCGTCGGGTGATCAACGCGCGCTACCCGATGCTGTTCGGGATGGACCACATGCTCTACCTAGTCGGGTACTGCTTGCAGAACCACGCGGCGAGGCTTTTGCCCGCGTTGCTGTTGAAGTGGAGCAGTATTTCGAAGTACCTGCCGCAGAATACTAGATCCGCGATCACGTCGAGCCTCGCGAACAGCAGCTTTTCGCAGATGAACCTGCAACCAAACACGACGTTTGTGACGTTTCTGTTGGAGAAGCTCGCTCCTGCGTGTACTGTCGTGGATTTAATGTTTGAAATCAAGGAGATCCCCCGACCGTTAAACCCGAAATCCGAGGATGTGTGCTGCTTGACGTTCACGGAGTCGACCCGGTGCATGCGGTGGCTGGTCGCAGTGTTAAACCAGTCGGGGGTGGAGTTCAGAAGAAAGTTTTTGTTGGAGATCCAGAACGTTTTCAAAAACACCGACCCGGCGCTTTTGTTCCCAGAAGTGGATCTGCGGCCGAGAACAAATCTTAGTAACCCAAATTTAGCAGACGGCTATCGCGGAAATAACACCAGCACGAGCTCGCCGCCAGCAAAAATCCGGAAGCTGGATCCCTTCTTGTTGGCCTCCAACGAATCTTCTTCCGCGAAAGAGGCGGCGGGTGCATCCCCTGTGCACAAAATTGAAGAAAACCTCCAGGCGTTCAACAAGTATGATGTGAACAATTCCAGCAACCGACAGCACCAGAAGATGGAAATCGACACAACGTCTACAACCGGGATGATGATGAACAATGCTCCTGAAAGTAGTACAAAGGATAATGTGCTGAATTATCAGGAAGCAAACAGAAAATCCGTGCGGCTGATTATGAACTGCTGCATTCTGGTCACGAAAATCACGTCTTTAAATTCCTGGACGTATCGGAAGGAGCTGACTGCGCTGCAGAAGAAAGCAGCGGCGAAGCGGAGCGAGCTGCATAAGGAGAGTGAGGCGATGAAGGCAAAAGAGAAGGAGAAGGAAGCGAAATCCAAGACCGAGAAAGACAAAGATGGTGGTACTGAAAAGAAAGCCGCCCAGTCTAGTACCTCTACCGCAGAAGCCGCAGGAGCTACGAGCGGCAGCACCGCAGGAGCTGCGCCTCCGAGCGGAAAGGAGGATGCGGCCACCGCAGGGACAAATAGCAGCAAACAAGTTCTTTCATCGTCTAAAGTGGACAACAAGGCAGCTGCGGAGCAACAAAACGCGGAGCTCCAATCGCTTGTGCAGCAGACAAACCAGTTGCAACAGCAATATGCGACCTTCGTCAACACCTATGTGTCGATGCGCAGTTACCTCGGCCAGGTGCTCGACGAGATGCAGAAGCGCAAGCCGGAAAAGCACTGCACCACGTACATCGGCATTGTGCTTTCCGCTTTGGAGAATCTTACCAAGCCGGAGTTCTGCTATCTCCTCCGGAATCTGCCGAGTAATCCAGGCGGCAGGTCGAGCAAACACCTGAACAAAAGCCAAGGGGTAGCAGGTGCGAGCGGCGGCACGGCAGCGGCTTCATCTTCCACCGGCGCACAACTCGGCAACGGGCATCTCACGACGGGAGCGCAACAAGGTGGAATTACTACTAACACTGCCCGGTCTACCCCGATGAACGCAACAAACTCCTCTGCTAATTCCTCCCCGCAAAACGCACCCCTGTCCGGCGCCGACTTTGCTCCCGCGATGGCGCTCCTGGACCGGGCGGACTCGGTGGACCAGAATTCGCTCGGTTTCTCCGTTCAAATCGACGACAACAGTGCCAACGTGGACATGTCCGCCTCGATGGACCGCCCCTCCTCCGCGGCCCACAACATGTTCGGGGGGAATTTGGACCAGGACGAGTACGGAGATCATGACCACGACGAGCACGACGAAGACCTCGATGACGAGGAGGAGGAGGACGACATCCTCGAGGAAGAGGACGAAGAGGAGTACTATGACGATGATGGACAGCCCATCGACGTCGTCGACGAGCAGTACGACGGCGAGGAGGGGATGGATGATATGGGCATGGACGAGGAGGGCGAGGAATTCGGCCCCGAAACGGACGACGATGAGGAGTTCATGGGCGAGGGGGAAGAGTTTCTGAACGGCCTGTTCAACGATTTGGGCGACGCGCACGGGACAAGTGGGGGCAGTCAGCAGTTCGCCGGGGATCGGGAGGTGGGAACGTTAACCTCACATGTTTTCATGGGCGGCGGCGGCAGCGCACAGCACCCCTTCGTGGAGGTGGGTCCGGGCGGCGTGCCGGTTGTAGACTCGAGTGGAAGTCGAGGCCACTACCCCGTGGCCTTTGATGCGGCGGGAAATCCGATCTACCACCGGACGGGTGGGGCAAGCGGTTGGCACCGGTCGTCCAAAGACCACGGTTCTGGGGCGCACGACCCATTCGGAAACGCGCGCAAACCCGGCGACCAGAAGGAAAAGCAGCTGATCAGTGGTGCCTTGGCGAACATTTTGACCGGCGCGCCGTACAGTTCGGAGCTGGAGGAGAAGTGCATCCACCCGTACTTCGGGGTTTGCTTCGAGCACACGTCGATCCTCGCGGAATTTTACCGCGCGAGGCGGAGGTTGGCGCGATTTTTGGATTTGTCCATGTCCAGCACCGACCACGGCTGCGTGAGGCGGGATAACGTGTTTTTCCCGCTGCCCTCGTGGCTATTCTGAGTAAAAACGTCCCCACCCCATAGTTGTCATGCAAATCAGCATGGTGAAAATGTCTCTCGTGCGGATCCCCATGAGAAGCATTTTCCAGTCGCATTTCGGAATTTGTCATGCTTAAATCAGCATGATATGCGAGGTCTGTGATGCTGCTGACCTAGCTACACAGGACTACATTACGAAGCCAAACTTGTCATGCGCAGCAGCCAACGCTTGCCGATTTGTCTTGCAGATTTCCCAACTTGACAATGGGGTGGGGACGTTTTTACAAATGATAGTGGCAGTCGACGGTTTACGTGAGTAGCACGAGCGGGCCGTTCTGCTACAACGAACAAATTTCCGAGCTTATCAAAAGGAAAAATCCCCCCACCCCATATCAAAAAGAAGTTTCTGATGCTGGATTTCAGTACACAAATCAGATTTGTCTTGCCGTAGAGGACTGCAGGCATATGCCAAGCCTGAGCCGCGATGTTTTGGCGTAGGCTCCTAGCATGAAAAACGTCGATGGTGTAGGCCCAACAACATCACAAACCGCCTGCATAATGCGGCGGATTCTCTGGATCTGCCTGCATGCAAGACAGGCAGGATTTGTGGTCGCCAATCCGCATCACAGATTTTCAGAAGGATGCGCTTTCAATATGGGGAGGGGGGATTTTTCCTCACAATAGAGCTTTTGACGGACGGCGAAGACCGGTTTTACTTCATGAGCGAGGGGATTCCCGCACAGCTGCCCGGGAACTACGTGATGCACAGCTATCAGCCCATCCAGCCGCCAGCAATATTGACGGCAGAGGAGTTGGGTTTGCCCGCGGACATCTACAGCCTGCATCCACCGGAGCGATCGAACAGAACATGTATAGTAGAGTGCTTTTTGTTCGAATTGTTGTTCGCTTTACAGACTTATAGCAGCCTCCAACTTACTTGATGATGCCAAATTCTAAATTGAAAGTTAGCGCATGAGTACTATGAATAGTTTTCTATAATTCCGGTCCTTTGCTCGCGATCTGCCGTTTTTCTTACTTCATGAACGGCATCTGATCTGTAGCAAATCTATAAACAAAGACCGCAAAATGATCTCGAAAAATGGATGTCCCGGTATGTGCCCTTTCATCATGGCCTTATCCCGGTAGTTTGTATCGTCTTTTCGAACACTTTCTATTTCGAAGTACAAGCAGTATAAGAAATGCCCGTTCTGCAAGAATAGAGAGATTAACGATTTCGATTTGTTTTCCTGTGATCGATCGTCCCGCCTTTGGGTCTGTTGGCGCTAGGACAGCGGTTAGCCCGTAGTCCCCTAACAGCTCCAGGGCTTCGAAGTGGGCTTTTTTTGATCCGGGAGCTTTGGTCAGCGCGAATCGCAGAACAAATGGAAAAGCGGATGTCCTAATGCTCCTTGTTTTTGTGGGGCCTCTTGGTAGTTTGTATCGTCTTTTCTAACACTTTCTACTTTGAAGTACAACCAGTGGTATAAGATATGCCCGTTCTGCAATAAAGTGATTAACGATTTCGATTTGCTTTCCTGTGATCGATCGTCCCGCCTTGGGTCTGTTGGCGCTAGGTCAGCGGTTCGCCCGTAGTCCCCTAACAGCTCCAGGGCTTTGAAATGGACTTTCTTTGATCTAGGAGCTTTGCTTCAAGCGAATCGCAGAACAAATGGAAAAGTGGATGTCCTAATGCTCCTCGTTTTTGTGGAGCCTCTTGGTAGTTTGTATCGTCTTTTCTGACAAAGCGCGTAAATTTACAGTATGCTTGCAATTGTATTCCATCCTACACGGAACGTGTCCTTCACTCCGAAGGCTTCCTTTCGATTCGTGTGCCAGATCTGACGCTCCGACCATGTAGACGTCATGCGGATCGGCACCAAAAACATTCGAATCGCAAAACAAACTGAAAAATGGATGGTCCTCAAAGTCGCTTTAATTTCGTACGACTCCCTGAGTAGTTTGTATCGTCTTTTCAAACAAAATTTTGCACACACTTAAAATTTCCTTATTTTTCATTACAAAGTCACTTGCAGTTTCTCTACTTCAACCAAAGAAAGGGCGAATCACTCACATAACAGCTGCCGCCAGTGCTGCCAATCCAATCCCGATCTACGAATCGCGCACGAACAGCCGGCAATTGGATCGCCAGGGGAGATTGCAACACTTGGGCAGCGTTGCGGTGTACAACCTGATAGACGAGATGGTGACGGACGCGCCCGCGCAACCCGAGCAAACGGCCATCAGCCCGGGCGCAGAGTCTTTGATGGACCGCGCCCTGGACCAGGCGGTAGAGATGGGGCTCGGCGACAGCAGCAGCAGTGCGACGAATAATGCTCGTCCAGTGCGCGACAATCCGAACGCGGGGATGACGCAGACGCAGAGAGCAGCGCTTCAGGCCGAGGTGGCGGTGCTGGAGCGATCAGCCCGCGAGGCGGGCTTGCCCGAGCTGCAAGCCGAAGTCGACCGACTGCGGCAGGCCATCGACTCCGTTGGCGCAGCAGCAGACGCGGCAGCCGCGCGAGCGGAAGCGGATGCCGCGACTGCGATGGAAGTGGAGCCCGCGGCTGCCGTGTTATTCCGGGAAACAGTCGTGATCGAAGGTCCCCCCGCAGCTGCTTTCGCACCAGCTCCGGCACCTACGGCTGAGGCGGTTGCGCCCGCCGCGTCAGCATCCTCAGCAGCAGTTGCAAACAGCACCGATCAACAAGAAGATCAGCCTGTTGCGATGGAGGAAGATACTCCGCTGCTCGCGGACCCGCCTGTAGTTCCAGCGAGTAGTGACGCTCCTGTCCTCGCGCAGGAAGTTAGTGTGTCGCCGCAGATGGAAGTCGAAGTTGTAGTTCCTCCCGCCGACGAGGCTTCGGCATCCGCGCCGGACAATGCCGCTGCTGCTCCCGCGGCACCACAGCAAGCAGAGCCTTCGGCAGCATCCGTAGCGGCACCTGCCCAGGAAGCCGAAGCAGAGACCTCCGTGGCGGCCGCCGCGGAAAACAACAACGACACCAGCGGCGACGCCGTCATGGAAGACGCGACGCTGGTATCAGTGGAAGGTTCTTCCGCACCAGATATTGCCGCAGCTGCTGAACCCGCAGGAACAAGTGCGGAAAACAACGGAAATGTAGAATCAGCATCCGCTGTCGCAGATGCAGGTACGGCCGGTGAGGCAGCGGCAGAAAATGCTGGTTCAGATGCAGCCGCCGCCGCCGCCGCGCCGGCCGCTGCGGAGCCGGAGGAACCCGATCTGGACTACGCGCTACCGCCCTTGCGAGCGCTGGTGACGTGTCTGAACTTGACACAGAGGCAGATTCTCAATGTGACTAGCATCGATGCGGAGTTTTTGATGGCTTTACCGGAAGATATGCAGGGCGAGCAGATGGCGGGCGCGATCGAGGGCATTGGTGGCTGCAGCGTGCTGCGCAACGGGGTGGACGACACGGCACGACCTTTACCGGCGCCAGATAGCGCGGAGGTCACGGGCGCCTTGCCGCAGCTGCCGCCCGACCTGCGTCGGGAGGTGCGGCGTATGCTGGAGCGCGCGGCCGCCGGACCGGGAGATGAGGGCGGGCAGGGAGGACAGAGTGCGGAAATTGACAACGCGACGTTTTTTGCCACGCTAGACCCGGAGACGAGACAAGGAATTCTTGCCGAGGCGGACGACAGTATTTTGCAGTCGCTCCCCGCGGACCTGCGCGCCGAAGCGTACGTGATCCGCGAGCGCCGCGCGCAGCAAATGGCCAACGAACAAGCCAGAAGGGAGCGCGATCGCGCCCAGCGGGAACAGTACGCGGCGCAACTTCGGCAACAGCGGGACCAACAGGCCGCAGCCATGGCTGGAAGCGCAGGCCTTCCACCAGGAACGCACGTGATCAGGCTGGACCACGGCGCGGGCGGCGGGGATATTCAGCGGAGTTTGCAAAACTTCATTAGCTCGCTCGGTATTTGATGCTATTTTTCTATGTCACAGAAAATGAAAGTGTCGTCGGTTATTTTCTTTGATGAAGTGGTCTGGCCTTTCTCATTTCGGACAACTTTCATGCAACATCGCAATTGTACGTACATGAATTCCATCTCCTTCAGGTGTCGACCCTTCTCGAGTCGGTCTGCGCTTCGATGTGCAGGGTGTCGGCGGCGAAACAGGTACAGCTACTAAAGGTGGCTGCAGCTTGTTTCTTTGAAATGTTAGAGAGCACATCAACTACTTCTGCTCGTATGAGATCTCGTACATAAAGGAAGAGGCGCAAGGACGATTTCTAAGGATGAGGCAACATATTCAGAAATCCAACGCGGAGGCGAGTTTTCTCTTCTGTGACGATTCTGAACTCACGAGCTTTTTAACCCTGATGGAAACGTCTTGTCGCAACCATTCACTGAGTGATACAGTATTTTTCAATAATCTTCCACGCGGCCCGAGCCCGAGCGTGCGAACGCAGAAGCGCACGCAGCGCCTGGGCATAGAAAGCAAACGCACATGCTCTGGGAGGTCACAGAATCGATCTTCTGCCACATGAAAACACATTTTCAACACAACAGCCTCCCTGGATCCGCACCAGATGCTGCAGATGTTCTCGTCCCCAGGGTCGTTTATGGAGCTGATAACGGGTCAACGGCCGTCTGCGAGCGGCGCCGCGTTTGGCGGACCCTCCGCCGGGGGAAGCTCGTCGCGGCAGGCGAGCCCGGGCCAGTTGCTGGGAGACAGCCGGAATTACCTCTTCCAGCCGACCAACAGCGAAGTGCTCGAGTCCGACGTGATACGCGCCATCCTGCGCAGGTTCCAGGACGAGCTCGGAGTTCTCGGAGGTGGAGGACCTCCTTCGCAGCTGTTGCAGATTCCAGGACCACTCCCGCCAATACAGTCCAGTTCTTCCTCATCCAGCAGCAGCACCGGTCTGGTCGCCCCCACAACGCCGCAGTCGGCCCAACTGCAGCAACTTTCCGCGTTTGACGAACAGCACACGTTGACCCTGTGCAAGCTGATCTTTACGCAGAGGTTTTTGCGCATCGGTAGTCTAGTCCGTCAAGTTCTGTTCCACGTGTCCTTGCATCCTACCGCAAGGTCGAACGTTTTGGCCTTCTTTTTACAACTCCTCTCGGGCAGCAGTCTCGTGCAGTTCTGCATCGAAGACGACAGTGTGTGCGCTCAGTGGTCACCAAGGGCGTTGAGGGGAGGAGAGGAAGTAGAGATGAATACAACTACGACGAGTGTAGCAAATAAGCCAATCGAAGGAGTAGATCAGATCTGGAAGACGGGGAGTAGTAGTGGTAGTAGTGGTAGTGGTAGTGCTCCTGCCGCTGCCTCGTCGTCCTCTTCGGGAGGTTCAACTGCGTTGCTCATCGGCCAAACGCAACAGGCGTCCTCCTCATCTTCCAGCAGCACTGCGCCGGCATTCGCCTTCCAGCCACCGCAGCGCGTAAGCAGAACTACTGCAGCTCGTGGAGGTGCAAAACAGGGTGAACAAGCAACCGATCCGAATGAACGTCTGCTGACGAGAACGGTAGCGCAAGACTTGGTGAAAATGTATGGGAGTACAACTAGTAGTTCCACCTCTTCCATCCAGTCGCTGACCAACCAGCAACTGGACAACCTCCTCCTCCATTCCAGTCGGAATGTGACAAGATCGCAGGCCGGGGTGATTCTCCGCGGCCGAGCGCTGGAAGGATTGCGGGACATCGTGTTGCGCGTGCCGCACGCCAGTGCTTTTTTCTTGCAGAATGACAACGTGAGTAAGCTCATTCTGTTGACCGACGTGATTGGTTACGAAAACGCAAATCACGTCAACCTCGTGATCGAAACCTGCGAATCGCTGCTAACCTTTGGCGGGTCGGAGAGTCTGGCGTCGTGGCACGTGATGCAGGCCATGGATCAGTACTACAACCAGGCGGAGGAGGCCTCGAAGCAATTGCGAAAATCACTTCGGCCAGACGCGACAAAGTCTTTAGTGCAGTACCTGTGTCTCGCCCCCTACTCCCCGGACCACGACGGAGCGCTGAGGAAAACGAAGAACATGCTGGTGCGGCTCATGGCGGATGAAATCGAGAGCCAGAGTTTACAGTTTCCGTTGCCAGAGGAGTTGATCGAGAAGCCTCCGGTGGAGAAGAAGGAAGAGAATCAGTCTGGTGCAGCAAAAACAGAAGGCGATGCAGTTGAAAAGGCAAATTCTCCTGATAAGAATGCCTCAGACGGAACAGCAGCTGCAGCTGCTTCTAAGGCGAACGAGGAAAAACCAGATGTGGAGATGAAGCCGAGCGAAGGTGAAGCAGCGGCGGCTGTCGGAAGCTCTGGTTCTGCTGCGCCATCTGCCGCAGCAGATCCTGTACCAGCACCTCCGCAATTGACCGAGCAAGAGAAAAAGCAAAAGGAGGAAGCGGAGAAGAAGCAAAAGGAAGAAGAGAAGAAAAAGGAGCAGGAGGCAAAAAAGAAAATTGAGGAAGCGAAAAAGCAAGCAAGGGCGGATCTGTGCCAACGAATAAGCGACAATCCGACGAAGAAGCTGCAGTTGCTGTACCAGTTGCTCTTGGTGAACACGTCCCGCGTGATCCAACGCGTCTCCAGGTCGGAGGAGCACGCCGAGGGCGGACCGGAGGCGTTATTTTTGAGGTTGTTGAAAATGCTGCAAGAGCTGTTTGTTTCGGAGCGGAAGGAGGCGGAAAGAAGTATCAACAGGAAAATTCTCGCGGAGAAGAGAAAGCAGGAGCAGAACGCCGCGGCGCTCGCGGGGGCAGGCGGTGCGGCGGGGACTAGTAGTTCTTCCTCGTCGTCGAAGTTACTACCCGTAACCGGCTCCTCCTCCGCCTCGTCCTCCTCCAAACTTCCGCCGCCACTCGACACGAGTCAGAGCTTGCTGACCGGGATAAATCAGCCGATCAGCACGCCGCGAAAGGAAGAAATGAAGGACAAAGTTGCGACGGAGCTGCTGACCGCCGAAGAGCAGGAAGAATGCACTAGGGCGGGGATAGCGAAACTGCAGGCGTTTTTGGATTCCGCAGGCGTCGACGAGCTTTGGAATTTCTTAGACCGGACGTTGACAAAGGTAATTAGCTTGTCGTGAGCAGAGAGAACCGCCCAAAATTTTTGAAATGTCAATGAGCGCTGTGGGTGGTGAGTGCTGGGTGGTTTTTTTCTCTTGGGACTTGTTTATGATGCGTCACTCATACAAAATACACAGGCTACGGAAGAGGCCCCAGGGACGACGAGCAAGTTGCCTGCAACATCCTCAGCAACCCCATCGACCGCACCTACGACTCCCGCAAGTGGCGAAATCGACCTTACGAAGCAGATGCCCTTGATAGAAGCGCTGTTCCTCTTCCACTGCGGTGAGGACGCGAATTCGAGCAAGCAGAACAAAGCCCGGGATCGCACGGTGAGTAAGGATTCTGCAAAGGAGGGGGAGAAGGAGTGGCTCCGCGTTTCCACCAACGACGAGGAGAATAACGAGGAGGACCAGGTGAACCCGAGGATACAGAAACTGAAAGTTTTCTCCGAAAGGCACAGCCGGGCGATAAACCACTCCGTCAAGCAAACGCCGAATCTACTGCAGAAGAGCTTGGCGCCAATAGTAATTTTTGTTTTGATCTTGAGTTTTTATTTTTAATTGATTCTGCCACCCTGTCCCTGATGCTTATGATCTTGGTCGCGAGGTTACTGACCTCGCAGAGATATTAAACCCCACTGCAATCTTTTCCTTTCGCGTATATCTACTTTGTCAGGCTGTTGTGGAGAAGTTCTCCACTCGGTCTTGTTGACAAAAGGTCTCACGTTTCATCCACGTACGAGTGACCGCTGCTCTTGCGCGCAAAACAACGAAAAACGTCCGATTCTAATGCAGTTACCACTTTTTTTCAGTCCGGCGAGTGCGGGAAACTGAGTCAGTTTCTTGCGCTCGCCTGGCTTGATCTTCGTAGTGGTTTTCTGTTTCGCTGTCGCGACGACACTGGAGTTTGATAGAAATGCTTGCAGAGTCTCTGTGACTGCAGAGGGAGTTGTTCTTGAAAAACGGAAAACTTTTATGGAATTTTGATCACTTTGACGTTGGGCATTGAAGCAGCCTTGCCACTTCGAATATCGATTTTCAAAACTACTTTCTACTACATATCTTCTGACTATGCAGGTGAAATATTGCCCCTACATTCTGGACTTCAACAACAAGCGAACTTTCTTCAAGCAGAAGATCAAGCAGGGCCGGGATTCCGGGCATCGGTACTCCACCCTCAGGTTGAACGTGCGAAGATCCGCGGTCTTTCTCGATACCTACCACCAACTTCGGTTAAGAACGGCGGATGAGATGAAGGGAAAGGTGGCTATCACCTTCCAGGGCGAAGAAGGTATGGACGCGGGGGGGCTGACGCGGGAGTGGTATGTGGCGCTGGCAAAGGACATGTTCAATCCAAATTACGCCCTGTTCGAGCAGGCCGCCGGAAAACAGTCCACGTTTCACCCGTCTGCTTTGTCCGGGGTCAACAGCGAACATTTGTCGTTTTTCCGATTCGTGGGCAGGATAATAGGCAAGGCGGTCTTCGACAACGCGAACATACCAACGTACTATTTTGTTGATGTTAGTTCTTGTTGACACAGTGCAGTCTGTCTTGCGTGATAGGTTTTCTTGCTAGACGTTCGATACACGCAGGACGAAGATCCTATCTTCATCAAAACAAAAACTCTATCCAGGTTCTTCACCCGGTCCCTTTACAAGCAGATGCTGAAGCGGCGCGTTGCGCCGCAGGACTTGGAGGCGTTGGATCCGGAGTACTACAAGCAAGTGCAGCAAATCATGCACAACGACGTCACGGAGATGTACCTCACCTTTTCGATATCCTGCGTAAAAACGTCCCCACCCCATAGTCAAGATTGGAAATCTGCAAGACAAATCAGCCAGCTTTGGTTGTTGCGCATGACAAAGTTTGGCGCGAAGTGTAATCGTCTTTATCTAGTGCAGCAGCAGCATCACAGATCTAGCATATCCTGCTGATTTGAGCATCACAAATCTATCTCACAATACCGCTAGAAAATGCTTTTCATGGGTCTCCGCATGAGAAACATTTTAAGCATGCAGATTTGCAGCTCTGGGGTGGGGATGTTTTTGCACAGTATATTCCACGGAACGACAGGAATTCGGGCAGACGAAGGAGTACGACTTGATCCCGAACGGGAGCAAAGTGGACGTGACCAACGAAAACAAGCACGAGTACATCCAGAAAATGGCGGAATTCAAGCTGTTAGGGTATTCAAAATTGTCGTGTTCTGCAGCTGGAGATGATTTTTTACGGATTAGATATCTATCTTGGTTTGATCACTTTTGCAAGGAGGCTGATGGTTTTTTTGGTAACATTTTTTCATCATGATTGAGAAAGTTACGTGTTTTACACATGAACCACAGGGCTGTAAAGGAGCAAATCGCGTCGTTTTTGTCCGGGTTTCACGAGCTGCTACCGCCGGAAATCCAGATCTTCGATGACAAGGAATTGGAGCTGTTGATCGCAGGAATGCCAAAGATCGACCTGAAAGACTTACGGGCAAACACTGAGTATAATTCTTTTGCATGATTTTCTTGAAAAATTTCTGAAGGTGGGAGTTTTGTTCACCACGGCTACGCATTAGATGAGCACTGAAAAAAAAAAAATCCACTATGCTCCTACTTAAAATAGGTACACCAACTACACGGAGAATTCGGACCAGATCAAATGGTTCTGGGAGGTCATGGGCGATTTCACGGAAGAGCAGAAGGCGCAGTTCTTACAATTCGTGACCGGCACCTCCCAGGTCCCGCTGGACGGGTTCAAGGCCCTGATTGGGATGCGGGGCCCGCAAAAGTTCTCCATCCACCGGGCCCACACCACGGAGCGGCTACCCTCCGCCCACACGTGCTTCAATCAGCTGGATTTACCGGAGTACACAAACAAACAGCAACTAAAAACCAAGCTGATTCAGGCTGTGGAAATGGCCTACGAAGGGTTCGGGTTCATTTAAGGGAAAGATATGGACCACTGTAGCTGCTGTGGATTGGCAAATAGATTTTTCCTAAATGTACTTCTTCGCGAGTGGTTTTTTCTTCCTCTACTGGAACTGGAGGAAGAAAGGTAGCGTTTTGAAACAAATGCAGTGTGATGTAACTAACTTCTTCTGCTTCGCGCGTAAGCACGATGTGTACTTAACTTCCCATTTGGAAATTTTCTTCGCTTGATGCAGTAGCCGTTGGCTCGCCATCAATTACATCGAATTTTGGTTTTGCAAAGTCGTGATGATGCTCTTGAGTTTGTTGTTTTCCGACCCTCAACCTCGAGAGCAAAAGGCATCACGCTGTATTCCAGTCCATAAGTAGTAGCATAGGATATCAGAATCTACTGAAGTTTTCTCGACTGCCCGGCCAGCTTTGATGCTCGAGCTGGCTTCTCGTTAAGTACTACCCCTCGTGCAGCGAAAGGTCCGTAGTTGTGCACAACTAAGAACCTTCTCCAGCGACCCTAATTGACATAGTGAAAATGTTCAAAAAAAAGCTAATCCCAGCACGGTAAACCGACCCAATCAAGATTGGGAGCATTCCTACCCTCGAAGCAAATAGAGCTCTTCTCGGACCATCAATTCTGCTGGGATGAGAAGTTGCTCGAAAGAAAAAACAAGTTCTTGAATGTCCACTGACTTCTGTTGCTTTTCATAAAAAACGACTCAGCGAATAACGAAACGAAAGAAGGAGACGACTGAACATGCTTCTTGGGCAACGCGCGTCCATCCGGCTGCGTCTTGCAGCGGCAAATTTTCGCCTGCGATTTGACGTTTACATGTTTGTTGGTCTCCGTTGAAGGCCACTGCTAGATTTAGCAAGCGATGGACATGGGGTTGCGGGCTGGAGGAGGTTGTTGGGGCATTTTTTTGCGGGAACGAGACCGGAGGTAAGGCAGCACTTGAGAGCAAAGATCGAGAGTTCATAGTTGTAGAAAATGGCGCAAATCCGATGTTTTGTTCGTGAGCGAAGCTGAGTGACTCTGCGCCAAGAGAGGGCTTTTTTTGTTTTTTCTTTCTTCTTGAAATGTTTCGAAAACTCTGCAATCCATCTGCATGACCCCCAATGTTGTGTTCTCGTTTCTTGTCGCAATCGGTAGCTGCGGGCCCTCGACGACCAGCGCAGCAGGTAGTTCCGCGTATCGTCGTCTGGGCCGGGCGATCGCGGAAGTATGGCGGTGTATTTCGATTATGTCGTCACGCAGGGAGGCGGCGGCGGCTCGCCCGCCAGTTCCCCGAGCCGCGGTTCCCGGGCGGAAGCGCCCTCCTGGAGCAAGGATCTAGGGGCGGAACCACTACTGGCGGTAGGCCTGCGGAACAAGCTGCAACTCTTCTCGCAAGAGGTACTTTTGACATTCAGTTGAAGCTTTTCTGTGCTTCGGACGGTGCCACGCCAGTAGTAGGGGAGTTGGTTCTTTTCGTGTGTGTAGTTTCAGCATCTTCGAGGTGCACAAGCAAGTAGTCCAAACTTGTATCATCTGAGTAAAGCACTTACGCGTCTCGGTTACAACAGGGCGAGTTCGTGCAGGATGCCGTGCCAACCAGGAAAAGCGGCGTGTCGTGTTCCGATTGGCACCCGACAAGGCGGGAAGTCATCGCTGGGTGGCAAGACGGGGCGGTCACGTATTCGCGACCATCGTCCTCCAGCAGCTCCAGCAGTGTTACGACCGTCGGACAGGACGCGCACCAGGGAGGTATGGAAAGCAAAGAGTAGCGCCATGTAGTTCTTGTGCGCTCTGAGAAAATAGGGTGCTGTGCCGCCGCATGATTCGAAAACAGGATCATGTAGAAAAATGCGCAAAGTTTGGGGGGTTTGTTTCGGTCGCCGTATCACCTGCGGGCGCACTTATTTTTACAGTTTTACAGGTCTGTGTATAATTCTGCAATCGATTCTAAAGGAAAACGGCCGCAGGCGAGATATTCGTGATTGTAAATTTTTTGAAAAATTCACAGCGCCGATCCTTGCAGCGAAGTTTTCGCCTGACGGGGGGCTTTGTGTGGTTTCCGATGCTAAGGGCGTGGTTTCGGTGTACAACACGGAAGCCGGGCGCGCACAGTATTTGCTGTATTACCGGAAGCCAGGGGCGATCGATCAAATCTGCTTCCGGCAGCGTAGGAGCCCGTCCTTTTTCTTCGCGGGCGAGCAGGGAGTCGTGTACGGGGCGGACGAGCACGGCGCGTGTAGCGAAAAATACAAAGTGGGATCGCCGATTGTACTGAATGTCGTGTAGCTAGTATTGGTCAACTGTTTTGATTATGTGGTGGATGAAGTAGATTTCGAGATCAGCTGTAATTCGTATTCCATGTACTTAGCATTTTTGTGATATTGAACGCATCATGCGTATCGTCAGCTTTGTTTGCCTAATTTACACTTTACTTTACGCATCCAGATTCTTCTTGAATACTGCGCTTCTGCAAACCGGGTGGTGCTGATTACCCAAGGGACGATGCTGGCCACTTTCCAGTTGGATGCAGAGGGCAAGGTGCGCGGGGAAACGAAGCTGAAGCTGAGTTGCGGTAAAGATGTACAGGCATAATCTTGGCGTCGAATCCCCAAAAGCCATAACAACTTTTGGAACTGCTACTGGACGGCTGCTCACAAAGAACATATACTCAAGTCGATTGTGCGCCCCGCACAAGGAACATACACAGCACACTATCCGTGTCGATCAATCCCAAATTTATCAAAGGCCCGAAGCCGGACAGCCTCCGCGGCGTCTGCATTGCGTCCGACGCGCACTTTCTGATCGCAACCGTCTCCGAGGAGAGCATCGTGCGGATATGGAACGTGCTGGAGGAGGAGTCCTACCTGCTCAGCCTGTCGGAGGTAGACGAGAATCTCCGCACCGACAAGGCCGTTGCGGTCGACTACAACCAGAGAAAACGCACGCTTGCCGTGGGCACCAAGCAGGGCCGGGTCCTGCAGTGGCGCTGTGTGACCAACAACTTTCACGAGCACGACTGGCAGCACCTGGCGATAAGGTCGTTCGAGGGCGAGAAGAACCGGTCCTGCGACGCCGTCCACTGGGGCACGCGGATAGGCGAGTCGATCCTCAGCTGCAGCTTCAGCGACGGGGGGTGCGTGTTGCTGGCCGAGACGCAATTGTCCCACTCCCTCCGGGCCCCCTTCCTCGGCGTGCAGGTCGCGCCCGCGCAGCTGATGTTGCACCACGTCGAGCTAGAGCACACCAGCAAGCACGCGCGCCAAATTCCGGACCAAATGCTCGATTGCCCTTTTCGAATACGCGGCGTCTCGGTGGGCCCGCCCTACGTCGCAATCTGGAGCGCGAAGCAAGTCCGCATCTACCAGAACAATGACCAGCGGGGCCTCGGCGAGCACGCGTCCTTCGATCGCCCGCAAGCGCCGATCGCTAGTTGCTCTTTGTACGTAACGAAGGAAGAAGCTTCCTTGCTTGTCGCCTGCGGCTCGAAGATCGAGGTGTGCAACCTGCAGGGCAACGTGAAGAAAAGTCTCCAATTTTCCTCCGAAACCGAAGGCAGTCCGCACCTGGTCGACGTCGGCGGATCCACCCTCGTCGCCTCGACGACAAAACAACTCTTGAAGCTGTGGAACCTGGCACGCGCGACCCCCAAGGCACTCTCCTCGGGCCGGAGGTTCGAAGACGCCAATGGCAATCTCCTGGGGGAAATCCGGCAACTCCGGGCGAACTGCAGCGGCTCGAGAATAGCGTTACTGGTGGACCCCCTGAAGAAGCCAGGACTCGTCGCCGCACCGCCATCCAATTCCCGCTCGCCCGGCGCGAAAGGGTCGCGGAGTCCGACGGCATCCTCTTCGCAGCAGGACAACGTCGCGGAGCTGTCAAAAGTGTACGTGTACGATGTAGAGTTCGATAGTTTCGCCTGCCTGGACCTGGGGTCGCATCGACTCCCGGTGTCCTTTTCCTGGGACCCCGTGGACCCGAGGCTGCTCGCCGTGGAAGCCGTCCCCTCCTCGTCCGGCGCGAGCGCTATTGCGAGGAAAAATCCCCCCTCCCCATATCGAGAAGGAAATTCCTGATGCTGATTTGTGACCACAAATCAGCTCTGTCTTGCATATGGGGCAAATGGGAGCCATTTGGCGCATTCCACAGCCAATGTGTGACGCGCTTTTGCATACTGCAAAGGTGTCTGCCATGCCTAACTGCTAGCCTGTTGCATACCCAATCCGGCTTAGGAAGTGCCTCCAAGCGCCTTCTGCAATACAGCGGTGATTTGTGTACAGAAGTCCAGCAACAGAAATTTCCTTTTTTCTATGGGGTGGGGGCTTTATTAACTTTGATAAGCGCTGCCGCCTCGGCATTGGATTTATCCCAGCACCACGAGGAGGAAGAGCACGGGAAGGTATGAATTTAGTTTCGCGTCGAATTGATCACATGCAGATGATGTTCTTATCGTCCCCGGTCCCACTACTGCTCCTAGGGCTCTCTTTTTGGTACTGTCTTCATATTAATTTGATTGTGAAGTGGAAATTATACCGAGCTAAAACTGCTACCTCAATAAATAAAAAAGCAACCATCACAGGTGATGGGCGAAGTAGTGCTTGTGTTCGCTTCGGAAAACACGCTCCTCGTCCAGGACGGGCTGCCAAACCCGCGGGATGCGGAGACCAATCTCCCACTGATCCCGGTCTCCATCGTCACGCCGTACCTTTACTTCCTAAAACCGGTCGACGGCTCGTCCACCACGAGATTGACGAAGTCCGCGTCAGTGCTCTCCAAGCAGGTCCTCCGCGACTTCGAGGGGCTCGAAGAGGTGAACAGCAGCGTGAAGAAGGCGCTGTTAGATTTCTCCTACCACATCGCGAGTGGGAACCTATGAGAGTGCACAACTCCCCCTCCTCCTCGTTTGTCATGCAAAATACCAAGCCCACCCTTTCTTTGCCATTGCCTCTTGGCACTTTTAGCATGACAGGTTCTGGCAGCTCCAATAGCACTACAATCTTGCATGAGTTTGTCATGCAAAACCTGCATTCTTGCCGACCCCGACGCTAGTAAGTATTGCTGTTCAAGCTATACAAACGATGGAGGGGGGAGTTGTGTACTGTCATAGAACCCGGATGAAGCCTACAAGGCGGTGTCGAAGAACATTACGAGCAAGGCGGTGTGGGAGTCGCTCGCAAAGATGTGTGTGAAGACGCGGCTATCCTGAGTGGAAACGTCCCCACCCCATAGTCAAGATGGGGAATTGGCAAGACAAATCTACAAGCTTTGGCTGTTCTGCATGACAAGTTTGGACTCGTAGTGTAGTGCTGTCTGAGCTAGCTCAGCAGCATCACAGATCTCGTATATTATGCTGATTGGAGCATGACAAATTCCAAAACACGACTAGAGAATGCTTGCTTCTCATGGGGCTCCGCATGACAAACATTTTGAGCATGCCGATCTGCATTACAGCTATGGGCTGGGGACGTTTTTACATAGGATAGCGGCGGTTGGATGTGGTGCAGAAGTGCGTCGGGCAACTGGGAAAAGTGCGGGCCGCCACGGCGATTCGGCCGCCGCACGACAGCAAAATCCGGTCGCTGACCGCTCGACACGAAGCAGACCCGAATGTGAAACTCGCTGCGGTCGCGGCGCATCTCGGGATGGCCGCGGATGCGGAGGAGTTGTACATGAAGGCGAATTATGCATTGCAAATATGGTTGGGTCTGGAAGATTGCGAGATTTCTCATGCTAGTTTGGCATGACTCTGAACTCTGTATTGCGTGGCCACGAAGACCTCCTCTTGTCTGTCATGCAAAAACGACGTTTCTCATGCAGAATACGGAACACAGAGCCACGAGAAAATCTGTCATGCTTGGCGATGCATTACAGTGCGCTTTCTGTTCACTGACATGCATCACAAGTTTCCAGACCCAGACATATTTGCACTTGATACGAATCGCTATGATTTGCTGAACAAACTCTACCAAGCTCTCAACGAATGGGACAAGGCGCTGGAACTAGCGGAGACGAAGGACAGAATACACTTGAAAACCACGTACTACAACTACGCAGTCTACCTCCAGGCCTTCGACAAGTTTGAGGCGCGGAAGTATTTCCAAAAGGCGGGCACGGAGCTCCCGGACTGCACTCGGCTTTTGCTCACCGAGCCGAACGCGGACCAGCTGTTAGTCGATTACGTGAACAAAAATTCCAGTAACGAGAAGCTGCAGCGCTGGTACGCACAGTATTTGGAGTCAAAACAGGATTTGGCCGGCGCGGTGAAGTGCTACACCACGTCGCAGGACTGGCACAGTTTGGTCCGTTTGCATTGCTTATCAAATGCAAATAGGTCTGGGTCTGGAAGAATACAAACTTGTGATGCGCATTGCAGAACACAGAAAAATCTCTCATGCATAGGTAGCAAAAGCTGCCCACTTTCTGTCACCAAAATGAGGGATTTGTCATGCGGATTCGGCATTGCGGAAGCTTCTCGAAACTTGTGATGCTAGAGCTTCCATGCCAGACCTTCTGTGTCATGCAAAAACAGCATGACTCTTCCAGACCCAGACGCTTTTGCATTTGATATTGCTTTGAAAATCAGATAGAAAAGGCGACGCAGATCTGCGAGGAGACGCGGGACAAAGCGGCGTGTTACCACCTAGCGGGGGTTTTGGAGCAGCGCGCAAACGCCGGCGGTGGCGACGTCGTCATGATGGCGGGCGGTGGGAGCAGCGAGAATGATTCTGCGCGGTTGATAAAAGAAGCGGTCCGATTTTACTCTATGGCAGGCTGTGTGAAGCACTCCATACGACTAGCCGACCACCTGCGGGCCGGCGGGGAGGGGGATCTGATGACGCTGGCGCTAGCCTCCGGCAAGCCCGAGGACCTCAGCTACGCGGCGAAATACTACGAGAAACAAGGGAACAGTCAATCGGCCTCCAAAGCGGTGCTGTTGTACCAAAAAGCGGGGCAAACAGGAAGGGCGATGGAACTCTGCTTCTCGGCGAAATTGTTTGAGCCTTTGAGAAAAATAGTGGAGGACATCGTGCAGAAAGCAGAGCAAGCCGCCGCAGCAGGGAGTGCGAAGGAGGAAGGTGCTTATGTTGTTTTCTTGGTGATTATTCAGCATCAGTGTATATTTCGTAATTTTCGCTATTTTCTCCAACCACTGTGTTTGTGGCCACTTACTTTGCGAACTGAACTTTTTTCTATTCGAGTTCTTTCCCATTTCCTTCTAAGGTACCGACACCCCTGCTGCGGATCCGGAGCTGCTTGCCCGGTGCGCGGAATTTTTCACGCATCACGAGCAGCACGACAAGGCCGTGCAGTTGCTCTGCATGTCGCACCAAGTGTCGGAGGCGATCGACTTGTGCTACCAGCACAACGTGTTCATTTCCGAGGAAATGGCGGAAAAACTGACCCCGGAGATATGAGGGTACACAACTCCCCCTCCCCCTCATTTGTCATGCAAAATACCTAATTTACGCCTGACCCCTTGGCACTACTAGCATGATAAGTTCTGGAAGCCCAAATAGCACTACATTCCTGTCCAAATTTGTCATGCAAAACCCGTATTCTTGCTGACGGTTGTATTGCTGTTCATGCAATGCAAGCGAGGGGGAGGGGGAGTTGTGCACTCTCATAGGAGAAGCAGGGGGACGACAAGGAGGAGTGGCGGAAAACGCAGTTGTATCAAATGCAAATATGTCTGGGTCTGGAAATCTGTAATGCTGAATGGCCATGAGTGAGCGCGCCTTTGAGTGCAGTAATGCATGACAAATTTTGCAATTGCAAACGCTTTCTCATGCTCAGTGCGCATTAATGACAAAATTGTGGCGCTTTGGCTTTTGTTGCTTTTATGCAATACAGATTTTTCAGGAGTCCGGGGCACGCAATACAAGTTCAACCTTTCCAGACCCAGACATATTTGCATTTGATGAGTTGCGAAAAATTGCGAAACTCTGCAAGGACCAAGGCTCGTTCCAGGTTGCGTGCAAGAAGTACACGCAGGCCGGAGAAAAGGTGAAGGCCATGAAGGCCTTGCTCAAGATATTACAGTGAAAAGTGCCCCCCACCCCCAAAGTTGCAAAAATTTGCGATGCGAAGCTTCCAAATGAAAACTTTTTGTCATGCATGAAAGGAGTATGAATCTTTCTGATGCAGAGCCTAGTCGTGTTTCGCATCGCTTGCATGACAAGCACCGCTCTTGCTGGGATCTTTTGCAATGCAAATTTTTGCTATTCACGATCGGAAGTCTGTGATGCTGATACATGCAAGAGGGCGAATGTTTCATTTGGAAAGGTTTGCAATACAAATGCTTTCAAGTTCGGGGTTGGGGGCATTTTTCATTGTAATACAAGAGCGGCGATACCGAAAGGATCACCTTCTTTGCCGGCACAGCGAGAACGCCCGAGATCTACGTACATAGGATCTTGAAACTAAAGCATTCTTCACTCGCTTAAGTTGTTATTCATGACCTGCAAATCGATGAAGAAGTGTGCTCGACGTGGTCCCGTAGAGATATTGGAGTTGATGCATATCATGCAATTACTTTTTACAGCAACTTGAACTTCACAAATAGAAATACAAAAACGAAAAACTCCCCACACCAGATTCTTGCCGCGAACTACATGCAGTCGCTGGACTGGCACAGCCGACCAGAGATGACCAAGCAGATCTTGTCCTTCTACAGCAAGGCGAAGGACTACCAAAAAATGTCCGGGTTCTACGCTACCATTGCCATGGTGGAAATCGACGAGTACCGTGACTACGAGAAGGCGGCGTCTTGCTTGAAGGACAGCTTGAAGGTGCTGCAGAAGGCCAACCTGGAACTCTCCGAGCAGTACACGGTACTGGAGAAAAAGTTGAAGTTCGTGGAGCAGTTCGCCGCCTTGAAAACGTTGAAAGCCGACCAAGTCGTGCAGGCGTGCGATATCAAATGCAAATATGTCTGGATCTGGAAATTTGTGATGCTAAAATGTGGATGATGGAAACAGTTCCGAATGCAACCCAGCATGACAACTTTCCAGAACGCTTTCTCATATGCAATCCGCATGCGAAGCTGAGTCTTTGCATGTACAAAAGAGGCTGCAACTTTTGTTGGTTATGCAATACAGATTTTCTTGGGATGGAAAGCTAGCATTACAAGTTTCAACCTTCCAGACCCAGACATATTTGCAATTGATATGCGAGACGTTTCTGCAAGTGCCGGAGGTCGAAAACTACCTGCGCGTCGGCGACGTCTATCCTGAGTAAAAACGTACCCACACCAGAGTTGTAATGCAGATTTGCAAAGACAGGGAGACTTGTAATGCGCATCCCCATGAGAGCCATTTCCAATCGTGTTTTGGAATTTGTGATGCTGTGAACAGGATGAGCAGATGAATCTGTGACGCGGCTGCACTTGCTAACCTGCACAACACTGCAGAGTGCAACTTGTCATGAGGAGGATAGTTTGGAGTGCCAGGTCCGTTGGGCCCGGGGTGGCGGCGTCTTTGGGTTGATCAACTCACCCGAAACACAATGCCATTCCCGCAGCAGCACAGTCTGTTTATGTCATGCGTGACTCACAAAACTCCTAGGTTTGTGTTGCAAAATCCCCATCTTGACTCTGGTGTGCGGATGTTTTTACTCAGGATAACGTCTACGCGGCGCTCATCGAAGCCTACGTCGCCCAGGGGCTGTACCAAGACGCCTTTGGAAAAGTGGAGGAGATGCGGAGGGCGAAAATCGCACTGGGGCCCTACGTCGACGCAGAGGTACTGCAAAAAATCCAGGCGGAAATGGGAACGCTGGTTGAGGAGCCAGTATATGAGAACTATGTACTTCAATGTTGAATTAATAAAGTTGTTTTGTACATTTTTTATCCTGGACTAGTTTTTTAGCAGGCATGATGCGCATGAAGATCCACTCGTCCCTCTTCTTATGATGTGATACTAATGATCAAATTCGGCATGGGAAAGATTTTTCGAAAATCACAGGCGTCCACGTGGAAGCCGGATGGGGATGAGGTCGATGAAGAAATCGACGAGGACATCGATGACGAGTAAAACGTACCATGCTAGTGGGGGGTATGCTGGTCGAGGTTGTCATGCTGGGTGGTATGGAAGATTGTGTTGCATTCATCTGCTGAGTCCAAATTTGAATAAAGAATGACTTTCAAAGCGTTTAGAAGAACCCTAGTTGGTCTTTGTTGTTTGGTTGTTTTTACTGGAAGATGTCGCTGTCTTCCTGTGCTGGATGTGCTCGACAATTGCTTTTGTCGATGCACATAGCAAGGTTGGCAGCGAACACGCAGCGCTGCTGTGGTGCGAAGCTATAGTCTTAGTACAGTTTTTTAGAACATCAAGTTTATTGCGAACTTTACCTTTCAGGTAGCAAGTCTGACCTAAGGAGGCAGATCTGCTATGAGGAACAAAAAGAACATAATGAGAACGATTCAAGACTCTTATCAGGGAAACTGATAAGAAAAAGCAGGACGACAAGTCGAGTAATAGAGACTGAGTGCTTTGCGTGACTTCGACAGCCGTGGTATCCTCGCAGCTGTTGTTTAACAAGAGTATTAGTTGTGTAACCATGATGACCGAGGAGCCGTGTTTCTTTCCCGATACGGTGTTCCACAACGCAGGGAATGATGGTCCTCTAACGCAGCAAAAAATGCTCCCATCAGTCTTCACCGATCTTCATCAATGCTTTCGATTTTGTCGTTTCGCCCGCAGGTTTTTTGTGTGCTTTCGTTTACAGGTCAGACGCAGTTCCGATTTTTTCTGGAACAGCAATCGGTGCGACGTCCTGGTGAAATGTGAAAGGATCATATTCAAAAGCTTTTAATATGCCGCTGCCACTTGTTTGTGAGTAGCTGTAGTCGTTTATCGTGTAGTACAAGCCCAGCAAAAGTTGAAGAGAGGACAAGAGATCCACCGTCCACGACTTCTTTCGTTCCGCCCCACCGGGCCTGTTTATTCCTGATGTCGGAAGAAGAAGTATCTTCCAGCGATGACGAAGAATCCACCACGCTGCTTCCTCCCGCTGGAGGTCGTGTCCTGCTCGTGCCAGAAGGTCAGACGCTATCATCTGCAGAGGCGCGCGGTACACCTGGAAATGATGACAGACGCGACTCTATCAAATGTAAAAATGTCTGGGTCTGGAAGAGTCCGAACTTGTGACGCTGCATTTGGATTCCAAAAAAATCTGTATTGCCTGACCAGCAAAGGGAATGCAATTTTGGCTACGCGGAGAGGGCATTTGTCAGGCGGAATAGGCATCAAGAAGCCCTCAGAAAATCTGTAGTGCTAGGGTATGCATCACAGACATCATGGCTCATGCAAAACGTGCATGACAAGTGTCAGAATCTTCCAGACCCAGACACTTTTGCATTTGATAGACTCTGGTGATGCTGATGTCCATGTCGAGGGCGAAAAGATTGCTTCTGAAGAATCTTCCCAACTACCATCAACTGGAAATAAGATAACTACACCAAACGTACTAGTTCCTGGTGCCAAAAATGGGTCGTGGAAAGCAAGCTACGAGAGTAGTGGGGCTGCAGGCCCTCGTCCGGGCCCGCTCCATGAAGAAGAAGACAGCGCTTTATTGCCGGAGGAGCTTTTGCCTCTGAACAGTGACGCCGATTATCATGAATTTGGACGGGAAGTGAATATGAATGAACAGGATAGCGGCTTCGATGGCGCGAACGAACAAGAAGAAGAAGCGGAACAGGATGAACATCACGTCGAAGATGACGAGAACATCAACGTCGACAACAACCTGGAAACAGATCACGCAAGGTTGCTGCGATTTGTCCGTAATGCGCGGGAAGAAATCCTGTACGATGAGGTTTACTCTCTCTCCGTCGGGTCGCAAGAAGGTCGGTCCCTGCTCTCACCCGGTGCTGCGGGCGGGCTAGAAGAAATATTAACAGAGCAGGTAGGAGGTGTACAACGGGACGATATAGGTTTAGACGCTGGAAAAAATGATGACAACATTTGCGGAGCTGGGACGGGGGAAGAAAATTTGTTGGACCGCTTTGCTACGAAGCCGCCAGATGTTCAAAAGGTCCACCTCAGCTCACCGTCGGTTCTTCCCCCGCGCGATGGGAATAACGGCGCAGAGGCAGGCTCCGGCATTAAGGGTGAAAATTCATGTACGAAAAATGCAAGAGAAACGCCACCGCCACAGGGAAGCAGTGCGGCTTCGACCCTGCTGGAGCGCAACTTGCAGAACGAATTGGCAGAGCTCTTTGATCCTCCGGCGAGAGCGAAGACTACACGTGATCGAGCTGTTGACCCTGATCAACTAGACGAAGACATTCTGCTTGAAGGGACAACCACCAGCAGGCTCGTGTTACCGAAAAGTAGCACCCCCGGCGGCTCCAAACCGGTCAGAGTCCTGTCTACCTCGAGAAACGCCAGCAGTACAAAAAAAAGAACACCGGAGCGTGGCGCAGCCTTAAGAATACACCCCTCGGATCTTCATGCGAACGATGTTGATCTAGGAGCGAATATAGGTCTAATTCATTCCGATGAGCAGTCGCCGCGCCTCTCCAAGTTAGACGAGAGTCTTGCGGAGAGCGACGCGACGCTCGTGGTCGACAATTTTCATCCACCAGGGAGCGGGCTGGAGCGAGATGGCGCAGATCAAGCAGAACACAGAGGAGCAACAGCAAGCAAAACCTTTCCTGCAGGTGGACAACGCTCGTCTCGTTCTCCGCTAAAAACGCCAGTGCTAGTTCTGCATTCGTCTTCTTCCTCGTCTTCGAGTGCGCGAGGACACAGAAGCAGCAATCCTGCTGAGGAACCAGTACCGGAGACACAGGGGCCGCGGCCAGGTGCGCATCCGACACTAGAGCATGACGTGATAGACGATTTTCTTCACCGAGTTTCCACATCCGTTCACGGCACCAGCAGCCGCGCAAGTCCCGGCACCGCAAATGGAGCGAGCCCGCTGGTGAATGTCAACTTGAACCCGGCCTTGCTGTCCAGTGCCGCCGGGGGGGCTCCTTCTTGCGGTCGTGTTGTATTTGGCGGACCCAAGAACGACTTGTACCTGGCGGATCACGGCTCTACTTCTCAGTCTTTTGCAGGGCGATCGCTCGCGGGTCCTCCGGGACACCACCTCTCGTCGAGCTCTCGTGCGTCGCCGGCAACGATTATTACAGGGAGTCAAGAGCGTGCTGGAGCAGGCTTATGCACTAGTGACCCGCGGCCCTCGTTCGGGCAGCCGCTGCTGCACCAGCCCCAGAATGGATCTTCAAACTATCCTGGTGCAACAGCATCCCGAGGACCCTCGATCGCGGAGCGGCGTGCCAAAATCGCTGAGGAAGTCGATGTGTTGATAGGAAGCGCGCCAGTCCGCGTGTCCACCGCGCACAACGAGCAGCTTGATCCGCGCATGACCTCGCAGCCCATCGGGCGACCGACGCGCTTTTCTGTCCATGGCAGTACCAATTTCAGTTCTGCGACCACAGTTTTCCGCGGGGAACCGGAGTTGCGGAGCAAATTGCTGAGCTACGAGCGCCGAAGCGACCTGCGGATCCCGGAGCAGGAAGAGTTTTCAGAGCAATTGGTGTTCAATAACAACGACTTGAGCCTACCCGTCGTCGTGACGCCGCGGACCGCCTCCCCAACATCGCAAAAGTCTTTTGAGACGAAATCGAAGGGCACAGTCGTAGGTTCAGGGACAGCAGCGGGGCAGTTGCTTGCAGAAGCAAAGGGGATCAGTAGCAAGAACGGCAGGAAGATGAGTAAAAACCAGGCCAATATGACGAAAAGCAATGCTAGTTGTGAAGATCATGGTACGTCGAACAACGATCGCAACCTGCCAGAGGATCAACATAGCAAGGAAAATGTCGCTGACCTGTCAGCAAGTCGCAAAGTCGTATCTGTCCACTCAGTGGGGGCGCAAATGAAACCACGCTCGCGCACAAGCTCCGGTTCGGCACGAGATGACGTCGAGAGTGATTCGAAATTGCGGTCATCAGCTGGTGGAAATAAAGGCAGTTGTATTGACGGCACTAACAATCCCATCAGGGGAAAAAGTACAAGGGTGGACGTCAGTAAGGACCGGTTGGACAGATTACCGCATTCCGTGATTTTCTCGAAGTGCTGTGGCGACGACACGGTCCGGGTGGAAACCGAAGCTTTTGAGGTTTTTGTGCGCGACCCCGTGCGGCAGTCCCGCTGGTTCCACGCAGACCACATGGATTTCCTCGTTTGCGGTTTCTTCCTGTTTGACGACGCCAAAAAAAGCTTCGCGGTGCGGCGGACGGTCGCCGATTTCCAGTGGCTTGCTGTGAAGCTGCCCAAGCTTCTGCCGGGCTTCTTCGTGCCGCCCCTGCTCGCCTCGTCCCACCTGAACGAAAAGAAGGGAGATCTGGTGTCGGAGCGCGAGGGGATGGAGATCCGGAACCTGCAAGCGGAACTCCGGTTCTGGTTGATGCGCCTGTTGCAGCGGCCGCATTTTGTGGGGTTGGACCTGTTTCAGGCTTGGCTGGGGTTCGAAGCCGCCACCGGGAAGAGGAGGAAGGCGGAATTACTCTCAGTGGGCGCGCTGGAGCAGCAATTCTGCTCGGGGCACCGGTTAAACAACCCTTTCAAGCTTTTGGACCGGCAGAAGGGCTTGTGCCGGGTGTCCGGTCTCGACCATTTGCAACTCGTTCAGGAACTGGCGGATTTAGTCGCAACTGGTGATGTATTAAATGCAAAAATGTCTGGGTCTGGAAGAATACAAACCTGTGATGTGCATTTCAGCACACTGAAAAATCTCTCATGCATAGGTAGCAAAAGCTGCCCAGTTTCTGTCACCAAAGTGGGGGATGTGTCATGCGGATTCAGCATTGCGGAAGCTTCTCGAAACCTGTGATGCTAGAGCTTCCATGCCAGACCTTCTGTGTCATGCAAAAACAGCATGACTCTTCCAGATCCAGACATGTTTGCATTTGATATGATGTCGACATGAAAGACGCACAAGACTTTATCCTGAGTAAAAACGTACCCACACCAGAGTTGTAATGCAGATTTGCAAAGACAGGAAGACTCCCCAAGAGATTTGAATCGAGCACTGCCCGAGATTTTAGATGATGAATATTTGAAAAAATGAAAAGAGAAACTTTTTTAATTTTTGCAGCGCGCGCAAGCTTGCGCTGCCGGGCGGCTTCGCCCTCCCCATGTTCGCGGAAGATTTTAGACTTTGCCCCGCCCCTTCGGCTTTTTCTTTCTTTGCGTGTAGTGTAGCCTCGGCAGGCGATTCGTTTTCCCCGCCACCTGCTCGCGTGCTGACGTGGGCGCCTTTGGGGTGCTGTCCGTTTTTCATGTTGCCCGCGCGGCGCGGGTCTCCATGTCGGAGCTAAGGCGTGCGGCTCCGTGGCGCTTTGTGCTTTTTTTTGCCGGGGCTTTTTTTTGCATTTTTGCTATTTATTTTATGCCAGTAGGAACATGAACAGCAGCCCGCCTCTGCAGTTGGCGCCCTTTTTCTCTTTTTCGTGTCGAAATTTTCGTGGGCCAAACACGCGGCGCCGGCTGTGTCTTTCGCACTTTGCTTCCAGAGCTAGTGGCGCGACTGCTTCGCGTAAGCGCCCCTGAATTAGCACCAAGCGAGGCCCTTCGTTGGTTTTCCATGTAATGCAATCCCGGAGGCCGGTCCGGCGTGTCAGCCAGCGGCCTGCTTCTTGGTGCGGACATTTTTCTGGTGTTTTTCGTTTCGCGCGTTGGCCGCGTGGGGTTTATCTTCATGTCAGGGCGCAGAAGAGTGACGCGGCGGCGTTTTTCGCTCCTTGTCTGCATTTGTGGGCTTACTATCCTTGCTGCGCTGCAGCGCCAGCCCCGACTTGCCAAGCATGAGAGGCGCCGCGGTTGCTAAGGTTTTACGCTAAAAGTGGCGACGCTGTCCATGTTTTGCCTTCGTCTTCCTTTTTGGGTGTCTTTCCGTTGCTTTTTTGCCGTACTTCGTTCATTTTGTTGCGTTTTTGCGCCTTTTCGAGCTACGCGGAGCTTTTCTGGCGCATTTTGGGGCTAAAAACGAACAAACCGCCTGGGGCTGGTTATTTTCGCCGCCGGTTTGCCGTATTTCGTTCATTTCGTCGCGCTTTTGTGCCTTTTTAAGTTGGAGGAAGTTTCTGTGGCGCATTTTGGTCCTCAGAACGGCCAAACTGTCTGGAATTGGCCTGGCGGATGCGATAGCGCCACCGCTCTGCGGACTTGCTCCTGCAAAATCACCGGCGCGCGCCTTGTCGCGCTTTTGCGCCTTTTTGGAGAATTTGCAAAGTGTTGCACTTTTTCACCTATTTCGATGGCTTTGCGACGTTTTTGCTTTAGTTTGCGTCTGTTGGTGCATTTGCGCACCTTTTTGAGCTGAGGGGAGCTCTTTTGGCGCATTTTGGTCCTAAGTACGACCAAACTGTCGGGAGTTAGCCTTACGGGTGCGACAGCGCCAACGCGCTGTGAACCGCTGCAAAATCATCGGCGCGCGCAATGTTGCGACTTTGCGCATTTTCCGAGAATGCGCATAGTGGCGCACTTTTGTGCCTATTTTGAAAAATTTGCGCCCTTTCCGCCTTAGTTTTTGCATTTTGGCGCATTTGCGCAATTTTTAGGCTTAACAAGGTGGCCCCGCCGTGCGCTTTTTCGTCCAACCATTTCGCTCTTTTTGACTTAACAAGACCTGTTCTGCAGTGAAATGAGTCGAATTAGCACCAAAAAGGCGCGTCTGTACCTTAAGAAAGTTGGCGCTTTTCTTTCCATGGATGTGATACATGTTTGCAATACAAGTTGATAACTTCTGCAAAATTAGTCGCCTTTTTGTCTTTTTGGCTTAGCGAGACCCAATCTGCACCAGGATGGCCCTAGTTAGCACGAAGAAGCTGTCTCTTTGCCGTTGTTGCTTTTCGTTGGCCAGCGCCACGAGCGATTCCGAAGCCGAGCGCGTTAGTTTGCTAGCCAGATCTGTTCCACTTTGTTCACATTTTCGCCTGAATAAGCGAGACAACTGTACTGGAATCAGGTGGACGGCGTCCGTTCTTGCCGGCCTTGGGCCATGCTTTTTGTCGTGTTTTGACTCGTGCTGTTTGTCTGCGCGCATGTGCGTGCTTCTTTGGGGATTTTTGTCTCGTTTTTCTTTTATTTTGCTTACTTACAGCGCCTGTGTTCGCGTTTCTGTAGTTTTTTATTCGAATTTGGCGCATTTCAGCACATTGTGGGCGTTCTAGAATCGAACCACCTGCCAAATAGACTAACAAACGCAGCGACAAGCATCGCAAAACTGTGGCGCTGCGTTTTGGTGCACGGTTTCCGCCTGCGCGCGTATTGTTGTGAAGTTGCCGCGTTTTCTGGTCAATTAGCGCACTTTGGTGCATTTTTGCGGGTTTTCGCGTCATTTTGACGCATTTGTTTGCATTTTCGCGCTTTTTTGATGCAATTTGCTTAAATCTGATCTATTTTAAGCGATTTCGAAAAAAAAAACAGCGGGCGACTTTTAACCTTATAGCTCACAGCTCGCGACTTTTTTCGAATTTCGCAAGTTTTTGCGAGTGTGCCTTTATGCTCATTTTTGTCGTTATTTTGCTCAGTTTGCGACTTTTTTCCTTTTTTTGTCGCATTTTCGCACATGAGGGCACTTTTAGCGCTTAATTATGTGGCCCCGCCGTGCGCTTTTCCGGCGTTTTTGTTGTTTTTGACTTAACAAGACCAGTTTTGCACTAAAATGACCTGAATTAGCACGAACGCTGTGCATTTTGACCTTAAGAAAATTGAAACTTTTTTTTCTGATGTGATGCATGTTTGCAATACAAGTTAAAGACTTGTAATGCGCATCCCCATGAGAGCCATTTCTAATCGTGTTTTGGAATTTGTGATGCTGTGAACAGGATGAGCAGATGAATCTGTGATGCGGCTGCACTTGCTAACCTGCACTACACTCCTGCAGAGCGCAACTTGTCATGCGTGACTCACAAAACTCCTAGGTTTGTGTTGCAAAATCTCCGTCCTGACTCTGGTGTGGGTAGGTTTTTACTCAGGATAGACTTGAGCGCGAGTTTCAACGAAGCCAAAAATGGTCGCCCTACTTCGCGTGAGCAGAACAACGACGACGCTGTTCTTGATAAGGCAGAGGCACAGGACCTGGATTTGAACAATGGTGGTGAAGCTGAAGTAGACAATAATTTGAACAACAACAGCAAAATTTATTCCAGGAGATCGTCGAAGACTACGTCTAAGGGCGGACTGCTGCCAGCGGGTGTTAAAGAGAGAAAGTCTACTTCCGCCTTCTTCCGGACGACCAGTAATTTATGTCCTCGTGCGACATCATCCGCTGTAGCTACCGTGAAGCTGACGCCCGAAGCCTGCAAGAAATTTTTGAACGAACAGAAGAGACAGCTGCGGAACCGGAGTTTCGAGCTGAGCTCGCTGCAGCGAAACTTCGAGGTCTTGCGAAATCTCGAGAGAAATGCGTTCATCGAAAGTCTATCAAATGTAAAAATGTCTGGGTCTGGAAGATTGCCAGGTTTGTCATGCACATTTTGCATGACTCCTCAAGTCTGTGATGCATGCCCTAGCATCACAGATTTTTAGAGGGCTTCCTGAAGCCTAATCCGCATGACAAATGCTCTTTCCGTGCTGCAAGATTTGGACTCTCTTTGCTGCTCATGCAATACAGATTTTTTTAGAATCCTAAATCAGCATGACAAGTTGCATTCTTCCAGACCCAGACATTTTTACAGTTGATAAAGTCAGAAGCTGCGGAGAACCTTGGCCGGAGAGGAAAATATGAACAGGACGCTGGTACTGCTTAAGTACGTCTACACGACTTTTCGCGTGCTGTGTTTTTTGATGAATGAATTTCGGCGATCATCGCCTAGCGTCTTCTGCTTTTCTATGCTCAAAAACGTTTTTCATCCTCTCCACTTGCCATAATTTGCGATGCAGGTATCCTCCTTGGCGCTTTCCGGGGCCGGAAAAACCGGCCTTCACGCTAGTGGGGGCGAGCAGGCGAATGGGACTGCGCATGCTGTCTACAATATCATGATCGTGGCGTGCGAACGGGAGATGCTGGATCTGCATGCCAGCCTGCGCATATTTGACGAGCTGGACTTCATGGAAAGGAAGACGGAAATGCTTCGGCGAAATTTAAGACAGAATCGAGAGAAGCGGTACTAGAAATAAACTCAGATAAGTTTCACTGTCTCACCAGCGCAGTTCGCGTTCCTGGGACTTACACAATCTGGTGGTGAGCGTGCTGGAGCTGTCCTCAGACATTCATAAGTATAGCAATTCAACCCACCATTTTTAAAGAATTGAGCATTTTTTTCTACAACAGCCTGACCATCAAATTGAGCGAGCACGGAGGGTTCTGGGATTCGGTTTTTCGGGGGCTTTCGAAGGAGGAGCAGCTTGGCGGCCTGTGCGACCAGATTAGCTTCTTGAAGCGTCAAGTAGGCGGGATGGAATCGTGGACGCGGTTTGCGCACCAGGTTGCCGCTGAAGAGTTGCGCCTGATGCGGCAGGACAGGGCGCAGAAATGGAGTACTGCATGTGATGTTGATGTGATTATACTTGGTCATCAAGCTGATGTTTTTCTCTGACTTTTTGCCTACTATCCATCCCTATGTCTACATCAAAACAGAAAACGCCCAGGAGGAGTTCGTTTCGCGGCAAAAAGAGCTTGGCGTGACCATGCGGGCGTCGCTGGCGGCGCGCGGAGTAGTGAGTAAGGCGGATCTGCTGGATTGGGGATTGGATTCGCAAGAAATGATGGACGAGGATTAAAAAAGCTCGCAAGAGAGCAGGATGCTACACTATCAGGAGTACTCAGTTTTAATACACCTAATGATGAAATAAATCTAACGAGGACGTCGAGACCACTTGCAATTTCGATTTCTCAATACTTCTATCTTTTTCAAAATCAAACGACGAGCACGAGGCGTCTCTCTTTTCGCCGTTACGATATCAAGAAAAGAAGTACCTAGTGAATGATGAGCCCAAGAACACGGGCTACTTGTGAACCCAGCAAATGAACGGTCTACTGATTCTTTCATGGCGCTTAGGCCTTTACACGTGCAATAGCAATTTCGATGTTGGTAAAAGTTGCCCTCCCTCGTCCACCTTCTGGGTCAGCGAGCAAAAATTTGTCAACCGGGCGTTATTTCTACCGTCGCGGTCAGAATGGTGGGTTTCGGTGTTTGCAAGGATGGTCCGATTTTTAAGGGTTGCAAGCAGGCAACGTCGAAGATGATCAAAGACCAAAGAATGTTCTGTGCATTCTTATGGGACAAAAATTTCATGCACCAGGTGCACTTCTCCAGAACTTTAGAAATGACGACGAAAACTCAACATGAGCACTGCAATGATCTCGTGGCTTTGCGGACGACTCCTTCTTGTTCCCCAGCGTCACTTATTCATCTTCTAGGGGACGTTGCTACAACATCTTCAACAACGAGGTCTCTTCCAGCACCAGCAGATATTAAGGAGAGGAGGAACAAAGGCCGAAGAAGAAAACGTCGCCCGTGGTCTTGGCGAAGCGTATTACTGATTCCCAAAACGGTCAGTGGGCTGCTGCAAAGAAACACTAAATCTGCCACCTCTACTGCAGCGTCTTCCGCCCCCGGAGCTGCTGCTCCACATCAGTACAATGACCACAGCAAGACGCCGACGTCGGCCAACGAGCGCGGCGACGGCTTTGTCACGAAAGCCTTGCGGACTTCCGAAGCGCACATTTTGCAGGCGCTTTTCGACGAGCGGAGCGGTCGGAATCAAACGCACACTTTCACGGTCAACGAAAATCTGTTTGGCGGGCCGAATCTCGATTGCTGGGCGGACCCGCGGTTCAATTTTCGCAAGTGCTGCAACGCCATGCACTACTCCGTGCAGATGAATCACTGCTGGGACGGGAACAAGTACACGCAGGAGAACTGCTGCGGCGCGGAGCTCTATTTCCCCCCGACCTGCCTGGACCTGATGCGGCACTTTGAATTTTCCATGGTCCAGCGCCTGGGCCAGGACGACCCGATTACGAACGCCGTGACCGGGTGTCTGAAGGTTCTCCGGTCCCCGGACCCGGAGCTCTCCCTCCGCGGCTACGTGGAGCCCGGGTTCGAGCCGTTCGACGTGGCGGGCTGGCACTACCCGACGGCCACGGTGCACCATCCCGGGCTGCGGAAGTTCTCCTTCCCCGCCCTGGACGCCTACGTGGGCAACACGTTTCTGGTCGACGGCACGTGGATGCCGGTGGAGGTGGAGCTGCTGCGCGCCTTCCTCCCCGAGGACTCGGTCGTGGTGGACGCCGGGGCCAACATCGGGGGCTTCACCCTGCCCTTCGCGAAACGGGTCGGCAGGAACGGCATGGTGTTTGCGTTCGAGCCCTTCCGCGTTCTGTTCCAGCACTTGACCGCCAACGTCGCGCTGAACGGGTTGTTGAATGTGCAAACCTTCCAGCACGGACTTGGCAAGGAATACGAGCGAGTGAAGCTGTATCAACTGCAAAAGTGTCTGGGTCTGGAAACTTGTGATGCAAGGAAGGGAATAGTCAACTCACTGTAATACGCTGCCAAGCATGACAAGTTTTTTTCATGGTTCTGAGTTGCGTACTCCGCATGAGAAGCTGCGTTTTTGCATGACAGGGAGAAGGAGCTCTTCGTGGCCACGCAATACAAACTGCAGAGTCATGCCAGACTAGCATGACAAATCTCGTCATCTTCCAGACCCAGACATTTTTGCATTTGATAAGCTGCCCATGCCGAATTTGAACAAGCTGTCCAACCCGGCCAAGTATCCTGTCGTGCAAAAGTATCGTACTCGTCGTTGTACTTAGTGGCATTATTGCATGAGAAAGATGAAACATCTTTCTTTAATACCTTCTCCGGCATGACAAACTCCATTTTTGTTGTTGGAAAAATTTGTAATGCGATTGCTACTAGTGCGACTCCGACTGCGATACTTCTGCGATGCATACCAAGTCGTCCGTGGCGGCCACGGACAACCTGATGATGATTGAGACGGAGAAGGAATATGAAGAGGAAATCGAGATCAAGCCTCTGGACGACTACTTTCGCAGGTTCCCGTATCATGTGTAACAACGAACGTCCCCAACGACCCACAGTCAAGATGGAAAATCTGCTACACAAATCAACAAGTTTTGGTTGTTGCGCATGACAAGATTAGGCTCTTCGTCGCAATGTAGCCGTGTGCAAGAGCTAGTAGAAGCAACAAACCTCCTCGAGCATCCTATCCTGATTTGAAGCATGACAAAATTCAAAACACAACTAGAAAATGCTTCTCATTGGGCAGCGCATGAGAAACATTGTAGGCATGCTGATTTACGTGACAACTCTGGGTAGTTCTGGACGTTTGTACTCGGGATATCCCGAACAGAGTGTACTTGATCAAAATCGACGTGGAGAAAATGGAGGTCCCGCTTCTCGAGGGCGCGCGCGCCATCCTGCAGTACCACCGGCCGTTGCTGTTTGTGGAAGACAGCGAGGAGACCCGGGCGGGTCCACCGCTGAACGTCACCGAGAGGCCGCACTTACTCGACCTGATCAACAACAAGCTCTCCGCGCGGTTCCGCCCGGAAACCGAAGTTTCCTCCGCCGTCACGCGGCTATGGAGTGCAAATATGTCTGGGTCTGGAAGAATGCAACTTGTGATGCTGCATTTGGATTCCAAAAAAAATCTGTATTGCATGAGCAGCAAAGGGAATGTAATTTTTGCTACGCGGAGAGGGCATTTGTCATGCGGAATACGCATCAAGAACGCCGCAAAAAATCTGTGATGCTACGGCATGTATCACAGACATCATGGCTCATGCAAAACGTGCATGAAAAGTCTCAAAATCTCCCAGACCCAGACATATTTGCAGGGCATAGCGGCTGCTGTGGTACTACGGGTACCTGGTATCGCAGTGCACAACTCGTCTACTGTCCCAAATTTGAATTTCACGCAACAAGAGAAACTGTGCATTATTGCTTCCGATTGTATTTGGTGCAGCTGCTCGAAGATGCTCTTAGTCTTACAAGCACTTCTCCGTTTGTTCAACACGGATTGCCCAGGTTGAGAAAGTCCTCAACTACCGCAGTGAAAATTCATAAGTGGGTCTTTCATTTGCAGAAGTTGCATTTCTCATCTTCATTCTGTTGCTCTTTGTGCCTTTCGAATTGGGGGGGTAAGTAGCTCGTTGTGCACTCTGATACAAGTGTATCGACCTCTACAAAGAAGTCGGAGGACAACTTACGAGTTTGTTCTGTGCGCCCGATGAGAAGCTGGACGGCTTGTGGCTCGGCATTGTGAAGTTTTTTGACACCACCAGGTACAGAGGCGGGAAGCGGTGAAATTAATGTTCTTTATTTTGCAGAAAATTAAGAAAGGCAAGAAGATGAAGACCTGCTCCCCCTGCTGGGGAACAGCGGCATCTCGTCCCCGCGACGTTCACGGAGTTCTTGTACAGACCTTTCGACGCGTACTAAGTCTTGCAAATTCACTATATCGACTAATGCTGCACCAGCACTACATTCATACTCTAGTCCGGCTTTCCGCCGTACTGGAATTCGAACTGTCGTGACTACTTCATCTTTGGAATTGGATTATCGTGCCGCGCTGCTCGCTAGTTTGGAAAAACCGCTGACTACAAGGCGATTTGGTTTTTTTCGTTCTGTCTCAGTCTCTGTGGGGACTTTTAATCGAATTAAGTACTAATTCGTAGAACTGCTTTCGTGTTTTCCCCGCTTGTGGCCGTCGTCCTTCGTGAATTCTTCGTCCATCTTGATTAATTGTGAATTCTTCGTTCATTCAGGTGTGGTCGTTGTCGTCGTCCAATCCCTGGGCAATGTGCTCTTGCTTCGTTCCTCTCCGCACTTGTCGTTTCTTCAGCTGCTGGTTCCTCGTACCTGTGTTGTAAGTTTCAACTTTAGTTTTACGTGTTAGCCTGCGGGCCGCCGATTACATAATCTGTGACTACTGGAGACAGGTGTATCAATCCCACAGCGAAGAAGCTAGCTAGGCAATAGAGGTGGAGGACTTCTCTGCCCGACTACGTTTTGAATTACTTGCACTCATGCTACTGCTTCACGATGACCTACCCAGCATGAAGTTTTCCCCATACAACAAGAACCCTGACCACTAGATGTTTTCTTAAGTAGTTGCCCCACGACCACCACCTCGACCTGCCTACTGTATTTTTAGACCCTGCCCAACATCCTCGAGATACTTAATAAATACGTCCTCGCTGGAAGGGCGGTGCGAAGGCGAATCGGCGCTGGACAGGGCGAATAAGAAGTTGAACAAGTTGAAGACGTACGACCATGTGGCGTCTGAGCTCGACGAAGAAAAGGTCGCGCGAGGACGACCCGCGCGAGATGCTGGGTGCCCAGCGCTCCACCGAGCTGACATCTGGGTCCACGTCCTCCGGGTTACCTCCGGCGGCACAACTGCAGAGAAATCGAAGCCCTGGCGAATTATTAATCCACCGTGGCCGAAAGAACAAGCTCAAGAACAAGCGTGAAATCTACTCTGTTACGTCCGAGGCAACAATGGCTCCTTTTCCTGCGGATACAAGCGGCGGCTCGGACTACATGGAGCAGCAAATGCCGAGCCAACGAAAGTTTTCTCCCGCGGTTCTTCAGGAGGACGAAAGTGGGTTGATGGGTTATGCGCCGGTAGTCGTGCAGAAGCAGAAATCGGAGGGGAGTGCAACTACAACCAGCGAGGCTGGGCTAGACATGATCTCGCTTCCGCGATCCACTGGGTCGACGGGGATAAGGAAAAGAGACATATTAAACAAGCGGCAGCAGAGCCAGAGAAGCAGCGATGACCTAACTCCACCGGCACGACCACCTTCGGGAGATGTTGCACCACGTCCGCGGTACTTGAGGGTGCCCACCCCCAACGTGGATTTCCCCCGGCGCGACACAGGGAGTAGAAACAGTGTGGACGGTGAGATCAGACTGCGCTCCTCTTTGATGGGTATCGGCAGGGAGGTCTTTGCGCGCAAACAGGGCGGGCGGCGTGCATTTTTGGCCGGCGCTTTCGATACGTTCGACGCCATGCTGCGGAAGCGCGTGCAGACGTCGGCCTTGATGCACGAACTGCCGGTGGGCGACTTTGCCTCGGCCGACAACGCCTCGGAACGCGTCTTCAACGCCGAGTTTGAGGACACGGCGCGCGAGAAGGACTCCCGTGACGTGTACGACCGGCTGTGCGGCAGAACGGGGCTCAGGGCGAAGCTGTACGAGGAGCAAGGGCTGGACGCGGACAAGTGGGCCACTAAACTTCTGATGAACCGGTACTTCGACGCCGCCTTCGTGTTCATCGTCTTCAATTACATCATCTTCCTCGGGTCGAGCATATGGATTGCAAAAATGTCTGGGTCTGGAAAGTTGGAACTTGTAATGCTAGCTTTACAACATTCCTGGAAAATCTGTATTGCACAACCGACAAAAGCCGTAGCCATTTTTGTCATGCAAAAACGTAGTTTCTCATGCGGACTGCCTATGAGAAAGCGCTCCGGAAAGTTGTCATGCTGGGCTACATTCGGAAGTGTTTCCATCATGCACATTTTAGCATCACAAGTTTCCAGACCCATACATATTTGCATTTGATAGAGCAGCCACGAGCACAACAGTGATTGGGGCGCGCTTTGGTGGTACATCGACCTGAGTTTCTTCATTCTGTTCGTGCTGGAGCTGGCCGTCCGGGTCAGCTCCTACCGGAACCCGGCGCGCTGGCTCCTGGAGGGCACGGTCGCCAGTAACTGGCTCGACTTCACGATGACCGCCGAGCACGCGTTGGCTTTGTTCGTGTGGCCGCGCGTTTTTGACGAGGGGCGGCTTTTCGGCATCGGGGTGCTCCGCATCGTGCGCTTCCTGAAGCTGCTGCGGTGGACCGAGATGCGGGAGCAGTTCACGGTGGTGTACCAAGCGACCATCGCGATGCGCATGGTGTTGCTGTTCGTCGCGGTGGAGATTGTGGTGCAGGCGTCGATCTTTCGGGTGTACATGCAGGAGTATCTGCCCTTCGGCACGTTTAGCCCCGGGCCGGAGTCGTACGACCTGTCCGGAGTGCCGGGAGGGCCGGCGGTGCACACTGCGTCACTGTGGGCGGCCGAGTACGAGTACCGCCAAGATTACGAACTGCAGCTGGAGTTCAAGAGCTACTTCCATACAGTGTTGACATTGACCAGCATGCTGTTCACGGACGACTCCTTCCGTATCATCCACGACCTCTTCGACAACGCCCCCTTCCTGGGCTGGATGGCGCTGCTGCACTGCGTTTTTTGCGCCATCCTGGTGACCAACCAACTAATTGGCATTGCGGCGGATACCATGCACTACGTGCTCACCGAGTTTTATCCCATGTGAAAAAAGTTGTCCGATCTTCGCTCACAGGAAGTCATCTATTCTATACAGTTCGACGATACTTGGCATGTAGAAAATGCAGATTGTCGCGTCCTCGTGGTCGTGTACTCGGAACGCAGCATTTGCTCCGCTCCGCGTGATGAATGGTATCCATTACATTCATTCTGCTTCTGCGTGCTTCTGCTTTTGAATCACAGGACAACGAGAATAAGATTTTGTCATGAGGTACTAGGTCCACGCCAGTCGCCGATCATGAATGGGAATGGCTTGATCATTGAGTAGAGCTCCTCTCTTGAAGATGTTGACTGTGGGCGGGCGGGCACGTTTTCGCGCGGGATAGGTCGCGCGGCGGCCACGAGGTGTCGAAAGTCATGGAACTGGCACAGCGGTGGTTGATTTTGTACGGGGAGCCCGACGAGGTACTACACCAGGCGCAGCGGCTGGCGCTTGAGGACGAAAGAACGAGAAGCCAGGAGCTCCAGTCCGTGGCGCTCATCAACGAAAGCCTCCGCATCAACCGTGATAAAGAGCGGCCAAAGGGCGGGGGTCCAGACGGAGATCATCCGTTATTAAAGACGCCGACAGCTCTGTCGAAGGACGAGCGCGGGAACGATAGTACTATCTCGGTTCTTGCGCAGCTTCCGGCGCTGCGCGAATCGCTCCAGAGTAAGGAAGAGAAGCAGGTCAACACGATAGGCACTGTCTCATTCATGAAGAGGTCATCGACCCAGGAGAAGGCGTTGCGAGAGAGAGCTAGGTTGCGCACCAAAAGCAGGGAAACCCCGAGTGAGAACGACCTGCCGCCGCTGTACTTGTCGGTAAACACTCTGCGCAGCGATGCGGTGTACCGGGACGTCCGACGCGAGCTTGACTTGCCAAGAAACGTGTGGGACACGTTAGTTTACACAGCCCTGATGCGCGAGCACCGTAGGTTGCGCGACTACCTCCCCGGAGGCAGCTATTACCGCCCGGCTTCGGCCCGCGAGAACAAGGGCTCCTCGTCTAAGGCGGTGGTGGGTAGTACAACTGGTGGGCCAAGCGACGGCGCAGACGAGCAAGAGGCACTTTTTTTGACGCCGTGGGAACACGCGGAAGGGACTAACCAGAATCAGGCAGATGACTTGCGCGCTACGGAGGGAGGCTATGACGTAGCGGAGACAGGAAAAATGCAAAATAAGGAACGGCTGTCTGTAATATCTGCAATGAGTATCGATTCCACGACGGGCGAGGGTGGGTCGGTGATACCTTTCGAGCCGCTCGTCAATGTGGGACTGGGAGCGCAACAAATAACGTCGCCCATTGTCTTCCCCGGTCAGCGTGCTGCTATCTCGCGTAGAAATGTCCCTCGTCGTGGTCCTGTGCCTTACTGATTTCATGCTTCGTGTAGATGTGCCTCCGCACGTTGAGCGGCGTCCTCTAGTCGCTTTTTCGTTTTTTCTTCGTATGATTGAATTTTACGGTACGTATACCAGGAGGCTGAGCAGGTGGCTTTATTATTGTCAATCATACATTTCTATTTACATACTGCTACTGGTACTGCCGAAAAATGAAAATCGCAAACGCATGGCAGGCCGAAACAAAGGTTCTTGCGCGGCAGAGCTGATTCGAAGCATGAAAACTTCAGGGTCGTTCTTGGGTGGACATTTTTCCACGGTATAGCTGCTGCAGCTTCGTTACCCGGCCTGCTTCGGTCGAATTCTGGAGGGCCCATCCCCGGGGGCCGGTCCACCGCGCGAGATGGCGGGCCGAGCGATGTTGACCGAGAAAGGAGTGCTGCAGATGCGCCGTCGGCCACACGCCCGGCAGGTGTGGACGAAGAAGCGAGCGAGTTCTTGCTCGGGTCCGTCACGTATCCCATTGAAAGCCTTCGTCGAGTTCTTGTTTATCGTCTGAAGTTCATTTTTGTCATGGAAAAACAAAATTAGTAAAAAGTAGCTCCCACGGTGGATTATGTATTGCTATTGTCTGCGAAGAAAAAAAAGATCGAATAAATTGAAGAGGATGTATGGCAAGAGGTACATGATCTCCCTTGTGCCCGATATAAATCGATCGTACAAGAACCTGCACTGCACCGCGTCAGCACTTTCTTTAGCACCTGCATCGCCTCTGCCATTTTGATCGCCTTCCAACCACGGCAAGGCCCTTGCCGCGACTCCCCGCCGAGACAGGCTGCTGCCGCGCGTGCGGTGTTTTCCCTGTTGCGGCGTGGCCCCTGTAGTCTAGCATCGGAGGCGCGGCCCCAAGGCTAGGCCGCCCCAAAATCCCTCCGAACCGCCCCGCCCGCCCGAACCAGCCAGGGCCGCCGGCCTAAAAAGCCCCCCTGCAAGCCCCGGCTCGCCAGCGCCCCAAATTGGGCGCCCATTCGAAGCGCCATTCTGAAGCCATCTCATTGGGGCCGCTTTCGGAGGCCTTTGGGGCAACCCTTGGTGGGCCACAATGGCGGCCCGGATGGCCTCCGGATCACCCCCCCTGGATTTCATGCAATCCCGAGCTAACTAGGCCCCCCAAGGAGGCCTCTTAAGAGGCCTCCGGAATGGGGCCGGCGGAGGTTGCCCCGGAAGGACACCAGCGAAGGTCGTCGGGGCCACATAATCTCGGGCCCCGGGTCGATTGGGGTGGCTTGATGGCATATTGGCCATCCGCCGGTTGCTTGGCGGAATTCGGAATATTCGCCGACCGGAAGGCGCCACCGCTACTTGGCGCAGCCGGCGGCTGCGCGCTTCCTGTTTAAAGGGCGTCGCCGCCGTGGCCTTCTGTGGCCCGCCACGAAGGGGCCGGCCTCGCCTTGCCGGCGCGCCTGGCTCATGAGGCGGCCGCGAGGCGCATCTTGCCGGTGGGGCGCGTGGCGGCATTGGTATCCGCCCTCATGCAGGCCCCAGCGCCCCGGCTGACAAGCAGAACCAAGCTGAGCGGCGCATGTGGGGCGGCCGGGCCTTTCCGGGCCTCGGTGGGACTACATGCAAGTGCGCCAGATTTTGGCGGGGCTCGGCTATTAAGCCGCGACGCGCCGCCTTTCCTTTGTTTGCTCAGAACTTTGGGCGGCGGGGGGAGGCGAAGCGGCCCCGGGGTTTTCGAAATTGCATCGCGGAATGCGCCACGAAGGATCGCGGCGAGGCATTCTTTTGCGCCCCGTCCGAATTGCCTTCCTGGGGCTCAGTGCTATCGCATTTATGCGCGCCAGCTCGGGCGACCCTATTCTCATATCGGCAGGGCATTAAAATCGGCGCCAATGCCTGAAGACTAGCAAAAAAAAAAAACTATGACTTTTGAAAACGCGACTTTAAGCGCGCCATACAAGAACCTGCACTGCACCGCGTCAGCACTTTCTTTAGTTTTTTTTTCACGCCAAGCCCCCCCGGCGCCGGCCGATGTTGCTGCGCCACTTGACTTCGCCTCCCCCCCAATGTCTTCGGCATTGTGCAGGGCGCGCCGGCTTGTTTCGTCTATCTTGGTTCTGCGCAGGCGGCTTGACGGCGCGCCCTTGGAGAGGGCCCCCCGAGCAGGTTGCGCGCGGCCTTGCTTGGTATTCTTGAGCGAGCCCCCCGCCCCGAAGGCTGGCGCCGGAAGGGCTTTTGTTTGTCTGCCTGCCGTGTTGCCGCCAAACAGGCAGCCGCCCCGCGGGGGGCCGCGGCCCGGCATGGCGGGGCCACGGCTCCGGCGCTACGCGCAGTGGCTTCTCTTTCGGTGGGCCGGCCGGGGCGCAAAAACACCAAGGCCCCGGGGAGAACGCTGTGGCCGCCGGGACAAAGGAGGTGGCCCCCGGCCGCCCGGCCCCCACAATGCGCAGCCCCACCGGGGCAGAAGAAATACTCGCGACAAGGCCGCAGGCGGCGCAAACAGCCGCGCTGCCTTTTTTCATTCGGAAGGGGCGGGCGGGGGTAGCGACGAAGCCGCCGCGCCACCCGTGCCGTTAGCAATCCCAAGCCCGCGCGGCCCGGGCGCATCGAAAAGCGGCCCGGCCCCCGGCCCCGCGCCACCTTGTGCGCCACGAAGGCAGGGGGGCAGGAAACAAAGAAGCGGGGGGCGCCCAGGAAACTCGCAAGGGCAGGGGCGGAAATGGAGGCGAAACAGCGCCCGGCCCGCGGCATCTCTTCTCTTGTGGGCCCCGAATCGGCACCGCCATCGGCCGGGGTGCTCGGCATCGACTGGGCCCCGGGCGTTTTGCTTGGGGCGGCCGTTGTTTCTCGATGGGGCGTCGCGCGCCGGCGCCGCCCCGGGACAAGATGGCGCGCCAAACGGCGGGCCCGTGCAGCAGGGCGCGCAACTTCAGGAATGGGGGCGCAGCCTGCGGCAAGTGAAGCGGCTTTGAATCACCCCCGGAGCTGTGCTTTCAGGGTGTTGCCACGGCTTGCTTTTGGTCGCAAGCCAGGAAGCTGAAGCGCAGGGAATGCCTTCGAATGGTGCGGGCCCGGAGGTCTCGGATAGGTGCCAGAGTCCTCGGAACTGCGGCGTTTTTTGCCGCGGAGGGGTGGCGCTTTGGCGCGTCATTTTTTTGGGCTCCCGGCGCGCCCGAAAATCGGTTTCGCAAATCGCATTTAAAAAGTGTTTTTTCAGGTTTTTGTTTCGAAAAATCGAAAAACGAAAATGCGCGTTTTGTATTTTGTTACAGCATAACAAGAACCTGCACTGCACCGCGTCAGCACTTTCTTTAGCAAGGAGGATTCTTTTCAAATTTCGATAAGTGGCTTCTCACTTTCCAAATTTTGAAAAGATGTTGAAGGAGACATCTTTTCAAAATTTGACAACCCGAACAACGCAAGTATCAAATTTTGAAAAGATGTCTCCTTCAACATCTTTTCAAAATTTGATAGGTGGCTGCTCACTTTCCAAATTTTGAAAAGATGCTGAAAGAGACATCTTTTCAAAATTTGACAACCTCAACAACGCAAGCACTTGCTTTGTTGAGGTTGTCAAATTTTGAAAAGATGTTTCCTTCAGCATCTTTTCAAAATTTGACAACCTTTTTGACAACCCCTTCGATGAGGTTAAAAAAGAGCTCATTAACTTGAGCTATTCCCCACGGTATGGTGGATTTTTATAAACCTTTTTGGCAACCCCTTTGATGAACCTAGACAGAGAATTGCTGACGAGAGTGCAAGGCTTTAACTTGCGCTCCGGCTGGCGGGTCGCCAGATGGTAAGCAACGCCGTGCCTCTGGCGACACCTGTTTGCTTGCCTCTTTTGTGGCTCCGAAGATTGCGAAGATGCCCCCTCAGCAAGTTTGCGAATTTTGAAAGGCACGCAGAAGAGTAGGCTGCTCACCCTTTCCGCGGCTGTCGAAATTTGAAAAAGATGCGCTGGTAGCATCTTTTCAAATTTTGGAAGCCACAGAAGACTGAGCTGACCTCCCTTTGCGTGGTTTCTCAAATTTGAAAAGATGCTCCCTCGGCATCTTTTCAAATCCTGAAAACCACAGAGCAGCCAGCTGCCCTCCTCGTCTGCGGCATGTCAAATTTGAAAAGATGCTCCTTCAGCATCTTATCGAATCTTGGCAACCTCAGGACAGAAAACGGATCGGCTCTTCTGCGGCTTCGAAGATTGAAAAGATGCTTCTTTAGCATCTTTTCAAATTTTGAAAACCACAGACGAGTAAGCCGACCCCGTCTTCTGCGGCTTCAAAAATTGAAAAGATGCTCCTTCAGCATCTTTTCAAATTTTGAAAAGCACAGAAGAGCAGGCGACCCTCCTTTTTAGCGCCTTTTGAAATTCGAAGAGATGTTCCTTCAGCATCTTTTCAAATCCTGGAAACCACAGAAGAGTAAACTGCTCGGGTCGCCAGTGGCTTCGTTATGGAAAAGATGCTTCTACAGCATCTTTTCAAATTTTGCAGACCAAAGGCCACGCGCTTCAGATTTGAAAAGATGCTGAAAGGGCATCTTTTCAAATCTCAAGAACCACAGGAGAGCACAGCAGCGCTTTCGTCTGTTGGTTTTCAGATTTGAATAGATGTGCCCCGAGGCATATTGCCCCGCTTCAGCCGTGTCCACATTTGAAAAGGTTGCGCCATGAAACACGAGCCACCTCGTCAGGGGTTGCTCGCTCCTCAGGTCTCACGGATCTGCCGACCCCTTTGGCTTCTCGGGCAGCTGTGGTCTGTGCGCGCCTCCCTATTCTACCGAGACCTCCCATTCCAGCTGGGTTTTCCGAGTTTCCCAGCCTACGCCGCCTGTCCTCATTTTATTGGGTGCGCGCAAAGTCCTGAACCGCTAGGGGTTTGGGAAGCTGCGCAGAAGATGCGGCGGGCGTTGTTTGCGAATCAGGCCCAAGCCAGGCCGGGGCTGATAAGAGGGGGGGCGCAGCCTTTCGCTTGGCTACGCCTTGTCGAAGGTAAATTGGCCAGGGGCATTTTCCGCGTTTGTCGCTATTGCCGGGAGCCTTTCCTTACCTGCGCAAGCAGAGGCGCGCTCAGGGCCCATGGCCTCATATGATTGGGAGGCTCGTTTGGGTGGCTTTTCTCTTTGGGGTGTTTGGCTTGCGTTTCTGCCCAGGGCCTCGGGGCAGAAATAGAACAGCCCGGCTTGGCGCGTTTGCAAAGGCGGACGCGCAGCCGCCATCGAAGAGGCGCTACGCGATAAATGGCGAGGGCGCCGAGCAATCAACAGGCCAAAATTTGAAAAGATGGGCGAAAACAAAGGTGGATATTTTAGGGCCTTCATAAATCGATCGTACAAGAACCTGCACTGCACCGCGTCTTTCTTTAGCAAGGAGGATTCGACTGTTTTCAACGGGATACTTGGTTGAGCAGTCTGGGGTTGGTGATGTTGGAGCGGGTGCGGCCGGTGAACAAAGACGACATTTTCACCTTGCAGCGGCTCACGGACGAGTCTTGCCGCATGCTCGAGCGTGCGCAGAACCACTTACTTCACGCACACGAGCAGTCCCGCGACCTCATAATAACACAGATGGCGATGAGTAGATCCTCTGGCCCGCCAGCGGCCGGAGCGGCCCGTGGCATGTCGCAGCTGCGGACTCCCGAGGGCTCAGCTGTTGTAGTAGGAAATAGGTTCTTTGAGCGAGTGTCGACCCGAACCACAAAGGACTTCCAGCAGCAGGCGTCCGTAGACGGATTCAAAGTACAAGCGATGCAGCGGGAAGAGGAGGAGCGTTCGACCGTGTCCGATACAATCAGTATCGAAAATCTGGACTGAGAAAATCAATTCGACATGGAAGATACGTCTTTCTAAGTTTTTTCTGTAGCTACGTACTACGCTCATGATAATCTATCAGTGCTGTTTAGAACTAGAAGCATTTTTGGAAGATGGAGTTTCGTTTTGGTTTCCAATTGACTGCCTCAAGTCCTCAGCGAGGATTACGCAGATACCCTTCGGTGGTTGTAAACTGGAACTTGTTTTTTTTTGTCGCTTCGGCGTGATGCTTCATAATGCGATGTCACTGGCATGATCGTGCAAAATAATCAAGCAGAAAGATTAGATAGCCCAAAACGAAAAAAACTGGATCGATAGAGGTGCCACACCTTCTTTCTGTTTTGACGCGCTCGATGTACAAAACAAGTAAAAAGCTGCAATCAGCCGTACTGTTTCGCGAATTGGCGTGTGTTGTTCGTCGGCAGATCAAAAAGTATTGCGGCTCTTGCAACTGGTAGGAAAAGAATGTCTTGTTGCATAGCCTCGTTCACTGTCGATCAGATCCGTGGTTCACAATTTCTCACGTGCCTAGAAATATATCGAGTACTTCTTGTTTCCCACGACTTCGTGGTCATTTTGAAATGTACATGGAGCGAGAAGATAACAGTGCCGTGAAGATCCGGTGCTATTCTTGATCTTCTGTTGCAGTGGGATATTATCTATCAGCACCCACATTGTGAAGTTCAAGATGATCAGGAAGATGCAGTAATGAAGGGAAGCTCTAGAAGAACGAGAACAAGAACGAGGGTCTCAGTCGCTCTGTGGTTAAAGGAGAGCAGCATCGTCCTGTGGAGGTTGTGTTGTGTGCTGGACGTCCTGTCCTCCGCCTCGAGGAGGACTTTGACCGAAGTTCGTGGGGCTATTCTGCCCACGCGTGGCGAGGATCACTATTTCCAGCACGACGTCGACCACAACAACAGGCCGGGGGCGGCACAAACAAACCGGGCAAATTCTAATGTCGCACAACCAGTCGACGAAGATGAGTACCCCATGCTCAGCGACAGTCCGATCGGGGTCGCGGTCGACACAGACACGGGACAAAATGATTTCGACGCGACAGAACTTTTGGATGCAGACGTGCCGCGGGAGAGGGGTGTGGACCACGACGAGCTGCACAGTATGCAAAGTTATCGTAGCCATAGGGCAGCAGGCGCCGAGGTTGACCCTGGTCGTGCTTCGACTTCCAGACTGAGTCTGCTGGTTCAACAACAACCTTCGGATCTTCACAGGCAATATCAACAGGATTCGCCGCTGCCGTTTGTGCACGACGATGACGCAGCACCTTCCCAATACGCCGCGGAGCGAAATCTAGATCTTTTGGTCGCAGACCAACATCACGCTGACCGCGAAACCACCGATGTTCACCTGCTTCCCCCGGCTGCGTTCGTGGCACGACGACGACCAACATCGCTCTCACTTGCTAACTCCACCCCTCTGACGAGTTCGGGAAGTGCCGACGGGGCGATTCGAAGGCACGGTTTGATCACATCAAACGAGGTCGTGTTTTTGCATGATCGGAGGAATGTGCGGCGCGGGGCCTTAGAGCTGTCGCGAACCGAGAGCATTAGTAATTCCGGCGGGGGCAACAGTACACCTGTAGTGAATTGGAACAGTGAAGGACAGCTTTCTACTACGGAGGTTGAGGTGGACCAGAGCAGTGGTGTCCTTGCGGGCACAACAACAATAAGCACCAGAGCATCTTCGGATGAGAATCCTGCTTGCTCGGCGAACGTCCGTCCCGTGGATGGCGCAACTACTGCTCCCGGGAACAGCAGGAGCGCGAAGAGTAGTTATTGTGCCCGAACTTCAACTCCCTACACGAGGAAAAAAAAGGACAAAGTATCGGATCCTTTCCCCGAGCTCGCTTACTACAAGACCGTGTCTCTACAACTTCCTGGACGAGAAACAACAGATCCGGCAGTGTTTTCGCCGCACCGTCGTGACGATGAGAGTCAGCACACGGACGAGGAACTACAGGAGACATGCCCGATAGCGCGGTATCAGTGCGATCCCCACGGTCCGGAGGGGAAAGTGTCTGCGCTCACGCTATCCCTCTTCGCACGTGTGCTCCCCGTTATGTCTGCGGCTGAGTACTTTGATACGCTTCAGGTGACGGCCACCTGGGGGACGTTTCTGGGGTACTTTTTTGAAGAGGTGGGAGGTGAGGCATCCACAGCGATGAGCTCTCAGCAGGAGTTCCTTTCCGGGGACACGGATCGTTTTGAAGAATTAGATGCCGAACATAGAAAGGCAAAAGGGCACGATCATGAATCGCTGCACGAGCAGCACGAGCGGAGAAACAGTAGACATAAACAAGAATCGCCCAGGAAAAAAAGCGCCGAGGATCTCTTCCCGCGGCTTTTCACGGTCGAAAAGAGGACTGCGATAGAAACCAAGGTTGACCTAACTGCACAAAATACGTGGTACGGCCGAGTGTTCGAGACCGGCAAGCGGAACGACTGGATCCCTAGCATTCCGAGCGCGAATATAGTCGAGTACCTGCCGCGCGAACAGGTCGCTGTGGCAGGAGAGGCAGCTTTGCAGGATGAGGCGGAGAAAGTTGCTGGTGACCGAGGTCAAGTCGTAGGCGAAGTAGATTGCGATGTTGAGGAGGAAGAATCTGCCGAACAGCAGTCACGAAGTGATTTGCAGGGCCCAATTAGTCCCAGAGATCATTCGTTGAAGTCCGAAGACGACCCAGGTGGAGGTGACCAAAAGGATAATGCCGGGGCGGAGAATAATGAGATCGGAACATCTTCGCAATCGCAAACCAATGAGATGAGACCCACTTTCGACGATGAAGTGGAAAAGCAGGATGAGTTTGAGTGCAGGATCAACATGTCACCCGTAAGCGCAGGACCGCAGCCGCTTTTGTACCGAGCCCAGAAAGTCGGCGGTGAAATTGACTCCGAGTGCACCGGACACAGCGACGACGAGTGCGGGGCGGCCACAAATTTTGTCCGCCAGGCAAGCAAAATGAGTATGAGCATGTGCGCGTCAGAAGGGCAGCTGGACGTGGAGGGGAAAGATGAAGACGTGATGTTGCAGAAGGACACGAGAAGTTCCAAATCGCCCAGTTGCCTTCCTGCAGGCCAGCGGTCGTCTTCGGGGAATGATTTCTCAGTGGTTAGCAGGAGATCATCTTCCGCTGACGCAGACCGCGTTCTTTCACGTGAAACGACCACTCCGAACACGACAATAGAAGCAGAGACGACGAGAACTTCGGGTCAGTATTCCGCGGTGGCGGCAATCACGTCGGCGGCTTCAGCCACGTCTTCATTGAGCAGCTGGCCCGCGGTTGGTGAAGCAACGCGTTCATCTATCCGGAGCGAAAGCACCAGTTGTGAAAATAATCCTATGTCCACTTCTGAACAAGTTCAAGTTCCTCTTCCTGCCGCACGAAACACCACGAAAAGCGCGATTTTTTCTTCGAACGAATCATCCGCACCGAAACGGCGAGGCGTGTGCAAGACGAGCAGTTTCTCCGCCAGTGTAAAAATTCCAGCGCGACAGCGCAAGTCCAGATCCGCCATGGCGTTGATTGGAATTTCGCCGACGGGCAGTACGACCTCTACAGTAGGACTAGCAGGAGGGAGTGCAGCAACTACTTCTAAAAATGTTTCTCCTTGGGACGAAACGTTAAAAAACCCCCACGTCGCGGCCATTCGGCGGTCACTGTCCTGCTTTCAAGCGGAAGACGGCGCTTACGAGTTGAAGGTAGGAGACTTGCTCTGGGAACGTATCATCTCTGGGGCCGTGACGCTCGACCTCGCTGCCGAAAATGGAAGCGCATCTTCGCCTGCGGCTAACGGTATTAACCAGAATGTTCCCGCGCAAGATCGTTCTGCGATTATTTCACTTGGAGGCACGGGCCTGTTCCAGCAATCTTCTGGGACCATTTCTCGACGGCCGGCCGCAGCTGCGCTGTATGAGGAGAAGCAAAATCATCCGCCTTTAATCACGTGTCGGGAAGTTGGTTATCCGTACCACTTCGATTGGATATCGATGTTTGTGTGTACGGTGCTGGGGGCCGCGAGCCTGGTTGGTGCGTGCACCTGGTTGCGAAGGTTTCATCGCGTGTTGCGTGTGGTGCGACGCAGCTGTCGGAACGGTAAAAACGACAACCGGGAGCTTCTACAGCCGTGGAACAACAGTGAAGCTACAGAGTGTGAACAAGCACCTCCAGAACCAGAGCGAGATAGTGTCGTCTCTGATCATCCGACAGAGAATATTGAAGAGACTAGACCTGAGTTAAGCCTCGATAAAAAGAGGAGCCGACTTCTGCAGTTGAGGGGAATTTCGGATAACGATAACCGCAGAAATGATAAGCAGGATGGAGCCGATGCCACTGCTTGCCGACGCGTGTGGAACTCTGAGACTTCTTCCGATTCCGCTCGCTCCGAATCCACCGGGTCGGAACAACTACACCGATGGACGAATAGTAGTTCACCTGACAAAACCCCATGGTTTAATGCGTTCCTCCTCAAACATGGCCTCTTTCCCGTTTTCCACTCAGCCATCCCCTGGGGGTTCGTGGCAGCACAGAGAATTTTGAACCGTAGCAAAATCCACGACTTCCACGCTAACGGCTCGGTCTACCTGTGGATGCTGCCGGCGGGCACCATTGTGAGCGGCGCCTTCGTCTGGCTGGCGTGGCGGGTTTTAGTATGGAGAAAGGCGCTAGGAAGGCTAATCCCGCTCGTGGTTTTCGACACGATGATGATGTTGCATTACTGCTCGACACTGTACATGATCTCCGGGTATGACGTTCACGGAGATGCCGTATCTGCGACCGGGAAAATAAGAACAACTGACACGACTCTGGATAACGATGTAGACGCTCCTGTTGTATCTTCTATGCAACACCACTACAACACCCGCCATTCGTGCAAAAACTGCGGCATGCACAAGAAGCCACGCATGCACCACTGTCACATTTGCGAGCGCTGCTTTCCTCTGCGAGACCACCACTGCGGGTTCCTTGGCACATGCGTGTGTGAAGACAACGTGAAATTTTTCCTCTGTTGGCTGCTGTTTCTGTTCCTCGGCCTGGCGTATCGGTTCGGACTTCTCGTCGAGGCGGCGTTTTATCTAGCCGCTCCGCGCACATGCACAAGCGGCGCGCCGGTTGGGGGAATTTTATTGCCAGTGTTTCGGCCGGGCGAGCTGGAGAGCGAGAAGAAACTACGGAGTATACATGAGAGACAACTACCTCCCGAAATGAAGGAAGTGAAGCAATCTCAGTCCTCTCAAGAGCATTTGCCTGCCGCCGCTGGATCATCATCCTCTGGGGCGGAAACAGGCGACGACTTCATGGTTTCTTCCGGCGAAACTTCGCCGTTGCATGTGCCTACTTCCCCCCGGCTCAGCCGGAGAAGTACTAGAAGAGCAGCACGGTTGGAGCAAGCCACGAAAGAATCAGCCAAAACAACTGCCAGTCCTTCGAAATTCACAAAAGAAGCAGTGGCAGCTTTCCCGCGCTGGTCGGTCTTCGAGGTGCTGCTGCTTTTCCTCACTGTTTTCCTCTTATTCTGCGGCCTATCCGAAACGGTGCGCTTGCTCGAAGTTCAAGGTGGAAGTCAGGGACAGACGTGGGCGGAGCGCTTGCGAGGGACGCGAATCGGCAAGACTTCGCATAAAGAGGATTTTCTCGCCAAGTTTGGCACCAATCCGCTCTGTTGGCTCCTCCCTTTCACCAACTGCAGTCGCGAATTCGGCGACACCGCGCGTGCAGGAGCCGGAGGAGTACAAAAATCCGGAAAAAAAAATCGTGTCGTTAGTGAGGATAATGACCCGACAATAAATCAAAGCAGATCGTCAGCATTTATTAGTCCGACCTATCAGCGGGGCGATCTAGCGCAATTTCCAGCACCACCAACGAGTTCTCTTCCCACTGCCCCACCACGTTTTGTGGGGGGGCCAGACGCAAAGCGGGCAATAGTGTCATTAGACGGAGATGAGCAAGATGACGGGAGATCCCCTCCTGTGTCCCGTTCCGCGCAGCTGCGGGAGCATTTTGATATTCTCGAAGGACAAGGCGGGACGAGCAAAAGCGTTATGCTTGCTCTCTGAAATCTCCACGTAATTCTTGCCTGATAGATGGGACTGTAAAATTAAGGAGTGAAGGTCACGACGAAGTGCAGGACGATTTTAACATGGCGCTGCACCTATTCTGTACAATGAATTGCACTCCTCGTCGTTCATCCTGGCTGGTCTGAAAAGCGCACCGGAACCTTTTGAGGAACCAGAAGGAGTCCTCTAATGTCACCCTGCGAAACGAACATGCGTTTTGAGATGAAGGAATCACTACCTACAGCGCTAATGTGCCTAAACATGATGTGAGGAATGATGCAACGTTAGCAGCATTCTTGCTTGGAGACATGCTGATAGTTGTTGCACTCTGGAAACAGTGAGGAAATGTTTCGGTAGTGAATGACGCGTAAGCAAATCTTGTCGGTTTTCAGTGAATTACTCGGTTTTGAGTGAGGTGCGCCCGGCAAAATACTTCTCGGTTTTGAGTGAAATTTTACGGCCAATGCTGCCTGTGACGGAAAGATTTCGAACGACATTGCTCGGTTTACGGACGTGAGAGAGAGCATATTTTTCTAAAGATCCGCCCAAAGAAATCTAAATTTTCAGCTGAAGCAAAGATCACGCTCAGTGCGCACGATATCTGATTCCAAAAAACCGAAATCCGATTCCGATCTCCATCAGACAGAGAAACGACCCCAATTCGAGACATTCAATTTGTCCAGAAACGATACGTGATCTTTTGAAACGCAACTGGAACGATCAAAGCTTTGTAGTTCCAAATCGTAGCAAGTTCACAACATCTTTGTTCTGTAAATCCGCTAGTTGTAGCTCTTTCCGAGAAATATCGACGACGACTTCAATCTAAGTAGCTGTTTGCTGGTTAGCTTCTAGTTAGACGACGACGTTTCTCCAAACACCGATCTTTTATTTCTCTCTCACAAAATCCGCGTTTCTAAATACTGTCTATTTCGAAACTCCAGGCCCGTTTGTGGTTGACCTTCCAGTTCGGAACGTTTTAACTGCAAATCCACTTTGATTTATCTCCTTCGAATTTTTTTAAGAAGTTTTTGTTGTTGCAAAAAAAAACAAAATGGCCGCGAACACGAAGAACGTTGCTATCGGTATCGATTTGGGTACCACCTACTCCTGCGTCGGTGTGTGGCAGAATGACTCCGTGGAGATCATTGCCAACGACCAGGGTAACCGTACCACCCCGTCCTACGTCGCTTTCAACCCGGACAACTCCGAGCGCCTGATCGGTGATGCCGCCAAGAACCAGGCCTCTCGGAACCCGGCCAACACGATCTTCGACGCCAAGCGTCTGATCGGTCGTGAGTTGAGCGACACCAATGTGCAGAAGGACATGAAGCTGTGGCCCTTCAAGGTAAAAAGGATACTATTTTCGCGATGTTTCAGAAGATACGAGGACCCATTTTTAAACCGGAGTTCCAAAATGCGGAAAACGAAATCTAAATTGAATGGACTCTCATTCTGCTAGAAATTTAAATTTTTTGAAGTCGGAATAGTGTGAAACCTTGAATCTCATCGCAATCGTACATAATGATGACCAAACGTTGATCATGCATGGCTTGCTCGAGGCGCTAGCCGGTGTGGATACCTACAACAGAGACTTTTTTTATGTCTGATTGTGCGATAATAAGATTTTTTAGGTGTAGAAAAGCGCAGCTTCACGATCCTCCCATGCAACAATCCAAAAGAACCAAATTCACCCTCTCCACGTCCACCATCCTGGCGAATCTAAATCTGAATGCAATATGCAACACAAATTTCGCCATTTGATTTCGATAAACACAGGTCGTCCCGGATGAGAGCAACCGCCCGAAGTTGGAGGTCAGCTTCAACAAGGAGCAGCGTTTGTTTTACCCGGAAGAGATCTCTTCTATGGTCTTGACCAAGATGAAGGAGATCGCCGAGGCCTACGTCGGAACCACGGTGCTTTATTTCTCATTCTGCTTTTTTTGATTTTGGCGAATAACCATCGAATTGCGGTCCGTAAAGAAGTTCTTACGTCGCATGTGATACATCTGAGATTGACGTATCGATTGAGCGCTTGTGGTGAGTTATCTGAAATAGTACAATTTTGCAATCAACTGCAGGTCTCTGACGCGGTTATCACCGTCCCGGCCTACTTCAACGACGCCCAGCGTCAGGCCACCAAGGACGCCGCCCAGATCGCGGGTCTGAACGCGCTGCGTATCATCAACGAACCCACCGCGGCCGCCATCGCCTACGGTTTGGACAAGCAGAAGGACGGCAAGGCCACCAACATCCTCATCTACGATATGGGTGGCGGTACCTTCGATGTGTCCCTGCTGAAGATCGAGGACGGAATCTTCGAGGTCAAGGCCACCGCGGGTGATACCCACTTGGGTGGTGAAGATTTCGACAACAAGTATTTACTCTTTTTTCCATTTGTTTTTCCCTGTGTGTCTAGCTGTCTATCGGTGCGCTGCGTTATGATTTCTGGCCCAAAGAGTCTATGTTTAGAAAATCGGCTTCTCGGCATGCTGTGAAGACTATCTTGCGCTGTTGTACTCACACATTCACCTTTTCCACCACTACCTAACACAGGATTGTCGAGCACTGCCTGAAGGAGTTTACTCGCAAGAACAAGGACGTGGACATCTCCAACAACCACCGTGCGCTCCGCCGTCTGCGCACCCAGTGCGAGCGTGCCAAGCGCACCCTGTCCGCCAACACCTCGGCGACGATTGAGATTGATTCCCTCGCCGACGGTATCGACTTCTCGTGCACCTTGTCCCGCGCCAAGTTTGAGGAGCTGTGCATGGAATTCTTCAAGGGCTCCATGCTGCCGGTGGAGAAGGTCCTGAAGGACTCCAATATCAAGAAGGACAACATCACCGAGGTCGTCCTGGTTGGTGGTTCCACCCGTATCCCGAAGGTATAGTTCGAAGTTTTGTGATGGAAATGCGTGTTTTTTTCAGGGTGTTTGTCTGCATCTGTTCTGCGAGAGAAAGAAAGAAAGTAGTGATTGAATTTGAGTTTTTTTGCAGCGGCGATACTTTCTAAACTGGTAAACCGATCGCACTTGAAGATGTCTAATATGATTCAATATCCCAGGTCCAAGAGCTCCTGGAGGAGTTTATGGACGGCAAGAAGCCGTGCCGGTCCATCAACCCAGACGAGGCCGTCGCGTACGGTGCCACCGTCCAGGCCGCCATCCTCAACGGTGAGGGCGGTGAAGCGTGCAAGGACCTGTTGCTGCTCGATGTCACCCCGCTGTCCCTCGGTCTCGAGACCACGGGTGGCGTGATGACCAAGATCATCGAGCGTAACACCACCATTCCGTGCAAGAAGAGCGATATCTTCACCACGGACGCGGACAACCAGACCTGCGTGGAGGTGTGCATCTACGAGGGGGAGCGATACAAGACCAAGGACAACAACCTGCTCGGCAAGTTCAACCTCGACGGCATTGCCCCGGCCCCGCGAGGCGTCCCGCAGATCGAGGTCACCTACAGCTTGGACGCCAATGGTATTCACTCAAAATTCGATACAACATTGGAGACTTTTTTTTCTTTCTCGTTCTGCCATAATTACTGAATAGTGTTTGTTCTACTTGTGTCAATACACAAAATCTGAATCTGTAATGCAGATTGGCATGAAATAAAATCCTATCAGGTATCCTGCACGTGACCGCTAAGGACAAGGCGTCCGCCCGCAAGGGTCAGATCACGATCAACAACGACAAGGGTCGCCTGACCCAGTCCGATGTCGACCGCATGATCGCCGAGGCGGAGAAGTTCAAGTCTGACGACCAGGCCCAGAAGCAGCAGACCGAGGCCAAGCAGGAGTTGGAGCAGTACTGCTACCAGGTGCTGGAGGCCACGGAGTCTGACACCCTGATGGAAAAGCTGTCTGAGGATGAACGCGCGAAGATCGAGTCCACCTGCCAGGAGGTGAGGAGAATGTTTTTCTAGTGCTTCTTGTGCGTTTGGAGAAAACCTGTCTATGACTACGGCTTTTGTTGTTTGCTGCAGTGTAGTTTTTTTGAATTTGATAATTCTCCTTTAAAAACGTGAAATTCACCATTGTCAACATCAGGCGCTCGAGTGGGTTGAGCACAACAAGGAGATCGTCGCTGCGGAGCTGTCCGCCAAGAAGCGCGAAGTCGAGAGCACCGTCAAGCCGCTGCTGACCAAGATGTACCAGCAGAAGGAAGAGAAGTCTTCCAAGAAGAAGACCGGTGGCCGCCGCCGTTAAGCAGTTCTAGTTCTTGGGGAGTTTGCCAAAACATGATTCGGCCAAAGAGCTCCGGTAGATGAAACGGCTAGATGATATTGTGTTCTACCATAGGGAAGAACTACTTACGAAACGCGCGCCGTTTGCTTCTGCATCCGATTTTTCCATTGATTAAACTCAATTGCAACTCTAGTGACTACAGCAGGTCTGACAACGACTGTTGCTAGCTATAGAAAAAAAGTTTCTCTTTCCTACGCTTGAGGCAAAGTGCATTCTATGTGATAGAATGTGTGGCGCCTAAAACTTCGAGGTAAAATCTGAAAGTGACATCGCAAGGATTCTGATCGAGTGGTTTTTTTGATTGAAAACACCGCCGAGCAGAAATGGAGATTTAGTTTAGAAATGTACCGACGAGAAAACGAGTACGCCCGAAACTAAGGAAGAAAAAACGCAGGATAAAATACATGCATACAGTTCTGTACGAGGCGCTCTTGATGCGCACCTTAAAGACAAAGATGAAACAAGTGGAATTCAGAGATCACGCTCTTGGAAAATGCCACACGTGACTTTAGAGATAGAAGTAACTTAAACCAAGCGTTGAAACTCTTGCACCAAATGTAAAATGCTTTGAATGGATAGATGACGAGCAACGAACGCGTCGACAGCTAAGTTCTCCACTCTAAGACCACCGACCGCATTTCTTGATGGCATGATCACACGAAAACCATTGCGCTAAACAATGCATCGCAGCCACTTTCAAATGAAATGAACTGACTACGCAAGGAAATCTTTATCGAGGAGTAATGGGTGTTGCGGCTCTCCGTGTCCCCATGCGATGAGAGTCGTTTGTTCTCCGCGGATTGCGGGTTTCCGTGTCACTACTGTTCCAGCTCGTGTGAGCAAGATTCATTATGGAGATAACATGTGGAGATCACGAAGTACAAGCACGTTATTTGTAAGCGCAAGCGTCCTCCTGGAAACGACAACCGGAACTGTACTCGTTGAGCTTGTGACCGATCTCTTGTAAGGATCCAGAGAGGATTTCGGAAGAAAGGATCTGATCCCAAATAGCCCGCTTACCTCTTGAACAACTCTGTGCGTGTGTCCGAGATCTCTTTGTCCCTTTCGTGCGGTGGATCTAGATTTTGATTTAGAGGAACAGCACACGACGCAGCTCAGCAGATCGGCATCACCTTGGGATCGAGCTTACTAGCCTTTGTTTCTCCCATGAAAACCGATGAGCAAGAGGCTGATTAGATCCAGCTGAGGTACTAGCTCTGCTGGTATAATGGGCAATTCGTTCAGATTCGTAGTTGAGTTCCGAAACGTCAATCGATATGCAAGGAATTTTCGCCAATTCTTTCCTCTTCGCCAGAAAAAGGAGACAAGAAGGTGACTAGGCAAGTATGACAAGGTAACTGTTTTTATAAAAGAAATAGAATCGTAGAGATGGATCGCCGTGGTAACAATAAGACACAGCAAGGTACATCGACTTTACTCGTTTAATCTACTCTCTGTGCGCTCGTATTTATGCAATCACACGAAACCGAAATTGTAATTTATTGAGAGCTCTGTAATCTAATTTCGATGTGTTCTAGAGATCGACAGTATTATCAGTACGATGAAGGCAGCCATCACTATTTCCTTGCACGCAGCATCTGCGTGCGCTGTTATTGTGTCCAGTCAGCTCGGTGGATTTCTTTCTCATCCGCGCATTGATACAGCCACACTTATAGACGAGGGGGTGGAGCAGCAGGTATCGCTAAAGCCGTCTTCGGTTGTAGGAGCAGATGCGCAACAAAGGCGTTCTTCCAGAGAGCCTGTGCAAGCCGAGGTGAACAAGGGGAATGATGCGGGTGTTGCGGGTCAAAATGGGCCTGCAGCTTCTGCCAAAGAACCCGTTCTTCCTGGTGACACTACTACGTTCTCGCGACAGGAAGTAAAGGGCCCGGCGCGCAGGCCGCTCGCCGAGGATCCTCCAGGTGGTTGCCTGCCGTGGGTCGAGGAGGTTCTTCTACGGTTGGGGAACAGAATCCAATCCATTCCCCCGTTCTGGCGGCAGCCAGGCTTTGTGCAGGATGAGGACGGCGCGGACAGGGCCAGTCCGGAGGATGTGATTCGCGACAGCATGCAGCGCGCGATTGGATCCCACCAAAGTTTTTTCCACTCCGCGCCGGCCCGGCTGTTTTGGCCGGAACAAAGGGGGAAAATGGACGCGGTTAAGAGCGAAACGGAACGAGAGGAGGAGGAAATGCGGGAAAGCTGGCCGCAGGGCGTGGAAATTTCCACCTTTCGAAGGCCGAAGAAAGCAGCGTCTGAGAACAACGACAACAAGGGAGGAACTACTTCGACGAAGCAGTTGCCGTCGTTTTGGCGTCGACGGACGTACAGTTCCACAGAGGCGGGGAGTAGTTTCGCGTCCTGGACGCCGTGGCCCTCGGGCCGATCTGTGTTGACAACGGGGGAGTCGCGGGGCGGTTTGGAACTGCCAACTCGAGGACCGCCGCAGAAGAAGCAGCGCTCAATGTCGGCGCAATTCACGCACGGCTGTTCCACTACTACTAGTAACGGGTGCGGCAGCAGAAACCCAAACCACCCTGCAACGTCTCAACAAGCAGCAAAGTACCATCCTGCGCAACAAGAAACCGCGTTAGTGCTGCCCTGGTCCAGACTCCCGAAAAGCCGCAAGCGAGCAAGTTCCGGGCGGGAAAGCTGCGATATGAATCCGCCGCCCGACGATTTGGATTTTATGTACAGGGAACCCGAGTGCGTGTGCCAACGCATTCGCAAGTCGGCCAGCGAGAATGAGTGTTGCTGGCGTTTTTTCCTGGAGGCGAAAGCGAGACGGGTTCTCTGCAGGCCAGATGCGAAGAACCTCGAGCGTCAAACCACTTCTGCGCTCACGACCAGGTGCTCCACCGCAAAAACCGGAGATCACGCCACAACTAGTACAGGCGGGGACCACCTCCAGGATGATTGTGCCGCCGTTTGTGATACTTCTTCCGAGCCAGATGGAGACGACGATGAAGGAGACGAGGGCAGTAGTAGCAGCGATGAGTTACAGGATCCGGATGATATTCACAGTAGTCTGCAGCTGCAGGAGCGACGGACACGTATCATCGGCTCCATGGACCGCCAGGTGGCGCTGGAAAAATGGTACAAGTCGCAGCTGAAAGACGCGGGGGATAAAATCGCAGCCAACATCGAGCGCATCAACGCAGCGGAACGGGAGAGGAGACGAGCTGCTGCGAGTAGTAAACGCAATGATGGTATTTGTGGCAAACCTCCGCCCCTACCAGTCATTCCGAGCGCCAAGACACGTGGAATCACGGGACCACAGGGAGCTGCGCCGGAGCTGTGCAAGCGTGACCAACACGACCCGATGCTCAACTCCTCTGGAGGTTGTACTACTAACAGTGAAGGTCGTCGTGCGGTGGAACAGCTGCGCGATTGTTCCCGCGGCAAAACAAAGTCGCCTCCGGTGGGACCGGATATCTGCGAGAAGCTAATGTCACGAGAAGCTACGGAGGAGGAGCTGTATCCGGATATGGATAAAGCCGCTCAATTTTTGTTGCGCCGGAGCCAAGTTGAGTTCAAGATGACAGACAACAGCAATTGTTTAAGTGTAAAGGAGAAGCTGTGCTGGTAATGGTGTGCTCGTCGGCACTCCAAGTCTGCGACTCGGCATCGGCGAGATGAAACAAATTCTTCTCTCGAAAAACATGCCCACCGGGGATTTCACGAAAATCTTCTTTCAATGGCAGCAAATTTGTACACAGCTATTTCGTTTTTATTTTCGTAGTGTAATCTACTGAGCCAATTTTCCGTGTCTAACCAGTGCTCCGCATTTTCCGTTCCGCTTCGGGGCGTGGTGGCAGCAACAATGGACAACATTGTAACAAAATACGTCCTATGATTATTTTTCAAACTTTTAACTTCTATATTTCTCTTGCGCGCGCGCTTTGTATACTAACTAATCAAACTAAAGAAACTTTTTTTTACGAAATCCAATAACCACACTGGGTCCACCCGATGGATCGATGTCCGTCACTGGAGGGGAAGCAACGCCCTTCTGCTCTACACAACGCATGCACGTCGAAAAAACGAAAAAGAAGAACACGGTAATCCACTGTTTTATCACACGCCAGGACATTCTTACACAGGTACTTCATGAAATCTTTTAGTTTTACATTGCAACCATGATCGCTTCTTCGTATGCAGCATAGCGACCCCGGCGCGAACGTGCGGCTCTCGCTGGATATTGTTGTTTTCAGGAAGTGCGTGGTCATCAAGATTCACCTGCGGGGAATCGATTTTGCGCATCGAGTTGATGATGTCGGACATGATCACGTCGTATCTTTGTCCCGTCGCAACAGGAACATGGAAGTAGGAGCATTTTCTGATCTGTAGCTCCGAGCCTTTCCATCAGAAGAGACTAGATTTTATGCGCAGGCCACAATGAACCAGCATAAATTAGAGCATCACTTGCGCACACAGACCTTATGCATTACTTTTATCATATGATGTCGATACGCCAAGAATTTGAATTTCATTTTGAGGAGAGTTTGCAACACACGCGATTGCGATGTAGTAGCAAGCTCACTCTACGTACAGGAATTTACGCTGCACCGCCCAACGCCGTTCCAGCAAAAAAAAAACATGCAGAAATTTGAGACTATTTTTTTATCGAGGTTTCACCGGCAACGGAGGGCGGCGGCTCTCTGAAGGTATCGATGAGTCTATCGGGGTCTGTTCACAGTGCAGCAGGTTGGTATTTTTAGCTACTCGTCGGTAGCGTGTAACATCAGAAACGTTGATGCTGAAAGTGATATTGCTGCTTGTGGTTTGTGTCGTGTGTGTGGTTCTTCTTCTTCATCTACGCCCTTCTTGTTTGATAAAGATTCTTTCCAAATTCGAAATATGAAGGCAGCCGTAGGAATGTACGGCTGCCTGTGCAAGTTAGTGGGGTGATTCGAAGTATTGTCGTCGCTCTTTTTGGCTGTGTTGTGGTGCCAAAATCTATAATATCATCGTGTGCATGAGAAATTTTTGATGGCCTCGTCACAGCTCTCACTCTCTCACTCTCTGCTACACGGCAAAGTTTAGAAGTCCATGGCAGCTAACACAATATCAAGTCAAGTCGTAAAGCGTTTGGTTTGTTTTGTCTTGCTCGTCATCGATTTGGTTTTAGTTTAGCAGAGTTGTGACCTAGTAAGGAAGTAAACTATTTTTTCTAGCGAAAACATAGGTGAGGGCGACGTGATTTCGCAACAAGTCTGGCATTGCTCTACCACTTAGAGGACAAGTTTTTGCGACTCTGCATAGGTTACCAGAGAAAGCCGTCTAGATATAAAGCTGTTGTTTTTTCAACCATGCAGCCGGTTCCGGGCGCGGAACTTGTCGTGAAGCGCAAGAAGCGGCGAAAAGAGCAAGAGCAGGAGGAGAAGCTGCGGAAGCAGCGCAAAATCGAGGCGGAACGACGCAACAACCCCGTGATCGACCCAAAAACGTTCAAATGGGAGGATTTGGACAAATGGGAAGAGGAGCAGGAATTACGAAAGAAAAAGCAGGAACAAGAAGCGGAACTGAAGCAGCAGCGCAAACTGGAGAGACAAAAGCAGAAGTTCGGCGCGACCGCAAGTGGTGCCGGCACGGATCATCGGGGCAAGTGCACGAAGACATTACATTCTAGTTTGGATTGCAATCTGATTCACAACGATGTCACGTTCGGCCAGAGTTCGCAGCGGTTTCGGACCCCGCCAATGCACCACGCACGGGGTGGAGGTATGATAGGCTCGTCTACGTCGACGTCCGGGTTGAACCTGATGCGAAATGTGAGTAATTTTATGGGTGGCGGCCTGAACTACCCATTTAATGTATCGTCCGAAAGCGACCAGTGTCGGCCACCCGTGGAAGTGTACATGAGTCGGATCCGGCATTTGGTCCCAAAGCCGTATTTCGGATCAGTAAGCAGTGTAGGTGCAGCAGGAGGTGCAGGAGGTGGACCCTCTGGCGCAACTAGTGTGAAAGTAGTACCCAGCCCAGTAAGAACGCCGTCGAAAATATTAGAGCAAGTTCTTGCGTCGCCGAATCAGGAGGACAAGAAGACTGCCCGACATGCAGGAGCTTGTGACGACGTTACTGCAAAGTCGTCGTTGGTTTTCGGCGAAAAGGAAAACGAAACACGCCAGCCAGCGTCTGCCAAGACCGGCTGCTCCTCCCGGCTCTCTCCCAGTCCGGGGAAAAGAATGTTTGGCGCGAACACAACATCTTCAAAAGGGAATAAAACAACCTCGTGTGCTGGTCCGCCGCTCCCTCCTTTGGAACAGAGGAATCAAAAAAGCACGAAAATCATCGAGCAGGTATCCATTGCCCTTCCGTACGAGAAAGTTCTTCCCGCGCAAACGCAGGTGATGCTACGGGTTATCAAGGCCGCAAAAGCGAAGGAGCATGCCCTGCTCGAATCCCCGACTGGGACCGGGAAAACCATGGCACTGCTTTGCTCCGCGATTGCGTACCAGCGATCTTGCCCGAGCGGCAAACGGCCGCAAATCATTTACGGGGTGCGCACCCACGCTCAGGCGTCCCAGGTGATTAAGGAATTGCGCAAAACCGCCTACTGCAACCACCGCGCCGTCGTGATCGCGGGCAGACAGCACTTGTGTACCAATCCGGTGGTTGCCAGTAGTGCGAACATCGACTTCGCGTGTCGGTCCACGAAGACCCGGTGCGACAAGTACGCTAACCTGCGCGACGCCGCTGTTCCCAGTTTCGTGGAGGGGACGCGGGACTCGCAGCAGGCCATGGATTTCATGTACCAGCAGGCGGCCACCACGTCCAATTTGCCGGTCGGCAGGTGGCGGCGCACGGTGCAAGCGCTCACCGCCGTCGATGTGGAGGACTTGCGCCGAGAGATTGGCACAACCAGCTGTGCGTACTACGCTTCCCACGTACTCGCCGGGGCCGCGGAGGTGGTGGTGTGTCCGCACCCGTACATTTTGGATCCGGTGATTGCCCGGTGCAGCACGCACCACCGGGAAAATTGGAGTTTGAAAAACCGGATCGTGATCCTGGACGAGGCGCACAACGTGGAGGATTTCTGTCGCGACGCCGGCTCTTTTGACCTGAAGCGCCAGGAAGTGCAGGACATCATTAAACAGCTGGACGCCATTTACGAGAAATACGGGAAAAGATTGGATCTCAGTGGGGGGTCGTCTTCTTCCCAAAGTCAGGGAGCATCGTCCTTGCAGAGGAATAATGGAGGGATGAGCAACAACTTAGCTGCTATGGGGGAGCAACACACGACTCGCAACACAAAAGCCAGCGCTAAAGTGCAACAGCACGTCCGGCGCCTACGCGGATGGATGAAGGTGCTTGCGCAGGCGCTACCTCTGGGAAAGTTCGGACTGGGTTACGCGGTCAGCACGAAAGACATGATCCAAGAGCACTTCGTGCGGAAAAAGTACAAGGAACTCAGCCATGCGTACTGTGCGGCTGTTCAAAATGGAGGTAATAAAGGAGAAGAGAAGAAGAGTGAAAGAGATGAATTAGAAAAGGATAAAAACACGGCAACATCATCAAAACCCGTGACGACCAAGGCGGACGCGACAACGAGTCTGCGCGGCAGTTTAGACATCGTGAAGGACATTTGCCAAAACCTGCAGGACGCCATTCTTGCGCAGATCGAGCCGACGGAGCGCGATGAAGCCTTCTATTTTGCGAGTTTGACGAAGCTGGGGCGGATGCTGAGTTTGCTGGAACGGATCAAACGCCTGTGCGATTTTCCGGAGTGCTACGTGGTGCGGATCGAAGCCAAAGAGCTGCATCAACAGCCTGTGGTGCAGCAGATCAAAAATCCCAGCGAAAACAAGAATCCGTCTTCCCGAAGCGAGTCGAAGAAAACAAGTTCTTCGTCGAAGAATGAGCAACACGCGGGCGCCGGCGGTCTGAACACCAGCGTCGAGCATGTGGAGAACCCGCTGGACACGAGTGGCGTTGCGTTGAACACCAGTCTCGGTAGTGCGCTTGCAAACAACACCAGTTTGCTGTCCTCGAGGAACGCTTCGGCGAGTTCTAGCAGTACTGGGACATCAAATGTCAACGTGAAAAAAGATTCGAACAACGTTGGGGCAGAGCGCGCTCCAGTTGGTGGGGCAGCCGGCTGCACGACTAGCGGTGGTTCATCTGCGGGGGAGAAATTCGGATCTCTGTCCGTGATGTGCATGGTGCCTACCGCGGTGTTTTCCGGTCTGTCCGAAATGGCAGACACGATTATTTTGAGTTCCGGAACGTTGCACCCCCATTCCGCCGTGATTGCCGAACTCGGGACGGAATTTGCGAAACGGCTGCAGCGAAGACCGCCGCCGTTATCTGCCAAGCACGTTGTCACCTCCGACCAATTCCAGCTCTTGCCGGTGAAAACCAACCTGCCCTGCACGCACGAGAACCTGCAGAAGGAGGCGTTTCTCGAAGCGATCGGGAAACAGATTTTGATGACATTGTTGTGCAACGTGCCGGGCGGGAGCGGCGTCCTGATTTTTCTCTCCAGCCAGGCGCTGGTGGAGAAGGCGCTGCGGTTGTGGAGTGCCAAGATTCTGAAACGGTTAGTTTCCCCAGCCGCAACGAACTTTCTCCCACCGCCACCGGCGCTTGGGTCCTTGAATGAGAAAACACCCTGGGAGGAGAGGATAGTTTTGTGCGACAAAGTGAGAACGTTTGCGCAGTCCGTGGAGAATCAGCAGGTGATCACGGTTTTAGTTTCCGCGTACCGGTCTTCCTCGTCGGAGGGGTTGGATCTACGGGATCACTTGTGTCGGTTGGTGGTGTGCGTCGGGATTCCGTTTCCGCCCTACAAAGACACGTTTGTGGCAGAAAAAAGGGAATATAACAACGCGGTGTGCAAAATCGAGAAAATGAAACAGGCGAAGGTACTAAAGTCTGAAGCAGAGAAAAAAAATCTGCTTGGGCCTCAAGAAGATGCGAAGAAACAAGTTCAACCTGCCGTTGGAGCAGTCGCTGCTGTAGTGCCGGTACCTGCACCCAGTAGAACTCCTGGTATGTTTCTTCAACATGGCCTTACTTCTGCTGGTCAGCAGCCGCAAGCAGGGCAACTGCAGAGCCAATTTTCTAGCGTATCTATGCCACCAGCGCCACAGATGAACACCAACCAAAAGTTGCACCAGCATGCGTTTGGAACGACAACAACTTCCCAATTTGCTTCGAATTTCGGTGGGGTGATGTCATTCGGTTCGAACCCGGCGACCAGTTTCGGCTTCGGACGAGCTTTTTCTGCGCAGCAACCAGTGGGAGCCGGATTCAGTGCTGCTCTACAGCCAAACGCCCCTTCATTTCCGCAAGCAGTAGCACCAGCATCTGGGGGCGTTCCAGTTCCGTTCGCGGACAACATCAAAATAAGTCAAGTCCAGGCTGCGAAAAACGGGGCCCCCACGGCAGTTCAAGGTCAGCAAGGGGCGTTAACTTCTTCTGCTGCCTCCACGGCTTCAAGTAATAAGAACCACGAAGGGGACAACTTCTGCAAGCAGGAACAAGGCAGAGTGTCTTGGAATGTACAGCAACCTGTCACTCTTGACAAACTACGGTTTACCCGGGGCAGCGTCACGTCGGTGAGTATGTCAAAACTCGAGCACGCCGCGGTCGTGCCGCAACCCGGCGTCTTTGAAGAACTGGACGCGGAAGGGAATGTGCCGGGGAACGATAATTGCACCGATGTTGCAAATAAATTGCACCCAAGTGGTACTAGTAGTACCACGCTTTCCTCCACCACCAGCAGTGCCGTGGTGGCAACAGTAGCTGCGGTAACAAGTACAAGTAGCACAACCACGACGTCTATCATAGCTGCTCCGACGTCGACCTTAGCTCCTCCTGTAACTGTTTTATCCCCACGGGACATGCCCTACTGTCCGATAACGGGAGACGAGTGGTACGCGGTGCAAGCGTACAGAGCTGTGTCGCAGGCTGTGGGGCGCTGCATTCGGCACCAGACGGACTATGGGGCCGTCGTCCTGTTCGATTCCCGATGGAACAAGGGGCACATCATGCGAAGGCTCTCCGCCTGGTTGGGAGAATTCGTGTCCGTGGAGAATAGTTTTTTGGACGTCGCAAAAGCCGTCCGAAGGCTCTTCGAAGCAAACATGTTGCAGAAGGGGGGTGTAGTTGCAAAGGCCCCCGTAGCGCCAGTGGCTGCCGTTCCACAAATAAAGTAGAGCTACTTACGTAGTTGTCGTGTGACATTATGTTGAACATGGTGCGTCTGCGACTGCGTCGAAAGAAGTGACGAATTCGATTCTCTTCTGTCGCAGTTGCGCACAGGTTTTCCAGAAACGAAACAAAGCGATTTTGATTGATCGAGTCATTTCTCTGTCGGCGTGAACATGTACCGCCAGCAGTACTTCTGAAAAATACAAGCATTGTCGGTGATGAAACAAAGTGATATAAATTGAAATGTCGGAAGCAGCTGTAGAGAAAGAAAAGCGCCATCGGTTGTAAGTTTGACTGGCACTCTCGTCCGTGATTTGTGCATGTCGGTTGAAGATTTCGCCGCACACGAGCAGTCGGTGTTTGCAGATTCTGATATTTCTTCACTCTCGGTTTCGTCCTCCATTTGAACAAACGTGTTGGTGTTTCCCTTCGTAAGCTAAGCGTCTTCGTTTTTCCGTGCACAAAAATCCAAATCGGAATCGTTCTCGTGCCCACGTGCTAAAGAAAATTTAGAATGTCCACGTAAGAAATAGAAAATACTGTTTGCCTCTAAGTCTCTTTGGTCGCGAATTATCTGCAGGTTTCCACTTGACTCGCTGCATCTTCCCCTATTCCCAACCTTATCCTTTATTCTCTTGGAGAGCACTGCACCCCTATATAGTCTTTTAGTGTTTTCCTGTTTACATTATGGGAGCGACAGCGTGTTGCCCTACCTTGCGAGTTCCTCTTGCAAGTGGGTAATTTGCTTTTTCCAGTACTGCGTCTGATCTTATTTTTCTCCTCCAGTAAGAACATTACTACAGCGCTGCAAGCATGGTAGGAGTCGCGGTAGAGGTGCGCCTTCCCGATGGGGCGGAGGTGTACTTCTCCAAGGTTTCGGAGCTGTTTCCGCCCGCCCGCGACAGCAAGACGAGCGAAACTCCGCTACGCTACCCCGAACACTTTAACAAGTTGCGGCCTCTGGACATTCTGGTGGCGATCAAGCGGCGCCTGCACAAGCTGCGGGAGCACACGCAGCACTTTTCGTCGACCCTGTCGCCGGAGATGCACGAGGAGTTCGGCAATTTAGTTCGCGAAGACCCGACGGTGGTGCGGCTGATTTTGACCACACCCTTGCACTGCCTCCGGCTGTACAACAACAACGCGGAGTCCAGCTTCTACGGGCGGGTCTTGGATAACATCACGTTCCTCGGCCACGCCAGCAGTCTGGACTTTCTGAACGGGCTGTGCAACAGCAACTTGTCTTTACCCGAAAACGCCGACAGCGTGCAGGGCTTGATCCAGCGGGGAAGCAAGTCCAGCGTGGAGGACTACATCGGGGCTGGGGACAGGAACAACAAGGCGAAGAGTGCGAAGCCGCTCGTGATGAAGCTCGCCATCATCGGGACCGGGCTCCGGAACGAGAACGAGTCGGCGCCGGACTTCATCCGCTACGTGATTCGGAATCGAAGTTTGCTTTTCGTCGACCTAGTGGGGCTGTGTGATTCCACGCAGACCTACCGGAGGCCGTCGTTGTTGCCAGGAGCGGATGCCGCAACGTCCCCCGGGGGCATAAGCCCGAAAGCGGTATTGAATTTTTTCTTGGATTGTCATGTGTGAAGCAAGTAGATCATTTCGTGCAATTCAGATTTTGAATGATGATGAACTAAGACTCACACAACAAAGATGCATCGATTTGTCGAAACATACAAACAGGCGCTGGTCCAGGGTGCAGAAATGGCGCTGCTGAGCATCGCAGGCGATGAACTAGCTTCACAGGAGTTCCAGTCTGAGGCGTCTCCTCAGAGTAGCGGAGTTCCCCCGAGGCCCACTTCCGCGAAGACACTGACCCTAAGCGAGGCTGCGTTTTACGTGACGCAGTTCGAGCGGCCGGAGGTGTTGGATCCGCCGAGCGACAAGTTGACCGCCACGAGCGTGTTCGCTGATCTGGAGGGCATGCACACGCCCGGCATGACGCAGGTGGAAAAGCTGCCGCAGCCACTGCTCGTGGAAAAATCGGCGAACGACGTCCGCGCGCGGCTGGAGCAGTTCTGGGAAACGCATCTTTTGAATCGCCAGATCCTGCTGGCCGCGACGCAGAACGACGCGGTTTCCGCTGCGGCCGTGGCCACGAACTCGTGGAAACTGCTGAACGAAGTGGAGGGAACGGAGGCGATGCGGCGGGTGGCGAATTTGATGCTGACCGGCGACTACGTCGTGCAGTGTTTGGAAGATTACGAGCGCACCACCGGGATCTTCACCGTCGAAAACGAGGACAAACTGCACAGCAACGTTGGCGACCGGTGGAAGGTGACTTTATTGCAGGCGTTCCGCGACGAAGAGGCGGCGTTGATGAGCGTGCTGGAACTGCTGCCCAAACAGGGCTCCACGGCGTTGCAGGCCGTGCACCCGGAGCACGACGGCACGATTCTGCACGACGCGGTGCAGCGGGGGTTCTACGCCGTAGTCTACTGGCTGAAAAACGAGCGGCCGGACGAGTTCTACCAAATGTTGGGACAGGTGGACCAGTACGGCTACACGCCCCTGCAATACGCCTGCGAGGAGGGCGCGCTCGTGATGTGCGAGCTGCTGTGGGCGGTGCCGGACGACGAGAGTCCTGTGCAGCCGCTGGGCTCCTCCTACCCAGGGCAGATTGCGAGCGCGCTGAACATGCGGGTGCCCACGATGTCGTTCACGCGGGAAGCGGCCATCAACCAGGGCTCCGCCTACCCCTACTGCGTGCACGGGCGGACGCCATTGCACGGCGCCTGCTTTTTCGGTTGCAACGCAGTAGTGAAGGCCATCCTCGCCCACCCGCTCTTCTTGTCGAACCAGGCGGCGCAGCTGCGGGATCTGCCGAGTTCCGAACCCAAGCAGGACCTGCTCTTTTCCGCCTACATGGTGGACGCCCTCGGCCGGAACCCGCTCCACTGGGCGTGTCTCGGGGGCCACACAAAAATCGTCGACCGGCTGATCAACTGGGTCTTGGACCTACCGCCGAAAAATGTTGACACAAAGAAGTCCCTTGTGTCCGTGCAGAGTACTAGCAAACCCACGGCGGACGAACCTCAGTCGGAAAGTGCTGGTGCCCTTATTAACAGCCGCGAGGTTTCCAAAATGAGCCAGGTGTCCTCGAGTGGCACAAAATCGCCGCCCTTCCCAGGAGGGGCCCCCGCCGCCGGACCAACGCCTGCTGCGTCGCAGCGGTTGGCGAAACTCTTCGCGGCCCGGGACCGCGACGGGTTTGGGGTCATTGACTTCGCGTGCGGGTCCGCGGGCGCGCTCGACCGCGAGCGGTGGTTTGTGCGGGGGGCCAGTCAGCAAGAGCTGCGCGTCGTCATGCCGGGGGTGGTCGTATCGCAGGGCACGGACGCCCTCGGCGTGTGCCGCATGCGTTGGGCGGCGCGGGAGCAAACCTCGTTGCTGCCTTTGGGGGATCTCGGCACTACGGGTTTGCTGCTGAACATCAAGTACCTTCTGGCCCAGTTCTTGGCGCAGATCCCCGGGCTCCACGCCGCAAAGGGTGTGCTCACGCTCCCGGAAATCGGCCGCGACCCGCTGCCCAGCCACTGCAAGCAACTGGCGGTCGAGCGAAACAACGCGAACCAGAGTACTTCTGGGAATAAAACCGGCGCAGCGGGGGCGAAAAGGGGAACAACATCCGCGCTGATCCCGAGCTCCCTCTCCGATTTCATCTTGGAGGACGGGCTGACGCCGGCACAAACAGGTGCACAAACAGATGAATCCGCGCGGCGAGCCGCGATCGTGTTGGAATCCTACCTGTGGTTGAACGAGCAGCTGAACCCCGTGGATACAGGGGCTTTTGAGTACAGTCCTGATGCGAAGTACTACCCGGAACGCTTGATCGACGGAAACAGGCTGCCCTCGTCGTTGTCCCTGGTGCTGGACCGCATCCGGGTACTGGACTTGGATGTGAAGGGGCGGGTTTCGCCCCACAACGACTTTTCTTCATTCACAGGTCGCGTTTTACTGTTGCACCACTCGGGCAACGCAACGATGTTGAGGCTGCTGGTGCGGTCGAGTTTGAAGCTGGCGTTTTCGAACGACGCCACGCTGCGGGCGCAGGTGATGTTCGCGCCGAGCTTGGGCTTGCGGCAAAACTTCGTCGACCGCTGCCTGTTCAACGGGCTGGTCGGCGAGGACGAAAAAACGCTCGTTTTAGCGGAGTTTTTCAAGAACGTGTTGCAAAACGTCACCACCCTTCCTTTCGACCCGGCGGTCACAGTGACCCCTCTCGACATTTTGACGCAGAATAGCGAGAAGATCAACCCTCGGTCAGCGCAGGTGCAAGCCGCGCCGCCGGTAGCCGCGGGTGATAAGAAGAAAGGGGGAAGACCAAGTGGACCAACAAGCGCGGCACGAAAAACGCAAACCCCGGAACAGCTCGCGGCCGCGAACTCGTCTCTGCTACTCACGGCCTTCCTCTCCCACCCGTTTTGGCGGGGCAGGATTGTGAGTGACGGGTTGATCCCCGCAGCCGTGCGGAAGGCCGACATTGGCTTGCTGTCCACGGTGCTGCAGGCGGTGCAGAAAAACATTCTAGAGGATATAATCGCGAAGCAGGTCTGGGTGCAGCCACCTTTGAATGCCGAGAACCCCGAGATCGACATGGAAAACACGATCAAGAAGTGCGCGGGCGCACTGGAGATGTGCCTCCGCGGGTTCTGGCCTGCGGTGAGCAACCGCAGTCCGAAAGTGACCGGGGTTTTCCCGCCCAATTACCTCTCGAACACCATCATGGCGGCGCTGCTCGACACCGCAGCGAACCCGGAGGCGACGGGCAGTTTGCGGAATCTCCTGAGACAGCTGATCAGTTTCTTCCTGCACGACATTCTAGACGCCTTCTGCCTGCAAATGGAAACGGAGTTGAAGGACGTGCCGCAATTGTCCGCGGGGAAACGGGACACTTTAGGCGAAGTGGCCCGACGCCTCTGCCTCCAAACCCAAACCAGGTGCATGCTCGACCTCTGCCACCCGGCACCGGTGGAATCGCTGCTCTCGCGCATGATCGGGCAGACGGAGTTCCCGCACAAGCGCACCAAGCACTGCCAATCCCTGCTGAAGCAGCTGCTCGCGGTGCCCTGGGTGGTGCACGAGAACCCGTTCACGGCAAACAAGCTTTCCCTCTGGCGGCTGGACGAACAGGCGATCTCGTCCTTGCGACAGGCGCAACTGAAGGCGCTGCAGGACCGGGGCACGGAATTGCTACCGGTGAAGACGGAACTTATCACGGGCTTGGTGCCGGGAAACAATGCCGCGAACAACTTGTTTGGTACAGAAGTGTGCTGTTTCGATTTGTAGTAGGACGGATAGAATAAGTAAAAAAAAACTGTGTGCTGCCGGTAGTTGTCAGCAAGACAATTTTTTTAGAATGCAAAGCCAAAGCAAGCCAAATTGAAAGTTTTTACTTAGGCATTGGTCGCGGTAACTGTAAATGATCATTTGAATGAGATAAAAAAGGACTAGACGAGCTTGAGCCAAATCTCTATCCACAGGCACTACTAGTAACGGCGGTTCCAAGAGCAAATCGCCAGCGCGTCGTGGTTCGGTGGAGACAGTTGAGGAACTAAAGCAGACGGCTGCGGACATGAATACAAACGAATCCAATCTGGATCTATCGTCACCCAAGACTGCCGCGAATGAAAATGAAAACACGACGTCTCTTGCACAATCGGGAACAGTGGGAGCTGCAGCTCCGGCACCGGTTTCCTGTTTCGCCGGGTTGATTCAAAGGATCTGTGGGTCTAGCAGCGCAGTTGCGTCAAGTGGCAGCAATTCGGCATCGGCGGAAAAAAACAGCGACGTCTTCGTGTCCGCGTCTATTGCGCTGAAGGCGACCATGCTGTACGAGGTGGCTTTGGAGGCGCAGAGGATATCGTGCATCTACGTGCTGGACGAGAGAAGCAGAACCGTCTTCCACAACCTAATCCGAAAGTTCTTGAGATCCGCGTCCGAGGAGCAGTGCGCCGTCAGCTGTTTGCAGTTCCTAGACGAGGAGGCCGAGCGCGCGAAGGAGGAGAAAGACCTTGACCCAGAACAAAAACTGCAGATTTTCTCCCGCCCACGCAGCGAAGGGTCATCTGCGCTAGTCGAGGAGACAGGTGTGAACAAACCTCTAGAGCAAAACGTCGCGGAACAAATAGCAGCTTCAAGTGCAGCTTCGAATAACAGCAAACCCCCACCGGGAAAGAAGAGCGTTTTGGAATACAGAATGGCTTCCCTCGCGGGCAACGTCGTCAACCTCGACAGCGGGAATAATGCCGGAGTAGAAACCAAGGTCGTCGACGCCCACAGAAGTATCGAGCATAGGTTGTCGGTCGGAGCGCTGCTCTTCCACCGGCTCTGCGACTGCATCCAGGAGCCCTTGATTTACGGCCACCAGGACGGAGAGACAGGGAACACGATTTTTCATTACTTGATGCAGGAGTCGGTGAACGAAGCGACTGCCGTCTTACTTTTGCGCGCTTTGACCCCGTCCACCGCCGTTGTCGTCAGGTCAGGGGTGTTGGCCGACATTTTGCAAACGCGAAACCGCTACGGACAGCTTCCCGTCGACTTGGTGCCCAACGGGACCAGGGGAGACCGCATGCGAGCGGAGCTTGCGAGGTTAGAGGAACTTTTGAAGGCTCAGGCTGAAGAGGAAAGCAATGGCACGAACGGCGCTGCCAGTCCCGCGGAAGCGTGAGCGGGATGGAAAAAATAGTCGGGGCCTGTTTATGCAAGGCCACCGAGTAGAAGACATAGCATCTTCTTCCCATGAGCTAGAAACCTTGGCCATACTGACAGAGTATAACACACCGTCGTGGCGTAGGAAATGAGCACCCAAATTGTAGTACTTATATCCCACCAGTAAAACAGTGCTAAGCATAAGCGTGAGAACCTAATAATCCAAGCGCCACACATTCGTTGAAGCGCGAAAGATACTGGGTCCCGCGGCCTGGGACCCAGTGCTGAAAAGCAGTGCGCATTCCGACGTTTACAGTAAAGCTTCAACCAATAATCCCCATAGTCTTTTGTCACAATCGAACCCGTTGACCAAAATCATGAATATGACACGCACACGCACATCCATTACATACTACAAACGGCTCTTCTTCCTGAGCGATCTACAGCACAAGATCAAACTAACAATGCTACTGTTCACCAACTGTAAACGAATATTTCAAGGCGCATCGTGCGTGTACTTTTCGATGAGAGGAGAGCACGCTTTTCCGTTTGCTGCGTCTGAGCGAAGTTTCAGTATGCGTACGTTGGACTCATTTCACATCCTTCGGAGCCTGCAGTGCGACAAACAATCCAGAAGTCATCATGACTTGCGAGAAAGTCTTGAGGATGTTGCATTTCATTTAGCGCCAACTTCTGTGACTCATCGTCATCCGACAAAGAAGCATCGTCCTATTGGGCGCGGGAAATTCAACTTCATCCATGACATTACGGTTTCTCACAAAAACACTTCTAGCTGTTTTCTCTGTTTTCGCCCTCGTTTGGGCGCTGTGCTCCTGTTCTTGAATTGTTGTGCTCAGAAGTTCTTGTGCAAAAAAAAACAAAACGAAATTTGATTTGTGTTGCTCTGTGCTACCCATATACTGGAGACAAATCTCTTACTCTTTCTTTCCCGACCTTGCCGCCTCCTCGTTTCAACAAAGACAGTTTCACTTCTACACATCCGCTGGCTACCGGGGTTTTGTGCTGGGATAACGTCGCCGGGCTGCCGAGGTGGGCTGTTGCGGTGCGGTGCTGCTAATCTCATCCATTCAGTCGCAAGAACTGGCTGTTGTTCTTTTCACAGTAACGCTCGCAACATCGCAGTTCGTCTGCTGTCGCAAAGTAACCGCGGTTTTTTTTCACTGGCTACGTAAGAGTTCCTTGCTTTGCGACGCGTCCTGTCGTGTCCACTCCTCACCACACCTCCGAACAAGCGCGATGAAGCGGGGTAGCACACAGCACCTGTTGTTCGAGCGGTTTAGCTCCTTAATGTCGGCCACCTGCTCTGCGTTGGCCCTGGATCTGGACCTGCTCGGGGAGCAGGACGCCAAGCTGAAACAGATGCTGGCCTTGAAGTCGTCAGAGATCGCGATTCTGGCCCCGGCGCAAATTTTGCAGCTGGTCAACGTGGTCAAGGATGTCGCGGCTAAATCGGGCATCGAGCGCTACGTGCCGCATCGGGTCACGGGATGGCTGCAACAGGTACTATTTGTTTGATGGCACTGCGGAGGGATCTACTGATACTGTTCGGATATGCATTATCTGCAGCTTCGGTGGTTTTATGGACCGATGTTGACGACACGAAAAGACGACCTCCCGGGATGATAGGTTTATCACTCAGTCAGTCCCTGCAGCTGCAGTGTGACAAAGGATATCACTTTTATCACAAGAAAGATGAACAAAACGATGAAAACAGGCTGCGGACAAAATTACTTCGGCGATATTGATTGACGATGAGGAGGAGGTGGCGAAGCCGGAACCCAACTCCCTCAAGCGTGTCGAGCGTATTGATCGTTTTTCGTGCCAGCCTATCGGTCGTTTGACGTGACGGTCACGATAACGACTGGTAACGATGACAATGATGAAACGCAAAGAAAAATGCAGGAGATCATAAGTATAGAAACTGCCGGATGAAATGAAAAACAGGCTCCTACTGTCTGCTGGAAGGGCTCGGCGCGGAGGAGATCGACGAAATGGCTGCTATGGTGAATGATTCGTACGATTCCGACGATCTTTGGGTCGCGTGAGTACGCAGTAATATCACCAAAGCATTCATCACGACAGCGGAGACCTGCTGCTGTGGCAGCTACTGACGTCGAAAACGGAATTAGAAAAAGAAGCAACTTCAAGAGATTAGGATTCCACCTGTGTAACAGTATAATTGTCGAAGACTACATCTAATTACGTAAAGGAGCTTCATCCTCCGATTTTGTGCAGAAAACAGAACTTCAAAGATGCTAAGGGCTGATATGAATACTCATGATTTTCAGTGGTGCGTGGAGCGGCTACAAAAGACACCCTTCGATGTTGTAGCAACAATGCCAGCAAAAAAATTCAAAAGTAACACATTCCGACGTAGTAGAACTTCAATTTTTCTGGGACTTTGAAATTGCAACTTTTTGACAATTCTGACCCCCACGCCGACATTCTTTCGCCGGTTGAAATCGTGACCGCCTCCTCCTCTACATCGATAGTTTATTTATTCCGAAGGATTTTCAATGATTTTCAAGACGATGATTTGTTTCAAGAGCGATAGGACACTAAATTCTTCATACAAGAGCTGATACATTATTATTATTTATGTAAATTTGACATCAACCACTGCGAAAGTTCAAGTCGTGCTACCTCGTTTAGTACCAAAATAAAACGAGCTGTAACAATAGACAATAGATTTGATGCGCTCCAAAAATCCTATGAGACTGGAGCAGAGGTTTTATCGGATATCCCCCGGCATTGAAGAAACAGCATCATTTTCCTAGAAACCTAAATTCAGAAGTTCAATGTCAAATGAGACGAGGATAGGATGAAGCTCAAGCTACCTCAACAAAAAAATATCTGAAGAGCTATATTTTTGAAAAGCTGCGGGAAAGTCTAAGCAGTGCCAATCCTTACCCTTCATTGTTGAAAAAAGGACTCGCTCCGTAAGACAACGGGCATCTATGTACATTACGATTTTTTAGTTCTCCACGCGGCTATTTACTGCTACAATCACTGCGAACATCAACTAATTGAATTTGCTACCCTCATATGTTGGAAGTATCTCGAGAGAAAAAGTCCCCCGGGAAAGGGAATAAAGTATTGAGGATTCGACTTTTGGTTAGGATGATTCTACTGCTGGTTCTGGCTCTCGCACTACCTCTTCAGCGCGCAGCGACGGCAAAAACCCGCACTGAGCAGTAAACGAAGGCAAACCGCCGCAGCTGGACTCATCGAAACAGAGCAGGCTCACCTTCCTGTCGTGCGAAGAGAGTAGATAATGTTATGAACGAAAGTACTAGGCTAGTGTTTGTGTCATCAAAAATGTATTGCTCTACTTTTTCAAGTAATTTTCCTTTACTGATTTTCAGAACTGCATTCACGCTGATGTCATTGGAGCCAGAGATGGTTGCATTTATCACCATCAAGACCATACTTTTTCAAAACTTTTAGCACGGAACTGATGAATTAATATCCTTGTCATGGGACGCGGAGCATTTGGTTGATTGCATATCAACTCAGATGCACTTTGATAAAATGGACGAGCCTGTTAGTCTTAGTTCGCGTTACCTGCGAAAAATAAATTGATTCCTATATCACAGCAGCAACGCAGAACTCTACCGCTTTTTGCGATGTGGAAAAATTTGAAGAATATGTCATGCACGTTCGATAATTTTCCTCTGTGGCAGCGCGAGCATCTCTTTGTCTACGGTACGTAGATGAAGCTGGAATGCTTCGGGGGAAGAAGAAGATGAAATTTTGAAAAGCGACCACGGCACCTATGCCCGGCAATTCGTGGAAAGGCGATTGTTTTTAGCTTTGCTTTCTTTGGACACCGCCAACATAATTGCTTTCCTGTCCGGCTTCGGATTCACCTGAAGCCGGATTTGGATTGCAGTCCTGAAGTAGATCTACAACTATTCTGCAGGCAGTAGGCGGGGTCAGCGCCAGCCGCAAGTCCACCTGCCTGGACACGCAGCAGGCGCAGCTCAACTTGTACGAAGGCCTCACGCACTGGACTCTACGACATTACTCCTCGATAGGCACTTGTAGTTCTGGAAGCTCACCACAGACCGACCGCTTGCTACAGCAGCACAACACATTACCGATGTTGCGGGTAGCCAGCAGTCGGATTTATCATTTTCAACTTTACTAAGTAGCTGTACCACATAAAAAGAGAATCAAAATCAAAATCCAGGATTGATGCGGTATGAATAAAAAGCAGCTCTTGTTGTGTACACAGGTGTGAATAAGGACAAACATGAAGCGATTTCAGACGATGTAGTTTCACGCGTTTTTGAAATACGGGAAATTCTGAAAAGTGTTTTGTTTTGAAAACCCCTAGTCTCGGTTGGGGTATGTTTAGTTTCTGTCGTGTTTGATGAAAGTGTGTTCGGAGGAAGTCATTCTGCTTGAATAAGCGATGGCCTTGTGTGCGCGACCTGTGGCGGTTTTACAGGTTCAGAATTTGCTGGCTGCGTCGTCTGGGTCTAGTGACAGCAAGGGGGGCCGCTACGCTCGGCCCCGCGCGCTTGCTCGTGCCGGGAAGCCGCCCGCTCCGTTGTGGTTCGCGAAGCCGGTGCGGACAGGGGCCGCGCGCGAGCACGATGGCCGGGGCAGCAAGAAGCGACAGAGACAACCGAAGGCACCTGCCGAGCTTGGCAGGCGCGCGAATGGGAGCGCCATGGCGCGGCGGAAATGCGCGGCGGGGGCTCCGGCGCGAGCGGAGCCGCGCCCGCGGGCGGGCGACAGACACGAAGATGAGGCCGCCCGAGGTCTGCGCGCAGCCTACCGGAGGTGGCGGCGGCCGCTGATTGTCGGGCGCCTGTTCGCCTTTGGCATTGCCGGCGGCCGGCGCTGCGCATTACGGGGGCCCCGGCATCCATACCGGGGGCGATTGCGGCGGCGCGCGTCGCACAAACGCTGCGAAATGTGTGGCGGCATCTATGTGATGCGGACACTCATGGTCCTGGTCGACAACGTCGAGAACCTCGAAGCGGTCGGCTTAGACCACAGCTGGCAAGCCGGATCGCAATACTTCGGGGCGCACGGCGAGAATCGCCTGGAAGAACTCGGGCGCCGCGCCTTCATTTTCCGCAGGGACTCGATGGCCAAGCCCCCCGCGTTACTACAGTTATCATGGGCCCGCTTAGATAGCGAACCCATGACGGCAAAGCAAGGCGCGCAAGGGCCTGCCGAATTGCCCGGGTTGCGACCCTGCAGGCGCGCGCCCGGGCCCGTCCGCTTGCCCTATGGACCCGCGCGGCGGGCTGCCGCGGGCGCGGCTGAATTGGATAGCCGCGCCACCGGGGCGGCCGGCGGGTTGTGTGGTTCAGAGCTCTACCGTGGTGGCGCAGAAGGCGAAAGCCTGCGCCGCTTGAAGCCGGGGGGGGCAGGGGCGCGAGCGTTTGGCGCGTGTGATCGGTCGCACGGCGCGCGCTTGGGAAGCGCAAGCGTTGTGGCGTGCCCTGTGGAGCTGGGGCCCCGAATATGAGAAGGCGAAGCGCCAGCTCCCGCCGCACATCAAAAAGATCAACGCAATGCTCGACAACACAGACGGGGAGTATGGTGCGAAAAGGCGCGGCGCTTTTGCGATGAATGCAGCGGCAGAGCCGTGCGGCTATCTCACGGACGCGACGCGCGTAGTTTTTTACGGGCTGCAGTGGTTCTGCTACATCGGGCCCCCGGCCGAAGGCGAAGCGCCACAGTGCGGGGCCTGGCCGCGGGGGGGGAAGTTGGCGCGGGAGGGGAGGAGGCGGCTGCAAGAGTTGCCCATCCGCGACCCAGTGCGGCGCCGGCGTGGGTGAGCGGTTGCGCCAGAGCTATGCCGGGGCTGGGCGATCGTCGCGCCCGGGCAGATGCCGGGCGATGCGACTGAGGCCGCCCGGGGGTTGGGGCCTACCGCGGTGGGCTTTCAGGCTTGGCGGGGCGGGGCGAAGGCGTTCGCGGCGGTTAATGCGGACGCGACGGGGGCCCGCGGCCTGATCTCGCCGGCCGGGATTCGCTAAGCGAGCGGCTCGCCTTCTTGCCGGCCTTATTTAGCGGGCGGGCCCCTGAGATTGTGGCCCCCTCGAAGACGCCAACCACACCAAGCCAAGACCGCAGGAAGGTGCAAAAGAAAGAGAGAGCCCGCCTGCGCTTTTTGGCTTTGTTTCGGCCCAATTTCTTTTGAAAGGCACCCCCCAGCCATAGCGCCCAAATTCAGCGACAGAGCGAGTTTGCTGCTGCGATATGGGGCGGCTGTCGTGTGTCGCCCGCTATATGCGCATCCACTGACTCGGTTCCGGCCGGGCTGATCTACCTCGGGCCGCCGCGGCATAGGTAGCGAGACGGGCCCCCAGGGTGATCCGCTCCGCGCTCCGGGCTTTCCTGTGTTCGGTGAGCCGGCGCCCATTGGGGGGGCAAAAAAAGCCAAAGGAGAGCGGCCGCAAAAAAGTGCTCGACATGCCGAAGGGCTGCAAGGGCGAGAAGCCGGCCGGGAGAATCTTCGCAGGCGAGCCCGTCGCGTGGCCCTCTCGTCTCAGACTTTAGCGGTCCGCTGTTGCGGCAGCGTTGCCAAAAGGCGAAGCACCACCCAGGCCCGTCGCTTTGGCGTCTCTGCTTGCGCGCCTTCGCCTTGTGGTCCCGGGGCCGGCCCCGGATGGGAGCTCCAGCCGGCCTGTGGGGTTGCGGCCCCGGGGGGCGGCTGTTGTGCGCCGCCCGCACTACCCGCACCCTTTGGCGGTTCCGGGGCTCGTCAGTTTTTTTGCTTTGCGTGTGCCCCCTCATAATGCTTTCAGAGCCGGCGCGACTGCGATGGCGCTCGCAGACACTGCCTTTTACAGGCTGCCGCCCGCCCTCCCACGGCATCCCTACCACTGCAAGGGCCCCGGTGTGCGCGTTGCTGCGGATCGATGTGGGAAATCAGGTGAGCTGGCCTGCGTGGGTACACGGCGCATAGTCTTGGCGCGGCGCCGCCCTGGCGAAAGTGTTTTTTTTTCGTGTTCCTCCAGAAAAAGGTGAAAGAGAAGTCGGTGAACGTCCGTGGACACAATCTTCAAGGAGTACATTGGCAGCACAAAAAATGTGATCAACCAGCACCCATGTTATCCACGAGAGAAAGCGAGGAAGTGCCTATGGTCATACGTGAGGTACTGCGCATAGTACAGAAAGCGAACACGAGCAGTAGTGTATTTACAACTTCTCCGTCCGAGTGCAGCTGTTTGTGCCATCCCTGAAACAAGCAACATTTGGTTTACGGCATCAGGAACCTCATCACCATGTCATTGCGATCCCCATTGAGTTTTTAACGCCACTGGAGTAAGTACTTTGATGCTTCGGCAAGCTGATCTCGAAATGTTTGTCTTTTTGCCTAGGCAAGATAAAATCTTTAGATTCGCCCCCGTCGCTGCTGAAGCGGTGGCGGAGCACTTGAAGTTCTGGAAATACATTCGTTCATGTTCGTAGTACATAGCCGAAACTTCTTTGACGAGTGTGCTGAGTGACACCGATATAACCCAAACATGTCGGGCGATCTGTCGCCCTTGGCCTTCGGGCGGCAGTTCAGTATCGAAGAGGATTTGCAGTACTTGCCGCAGAAGTACCGAAGCAGTGCAAAGCGGTTTTCCGCGATTCGCGAGTCCGCAGCGGAAACCGCGCCGCCGCGCGGCAGCTCGACAAACAGCGCTGCCGACCCCGACCGGAACGCCGGCGCCGAGATCCGCACCTTCTGCGCGACCTTCCGCCGCAAGGAGTCGCACACGACGGTGAAGAAGCGAATTCTGTACTTTTTCCTCTTGCTCTCCGCGGTCGCGAACTACGATATTTTTTCGGGGCTGTTCGGCATAGTAGGAAAAATTTGCACCGTCATCGTGCAGGGGTATTTCGCCGTCTTGCTGTGGCCCGGCCGGGTGGGCCAGTGGGACAGCCTCGAGCGGATGCAGATGCGGTCGATTCTCGTTTTCATCCTCGCGGTCTTCAATATGGCCTTTTCCTTCAACGTGTGGTGCCTGCTCTACGCGGATGAGAGGTATAACAAAGAAAAAGTTTTCAAATGCAGACTGCTCGTGTCATGTGTATGGGGGCCTACGCTATAGTACAAAACCCTTCATCGCAAAATGAAAAGCAAATACTAAATAATCGCGATTTTCTTCAGGCTCTTCGGCTCCGAATATGGGAGCACTGTCGTGAGTCCCGTCCGCATGCTGTACATTGCGTATGTCACCTGGTTATCAAATGTAAAAATGTCTGGGTCTGGAAGATTCTGAGACTTGTCATGCATGTTTTGCCTGGGCCATGATGTCTGTGATGCATGCCCTAGCGTCACAGATTTTTTGAGGGCTTCGCGATGCCTATTCCGCATGACAAATGCCCTCTCCGCGTAGCAAAAATTGCACTATCTTTGCTGCTCATGCAATACAGATTTTTTTGGAGTCCAAATTTAGCATCACAAGTTGCATTCTTCCAGACCCAGACATTTTTACATTTGATACTGGTATCTGCTTTTCGATTCTGGCGCGTCCAAGGGGAAATACGAGACTAGTAAGGAGGAGAAAATGCAAGAATTAGTCCTCCACGCGGATGACGAAAAGTTGAGCAGCCGGACGTCAAACTCCCCGGACGATGATGTGGACGATGATGTGGACCCGGAGGACCGGGATGAATACACGGTCATTGCCAGGAGTCCACAATCTTCAGGTAGTGGTGGTCGCACTGGTGAACAAAACGAAGGGGTGGAACAACCAAATGGTAACGATAATGAAAGCGACAGTGTGGTGGATGAATTCGAAGACGCGACGACCGCGAAGATGAGCCCAGGGTCGACGTGTGAGAGGTCTTCATCTTATGAGGAGACGAATAAAACGAGCTGCACAAAAACTTCGATGGATCCGTCTTTGTCGACCGTTTCCATGTCAACGGCCGCGTCCACCCCGGTTAGTACCACACCGGCGTTGACATTGAGACAAACAGCCGCAGGTGGAGGCGCAACAAGGCCTGATGAAAAGGTCACATCTTCTACCGTCGCCGAGCGGCTGCAAATAATAACGGAAAGGACTGGTAGTACGACCCCAGGAGCAGCAGCAGCTACGGATAACGACTCGGAGAACTACAGCAAGAAAACACCTGTGACCAAGACAGCGATGCTATCCAGTCTCGGATCTTCGATGTGGAGCAAGCAGGACTCGATCTTCGCCGATTTGGGAATCAAAAAGAGGGAAAATATTTTCGTCGACACGGTGAAGACCGCTCTCGGTTTGTTCACCGTCATCGGAAAGTCGTTACTCACTATGTTCTTCTGCCCGAGGAGGTACGATCGGTTTTGCCCCTCCATGCGGCGTAGGAGAATCTACCGCCACGCTGCCATGTATTTTCCCGTGAAGTTGACCCGCACACGAAAACTGGATCCGGAAAAGCGGTACGTCTTCGGCTACCACCCGCACGGGGTCTTGTCCATCGGGGCGTTACTGAACTTCTCGACGAACGCCACTGGTTTTGACGCGCTCTTCCCGGGGATCGATGTCCGATTGCTGACCATGCAGATCCAGTTTAAGATCCCCTTCTGGCGGGATTTCCTGCTCGCGCTAGGCGTGCAGGATGTCAGTGCTGAGTCCATCTGCAACAATCTGCAGCGCGGGAAGTCGATAGCACTAGTTCCCGGAGGCGCAAAGGAGTCGCTGGAGAGCGGCGTTGGGACGAATGTTCTGGTATTTGGGATTTTTTTTCAGGTCGTTTGTTTCGTTAAAAAGTTCGAAAATGTGTAGCACAAAGTTCGACGTGTAAGTACTGCGGGTAGAAAATGCGAGGCATAATTTACAACGACTTTTTTTGCTCGCATCATAGTTTGCCCGCCCACCAGGACGGAGCACTGCAAACGCATCCCAAAAAATCCAGATTCTCGGGCAGCGTAAGGGCTTCGTGAAGTACGCGATGAAGAACGGCGCCAGTCTCGTGCCCGTTTACAGTTTACCAAATGCAAAAATGTCTGGGTCTGGAAACTTGTGATGCAAGGAAGGGAATAGTGAGCTCACTGCAAGGAGCTGCCAAGCATGACAGGCTTTTTTCATGGTTCTGAGTTGCGAATTCCGCATGAGAAAGTGCGTTTTTGCATAACAGGGAGCATGAGCTATTCGCGGCCACGCAATACAGAGCTCAGAGTCATGCCAGACTAGCATCACAAATCCCGGAATCTCCCAGACCCAGACATATTTGCATTTGATACAGTTTCGGCGAGACCGACCTGTTCGGGAGCATCCAGCTCACGGGCACGGCGAAGAAGATCCAGGACAAGCTGCAGAAAATCATGGGTTTTGCTCTACCCCTAGTCGTCGGCCGCGCTCTTTCCGGCGGGTTGCTGCACCGCGTGTTCGGCTTGAACGTGGGGATTTTCCCGTTCCGCACCCCCATCCGGTCGGTGGTCGGCAACCCAATCGATTGTCCGTTGGTCGAGAACCCGACGCAGGAGGAAGTGGATCGGTACCACGATCTGTACGTGCAGGAGCTGAAAAGGATCTACGAGGATTGGCGCCCGGTGTACGAAGAGGAAAAGAAGGATCGCTTGGAAAACCTGGAAACGAACGAGAACCGGGCGCGATTGATGTCGCGGCACACCAAAATGAGAAAATTAAAAGCCAAGGCTGAGACCATGGAGATCAGGTAGCGATAATTGTGGTATTGGGAAAAGTGTCTCTCGTAGTTGCATTTCTACTTGTGCACTGGAACCGTGTGCCTAGTAAGAACCAGTTCTCGACCGAAAAAGTAAGTAAAAAAATACAAATGAATTTAGTGTTGTTCCAACTTCGAGTTTTTAATTAATCGACTACCCTCTTTTGCGAATTTTCCACAATGAACTACATTCTGCATCACGAGCCTCTTCAAATTAATGTACCATTTTGCCACTAGTTTCTTTCTACCCAAACTTCTGTACACATTTTTTGTGACCCTTCATCGCACTACGATGATCCCATCCACGCCCATTAACAAGCGAGCATACGAATTTTCCGTCGTGGCGCAAGGTTTGCCGTTCCAGGAGCAACGCGGGGTGACGTGGTTTCTCCGTTGGAGAGGCTCTTTTGTGTACGATCGATTCAGTAAGTACGTTCAGATAAAATCACAATCACCACGCGCAAGTCTATAGAAGCAAACGCAAAAATATCGATACCTATGCCAAGGGTCTCTAGTAAGAACGCATGATATCAGCATCTCGCTTCGAATATGTCTTTTTAAGCGGTCTTTTGGTTTCAAACCGCCTCAAAATTGGGAGATTAGTAAAAAATGCCATAAAAAAGGAAAATTGCTACCGAAATATTTTGGCTAACGGTCAGGTAATATCGTTCGCTTGTGTTCATCGCCTTCTTTGTCATGCCCGTTCTAGGCTTCATGACTAAGAATAGCACGACATTGACTTTTGAAAAAACGACGCGCAAAGGTGCCCGAAAAGTTGGACTCGGAAATTATTGTGATTACGATGCTGTGTGGTGCTCGTTTTTTCACAAGCGAATTTTTCAAGAAGAAGCTTCCGTTCTGTTTATGATCTGCTTTCAAAATGTTCGGCTCTGATCCGGTTGGCGATTATCTGCCATTGTAACAAAGCAAAGGCTTCGAGAAGAAGAAATCTTTAGCCTGTCACGGCCGCTTCTTGGCGGTCAAAAGCTGCAGTTTTTTCCACTTTGATTCTTTGCAACAAAGAAAACCAAAAAATAATGCCGACAACCACACCGGCTGACCCGGGTTCTACTTCAACCGCTCGGAAGTTTTCCTCTCGCACTGTGCCTGCAAGCAAGTTTGCCTCCCCCCGCGGATGCAGTTTGGTGCGCACTTCGCCTCGCCGCGAAAGCAATCCGGCCGGGAGAAGAGCTGCTGGTGCGACCGCAACCACGTCAAAAGATGACCGTCCCATGACACCGCCATCGAGACAGCGGACGCGAACCGCACGGAGCAATTTCATGTCGCCCATTGGAAATTTTCGCAGACCGGAACAACTGGTCGCAGAACAACAGCAACCTGCGAGGGTTAGCAGAAATGAAAACGGAATGGTGCAAATGCAACAGCCCCAGCTGCAAACGTCGGACAAGGAAAACGTCAAGCCGCAGTTGTTGCGGGGGAATCAGTATCAGAGCGAACATGGAAACGCGACGAATTCTGCGTCGGCACACAAGCCGCCTCTTGCGAGCAGGAAAAGATCAGTGGGACCCGCGGTGGTAGTAGTGGCTGCGGGTTCATCGTCGACCACGACACGCTGTAATCCCTTTAATATTCAAAAAGTTGTCCCAGGAGAAGTGCAAGGTGGGACGAAAGGTCGGGCTACGGTGGCGGCAATGGGGGGGAGCAGCAGAGCGACGTCGTCTGCCAGGTATAGTTTTGATTGAAGATGTATGAGCAATCTGTAGTAGTCAGGCTATGAAATTCTTTCAGTAGAAGGACTGGTCTCCCTGCAGAAACCAGAAAAGTATGACTTAGAAAGGTATGACTTGACGAAATAGTCGTGAAATTATTTGCAAGTTTCGGTCTGCAACTGCTGCAAGCCCTCGGTGAGCACTCACATAAAGAAAAAAACTGAAACTCGGTACTAATCGTGCAACAAGTTTAAATTTTCGTGCCATCGAAACACCGTCCGGTCGCGCCTTTCGTCCCGCATTGATATACGATTCTTGATTCACGCAGTCTATTGATTCTCTTTTTTGTGTGCCGCAAATTGACAGGCAACACTAGCCAAAACCCATCCACCCCTATTCGCATTTTTTGCCGCCTCAATACATACCCCAGGATTTTCAAGTAAGTAAGTTTGTTCATCCGAACAAATTGATCGTTCGAAATTTCGTTTTTGATGTACATTAGTACTTGTGCGTCTCGTTTACCTACACTAGTTAGTTAGCGTTTACTCCAAGTTGAGGTTTCCCCTGTATATTCAGGATTCTTGCCAACATCCATGTCTTGGTGCTGTGTGAATGAAAGTATTGCCCCGCCTTTCCTGATCATGCTTGTACGACCATAAAGAACAAAGCCTAAATTACCTCCTTCAATGCAGGGGCCGCAGCGCTGCAATGGCAGAGACGAACCCGGGTCGTGGTGATCCAGCCGCCTCATGGGGGTTGCGGGAGAGCAACCAGGACCCCGCTGCCGTCAGCCGCAAGGACCGCAAGCCCACATGGGACAACAAGATCCCCAAGCACCAGAGCATGCTCAGTGGCGGCGCGCCGACGGCGAGGCCGTCCGTCTGGGAACAGGTGCCGAGAAACAGTGCCGGGGAGGAGAAATTATCGTCTTCACCAACTACTGAGCAGCAGCCGCGTAGTTCTTTCTCAGAGGCTACGAGGGCCTCTGGAATAGAACAGCACGTAAACAAAAGATCACTGCCGGCGCGTAAGAGTCGCGAAATCGGGCGCCCGGATTTGGCGGCCGTAAGCAGGGCATCTGGGGCTGCACTAGGAGATGGGCGAGACGAATTTTCTGAAGCACGACAGAGAGATCATCAGCATCAGGACACGGCACCCGGGACAATCGGGATTTCGCGCCCAACGACCGCTGCCTCGCCGTCTTCGCTCGGCGCACAGACCAGTTCGCAGGACACCATTGCGATCTCGAATGCAAGCGGTTCTCCGAACGCGTCACCGCCCGGTGGGGGTAATCAACCTGTCGGCTTCCTTGTGCAACAGAAAACAAGGCTGCAAATGGCTCAGCCACCGCAGAACCAAGCCACCGCGAAATTTTTACAAATGCGCCTTGCAAACACAGCCGGGCCGTTGGGAACGAGCGCCGGGCCGCTGTTGCAGACGGGCGGAGGCGCAGCTGGTGGGGTCGTCGGGTCTTCACTAGCTACGGCCCAACCTCAGAAGATGTCCAGCAGCGGGCCAGGTGCGGGTGGTGCTAATAGTACGCAGCCTGGATCTACTACTCAGCCTGCCGCACAGGTAGTCGTGGCTCCTTCTAAGCCCCCTCTGTTGTCTCCACGCGCCGCTTTTCTCCAGCAGCCACGCTCGTTGCTGCAGCCACAGATGACGACGTTTCAGCCCCAACAGCGCGTGGTAGAACCGCAGTCCTCACAGAGCCCCCCTAATCATGCGGGCGCAATGGTCCTGAAGCCAGTCACGACCTCGCTAGGAGTTGGACCGCTTGCGAAGTTGCAGGGCGCGGTGCGCTTGTTTCAGCAGCTTCCGAAGGCGTCTGTTGGGACGGAATCAACATCGCTACCAACTACACAGGACCAGAAAGTAGTTGAGGACCACAAAAATACAACTATCCCGGTTGCGAGCACGCCGGTGCGAGACCTGACGAAGTCAACAACTGCCGCGGGGACGCCGAAGGTCGCAGCGATTGATTCGAAGTCACCGACCGCGTTGATGAATGCTGCCGTAAGTAGTCCGAGTACAACAACCGCAACGACGAACAACACGAAAGAAACAACAGGCCATGGAACTACTTCCTCTGTGTTGAAAGCCACGAAGCATCTTTCCATCGTGGAGCCTACTACCGCAACTACGCTGTCCGGTGCAGACTCGTCCCCGTCTCCTCTGCGCAGTCCGACAATGGTGGCGTCTTCAACTACAAAGGGAAATAGTAACACCGTAGATGCTGTGGATGTTAGCGCTGAGAACAAAGAGCGTGAGGTAGTACTGCTGCAGCCAGTTCCGCGGTCGCGCCGAAATAGACGGAATAAGGCCGCGGGTAGTTCTAGCGAAGTAAGGAGTCAGTCTGTCGCGGCGGCTTCGCCTGGTGCGAACGCCGATAGTCAAGCAGTCTCCTCTCCGATAGAACCCGACGCCGTGATGATAGACCAGCAGAAAGTTACCGCGGCGAACGCAAATAGACAGACAATTAGGACCACGAGTGCAAAATCTTCGAGCGGAGGTAGCAATAAAATCTTGACGATGTTGAAACCAGGAGCCACTGAAACTTCTACCAAGCCAGACGCTTTGTCCGGTTCGGTGGGCGCGGTAGCAGCGTCGAATAAAGCCAAAACTAGTCTTCTCGCCTCCTCCGAGAGACTGATAGTAAAAAACCTACCTTCATCTTCGCAGCAAGACGACCTCTCCGGCAGAACTGCAGCGACTGCGAGCTCGACACCGCCAACGAGTTCGAGCAAAACCACGAAGCCGAACCAGCTGCGGATGTCCTCGCCGGTATTGAAAACCACGGGTGACATTGCCGCCAGGCCGGCGAAAAGAGCCGCTTCTCCGGAGATCCCGGTGAACAAGGAACAGGAGAATAACATCACATCAACGTCGCCCGAAGTAGAACTACAACCGAAGTTCCGCGGTCGGCCGGTCCCCTGCTACGGCAAGTACCGCCCGGCGGCGCGCGCCTACGGCGGCTCGGCGGTGGTTGGGGAACGCTTGTGGATCTATGGCGGCACGCACGACACGAACGCCGGGGTCATCCCCTTTGAAGATTTGTGGGAACTGCATTTGACCACTCAACAGTGGACGCAGCACAAGCACCCGCCCAACACCTACCCCGGGCCGCTGTGCAAGCACAGCATGGTGTCCTGGAAGCACTACTTGGTCCTCTTCGGTGGGTGGAACGGGTTCCGCCGGTGTAACGCTGTGTGGTTTTACGACACGAAGAGACACATTTGGGAGGAGGTGGTGAACAAGAACCCGGGCCGGTACCACCAGGACGACGCCACGTGGCCGCCGCCGCACACCAGCCACGCGGTCACGCTGGTCGACCAGGATGTCTTGATGGTCGTTGGCAGGGGGGAAACCGGGACCCATCGGAAGTACGGCTCGGACATAGATTTTTTCGACTGTCACAACCGGGTCTGGATGCTCGGCGGGGCGCGGTTCGACGCGCGCGCGGGCCACAGCCTGACGCAGTTGGCGAACGGACAGGTGCTGATGTTCGGCGGAAGGAAAGACAAAAGTATCCAGTTCTTCAAGTTCCCCGACTACTGTCCCCACCCAGACGCGGTGACGCAGGCGGGCTTCATCGAGCCTTCCTCGGTGAAATTGCACGTCCCGACTATGGAGCCGGTCGCGCCGCCGTGGGGGCGGAGCTTCCACGGGATGGTCACCTTGGTCCCCGCGCATTTGCATCTACTCCACGGCGGGTTTCTAGAGTCCTCGCACATCACCGGGAGATGCTTATTCGACGCCACGCGGCAGATCGCAATCTACAACGAGGTGACCCAATCCTGGTACGAGCTCGCGCCGGACGGTGGGAAGCAAGACCACAAGACCATGTTCTTCAAGGCGAACGAGAACAACACCGGGAATAATGGTCATGCCGGAGGTTGTTCTTCTTCTCCGCAAGACGACCCGAACTTGGACTACCTCCAGGACGTTTTACTGCTCCCCCCGCGGGCCGGCCACGCCCTGCAAGTAATCCCGCACCCCACGCAGGAGCGGATCATGCGCGTGGTGCTGTTCGCGGGCACGCACTGCGGTGTGAATTTCAACGACGTGTGGTTTTTGGATTTGGAGATCGCGGCGATGAGCGAGGCGGTGTTGCGGAAGAAGAATAGCAAGCGCAATGATTTGCTGTCGAGTTCGAAAGGCGAGTTGTTTGACGTGAAACAGCACTACTTGAACAAGGCGAAATCGATGGACCCCGAGCACTTCACCATGGCGCTGAAGGAGCAGAAGCGGGTGGAGCAAGTGAAAAACGCGCTGGCGCGCCGGGAGGAGGCCAACCGGGAAAGGATACAGCGGAACAGCGAGCGGGACAAAAAGTCGCTGGAAATGCGGGAACAGCAGGGCTACGTCATCCCCTACGGATTGAAAAACGCTGTGGGGAACGGGAATAACAATAACGGAGGTCCTGTGCAGCCATCGCCCGGGATGACCAGATCAAAGTCACCAAATAATCTGCGAGGAGGTGGAGGACCTGGTAGTGCGCAGTACCAGTTCCGGCCGCAAGCAAGATGTGGAGCTAATAACGGTGCAGCAGTAGTAGACGTGTAGAATTTTGAGTCATGCTCGTCCTAAGCGGGGTTCGTGGAACAGCGGTGCAAGTTGAACTTTCTCACACAGTCTTTTTTGCTCCACTCATCACTCGAGCACGGAGCTGATTTTTTTTGAGAATTCAGAATCATTTTTTTGCACACAGTGCTGTAAACGAATCATGCCAAAGCAATAGGACCTGGACCGAAGAAGAACAACACGGAAAACTCAACTCGCATGTCGGAAGAAACAATGTAGACACTTTGCACACTGTTTGCGGTTCCGCAATTCCTTTTGTCTTGTACCGATTGTTTTTTTAATTCTTGACCTTGATCAATTTGTCGTGAAGCTCGACTTCCTATTCTGACGCATGGATCATCAATCTTCTCGGAAATTTCCGGGTGCTTATCAATCTCTCTGAGGGCTGTGTCTGTGACTGTGTTCATTTTGCTTATTGGGGTCAGATGATGGCACTGTTTCTGTTGCTGTGCTAAGTTTTGTTCTGCAAGCCCGAAGATCCGGATTCGCGAAAGCAGGAAAAACAAGACATGATGTAGATCCATGGCCAGCTAGTTTCGAACATGATCGCCTGTAGATCACATTTCTTTGCGCGACGCAGTCGTTCTCGATCCGTCGGGGACCCTCGACGTGTAGGTGATTCATTGTGCCGAAGGTTCTAATATTTAGGGAGATACCGTGGCCTCGACCTTCTTCGCCTCTAAAACATGACCGATCAATCGATGTTGAAGATTGCGCATAAGGATCTCAGAAGTATAACGAACGGTCACTCATTGCAGAATGATTTAGTGACGCAGTCTTCACAGCCTTGCTCGGCTCTTGATGAATGAACGCCGCATTTGCTTTGGTCGCGTAGTAGTCACTGCAAGTGTTACTGTCTAGGATTCTGATTGGTTTAGTTCGTATTTGTGGTCGCTCCATTGTATGTGTGCCCGTACGTTGATGTTTGAAGACAATAATGTGAGTTGCTGACTGAAGATTATTTCCTTACTTTTTTTCAGCAAACTTACCTCACTCTTTGAAAAAGTAAAAGAAGAATGCCGTCAAGGATGAACTTCACCCTCAGCCAATTGGACTTACTTGCCGCAAACGGCTTTACCGATTTCCCAGTAGCGCGCATTCGCGAAGTAAACGCGGCATTGGATCATGTTGATGCTCGTGAACTGTCAAAGGGGGCCTCGATTCAGCAAAAGCTCGAAGAGTCCGGGGATGCGGTGGTCGTTTTTTGTTCAAAGCACCACTGCCTGTCGAGAAGGGAAGCCAGGTCGGGAGTACATCGAAAATTTGATCAGGAAGGGAGGACCCTAATTCTTCACATTCCAGGGTTGCTGGATCATACCGGCGAGTCCCTCACGTACCTCTTTGAGTGCTTGCTGTCCCCCTTCGCCTTTGCAGGGTTCGCGCTCGTTCCGATTGATGAGGGGCCGAAAAGCTTTGCCACGGAGCCGCAGCTGTGCACTGGGTATTTAGTTGATGTCCCCGCCGTCCCCGGCCACCGAGTAGCATTCGACCACTATGACACCGACACGACGCTGCGCGATGTTGGGTTCGACCGGCGGAGGCACGCAATCCAAGCCTGGCCGCGACGGATGCTTGAAGCCGAGGACAGGCACGGCCCGCGACAGTCTTTGCAAGAACCGTATCCCACAGGTGCGCATCTGCGGAAAATGTTGCTGGAAAAGCGCGGCGGGGCGCCGCTGGAGAGGCCGCCAGTGACCACAATAGATTGCTTTGACGCCCTTGCGGCGGCGCCCGCGGCGGCCGGGACGGTTGGCCAGCGTGCTGGCAACAGTGTGCCCGCGTTTTCCCGATCGGGTGGGCCCTGCGCCATTGAAGAACTCCCCGAGTCGGACACGGATGGCGCCAGCGAAGGCCTGACAGTTATGGGGAAGCCACGCCCAGGCTGTCGCGTGCTTGTGGGAAAAGATCGCGCCAGCAAATCGCAGAAAAAGCAGACCGAAAAAGACCCGAAAGCTGCGCAGGATGAGTCCGCGCAAGCGTGTGGACTTGAGGCAGCCTCGCTTGTTCAGAAGTTGGCGATCGCCCGGGAGGCCCTGGATCGTATCGACGTGAAGCAGTACCTCTCACCTGCCGAGCAGCTCTTCGCTGCAAAGCTTCCCGACGACACCAACTGCGTGCGGGGAAAGCCGAGAGAAAAACTGAAAAAAAGCATCGAGCACGCTCGAAAATTTTTGTCCGAGGACGGACCTTTATTTGATCGGGTACAGGCGAGGTGCAAGTTGGTGTGCGACGTGTTTGCGAGCCCGCGGAACAAATACCTTGAAACTCTGCGCAAGCACATCCGGAACTATAATTGCATCGATGAGCACGCTCCGTTCCTTGCCTCCGCGCGGGTGATGGAGACTGTGGCCGCAGTGTACCGCCGAAGAGTGGCGACCGTGGATAGAAAGACCGGCGTCGTGGCGCTGTCTGCCGACTACCCTTTCGCGTTTGTGCAGCTGGCGTACCTGGTGCAGATCGAACAGAATTGCAATCAAGATGGGAATATGCATTGCAAAGATGTCTGCGTGTGCGTGAGCAAGCTTTTGTATTGCCGGCTGGCTGGCATTACTAGGAAGCTTCAAAAATTGACGGCCAAGTATGACTTGTGTTTGAGTTGCTATTAGGAGTTGTCCATTATGAGTACCAGTCTGTGTTTATTTTCCTTTTGCGTGACAGTAAAGACGCGTGTTTGGGTCACGTGCATGACAGAGCTGAGAGTGTTTCTCGCAATGCATGACAAAGCCTCCATCCTCCAGAACACCAGACATATTTGCAGTTGATAGGTAAAGAAAGAATTCCGTACACTGCCGAGGCGGTGCAGGCCTTCGGTGCAGCATTGTTCGCACAGGTCTACCCAGCAAAGATCGGCCGCCGCGAGCCCGTTTCCATTATCTCGGGCTTCGTGAGGGAAAACAACCGCGACGATCGGCAGTTCATTCTGCACCTGTTCGACGATTTCGCGCCGTTGTGCCCCGGGAAAAGCGCCACGTCCGCGGGGGCCGGAGGGACGAGGACCCAGAGCGACGCAGGGCCTACGACTTACCGCTTGACTTCGGCGCGCGTCGTGCTGCTTGATCCGGCTAACCACTGGCATTGCGAACCCAATATAGTTGCGGGGCGCCCCTTCGCGACGTATCCGGACAGTCCGGGCGCTAGTCCGACGAAGCGCAGGCTTGTCGTCCACCAGCACGGCAATATGATCGAGGCCCTCGAAGTGGAACGGAGTGCGTTCATGGACTACAGGATTATTGACGTGCGCAAGGAGCTAGACCGCATCATCGGCGGACTTGAGCTGTCCGGGAGAGGAAGGATCGACGTACCGTCGGCAGCACAGATCTTCTTCAGCGGTTCGAGCGCGGTTTCCGCGGAACAGCAGGCGGACGCTGACTGGCTAGTCGATTTGTACGCGGTATCCACTGCAAAGATGTAGTTTGGGTCGTGTGGGAGAATGCAAGTTGTCATGCTAAATCTACTGAATCAACAGAATCGTACAAACCAAAAATCTGTATCTGTGTTGCATGATGAGCCGCAAGTGCCATCTTGCCACGCAAAAGGCAAATTTCTGATGCGGAACAGGCATCAAGAAGCCCTTGCGCAATCTGTGATGCTCGTGGGTTCATTCGACACTGTGTTCCTGCTCTACGAGATGCATGACAGACCTTGCACCCTTGCAGACATATTTGCAATGCATGCGCGAATGGGAAGAAGGCGCTTCTGGGCGGATTCAGTCCCGGAGAAGCAGGGGGGTACGCAGCACTGGCAAACAGCTGCATGCGGGCCGACGATCCCGCGGTGATTCGATACATCACCGAGACGATGCGGGGAAAAGAGCAGGGCTGCATCCCATTCCTGCCGCCGCCCGCCTTGACGATCGCCGATCTCGCGGTCGAAGAATTTTTTTGGTCTTCTGTTGCAAATGGAATCTCGCAAGATGACCTGGATCAGTCCCAAGTGGCACAACTTGCCGTGCTGATGCTCGAAGACCTCGAAGATACGAAGATTGCAGAACTGGCAGCGACGACCGACGGGAGGAACGAAGAGGAAAAAAAAACTTTACAGTGGTTGCGTGATCCGAAAGTTTTGGCAGAGCAGCGGAGGCGGGCGAAATTGATCCAGGCAGAGTGGTCGTCCAGGACGGGGGAAAAGAACAACTGGAGTAGACACGAGGGCAGTAGATCCAAGCGCTTTGTGCCACGAATCCTGTCGCGATCGGAACAGAAGAAGCTCGCGGAGCTGGACAGTGCTTCGTCGTCGGCCGCGGAGCCGACTGCGGAAGAACGGCTGCAGGAGGCGCTGGAGCTGATCTCGCGCAAACGCATGAAGTTTCGGCGGGTCATTCGAGGCGCAAATCTTCTGCGGCGCGCTGGCATGCTCGAATTCGGGCAGGGCGGCGGAGTACGCATCCTGACCCACGGTTCCCACATGGTGTTTCACGGCAGGGGCGGCTCAACCACGCTCGTGCGGGAGCACAAAGGATCAGCGCGCATTACGGCGCCGACCTTCATCAAGAAAATGGGAGCACTGATGGCTGTCGGTGAAGACAAGAAATGTGCTGGAGGTGGTTAATGAACGGATACTAGGGATGAAGAACTAGAAACAGTGATGCTTTTTCAATAAAAATGCTGAGGAGTGTGGACGCATGCAAATGATCAAAAACCACACCAAGATAGGCCGCCAAATAGCAGGAAAGGCCCCTCCTGCGCTGCAGCCTCTGCCCGGCTGTGGAGTTTGTTCCTTCTTGTTGCGCTGCAGCATCTGTGCTGGATCGATACAAAAAAGATAATTCTTTTGTTGTTCTGTGTGAGGCTGAGGTGCGCTGTAGTTGTTTTTGATGATCAGCGAGAGGGCAAGCTCTGGATCTGACGTCCTTTCGATCTGCGTCTTCTACTTTTATGAATGCCTTGTACCTAGCCGCAGGCTTCGAGGATGTTGAAGTCCGGACCTTGAATAAAAAGTAGCGCCATATTGCAACACTTAGGTAAACAAGGTAGCTCTGGATGCATCATTTACAGTCAGGCTCGCATGAAGGAGCGGAACAAGATCAAGAAGATCAAGATCTAGATCCTGAATTCAAAAGTGGAAAAGTCTGTAGAATATTGAATGCGTCGTATTGTTGTTCGTCTATCTGCTGGAGAGTGAATCTGATCCTGCAAGACGTCGTTTTCCTCTCGCTCCGACGTTTGAGAATCAATTCATTGGAATTTCTTGTAAGTACATCATTCCCATTCGCAGTTGCATTTCTACGACACCATGGCCTCCCTCAGCGAACTGCCGGCGGGCGAGGCGAAGCAGCAGCAATCGGAAGAGCGGTCAGTCGAAGCCAGTTCGAAGAAGAACGGAAGCGCTTCCGCCAGCCCGCAAACGGAAGCGGCTGCTGGAATTGCAAATCGTTCCACCTCCGAGATCTTCATAGAGAAACGCTTCGTAGTACTTTTGCGCAAGGCTTTCTCTGGTGAAGAAAAAAAGTTTTGCGTTGACGCTGAGAAAGTGAAGTGTTTCGCGGACCTGGCCCAGTTTGTGCCACAGTTTTACACACAGGAAACCGACGAACTTTGCCCGCCGTCGTCGCGGCTGCTCTGGTTGGCAGGCGAAGACGAGCCTGCAGAAGACAGAGACAGCACAGAAAATCATGCGCCACTTGAAGATGGTGATGGAGGCGAGCAGGGCGACCCGCCGCAGCTCCCTGCCGCGTCCGATGCTTCCGCTTTTTTCGCACACAGTGACGAACTGGTGTTCAATGCGGACGGAGAGGCTGTCTATCGCTTCATGGTCAAAGTCGAGGGGCCGTCCGGCAACCTGATGGAGGTCGAGGAAAGCAGCGACGACGAGTATTCGGTGTCCGAACAGGAGGTACCACCGCGGCGCGTCCCACAGAAACCCGAGCAGATCAAAAATATCGCCGCAGCAGAGAATTGGTTGTATGACAGGCTTTACCGCTACTTTTTGCTCCGCGAAGACTCGGACGAATTCGAACAAACATACGGGCGGGATCCGCCGCGTGCGTATTATCCGGATTGCGACGGAATGCAACAGGACAGGCGTTCGATTGGAGCTGTAGTCCAGGCACTTCTTCCGTTGCAGTACAGCAATCGGCCCCACCAGAGAAAGTTCGAGTGTGTCGCTTACCCACTCTTGGCCCGTGACTTCGAAAGGCATCTTCCGGCATGGAGGTTGTTGGCCGCAGTGCTGAGTCTAAATGACACAGAGTGGATTAAGCACGGGTGGCTGCCACCTGGGGGAATTAGTTCCGGAAAGGAGCAGCGCCAGCAGTACTGCGAAAAAATTATTCTCGAGCTAGCAAACTACAACCGCGATTCGGACATTCTGCGTCGTGTCATTGTTCCCGCACTGGATCAGGTGACTAACTGGGATGGGTTTCCTTTCGCGGAGTTTGCAAAGCGGGCCATTCCAGTACTGTTTTCTCCGATTCGGGGCACGAGCACGGCCGCCTTGCTACTGGAGCGTGTCGGACAGTCTCGCTCCCGCTTAGAAAAAATTTGTGCAGGCTGCAAGAGTGCTATTCGCCATGAATACAAGAAATGGAGTTTCAAGCCTTGGGAAGAAGACTTACATCAACACCTAAAAACCTGGGTCGGGTTTTTTGTTGACAAATTGGCGGTGGCTGGATTCCCCGACCTTGGTCGAGATTTGAGTGCGTTTCTGGAAACGGTGCATGACGATGTGAAGACAGTAAACCGGCAGGTGAGGCAATTGCAGGAGAAGCTCACAGAGCCCGAAGGAACCCCCTCGAGTAGATCCATGTGGGAAGAGAAACTGCAGAGGCTGGAGGACGAAGCACATTAATTTGAATCACCGATGCGAAAACGGCAGCTAGAAGTTGTTCGAGTTTCATATGCGCACTAGATAGTGCTGGTGCTCCTCTTATTGGAGGTTTTTTTGTTTTGCGTTGCCTCGAGTGACCGTATAACTTTTGCTATTGTTCCGTGGTCTTGGATCGATATTGCGCGTATCAGTCGATGATCGGCTTCTACTTGTCTTCGTAAGAAGATCTCTATGGTCCGCTAGCTTTTGATTCCACTGCGGCCCGCCTTGTGTACCTGGTCTGAGTTTCTAAGGATGCCTATTGTTCCGCGGAGTAGCCAGAGTGAGACTTTCATTGGCATACCTTTTTCGGCCAAATGCGAATACGAAGCCCAAGATCATAAATTGGAGAATGGGAAACGGAAAGTAAAAGTAAAACGAGTATTCTATGCGGCCTACTGCTAATCATCTATCTGCGAAGAAATCCGGGAAGTCAATCTATACCCTCCAAGAAGTCTTTTTCCTCTCCTACACTTGAGAATTTGTATTGAGTTTCTTGTACTTACATCATAAATTCATGTTTCATTCCTACGACGCCATGGCCTCCCTAACAAGTGAACTGCCGCCGGGCGAGGAGGTGGAGCTGCAGCAATCGGAAGAGCCGTCAGTCGAGGCCTGTTTGAAGACAAAGAAGTCGACAGCAAAAGACGGAAGCGCTACTGCCAGCTCTCAAGCGGCCGACAAGAATCCGGCTGTTCCAACCGCAAGTGCCTCCAAAGTGGACAAGAAAGTCGTGATTCTGCGCAAAGGGCTGTCCGGTGAGGAAAAAAAGTTCTGTATTGACACCGAAAAGGTTAAGTGTGTTGCAGACCTGGCCCAGTTATTTGTGCCAACCTTTTACACGAGCGAAAGCGACGAACTTTGCCCGCCGTCTTCGCGGCTGCTCTGGTTGGCAGGCGAAGACGAGCCTGCAGAGGAAGACAGAGACAGCGCAGATGAAAATCATTCGCCACTTGAAGATGGTGATGGAGGCGAGCAGGGCGACCCGCCGCAGCTCCCGGCCTCGTCCGATGCTTCCGCTTTTTTTGCACATAGTGAGGAACTGGTGTTCAGTGCGGACGGAGAGGCTGTCTATCGCTTCATGGTCAAAGTCGAGGGGCCGTCCGGCAACCTGATGGAGGTCGAGGAAAGCAGCGACGACGAGTATTCGGTGTCCGAACAGGAGGTACTACCGCGGCGCGTGCCACAGGAACCCGAGAAGATCAAAAGTATCGCCGCAGCGGAGAACTGGTTGTATGACAGGTTTTACCGCTATTTTTTGCTCCCCGGGAACTCGGACGAATTCAAAGAAACGTATGGGCCGGAGCGGCTCGTGCGTCAGCGGGAGCGGACGTACTACAACGACGCCGGAACTACAAGGAGGACCGACGTGGGTGCCGAAGTGCAAGCGCTGCTTCCACCGCAATATGCTGATCAGCCCGACTCGAGAAAGTTTCAGTATGTCGTCTACAGCAAGGCGAGCACGGAGTTCAAAATCCATAGCCGAGCATGGCCGTTGTTGGCCGTAGTCTTGCGCCTAAGTGACACAGAGTGGATCAAGCACGGATGGCTACCGCCCAGCGGAGTGAGTGGCTTCTCAGAAGTGCGGCAGCGGTACTGCGAAGGCATTCTCTTCGAGCTTGCAGACTCCCGCAGCGATGCGAAGGAGGCGCTGCTCCGTTTTGTCATCGGCCCCGCACTGGATCAAGTCACTGACTGGGACAGGTTTCGTTTCGCGCAATTTGCAAATCGGACGGCAAGAAACTTCTGCGAGTTCCCTGTTTTTCCTCCTGAGGACCCGTCGCTACCGGTGGCGCGTCTTGTTTTCGAGCGTCTCGGGAATTCCCGCTCCCGCTTAGAAAAAGTGTATGAGGGTTGCAAGAGTGTCATCCGTCAGAGGTACAAGGAACGAAATTTCAAGGCCAACCCTAATTCCCGGTTTCCGCCACCTGATCCATTACACCCGGAGCCGACTCTGTACCGTTTTCGAGACGAGCGGCCTTCCGTTAGGCGCACGTTTGTGCCGCATTGGATCGAGGTTCAGTTAAAAGAGCGCTTGAAATCTTGGCTGGATGAGGTGTTTGTCGATAAATTTGCAGCGGCTGGATTTCCTGACCTCGGGAAGGGCCTGCATGCGTTTTTAGACACTGTGCATGGCGAGGTGACGAGCGCAAGCCGGCAGGTTGGGAAATTACTGCAGAGCCTCACGGAACCAGAGGAAAATGATCTCTCGCGCAAAAGCGGAGATGAGGAGAACAGACAAGAAGCAGAGGATAAATAAAAGTGAAAACCATGATACCAGGGAACAAAACAGAGTCAAAACGCTGGAGAAGAAATGACTCGCCAGCATATGGATAGTGGCCTGATCTTTACATAAGTACATACGGGGACGACGCGCAGAAAGCAGGACAGGGCGTGTCCATAGTGTGTTTTCGTCCTACGTTCTTCATGGTCTTCTTTCGGGGTCCTCGATCCAGATATTGTGTGTGTCGCTCGCGATGGACGATCTCACGAATAGAACCGATCCGTTTGCTTGTTGCAATGAGATCTCTATTTTTTGGACTACGGTAGTACGGCGCCAGGGCCAGGTGCAGTTTATGAATGAGGACTTTTTTTTCCTGTGAGAGAGAGACAGTCTTACCTTTCCCGGAACATACGTCTGGAGTCAGATGCAGATGTTGTGAGTTGTTGTGCTCCTGCAAGTTCTTCAACATGAGATTTTCTATCGATCTTTCCTTTTGGAAGTAAAATTCTACGCCGGCTTTCCACAGCAAATTTTTTTCAACCATCCACTTTCATTTTATTGAGATACGACGGACACCATGGTCTCCGTTTCCTCCAGTTAAAGTGAATCTCCAGGGCTCCCGAGTGGCAACAGGATGAATCCGCAGACTGGTGCCGCCAAGCGGGTGGTCATTCAGAACGGCGGCGTGGAGAAGCAGGTTGAGATTGTTGCTGACGGCTACCTGGACCGTGGGAACGTGGTGACCGGACAAATCGACCTGCTGATCGAAGAGTTGCAGGCCCTCAGCCTGCGGCTGACAAACGAAAACTTCAAAGACGAGATCGCGCAGCAGGCGGAACACACCAAACGCACGAAGCCGGCCAGTCGCGCGATTCTCGCGCACCAGCAGCGGCTGCAGATGGTGCAGGCCCTCCAGCGGAAAGTGAATGCTGCGTTTCCCTACGGGGGGAAGGAGCACCCGTACCCCGCAATCCTGAACTTCGAAGGGCCAGAGGAGGCCGGCGTGTCCAGACTGCGGTCCGTCGGGGAGTTGCCGGCCATCACGACGCTTCTCGGCGAACACCTGCTGCAAAGCGGCCTGTTTGAGTCGTTCGAAACGTTTCGGCAAGAGGTGGAGCGCCAGGTTCACGACTCGTTTGCCGAGGACGGGGAAAACTACCGGCACAGCTTGGCTTTCGGTGCGGAGGAATCGGGAGAAAAGGATAAGAACGGCGACACTACTTACGAGGGAGCCGGTGGACAGCGGCAGCATGGAACACAAGAAGAGCAGGCACAGGAGAATTATAGGAATGACATTTACGGAAATTATGACGAAGATTACGACGAGGAAGAGGTCTGGAACGAAGATTCCACTACACGACAAAAACCGGCAGATCAAATCGATGAATTTCATTTTCTGTTCACCAACCCCTCGTCTTTCCAGCGGTTTTTTCAAGCGCACGAATCCGGACCGGGAGGCGGTTTTTTTGCGGGCTACGGCAATGCGGTCTTCGCGGTTGAGGAGGACGAGGGTGGCGACGCCGTGCGCTGCAGCAGCGTGGGCGACGTGATTTCCGCGTCCTGGGCCTTCGCACTGAAGACGCTGAAGGAGCTGTGCAAGTGCTGCGACCTCCATCCTGATGTTTTGGATTCATCATCCTCGGCCGCGACAGGCAAAAATGACGAGCGACAGGAGCATTTATTCGGTTCGAAGAAGCTGGATCCATTGTTCCGGTATCTGGCCCACGTGAAGCACCAGTTTCAGACAAGCCTGAACATTTTGGGCGAAGTGGTCTGGAGCGAAAACTGCTGGGCCAGCGTAGCGCACGAGGGGCATCTGCTGTCCTGTTTCGAGTTCGAGCTGTTAGTCTGCAAGTACATGCAGATGCTGTTGTCTTGCTTTGCAAGAACATCAAACACGGGCTCTTCAACCTCTACTGCGTCTCTCAGCACACAGAGGCTCGAGGCGTTTCAGTTCGCGCAGAAAAGCTTCGCGCCCTTCCTGAAATGCCGCGGACAGGAGGTGGGGCGGTTGCTGACGCTTTCGACGCTGCAAGCGAATGGGGAGGTACTGTTGAAGAGAACACTTCAAAAGCGCCTCACTGTGCTGAGGAATTTGCTGAGAAAGGTTTTTTTCCTGACCACCGAAGTGCCGGCTTTGTCCCAAGAGCAGCTTGTGAACTATGATGAGATGGTGGAGCTTCATTATGACGTTTTGGTGAAATCGGGTATCAAAATTTCACCCGACAACACCTTCAAGCGCACGGCGCAGCCAGGCACCGGAAACACAGCGGCGCAACTAGGAAGACACAAAAATCGCAATGGTCGTGACCTCCAGAAGAGTTCATCTTCTTTCCTCGCCTCCGCTTCCGGTGGAGCAGACAACGGAACGGGCTCCGCACGCTCTCCCGGAGGTGGCCACGGCTACAACAGTCGTCAGGGGCATCAACCCGCCCAGGGAGAGATGTGGCCACCGAGTTTAAAGCGTAGGCGCAGCACGGACGAAGATGCTGTCGACCACCAGCACCACGCGTGGCCGTCGCAGGTGGAACCGAGGTCGCTCCTGCCACCGACCAGACCTATGTTTCCGGACATAACCCCCTTTCCGCTACTCGTGCCAGCCAGCGACGACTACTACGACGTGTTGAACGTCAGAGACGAAGACGACGACGATGACACCGATAGCACATCGAGCACAGACCAACGGGCAGCGGACGACAAGAATGTCGCAGAGGAAGCCCTTTCTTCTCGCTGCGAAGTGAACCCGGAATGGATCGACATCGACTATGCCAGACATGTCGCTGCGGTCGAAAGGATTTTGACGGAAGATGAACCGCTGGAGCAGGGTTGTGCCAATGGTGCGGCCACCGGTTCAGAAGTACTAGAGGAAAACTACAGTCCGCCGGGCTTGGGACCAGCACGTCATCAGCTCCGGCGTCCGTACAATTCCGCCTCCATGAATCTTCACGCCAGAGCCTTGCCAGCGTATCTGCAGGACGAAGAGGAAGATGCGTTTTTCACACGAAATCTGAACCTGAGCGGAGTTGCGCCGCCTAGCGTCGAGCCGCCATACTGGGGGCCCGGTGGGCGTGCGTGCTTGGCTCATTACTGGGCAGCGCCGCCGTCTTCGCAACATAGAACGACCTCGGGCCTTGCGCTAGATTATGACGAGTATGATGAGCCAGCCGACGACGATAGTAACTCGAGCTTCAGCGTAGTTGACAGTTCGGCGGAGCGGTCTCCGCACGAGGGGGTCATGCAAGAAGACACCGCAACATCCTATTTGTCCAACACAGAGTTTTTCCCCCAGCAAGGTCTTGTTCCCGACGTGCAACTGGCATCCTACTACCTCTGGGCGCGGGCGGACGCTGGGCTTGAGCGAGACCATTCCCCGCTCCGCAGTCCGCGTCGGAACCGCTCCGGATCGGTCTCCTCGGTATCCAGTGCGCCGTCTAGGGGAGTACGTCCGCGGAGAAATCGACGGAGAAGTCGGTCAGCGACGCGGCGAAGGCGAAGCGAGTCTGTTGAGTCCGTGGAGGGGAACAAGGAGGTGCCACTATACTTTTCATGCAGTCGTGGAGGTCATCCTCATCTTCTCTGCAGCTGCACTTTATGTATGATTCTTTGAAGACATACACATAGTTATTGACTTGAACTCCTACAGTAGTTTTCTAGGGCTACTGCAATGAAAATATAAAACATCAGAGCAAAGAAAGTAAAATTGAAATCCACCAATCGCAGGACGTCGAGATGGTAGATTCCCGCGACGCGAGCGCTGCGCGCAAATCCGCCGAGGTGATGCACGCGCAGGCGGAAGCGATTTCGTACCTCGTCCGGGAGGCCCACTACGAAAAAAAAGACAATGCGGCCAGAGCGGCGCGCCCGCGCGGGATTTTCCAAAGCTTCGGGGCGAATCTGAATCGGAACGCGCAGCTTTTTCCGCGGTACAATCCCCTGTCCGCAGCCTACGCCGGTTCCACTCTGGACGATCCCACGAGTCCGGGTGGTGACAAATCGTTCGGGAGAGCAGGAGGAGAAGATTTGTCAGAAGTTTTCACCACCGTTTCGCTGAAGCACCGAAGGGAACTGCGGCCCACCTCCCGGACGATGCAATCATGGCACAGAGGCCCCGGAGCAAGACGTAAAATTGCTTCTGACCATGCCGCAGCGGAGATGAATTATTCCAAAGGGAAGGGCCCGCTGAATAAAGCAGCGCACCATCCGAAAGCGGACGCAACATCAGTTCTGACACAGGAACAACAAGCCTTTTATGAGCCACCGGAGGAAGACGCGTTGTTGAACCTATGAAAGTGCACAACTCCCCCTCCGCCTCATTTGTATAGCATGAACGGCAATACAAGCGTCAGCCAGAGTGCCGGTTTTGCATGACAGATTATTTACACTGGAGAGTAGTGCTATTTGGGCTGCCAGAACTTGTCATGCAAACAGTGCCACATGACAGCGACTAGATTCGGGGTTTTGCATGACAAACGAGGGGGAGGGGGAGTTGTGCACTGCTATAGAACCCGAGCAGTCACTACCTGATGCTGGTGAGCAGACCCCATCTGCGGATGCAGCAGATGTCGCAGAAATCGCTGCTGTCGGTCATTCTGGACGCGGGCCAGCAGGCCCTGCCGAAGATTCTGGAGTACCACCAGTGGTGCGTGGACCAGGACAAGGGTCTCTCCACGGGCAACTGGTCGCTGACCACGGCCGTTGTCGGCGACACGCTGCCGGTCACCCTGGATTCGCCTCCGGAATTCGCCTACGCCAGCAACTTCGTTTGTCCGGTTATGCAAGAGAAAAACTGTGTAAGTGTAAATCTGTAATGCAGAACACGCAACAGATTTACACCTGTCATGCCAGACAGCCACGAAGTTCTCTTTTCATGTGTGTTTTCCCTTACAAGCCACGCATGACAGGTTTTCTCTGTCATGTAGAGCAAATTTGTGATGCTGTCAGCCAATGATACTTACACTAACACAGTTTTTTTCTTGGATAGCGGTCAACCGTTCGCTGACCAGAACTCCCTACCTCCTCGCGTGCGGCCACGTCCTGTCCAGGGAGTGCGTGGACCGTCTGAGCAGAAACGCGCGCGCCTCCTTCAAGTGCCCCTTCTGCCCGCGCCAGCAGAACTCCGCGGCCGCCCTGCCCATCAAATTTGCGCAGAACTATTGAGAAGCCATTGATGCGCCGGGTAGGAGGAAGTGAGGACGAGATGACATGAGACTCTTCTCTACAGAGGCACTGCTGCCACACGATGTTTATTTTCCACCTGGATGAACAACAGTTCGTTCTTCTTTTCGACTCGAACATGAAGCACGGCCACAGACTAGTACACTCGGACTGCCTTCTTCGTGAAGTAAGTACAAATCTTCACAGTGCTCGATAAATTCGGCGCTCCTTTGGAATTCAACCTTTATCCTGGTTCTGAAAAGTTTCTGCGATCGTACATGAAGTTCATAGTTCAATCGCGAGCGCTTACACGCAAAATCGAAGAAGCCTACCGATACAAATGTGAAATGCTCGTATAATTTTACCCGTCAGATCACTCTAGCGCTTTTCCTTTTTGAGAGTTTTAATGCGAAATTGAAGATCTTCCTCTTCATCTCTGAGAAAGGTTCACATTTGGCGGTATTTGCAAGCAGTCATCCAATTCTGCGTTCATCATGGCGGCTGTTTTTTTTTTGGATTTAGATAGTCAGTCTCAGTAAACATCATTTTTTTCGCTTGTCCGACTAAGGAAGAGACGCACTCAACGCAGTGACTTGGTTTCGCAGTTTATTCGTCCAAGTACTACTGTTGAAAATGGAGTTAGTAGTAGACCACAGTGTTTTTGCAAAACTTATGCAAAGTCTTACACATCAGCGTTTTTCTACTACCGCTAGATTCATGAGCCATGTGGACTGACGTTCTGTCAGACGACTCCTCGTGGAAAAAGTGGCGCGCGAACTCGAAAGAACGAAAGCAGGAGCATACGACAAGAGACGGACATTCAACGAGCGAAGTGCGGCCGCAGGAACAGGAGCACGATAATTTCAGCAAAAATTCGCATCCGGTTATTGCGGACGCCTCGGGCAGTGCCTCAGCGACAACTGCGACTCTCGGCGGCGACGAGTGTGGACAAGCTACTCTCGGACAAGAAGCAACATCCTCTTTTTCCATACCAGCTGGGCTGCCAGTACAAAGCCGGATGAACAACCTGGACCATTCGTCAAACATGACAGCAGATCAGGGCAACAAGAGCCAGCCTTCGTGCCGGGACACCAGCATGGCTTCTCCAGCGACGCCCACGCTGGGGTCTAGTGGCAAACAACCGAAGAACTACACCAGGGATCACCAAAACGTTGGCGCGAATGGTGCGGAGGAGAATCCTACTCTCCGCCAAGCTGGATACAGTGAGAGGCATCCGCAGACCGTTTCGTCTGCCTCCGCGTCTTCGTCAAGATCCGGCACCACTGTGGTCCCCCACACGGCATCTTCAAAAACCGCTCGTCCAGGCACTTATTGTTCCTACACCCGTCCCATGCCTGATTCCGTGTGGAGCACCGCCTCCAGTTCAACGCGAGACTCCCGCGCCACGGTTTCGTCCAGCAGTAACGCTGGTGGCTGGGAGGAGGAGCGACCACATTGGCCACAAGAACCGGAAATACGAAATTGTGAGATGGATGATCATGAGAAGCCTCCTTTGGAGATGCAAATGCAATCGCAGCCGCCGGCTGGACCGACGACGCCGGACGAAGACTCCATGTGTTGCGAAGACGCAGAGGAGGTTTTGGAGGGAATAAACGACCAGCAGGCTGCGATTGTGGAGGACCTCGTAGACGTCGATTATGACAACAAGGCGGTGATCGAGCGGCAACCTGTAGGAGTACAACAAACAGGTCACGATCGAAATACGGCTTGTTTAGACCCAGGAGCTCAACCTCGTGAGCAAATAGAAATCCGACATATAGCACCAGCTGCGACCACCGGGACATCAATAAGCTACGGAAGTACAATAAAGAGCGACGCGAGTATATCGTAAGGAAAAATCCCCCCTCCCCATATCAAAACGATGTTTCTGATGCTGGATTTGTGTACACGAATCAGATTTGTCGTGCTGGCGAGGACTGCAGGCCCATATCAAGCCTCAGTAGACAGGTTTTGGCCTAGGCGATTAGCTAGACAGACGTCTACGCTGTAGGAGCAACAGCATGACAAACCGCCTATAGAATGTGGCGGAGCCTGTAGATTTGCCTTCATGCAATACAGCGACGATTTGTGGTCTCAAATCAGCATCACAAATTTTCAGAAGTATCCCGGTTTGGTATGGGGAGGGGGGATTTTTCCTCACAATAGAGTACTATTCGGGATGTGGATTCCACGCACCTGTCCACCCCTAGAGACCTCCACAGCGCAGGGTGGCCCAGCCCGGGGAGCAGCGTGGTGGGGCAGGAGGAAAATCATACTTCTATTTGTACACCGGAACAACAAGAAGCTGTTGATCATGGTGCGACTATGGAGGTTGATACAGTAGAGAATTCAACATCCCAGCATGGAGCCGAATATCAATACAACAGAACAGGGGTAGAACTACAACGAGATGAACACGACCAAACGTATGAAATAAACCGAGCGAGGAATAATGTGCAGCATCACATCCAGCAAGATGCAACGCTCCACATCAACCAGTGCGCCGCTGAGCAAAATTTTCCATCTACGTCTCATGGTTACCAACAAACTCAAGTTTCAGTTTCACACGGAAATCCTAGCGCTGCGGCCCACAATTTGCAACGGACCGAGACATACTTGAGCTACTCGAGCCAAGGGAGCGTGGCATCATCTGCAGTGGATCTTCAGCCGGATCATGCTGGGAACAACTACGCCGGCGGGAACAACGCGGCTAGTGCGGCTTCCTCGGGAGGCCAAGAAGCACAGCCACAGCACCAACAGTTTGTTCACCCGCCCAACATGATGAACAACTACACCAGCGACACAACACCAGCGACCAGCAGCGCGCAAGCGATGCAGCAAGATGAACCCATGCAGACAGACGAATTGGTGATGGAACAGGAGCAACAGAAGGAAGTTCTACCGTCCGCTCCTCCTTCCAGCAATCAGAATCTAAGCGCCGCGGGCAGCGTTGGAAGCAGAACGGACTGGAAGTCCATCGATGCGACAACGTTTGTGGCTTCGCACCCCGCCAAGGGACGTTGTCTCTTCACTGCGAAACCGTTCGCCGCGGGGCAGCCAATCTTCGCTGAACCGCCCACATTAGTCGCGGTGCAAAGCATGCACACAGACTTATGGGACCAGTTGGACCGAATGCACAAAGGAAACACGTTCTGTCTGGGAAGTTTCACGTTTCACTACGCGGCGCTCCTCAGCTGGATTCTGCTTGGCGAAGCCGACTTGCGTATTTCGAGTGTTTTTTCATTTGTCATATAAATATGCGTCTCGACTTTTGCCAGAACGGCTCTAAATGGTACTATACCCGTGTTTGTCAGGAGAAAAACTCAAGATGGTTAAAAAGCACAGCTACGCTTCGCACCTTTTTTTCTGCCCTTCTCGATGATGTTGCGAAAACGTCGAAAATGCATTCATCAAACCTAGGTGTTATTCTAGACAAATTCGTTCCGGACGAGGACACGGAGGACGAATCCGTGAAGACCGACGTCGTCCGAATTCTGAGGAGCGCGCGATTGCAGACCATCTTCGCGAATTCCCGGGCGCAGGTGGCCGCCCGGATGCCGGCGAGCCAGATGCACACCCTAGAGCTGACGGAGAAGCTATTACAATGAAAAATGCCCCCACCCCCGAACTTGGGGGCATTTGTATTGCAAACCTTTCCAAATGAAACATTCGCCCTCAAGCATCTATCAGCATCACAGGTTTCCAATCGTGAATAGGAAAAATTTGTATTGCAAAAGACCCCAACAAGAGCAGCGCTTGTGATGCAAGCGATGCGATGCACGCCTAGACTCTGCATCAGAAAGGTTCAGACTCCTTTAATGCATGATAAAAAGTTTTCATTTGGAAACTTCGCATCACAAGCTGTTGCAACTCTGGGGGTGGGGGCATTCTTCACTGTAATAGAAGCTCTTCTCCACGCTTGTCGGCGCGTGGCGGTACAACAGTTTCGGCCACCACACGGAAGTATCAAATGTAAAAATGTCTGGGTCTGGAAGATTTCTAGATTTGTCATGCATATTTTCCATGACCCATGATGTCTGTGATGCATGCCGTAGCATCACAGATTTTTAGAGTGCTTTGTGATGCCTCTACAGCATGAGAAATGACCTCTCCGCGTAGCACAAACTGGAGTCCTCTTGCTGGTCATGCAATACAATTTTTTTCAGAATCCAGAGACAGCATCACAAGTTTAGAATGTTCCAGACCCAGACATTTTTACATTTGATAGGAAGAGGGGCTGGTTCTGTACAACCGAATCAGTATGATCGCGCACGGCTGCGACCCGAATTGTTGCTGGACCTACGGGGAGGGCGACAGCTTCGTGTTGCGGGCCCGACGGGCGCTGAGGGAACAGGAGGAGCTCACGATTAGCTACCTGCAGGACGAGGATCTGCTGAAGGCCTGCAACATTCGTCGCAAAAAACTGGAAAACTGGAAGTTCTTCTGCAAATGCGACCGATGCGAGGTACGAAATAGATGTAATTTTTGGGCAGATGCTTATTTTGAAAGCTTTCTTTATTCGGGGCTTTACTTTTTGCACTGAGAAGTTACGTCGTACAGAAACAACTTTCTGACAACCTAATGTAGTAGACTACTAACACAGTCGAGGGCGAATTGTGTGCATTCCATTCATGAACGAAATGTCGTGCCTGGAAAAAAAAACAGGAGTACATCGACCGTATCCGCACCTTCCGGTGCTTGAAGTGTCGTACGGGTGGGCACTCCGTGATGCAGACGCAGACGGGGCCCGTGGACGTGGAGTATGCGCTCACGGCCTGCAATCTGTGCGGCAAGCCCGCCGATGCGGGCGACATTTTCCAGCTGGAACCCGACTACGTGGAGCGGGTGCAGGCCTTGGATCCCGAGAACATCGGCGACATCGAGCTCGTGTACTTGCTAACCTTATTCATTTCTGTAGGAACAACAAGATTTCGTTTCAATTTCATCTGCGTGTCACGCTTTGAGATTTCAATTTGCGTGCATCTTATGTTCTACATATGCATCGAGGAATATGAAGTGGAACTGCTTTGCTGGTGGCTCTTCATCTTTTTTCCCACCGAAGGTTGTGTTTTCCTAGGTCCTCAAATGAAGATCGTGTCCATAATAAAATATTAACCACAGGTACTCTGCCGCGTTAGAATTTTTTCACCCCTCGCACTGGTGTGTCTACCACCTTGAGGATCTTTTGCACAACTGCAAGAAGGAGAAAACCGAGTTGAGCCACTTCGAGAACAAGGTGAAGCTTCGGTGTAACGCCGCCTCCACGGCGCACCTGCGAAACAAAATCTCGTTTCACAGTTCGTTCTTCACGCGCCCGACCTTTTTGTGGGCCTGGGCCCTGGAGGAACTGGCCGACCGACGGGTGAACGAGGAGATCGCCCGGGCGCAGGAGAGATGTTTCGCCGGATCGGGGGGCGTGCAGGTGGGCGCGGGGGGGCGGCTGTATGCGAAGTACGAGCCGCCCGCACCGTCACGGCAGGTCGCGGCGCAGCAAATGGAGGTAGCGCACCTCGTCGAGTGCCTCACCTACTACCGCCAGGCGCAATCCTTGTTGAGCATCCTCTGCGGCGAAAACCACGAGCTTGTGCGAGGCGCGAGCGAAAAAGCGACTGGCATGGACGAGGCGCTGCGCAAAGTAAACGAAAAGCATACCTGAAGTCTGTAGGCTTCTTGTATGTTGTGTGTATCACGAACGCGACATCTGTAAACAAACGAAACGAAAGGAATACAATATGAAGTAAATCGAAGTACTTATAATAGTGTTGTAAGGACGAAGCCGAAGGCGTCCTCGCAATGACAGTCTACCTGCGCCGCTACGTGGCGAGCCTTTGTTCCTAGTGTAGCATTCGATGCAGTGACCATTCTGAGAGCCCATACCCCTTGCGCCTCTATGGCAGAAGTTTTTTTGTCTTGACGTTTATCTTGGTTTTTGTCCCACCTTGTAGTCGTGCTACTTAATCATAATCAGCAGAAGCAAGATGATCTTGAGGGTGTTTCTGTCGAGCCTGCGTTTTGTACGTTTTTTCTTCGCCCTCGGAAATTATAAAAGTTATGCCGCAGCGGCTGCAACACCAGTAACGAAGAATGTGATTTGGATCGGCGATTCTGTCACCCGCTACACATACCTGGATTATGTGTACCGGAAGCACAGCAACTCTGCGACGCCACCTTCCCTTCTGTGGGAAGGCTTTCACGGGAACTGGACTTCGTACTACAAGGCGTCCACCGCTGCCTTCAACGGTTCGATGCGGTGCGAGTGTTTCCGCGAGGGCCGGGAGGTTCCGACCATGGAAGCAATCGAAGCCGAGGCGAAGAAAACGAAGGTTTGGCCCCCGCCCTGGGTAAAAACGGTCGTCGAGAATCGTTTTTGGTCGGATAGATATAAAAACGAAGGCACGTCGTCGTTGACCAACACCACCACCGAGAGTCACACCTTCTTCAGCTACATCGGCGATTTTGGGGGTTGCCGCGGCATCACAAACGACATTCCTTCTGGCTGGAGGTTCCCGCGCGTGACCAGCGTGAACACGCCGGCGTGGCAGTTCGCCTACGAAAATTTAGATCTGGAGTTTGCGTTGCGCTTCTTGATTCCAAAGCTGAAGCCAACGCACTTGATATTGAATCTCGGGTGGTGGCCGCACACAAGAGACTTTCCAAAACTGGAGCGCATTTTCTCCGCTGCGAGAGACGCGATTGTTGAGACACCTGCCGGTGGCACGCGCACGGGTGATGGTGTACGAGGTTCGGACCAGCAGGGAGAAGAGACAAAGACGAAGCCGCGTCGTGTGCTGTGGAAGGGCGGAACGCCGTCCCGGGACAACGAGCGGCCGTTCTATGCAGAGACGGAAGACCGGGTGCGCCATCTGGCCCGGACTAGAGGTGCCGAGCTGTCATTGCAGTATGTTGGGTTTCCAAAACCTCGGGAACAGATCACAAAAGAGTGTTTTTGTGATCGCGTGCACTTCTGCTGTCCAGAACTCTATGAGGCACACAATCTCGAGCTACAGCGGTATCTCGATGAATAGAACGGAAACTACAGCTGTACTTTCTGGTGCGCCATGCAAAAGTAAGAGGTTTGTTCCTGGACGACTGGGCTCTCGCATTCGCAATTTCCCGCTGATCTAGCCTGAATTTTTCCTCGGCAAAATCTCGCTTTCGTAATCGTTTCGCACTCTTCGCAAGCATAAGCGCAATCAGACGCTCAACTCTTGTTCGTAACTTGGTAGTTCCTTATTTCGAACTTGTCTTTTTGTTTTTAACGACTTGTGTTGTATGATCACATGTAGGGTTTGCTCAGTACTAGCAAGTACGATTTGATTTTGCAAAGGAACAAACGCAGCCCCTGGTTCTTGCGTCATAAGCAAGTGTCAAAATAATGACTGGTCTTCTTGCGGACCCGACGCCACCAGCCAAGGGGACGAGTCAGGCCTCGTCCTCCTCCTCCTACGACCCAACGCTTTGGGAGGAGATGGAGTGGTTGCTGGAACCGACCCAGTTGATAACGAAACACGGCTTTGATATTGGCGATGTAGTCGTTTTCCTCGGCGGCGTTTTGATTTCGAAAGTCGGCGCCTACGCCTGCGCGGTGCGGTTTTGCTGTTACTGGCAGCCCTGTCGACGGTTTCTCACCGGGACACAACCCGGGCGGGCCTTCGTGGACCGGCTGCAGCGCAGGCACCCGTACTTCATCGACTGGTTTCACGCCAAGTCGCAACAATGGGCCGAGCGCGCCATGCTCAAAAAGCAGAAGCGAAGGGAGCGATTTTCAACCGTGATGCGGCCGTTCGGTGCAAGAACGAGTGCAGCAAGCACAACAAACAAGGCCCTTGATGTTGGCTCCATGAGTTGTACAGTGGCGTCGTCGAGTTCTTCATCTGCAAGTGCTGTTTCCAGTGGTGAGACGATGCCGATGACTGGAGGACGTCTCGCGGCGGTGATGCCAACTGCGCCTGAAGCTCTCCATGCTGGTTTTCGGCAGGCAGCGACTAGCCATGGTACGACTAATAGCGGTACCGAGGGAGAGAATAAAGCCGATGAAAATGCAGCCGACTCGCAGTCGCAGAAGCAAGGGCATGTCGGCGTTGGCATGATCGAAGCGGTGGCTATTTTCAAGTGCCTGTGGCCCTTCTGGTTCCCGGCGCACATGCTGCTTACGTTCCGGCTTTATTGCTACCTCAACCAAGACAGGCTGGAGAAACAGCAACGGGAATGGGAGCGGATAGATAAAATGAAAAAGGACGAAAAGCAAAAGAAAAAGGAACAAGAAAACGACAGCGATGAGAAGTTGACTAGCACAATAGAACAAGACAGCGCGGAAATTTTTACGGATGAGATCGAGAGCAAGGCGCAAGTCTAAAGCGAACTAGGCTGTTTGCACAAAGAGCTGCTGCATTTAGTTGTGAAAAACAAAAAGATAAGCAGCGTTGATAAGGTCTCCAAAGCGAGGAGCAATATTAATGTACAACTCGCAGCGCAAAATTCCCGCTAGTTGTTCGGTCGTACTGCTACGAAGAGAATTGAAGCCCATCGGTCGCCTCTGCGTACAACTGTTTTTTCTCGTGTGTATATAATTCCGTACGAAAGAAGTGGAAAAAGTTATTTCGGTGACGTTTTACGTCGAACAGAACGAGCAAGAAGTTTCTTGAGACCACCACGTACAAGAAAAGAACGTTGAGAATTCTGATCGTGCAAAGATTGTACTTACCTGTCAAGCATTCGGTGACTACATCAGACGTATTGCATCGTACAAAGCTTGCGCTTTTTTTTTCCTACGTGGACAGCTAAGCATTCAAAGAAATCAATGAGCTGAAGCAATCGTGAGAGCGGACAAAGGAAAAGCAGGCACAGTAGTTTCATCCATCCGATCGATCCTAACCAGGTCCCGACCCCAAGTCGATTAACGACGAGTCGGTCGCAGTGAAATACTTATTGAGGTCTTCCCGTTTCAACAACACCCTCTCAAGAATTTTGTAGTTTCTTACAAGCAGTCTGACAACTACAATCTACTTTCATCAAGACCCCTCCTGGTTGTTCCGAAGCCATGACGACTCAAAAGTCAATTTTCCACCCCGTGTTGCAGGTGGAGATTCCGGACATGGACAGCGGGTTCGCCAGATGCTGCCACATGATCGAACCGGTTGAAATCTATGACAAGGTATCACGTTGCATTTTTAAAAATACCGGCAAATAATGTTGACAAAATATTCGGGGAGGATGCAACCGCGAACGGTGTGCATAGAGTGTGATAAGTAAAAGCTGTAATGCAATTTCATCTACTTCTTCAAAATCAAAACCGCGACAGGTGCTCGGCATGCTGAAGCACGTAATTAACGCCAACAAGCAATCCGGAGGAAAGGCCCGCAAGGTTCCGCTAGAAGACGAGGGCATGAAGGTAAGTATACGACTTTTTCACTGTGTCAAAGCCCCAGCAACGCTGTCCCTGTCGGAACACAAATGATGCGTCATGCTCTTTTTCTTAGGCACCATGCTGCATCTGGCAATGAGAATTGACAACTCCTACTTGTCCTATTACTCATTGAAAGCAAGTAGCATGACTGGGAAATGATCTACGGTATTCAAAAATACAAAACACGATCAACAGCCCACGATCACCTCCGTGGTGACTTCGATCGAAGCTCTGATGAATCTCGGGTTCGTGTTTGACAAGGAGGAGACCACCCTGGTGCTGCCCGAGGGCAAGTCGATCGACGCCGACGCTTGCATGGCTGAGCTCGAGACGGCGTATAACTGGTATCAGCAGGTGTACGGCCCGCCGTCCGGCGATCCCCGCAACCCGGAAAAGGTAAAGAACCTCGTCGATAAGAACGTACAGTTCCTGAAGCGGGCCCAGGCTTATCACAACAAAATGGCGGACTACTAAAGGGACCAAGGGGAAGTAAGAAGCAAGAGGTAGTACTTTGAGGACGGACGAGTTGGTGAGTGGACGACGGCTACCTTTTTGCACAACTACTTTTAGCTAGACATCTATCTCTCGGTAAGTTGTGCATGTGCTGTGGTCCAGCACCATGAATTTTTTATGCGCGCGCAATAATTTTTTACTTTTGTTGTAAAATCGCTTTTCCGTTACTGTATCAGCTGTACGTCGAAACGTCAAGTTCAAGGTCTATGTCAAACCTGACGTTTCTATGTTTTACGTTTCGCCTCCCACGTTTTTCAACATAAAATCTCTGTTTTGCGGTTTCAAATTCAGTTAATACAGTTCACATTTCTACTCGGTGCGGACGAGTTCCAAGGAGCGTTTGGGAGATGCGTGATGCTTACTAGAAAGAGTTGGTGGGAACGAAGCCCTCACCAATTTTATTTAGGCACTGCTTCTGTACATCTGATCCCCCATTAGGAGTGACTTCGTAGTCCTGGAAGGACCGTGGACCTTGAATGAACATGAGCAACCAAAAATCAGGAGATGGAAGAACGCGCATTGATGTGTTGTGTGTCACTGAAGACAGCAGAACCACGTATCGAATGGGATTGATTGACCGGCGAGGACGGAAATGGCTGTAGTGCGCATCCTCCTCCTCCTGCATAACAGTGTTCATCCTCGTCGTTGCCACGGCTTCACATGCGTTTTGCGCATTTTCAGGCCTCTAGCAATGAATTTTTGCAGAATGGTGCTCGAGGACAATCATTCTCATCGGAGCGTGGAGCGGCGGGCAACAGGATCTTATTCCAGTCCGGTTGCCTGCTCGGTCAAGGAACAAAAGAAAAAGTTCGTGACTAGAAAAAATTTTCGGTATCTCCACTAGATTTGAGTTTTTGTTGTGTCGGGCTTTATTGACCAAGGTCCTGCCATCATGTCCTCTCGGCGCCACCACCCGGTCGTCCTCGTGGAGGGCAAGGTGCGACACCGGTGTGAAACGATAGAGCGCGAAACCATTGCGCTGCGCGAGAAATTAGTTTCCCTCCGCGCCACCTTCGAAGCCGAGCGACACGCGCATCTGCGGGAAGTGGACGAGGCAGGGACCTGCGCGCGCAAAGTGGACGAGCGCACGCTCGAAGCCATGGAGGCGACGCGGACCGCGATGGACACACGCGACGAACAAACCGCAGCAATGAGCAGTTTGTTGGCCGACTTCCGCCGGATGGACGGCAAGCGGGCGGCCTTGTCGCAGAAAGTAACAGCCACGGAGGCGGCGGTACTCACGTTGCAGGGCCGTCTCGACGAAGCGACATCCGCGATCGCGGAGCTCGACCTGACTTGCGCAAAGGAGAACGATTTGTCTGCAGGTAAATTAGAAGGAAAGTAGGTGTTTACGCGTCTCCTTCTGGTTGTGTATAGTATGTATCAACTGGTTATGGGTTGCACGCCGACAAATCCCGCATGCAGTGAAATTTTTTCTGTGTCTTTTAGCGGGAGTTGAACATTCTATCCTTGGGGCAGAAAAAAGTGACCAGCTTTTACTTATTCAGAGCACGACTGGGAGACGCATAAGGACCTGGAGAGTATGAAGGAAAGCCGACGAGCCGCTGAATTTTCTGTGGTAGAAACCAGAGAACAAGCCGCAGCAGAGCGTGCACAGCTGACAAAGTCTTTAAACACCGCCAAGGATGCGCTACAGGACGCGAGGGTACGTACGCAACAATGCATCAAGTGGGAGCAGGATATTAACACGAATTACCTGCACCTGTTGATTCATACAACTGAGTCTACGAATTCTTGAATAATTCTTTTTCCTTCGGATTTGCAGTCAGTTCAAAGCGGTCCAACAGTGCCTAAGCCCACAATCTCAACACGCAGGACCAACTTGTTCGCGACCGTGAGGCTTTGGAAAAAAAACGCGGCAAGCAGCAGGACCTGCTGGAGCGCAAAGAGGCGGCACACCGGCAAAAAATGACGGTGTTTGGGCATGAACGCACAGTACTGGGAGCGAAACTAGCACAGATTGAGCTCCTGAATCAAAAACTGGAAACAAGGCTGGAGTTGAACACATAAATGATAAAGATACGCGGTTTTTTTGCCGTCGAAATTGGTGTCTGTGAAGCTGCCGAAGAAGGCAGCTGCAACGACACGACCGCGGCCAATGAATGAAAAATCGATCCAGAAATACTACAGCGACAGTGTGCACGACAAATGTATCATTCCATATCCTCCATAAAGAGATTCCAACGAAATGCATTGAAAGCAAACGGTCGATTGCGTCTTGCGCAGAGCAGCACCGGCACGGGAAGTCACTGCAGAAATCGTTTTTGGTGGCGTTTATTCGTGTTTTGACTTTTAACCTCGTGTACGTACCTGTGGTTGCTTCCTCCAATGAATGTGGGTCATTCGGTGCATCAATGAATGATACGCGCTTTCCGAAGGTGCAAGTCGCTGCGCCGATGTCAGCAAGGAGAGATCAAATTGAAGACATCGAAGTTTGTGAAATGAAATGTTCGCGTTAGAAATGAATATTGAATCGGTCGCACGAACAAATGTCGATCTACGTGAACGACGAAGAAGAAAGCACCAAATCGATCCTCATTCTAGAGAAATCTCGCCTTTGAATTTAGCGATCCGCACGATCAAGTTTTCGGATTTTCCAGTTTCTCTTCATGCCTTCCTCGTGCTTTCTGGTTTTTCACTTTTACTGTGAGCACCCATAACTGCAGGGGCCAAGAATTTATTTACATCGTCAATACGGACAGCACTTCTAGTAAGTAGAGCCTATATTTTTTCCGCACAACAGTCAGTACTAGCACTAGCTTTCGTAGAAGATAGCTTCATGTCTACGTACGTGACGACCACAAAATCCACTTAATCAAAGCTCCCGTTCTTTCTTAACTCTTACCGTCAATTATACTGATAGTCCTACCATGGTTGAGAGTGACTTCGTACGCGAATGCATCACGCGATTCGCGACCTTGCCGGAGAACGAGCGGGAGGACTTGCTGGTAAGGTTACGCAACGTCCACGCGGAGAAGAAGCAGAGCGAGCAGAGCGCGCCAAGTACTAAAGGCAGCATCTTCGGTGGCAAGGGGACGGGTAAAGGAAAAGGCCAGCCACAATCAAATGGAGGCAGCAGCCAGAGCTCGAGCATTTTCGGCGCGAACCTCAATGCCTTCCCAGCCGGCAGCCCTAGTAGTCCGTTTGCGGTGCAGCCGGTCAGACACGAGCCGGCACTGATAGGGAATGACGCAATAGACGTTTTCTTCCGAGAGGAAGAAGGGTCTGCGCTGCTCACGCGGAACGACTGCGTGAAGCCGGCGAGCCATGCCGAGTTCGTGGCAAAAGTTGCGAATTGGCTCTCATTCGTCTCACAAAGTATAGAGCTTTTTTGGCGGAGATTTTCAATTCGTTTTGATATTGATTCTAGAAATATGTAAGGCAGATCGGGATTCACATTCATTCCCACTCGTGACATCACGAACCCTGAGGTCCTCGTCGTGTCGTGACGGACTTGGAAATAATAAAACGAAAAGTAAAACCGCAAGAATCCATATACAGTTTCCGTCGACAAGGGCATGATCGCGAAATCTTTTGTGAATGCCAGTCCGGAGGAGCGGGGAAGGTTAGAGAGGATATTTCGTCGCGATGCCGACCGGACGATGCTCAACGAGCACAGGAGGCTGCGGTTCATCGAGACGCTGACACTCTGCAACGTGGAGCTTCAAGACTACCACCAGGGGGGCGGATTCATAACCGCGTTTCTGAGTCTCTTCTTAAGACAAGAGGACGTCGCGAGGGTATAGCACTTTTTTTTTTAGTTGTGATTTTGTTTCAAATAAAGTCATACAAACGGAAACGTATTCATTACTGATCGCTGCCCAAACGTTAGCTTCGTTTGCCTACTTGCAGCGCAAAAAGAGATTTTGCGCGCAAAACCATTTTCCAGGTGATTTGGCACCTCCACCGCCACGAGATGGTCGGGTATTTCAAGGGGGCCGCCCAGGGCTTCGTGAGCGACAGCCGGGTATTCCACGAGCTCTTTCGACAGTTCCTGCCGAATCTGAATGCGCACCTGGAGCGACACCAGATGAACAGCGAGAACACGCAGATGTGGTGCATCAAATTCTTCGTCGGAATGGGCGTCCACTTCATGCCTTTCACCATCGTCTTCCAATACTTCGAGGCCTGCCTGCAGCACGGTATTTAGATATGGAAAAAAAAATAAAATGGGTTCTTTTTCTCTACTTTCGCAGTCTATGCAAGCTAGCAAGTTGTACTTACTGACGAGGAGGCAAACAGAAAGAGCAGCTGATCCACGGGAAGCGAAAGTCATTGCATGAACATCAGAAAAAACTTACACCAACAGGGCACGAATTCTTTTTCAAGTTCGGAATATCCTGGCTCCAGCACTTGGAGACGCACCTGATGCTTGCGCGAAGCACGTCGGAGCTGGGTGCGCTGCTCCGGAACGAGCACCCAACGGACCAAACGAAGTCTCACCCTGGGCTCTGGAAAGGCAGCGTCAAGGACGAGATTGAGGCTTTCGAAGAGATTTTGGCCAACGCACACTCGGTGAACCTGAACCGCTTTGGCGACTTCCAGCAGCTGAGAATACGAAAGGCAGCCGAGTTTGAGCAACTGATGATCCAAAGAGCGAAAAGAATGGAAGAGTTGGCCGATGAGGTGGAGAATTGCGAAGGCGACTTCAGCGACGAGGACGACTAGGAGCTGCATTTTAATAGCTCCTCTCACAGGAGCTCTTGAAACCCCGTACGAACGACTTTGATTTGGTATTCACGCAAGCGCACATAATTACATTCATAAGGACATAAACGGATTTTGAAGAACCACCTCACCTTCGAGAGGTCGAGGAATATCCCCCCTCTGAAATGGAGCTGGTGTGGGTGTTCCTTTCCGCTGGCGATTTCCGTGTTTTTTCAATCGTTACATACTCGATGAAATTCAGGATTCCAATCGTCTCAAACTCGTGTTGGTTCTCCTCGTTTCTTGTGCTCGTCGTGATCGTGCTGCAAATTATCGTATGTGTGAAGACAGGTAATAATGATGATTCATCGAGTCGCAATGCGAGTGCACCAATATAATTCGTCTTCATTGTGAGAGCCAGAGCTCGTTTAGTCGACCTCGACGGGAGAGATCTTTGGCCGACTTCTTCGTGAGTTAGTTTTTCGTGTGAGTGCATCGCTTAAGGGGGATAATGATAAAACCGGGCTTACTTTACGCAGGGATCAGGATAGGTGTAGAGGTAGAGGAATAGATACGAAGTCAAGCGAGTCAAGCCACAAAGGGAGCAAAAGCAAAATTTGATGACCATCGAGGAAGCATAACTGGCACAGCACGCATCTTTCACGAGCTGCGATTGCATTCGACGTCGTGATCCAGACAAGCGGTACCTGCTGCATCGAATCGCTCAGCAGCGGACTGTAGCTTGAAACTCCCTGCCCGACGCATCACCGTGACTCACCGGAAGGACTTCAATCTTTCAGGTCTAGAAGTCCGAAACGAGAAGCCAACCTCCCTCCGCGGAAACGAGAAATAAAGCTGAAACCACACCCGAACCTGCAGCACTGATTCTTGCCCTGTGCTGACGAGAAGGGGGTCGGACCAGTGACAAGAATTCCAGCTTCCGACGCTCCACCGCTTGGTTTTGTTTCACTTACAGCACAAACGCCACAAGGAAGTAGCGGGTCCAGCAGTTTTACTGGGCAGTGATCGCATCATCTTCCTGCCGCACCAAGGCACAATAACACCACACTCGCCGGCGCACCGCCCAAGATGAACCAATCACGGGGAAACGCGACCTCCGTGTCGTCCCGGCACGGGGGCAACAAGGCGACGCTGAAATCAACCCTGCCAAATCAAAAGGTGCTCGACAAGCAGGAGGTGCTGCAATTGAGGAAGTACCAGAGGGGGTTGAAGGACCTTGAGGTAAGTATTGAGATACAACAGCGACGCATTTCCGGTTTTTGATTGAGTCCCAGTTCTCTGTGGATTTTCATTTTGTGATGCGATGAGCCCGAGCTCGAGATACCGACTCTTTGACTAAAACTTCTCAGGATGAGCGCACCAACGGGATGATGGAGCAGATTGAGCTGATGAAGGAGGCGTTTGTACTTGCAAAAAAGAAACGCGAATGGCTGGCCAAATTGTACAAGGAAAGGAGAGAGGACATTTTGCGACAGCTGTCAGAAATGCGGAAGGAAATAGAGGTCACGTTTGCCCGGTTGCACAAAGAGTTGAAGGATTTCGCGGCAGACTGGATGGCGACAAAAGAGGTAAGTACTTACTTCCACCAAAGATCGGTCTTGATATCGAGACTGATGTTGGTGCATTTCTATTCGCGCGTTGTGAAGTCCGCGTCGAACAAGTGGAAATCTGTTGAATCTAGCGGCCCTAAATGCAAATCATTTTTATCGCAGGACGCCGTGCAAGAGTGGGAGGACACGCTCGAGGAACGGAGTCAAGAAATAGAAGAGTCCTTCCGCCAAATACGAGCGAAGAATGCAGTGTATAATTCTGTTTGCTAGGATATCATTTGAGCGAGCAGGACGGTAAGGAGCTGGAATGAATGAGTGCTCTTGGATTTTTGTGCTCTACAACTGCATCGTTATGCTCTCAACCTGTACCTGTTTGGCACAAATTGAAAATCAACATATCAAAACGCTTTCAGCGTCGACGCCGGCATCGATCAAGAGCGGGAGGAGCGCACGATCGAAATTGACGAGGCGGCGAAGTCGGTCCAGGACAAGCTCGCGGAGATCCGCAGCAACCTCGCCGCCACCACGAAGGAGCGGCTGGAGGAGGAGAAGCGGTACGCAAAGGACTTCAAACAACAGTTCGAGCGGCTACACAGGATACTGGGCCGGGAAACGGAGGCGCGGGAGGCGCAGTGCGTCGTCGACGTCAGGAGGTGTCTGGATTCGTACGCGAACCTGCACTATCAAATGCAAAAATGTCTGGGTCTGGAAGAATCTAACTTGTCATGCTAAATCTGAATCATTCAAAAATCTGTGTTGCATGATTACCAAAAGCTGGCCACTTTTGACCTAATCGAGAGGCAGTTTCTCATGCAGGATAGGCATGATAGAACTCTCACAGAATCTGTCATGCTATGTCCTACATACCAGACCTCATGGGTCATGGAAAACCTGCATGACAAGTCTGCATTCTTCCAGACCCAGACATTTTTGCATTTGATATGCACATCCAGGAAACCCAACTGGAAGAGGAGGTTATCAAGGTTTACCAGGAGCTCAATTTGGACCTCCAGGTGAGAAGGAGTTTTTTTGAAGAAGTTTTACAGTGTTTCAAAGTTTTTTCGCATTCACTTTCAGTTTCAGAAAGGAAGCTACTGGGCGCGTACTATCGGATAGTACGCGCCCAGTGAACATGTATGAGCAGAAATGCAATAGCGTGTAGCTGTGCTAGAGTAGTTCTTCTGATGAAAGAAGCGAATTGCGCAGAGGACGTCCGAGGAATAGTAAATGTAATCAATTCAATCATTGCCATTCTATCAGGTCGAAGAAGCCGAGCGGAAGGCGTCGCAGAAGCAAATCGTGCAAGAAGGGCAAAGTTTCCTGGATCAGTTCCGGGAAAACCTGGAAGGCGACATTGTCAAAATCCGGGACCGCAACCAGATACGGTTGGGCTTCATGGATTCGCCGCTCGGGAAAGGGCCGAGGGAGTAGACGAAATTCTTCGTAGGGCCGCGGCGAAAGTGGTCTTCTTCCTCTTAGCGTCGTTGCTCATTGCAGAACCACTGCTTGGGTCGTACCACGACCGCATGATGTGCAACCAGTAGTGTCCGAAGCAGGAGTTGAAGATGCTGCGCACGACAACCCTTGACGCACCGGAGCGAGTGCTTCGCACGTCATCTATTTGTGTAGTGCACCATCTCTACTATAGCAGAACCAGAAGCCACATGAAAAGTGAAATCGTAGTCCACGAAGGATTTTAGTTTGACGTGTTCTACATCAGACATCGTGCGATGCAGAAAAAATTGAAAGCTGTCGGTGTTTTTTTGTGTACAGCATTCAATCATTCTAGAATTGCAAGAAACGAGCGCCTGAGTGACCGAGACATGTTTGTTTTGAAATTCGTGCTGTAGTTTCGGGTTAGAGCGTGAGCGGAAGGACAATTGAACAGAGCTGCATTGTCGGTTAATGCACTCCTGGATTTGCCGTGTCGGTCCACTGAGTGGGAGAGAGAACAACGATATGTCTGTGCGTCCGATTTGCATCTGAGTATATTGCGATGCCTCTATCATTTTTGATATCACTATCAGTAAAGAAGACTTTTCGTTACTCCACACCCAGGCCCCTCGTCCCGCAAGTCGTCACATATTGAGCTTTTTGCACTTTTTTCTACGTTCCCCGCACTAAGTCTAAGTTCTAGACGAAGATGTTAATCTGAGCTAAGAGTAGAGCTAGTCTGTGGAGCAGGCGTCCGCACCTACTAATTATTAGCTCGTCTATAGTCTCGTGGTGTCACAACTTCCGTCTCACAGGGGGGAGCGGAGCCTTGGCGTTCCGAGGTTTCGTTTATCTGTTGTGCAATCCCGCCTGCAATTCACGCAATAAATTCTGTTGAATAAGCAGACTTAAGGGTCGTGATCGGAAAAGTCATCGGTTATTTGTAGTGCAAGATTGTATTCTGCTGAATTATTTGTGCTTTTTTTCCTCGGAACGATCGAAATACGGTATTGAAATGCAGTACAATGTGATCTGTGCCTTCTTGTTTGTTGGGCCGAGAAATGAATGTAGATGTCTTCGGATGAATAAAGAAATCCTAGATCGGACAAATCTCACTTAAATTAGCCTGGCAGTCGGACTACCCTTCGTTCATTACATAGGGCGGACACGACTGTATACGGCTTCTTGCTGATCACGTTTACACCGAGCTTTCTTGCACTGCTAAATGAAAATCTCAGTAGTAACGGCACGCATTCAATAAATTTCGTCAAAGAATTCTTTTGATTTTGAACAGAAAGTTCATTTTCCGCAAATACTTGCAACTTCTCTGTTTCAAGACGGGGTTTTACCATTTTAGATGAACAGTGGAGGAATATGTTTTCTTATCTATACCGAGGGTGTTTCTCAGTTTAGTTCTTGAGATAACAGCTAGTAGCTGTTTTGGAGAAGAAGTGCATACCTTGCCGTGCGCAACGAATTTTGAAACTTCGCAAATCTTTTGTAGCGGTTTTTTTGACGACGGGACGTGATGAATTGAATAATACAGTCGTTTTTTCTCGATCGCTTCAGTAGAATTTTGTTTCTGTATCATGACTTACGTACTTTACTCCCGTGCACTTGGTGGTTTTTTGAATTTGTTGACGTCTGAATCGATTGTAGTTTAGTGACTGGATAGAAAAACAAATCTGCGTGTCAAATCCGACGAAAAATATGACGCGTTGTCCTCTATATGCCGATCAGGCGCAGCTGAAATAAGCGCCCAGTTCTTGTGAGCTGCACGTTCAGGAGTGCGTCTGCAATTTAGCATAACACATTTGACCACACGTCAGCAAATCATGTCGCTCGAAAGTCCACCACCTCTTCTCCATCACCCGCCGCCGGAGGGCAGCTGGAGTGAGCTGATCAGTGGGATCCCTTTACTCGACGAGATGTGGCAGTGGACGGGGCTGGGCGACGATGTCGTGTTCTACGCCCACTTGCTGCTCGTTGCGGTCATTGGGTTCGTCTTGTTCGTGCTCGACGCGAACCCGGGCAACGCCGGATACGTCTGCTCCCACTTCGTCTTTCCCGAGGACATTCCCTACGAGCTATTCTACAACCCGGTATTGGACATGATCTCGCGCTGGCTCACCGCGGGCAGCTGGATTTGGCCCACCCGCGCCAACGTGAAGACGGTCGAAGTGGAGGAAAGTTTACCCGAAAAGCTGAAGCGGTCAGACAGCTTTCTCGCCCTGGAAAAGCGGGATAAAGGAGGTATAAACGAATATCCATTTCCGTTGATACTAGACATGCAGTACTTACATGAATTCAGTCTCTTCAGTTCTTTCATGAGAGCATGAGCAAATAACTGGATTGGTGTCCTCCACTTTTCATTTTTCAAAATTAATCGAATTCAGGTCGTTGCTCTGCCGCCTCCCCGACTTTTTGCAGCAAGGTTCCGCCAAAGTCCGGCGCAGTGCTGGTTGAGAAAGAGCGACAAGCAAAATATACCATGCTGCCACGAGCAGAATGCGAGTTCCAGCAGTTCCCACCGCACAAACTGGACACCGACCTGTGGTTCAAACTGCGAGTCATATGGGGCTATTTGAAGATCGCAGCAGCCGCTGTGGTCAAGGAGAATGTACTGATGTTTTCTGTTTCATATGAGACACGTGTATACATCGCTAAAAAGAGAAATAGGTTCTTGCTAAACCTTGTCAACGATTTTGTAGAGAAATCCGCTCCGAAAAAACTGAAAAACAGCTTTGGTTCGTGCAGTGGCTTTTCAAGCTCGAGCCCGGCTACAGCTTCTTCACCCGGTCGAAGCGCACGGGTTTCCAGGCTCTCTTCATCGAGCACGCGTTCCAGATGTACGAGGACTGCTGGAACCGGCCGATCTGCGGCGCCCCGGCCTCCACCGTGGAAGTGGTTTTCCGGGAACGAAAAGACCAGCCACTACTCGCCCCCTATTTACCGCTCTCGATGACGACCAAGTCGGTGAAGTGCACCAATTTAGGCAGCTACAACTACCTGGGCTTCGGCGGCGTCGACGAGTACTGCACGCCCCTGGTCGCGAAGTGCATCCGCGAGACGGGTTTGTCCACCGGGTCCACGCGCGGGGGGATAGAGGGGACACATGTTGTGCATAAAGAGCTCGAACGGCGGGTGGCGGAATTTCTCGACAAGGAGGACGCCTTCGTAATCGGGATGGGCTTCGCCACAAACTCAACCATCATCCCCTGTCTCATCGACCCCGCAGGGAATGGAAAAGGGTATAATTCAACTTTGTAAATATCAATGAGGGTTGCGGTTTTAGGATTTAGGGTTTCTTCCCACTTAGCAAAGTCGAGCAGATCACGCCTCTTTTGGTAAGGAGGACAGGAACCTCAGCTCTTCAGTGCAGCTCGGTCTGACCCGCAGCTCGCTTTCAGATTTATCAGCAATTAAAAGTTGTATCGCCATCGATGTATGAAAAATCATTTTCAAAACACAGATGCCTGATTCTCTCTGACGAGCTGAACCACAAGTCGATTATCGAGGGCGTCCGCATGTCCTGGGTGTCTGTGAAATCCTTCCAGCACAATGACATGGTGGACCTGGAGCGCAAACTGAAGCAGGCCTGCGACGTCGGTCAGCCGAACGGGCTTCCCTGGCGGAAGATCCTGGTCATCGTCGAGGGCATCTACAGCATGGAGGGCGACTTCGCGAGACTGCGCGAGATCGTGGCTCTCAAGGACAAGTACGGCGCTCTGCTCTACCTCGACGAGGCGCACTCCATCGGGGCTGTCGGTATTGGCTGGTTTTAGATACGAGTATGATTGATTTCCAACATGCGCATTTGCATTCAGCAGAGGCAGAACTAGTGAAAGCGATTGTGATCTATCATTGAACTTTGCGTTTGTGGTACTGGTTCTAAAAAAGTCGAAAAGCACTACTCTCCCAAATGAAAACCCCGAACAGGTGAATCTGGGCGCGGCATTACCGAGCTTCTCGGCGTGCCTAGGTCGAAAATCGACGTGATGATGGGTACCTTCACCAAGTCTTTTGGTTCCGCCGGCGGCTACATCGCGGCGGACGCAAAGGTGATCGCCAACTTGAGGAAAAACAGTCCGAACGCCACTTTCGCGCCTGCGATGTCACCCGCCTGCGCCGCGCAGGCCTTAGCAGCCCTGGACTTGCTGAAGCACGAACGCGGAAAAGCGAAGATCGAGTCCCTGCGGCGGAACAGCAACCACTTCCGCCGACGGCTCGCGGAGATCGGGTTTTGGGTGTTGGGGGACGAGGACTCACCCGTGGTACCAGTCTTGATGGACCAGGAGTCCATGTGGTACTTCTCCGTGAAAGGCATGCAGCAGGGCGTCGCCATCGTGGTCGTGTGCGCGCCGGCCACACCCTACATGCTGCCCCGGGCGCGGTTCTGCGTGTCCGCGGCGCACACGATCGAGCAGATCGACCAGACGTTAGTGGTGCTGGAAAAGCTCGGGAAGCAGCTCGGGATCCTGTTCCGCAAAAACGACAAGTGCTTGACCAATCCGGCCTACTACAACTGGCTGCGGGACGCGCCGTTGGAGGTCGGGCGATACGAGAAAACGCCCAAATTCGAGCCATTAGGTATGGTAGAGGAGTACTCCGAGCCGGAGCCGATTGCGACAACAAAGGATGCGGCGAAGAAGTTCGGGGTGTTTGACCCACTGGGTTTGATCCAGGACGCGCCGGCATCGTTACCCAACACCTGCGAGCAGTACCTGTCGACGCACGGCTTCGGAACCTGCGGGCCCCGGGGGTTCTACGGCACCACCATGGAGCATTTATCACTAGAAAAGGCTTTGTCGGACCTGCTGCAGGCAGAGTCCGCGATCTTCTACGCGCAGGGGGTCAGTGTGGCGTCGTCCGTGTTGGCGTCGCCGATGCTCGGTGCGAAGGATCTGGTATGTGCATGGATTTCTGATGGTTTTGCGTAGACGTGAGCATGATGTGTTTTTGTCCATTCTCCTGAAGCAAATTTATACCGAAAAGGACGCGACACTATTCTGAAGCTTCAACACACATTTTTTTCCCAAAAGAAATAGAAACGCACTACTATATCAGGTTTTCTGCTTCGGCAAGTGCCACTACGGCATCAAATCCGGTCTCCGGTTGAACGGCAAGTGCACCCTCGTGTTTGTGGAGGACATGCGGGAGCTGCAGGACTGGCTTTCTGACTGGAAGAAGGTGGAGCGGATCGACCGGGAGAAAGTCGGCTTCCGGGAGGGCGCGGACCTGTTCGGCACTTTGCCAGAACGATTCACAACGCTGGAGCGCGAGATTGTGCCGTTAGACGAGTATGGCAAGCGGTTCCTGGTCGCCGAGGGTTTGTACCAGTGCGACGGGAGTATTTGCGACTTGCCCCGCCTCGCGCAACTGAAGGATTTATACCGGCTCAGCCTGGTGGTGGACGAGACGCTTTCCCTCGGCGGCGTCGCCCCGCGCGGCGTGTGCGAGTACTTCCAGATGCCCCAGTCCACGGTGGACATCTACCTCGGGTCGTTAGAATTCGCGATCGGCTCGGTCGGCGGGTTTTGCGCGGGCCAGTTCCACGCCGTCCGCGACCTGAGGCTAACGTCCTCCGGCTACTGCTTCTCCGCCTCCGCCCCGGGCGTGTCCTGTCTGTGGAGCAAGGAAGTGCTGGAAGAGCTGCAGTGGTGCACAAATCCATCAACGTCATCATTGCATAAAGGAGCATGTTCAGAGGATGGTGGTTCCACCACTCCCAGCACGGATTTCCCCGAAGGATCCACCTCTTCGACCTCTGTCGAGCCGAGCTCCAGAGTGTCGGAGTTGTCCAGTTCCTCGTCGCAGGAAGGCGACAGTCAGAATCTCCGAAAACGGCGGTCGGACTCCCCACCGGAAGAACAAGCGCCGATAGTACCACCAACACCAACGTCCGGCTTGCACTCCCGCACGCCCTCGTCGTGTAGCAGCAGCGGGCAGAGCATGCAAGACAAGGCAGAGCACGGTAGCACGACCAGCAGCACGGCCAGCGAGCCGCACAGTACTTCTATGGCAGGTGGAAAAATTGTGAATCTGCAGCACGCAGGTATGGACCACAACACGTCGGGGTGTACCACGGTCGCGGCCACGGAGTCCGACGACGACGACGAGAAGCAGAGCAGTCGGTCGCAGACCAGCGAGAGCGTGCACAATTGTTCCTTCGAGAATTTAAGAGACCGGTGGACGCGGTTGCAGCAGATCACCGAGAAATTGCAGACCAGCGCGAAGAGGATACTATCGGAAAAGTACGAGGTCCGCGGAAGCAACTACGTGATACACCTGAAGCCGAAAATCCTCATCCCCTCCACCTCTCATTACTCCTCGGGCGACAGCGACAGTGGGCTGTCGGACTCCGCAACGCGGGGCCGCCAGTTCTCGGTCCACAGCTCTACTCGGAAGTCGGTCTGCGAAAAGACGAGGATAAAGTACCAGAAGGCGCTGGAAGCGGTGAAGGCCGCCACCGGGCTGGACATCTTCGAGCGACCATTGACCGAGCGGGCGCTGGACACCCGGTTGTGCATCCACACCGAGTGGACCCCCACCCTCAGAATAGCCGTCTCCTGCCTGCACACACCGGAACAAATCGACAGTCTGCTCACCGTCGTGCGAGACAGCGCGACTTGGTGAGAAAGAGGATGAGATGCATGCAGTGCATTCAGAATCAATCTCGCGGAAAAATGTGACTCAAGATCGAAACGACTGCCTTAATTTAGAATTACAACACGACGTAGACCTGAATGAAGTACAATCCGCACGCGACAGCAAAGTATCTGCCAGTGCGCAGAGTCGATCCGATTTCGTTGCGAGGGAAATACTTTGGTATTCAAATTTTTCAACAAACAGTAATCTTCGCTACCATCGCTCCTTTCAAGATGCGGTTGCAAGCAGCCACCTGCGCGCTTCTGACGCTCTCTTTCTTTCTACCGGCACGCGCTACTTCCCCCTTCTACACTAGTACTAACTTCTACTTGATGTTATACAAGACCGATAGTTGTACTGCCTATCGCCTACCTTTTTACGTAAATGATTCCGGAGGCCCGGTGTTGGACTCGAAGATTCCGCCCGGGCTTCCCCAGTTAGTATGAATGATCCTTGGTTTCTTTGATTTTGCAGTTGTGTGCAGTTGACTTTCGGGCGACCAAGAGTCACGACAACTTTTTTCGGGGAAGTGGTACTACGGATACGCAACTACAGAGGGATACTGCAGTCCTTCTTCGGGAAAGATTAAGATGTTAAAATGCTTCGAATTCGTAAAAGGTTTGTACATTATGAACGGGTGAACAAGTAAAAATTCTTCAGTAGAGACTGCCTAAGTGCACTTGTATCAAGGGACAACTTGTATTGAGAAGAGTAATACGATTGTACAAACTTGACGCTTATTGTCATTTACCCTGGTTGTCAAAACACCGTGCCGGCGAAGAAGCGTGCAGAAGTGCTGTATTAGAATTAGTGGCGAGCTGGTAGCTAAACAACAAAGGTTGCTGTTGGAACTTTATGCGGAAATAGCGACAACTCACAACTAGAACACCTATAGTTTTTTGGGCTGCTAATATTCACTTGTGGCCTTCAATTATTACTCGCAATCGAAACCTGAAGGATCCTGCTATCGAAGATGAAAATTGGGTCCTCTGGTTCGTCTTGAGTCTCTTACCGCCGACAACTATCCTCGAAAAGTAACAATCGTAAGTATAGCTCTACCAAATTCGCGAACCCTTAATTTACTACTCGGCTGGAGGACCCCTCCAGCTTTCGCACTGGTACCCCGGTTTGTTTAGAAGATACCCCCGCGACTCAGTCCGATGGACGACAACATCATCAAGGGCTTTCTTTTTTAATTTCAATCCGCATAGAAATTGGGTTCCAACAGAGGAGCTGATATGCTCTCAATGTCAGCACGGAACAAAAAGGAGAAGCAGCATGAGATAAGCTTAAGCATCATGAGACGATGAACACGAAACATAGCATCAAAGCGACACCTGCTCAGGGTGTGTCTGCTCAAATGCGTAGCAGAGTCCGCCCTGCAGATGAACAAATACAGTACCTAAAAAGGAAAAAAAATTGCCCTTCCAGCAAGTGTCTGGAGCTTGCAGATCAAAAGCTGATGTGTGAAGTGTTTTGTTTCTGTTGAAGCTGGGTGTGGCTGTGAATATCTGGTTCTGGTGTCGAAGACGAAGGAATTTCGGTGAAACCACAAAGAGAAGTCTTCATATCAAGAAGGATCTTCACGCCCCCGATCGTCACAGATCATACTAGGTTCCAATGCAACTCCTTCTGTTTTAGTTTTTCCTTCGACTTGCGTTTTCGATCCCATTCGTGTGCGCGAGAAAGAAATTTCTTTCAGGATCGATTTTGAATTTGCACACCCTAGAGGCCAACAGCAAGTACAGTTTCGTTTCCGCTTCCGTTTCCAATATTTTCGAGAGAGATGTTAACAAAGCGGCAGCGCAGTGTAGCGCCGTATTTTGCTGCACTTGAAAATGGAGACCGAGCGCAAGGACATATGCGGCAGAACATGCAAAGGGCAGTGGTTGATGAGTACCTCGCGGTTGCGCAAAGCGCAAGGGATATCAAAAGTAAAAATGTCTGGGTCTGGGAACTTGTGATGCTGGGTGGCGTCTCATGATGAGGCTACAGATGCTGGCTCAGCATGACAAGTTTCTGAGCTCCTAGGTGTTGGCTATTCTGCATGACAAACTGCGCTTCTGCATCACAGAAAAGCGGAGCTTTTGGGTAACGTGCATGACAGATTTAAGAGTCATGCCAGACAAGCATGACAAACATAAATTCTTCCAGACCCAGACATTTTTCCAGTTGATAAGGGAGTTGCTCCTCCCATTTGCAAGCTGTCCGTACGAGGGCATTTTTGCCAAGCCGTTCTTCGATTTGGGGCAGCACGAAGGGGTTGGGATCTTGATCCTTGCGGCGCAGCTAGGAAATGCGTTTTCTACTGCTGCTGATTCAGTCCACAGCGCGCAAGCACTGGGGGGTCCACCAACAGCCGCTGTCAGCACTAACGATGGTGGCGACGACGCGAAAATCGAAATGCAGACGCAGACTGGCAACCAAGGTTCAAAGAAAAATTTCGATCCGGGAACGACGTCTACACCCTTCTTGACGAAGCCACAGGACGATATTCACTATCAAGCAGCGAATTTGATGGAAAATCTGTTGGGTTTCATCTCCACACAGCTTGTGATTTGCACACTCACGCTGGCCGTTGCGCTGCCCCTCTTTGTTCACGGGGTGAATGGTGTATACGATCCGGATGCAATCGCGCTGAACGGAAAAACGAGTGAAGAAGTGGTCATCGTGAAAACAAGTAGTGGACGAGGAGGGACGAGCGCGAGCAGTTCAACATCCGCGGCTGCATCTTCCGGAGGAGCTGCGGAGGAGGAAAACAAGGGCAGCAACGAGTGGTTCTCATGGCAGGCGTCCTCCTCCGGTTTCCTCTTCGCCGCCCACATTGTGGAGACCGCGTTTCTAACGATGAGCATGTGGAACAGCGTCCGGGGCCTGATGCACGGTTTTTTTCTCTACAGCGGCGTAGCGCTGTACATGCCGGAGCTGCACCAGAAATACAAACTGCTGGTCTCCGTCATCACAAAGCCCTGCGAATGCTTTATCCATGCGGCGCAGAGCATCTTCTTTCTCTGTGCGGCGCTGCCCTTCCTGTCCACCCGCATCTCGCCGATTTCGACGGTGACGGCGCTGTTGTTGTTTTGTTCGGCGTTCTACACGGTGAATTTCAATCTCATGGGTTTTGCCCACGACATGGGGTTTCAGCAGTGGGAAAGGTGTAGGCACATTCTAGGCCTCCATACCGACGAACTGAAACAAGGTCAAGGTAGTAGTGAACTAGCTGATCAGGTCGTGGTAGAGACGTCCAAAGATGGGTTTTTCAGCAAGGGCCTCAGAAAATGGGGGACAATGATCGCGTGAGGGCAGTAGGCAGGCGGAAAAACGGAGCAGCCGCAGACTGATGAAAAAAGCACAGGCTTTTTGGCTACTTATTTCTGTTCTTTTTTCGTTTTCTTTTGCATGTGCTGGCGGCGCAGGGCCAAGGCTGTTCTTCGTTTACCATATTTTGTGCTTAGCAGAAGAACACTCGGATGCGTTATGGAGTCTCGCAAGTTAGTAGCTGGCTCGCTCTTCCCGTCATGCATTTTTAATGCCGGCGTTTTATCAAGGTTGTAGGAGTAGATGATGCTAAGCAGATTTTTCGCGTGAATCTAATCGACTGATATACGTCTCATCTGTCTCCCTTCAATAACGTCGTTGTTCCACAAAATGGCGGAACAAGTGAGAACTTTGCACGGGGGCTTCGCGTGCCGACTTGTACTCCGTCCTCGAGGTTGTAGGAGTGTGCAACTGCCAGTTCCGCTACCCGCACCATCTGCCGGCGCACTAGAACATGCACGCCGAAACTTTGGTTCGACTTCTTCTTCTGCGAGCTCGCTTTTCACCGATCGCAGCAACGACGAGGAGGACTTCTCTAGGGAGTTTGAGAGATTGTTCGTTGGAGAATCTTCGCATTCAGCTGGCAGTTTGTCGAGGCACTACGCTGGGTCTTTCTCGTCCGTTGACGACGCAGGGATCAAAAATCCAGACATTGCCTCATCAAGTTCATCCTCCACGAAGGACTGCGCAACGCCGGCGTGCCGCGCGGTGTGGCGCTGCGCGATACGGAACTGCCGCGACGCGCGCGTCTGGGAGCGCTTGCTGGACGAGATTAGTCGCCAAATGAACTTTCTGAAACCGCAGGACGTGCTCCTCCTCTACTACGGACTTTCCCGGGTCAAGTATCGGGACCGCAAATTTTTGAAGGAGCTCAGCTTCCAAGCGATCCGGCACTGCTCGGAATACGCGCCGCGCGGGCTGGCGCTGATCCTCAACGCTTTTCGAAAATTGGAACTGAACCGGGATTTAGACACCTTCCAGCTGCTACTCCAGTCCTACCTGTCCCTCCACGGCAGGTGGACGGCGTGGGACCTCGCCCTGGTCTGTAACGCCGCCGCGCACTTCCACCTCTACGAGCCGCGCTTGTGGAAATTGCTCTCGGCGAAAAAGATGTCCATCCTGGCGCAAAACACCGAGCCGCAGGGCCTCGCCTTGATCGTGGCCGCGCTTGCCAGGATCGACTGGCGCGACGGAGGTGTGTTGGCCGTCTGCGCCAAGGCCGCCGTGCGGCAGTACGACAGATTTTCGGCGCAGAACATCGCAGTTTTGTACTCCGCCTTCTGCAAACTGGATTTCGACTTCCCGAAGCTCTACCACGCATTGGAGTTGGCCGCGGTGGAAAGGGGGTATGTCACGCTGGAAAAATCTTCAGTGGTAGGAACAGCTTCAAGCGCCGTAGTTCCTTCCACGCTGAAGGACTTCATGCTTGACGAAGCAAGCGGGGAAACGGAAAACACTAGTGTCAGCACAGAGACTGAGAGCTTTCTCTCCACGGGCAGAGTAGTTGGGCGAAAAATCCAGCACGTATCCTGGTGTGACGATGGGGAAACTGATGATGTCGCGACAGAGGACACGATGAGCCAGGAATCGCTGATTCAATCGCAAAGAGAAAAGGAACTTCTGGCTTTACTAGAAGACGACATGGAAAATCCATCCACCGGTGACGAGATGGAGGTCCTGCTACCAAACAAAAGCAGAATTTTTAGCAGTCCTAGCAGTTGTGCTAGTGGTGATGATGTTGGGAGTGGTTACAGCGCCGATGTAGAGAATGCCTCTGCCGGCACTAGAGACCAAAATGCAAAAGCCGATACAAAATTCGATCTTCTCGCGCTGGCAATGCTGGCGCAAGCGTCCGTTTGCTTCACCAAGGGGGCGGAAAGAAACCCGGAGTTTGTGCGCGCGGTTCTGCGTGCATTGATAAGGAACAAAGCCAAACTAGACACCTACCACCTACGGAAGCTGCGGTCGGCCTACTTGTTTCTGAAGCACCAAGAACAGTTCAGGAAAAAGTTTCGCGCCGAGATTTTTTTGTTGGAACGAGATGTCCTCCCGCGACACCAGGAACTGCTGAAAACGCATGTCGAGAAACTAGTGAAGCACGGACGAATTCCGTGCCCCCCCGGCCAGGAGGAGGCGTTTTTGGCGAAATCGAAAGATCGAAAATCTCCCGAAGGAGAGACAAACTTTGACTACTTGGATCCAAACACTTCTGACACGGGCGAAAAGATGAATACGGACAATACAACTGCAGAGAGTACTTCTAAGTCCATTTCCGAACTCTTAGGCCTGCAAGAGGAGCAAGTGAAGCACAGTTACCTGCGAGAAGAAGAAAAGTTTGAAGCAAAAGACGCGCGATTAACGCCGGAACAGCGATTGAACCTTAGAAAAATTTACAGTGGAACCAAAAACAAAGGCGCAGTATGGATTGCAAAAATGTCTGGGTCTGGAAGAGTGCAACTTGTCATGCTGTCTTTGGATTCCAAAAAAATCTGTATTGCGTGACCAGCAACAAGAGTCCAGTTTATGTTACGCGGAGAGGGGGGATTTCTCATGCGGAATAGGCATCAGGAAGCTTTCTAAAAATCTGTGACGCTAGATCATGCATCACATGCATCATGTATCATACGAAATATGCATCACAAATCCCGGAATCTTCCAGACTCAGACACTTTTACATTTGATACGCAGATGGAAGCGAAACCGCTTGGAAAACCGTTCTGAGCAAACGCCAGACGTTATCCCAAAGAAAAAAGCTGGCAGGTCATATTTGTAATGTAAAAATAAGTACACAAAAAAATCTTTTGCATATCCGAAGCAGCATGCTATGGGGCCGCCCATGACAAATTTTTCTGTGTATTTATTTTTGCATTACAAATAGAAATATGCCCTGCCAGCTTTTTTCTGTGGGATAGACGTCGCGATGGAAGCGCGAAGTTTTCGACATAGTCGAGAAGGAGCTGCGAATCGAGTGCGAGAAACAATCCTTGGTGTATCCGGATCACGAAGACGCGGTCGTGCTACCGGAAAGAAAAACGGTCATTCACTGTGTCGGAGTGTACGGGTACTACAGTGACACAACGGAACGCACAGCGCTTTCGAAACTACATAGCTACTTGCTAGAGATACAAGGCTATTCCGTCATGCACATACCCTATTACGAATGGTCCGAACTGAAAACGACCGAAGACAAGGTACTGTATTTAGTGTCCAAAGGTAGGCAAATCGCTGCGAAAAGAAGTGGAACTAGTCAGCAGATGTAGAAGGAGGAGAAGTACTACAAAGAATAAGTTTGTAGTTGCGCTAACAAACATATAAATGTTCATTATCTTCGAACGGCTGGCGAGCCTGTGAGTCCAGGCAGAGAGAAGATAAGGGTAGGTAATTTGATAGGTATGCGAGGGTCGGGCCCCTTCTCCTCATTGCTCTACTATGTATCTGCTTGGCTAAAAATGGGCAAGCGCCCCGTCCCGGCTAGACGCCGCCCGATTCGATCGCGCGATCGAAATTTGCGCTTCTTCCTCTTGACGTTTTCAGCAAGCGCTGAACAGAGTCAGGGGAGCGCAGTAGCAATTAGAAAAGCCAAGTGCTGGCGGGTACTGCCGCGGCCAGCTTGCATCCGCTTTCCGAACTGGGGAGCGAGTGCAGATCCTCGATCGGGGACTGAGCACGAGGTGTGCGACTGCAGATCCCTGCGCGAGGCGTAACGCCCAGAAATCTACGTAGCTGCATCGCAGCTCCTTCTGCCGACAAGAGTCGGCGCCCGCGTACTCGCGACGCCCGGGGCCGGGGGTCGCTCGCCCGTGAATCATCGCGCGCGCGCATGTTCCGGGAGAAAATGCACCGCGTGCTTCTGGTTGAATGAAGCACCGCTTGGACGGGCTGAGTGGCCCTCGCTTTCAGTAAGAGCAGCGCACAGCGCAGCCGTGGAGCCAGCCTCGCTCCAGCGCGCCCGGCGGCAAGCGTAGACGCTAAAAGGCCGGGGCCGCCGCGCCTGCTCTAGGTAGGAAAGAGGCCAGGCGGCCGATTCTATGGGGAGCTTGCCTGACTACAGGCGGAGGCATCACGTCGGTCGCTGCGCAAATGCTTTGTTGCGCGCTGCAGGGGCTTGTGTTGCCGAAGCCAGGCCCCACTCAAGGCCAAGCGCCGAATACGACGAGGGACCGCGCGCGAGGCCGCTAGCTACTCCGGCCGGAGGGTGCTTCCATCCAGAGGCGCGCGCCTCTCGTAACCCGCGAAAACGCGGCGCAAGTACATCACGCAGTGGCACGCCACTACAAAAGCCCTCATGTGGCTAACCTCTACGGAATGGGCGCCCCCGCATTGGGGGGCCGCCCGGCAGTCGCCTGCCTGCGAATTCGGACAGACTCGCTGCGCGATGAGAACCGCGCTCGGGGTCTTGTCGCCGCACTCATGAGTGCGGGCGAGCGCCCCACCCCCATTCACCCTCCCTTATCTAGTATTGGGCCTCAGAAGGGAAAACCCTCCGGCGGAGTGGGGGGGCATGCTCCCTCGTTCAGGACGCAGCTTGGTCCGTGTTGGCAATGGGGACAAGTGATGTGCACGACCCTTCCTGCGATGGGAGTGGTATCAGGATCGTGCATACTCGCTGGTAGGCTTTGCCTACCCTCTTCCCCATCGCTGTCAGAGTATGCGCCCTGCCGCCATGACAGGACGGCGCGAGACATGTGATACAAATTACATGTTCATTATCTTCGAACGGCTGGCGAGCCTGTGAGTCCAGGCAGAGAGAAGATAAGGGTAGGTAATTTGATAGGTATGCGAGGGTCGGGCCCCTTCTCCTCATTGCTCTACTATGTATCTGCTTGGCTAAAAATGGGCAAGCGCCCCGTCCCGGCTAGACGCCGCCCGATTCGATCGCGCGATCGAAATTTTCCCCACCCTCCCGCCCTGGAGTGGTATCAGGATCGTGCATACTCGCTGGTAGGCTTTGCCTACCCTCTTCCCCATCGCTGTCAGAGTATGCGCCCTGCCGCCATGACAGGACGGCGCGAGACATGTGATACAAATTACTGAAGCCCAAATCTTCTACTAACTCTAACTTACGGTAGGGAGGTTGCAGTGCACCAGCCACTCCTCGTAGCAGGATTTCTTGTTCGCCCGAACTTTTCCAGGGCCGGTGTTCAGCACTATCATCGGATTTGAAAGAAATCCAACTAAAAGTCAGCCTGTCGGTTGCTAACATCGTTTGGAACTGTATGGAGAAGCCTCGTCAGAAACAATGAAAATGAATCGACTACGAAAAAACTGAGTCCTATGTCGAAGACAAAGCGACTCGCTTATTCTTCAGCAAAAGTAGTGCCAATGAGCCATCAACGTCAATCTACCCTCGTGGAACTTCGTGTGCAAGAACCCAGACCCCATCGCTTTCAACACTATCAGGACAACGTTATTCCAGTATCTATTTTCGATTCGTAGCACATGCTTTGCAAATAGCATGCCTTTTCAAAATGTGAGTACAGAAAAGGAAATGCTTCGTGGGACGAGTGAGAAAACAGATGAAAAACGGCCTACGTATTCGTCAGACGGGCATCTTCGTGAGGAGGGACGACGCATTCGTTCCTCTGCTCGCTGTCTCTACGAAAATCTCCCACCAAACTCTCTTCATTGAATGGTCTACATAGCACAGAAGTTTTTTTTTGGCTCGCCAAAGTAGAGAACAAGAGGGGAAGATACACGTCGCACAGACGGAAGTAGGGTTTGAAGCGCTTCAAGACGTTCAGAAACGGGCAGCACGGACTCAGAACTTAGTACAGACTTCTCGATTTATTTCACCAAACAAGTCGATTAAAAACACCAAAAATGGCCGCAGCAAAGGGAGCCGCGGTTCCGGGCGCGGAACGTAAACCGCGGTTGGATCTTTTGACACAGGGTGATCTCTTTCTCCGTCCGGGCATGCCTCTGAAGCCGGGGACTTTCCGAGCCTCGGCCGCGAGCGCGGGGGGCGGTGCATCCCCGACCGCGGGTGGAGCAGCGGGTGGCGCGGCTGGGGCCGATGGTGAAGCTGCCACCGGAGAGGTATCGCACGAAAAAAGTGTTACAGTTACACATTTGCTGTAACTGCAGCATCACAAGTTTTCTCCACGTGACAGAGAAAACTTGCAATGCAAAGATCATAAGGCAAAACAGGAAGGAAACGAGGCTCCAAAGCATTTCCTCCATGAGAAAGATTGTCTGTGTTACCAATTTTGCAACACAATGTGTAACTGTAACACTTTTTTCGTCCTATAAGAGGGAAAGCCAGGACAGTGCAAGACGCCACCGGCGCTCCAGGCGATCATCGACCGCGCAAAGTTGCTGGCCACGAAGAGTATCATTCCTGAGCACCTGTTAAACGGAGACACGGCACAAGCGGAGGACCTCGATAAGGCGGGAGAGTATCAATGCTGATCATGACTTTTATGTCGAGGGCTTATTTCATAGATGAATTCATGAGAACACTTGGAGTACTATTCAGTGCATGCGCAGACCTGGCACAGGCAAGACCACGTTCGCGTTTGCGAGACGTGGAAACAAGTGGGACAATTACAAAGGCAAAAGTTTTTTCCAAAAACCTTTGCAGAAAATCGCCGGCGGACAGCCCCAAACGGGGAAAGAAACACGACGTGAAGCTGGCCTTTCCGGAGGATTCGGAGCTGGTCTTTTTCGAGAAGCAGAAAGTGGTGCAAGCGGGCGAGTCCACGGGACAGGAGGAGACCGCCGAGAAACCCTCGCGCGAATGGACCAACAGTGCAGAATGCGTGGCGGACTTCCCAGATTTTCTCGGAGAGCTCGCGGAACTGTGCCGGACACTGTCGGTGGTCCTCTCCAGTCGCTGCGATTACCTGCGGCAAAAACTGAAAGAAGACCCCAATTGCCTGAAGCAGGGATCCACCAGCTACCGGTTGATGCTCCAACTCGGCACCGCAGCGCAGAACGGCGTCTACGTGCTCCAGAAAGCGAACTTTCTCTTGAGGTATTGTTTTGTTTACTACAATAGGCAAGCGCAAGATTTTCATTTTGAAGCAATTTGAATTTCCTTTTTTTCACCGGATAAACATCCACCGCCATGAATTGTCCACGCATATTATTGAGGCAACGCCAATCAATATTTATCAAATTGAAAATACCTCCAGGTTGCACTTCACTGACGACGAGGATCTCCGCAAACCCTCTTTGCCGTTGGCTTTGGACGAAGAAAATGACACCGCGGACGATCTGCTCCGCTGTTTGCACACCAACGCTGCTAAGGTCAACACGCTGATGGAAACCTTGCTTTTCATCGTCCCCCGCGTTTCCAGGAGTCCGAACCAAGGTACAACCTTCGCATGCGAAGCATGTACAGTTCATCTGATTCTGCAGTTATACCTAGCCTCTCGTCGTCTACTTTCTTGATAGAGACAGATTTTGAAACAAAACTGCAAAACAGAGCGCAAGAAGGGTGGTTCTATGAAGCAGCAGAAGGAGTTTGCCATGAAGTTTATGGCAGCACTCGGCGCGTCCGTCGAAAACGGTTTCCAGCCCCGAAAGCGCAAAATCACCAAAAAGGCCCAGAAGGAAGCCAAACTGCAGCCCGCCATCACGGAGGCGCTCACGACTATCATCACCCAGGATGACTTCGATCTGACCATGCAACAGCTCTACGGGTTAACGGACCACTTCCAGCTCTTGATCGTATCATTTTTGATCTTTTTTTTTCATACCGAAACAAGCATGCAAGATAGAAGTTACTTAAGCTTATGGCAGTGACTTGCAGTTGCACAAGTTGAAGACCTTGAGTCAAATATTTCTACGGCATAATGCCATACCAAAAAAGATTAAATCCGAAAGCAAAACTCTACACAGAGCAAGTCCTCCACGGTTGCGCGTCTATTAGACACGAAGCTGAAGGGAGCCTCGGCTATGGCGATGGGTATCATGGTTATTCTCGCGATCGCCCGCGCGCAGCGCAACTGGCGGAAGCGAAAGGCCGCGGAGAAGGCCGCCGCGGCGGAAGCCGCTGCCGCCGGGAAGGCGTAAGAAGCACGGGTGTCAAGGTCGTAATGTGAAAATGAAGAAGTCTTTGATTCGTCCCGCCAATTGTATCCATACTTCGGAAACTGACAACTAGAACTTGAACAAAATCCTCTTCAAAATCGTACATTATTCGTGTTTTCAAATGACGCAGAATCAAAATCAAACCTAGTTTCTTGTGTACTCTTTTGGCGCAATGCTATATGAAAAATCTTGTAATTGTTTTGACTTTTTTGTAAAATGCATTGTACACTTTCAACAGTTTTTTACTCCCCGCTAGGTATCAGTACACTAGGAGATTGGTGCGTAAAGTGATTTCGAGGAAAACTGGGAAGATTTCGCTTGTGCACCGTTTTCTCTGACTGCTAGCGACGTGGACGGTGAGCTATTTTCACTTTCTTGCACAATATCAATAAAATTTCCTAGAAACAACATCTCGCACCACTTTGGAAGAAAGAACAAACAATGTTTCTGAATATGCCTTTATCCTAATCACAAAACGTTCCGTGGGAACTCGACGGTGAAGCAAGGGAGAGTGAAATTTCTCTTGTTTCTTGGTCGAATTTTCATGGAAACGGAGAAAATCCTAAAAATGTGTCTATAGCGCAGTGTCGTTTCCGCTAATACACGACGATCCAACTGTTTGATATTGAGCTACAGCCTCTTACCCCGGCTACATCTACCACAACGAACTACAAGCTCAAAACATAACGACGGACCACATGTATACACTCTTTGGAGGCTGGGGATCGCTAGCTGTCACTTTTCGGCACTGGCATCGTCCAGCATTCGTTCCCCCGTTTCGATATGAACTTTCACTGTACTGTACTTTTTCGAGTGCCCCCACTCTCAAACTTTTGGTCAAGGGAAGATTCGCTTTTTATTTTGCCTACGGATTTTTTTCGGCTTTCCTCTTTTTCGGCGAAGGTAAGGAGAATTTCGTTGCCCGCGGTTCAGAAAAGACACGACGATCCACGCCACTGGAGCCCCAAAGACGCAACAACGGAAATTATTTCGCCGCAAGTTAGGATGCTGAGCAAGGATGAGAATTGTACGGGAGGTAAATGAACGACCATGTTTTGCAAGGCGTCTTGCATGTTAGAGGCATTATACCTTGTTTGTTCTGTTCGTCTTCGCTCCCTCAGGACATATTCGGTATGGTCGTGTCAACTGTGCAACTACTTCACCAGCAGTGACACCAGTCTTCCAGGTCGCTCAATGAAAAGGACTGTTAGTAAGACGGTACTGCAGCATCACAGAGGTTGGCGTTGCACGAAAGAACGCGACGCAACTCCTTCGGTGATAAACACGCTCTCGTACTGCAGTTTCACTTGAGAGTCAATCCCAGTACGCTTCCGCTTTCTTGGTCCTCTTCACACGACGTGGGAAGCGAGTGAGTAAGTGTCGTCCGACTTTTTATCATGCAGTCGAGTGCCTGAGATTGTATCTTTGTGCGTGTGGATCGTCGTACAGGATAATTATGCCAAACGTGCATCGCGAGTAAGTTTTAGAATCTAGTCAAGATGGGTAACGAAGTGTCCCGGGGAGACCAGGGCTACGACGAGGAGGAGCCGGGATTCCGGGACCGGCTGCGCGGGTGGAAAAACCGCATCTTAAAACGCACCCTCACCCCGACGGAGCCCAGTACGGCAATACGATTGACCAAACTGCGACAAAGCAAACCGGAATGCTACCTCGCCCGGACCAACTTTTTGCTGCCGAAATTGGCGAACCTGCGGGTCATCAAAGCGCCGGTCACGAGGGATTGGCAGCTGCACCGGAAGCGAACGCTGGGCACAGGTTATTTGCTTTGAAGAATTTATCGTGTGGTCTTTTCGATCAGACTAGTGCAACGGAAGCTTGAAACCTTCTCAAAGTAGTGCGTTTTGTGGTAAGTACACTCTTGTAGCGTTGCGGAAAAATTGATTTGAAAAAAGAATTCAAACGAGTACGAAAGCTATCACAACCTAATTCGAGGTTTCTCCGGCGCCGTGGTTCTAGCGGAGCACAAGGTGACCGGGCAGCGTGCCGCGGTCAAGGGGTTTGCGAAACAGAAGCTTGCGACCGATGAGCGGCGGTTGGAGATGCTGCGCGAGGAGATCAATGTGTACTTGTCTCTCGATCACCCGAACGTTTGCAAACTTCTCTACGCGTACGAGGACCGGTACCACCTCTGGCTGGTGATGGAGCTCTGCGCGGAAGAATTGTACGACCGGCTGTGCAACCTGGGGGTGTTCACAGAAGAGGAAGCGGCGCACGCTTTGTCCCAGATGTTCCTCGCGGTCAATTATTTGCACTCCTACAACATCGTCCACCGCGATTTGAAGCTGGAAAATTGGATGTACAGCCTGCCTAGTACAGTGGTTCCGGCTCCTTCGCAGCAGCAGCAGCAGAGAACGTCTTCAAGAGCGTCAGGTGCTGGAGGAACTAGCTCATCTTGTGCTGGCAATAGTTGTTCCATTTCCACCCCGGCGGGGGGATCAGCTGATGGAACTACAAGTGGAACCGCAACGAACAGTACACACAAATCCACCTCCGGAAACAGCAGTGCAACATCAAATCCGCCGCGCCGCAGCAACAGCGGGAAACCGCCGCCAGCGCCAAGTACAACGAGCACGACAAATCACAACTCCACGAGCAAGCAGCAAAACTCTTCGACTTCCAGCAGCAGCAGCGCAAGTTCCCCCTCATCCTCCTCCACGGAGCACCTGAAGTTGATTGATTTTGGGTTTAGCAAACGTGTCCGCTCCGCCGGCGACATTTTGGAGCTCCCCTGCGGTACCCTGCACTACGCGTCCCCCGACGTGCTGCGACGCAGCTACAACCGAAAGTGCGACACGTGGAGCATGGGGGTGATCGCCTTCATGCTGCTCACCGGGTCGCCGCCCTTCACGGGATCCAGCAACCAATCGGTGATCGAAAAGATCCGCAGCGGGCGGGTGCGTTTTAACACCAGATGGCAAAAATTGAGCCGGACCGCCCAGAATTTCGTTCTGTGCCTGCTCGACGTGGACCCGGAGCGGAGGTTGTCCGGGGAAGCGGCGCTGCAGCACGATTTTCTGCGCCCATATTTCCACCGCCAATCCGTGACCGCGATGCAGGGAAGGTTACACGGGGTTCTGGACAATTTGCGGAAGTTCGCGTCCGGATCCCGGCTGATGCGCGCCGGGCTGCTGATGCTGGCCTACCGGCTGTCCTCCGAAGACACGGCGGATCTGATGGAGCTCTTCTTCGTCATGGACCGATCCGGGCGGGGGACCCTGCGGATCCACGACTTCGCAGAATTGCTGCGACGGTTGGAACCGAACATTGCCACGTCCGAAATACGGGAACTGTTCACGGCAATAGCGACGGACACTCCGGGGAAGGTGCGGGAGGTGTTTTACTCGCAGTTTGTCGCGGCAATGTTGCAAAGGCACTGCTGCTTGCCGCAGAGGCACGGGGAACAGCTGAAACAGGTATAGAGCTGCACTTTGCTCATTTAAGTAGATTTTTTGAGTGTTGCGCGCATCTGCCTTTTGTACCCCTCTCAACGGACTGCAACGAGCTACAACGTCTTGGTCACGTCGTGTTCCATTTTTCCCATCCGACCTTTCCTCAACCTTTGCAGATCTTCGACACTCTCGCGTACAAGCAGGACGGGCAGCTGAGCAACGAGCAGCTGCGCGACGTACTCCTACACGACGCCGAGGGGATGATTGCCGAGGCTGATCTGACCGGGAAGGGCACCATTGACTACCAGGAATTTCTGGCCGTCGTGTGCCAACAGAACAAAAGCCTTAACCGGATCTCGCAAACGAGAATCTCCTCGATTTCCACCATGGCGAGCTTGACGGTGCAACAAACTTCCACGGAAAAGGTCGGGTCTCCCGGGGAGGTGGACGAAGATGCGTCGACGACTGCTGGGTCGGCGTCCGGGTCCAGCTCCCCCGCGGAGGAAATCGCAAGCGAAGCAACGGGGAGTCCCAGCAGCGAAGAAGCTTCGACGTCATCCTGTTCTGGTCATCGTGCACAGCCCGACGTGCAAGATCCGAGGAGAACAGATGGTGGATCACAAAGCAGTAGTAGACCATCGGGCGGACGAGGAGAACAGGACGACGCCGAGAACGTTAACAACTCGCTCGAGCAAGAAGGTGATCGATCAAGCAGCATTTCCTGGTCGGATCTGATGCGGGTCTCGGCTTTCGCGAGGGTCAGCGAGTTCGAGAACGGCCGCGCAAGTAGCTCCTCTTCTTCTTCTGACCCGTTCGGAGATCAGGCGATAGTAGCTCGGTCCTCTTCGCAAGAGAGCTGTATCACAACAGCCTTCGAGGAAACAAGTCACAACTCTTTAGGCGGCACGAGAAATAACATGCCTGCTGTGCGGGCAACAAGCACCGGCTCTTCCGGCAGGGAGACCACAAGTTGTAACCGGAAAAGCGACATGCGCCACAGCCTCGCGCCGGTTCCCGAAGACAGCGCGGACGAGTCTTCAAGTGGGCCGCTTGCTGGTGCTGGTGAGAAGAATCTCCGGCGCGGGATTTCGGAAACAGTTTTGCCCGAATCGCGGTCCTCAACGAGGAGAACCACGCGAGTCACCACAAGCCGTCCATCCAAGGAGCTGCAGCGCGGCGAAACTTGGCAGGAAGACCGAATCTCCCCCACCGACGATGAGGAGGAGGACGATGAGGAGGACGCACGAAGCAGGTTAGATACTTCCAGAGAGGCTGCTGACCAGCCTGATGCAGGTCCTGCAACGTCGAATAACAAGCATCGCGACAGCCAGCAGAGTTGCGCCACTTATCATTTTCGACCCACGACACGCTTCTCAGCGTACTCGAGCACAGCAAGCTGCTCACAGCAGGCCCTGGCGAAGAATCCCTTCGAAACGGAAGAGCTGGCCGCGCGCTTGTCGGCCCTTGTGCAATATCAAATGTAAAAATGTAGTCTGGGTCTGGAAAAGTGTAGACTTGTCATGCAGATTTTTCATGACCCATGAGGTCTGGAATGCGGGACCTAGCATGACAGACTCTACGAGGTCTCCGCCATGCCTGTCCTGCATGAGAAACTCCCTTCCAACTTGGTCAAAAGTGGCCAGCTTTTGGCACTCATGCAACACAGATTTTTGCATGCTTCAGATTTACCATGACAAGTTGCAATCTTCCAGACCCAGACATTTCTGCAATCCATATGCAGCGAATTTCCTCCTCGTCTTCGCAGGGCCAGGGCTCAGCGAGTTCCTCCTCCGCGGCGCAATCTGTGAACAAAACGCAGCAAGAGGATAGTAGTACCTCAGTGGACACGGACCGGTTGATCGCTTCGCTTGGAGCGGGTCCCACGGAGACGGGGATGTGCTTTTCGGCTGTTGTGGATGACAGGTATAGAAAGGCTTGGAGTTACGGTCACACATGTTTATGTCTCTCAAGAGGTTGATTTTGTGCACACACCGATCATTTCCACGCTTTACCCTAATTTCCGTAAATCATGTTACCTAGCGCCGTCACCAATTTGATTTCACAGCAGCCACGGGAAGAGCTCGTCCTCGACCACCGCCCGTGCCCCTCAGTGGACGGCGAAACGACCGAGTAAAACGGAAGCAGACCACCATTCCACGAGTACAACGGATAGGAGAAGCGTCCGGGAGGACGGTGTCGAAGATGAGCGGCACCAGGACGATACAGTGTATCCGCCACGGGATGATGAAGATGATGATGTGTATCCACCAAGAGAAATGATCGGAGAACACCAGCAGGAACAACAACACGGAAGCTGCGCTAGTTCATCTTCGTCCTGCAATAGAAGCAGCATAACAACAACACTTCACCAATCATCTAACTTGCCGAATGCAGGCGGCGATCAGACCACTTCAAGAAAACATCATCAGCACCATGACTATGGTGGCGCTGCTGGTGGTTCTACGAATGCAACCGGCAGTAGTGCAACTTCAACTGCAACTTCATCTGCTCCTCCCCGCGCAACGTTGCCGAGCCCTACCTGCACCTTCCGGAGTTCGCCCCTCTCTGAGTCGCGGGGCACCCGGGCTACCTCCCCGGCCTGCGCCACCACGCCGGACGACGAATCGAACCAGCAACGCACCCCAAATCCCTACCGGAAGTACCGCCGGGTGGCATCTTTGGTGTTGCAGTTTCAACCCACGTCTTCTGCATCTTCTGCTGTTGTGCCAGAGGGTAGTTGTTCTGGTGCACCAGTGGCCCCCGCAGCGGCAACTACATCTTCTTCTGCTCGGCAGTCAAGGGCCGGTGGTGCTTCTATTTCGCCCGCGGACATTGTGCTAGACCTAGGTGTAGTTGATGTACCGGCTGCCGACGAAAAGCGGGCCAGCGTTGGCGCACAACCACTATCACTTCCGCCAGTACCGCCGCAGCCGGATGACTCCAGCCTGAGCAAGGGAATCAGCGGCATCGCGCCTGCGGGCGGTCCGTCGTCTCGGCGGTCCAGTAAGGCGTCGACTGTCGTCGGAAGCAGCCGGAAGTCGACGGGAAACAAAATCTCGACGACGGCCTTGCTCCCGCGCCAACGCTCCGGAAGCGTACCGTCTCGGGGTATCGGCATCGTTTCGGTGCCCTGCCGACGATCTATGTACGAAGCAGGGCATCCGAGCGTTGCTGATGACAATGTGGACGAGTTTAACGGTGCTCTCGGTGAGGAGGAAGGTCAGTGAGGTAGACTTCATCGCAAGGGACCATGGGAGGACGTGTCAGGCTAAGGAGGACCGACCACTAGTATCGCTAAAACTGCGTCTCGCGTCTTAGATTTGAGGCTCTCAAGAACGATACCACGTTTGCCAACTGCTTCGAGTTGTGAAGCATTTTTTTGTTTGAAGGACATCAATTGAGATTGACCACCTCTGTTTACTACGTTTTTTTGGAGATTGCTGGTTGCGCAAGTAGCGTTGTAGATTTCGCTGCGCGTCGCTGGCATGCTCAACATCATGAACACATTTTCCACCACCTATTCGCCCTGTATTAGAAATTTTTGGTTACAGTTCCTTCATCTGCTTTATTCCGTGCGCCGTTCGTTGCTCTTTACCTGAAGCACGGATCGCGAGCAAGTTTGTTCCTTTGTTTCATCTTCATCTTTTACTGAAGGATTTGGATACTTTTTGAAGGTTTTCGTTTCTTTTTGTTTCTCTCTCCGCATTTCATTTTCCTTTTTTGTGCGCGATTGTTTCTTCTCGACAAAGATTGGCCGCTCAGATTATGGGTAGACTTCTTGTTTTTGTCGAGAAGACAGGCACTCGTAGCGCTTTGGAAATTAACGACCGTCATTTGTACTTGCTTTGTAGCGACTTTTTGGCTTAGCGCGACTCTTGTAACAATTTGCTGTGAAAAATAGACTAGGGCAGCAGCAGAATGGCAACTTTAAATCTAGCGAGGAATGACGTTCTGGAAGTTGAAGTAACTTGCAGTCCGTATCACGACAGAGGGCAGCGGACTCGGAGTCAATGACACGAAAAGTAAACCGTGATGACAGTGCTTCTCGCGGATTCATTATTTTCCAGTTTTTGGGGCGGAGAAAGGAACAAAAAAAAATTGAGGAGGACCAGGAATACCAACGAATGACAAATGCGCCGCTGCCCGGAGGTTATGTTGTTCTCTTGGGCGTGGTTGACAAGAAGTCGCTCTCGCTACCTCCACGGACGATCGCAAATTTGACACTACTATACAACGATGAAAACGAATGAATGTTGAACAAGGAAAGAAAAAACAGTAAATTGATGATCTGGAATTGAAATAGGTAAAGCTAAAGGAAGTTCAATCCCGTGCCCGTCAAAAACACGAAAATTATTTGCTTCAGTTCCAGAAATAGATCGACCCGGTCCGGTTCCGAAAGTTGAAAATTCTGCGTGAAAGTGATAGAGTTCAAAATCCTTCAACAAACGAACAGCAGAGGCAGGTTTTCGTAGACTGTGAAACTCGCAAAAGAAGTACTTGTCGAAATATTATTTAAGTAAACACTAGCTGCAACTGAAGGTACCTTAGCGTTTATTCCCGTATCAATACATAATTCGAAAGAGTCGCGATACTCTGACTTGAACTCAAAAAGTTGCATATTTCTTGCGTCCGCATTTGTATTAGCATTAGCTCTGATTCTTTTTCTTTCAATTCTCTAGTTCTACATAAATTCGAGTTTCCTATCTTCTGTGGCCAAGAAAATGGCCGCTCTTGCGCAGCTGATGGTCTCTCGATTGATGGTAGTTGCGCCGGCTGTGATCATTTTCGCACCCACGGCCGTCGGAGTAGTGTCTCTTTCTTCATCTACACGACGTAGCACTAGCAGTAGCACCACACCAGACAGGGATGTTGCAGCACCAACAAGGCACCCCAGACTAGAAGCAGAGCGCGCGGATCGACAGCCTTTACTTCAAAGCGGTGAGGAAGTTTTGACTGGAGCAACGCACCAGCCCAGTTCTGCGAGCGGCCAGATCGTCACCGACGGGGCGCTGGCGCGTCAATGGCGTGCTAGAGAAACCGCGGAAGAAGTCGTGGTTGAAGATGCAGCAAATGAGCAAGAGCACGAGCGGAACCAGAATCCCACATGTTTCGACTCTGGCGGATGGCTGGTTTCGCAGCCCGCACGGGACTTGTTGGCGTTGTTGGAAATCGTCGAGGCAAGTATCCCAGACAAGCATCAGTGCCTGTTTTGTCAAGAAGACGAAACAGAGCCAGAATTGTTGGCGCGGCACAAGCGAAGTGTGCTCAGAAAGAACAGAAAAAGTCGGGGTGGAGTGTCGTCTTCAAGTAGTCGCTCCTCCGGTGGCAGCGTTGTTCGTGGGCAGAGAGATCGAAAACGAGACGCCACGAGAACCTCTCCTGGCGACACATCACTGCGGGAACAGAGTGCTAGAACCGCGGGCGGAATGTTCGATAGCGATGACGAAAACGAGACAGCGGAAAAGTCTTTTTGCTGCCTGGATGAAGTTTCTTGTCCAACGGAAAGAGAAGACGACGCCATGACTTCAGTGGTTTTTCTCCCCTGCCAGCATCGTGTGCACGGCTGTTGCTTGGAAGATTGGATCGAACGGAATTTCTTCAAATTTTACAGTGATGAGCCTTCCGACAGGAAGAACGCGCTTTGGAAGGAGGAGCAGTGCAAGAGGGTGCGCGTGCGATTGGAGGACTTTGTTTGTACTTTCCGCAGTGATATTAAGGAAAGAAGTACTCCAAGAACCGCGGACGAGCTGCATGCTACGGGAGAAACGAAGGCCACAGGTAGTTGCAGCGCGGAGCAACCTAGCACGCCGCAGCCATTGCTTGTCGTTGACGAAAAAATTTCTGATGCGAAGAAGCCGCTTACAGGGGCTACAGCACACCCTTCTCCTACCTCGTCCGACACCGAGCTTGGGAATATCAGCGAAGAGTGTCTCTTCGTTTCGGATTTATCTGCTGCGCTTTACTTCAGTCCGCCAATGCAGAGCAACGCAGTACTGCAGAGAAGGTTTATGAACGCTTCCCACAGTTCTTTGTCGTGTCCGATATGTAGACAGCACGTGCAAAGCTTGGTGCCAATCCTCCAGGAAGATATCAGTCGCGTTCTCGAGCAAGTTCTTTCGGAGGATGAAAACGCGGACGACCACAACGCTGCAGGGTCCCGTGGTCTCCCCCTTCTAACTCCGGACGCAACCGCACGGAAAGACCGTGAGGCGATCGCACAGAAGAAGCATTGCCGCAGAAGAACAGCGGGAAGAAAGCGGAGCGGACACACAAGTTCTAACACAAATGATGATGCAGCTCTTTGCGGATTGGAAGAGAAACTGGAGCGGCTCACACTCAGTCCGCATCGCATGCTGCGGGTAAAACAGGATATTTTCGAAAAGCTGAGAACGCGAGATGCAAAGGAAGATATTTGTGCCGTGAATGACCAAGCAAAAGCACGAAAGCTCGGCAAACAAGGGCGGACTGCGAGGTGGGTCGCGAGAGGGAAACCGAAAAACAGAAAGACGAACGAGCGCGACACCCGCGAGAAATCGGATAGTAATTATCTCGGATCGGAACGACAACGAAGTTGCTTTGCGCGCATGCAGCACTGCTACCTTCATTGCTACCTTCGTTGCTTACAGGGGCGAGCTGCGGTTGCCAATCGAGCGCGTGGCGTCGTGCGGGCTGCGCGAGGAACGCGGGTCGGACGGGGTTTGCTGACATGTATGCAGAACCACGAGCAAGGACTCAGATTGGTGATCGCGTTTGTGCTCATCACTGGGATCTCTGCGGGCACCTTTTTGAGAGACGGCCTCCACGTACACCTGTCCGATGCTGCTGCGGATTTTTTCAAGCAAGTGGGGATTGCGCTTATTTTTTTCGACGTATGCCTCTTTAAACCGCTTGCCCGCCTCGCGACGCAGCTCGGCTTGAATCAAAACAGGAGCGCAGACGGCGGAGAGGAAGGTCAACGAGAGGAGCAGCAGCTCAAGAGCTTTGAACTGCGTCTCGTGCGGGACACGATCGAATCGGGGCTGCAACAGCTCCTGGAAGCTTCGAAGAAATCAAAAGAGATAGACGACGAACCTTGCGCCCATCTTCCTGCGCCCCTCGACTTCGAGGTCTAGAAATAGAGGAGGATTAGGTCAAAAATATGTGGCAATCCTTACGCACAGAACAGACCGACAACGTCAAGCGATGAGATTTGTTACCGCGCAGCGGGGAGGATCCTTTGCGTTGTCCTTTCTCGGAAACGGAAATAATGACATTATCGTCGGATAGTGAGAAATGTTTATACAGGTTTTTGCACTGTTTGATTGTAACTGAGATCTGTGATGCTGAAGCTGATGTATTAGACAGACGACGTTGAAGATGACCCAAACACTCAAAATCTATGTACGATGAAGCAGAAGCTTTCGCGTTGCCATGCATATCACTGAACTAACAAGCTGAGACAGGCATCGATTTCTATGTTGGTCTTGTTTAACCGCCGGATGGAACTTGTTGACATTTTGCTCTTGCACTTTTCATTTGCTCAACCGTAAAGACACACTAGCTACAGCACACCATAAATGTCTCGGTAATAGAGCAAAACATGTGAAACGAAGACGTTTCGTGATCTCGATCTTTGCGCGCCTGTTCAACATCGTTAAGATCTCTACACTGACTCTATCAAACCAAGCAGTACGGACGACGCCTCTTAAAGATCTGGAATTTTGTTTGAATCGTTTTTCTCGTCCTTTTGTATTCGATGGCCTCATATAGTACCAAGACCACAGCGTCAGCGACGACAAGAACGAGATCTAGAACGACTTCCGGATCGCTCGCGCGCACTATTGAATTAGCACACGCAGGATCATGATCATCACAATTGCTTTGACACTGCACGACCCATGTTCGTTGTACGTCGGTAAGCTGCAACACGTTCTCTTCGCATGATAAGCTTTGTCTTTTTTAGCGATCTGTATTCATTTTCATTGTTGCATAAGAGTACCACAAGGATAAAATTTCTTTTACAACATCTAATTTTCTTCTGTATGTCTTGCTAGTGACAGTGACGTGAGGCAGCTATTTCCTCATGAAGGTTGCTGGCTATAGAACCATATCACGATAAAATTTGATTGTCTCATAATTATAATTTTTGCGGCCCCCCGGGAACGATGGATCCTCCAGCGCATCATGGCATCTCTTGCAACAGCAGTTGCCGGGTCCTTCTAGGCAGTAACTCATCCACCAAGCGCCTGCGTACCAGCATGCGTGCCAGACCGACCTGGGTGGCGGTACCAACAAGGTTTCTTGTGGCAATATTCTTGCCACTGGTTTTCCTGCCACAACCTGCGACAGGCTTGGGTTTCCGAAAGAAAATGGTGATGAGCGTTTTCGAAGACTGGGAGAGAGAAGACCTTCAGTTTCCGACGATATCGAATGGGCAAGAAACCAACCACACACTTGCATCCCTAGCCGAAGCAGAAGAACGTGGTAACATTGACGGTGAAGCAGAGGTAGAAAGAGCGGGCACTCCTCGGACGACCCCTTCCTATTCGGACCCCACTACCTGCTTCTTCCGAAGAGGCGGCGCGCTGGTCTCCAAACCGGCTCGAGAATTGCTGGCCCTTTTACAAATCGTCGATGCGTGGAAACATGAGCAGGCCTGCTTCGTTTGCCAGGAGGACGAAAGTTTAACGGCGATGAGTGACAAGTTTTTTCCAAAGACGCCATCATCATGTTCATCCTGTGGCCCAGGTCTTGCAGCAGATCCGGCCTATTCTCCGGAACAACTACCCGGAACTACGCTGCCGATCCACTGGCCACGACTTCTCGGGCATCCGTGCCAGGACAAAACCAGCCTGATTCTGCTGCCGTGCCAGCACCGCTTGCATGCCCATTGCCTGGAGCAGTGGTTCCGCAAAAAGATCGAAAAAGACCTGACGGCGCACGGGTATCGACCGCTGCGTAGCCGCAGCCCGTCCGGCGCCGTGTCGTTTGCGCAGATCCGGGCGAATGCGAGCATCCAGCGGCTGCGGCTCGAGCAGTGCAAGAAGGTGGAGGTGGCAATGAAGGAGTTGCTGCGTCGGGATAGGAACTGTGGGAGAGGGAAGGAAAGAAAACCAAAATGCGATAAATCATCGCAAAAAGATGAAAAGCCCGGCGCCGAAGCGGAGGAATGTTATGCTCAACAATCAGAAGCGCAAGCGCCCGATGAGGAAGACTTCCCGGAGCGGGTGAGAGAAGTTTGTCAGCGTTACCATTCTTCGTTTGTCAAAGACGACGCTCCCCTGTCTGCCGAAGAGGACGAAGTAGAACAAGAGGAAACTACTGCCAGTGATAGTTCATCTTGCAGTGCTACATCAAGCTCAGCAGATCAATCATCACGCCGGCCCGTGACGACGGAAGAGTGCCTCCTGGCCGCGAGCTTGTGTGAGATTCTCGACAACACGGACGGGATCGAGTGTCCGCTCTGCCGGCAGCAAGCGCATACAGTGGTGCCGATTCTCGAGGAGGATATTCTTGGCGTGTTGAAAGCGGTGGCCAAGCACGACTGTAGCCGTCTCGCGAGGCACAATTTTTACAGCCGCGACGTTGCTGATGCGAGCGAGGATCAAGAGCAAGAGGACTACGATTATTTCGAGGAAGAATCTCAACAGCGTGTTGATCATGAGCCTTTCTTGCGGCGCAGGAAAAACAATAGTATCAGATGCGGGCTCTTGTCCTCTTCCTCCAGACTGTCAAGTGCTTCGACAAACGAGACCGACACAGCCAGCAACTCCGCCACTTCGAGTCCGTCGTTGTCGTCGAGTGACAGCGTCGCTTCTATGATGGAGGTCGTCGTTTTCGATGAGCTCCCACCAAGGCGCACTGAAATCGAACAAGGCACCGGAAGTGTTAAAAACGGCGAAGATGATGAAGATATCGCAGCCTGTACAGCCACAACAAGATCAAGCAAAAGAGGGGAAGTAGTACGTGAAAAGGATGGAAGTGCTGAACAAGCCAGCTCAGTTGACGCTCTAACCGCGGCAATGGGACAACTGACCCTGGATCCGGTGAAGATGAAACTTTTCTTCGATTCTTGTTGCAGACGCTTGGAACACCGAAACGCGCAGGCCGACGTGCTGGCAGTGAGCAGCAGCGTGGCTGGTCGGTTGTTAAGGGACACTCCGTTTCTGCGGCAGGAAAAAGCAAGGAACGATATGAAAGGTGAGAAACGCCAGGAAATGGTTGAGAAGAAACGCAAGAAAAAACATACCAAATCATCCGCATCAGTTGTCAAGAAGCAAATGCACCACTTCTGGTCGGCTGCAGCCTGTCGCCGCCGCCGCCGGGCAACCTGCCGGACACTTCGGAAGGGGTTGAAGCCACTTCGATGGGCGCTTGAATGCTACACGCGATTGGACGACAATTTCAAGCACAAGTTTTTCGTTGGCAACCTTTGCACGGTCGCGCTGTTGGGACATGTCTGGGCCACCCTGGGGGTCATACCCAATGAGCTCGCACATCAGCTGGTATGTGCAGGCTGTGTGGTGCAAGCCATGTCGCTGTTGCTGTCTAACTTACAGGAACGAATCGAGGATGCGCAGCAGGCCATTGACTTTGCGCTCACCTTGAGTTTTCCGTGCATGAATGGAGGCCGCCAGCGCCCCGTCGCTTTTGAGTGCAAGCTCGAGCGCGTGCGGGCAAAGATCAAGGCGGCGCTGGAAGAAATGCTACCGGAAGTAGAGCCATGCTGCAGTTCCAAGGACGATAAGTACTTGGAAGAAGAAAAAGAAGAGGAAGGAACGTGATTATCATGGATCCAGCTGTACGTGTACGCTTCTAAGAGTGAGAAGATAATTTTGTTCCCACATCAGGGAGTAGACATGGTGGTTTTGCTTTGATACAACTCACTGTTAGGATAAACTTTTGCATCTATCTATCGATCATGTGCACCAGCACCCATATTACTTGTAGATTATACGAGAATTCCACCCTATTTTCGATTTCGAGGGCAAAAGAGACGCTTTGGCGGTTTTGCTTTCGGAGCTAGTCGTAGTGGTTTGGAATCAAACAAAAGATCTTGTTGCAGCGCCTTGACTTTTGAATTACAACATCCTAGTTCTCCCTGTTTGACCCTAAACTACGTCAACACTTTTGGTCTGTTACAGCATGGTGCCTCGATGCACTTGTGCCTGGCAAAATTGATACCATCAGCTAGTACTAGCAGATTGGTGTCTTATTTTTCATCTAAAGCGAACTGCAACTGCTCCTGCTGCCTGTGTCGCGGAAGATGCGTACACGCAACAATGCTAGACATTCACATTTATGACCGAAACGGACACAGCAGGTCGTGCTCGTGGTCATAGCCACGTCAACCAGAAATGCATACTGTAATCATAAATCATTCTACTTACACTAAAAGATCGAAGTCAAGCACTCCTATGCCGTGCCTCTTTTACGCTCGCTGGATGTTTCTACGTTTAAGCATGTAAAATGTGCTACAAGGATCTTTGTGCGCTCATCTGCCCGCTGTTGGCACAAAGTCAAAGAAGAAATGATGACAGCCTGTTGTATCAACACCGGAAGGATCTAAAAGCGATAGCGAACGAATTCAGCTCATCAGTACGGACGATGGATCCTAGGCTGTATTGGTAAAAATGCACAGGTGCAGATCTGCGAACAAATTGAAAAGCAAGCCACGAGGAATCGCGATTCTAGATCAACACATAAACAAAGCTCAAATGATTCATCTTTGGTTTTTGTAAATCTGAATCTTTGACGAGACCCACCCTTATATGAACGAACCGTAACTCATCCACACAGACACAGCAAAACAACTATTAGAAAATCACTCAGCAAGAACGACGATTTTGAATCACGCAACCCGTATTTTCACCATAACTACGTGTACGTACGAATCGATCGACATCAAGTTTGTTTCCTCTTGACGAAAAAGTTCTCAGAATGATCTTTCAGCGACTCGCGGTCGCCGCCGCGGGGTCGCTTTTCGGGGGCTCCGTCGCCGTCGCTGGAAGCAGCAAGCTATCCTGTGCAAAAGTATCGTACTCGTATAAATGCATTACAAATTTCCTCAGCATGAGAGATAAAATTTGTAATGCTGATTTACCTTTCAGAAGAAGATTTGTAATGCATGACTGCAATTACGACGAGTACGATACTTTTGCAGTTCATACAAGCCTTCCTCCGGCCCGGACGCCGTCATTGAGGACCTGGCGCCGAAGGTGAAAATCAACAGCGAAAAAATTAAAGCGACAAAGCAGGAGGACAAGAATAAAGGGAACAAAGCGACATCAGCGAGCTCAAGTGATTCAGGTAGCGGTAAGAAGGCCGCTTCCGAAATAAGTGCAGGTAGTTCATCGAAGAAGAAAGCCGGATCTTCATCCAGTCCTTCTTCGTCTTCCACTTCGAAGCAGGTGGAAATGGAGACTGTTGCTGTGCCAGAAAAAGAAACGAGACCAGCGACAGGAAGGGACGAGCACAGCCAAAGCAAGAGTTCTTCCAACCGAAATAAGGCGGACAGCAGGAGCAAGCATAACACTGCGGACGAGGTTGACAATTTTCGGATTGAGGTGGGAAAACCGTTCCAAATCATCCAACCGACTCCGGACCATCAATCCATGCGCGTGAACGCGGGAAATCTGGCTAGGCTGTCGGCAATCAAACACAAAATCTCGTTGATTTCCGTCGTCGGACCGTATCACAGCGGGAAGAGCTTTCTGTTGAACACCATGCTGGGAAACATGCGGGCTTTCTCCGTCGGACCAAAAACCAGCCCGGAAACGATGGGGATTTGGTATTCTTTTTCTATTTTGCAAGACCAAGAAATGCGGGTGCTTGTTGACGTTGGAAAAATGCGCCGCCACTCATTGTCGTGGCATCGGAAGAATTATTTTATCCACGTTATTCGTACAAAATTCAAATTTATCACCCAGGCTTTGCCGCACCAACATGACGTCCGAGGTGGACGGCAGTGAGATTTGGTTGATGGATTCGGAGGGTTTTTTCGGCCCGGGGATCGAAGAGGCGTACGATGCCAAGATTTTTACCATCGCGACGCTTCTCGGCTCCCATCTGGTGTACAACACCGTCAAAGTCATCGATCAGCAGGCGGTGAACCTTTTAGAGATGCTGGCCCGCCGCGCACAACTGTTCAAGACGAAATCGGGGCAGGTGACAGGGGAAAACTCGGCGATCACGCCGGATTTTTTGATGCAGATGAACTTCCCCTCGCTCACGTGGATCGTCGAGGACTTCACGCAAGACAGCTCGTCCACTGGTACCTACGTAGAATGATAATTTAGATTTTATCTTTACCTCTGAAAACAAAAACAAAAGGACAAGACATCAACGTCTGTCTTGCCAGGGTAGCACCATCATGAAGGAATGCATGGACTTGGACATTTTTTTTCGTACTTCGAAACTCATACCATGATATTATCCTCTATCCACAGGCGAGAACTCACTCCTCGAGTGGCTCCGTTCCTACCTGTCGCACGAGAAAGGGTCCAATCTGAAGGATACCAACAGCACGAGCAAATCCGCTGGCACGGCGGTGGGGCAGCCGAGGGGGAATGGCGACCACTATTTGAGTCGGCTGTTTAAGGACATCTCCGTGAAGACGTTGTTCCTCCCAGCAGTGACAAAGGCGGACCTGAAGGATTTGTCGAAGCTGAACTACAACCAACTGACAGAAGAGTTTCGAGAAGGTACATTTGCATTTTTCAGCATGGACACTCTTTTGCATTTTTCTCATAGACATGATAGATAGTTTCTTCTATAGCTAGGATCCTGTTGCTTTTATGTTGAGGACCATGCCTAGTGCTTGGTGACTTCATTGGAATAAAAGCAGCATTAACCTTAAGTAACGGCGTCGCATCACTCCCTGATGGGTCCACAATATCATCACATTTTGACACGAAAATAGAGCTCGAGACGGACGTGAAACCCCACATCCTGCAGCGGGTAAAATCCAAGTCCTTTTCCGCCAAGCGCGAGCACATGACGGGTGTCGAGTTGCAGAAAGCGATTCATTTCATCGTGAACGCGCTGCAGACCGGGGTTTTTCCCGAGCTGCCGAGCTTGTGGGCGTCGTGGACGACGCAAGTCGCAGAGCACTCGCTGTACGATTCCGAGCGGTGGTTTCGCAGCATGGTGCTGGACGGTAAGTGGGCCGCCACCGCGGGCATGGACGACAAGGACCACGAGGATCACAAACACGTCGAGACCACGGACGCCGCGGCCGTGGTGTCCGTCGGGACCTTCAACGACCGCATTGCGCTCGCCCGGGAGCGCACGCTCAAGTTCTACACAGAGCTGTTGAAGGATTTTGATGTGAAGCCGGAGACGCAAACGCTGGAGCAGAAGATGGGCGTGATCCAGAAGGACGCGGTTTCGCAGTTTTCCCACCGGATCCACCGACACTTCCGGATCTTGGTGGACGACTTGAAGGAGAAGTACAATACGTTTCTGACGACGAAAGTCACCCTCCCGCACGAGCCAAAACAGCTGGAGCAGTTGGTGAAGGAGGAGTCGAGCATGCAAGTGCGGAACATCACCACCGAGTGGAACCACTTGTCGAAGTTGAACAAGCACGCGGAGCCGCTGTCCACCATCCCCTGGACGGAGAAGAACCCGAAAACGAGCCTCGCGCAAGACCTGGAAACGCTCGCGGTCGCGAAACACGCCGAGAACGAGAAGGTGATCCAGAACATTTTCCAAACCGCAGCGCAGGCGAGTCTGACGAGCTGCGACAGTGATCTGTCCAGCCGGGAGAGCCAATTGTTTGGTAAGCAGCAAATGAAGGAGTTCCGGGAACAAACCAGGATAAACGCGGATAAATTTTTCCAGAACCATTTAAACGGCGAAACCTGGTTCAAGTTCCATCCGCTGTTCAAAACGCACGAGGCGCTGGTCAAGCAAGAGGTATACACAGGTTTTGAGAACGCATGACGTTGCTTTTGCGAGTTCTGCAATTGTTTATGCAAAAAGCACGCTGATACTGACTAGCTAGTACAGCTGCAATTCTTTGTCCTATGAATTCGAAAAGAAACTGAACAATCTTTCATTAATTGTTTCTTCCCCAAACAATCTATCAGACCGACGTGAAGCTGCAGCGGTTCCAGGAGATGAACGAGCAGCGGATCGCGATTCACATGCGGGAGGTGCACGACAAGGCCTTCAACTACTACAAGGAGAAGAAAAACAACCTGAAGATGCCCATGGACGAGGAGGCGCTGGCGGAACAGCACGGCAAACTGAAGGAGGAGTCGGTGGACGTGCTGGCGAAATCGGTCGAAGATTTGAAGGACACCGTCCAGTTCATCGAGACGCAGGCGAACCTGGAAAGGAAGGTCATGGTCGAGTGGGGCCGGATGACGCAGAAGAACGTCGAACTTTGGAAAATCCACAACGACGAAGTCACGCAGTGTGGCTTACAGAGAAACTTCGCGGGGAAGATGGTATTTTAATAGATTTATTTGCGTTGTTCTTGTTTCCGCTTCGCTGGTTGATATGCCTCCTGTGCCTTCCTGGTCGTTGCACGTGAGACAATAGGAAAATGATAAAAAAAAAAACAGGATTGTGGTTTCCTCTGCCCGCACACACTCATCCCGTTCCTGCACAAGGCGAACGCCCGGCAGAACCTTATGGACTGCTTCCGACTGAAGGAGGACAAAATCAGTGCGAAGATGGGGAAGGGCATGCAGGAAAAGATTTTCGTTTCCTGGTACGAAAAGGAGCTTGCCTACGAGGCTAATTCTTGCTGGAACAACTTTTTTCTCATCTGCGGCACCATATTAGTCGGTATCGTGGGCATTTGGTACAGCCGACAGAAGAGGAAATCCGGGCAGAACCTGCTTGCGGACCACCACGCACAAAACCTCCAACTCGTGCAGCAGCAGCAGCAGCACATGCGACAACAAGTATACGACCCCGTCATCCACGGCCCCGGCGGGGGAGGCCCCCAGATTCCCCACGCGCACGCACTGACGAACAGAAGTAGTGGTGGACAGCAGGACCCAAGAACCCCGATGAACAACCAGGGCTCCGTTTTTGGCGGGGGCACGCCCCACAGCCAACACGGCGGACACCCCATGGGAAGCAGGTTTTCCTAAAGAATGTACGGTTTGGTAACAACGTACCATAACGACATCCAGCGCAAGAACGCTCCTCCTCATTTACAGTATGCTGATGAAGTTGAAGTAGTTGTACTTCCTTTATAAGCGCAAATAAATGAAGAATCATCCCGAAGGCGAACTCAGAAAGAAGAGCAGCTTCAAGCAGTAGCAAATACGCAGCGCGATCTGTAGCTCTGGCATTCGAGAGATTTTTGTCGCGAACCAAAGAAAGAAGCACCATCTTCCCGCTGTTCCAAGAACTGGTTTGTCCTGTGTAATTCTGTGAGAACTGTAGTTTTTTCTCCCACGACCTCAAGACTAGTTTTTCCCTTGCCGAGCGAACGAATTGTCTTGTTTCCATGCGTGTTCGTGCATTGCTTTCTTACCACGGTGAAATTCATTGAATGTAGTACTGTGGCGGGTAGCGCAGATTCTGTTTCTTTTTTTCTTGTGTATACTAGCGTTTTTTGCAGCTCGACCTCGAGTGATGGAAAAGGGCACAGATAGGCCTTTGAGCCCTCTTTAATGTTTGTTCTCGATTCTTGGTTAACAGCAAAAGAAGAGAAACTGAAACAAGACAAGTTGATGCACACGGAAACTCATTCTCGTACATACTTACAGCCGTTCGCCCATTGGCCCTTTCGAAGATTTCAGTTTTTTCCCAAGGGCAAGCTTATCCTTAAGACTTCGCTCGAAGCAAAAAATATACCCACACAAAAGACCGCTAGTAGTTGTGTTGGAACAAGAAGAAAAAAAAAGATCTGACAGCAGGAAACTAGCAAGAGTTGCACATCTTCACACAGAACTTGAAAAATGTCGGATAGCATCGACGCTGAAGCGGACGCCAACCGCGAGCCGTGGCTGGCGACGCCGTCTCCTCCGAGGTCCGCGGACTCAATTATCCCAACCACACCGCCGGCGCAAAACGTCCAGGTTTTCCCGGAAGACCCGTTTTTTACCACCGTGTCCCCCCTAAACCCGATGGCGCCGCTGAGCGAGCCCCGTTTACCCCCGCCCGGAGCGTCCGCAGAGGATAACATCAGTCGGGAGGAACTTCTTCTAGTACCCAATAGCGACTCCCCCACCGGGACTACAGGTAATACAATGGGCGGTGTGTTTAATACCCCGCCACGGGATGGTAGTGGAAATAAAACCCTCGTCAAGGTCGCCGCGCCCATCGCCTCCCCGGCAAAAAAGCCGCAGGTGAAGCCGCTTGCCGCGCCGGCGGTTCCGCCGGCGCCCGATAGCATGGACGTCGACGAACTGTTGCTGAGCACGGGAAGAAATCCGCTATTGAGTAGTGCGGAACAACATCATTTTATCCCAGATTCACCGGATACAAGCGCGTCGAAGAACTCCGTCGCGTCTCCGCCGCCGCCGGAACAGAGCATCGGTACGCCGGTCATTGAGGAAAAAGTAAAAAACACCCAAGTTGAGGTTGAAGACGACGATCGCGACGCCACCGTTGCAGAAAAAGCAGAAGCACTCCAACAGCAAGTGGACAAGAGCAACCACAGCCCGGACGCGAACTCGGTCCTGGCGGACGGGTCTCTGGAGGGCTTCAAAGTTGTGGACGGGGTTTTCCAGAAACGAGACTTGCTTTCCCCGAACAAAACCGGCGCGGACGAGGAGTTATTGCCCAGCAAACAGCCTCTGATCCAAGTCGAGGGCGACGCGTATGTGAGTTGCCCGGCGGTTGCCGCAACGGTCCGGCTGCACGAAGAGCGGGAAAACAATCCGGAACACGTCGACTCCGGGCTCTCGATCCGCGGGTTGCAAGAACCGGTTTCGCAATTTCACTCCTCATCCGTGGTTTCCGTCGACGGTGCAACAGCTCTCGTTGCTGGTGAACAAAGCCAGTTGCAAGCCGTGTCGGTGCAGCTCTCGGATGTAGTGGACCATGATTTATTGTCATCCGGTGTTTCTACTGTTTTGTCCTCACACGGTGGTACTCCGGTAGTTGCCACGACGACAACAAGCGCTCTTCTCGTAGAACAACAGCTGCCGAGTGGAACGTCGAGCACGAGCCGGAGTGTGTTGCTGCTTCTGCCCGCAGGTCGGGTCATCGCCCCGGGTGAGGCGTCTTTGTCGCCCAGGGAGGACCGCAAAGAGCTACCGAAATCGCCAGCAAAAAACAAGAATGCGACTACTTTGATGCGAAGTCTGGTCAACGGTGGAACAACTAGATCTCACCAGGGCTCAGCACTGAATAGTATGTAGTGAGGTCACCGAACGGTTCTAACCGGGGAGTTTTTTTGACACCCAGCCAGCAAAACGACCGGCAGTTTTCAAGCGGGCGGGAGTGTTTTTTTACATAAAAGATTTTCAATTATCAAGCGGGCGGGGCTTTGAAGTCAAACAAGCCCGGTCGAAAACTATCGATCCCCGCTTGATAAAACGACGCAGGGGAGCCGCCAAAAGGGGCGCCCTTCTGAGGCGCCCACCGCCTTAGTTTCTGGCGGTTTGGGGCGCCTAGAAAGGGACGCGCAAAAAACGCGCCCAAAATCAGAACAGCGAAACAGCATGGCACGGCCGCGATTTCGGAGCATTTTGGGCGGCCGCGAAAGCGGCCGCCTTTTCGCCGGTTTCAGAGCCTGGGAAGCTTTGCAAAAAGCGCCGGCGTGAAAAATAAAAACGCGAAAAAGAAAAAGTGCCCCAGACGCGCAAAGCCAATCCGCATGCTATGGGCCCGATTTTTCTTCGCTTTTTGGGCGCCCCCCGTGGCACCCGGATCGGCCCCATAGCATGGGGGCTGGCTTTCGGAAAGGAATTTCGGGAATTTGCCAACATTTGCGACGTTTATCGAGCGGCCGCCATACCGTGTTGCCTAACATTACTCACGGCGGTATGGCGGCCCCAGAAAAAGCAAAGCCGCGGCCAAGGCGACGGCCGGCAAGAAAACGCCCACGCACGACCTCACTACCTCCGCCCCGGCGGCTATATTTGGTACTGCCGGTGTTTCGTCCACCACTACGAATAAAGCCACCTCTACAACTCATCTCCGCAAGCCGTTTGCGAAGCCTAGCGTGGTCCCAGGGAATAGTACCACGCAAACCCCGAGGGGCACAACTTCCTCGGCAGGAACATCAAAGAGTCTGGTGAAAGGAGGTCCAACACCGACGAATTCTGTTTCGCGGTTAGCACCGTCTGGAGCAGGAGGTTTGATGCAGTCTGCAACCAGTATGGGTTCTACCGTGTCTGCAAAAAGCGCGGTCTCGAGTGCACCCCTCTCGGAGTTGAAAACGCCCACGGAGGCACAAGTCACGGAACTGTTGATATCAAAATGAAAAATCCCCCCTCCCCATACCAAAACGGAAATTTGTGATGCTGATTTGTGACCACAAATCAGCTTTGTACTGCAGAGAGGCACTGCGGCCAGATCCCCAGGCTAGGTAAGGGCGTATGGGTCTAGTAGTTCAGCATGGCAAACGGCCCCCCTTTAGGCCCAACAGCATGACAAACCGCATCCATAATGGGGCGGAAGCTTCTGCCCTTGTCTTCTTGCAAGACAGATGTGATTTGTGGCCTCAAATCCGCAACGCAAATTTTTGGAAATATACCTTTTCAATATGGGGAGGGGGGATTTTTACTCACAATAGTTGAACAAACCGAACTCTCCGACCACCTCTGAAGCGGTGAACCACAGTAGCAACCCCTCGCAATCGCAACTGCAACGTCGGCGCGCCTACGACCAGCAGCGACGTCAATCAGGCGGCCCGACCAAGCACAGCCCCGCCGTTCGGCCGGCGCAAAAGGGGAACCCGACTTACGTCGCATCTGCTTCGACCACTTCCACTTCTGCGATTTCTACTGTAGGAAGTACCAAAATCGCGCCCATAGTACCCGGCAAAGGCAAGGACCTGGCGAAAACAAGTTTGCGTGTGGACGAGCCCTCTGAGGTCGCGACCGCGATGAATGCAGGTCCTTCTGATGCTGTTCTTTCATCTTCCGCGTCTCCCTTGGCGTCTCCTCGGGCGGCGTTGCAAAACGCACCGTTGACGCCAGGACAAAAGCAGGTCAACAAGAACGTGAAAAAAGCGACACCGAAAGTTTCCTCGAATCCGCGACTTCTATCCGCAACTCCGCTGGATCATGAGCCGATGTCCGCCACGAGTTCACTCGTTGTGCCGACGGTCTCTGGATCTAGCGGGAAGCACGACAGCAAGTACCACCATTTGCGCAAGCGGGTGGAGCTAGAGGACGCCGGGCGGCTGTCGCCGACAAACGCTGGCGTTAACAAGGGAACCACAGTTGTACCAGTGGAGAATGTACGTCGGGTTTCCGCAGCGGAAGGTACCAGGAAAAGGCTTTTCTTGTTTGCAACATGTGTGGATATCATCATATGTGGATCTGCTTGCGAGTTGTATAATTATTGCGTCTATCATGATTCACGAGACTGTGACTGACTTTCTGACCCGCGAATCATCAGGTCATCTCCACTTCGTCCCTGCTGCTCGCCGTGGCCACGACGCGCCCGCACCACAACTTCGCGTCAACTGGCGCTGGTTTTCCGTTTTTCTCCTTACCTCGTACGTCGCGACCTTCCTGGTCCTCCGGCCTCGACCCCTCCCTGCTGACCAAACGGTCGTCTTTAGAAGCGGGCTGGCGAACCACCTGACCATGTGCACATCAGTGTTCTTAGGCGAGAACAAGGACATTCTCCAGGAGCAGGGTACTACTACCAAAAGGAGTTTTAACGGAGTAGACACCGAGGACGAACGGGACTTCGGCGTGACGCCTTCAGGAGACGCAGCGAAGAAAGTGGTAACGACTACTAAACCGGCGTCGCGAAAATCGAAATCCAGTGCGTCAAAAGCGGTTTCGGATCGGAAAAAATCTGCAGCGCCCACCAGTAAGGTCGTAATTGACAGCTCTATGAAAAACTCTTCCGTCACCTTACCGAGCACCCTGGGAACAACTCCCCGACGAACGAGAACTTCCGTCGTGAAAAAGCAGGTTGCAAAGCAAGTTTCTAACGTCACTGCAGTGTCGCGAAAGGAGCAGGAGGTGCCTTCTATGGTGCGGAATGAAAACAAGGGCGTCGCGGAGGCCGCGAGCAGAGCAGCCCTGGGTGAGATGAAAAACGTTGCGCAGGAAACAAAGCTGACCGACAAGAACGGTCGTACGAGCGAGGATTTCCCTGTTGGCGCAGCAAGCGCTGGTGGTCACGTGCTCGCGAGCGACCAGGAGCAGGACCATCTGCAATCGGAAGAAGAAGGGAACAACAAACCCAGTGGTGGAGAGGAAGCCGAGAGCGCGCAATCCTTGTTTGGCGTAATTGGTGTCGGTGTTGCGTCCGTGGTGTCGCTCCTGGGCGTTGTGCTTTTCAGCGGAACGGACGTGATGGGGTGAAGATTTTGGTTTTTCGAGAAGTTACTTTTTCAGGAACAGCAGGTCAAGAAAATTTTGAAATGAATGAATGATTTTGTCTGTAGGATTGTTTCGTTTGGATATACGGCCTTGAAGAGAACAAGTACGAATGAAAAAATATTTTCTCATAGCGTTGCTTGTTTCACAAGATAGCAACGAGAATTTTAGAAAATTGAATTAGAGTTTACAATTTCCACCTCGCAGTCATCTTTTTTATTCCAATACCATCGGTCCTGAAGAGTTTGATATTGACATATGAAGACAAGGAACTACCTGGAAAACAAACTCAAGTTTGCTTCTTTCGAAGAGTAAAAATAAAGAGTATCTACAGCATTAAATTCTGTTTCCTCTCGATGGATTCTTACACATGTCTTTTTTTCAAATATCAGATGATGATAAAGAGCGATTTGAATTTTTGTGAAAGCGGGAACATACCATTAGCATATGCATATTCCTACCGCATTTGCATTACATAACCGGGATCACTCAGGCTCAGCGTGATGGAGGCTGAAAATAAACATTTTTGCACATTATTTTTGAGTTTTAGTCAGAATACGAATCTGTACATCACTTTGTCAACTGCTCCAGCAACATGCATCACAAGAGAAAGCGTACCGACGGTGGCAACACTGTAGGAGTGTTATATAGTGGATGCATGTGCACAGCAATGCATGCGGAGAAGTCCGGAGTAAGACTAACGATCAGGGGCGGGCCCGTCGTGTCGAGCGCATGATTCGGGGCTTGCGCCAGAACAGGCACGCACGGGAGTAGGATGCAAACGCAATGTAGGCCCCGTCGGGTCTACATTGTCCGCATCCCAGCTAAACGCTAGACCGCTGACCGAAATGAGCGGACTTACTTACTCGGAGTGAGGTCGATGAAGCTGTGAGAAGCAGAGCACTAAGGCGGAACAGAGTGAATAAATCGCAAGAGTGAGGTTGAAAAGTTCCATCATCCAAGTTCTCGCAGCCATCCCTTCGGAACACATATCGCTCGTCTCTACGTGAGGCTCGGGCCGCAAATCGCGAATGCTTTCTTTGAATCAGTATTGTATTGTGTTGCATGATCATACAAAAATTCTTCGTAGCGTATGGAAATAATTTCCGATCTATTGCATTAAGGCCAGCAGCTAATCTGAACAACTCTATGAGGAGTGGCCTCTTTGTCACGGCTGCCTGTGGCAACTTTCCAGAAGAAGTCACCATACCATGATGCGAGCTCCTGGAGAAATGAACGCGAACCCGAACGGCAGCTCCACCCCAGGTGCACTGCAGCGTTCGCAGCTGTCGGCACCTTCTCGGATCCTTTCCACGCTCGGATTCCTCGCAGCACCGGGTGGTCTACTAGTATTTTCCAGTACGTGTTCCACTTCGTATGCACTGGATGTATCGGTGGACTCGACGAAGATATCGACGTTGACTGCGCCAACTGCTGGTGGTGTGCACCAGGCACAAGCTGCTGAATCCCCACGGACTTCTTCCGCATTCTCGGGTCGAGGCCGCGTGAAGATGGATGCGGATGCGGTGGTCCTCACCGAGGGCGAGGGACTAGAGGAAGATTCAGACCAGGGCGAAGAGCAGCAAGTAGATGATCATCGGTCGTCTAGTACTTCCAGGGCTAAAAGTTCATCTTCGGCGAATTTTCCAACGTCTGCATTGGTGGAGAACAAGAACATCAAGCAGGAGCAGCACAAGCGGCGTGGCAACACAAAAATTGTGGACGACGCAGAGGGGGGTGAAAACGAGCCAGAGATCATGAGAACTTTGTCGGCAAAAAAAACGCAGCAGGTTGTGTCCTCAAGTACTAGCACACGACAAAATAGTACCAGTACCATGGCACAGCAGCAGCACTACAACGCGTCCGTGCTGTCGTTCACATCCGACGGCAGCAGCGGCGAGAGTCAAACCTTAAAGCCCTCCACTTCTTCTGGGGTGACGTCGGACCACGCGACCACCGGAAAAAATGCCAACAGTGCTGCCATGAGTTTGATGAATTTCTCGGCTAGTGCTTTTCCCACTGTCGTGCCGTCTAAAACCGCAAAGAGCAACACCGGCAACGACAACTATCATCATGATGCTGCCGGCGGTCGCGGGCGCGAGACATCACAACTACCCGTACTAGTCAACTCCCAGGAGATGCGGAAGATGCCGACGTCAAAAACCAAGAACGCCACGGCAAAGACACGCATCAAGGACGACATCGCCTCAGCAGTGGAGAGGATGAAAATCGCTTCCAGGAAAATCTCGGCTCGTGGCGCTCCTGCAGCAGCTACGCGGAACAATGCGACCAGTGGTCTTCACCTGCTGCGGAAAGAACACGAGAGCGGGCGCCCGGTCTCGTCGTGGTCCGAGCAACTGCTTCAGAAGAGAAGCCCAGCTGCGTACACGAATGGCTGGACGGGTGTGAAAGACTGCCGCGATACGAACCGGACCGAGTACTTGACGGACCCGAACTACTGCGGCCGAAAAATAGAAGGCATCTACGGCTCCAGCGCCAAGGAAGCCGCCTGTACTGATTACGAGGTCGGTGGCCACGTGTGTATCTTCCACTATGTGCCGCTCTATCAGTTTTGCGGTCTCTCTGCGGTTGATGAGAGCGGTTCTTCCATAGTGAACACCTGCATGGAAAAGTGCAACACGTTTTTCACCCACTGTTTCGCCCAGAATTCAAGCGGCGACGATTTGTTCGGCCTCGCTTATCCGGCCTGTGCAAGCAGCGACCAAGCCTGCAAAGATGCGGAAGTGGACTGGTTTCAAAACTGCGGTCCCGCTGGAAGTGTTCAGAATCTTCTTCTTCCCATCTTTGTCGAGCTTTCCGCGAACATGTGCGATCACGAGTTTGCCTCTGAGATGACGAAAATACAGGACGCAAAAAACCTCATTGCTAAAATACAGGACGCAAAAAACCTCATTGCTGACCAGCACCACGCCTGGTTTACCGGGACTTGGCCGTCGTGTAATGAAGGTTGCGCAACAGCCGAAACAGATGACGGATGCAGGGCGAAGTGCATTGAAAACTGCGGCGTATGCACCGACACCTCTTCCCTAGACGAGAAGCATAATGCCGAGGCCTTCTCTCCGTTCAGAGAAGATACGACTCCGGAAGCGTGCACGTTCTTGTCGCAACTGTGTTGGTGCAAGGCAGTGGAATACATGAAAATGGAAAACTGCAATCCCATGGACACTCCTGTTGGGATTTTGCAAACCTTCATCGACGCTGGACTGCTCTCGGAAGAATCCTACGAAGAGAACAAAGCAGAGTACAAGAAAGAATGCGCCGCGGTCGGAAAATCAGGATTGCAACTAATGAACCCGGAGGACCCAACTTGTCCTACTACAACCACGACCGCTGCGCCAGCACCAGCCGCCGCTTCGAAGGAAACGGCGACGGGCGAGGATGACGAAACGGGCGCCGGTTTGAGCACCGTGGCGCTGATCGTTGGTGGCGTGCTGGGTCTCGTCGGTGTGGGAATCGGAGGTGTTCTCTTCATGCAGGGCAGAGCTGGTGGGGCTGTGGCCGCGGGCGGTGGAGAGGGGGATCCGGAGTTCTTCAATGGGGGTGGAAATGAGGAATATGAAAACTTGAACGTTTACTAGTTGAAAAGAAGGAACATGAAAACTTGAACGTTTACTATATGAAAACTTGAGCTAGCAAAGAAGGGCACGACCGTAACTAGTTGAAAATCAAATCAACCGGACGCAACGCCTCGTCATCAATTTGCGCGGAAACAAAATCTCGACGTTGGGTCGTGACATCACGTGTATTTCAATTATGTCATATCTGCGACCAAAGATAAGGAGAGAGCTTCTGCGAGAAACAATACCTGAAAACACCAGCAGCACTAGTCGTTTTGACAAGAGTGCTCTTTTGAAAAAGATACACTCGAGTGTTCATAGACCGCATGCACGCCCTCCCAGGGCGCGATAGACGATAATGACGATGATGCGTTTGTTTCTTTCGCTGTGGCGTCGCGAGTTCGCCCGAATGGTGTGAAGATTGTGTGTCGATTTATTTTTTGAGCAGCAGGCTTCCGCTTCAGCGATTGTGGGAACAAGTGTTGTGCTTACTATCTTTCCGAGGTTTATTTGATGGACGAGGCCTTGATACAACTAAGCGGCCGTCCACATAGCGATTTGTTTCGGGCGTTGACGACCGGATGAACGCGACCACTATCGTGTGTATTGCTACTCCTACGGTAGTAGATCAATATCGACGCCTACAACTGTACGTAGCTTTCTCGTAGGTTGTTCTGCTTGCGCTTGCTTGCAAGTAGAAGCGAGAACTACAGAGCCGTGATGTGAAGAGCGTGTTCTTCAAGCGCTTCGCAAGTTGTACAAGAACGCTGTATTCATCATTAAACCTCTACTTTTCGTCATTACTATCTTCCACAATGACCTTCGGCTTCGGCGCCAGTTGGAGTTCCTTGTTTGCGTTTTATCACTGGCTGGATTCGCACCTGTACGACTGGTCCTACTACCTGGTCGAATGGGCGGACCCGAACGCGGTCATTCCCGCACCGGAGCGGTACTTGGTCCGCAGCGGGACCTGCTGGCGAGCCGTCGACAAAATTTCTCTGCAGGACATGGAGTACTACGTGGCCGAGAAGCAGGAAGCGAAGCGAGCCGCCGCGGCCGCGGAAGAAGCGGAGAAGAATAGGAACCTAATATCCAAAAGAAAAAAAAACCCTTCCCCATATCGGAAACGAAATTTTTTTTGCTGTATTTGAGTACGCAAATCGACTGGTATTGCTAGAGGGCCAAGAGCCGCAGTTGTGGCCTCGTTTGCAGGCAATTTGTCATGCTGTCTCCCACCTCCAGCTGCACTGCTTCCTGTCATGCTGAAGATGAAGCAAAGGCTTTCCCACGCAACCCAGTACTACAGTCCGCATCTTTTCCCTTCTAACATGACAAAGCTGATCTGTGACCACAAATCTCCATCACAGACTTCCGTTTTGATATGGCGAGCGGAGATAGGGATTTTTCTTCTTGATGTCTAACGATGGCCGCAACAGCTTCTTCCAGTGGAAGTAGCAGCACCGCGTCGGCTGGTGCTACCGCGTATAGGAACACTGCTGGTGGTCATGTAAATGACAATAGTGCACCAGCTGCTGGCATGTCACCCACAGGAAATGAGGAACAGAGCAGAAGCACCAGAACCAGCACCACGGCCACCTCTACACGAGAACAAAATGACTTTTATGATCCACCTTCATCCCAAAGCGGAAGTTCACAAGAAATAAAAACCGAAAGTAGACACCAGTCCGGCCAGCAGTCAACATCTGGAAAAAATACCGCTTCTACCACTGCCTGGATAATCCCGTATGCGACCCAGCAGCTCACCGACGCAACGCAATTTTTCGTGACGTTTCTAGCCGACGTTTCTAATATTTGCGCCGCGATTTTCCTGCAGTTTGCGGACGGCACAGCGACGATGTTCGGTGCCTCGCCCGTCGTGAAGAAGAAGGCGCGCGACGTTTCCGTGGTGAAGAACTCGAATTCCGGCACCACAGCCAAGAAGGAGGCTCGTCGGGCGAGCGCGAGCGACCGAGAGCAACAGATACAAGAGGCGAGGCGACAGCAACAGCAGCGGCGGCGGATATTGGAGCAGGAAGAGAGGGAGAAAGACAAAAGATACCTCGAGCAGATGGAGATGGGAGAGCACGACGACGAAAGCGCCCGCGAGGAGGACCACGCGCCGTCTACAGGTGCAGCAGAAGATGAAGCTCCAGCGAGACCAGAAACAGGGGAGAAAACAAGAAGTGATCACCAGAAAACTGCTGGAAGGGCGTCTTTCAACGAAGAAGAGATTTTTGTGAAGTCCCAGCACAGTCGTGAAACTGAAAATAACAGAAGTCTTGATGGGCACGACCAGCAGATGAATCCGGATACTGATGAAGCGCGCACTTCTATCGCGACGCGCACTTCTAGAAGTTCTAACGCGACCTCCGATCGGTCAGCACGATCAGCGCCAGAAGTGTCCTCCACCGCGGGAGGAGGTGCATCTTCTGCCACAACATCATCTTCGTCGGCGGCAGCCCCCGATGTTGAAAAGTCAGAGACCACGACCTCTGGAGCTGGTGGAGCAGCACCTGGGCACACACATCAAAACTACAGGAACGAGACGGGGAAATCACCAACACCAACAGCCGCACGACCATCAACAGGAAATAATTCCGACCATAATTACAACAACTCCGGCCCAGAACATCACCGTGATACGACCGCGAGGACAACAGCCACGAGCCACACAACAACCGGCGGGGGGCTCATACACCAGCACAGCAGCAATTATGGTGTAACTTCTCCAAATCCAAATGCAAATACTGGAAGAACTACTACTACCAGTACAAGGAACGTTGAAACCAATGCCGACGGCACGACACAGGAGATGATGAAGCGTCCAGCGTCGCCTCAGAATAAATACTTTCGAGGGCATTTGTACAACCCAAGCGCGCAAAGCAGGGCAACGCCCAGGCCCCCGAAACCCATCAAGGGCCTCAGCAAATATCGGCATCCGAGGTATTCGCATTGCCTTTGTTACTCATGAGTCACAAGAAGCCCAAAGCTCCTGCTGCTCGTCGTGCAGTAATTGATTCCTGAAAATGCAATCAGTAAGTTGTTGAATGAAAAGCAACAACCCAGACTTGATGACCAGATCACTTTCCAATTTTAGGTGGAAGAAGATTCAGCCATACGTGAGCGAGGTGGTCGCGCTGCAGTTCGGCCGGTTCTTCGCGCGCCAGGAGGACGCCGTGCAGGGCGTAGGCTACGTGCACCCCAACCTGACGCGAAACGGCACCGTGCTCACCCCGGAAGAGGCCTCCCACCTGTATGTGCAGAACTTTCCGCTGATCGGCCGGTACCTCTTGTGGCAAAGTCCCGAGGAAGACTGGAAGGCCGAAAAAATCGCGGCGGCACACGAGCAGATGATGCTGGCGAAACAAGCAGCACTCGCCGCCGAGGAAGAAAAAAACGACTCTGCTGCACCAACCTCCTCTTCGAAGGAACAAACAGAAACCGAAACCTCACAGACGCACCAACAGCAGCAGGAACAGCAAGATGAATTTGAGTCCAAGAACACCGAAAAACTGTACGCCACCAGGTCCGCAAAGGTGGCGGAGGATTTGCGTGCAAACAACATCAGTTCGATTTTCGGAAAGCCCGCAGAACAGTTGATTTCCGAGCTGATCAGCGTCAGCAAGAGTGCATCTTCTTCAGCAAAAAGTAGCGCGAGTGGCGACAAGGAGGAGAACTCTCACACTACAAAAACCTCTGGAGGGAGTACACCTTCGAAGCAGGCTCAGGACCAAAGTGCGTCGTCAAGAAGATCAGCAATGAAGACACCTTCTCCCTCCACTTCAAAAGTGGTACACGAACATCTTGTCGGAAAGGATGTCGTGCCACCCATCGTGACCTCGTTGAACTACAACGAACGGCCCAGGTTGAAGTACCACGTCACTCCTTCCTGCATTGTCGACACGCAGCGGCTCCATCCGGACTGGAAAATGATTCCGCTCGAGGAGCTCCCGAAGGGCATGCGGAAGATTATGCGGCAGGCCAGCGAGACGCCGACGCGGCAGCAGTCGTTGCCCCTCGCGCGCGGCGCGCTGCAGGTGGAAAAAAACAAAATGGGCCACGTGATCGCCGGGATTCCGCACGAAATCTGGTACTCGCCGATGACCGGGCAGGAGTTCGTCCTTATCTGGGTATAATAGTTGCACTTTTTCGCTTGCGTTTCAAGATTTTCTGTCCAATATGTCACGTACGTATTCACTTCGTATCTATGGTATGAATTACTTATTATACGAATCCGAACAAGGTGAAGACTTTGTCGTGTTTCCGCATATGATATGCGATTGTGCGATGCTCAACTAGTGGCTCGTTGACTCCATAATTTCCATTTCAGGTTGAGAGGGGACCCTGGTGGAACGGGTTTTACTTCGTACTCACACGGCACGTCGTCAAACTTACAGAGCTCGGGCGCGTCAGCATCATTCTGACACTGACGCTCGCGGGACTGCTCGGCGCGAACCGTGCGCGCGGGGAGCACGATGTGGAATGAATAAATAACCGTTTTGATCTTCATGCTAGTTCTTCCTCCATAATGCTGTGATTCAAGTACTGACCAACCAAATAACCTAAGAACTCACAATCTGTCATGGACACGAGTCCGGATTATACAGAACAAGTGCACGACATGGTGGCACAGTTTTGAACACGGAAAAGAAAATTGATTCATCGACGCTCGACCACTGACTGTTTGTTGTAGAGGCATTTTTGAACAACATCAACAATTTGACGCATGATTTGCGATGTGAAGATGATATCTGTGTGGGCAGCGGCAGCGAGAGCTGCGAAATTTATTTAAGGACATAAAGCGAGAAAATGTGGCGGACATACGATATTAAAGGGCTTGTCGCATGCAGAGCTAGCAAAACGTCGTACAACCGAGAAGTTGAATATAACGGGGTGAGCTCTGCCTCTGCCTAACATCCGTATACCTGGAGGAGAACACCGGCGCTTTCTGAGCACTAATGGACTCGCACTGTGATGATGAATACAGCTACCATTTGACCGGTAGTTGTGATGCGCTAGAACGCTTTACTTCAGCCTTATCGTTATCAGACGCGCTCGTGCAGCTAGGTCGACGACCTCGAACGGAAGTTGAAGCGAAGGAAAGATGAAAATTACAACCTCAGACGTTGAATTTGAGCTTACTTTTAGTTTTTTGTACTGTTCTGCGCATCTCCTCTTGCAGTCGTGCCTCGTTTAGGTTGCCACATAACGCATGGTAGAAAATGGTGACCGTCGTAAATCTATTTTTTTTGTTTCGGCTTTTCTAGTGCTGATCAAGCTGAGAGTTTTTGCAGCCGCGTGCCAATTCCTATTCGGTGTCGTTTTTTGTGATGTTTTTTCGTACAAATCACTCATCGTCCTGAAGAATGCGAATGGCGAAGAAAACGCACATTTGTACGTCCGCTCACTCCACGTTTTTTCGTTCACCAACATCGAACTCAGCTCTAGCTGTTTTCCCTTGGCGTTCTCTTTGTTTCTTTGGTTTTTTGTCACTGTGTAAGATTTGGCATTGGAGCTCGTCGGTTCTCTTTGCAATGGTCTACTCGTTGACACTGAAAACAGTTGCAGGAGATGCAGTACTTCCCGCTTTCGCGTTACTCATCTTATGGACATTACCCAGCACTGGCACTCCCCATCACTAATTTTGCTTAGAAATTCAATTGTGGCCCCGCGCGGTTAGGACAAGTAAACCCTCTTTCGGTGCTTTTCGAGAGGTGTTGCGCACAAGCATCCAGGTAGACCACAACCCCAAGCAACCTTCTGAGTGGAGCATGCAATTTACTCACTTTTATCGTTTCATAATCTTAATCACATCGGCTTTCTCTTTGTGATTCTTGCTTCCATTGTTTTTGTTTCAGGCATCGATTCGATGTTATGACAATCAGCCACTTCTCCTGAAAACAGCTTCAGAACAACAACCAGCACACTTTGTTCTAAGAGCAGGTACAACAGCAGAAGTTAGAGGTAGCGAATTTTATAGATAAAATGTCGGTGCCAGCGGGGCCGTTATGCACCTCGCTGAGCAACATCAGGAAGGCGCCAAAGTGGACGCTTACCGGGAGAGAAGAGGACAAAGTCACCGCAAGGAGGAACAAGCTCGGACCCGGTCCAGGAGGCTATCACGTGCAAGATATCAATGTCGACGCAAGGTACTACAGTCAGTGGATTTTCATATTTGTTCACTTTCAGTTTCAACATCAAAGAGATAGAGCTTTGGATTAGGAGTTTCGTTTCGCTCCCGCCTTCTTCCCTCCACAGTTTTGTTCCCTCGTACTTTTCACTTCAACCCGTACGACGGTGCTGCTTAGCTCAAGAAAAGACTACCCTCGAAGTATCAAAAATAAACTTTTACAGGCATAGCAGACCTCCAAGCGCCGTGTTTTCTCACGAGAAGCGGGATGCCTTTACGCAGGCCCCGTTCAAAAAGCCATCGGTGGGAACGTACACGCCAAATTTTTTCCTATCAAGCACCATGCCCGCCTCCGGCCGAACAGTGTTTTCCAAATCGAGTCGCGACGACGCCGGCAGCGCTATGGGAAGTGCCAGGAGAGCGCAAACCCCAGGACCCGGAACCTACGCCTTCAAGCCAGCACTCAGCGACATATCAGCCAGCATGTACGGCCGGGCAAAGGATTTCAAGAGTATACTCTTAGTTGCTTGCGAAATTATATGATTTTTGTGACTCATAATTTTCTAGGAGGAGACGTTTACTACGCCAATCGTAATTGTATGAAGAACCGCTTTGAAATAGAAATCGGTATCGGTGTCGCTTCTTGACCCTCGCGAGCACAGTACTCAGCTGCGTGTTTTCTCATTGTTTTTGCGGATTTGAATTTGGTTCGTTATTTTATTTCCAAAAAACAGGACCAACAACACCGGGGCCGGGAGCTTATACCATATCACGAGACCTTATTGGGCCTGCATGGAAGATGCGTACTGCTTTTGAATTCGTTTTTTCCACCCCGTGAAGTCATAGTTCGACTGCTCTTAGTGTGTCGTTGCACTCACAGTATGTAAATCCGCAAAGCCGAATTAAACCTCACCTAAATAAATGTATGCCCGGGCAGTAGCAGGCTAGCGAGCCTGTGAGTCTAGGCTGAGGCTGGACGGGCGATATTTTATACATGTCCGAGCCTCGCCCTTTTCCGGTAGCCAGGACAAGATGATTGAGAGGGTGAACCTCTTCCCGGTCTGGGTTGAAGTTTATTTCCTTTCTCTCTTATCCTCAGGGAGTAACGCCCCTGCCGATGGTAGTAAGTCTGGTCCATCCGCCTCAGGAAAGTGTCTTTTATCCGCTTGTCGGAAAGTCTGGTCCATCCGCCTCAGGAAAGTTTTTTCATCCGCTTGTCGGAAAGTCTGGTCCATCCGCCTCAGGAAAGTGTTTTTTCTCCGCTTGTCGGAAAGTCTGGTCCATCCGCCTCAGGAAAGTGTCTTCTATCCGCTTGTCGGAAAGTCTGGTCTCATCCGCTTTGCGGAAAGTTTGGCTATCCGCGTGGCGGAAAGTTTGGTCTCATCCGCTTGTCGGAAACTTTGGTCTCATCCGCTTTGCGGAGAGTTTGGTTATCCGCTTGTCGGAAAGTCTGGTCTCATCCGCTTTGCGGAAAGTTTGGTCCATCCGCCTCAGGAAAGTCTCTTTTATCCGCTTGTCGGAAAGTCTGGTCTCATCCGCTTTGCGGAAAGTTTGGTTTACCCGCTTGGCGGAAAGTTTGGTCGCATCCGCATGTCGGAAAGTCTGGTCTCATCCGCTGTGCGGAAAGTTGTGGTTATCCGCCTGGGGGAAAGTTTGATCTCATCCGCTCGGCGGAAAGTTTAGACCAATCCGCTTTGCGGACAGATTTGGGCATCTCTGGGTTTATCCGTTGTACGGACAGTGTTGGCAGCCCTGATTGTATTCTCGTTGACGTTGGCGATATCAGCGAGAATACGAATTCATGCGGTCTCGCCTTGCTTTGGGATGGAGGGTCGTTTGGCACTGGCGGTTCGAACCCGTTACCCTTGCGAACTTTTTCCCAAGCCAAGGCCCTTGGCTTTCTTTGGTTTATTGTCCTTTGATCCTCCGATCCCATTGCAACGCGAGGCCGCGAGGCTATCGGTTTTTGTCCGCTCGAAGCTTTCCACTTCGAGCACATGCCACTGGTCGGTCCGTCGTCATCGCTACGCCTTCGTCTATGGGGCGCACCGGTTTCCCAAATTCATCGTCTGGCCGCAGGCGTCGCGCCGGGTTCTTTGGGCTGCTTCGGCGTACCGGCCTCCGCCGGTGGGGTAGGTGCTTCCAGGGCGCCTCCTCGTGCGACGCAGTGGGAGATGCTCCCATCGAGCGATCATCCATAGGGTGATCCTTCCGCGGTGACTGAATAAAATATAAAACAGCGACGTCGCAGCGACCCACCCCGAAGAGAGCACAGAGTCCAGGGCCAGGACAGTACACGAATCCGACGACGGTGGGCTTTGCGCATCCCAGCATCATGTCCACACCAAGGTATAGTCAAGCACTCTGTTCTTACACAGTGATAGATGAAAGCATGATGATGTGTTGCTGGAATAATACAAGAAGTACATTAGTTCCCACCTTCTTTGCCTTTGCCTATTTTCACAGCATAATTTTTTCAAACAAACATAACAGGTTTTCCATGGTTCCCAGGAGATCGCAGGGGGGCAGCGCGAGATCACTTTCGCCCGGGCCCGGTGCCCATGGTGGAGCCTTCACTACCTTCGGGTACTGAGCACGATCCTGAAACGCGCGAGCAAGGTCTTCAACCATCTGTCTCTGCACACCGTGACAGGTTTTCCTTGAGACCCAACTAAAGCCGCAGCAACTCCTTGTCTCTACTACCCAAGTACCAAAATGCAAAATTTCCTTTTGAAAAAAAAAACAACACTCTCCTTGTATTTAGCTTTTGTTCTTAACAGCTAAATTTGCAAAAATATATTGATAATTGAGTTTTATGTCATCTACCTAGAAGAAATTGCACACAAATTAAACACACACGAAAAATAACAAAAACACACACGAAAGTTGCACACACACAACTCAATTTTTACACTATGATTCGAATATACTACACTAATTTTTAATCTCAATTTCAATTGCTGCATGAAAAGAAAAATTCTTGCACAAGAGGAGATTGCAAGAATCGCACGAGTTTCGTTTACTTGTAAAATAGGCACCAGCGGAAATTCCAACTGGGACATCATAACGTATTTGGTGGAAGATTCGAAAGGCCTTTTGAAAAATGTATCTATTGTTTGTGCAATTGTTGCATGGATGTACATGTACCTAGCTAAAAAACCACGACCCTGCATAGTCGCATGTTTGTACTCCATTTCACAAAATTAACTTTTACCATAGCCTTACCATACCAAATTAGTTTCGCATGTTGGCGGAAATGAAACCCGGGACACATGATTTTTATTCGTGGAAGGATTGTATGAAAAACGCATACTACAAAACACCAAAAACCTCGTTAAGCAACCGAGGGAATTCGATCGAAGAGACGTGCGTTCGATGTTGTCGTTGCCGTTGTGTTACGGTTTGTCCACTTCTTCTAAATCGAGCGAGGCTGGAGAGAATTATCTAAGGAAAAATCGCATGCGCAAACAAAGGACTGAGAGAACTGAAGACCAATTTGTATGCTCGACGTCGTCGCTTGCCGTGGGTTGTCGCCATTCGCAGGTTTATCATCCGCGCATTTATTTTTCGAACAAAGTAGTTGCTGTTGCAGGGGGTTTTCCTTTTAGTTTACTGGTAGTGCCATCTTCAGATAGACTCGGCAAGAGGAAAAATGGTGCGCTTTGGCGTCGAGCGGTGGGATATCGGGTTCCGCAAGAACGCCACGATTGAGCTCGACCTTCCTCTGACCACAACTATTGAAGAAATGAAGGAGCAGGTAATCCAGCGCGCGAGGAGCGACAACTTCTTCCCGGCATGTTACAAAGTCGCAAACAAACGCCACGTCGCGTCCAGCGAGCTACCGCAGACAACTTTGGGGGACCTGAAGATCACAGAAGGCGATGTGGTCAAGCTGATGTTTACGCTCGGAGGCGCACCCTGTGGACCCTATCCGCATCAGTGGATCAACAGCATCACTGTGAACGGAGTGCCGTTGGAAATCGATCGCAATAAAGGCACCCGTGCCGAAAAGAACTGCAAAGTGACCAATCCAGTGCCGTGCGAGGCTGCCCCAGATTGTGGAGCGATCATCTCCGTTCAGTGGAGCACCGCGGAGCAAGCGACCGACCCGCGCTCCCTGCATCTCGATAACGGGCCCAGGTTCGTGAACATTGAGCGTCTCGGGGACTTCTTTGGCCTAGCTGCTGCAAACGCGGACTCTGATCCTGCGAAGAGCACGGCGCTGGATAGCATCGAGCGTGAAGATGGGTATGGGCCAGCTCGCGACAGCGGGCTGGTGGATCTCCAAGGTGTTATTGTGGAGCACGATTCGGGTTCGCGGCGTACTGTAGTGCGGTGCGGAAAACTTGTGCCGGGCAAGCCCCACTCGTTGTATACGAGGTCCCTCGGCTCCGGCCATGTCACCGCGGAGCCAACAACATCGATTGCGAATTACTCTTGTTTCAGGAACCCGCATGAGTGGTTCTTCGAGACCGCTCCGTTGTCGACCGCATCTGCACCTTCGCATGGCGCAACCTCCTCAGGCCCTGCGGCAAAAAAGCGGAAGACCGGTCGTTGAGTATGAGTTCAGAAGTACAATAAGATCGAAAAAGATGAAGGCAGTGATGCGAAAGTACTGGTGAAGAAAACAAGAATGAACGACGAGGTGCAACGATTTTCAATCTTCAATTGATTTAGCTGTTTTTGTTTCTGCTCAAAGGAATAAAGCGGTGGACTACCTGCACAGTATTTTGTTGTTGTCAATGGTGAAATTCGGAATCAGGCACGAACGCTCCGAGTTTTGTTTTTATGCGGGGCTAGTAACTAAGACCAGATTCTCATTTACAACAACTGGGCGGTTGGATCGTTAGCAATACGTTTCTGCCGTGTTCCATTGTGGTACCATGGTTGTGGTCGTGATCTCGTGCAATAAAAGAATGTAAGTACATGATGCCTTTCAACATCGTACTACTAAAAAAACGTAGTGGAACTTCATTCTTCGGAAAACATCGTATTCGAGAAATTTTATTTCTTGCATATTATTGGATTTGGCCTTTCTACGTGCGTTGTTGAGTCTCAAATGCTAAATCAGACGTCCTCCGACCCCATGAGCGCTGCGTTGTGTTTCAAGCGAAGACATCATTTTCCTCTACCCTCACTCGTCATAGAGTTTATTGCTACACGTTTCCTTTGTCGAACTAGAACTAGAAGGCCAGAAGAGATTTATCACACATTTCCTAGTTTCCCTTCTAGCGGAGATCAAGCCATGTCCTCCCTTCCCAGCGACGTGTGCTGGTTTTGCCAGAAGAAGATTCCGCTGCTCGCGCAGGCCCAGAAGTGCCGTTGCGGCGGCGTGTTTTGTATCAAATGTAAAAATGTCTGGGTCTGGAAACTTGTGATGCTGGGTGGCGTCTCATGATGAGGCCACAAATGCTGGCTCAGCATGACAAGTTTCTGAGCTTCTAGGTGTTGCCTATTCTGCATGACAAACTGCGTCTCTGCATCACAGAAAAATGGAGCTCTTGGGTAACGTGCATGACAGATTTAAGAGTCACGCCAGACAAGCATGACAAACATGCATTCTTCCAGACCCAGACATTTTTGCACTTGATATTTTGCGACAAGCACCGGGCTGCGGAGAAGCACGAGTGCAAGTTTGACTACAAAGTATCCCAAGAAGAAACTGTTTCACTGTGATGATTTTGCAAGATCTGCATCACAAGTTTGTTACACATGACACTGAAAATTTGTTATGTGTGCTTCCCAAGGGAAAAGACGCTTGAAAATCCAATGTCTTCCAGGTGTAGCAAGACAAATAGTTCTGCGTTCCATTTTCTGCATCACAAGTTCGCAGTGAAACAGCTTTTTCTTGCGATACAAAGGCGAGCAGGCCTATAATCTGCGCACGCAGAACCCGCAGGTGTACCGGGCGGCGACGAAGTATGGGAGTGTCAGGATTGAAATCGTCAAAGGTGAAATGGTTTGTCACGTATAAAAGCGATACCAGTCGCAAGCCCACTTGTCAAGCGGCGCATGACAAATTTTCCGAGCACCGGAATCCAATTCGTCGCGCTGTTTGGGCACAGAGGTGGACTGCTGTTGTCCTGCTACTTTCGCAGCTCTATTTCAAACCCTAAACAGGCTCACAATGGAGGGCCTCACTTGCCATCCCGGCAAGACAGGCACTTCGTGCCTTGCATCTTATACATGACAAATCATTTCAGTTTTGTCGACTTCAAGCCTGGCGCTTCCATACGAAGGTGTTCAATGCCGCGGAATGGAACCGGGAGTACTTCAAGCACCACCCGCCACGATCCGTGTACGGGGCCTTTCACACCATCGGGTTTCTCACGTTTTGCTATTTTCTTTTAGTCCGCGGGATCACCTACAATCTCCTCTTCGCCACGCCCGCGTCCGAACTCTTCCCCGACCCGCTCTCCTGGGGCCCCACCGCATCTAGTACATCCTCGGCAAACGCGTCAGGAGTTGTGCCTGCGAATAAAGTGGACCTGAACAACCCGGACACATTCGAAGACCTGTTTGAAGAGGCGCCGAATAAACAGGCGAAGAACAAGAAGAAGCCGCCTGCGCCCCTGCTGGTTTTATTCCGGGAACTGGTCTACGGAATCGTGTTTGGCTACCTCTTGGCGCACACCGCCCCGCACTTGTGGGAGCGATTTGTGGACCGGAAGCCGGTCCCGAGCCACCCGCTGTGTGGGGGAAAGTGCAGGTTTTGCTTTTTCAGTTGGGACGTTTTTACCAGCCCAAAATTGGCCGCGGGCGCGGAATACGAAATGTTGAAGGATCTGGTGCTGTTTTACGTGATCACACAGGGAAAGACAAATTGTTTGTCCTACCTCTACACCGCGCCGGATCGGTCTACGGGGACCATCTACACGACCGTGAAAAACAAACTGACTGAGCTGTCGAACAGGCGCTGAGCTGCTCATTTTTGTGATTTCGGATTGGCATGCAGTTGTGCTATTTCTTCTTCTTCACGCTGAAGTTGTTGTCAAAGAAGTGCTAATATTTTTCGCATCGACTTCATACGCGAATAACGCGAGGGCAACCGATATAATCTGTGAACTACTTGACCTCCTGGAGACTAGTTGTGCTCTTCACGATAGTTGTTCCCCCCTCGCAGGCAAAGGTAAGTGAAGCTTTGCGTGCGTCGGGTTCTGCTTCTGGTTGTGCTGTGGGTTCTGAATCCCGTACTGCTGTCTTCTTGCCTGTCGTTGCGTTTGTTACTACTTACTTCAATAATCAATACCAATGCCAATTATCAGTTGTTGCCTGCGAGGAGATCAATGGGAATGCGTGTACCTCCCACAGAGAAATGAGTGAAAGAACTATTTACGTGTGTGATTTTGTTACTTTTTTTCCTTCTGCGCATCCAAGCACAGGGCTAAAGGTCCAAAGTGTCAGGCTAATTTCCATGAGAACGGGAGAGAGTGTGAGAGCCAATCTCTTGGTGGTTGGCCTTTCCTGGTGCAATAAGCAGTTTCAAACTGAATGGCTGATGCTAATCTGCCTTCCCTGGACTCACGATCATGCAACTTTAGCGTTCTTGGAGATTATCTTCACCTAGCCAGAAATCGAGAAAATTGTCTTGGCCGCGAAGGCGAGCATAGCCATAGTGCCTTGCTAACGTCTGCGTCTGTACTTTCGCCCCCGCCGTGACAGCGGTCGGAAAGGTCCTGGGTTGGCTTCGCATCTTCAAGCGGCGAGGACCTAGATTTCTAGATACGCACAGAAGTCTTAGTGTGGCGTTGTGATTCATTTTCCTCATCGGGTACCTATCAACACGTTATTTAACGAGGAACAGCAGACGCACCTTCGCTGCAATATTTCACGACGATCGAACCCAAAGGAAAAAGAACAGCACAACAGTAAACTACATCAGGCGCGACGGGGACGACCCACGACAACAAGATGACTACGACCCTTCACGCGGAAGGAACTAGAATTCTACCTGTGCAGCAGAAGATGCCCACCACGGCCGCCACTCCGGCGACCTCCAGCCGGAGTGCCAGTGCGCACACAAGACGAGCAGGAGATGATGGCAAATCCTGGTATCGGCGAGACACCAGGAAGGAGACGCAAAATCAGGCCCATGAGCGGCTGTACAGAATACCGGAGCACAGGAGACCGGGATTTAAGCCTCCATTAACAGCCGCCGTGCCCAACTGCGCCGTGTCAAGGCGGCCAAGCAGGAAATCCTTTCGCCGCGTCGAGTTTCACAACTCCGCGATGAAACCGACCTTGCTGCAGAGAGATACGTATCTACCATCGATTTTTTTTCAGCATGATGATGAATGATCTCTCTCTCAAACAGGACCTCCAACCATATTTTGAAGAGCAGAATGAGCTGTGCATTCGGTTCATCAAATTCTTACACTGCAGCTCCAAGCCCTACCTCAATGTCAATACTTCCAGGTGGTTGCAGCCAGAGCCAGAGCTAACCCTGACCAGAGCAAATGTTGCGAGATATTTCATGGACAAACTAGATAAAGGTATGGTGTCTGGTGCTTGTTTGATCGTGGTATCGATACCGTGCTGTAAAAACGCTTCTATGTCTACGAGTTACTCTTGTATCGACAGGGGAAGATCGATGCCGCGTGCCACCGTCGACGTAGTCTTGACGCATTGCATTTCAACATCGCACGTGATATGTACACTCACATCCAATATCGGTATTGAATGTATTGTAAGAAATCGTTTACCTTACGTTTACTTAGGTTATCAGCTCGAGAAAACCAAAACGTGTGGGGCCGGCGGGGGCGCTGCGCGTAGTGCGGGCGGTGCAAAGTGGGACGATAGAATAAGGCCATGGACAAAAGCGGGCTACACGGGGGACTTCCACGACCCAGTCTCAAATCCGGGCTACGGTCGAGCTCCGTACGGGGGAATCTTTACGAACTTCCGATAGAAGAGCTGCTTCTACGGGACGGAGCATGATTTTTCCAACGGAAATTTATGGACCGAAAAGAAGACGTCGAAACCGAAAGTGAAAAAAGTGCGTGGTCCTCTGTAAAATTAAGGTGAAACTACTTGCACCACCGCTATGTACAATACGAGACAATACATGATTATGATTCGGAAGCAAAAATGAAAACGCTACCAATGATATCAGTAATTTACCATTCTTTACACGTTGACGCGACCTTAAGTCGACAGTTACCATTTGAAATTTACCATTAGCAAAACTAACAAGGAACATTTTGAGGAGTTGTAAAGTGTCAAAATTAGGCGTAGAAAATGAAAGAGCAATTCATGTAACTTTGCTATTTTAGAATACTGAAATGCACCACATAGGAACATCTACGGATACACCCTGTACAAGAATAATTTTTACAATATCGAATTCCCGAACAGAAACGTACCTCCTTTGCGAAAGCGAGGGTTCTCACGGAGCGGCGATAAACCTGAACTAGCCGAAACTTCTTTCCAGAGCGGAGCGGAACTTGCATCGCGCACCACGACGGGAGTGATTAGGTCGATGCTTTTTTGACTCATGCCCTTTCTATACAATAACAATACTCGCTGAAGGACATACAGAAGAAGGAGGGCGAACAATCATAGTCCACTACAATCCATCGCCATCCCCTTCCCATACATGGTTGCTGTACCTAGCGACAGTATAACCTTGTAGATGAACTTACTAATAAATACTAGGCCAACAAATCTGATTTCCTTGGTCCTCTCGTTCATCGTGTGATTGTGGTCCAGCCGTATTAACTGTCACACCCACTGCAGCGAATCAAAGCACAAGATGCTGCCGAAACTCACGTCTTCTCCCGCGAAGAAGAAGGGGAGCTTCGATGGCGTTGTTACCAACAGTGCCTCGACAGGCGCAGGAGCCTCTTCCAGCGGCGTGACGCCAAATAAGAATGCTGCGAACAATACTGCTGGTACCGCATCCTCGTCCGCAACTTCGCCGACTAAATTACCGCCCGCGAAGGACGCCCGCGAAGATGATGCTGGTGCAGGAGGAGCTCCAGCTGCTGCAACAGCTAGAGGAGCAACAAGTAGTGCCTCAGCAAAAAGAACAGGAGGCTCATTTTCAGAGGCAAAGACGGCGGCTGCAGCTGCGGACTCCACGACCCTGCTGCAAACGGTCGGAACGAGTAAGGATATGGTGTCTCGGGTAGTAGGGCAACCGCAGACGCCGACAAGTGGCGCGAAGCAAACAGCCACAACTACCGCAGGAACTGCACCTGGAGGGCCTCCCAGTGGTGGCGATCTAGTTGTACCTGTCTCGCCGAGCGGCGCGAAGCCAAGTCCTCCGACGGAAGCAGCAAGCAGCAGCAGCTCGCCGCGGCACAAGCGCCACAGCGGGGGGGCAGGAGCTGCTACAACGGGGTCCTCAAAGCCGTCTCGTGTGGGGAAGGACGGAATGTTGAACAAGGGAGTTGCAGTGGCTGGATCTACTTCGGTGGGGAAAGGAAGTGATATTTTTGGTAAAGCAGGGGGACCCACAGTGTCGAGCAGTCTTTCGGGTGCAGGAGGCGCAACTACTGGCACAACAGCACAGGAGGGACAGGACCACACGAGAGCCGACATCACGGGCAAAGAAGGAGACCACGGAGCTGCTGTTATAATAGAAAAAGCCGGACGAGAAGATTTTGAAAAAGCAGTCACTGACCCGCCGCCCGGCAAGTGTGCTGTCAACATGATGTCCGAAGATGCAGGAGCAGCAAGTACTGCACCGAGCTTGTCAAAGAATGAGAAAGATGATCCTAGAGGCATGCAGCATCCGGAGACATCAAGCGAGACCGCGAAAAGTTCCGTTCGGGCCCTCGGCGATGTGGAACCCGTGTCGAATGTGGGGACGACGTTTTTAGCTACGTCAAATGCAGCAGCAGCAGCTACACAGGGAGCTAGTAGTACCACCGCTCCAGGTGCACCAGTTTGTTCGTCCCTCACAATAGATACAACGACCACCGGAGTTCTCGGAGTGGACCAACACACCAGCAGCAGCACCAGCAGGCAAACGTCCGCCGCGAGCTGCAACAAACAAGCAGATATTAAGGATCCTTCCGTACTAACTTCCGCGACGAGCCCGAAGATAAACAGCGGCGCCTCGAGTCCCAACACACCGGCGAAAAAGGTGACCATTGTTGCGAGTGCACTCCTCCTATCAAATGTAAAAATGTCTGGGTCTGGAAGAATGCATGTTTGTCATGCTTGTCTGGCATGACTCTTAAATCTGTCATGCAAGTTACCCAAGACAAGTTACCCAAGACAAGTCCTCCCTCGAGGTGCATAGCAAGGTAATCCTCCTTCAACTCATAACTCTGATAAACATGTTTTTTCTCGTTTTATATTATATTTTTTTACATGTTTATAGTAACTTGTACTATCGGCTTTCGTGCCACCGGGACGTCCTGCCCGTAGACCACCAATGTCATGCAAGTTACCCAAGAGCTACATTTTTCTGTGATGCAGAAACGCAGTTTGTCATGCAGAATAGGCAACACCTAGAAGCTGAGAAACTTGTGATGCTGAGCCAGCATTTCTGGCCTCATCATGAGACGCCACCCAGCATCACAAGTTTCCAGACCCAGACACTTTTACATTTGATACCTGCCCGCGGACGCGGTGGACAACTTTTCGGCTGACGATGTTGAGGACGAGAGCGGGGACCACACGACGTCGTATCAAGAAGGAAGTATCAACTGCACAAATGTCTGGGTCTGGAAGATTAGAACTTGTCATGCTAAACCTAAATGATGCAAAAATCTGTGTTGCGTGAGTGCCAAAAGCTGTCCGCTTTTGACCAAGTTGAGAGGGAGTTTCTCATGCAGAAAAGGCATGATAGAGACCTCAATCTTTGTCATGCTGGGTCTCGCATTCCAGACCTGCTGGGTCTCGCTGCGGCTAACTTCTCATCCACCCGGCCGGGTGGATGAGAAGTTAGCCGGTAACTTCTTATGGGAGCTTTGTTACCCCGCTCTAATAAGTCCATAGCGCCTTCTCTCTCTCCAACACCAACTTTATACTTTTATTGTGTCTCTCGGTTTTCCTTTGGGTTCTGTTGTGGTAGCAGATTGGTTTTGGCCTTTTTCCTCATGGAAACAAACGTGATGCGATATTACTGACCTCAGGTGTGTCGCAACGGCTGCGCTGGTAGCGGCAATGCGTGGCTCTTACATGATACGGCGCGGGATTCTGGGCTGTCTTCATCTCTTTTCTTGCCGGGGGCTCCGGGGCTGACCCTTCGGTGTCAGTGCGCGGACCAAACCTTCAGCTTTGATAGCGGCGCCCCTTTTGCGGTGTTCGGAGTCCCCCGCTGGCCGGTTCCTGCGAAGTGCGTGCGACTTTAATAGCGGCGACCTGCCCTCCGAGCGCGACCTTCATAGTGGTGGAACGAAGATGTCCGTCTCTGGCCACGAGTCGTGGTGTCTAGCGTGCTGCGCAGTCTGTTCTCGGTGCGGGCGGGTCTTGAGGCTCAATGGTGGAGGTGGTGGTGGTGTTGACGGGATGAATACGAAGATGGTGCTCGGGATGTCTTCATCGATCTGTTTTTCTTGCCGGGGGCACCGGGGCTGACCCATCTGTGTCAGTGCGCGGACCACTCCATCAGCTGTGATAGCGGCGCCCCATCTGCGGCGTTCGGTGTCCCCCGTGCGCCGGTTCCTTCGCAGCGTGGCCTTCTGACGTCCCGACGCCGAAGCCGCAGTGGGATGCTCTACCAAGCCTGTTTTTAACGTGGTGCATGTTGTACTTGTAGCGGCGCCGGCGTGCAGTAGGTGGTGCTGCTAGCGCGGTGTGCAGCGTCTTCGGATCTCGCGTCCTCCGACGTCGCGGTGGTCGGGCTGCTTTCGGACGCTCCTCACCCTCTTTGGCCGGGAGTCTGATGCGGGTCAAGCTTGGTGGCGTGGAGCGAGACGCGCTGCTTGTTCGACGCGATTCTTCTTCCGCCAGCGAGTTCCAGCTCGAGTTTTGCCGTCAGCGGGGATCGGCTGTGAAGTGCGGCCTTCGTCACTCCGAAGCGATGTTTCTTTGAACGAGCTGCGGGTCTGCTGGTCGCGGTGACCGAAGGCATCTTCTTGTCCTCTCGGGTCGTTTCAGTGCGTGCTCTTCCAGGCCCATGTCGCGACTCTCTCTGTTACGATGTTGGTTTCCTCATACCGCTGGCTTTTCCTCCAAGAGCCCGCACGCCCTCAACCTCGTGCTGTCGTTGATTAACCTCTGTCGGAAATTCCCGTTGATGGATGCTCTGACTTTGGAGCGTCTTCGCCACCGGCAGGAGTCAGGATGGGTAGATGGGGCGCCTCGTTGTTGCTTGGGCTCTGCTCAGGTCTTCGCTGCTCTCAGGGGTCTGGGCCGCTCTCTCGGGTTTCAGGTGCGGGTTGGAGTTTGTGGGCCTCTCGTCAGTTTGGACGGTGCGCTCTCATTCAGCCTTCCCCCCAGCTGTGTGTCAGTTGGCTATCTGGCTCCCCTGGTCCCTGTTTGCTGTGTTGGCTGGTGATGACTTGGCGTTGCTGACGACTTGTCGTCTGGCATTTCCTCATTTTGCTGCCACAACTGTCTGGTCCCCGGGCTCTCGAGGCGGAGAGTGTTGGGTTACCTGGTCGGGTTGTTGTGCGTCGCGGTGTCTCTCACGTCCCTAGCTCTTCGTGCTAACCACTATGCACAGTTGAGCACCCTGTCTGCCTTCCAGGCTTTCAGGGCGTGGGGGAGCATTCCTTCTTGCCCCCCGGGACTATGCCTTCGCTTCCGTCTAATCTGAGGGGACTATTTATCCCTCTCGGAATTCGGTCGTGAGGAAGGGTGGCCGGGGTCTTCCTGTCAGCTTCGCTTGCGTCGCGGCAGTGAAGTTTGTGAAATCGAGGGAAGTGGTTGGCAGAGGATTTGGGTCGGTGTCTGAAAAGATCCTTCCCGTTCTCGCCTGCGGATTTTTGATCGTTGATCATTTTTCTGTAGGTCAATGCCACCCTCGATTCTTCACCCCCAGGGGGTTGGGGTCCCCTCTTCCAATGTGTATTGGTTGAGGACTGCCCCCTTCATCCTAAGTGCCATCAGCCATGGTATCTGGAAAACCTGCATCGCAAATCTTGTATTCTTCCAGACCCAGACACTTTTGCAATCGATAGGAAGCAAGGACGAGCAAACAAGCGGTATTAGCATAGTAAAGACGACAACTACAACTACCGGCGGTGCGATTGCACCTGCAAGTCCCGGGGGCGGTGGTAGTTCTCATAAAACTTCTGGCGTTGGTGCGAGGCTGGTCTTACCTGGGGGCGAGGAAGCGACTCCGAACTCGGCGCAAAGGGTTCGGCTGTCACTAGTGCCCTCGGCGGCGGCGGCTGGTCAGGTGGGTACAACGAGACAGGGCAGGCACAAGTAAGCAGTGTTTTTTGGGAAAAGCGATCGATTTGTTTTTCTTTTTTTGCTTGTTCTTCTTGTTGAGATCGATCAAGAACTACGACGATTGTACAAGACCACAGCCGCGAGCGCGACAAACACATGAATGATCGTTATCCCTTCTGAATGCTAATGCAGGAGCATGTTGGCCAGCTACGATGGTGCCCGGAGTTCGCAGCCGGTGTCAGGACGCGCAAGCGTGCGACGGAAAACAGGCCACCGCACCACGGTCTCCGGAGGGAATGCTGCCTTCGGGCAATTGTATCACAATCTATCAATCTATGATTTGCGTGTGTATTAGTTTTGTACGTGTCTGTTTGCAAAAATACCTATGGAGCATGTAGCATGCTTCGGAAGCATTGCTTCCTCTTGGCGGGTATAAGACAATAACTTTTCAGGCCCTCTACCCCCGGATCCGCGCGCGCAACGCGCGGCAAGCAGAGCGTTTTAGTGCAATTGGACGACATCAGCAGCATGGTTGAGTTGCATGACAAGGACATCGACCTGCACGAGCTTGTCCACGATGAGGGAAGGTATTTGTCTTGCACAAGCGCATAGATAAGTAAAAGACCGCAGCATTGTGGTTCACACGATGATGATGCCTTTTCCACTCTATCACAGCATCTCGTTCATCACATTTTCACTAACGCTTTCCTCATTCTTTAACTCCGTAAACAACCAGGCGGCAACAGCTTCTGGCGGCTTGTCCCGGGTTGAAGGATACCCTCGCGCACGTTGAGCACGGCCTGGAGACGCACATTGAAGCGGCTGCACGGGTCGCGGCCTTTCGTCCCAAACTGGTGGTTTGGCTCGCGAAGCTGATAAACCGAGTGGCGGGGTGTGAGGTATTAAGTAGTGTCCTGGTAATGAGTTTTTTACTTCAGCATGTGCGGAGGTCTGGTTTTATCTGTCCGATAGTACGACCACGAGGAGGAGACTCGAATTCATCATCCGGGGCTGTGTTTATTTGCACGACTTCTATCAAACACAACTACATGGCGACGCAGCAAGTTGAAACCTAAATATACTTCATTACCACGATGGACTTGCTCCATTCTCCAGTACCGAACAAAAACCATTGAAAACACCAAGGTAACCCACACCGAGCGGTTTGGCTGGGCAACGCGGAACTCGCAGAATTCCGTTTCCGAGGACGCGGACCTGATGTCGGACTACAGCGACTACAACAATTCGCAGGGCGGGGACTCGGAACTGGACCTTTTCGAGGACCGCGAGCGGATGTCGCGGGTGGAGCGGATGCTGCCCTGCGTGAAGGTCGTGCACGAAGAGTTGCGGCGAAAATCCAGCACCCGGCGGGAAACGGCCACCAAGCTGCTGGAAATGCACGTGCTGCTGCGGACGTGGGTAAACGCCAAATTGCAATCCATGGTCGCGAACTACGTCAAAACTGCTGGTGGCCAAGCGTCGCGAACCACCTCCCACGAGAACAGGACCAGCGCGCGGCGGATGAGCGGGTCGCAGGGGCTGGGGCGTGCCGTCGAGGCGGAGATGCGAAATAGTACAACTACTGGGGATCTAGACATGGATGCGGGAGAGGAGATGAAGGAGGACACCGCAAGAACCTCCTGGGCCGTCAGAACGTCGGAGGTGGAAAACCTCAGCCAGCCAAAAAGAGGAAGTTTGGTCTAAGTAAGTTTTTCACTAGCATATAAAATATGCACTAGTGTCGAGCAGGAAACAGTCAAAAGTCTACAATACTGATAGATACAAAAACGAAATAATGAAAACTAGTAGAAGTACAAGTAGTAGCTCTTGTTTTGAAAGATTTGACGAAGCTGTGCAAAACAGAATTCATATGTATATTGCTAATCATGAACTTGAATTTCAGTAGTTTCGAAACGGATCATGAGCAGTCGTTTCACTCCATCGTTATGCGCTTTTTAGCATGAACTTGAACATATTAGGAGTCTTTCCGATGAACCGAATTGTGACTCAGTACGACTTGTTTCAATTTTTCGCCAGTTCGCAAAAACTACGGCGAAGATGTCGAACTAAAAAATCGAGCTTATTGTTGATTTACAGCTACAACTGTGCTGCGTGAAGAAGAAGAAGAAGTCATTTTTATTTCACAACGTGACCCCGACCCTATCCTCCGAATTCCAATTCCAAGTGCCTGCTCGACCTGGATTGTGGTCTCACGAACGCGATCCCTGGATCACATCGCCTAACAGATCTTTTTTGCTTGTGTTGTCGATGCCTCGGAGTCAGAGGGACACAGCTCGATCTGTTTTTTCTGGAAGGACGCTGCGCAGTAATTTTGTCACTGGGAAGATTTTGGACAATTATGTAATGAAGACGAGGAAGTTGTATGAACTCGCGACTGAAGAACTAGGCTATTTCGAACGCCAGGAAGCATTTGTGAACCGAGAAATCTCGCCCCGAGCCAACACATCAAACAAGTTTTAGCAAAGCACGATCTCTTGTTAGTTCGCATTGCGTTTGCGACCGTGCAAAATTTTTTTACACTCCCGTTTAGATTTCATTTCCTAGGCCTATCAATCCCGTAGCCATCTTGACTCAAGGAATAGGACTTTTTACGTATACTAGTTTTTCCACCGCTTCGCTTTCTAGATCAACATCACCAATTTCTTAAACGGACTAAACAATCCAATCTTAGTCTGAGGATGCTGCTCTGGATCGGGTTAGCGACGACACAGGCGTTCTTCGCCACTTCCGCTGCCGTGCCGAAGGCGAAGGGACGTGGTGGCGTCCGCGCGAAGAAGGGCGGTTCTGTGCCTGTTGCGGAGGGTTATGCAAGAAAAAAACACCATCACAATCACACTTGGGAGGTTTTGCATCAGAAATTTGTCTCGCATGACAAATTTTTCTTGTATTGCAAAAACACAAAGGGAAATCGCGTATAAGTCTTGACTGTGATGCATTTTTGCGCATGACAAAATTTTTTGTATTGCAAAAATGTGCAAAAGTGATTGTGATGGTGTTTTTTTCTTGAATAAGGGTGCGAGCAGTTCTAGTACCCTCACGGGAAGTACTAGCGGTACGCAGACTTCGATCAAGACATCGATCAAAGGGAAAGCGAAAGCCGAACCCAAGCCGAAAGCCAAAAAACCAGCAAAGAAAAGATGGTACACGAGCCCGAACACCAGGGGCTTCTTTGAGCAGATCATAAAGGTATCCTCGGGCAACGTTGCGGACTCCACCGACTACAAAGCGCAGGAAGCGTTGGAAACGATTGCTGCGCACAAGAGGACTTGTGACACTGGTCTGGATTCGTCCAATTCTGACAGGAGCCTGTTCCACAATAAGGCATCGTCGCTGCTGGAGCGGGCCTATCATGCGAAGTGGGAGCAGACTGCGGAAAATGTTGGGAAAAAAGTTCGGACTAGAGACGTCGAAGACGAAGTTTGGAAAAATAACGGTCGAGAGGAACAAAAGGATTCCGAACTCCGCTTTCTAGCGGCGTTTTTGTTCGATGTGGAGCATCGGATGCAGTTACTCAACGTACCAGGTCGATTTGGTGGTCGAGGGGCGGATTTAGACTACAGCAGCGCACCCGCACTATACGATTGGAGGGAAAAAATCAGACTTACCTGCTTCAAGTTCCGGACGGCACTCGAGAATGCGATTGGGCAACATGGAAAGAACTCGTCCACGTCGTCGTCCACTGTCAGGAAGATTACAACGTTTCGGCTGCCTCTTCTGCAGGCGCGTGTGGTGGAGGAGGGTGTGGCCCTAATGAGGGACCCGTTCCTTCGTCGCAACTGGTTTTTCGACACACTTCGAACTGAGGACGGCGAACTTGTTGAGGCAAAAACACTTCGCGACGTCCTTGTGGCGAAAGCGGTGGAAACGCTGAGATGGAGAAACAGAGAAAGCCCGCCGCAAGACGCGAGGGAGATGATGAAACGGCTGCTACGCAAGAAAGCGGCAAATGGCAGTACTATCGAGGACCTCACGAAACTTGAGCAACTTCCAGCAGAATGGCGCAGCGACAAGGAGATCGTGGCGCTGGCGAAAGCGGCAAAAATCGCGATGTGACTTACTGATGTTGAAAGGTGGACGCTCACGCTGTTTTCCTCGAGTAGCAGAAGAACAGGGAAGAAACTGTTGAAATAAATTGTCGAAAAACTACCGAGAAATAAGTTGCGATGTCTACTTGAGTTCATCAAAGGTTGTACTACGGGGAGGCAGGCTAGTACCGTGAGCACCACAATCGAAACAGAGCACAAGCAATCGCAAACGAGAATTATCGTACGCACACTACCACAACGACAATCGTCGTGGACTTTTTGAACAAGTATAATCCAGAACCATGTGGTCTTTACAGCAGGCGCATTCGCTCTATCGAAATGCCTTTAATACGCCAACCCGCCATTTAAAATCCTATAGAAGTCCAGATTTTTGACTAGAAAAATGTTGAAATGCAGTGATTGGCGTAGAGAATCACCGCCCGCATGTTGATACAATCAAATAATGTGGAATAGTTTTAGCGTAAAGGTAGACAGACACGCAGACGCACTCTCCTACTTACAACTAAGTCAATGATTATACGCGAAGAGACGATTCGGAGACTTGCTTGGTTTACAGCAAATCACACATGATAGATTGCCGCTGGCGCTTTTTGAGAAAGATTTTCAGAAGAGTTATGTCGCAGACTATTTCCACAGAAGATCAAGATGCCTATGGGAAGCCGTTTTCCCCGGGCGATTTCTTGGAATGACTGCAAGGAGGACAGAAAGCAGTTGTGACGGAACCGAACTAAAAATAGATACTAAAACCTTTTCCTAGCATTCGGCAGATCGGGGTCTGCTGATTTGCGATCGCCAGTGTTCAATGAGTTCTTGCGTCCGGGTGCGCAAGTGGAGGAAAACAGCTAAGTAGACACAAATTAATTGCTTCTGTAGTTATTGAGCCCTATCTTCCGAATTCCAAGGAAGTGTCTGCTCGACCTCAATTGTGGTGTCACGAACGCGATCCGTGGATTATATCCTCTCACAGATCTTTTTTGCTTGTGTTGTCGATGACTCAGTGTCAGAGGAGCACAGCTCGATCTGTTTTTTCTGGAAGGACGCTGCGCAGTAATATTGTCACTGGGATTTTTTTGAACAATGAAGACAAGGAAATTGTATGAATGCACTGCTCAGGAGCTAGACTGTAGATCTGAAATAGACTTCAAGAGTGAAAAATCAAAATCTATGTTTTGGAGCTGATTTCGAACGCCAGCGAGCATTTGTGAGCCGAAAAATTTCGTCCCGAGCCAACACGTCAAGTTCTAGCAAAGCACGATCTTCTCTTAGCTCGCATTGCGTTTCCTTGCGACAGTGCAAAACTTACACACCCGGAGATTTCGCGGCACAAAAAATGGGTTACGCTAGCGACGAAAACGGGGAGCACGACGACGCTCGTCCGTACAGCCGACAGAAGGGCACCAATCGAAACAAGACCGAGGTGCGGTGGGATGAATATGATGTCGACAGTTGTCCGGGCGGAGATCTTGAGGACGACGAGTGGCGAGTCGACGAAGACGCTGACGAAGAGGACCTAAATGCACTGCACGCTATAGAAGAGGCAGAGGAGAAAACAGGTGAGACGGAGACGCCCACGCTGAAATTGTGCAGCCAGGAGTTGCAGAAATTCAAAAAGCAAGCAGCATGCTCTTCCGTTTCACAACGCAGATCAGGTGGTCAAGTTTCCGCATCGGCGCTGCAAAGGCAGAGAAGCTGCGGTAGAAAAGAGCTATCTAGCAGCGCTCCCACGCAATTCAAGCTCCCACGCAGCTCCGATCCTGCCGCTTTTTTGTCGCAGTCAGCATCACAGCTACCTAGTGCAACAAGAGCCTGCAAGTTGGTCACCGTTGTGGCAAGTCGGCCCGAACCAGCTACAATTTCCGAACACGGTTCCCGGGAGCAACCACGGCGTGTTGGCGTTTGCCTGTTTCGAGTGCGGAGGCGTGCTGCTACGTGGGCGGCAAATTCACCAACTGAAGGACATGGCGATCTGGTCCTCTCACCTGGACCTCGACGAGGCGACGTGTCCGGTCTACGTTCCGAAGAACAAACCCTTTCGGGTGAACGAGTGTAAGTCGAACAGAGCGGAGGACATAATCTGCAATTTCCACCAAGCCTTCTGCGCTTCCTGTCGTGACGCGTGTGGAAAAGAGACAGCTATCGGGGCGATCTACTACGAACCGTACTGGGACTCGGAGATTGGCGGTCTCGTCAAGGACAAGGTCTTTCCGAGCTTGAAAATCAACCATTCGTATTCGAAAGGGACCAGCATCGAGAACAGCACGGTCATCGTGGGCCCGCGCTCGATGGCGGGGGCGGAGAGTCTATTCAAAGTGTTGCAAAAAGCAGACAAGCAGCCACCACCCGACCAGAAGCAGTGCACGACCCGCTTCATCCACAATCTGAAGCAAGACAAAAAAGCTTTGCAACAGCAGAACGATGCCTTAGAAGGCGCCCTTGCGAAGACAGAAGAGCAGGAAGAAGAGACCCGTCGCTTGCTGGCCGAGAAGCAAAATGAAAATCGCGTCATCATGGAGGAGGTCGAAGCGATGAAGCAACAGATTCAAGAGGCGGCACGGCAAAAAGAAGCGCTGGTGGCAGATTTGGATGGTATGAAGGTGCAGATGGAGAAGTCCCAAGCAGAAAATACACAGCTGTTGAATGAAAAAACTGCGATGGAGTACCAAGTTAAAAAGCTGCAGGATTGTCGTGACCGAGTCGCGGACGAGAAGGAGCGCATCGATCAAGAAAGAGAAGAACTGCACGCGAAGTTGCAGCAAGAGCAAGAGCAACTTGCGGAAGCAAAAAAGAATCTTGTCGCGGAGCAGCATAGGATTGAGGAGCTCAGAGCAGAAACAAAACGACTCGAGAAAAGCCAGAAAGAAATCGCGGCAAAGGCCGCTGGAGGGGACCACATGGTTTGGACATGGCAGAATGGGAACGAGTGGGAGCGCATGAACCCCGAGGTCTGTCACCAGCTGGACACCCACTACGAGACGTTTCAGACCGATCTCGCGAGGAAGTCAAGCGGAAAAAATACATCTTCGCGGAAGTCAGAGCACTGCCAGCTGCGGATAGGAAATTTTTCGTACGAGTTCGATTTTGTTGGGATGACGCAGACAAATCTGCATACCAACAAAGTACGCCGCATCCAGGTTCGAGTTGACCGACCACAGCATTGGACGCGGGATTTGCTGGAGCCTGGAAGCAGGACGAAAACTGATTTGCCTGCGGTAAAGATTCCCCTGAACGTGAAGCGACAAACGCTGGAATCTCTTGCCAGCACGTTATTCGGGACACATTGTGGCAGCACATGCCCTTTTATGGGAATCGGAATCGATAAAGTTCGTGTTGGCCGCCAGCTTCAACTGAAGAACGCAGCTGCGACGTTGAAAGCTTTCCAGGTCGAAAACTACCCGCTGTTCCAGAAGTACCAACAAGCCCGTCGGACCCTGCACCGGGAGCACAAGAGGCTTGGAATCAAGCCTCCACTGGTATCTCCCGCCATACCTGCGGCCGTGGAGGACTGTGTGAAACAACTTCTCGGAAGCCACCAGATGGAGCTCGAGCGGGATCTGAATGAGATGTACTTGTTTCATGGAACAGGCGCTGAGGGGCTCAAGCACATCTTACAGAACGGCTTTGACTTTCGGGAGGCAAAGGCGGGAGGACTGTACGGACAAGGCACGTACTTCGCAAGCAATGTGTGCAAGAGCATGCAGTATACCGGAAACGGAAATTGTCGTCGTCCGCCGGAGCGGCGCTCTTACATCATCGTAGCGCGGGTCCTGATTGGTGACGCGCACTATACCGAGAAAACTTGCTGCGAGCGAAAGCTGCCCCCTAAGCGGACAAACATTGCGAGCCAGGAGCCGTTTGATTCCATCATCGCGAACCCGGGGCCCAAGAACAACGGGAGTTTCTCAGCACATCAGCAGGCGCACCAGGAATTTGTTATTTTTGACAAAGCGCATGCTTATCCGGAATTTGTCATTGAATATGATTACTCTCACTTGTAAATAAATGAATCAACTACGTCTTCAATCCTATCCACAAACTGTAAAGAGATGATGAGGATTCCACTTGCGCGCACTCCAGTAGAACTATTTCGTGGCCTGAAGGTTATCGACTACTTACTTATTTCTTGAGTGCAGGTTTTGCACTCCTCATTCCCATTTGATTAAGCACGATGAAATTCGAATAGCTGTTGTTATTGGCGATTGCGCACAAGAATGAAGACACTTCCTTTCAGCGCAAACCCTCCTTTCTGGGTTTTGTTGGTCATTTATGGCTACAACATTGTTCTCCTACTTCTATCTGGCAGCCGAGAACTCTTTTATTTTTTGGTCTCGTGTTTAAAAACTCACACTGAGAGAAGAGTGAAATAGTCGTATAAGATGAGAATGAGAGAAGAAGAGCTAAAGGGAACCGTGCTTGTGGGTGATTCTAAGAGTATCGCGTCGAAAGGAAGTAATGGCATGTTTTTACCTGTCGAACTCGAAGCAGATTACTTATCATCGTGGCGCTGCGTAGGGGTCTCAATGTCGTTATTCTTGAAACAAGCTTCGCACCGGGTCGTTATGCTGGATTCGTGTATACTTTTCCTTCACCAGTCCTGACGAGTGGGATAGTTTTATGCTACCGGGGGAACTTCTTACCTTGGTTCAGTTCAAATTCTGCAGCCGAAATTTCTTCCTCTAACGTCTAACCCTGGTAGTAGGGATAATAACATGAAGATGCCAAACTTGGTTCCGCATCCAAACCCGCTGCACCATGTAACCACATACACCATTTTCACGAAAGTGCACTGTATAGTGCTCTAGGTTTTTTTTGCGAAAAAAATGCATCGCCAATGCGTATCTGATTGATAATATATATGATTTCGTTTTTTTCTGAATTCAAGACTGCACGTTGATGCCCCCTCATTCCTATATGAGTCTGAAGAAACAGCAAATGAGGCAGATAGCGTAATTTCTACTGCCGCAGCTCCCTTCCGCTGGACGCTCCTCCATGCTTTCCCTCGGTGGTCCGCCGTCGGAATGGACCCGACTCGTCCGAGACATCGAACAGGGCATCGGCACCGAATGGGTCGTCCACGCGTTACAGCAATATGTCGTGGAGAAGGGGATCAGTTTTCTGTACCACACCGAGCCCATTCGGGACATGAATTTGGCCCATCTCGCCGCGAAGCGGTACCAAGACCGGTGCCTGGACCTCTTCCTCTTCCTCCTCGACCACGCGCCGCGGATGTGCTTCAAGAGTCGCGACAAGTACGGCCAGACCTGTTTGATGTACGCCTTGGAGTCGAATTCGTTGAAAATTGCCTGCGTGTTGCTGCAGCGCCAGGCGGAAATCAACGGCGGGTGGCTGAATGAGTCGCTGGTTTTGGAGAACCAAAACAAGGACATCGTGTACGATTTCCACTCCTTCCCCTGGATGTACCCGGAAGCACCCGGGGGGTTCCGGTACGACTTCCAGACGCCCGTTTTGGAAACGCGCGCCGCCGAGATGCAGAAACACGGCGTGCGGGCGGTCGACGCCGCGGAGGCGGTAGCCGCGGGGTTTTCCTCGCCCAGGTACTCGCAGACGATCGCAAAGGTCAAAGACGAAGAGAAGGCCAGGCAGAAGCAGAGGGTACTAACTTGATTTGGTTTTTTTTTTCGTTTGGTTTTCAATCATTCTTTTTTTCCTTCGTGCAAAGCAGAAGATGCCTGCGACACTGGAGGGTTCGTGGTGATCTAGTACAGCTTTCATTTCCTGCTACCCCTAGCGAATCGCACATGATTATCCCAAAAACAACAGCTGGAACTAAAAGCCGCAACCTCGATGAAGTGGAAAAATGCCCCGGAGGAGCGGCCGCCAGAACCGCCACCCCCGAGAATGTACGGGCCGGTTATGGCGTTCTCAAACGTTACATTCTCAACTGTTACATGAATTTGTGATGCAAGACTAGCATAGGTGAGAGGGAGGACCTTGCGCGTCTTGCATTACAGGTTTGATCCGGAATACAGTACTATTTAGCCTTCCGAGAATTTGTGATGCAAAGCAGCTTGATCGTCTGGAGAATTATGGCCATTTTGCATGACAAATCATGTAACAGTTGAGAATGTAACGTTTGAGAGCACCATACCGGTTCCGGACAACCCAGACCTCGTGCTCTACACGCCCGACCCCCGACCCCAACTCCCCGAGTATCAAATGTAAAAATGTCTGGGTCTGGAAGATTACCGGGTTTGTCATGCACATTTTGCACGACTCCTGATGTCTGTGATGCATGCCTTAGCATCACAGATTTTGTGAGGGCTTTCTGATGCCTAGACCGCATGACAAATGCTCTTTCCGTGTAGCACAAATTGGACTCTCTTTGCTGCTCATGCAATACAGATTTTTTTAGAATCCAAAATCAGCATGACAAGTTGGATTCTTCCAGACCCAGACATTTTTACAGTTGATACCGAGGGCGTGCAGCTGAAGCCGGAACTGCGCGGCCGGGCGGAGATGCTCCACCTAGCGTGGGAGCCGCAGAACATTGTGGACGCGACGGCATACAACCCGACCATAAAGACCAACTCCGTGACCGGGTTCCAGAAAGAGGTGGATGGGGGCCCCCATCACTGGAATAAAACCTTGAAACTCGGTATGTTCGGCGACGAGAACGAGATTTTCGGCGATTTTGTGGAGGAGGTCGTGGTCGACACGGTGGTGAAAGTGATATCACACAGAAAAAAACTGGCAGGTCGTATTTGTAATGCAAAAATAAATAATTGCATACCCGAAATAGCATGCTACGATGTCGCCCATGACAGATTTTTCTGTGTTTATTTTTGCAATACAAATATGCCCTGCCAGCTTTTTTCTGTGGGATACGTGACGAAAAAGAAAAAGAAGAAGAAACGACGCGCGGCGCCGCTCTATTCCATGAAGGCCATGGGCGAGTACCCGGGCAAGGCGATCAAGACCCCCGCGCCGAACACGGCCCGGGCCCAGGCGTTCGCGAAGAGCCGCGAAGAGGGATCCTCCTCCGGCGGGGGAAACAGCCCAGCACTTCACCGGTCCAGCACCAACAGCCCGAAAAGCGGCTCGGCGAGCGGCGGGGGGAATACGCCCGCGAGGCCCGGCGCGCGGTCGCCCAACACCGTTGGGTCCTCTCCGGTCGGCGGTCGGTCCCCGGCGGGTGGCGGAAGTACTAACGCGAGTCCAATGCCGGGACTACCCGTTATCGGCGGTTTTGGCGGAGAAAATAAAACATGGCAGAAGACCGGGTCCACGGCCGCACCGCCAACTGGCGCGCAGACGCTCGGTACAACAGGTCCGCAGACGACCATTAACACGTCTAAGATGAACCGAACCAGCGGCAGCATCGACTCCAGCAACAGTAAGTCCTCTAGTAACAGCAAGTCGAAGCACACCACGTCCACCTCCTCCATGTTCCGGACGTCGCAAGAGTTGAACAAAACCCCGGGCTTAATTCACCCGGTCATCACACTCGACACGGACGAATTAGGTCACGACGCGATCTGGTACGCCGTGAAGAACAAGCGGTACCGGGTTGTGAAATTTCTGAAGTCCGAGCCGCGGGTCAGCACCAACATCCATCTCTTCCAACTCGCCTGCAAGATCGGGTGCCGCATCTCCACCAGGATGTTTGTGGACAGCATCGGCATGGTGCCGCCGATCAACTGTCTGCTCGACGCGGTGAAGTCGCAAGATGTGAAGGCGGTCAAACTCCTGCTCGACCGCCGCGCGGAGGTGGACGGGCGGGACCCGGACATGGGCGACACGCCGCTGATGATCGCGTGCCGGAAGGTGGACAAGAAGATGGTGGATCTATTACTGCAATACAAAGCCAGTGTGAATCTGGAGAACTTTGTACACAATTCCGTCGACAAGATCGCGTTCGAACAGTTCACAGAGGCGAACCGGTTCGAAAACCGCATGCACAGCAACGAACAGCTGTTGGTGACTTGCAAGGAGATCTGCATCGCCATCAGGAAACGGCTGGCGGAGCTGGAGGGCAAGATCTACATCATCGTCGACGACCGCACGCTGGACTACATGGGCGGCGGCGAAAAGCGGTTGAAAGTGTCCGACGCGAACTTGCCGCTGGGCATGTCGCCGAAAAACAACTCGACGGCCAGCCCGCGGTCCCCGTCGCAGCAGTCGCTTTCGGGTGGACCGGGGTCCGCGGCGGGGGATGAGCAGAGTGAGCCTTCGACGTACACAAAAATGACGGGCGGGAAAAAGAAAAAGAAAAAAACGGTGGAGTGAGGGAGGTAGAACAGGTAGAGCACAATTTGAATTTGTATGATCATTGTTGAGAACCGGTGGCGGAATGCGCTGCTGACTTCGCTTCTACTCCCCAAACAAAAACCCGTAAGCAAAACACGACAGGTTTTCCTTTTCGTTTCACAGATACATCTCCATTTACACGTAAGTACATCATTTTGTTTCAAATCTGTTGGTGCAGCACGCAGGACGGCACACAGCAACAATTTTCGAATTCACAGCAAAATGTACGCGCAATTTGATCGAAACCGTATCGAAGCAGCTGAATGTACACAACAAGATATTGCCATGAAACGTGAAGTCGTAAGACGCTGGCGCAAGGGATCGGTTTTCTTCTCTGCTCCACCGGTTCCTTTGTGTTCTACTTTTTTGGATTTTTGTTCATCGTCGTCTCTGTTCCGCGGCCTCGTGTTTGATCTCGAAACATATGGCGGGCACCATGAACTATTTACCAGATCGTTGGATCGCAAATTGGATGATCACATGGTCTATTGATACGGAAAAAGAAGCAGCAGCAGGATTTGCCGCTCTAGATCCATTGATCTTTCGCACAATGAATCGTCTTATTGAGAACAAGTCCACCGCAATATCATAGCAACGGGAGGAGCGGCAAGAAGATGAAGTCCCCGAAGACGAGGACCACGATGGAGCGCAGCGCCAGCTCCTCCTCCATCAAACGGGATAAAAGCAGAAGCACCAGCTCCCGCACCGCGTCAAAAGGGTCGATAAAAGAGCCAGCGAACTACAAGAGAAAATCGAGTAAGCTCACTCTCTTCCTTCGCTTTCTCGGTTTCCTCGCGTTATTCGCTCTCGCCGCCTTCGTGTACGTCAGGTATGGCGACGCACTTTCACTTCACGCACTGAAGAACAGCAAGGAGAAGATCGAGGGCATGATAACGAGAAACCCGATTCTCGGTCCCATCGCGTATGTCGGCTTCCAATCCGCGTGCGTCGGATTCAACCTGCCTGGTGCGACCTTTCTCGCGACGTGCGCCGGCTTGTTCTTCCCGCAACCGCTCGCCTCCGCCATTGCCTACACGGGCTACATGCTGGGCGCGATGATTTCCTTCATTTCCTGGCGTTTGATCCTTGGGGACAGCGTGCACAGCTTTTTGGATACGAGTTCCACCATGTTTAAGAAGATGGAAAGGGAAATCAAAAACGCGGACAACATAATCGACACGGTCGCCTCGCTTATTTTCATCCGCTACATCGCGTTTTTCCCCTTCTGGTTCGTCAACGCCAGCCAAGCAGCCATGGGCATCTCCTTTTCCTATTTCACACTCCTCACCGCGTTCTCGACCGTCCCGGGCGCGCTCCTCTACCCCATGACGGGCCGGATGCTGCGACAAACGTTGTCGGAGGTGACGGTAGAGACGAACACCTCGGAGTTTGTGCAGGCTCTCTTCATCAAGGCAATCTACGAGGACCCGGCGGCGCAGGCGACGTTCGGGCTGTTGGTGTTCTGCGCACTGTTGCCAGTACTGCTGCGATTGCCGAAATTGTTCTTGACAGCGGGGGAGGCAGTGATGGCCGCGACCGAAGTGAAGCAGAGGACAAGAGGCAGGTCACCAACCACGAGACCAGCGACCAGCTCGGCTGAGTACTGTATGTCTTTTCTCCACATGCGTTTCTGTATCTGTTTCTCGCAGATGAATTTCGCAAATGCAAATTTGTACAAGCGTGCGAAGAAATCAATTGTGCACTAGGTCACTGACAAAAAAAAAAAACAGGCGCAAGCGCGAACGGGTACTGAAGAAGGCACAAAGGGAACAACTTGCAGCATCCAAGAAGAACTCGTGAAAATGAAGAGCTGCAACATCTTCGTGCGAGGGAGCAAGAAAGTAAAGTCAAAGACGAGTGCAAATGAGTGATCCGCCAGTGAACGCATAAACAACACGGAGTCAAGTGATGTATGATACGTCGTCTTGTCGGACGGGATTGGGTATGAAGCGCGCTTTACAATAGTCTGGCGACAGGAAGAAGAAGCAACGTCTGCCGCTGCACGATCAGCTTTTCCCGGTTTGCTGCGCGAATTTTGATCTTTTTTGCGTATTGAATTTCGTTTTTGTGTCTCTGCCTCTGCTCGAGTTTTTCCCTTTTTAATCGCTGCCGTGTGCTTGTGATTGATCAAGATCTGTTGATGCTCTCAAACTCCACGATAGTCGGTCAGGTTTTGTTGTTTTTGACACGGATCACCGGGACCACGATCGCCCCGAGTCTCTAGCTCTACGGAAGGAGAGCGTAAACAGATCACTGAAGATAGATTCAAGTGAGTTTTTGAATCAGTTGCTCTACTTAGTGAGCGATTTTCTAGGGCTAGAGAAAGCACTCAGGGCATCCTCGAACGAGGCACTAGCAGATAAATTCAAAAATGCAGGAGCCGGATATCGAGCCCCCCTCGATAGCGGACAATGGTGCTTCCCTCGGCAAAGTCCTAGTCGTTCCGTTTGGAGACGTGGATGCGCTTTTCCGAGTCCTTCACCGGAAAGTCAATTTTCGTCAGTTCAGGGTCTTCCATAACCCTCCATGGAACGTGGTACTGCAAAGCGCAGACAAAGTGTATCACGCGTGCAATCGCGCAGCCAGCACGTTCGAAAAATTTCGAAGCAAGTGCCTAGGGCGTAGTAAAAATTTGGAAGCCGTGGATCGAAGGGTGCTCGATTTGAAGCTGCAGGCGCTACAAAAGTTTGCCACGCAGGCGCGCAGAGCTGCGTATGCTTTGGAATCGTTCATCAGTGAGGAGGAGAAGGATCAACTGAAGGATCTGGGCATTCGCAAGTGGGAGAACGTGGCCATTACAGAGCTATTGACGAAAAAAGATGAGGTGCAAAACTGCGTGAATACCCTGAAGAGCGTGCTAGATGACGGAAGCTACGTGCAGCGGCTGGATTATTTGAACTACCTCGAGCGTTTACTCAAAAAGAAGATCACTCTGCCAAAATCGTCTTCGACCGCGGCGCCGGCCAGCAGTTCACAGAATGCCGTGGGCTCTGCATCTGCCAGTAATCTGAGTCAAAACTTACCGCCCAGTACAACACCCTGCACAACTGGAGCCAGTTCGAGTGTCACGAACAGCGGAAGTGAGGACGACATACTCAACGGCGTCATTGGCGATTTGTTGGTCGGGATGAGAAATCTTCTGGAACAATTGTGGGCGAAACTGCCCAACAATGGCGCAGCAATCGCTGAATATCCGGCATGGGATGAGATCAAGCGTCGCTTGGATGTGATGTTCAAAGACACAACGAACTGCGTTGAAATTGTCGAAACCTATCGAGCAAGTAGTTACAGCACGAACATTGTTGTTTACGAATCGGAAGTAGACAAGCCATTTAGTTCTCGTATCAAGCAGTTAAGGTTGGAGGCGCTGAAAGCGTTTCTTGACGACTTGCGGTTTCGCTTTGCGTTCCCTGCAAAGGAGATCGTGAACAGCGAGAGCGTTAACTCGACGAAAGAAGCAGATGCTGCGTGGGGCCGCACGGCGGTCACGGCAATCCTCGTCAAAAAGAAAATGTTAGAAGCCCTGTCTCAAAAAATAAAGGACGTAATGGATGAGAAGCGACACTCGACCTCTTTTGCCTACATGAACCACCTCGAGAAGTTGCTGGGAAAAAAGATTACGCAGGAGCCGCCCAAAAATGCTGGAGTTGAACCGGTTGCAAGTAGTGCCACCACTCCTGTTGCTGTGACTGTGGCGTCTTCCACTTCTACTCCTGTTCGATCTTCCGCGTCGACGTCGAACAAGAACACGAATGGTGCACCGGCGAGCGAATCGTCGAAAAAATCTCCTGTTGTTCTCGCTACTCCGCCCAGCAAAAGAGGCGGCAAAAGCTCGTCTACTTCCTGCGACAGCACGACCGTGACCCCCTCCCGCAACAGTGCTACTCCGACCACGATTGCGTCTGACGACAGCGACGAAAGTGATAGTGATACAGAGACCGACACTGAGTCAGACAGCAGCTCATCCGACGAAGTAGGAAAGGCTCGGAAAACGAAAAAGGAGGCCGATATTGAGTTCCAACGTGCCTGCGAGAAAATTCCCGGCACCGTGGGCATGATCTGCGGATTTTTCATGGGTGTCGGGTTCACATTGTTTCTCATTTTCCTCGGAATGTTTATCGCGTACATGTGGTCCTCCGCCAAATAGATCTTGATGTACATTCACATTGCAGATTCGTGACTCCCCGGTATGCTGGAAGACCCCCAAACAGTAAAAAAAACTATTGGGAATCATGGCTTTCGTGAACGTGAATAAGTTTTCGAAAGTGTTGTAAGTGGTTCAGGGTGCGATGTCTCTTCGATGGTTCAACAGTGACTGTACTTTGTGACATGATCGATGCGCATTCAGCTGCAGCTTCACTTTTTCAAAGATGCAGCAGTCGCCCTGTTCTATCAAGATCTCCAACTATGTTTGTCGTCGATTCGAAAGCAGCTTCTCCTTCTTAGATCTTCTCGTGCGTTTATCTCTCGTAGTACACCTCCTACTTCCTTCGCCTGACTCTATTTCGAATCGTTGCTTCTTTCCTCGGTCTAGATGTACTCGTGTCGGAATCAGAATCGCACTGCTTATGCGAAATCGTAATCGTATTGTTCGCTTCGTGTTTGTCGCTTCCTCGTCGTGTCGTCACGAAGCAACGAACTGGGCAGACAGGATGAAGACGTCTCGAGAACTGCGATAAGTCGATCAAGTCATGGATGAACGATCCTCGTGAGGGTGAGCACCACAAGCTTTGATTTCCATTCCATCGAATTGTTGTACGGTGCCAACAATCAAAAACAAAATCCAATGTTTCACGCCTTGGACGACTTAGGTGGAGTTTTCTACGAATGTTTTTTGCAATTTACTTACTCAAGAAGCTAAAGTAAGAAAGAAATCATCGATACTCTCTGCCTCATTTGTCTCTCTGTCTCTTTACGAATCCAAGTTCGTTCCGCAGCCTCACACTTTCTTGCATCGATTTGAAGAACAGACATGCAAGAACCCGACACCGAACCGCTCGCGGTCACCGAGATCGACGATGTCGTGTTGAACCTAGTGCGGGACGCGTTGCGTGAAGTGGATGAGTTTTGTGCTCTGGTGGACCAGAAAGTGCCACCAGGCCAGACGTCGACGATCCGACCGACTCCGGAGTGGAAAGAAATAGTGGAGCGCTCTGCAGCTCGTCGAAATGGAGCATTAAGGAAGAGCCTCGTCATCGCAAGAGACGCGGCTGAAAAACGTAAACACACAAACCACATATTCGCACCTAGTGCAGGCAGTAGTACCACTGTGGAGGCGGATCTGTCTTCTTGGATTCTTCGCGTGAAGTTTGCGGCTTCTGGAGCCTTTTGTCGGGAACTAGCAGATGGTGTCATTGACCTGAATATATACATCGAAAACGAAGAAAAGGGCAAAGAGCTGCACAACATCGGAGTTTTCGGTAAGTGGGACGGCGGCGCCGTTGCTTTACTCCAGGAGAAAAAAAAGGAACTGCAGCAATTAGCAAGGAAGTTGAACAAGATTTTGGACGAGCGCCTTTTTGAGTCTCGTTCGAAGTACTTGTCTTATCTCGACCGCTCCGTATCGGGATGTTTTGCTCTTATGTTCGACCCATGCGTAAAAGCAAGACCCAAGTTGGTGCTGTCTGCGGCAGCAGCAACAAGCAGTAAAGAAACAAGAAGGAAGAGAAGCACTACCACCTCTACCACCAGCAGTAGCAGTAGTGCAGCGAATGCCAGTGGAAGCGGTGCTGGATCTTCGTCCCTTGCTGCTGCCTCGTCATCTTCTACGGATAATGATCGCCCAGTAATAGATGCCAACGCAACATCAACTTCAACAACTAATCGTGTTAATGTGCCTACCATCCAAACCAACCACGCAAGTACCGAAACGGACCGAATTGAAACCCGGAATGTGCGCATCGGAACTGATCGGGTTGTGACGCGGAATCCCAGTGTTCCGATTCAGACCAGAAACACGGGCTGTGGAACAGGTTCCACTGCGCATGTGCGAAACACAGGTACGGATCCGATCTGCGATGTTGATGGTGTGGAGGGTGGTGACGGCGACATGAAGGAGCAGGACGATGACAACCACGACGACGAGAACGACGACTCCGCGGCGGGGACGCTGGCTGTGGATTCGGAAACCTTCTGGACCCGTGTCTTCAATTTTCAGTGGTTGAACACTTACGCCTTCGGGTTCTGGTCCGGGATCGTCTTGTCGGTACTGATCGTTTTGTTCGTTCCCGCTCTGGTGAATCCCGCGCCGTCGTGTCCCACTCCGGAACCAGCAAACGAGGCCGAGTTCTCCAATGCCGACCCTTCGACCGATTCCGGTAGCTCCGTGTTTCAGTACTTGCTGAGTGCTGCTGGATTTGAACAGTAAGCACCCACAGCAATCTTGCTTGAAGGGTTTCCGTTTCGTTGTCTAATAGCTTTTCATCAGCGGGTTAGGAGATTAATTGCAGTTGCTGCGAGATGAAGTCAATGAGATCGATACACTCTCGCGTTGAATTTGAAAAAGAAAAACTACTTTCACTTTATTGCAGACACCACACGACCGTAACCAGCTCGATTTATCAATGAACAGAATGAAGTCACAAATTTTCGCGGCTTGAGATGAAAAAACGATCGTGATCGTCTTGTTAGACGTCATCTAGTCACAAACTAACAACAACTTTCGGTTTTATTCAATATCTTATCAGTTTCAGTTGCATTATTGACGTACTTTTCATAGAATCGGAATGTCGTTCGTTGTGTACAAAATTAGAAAATGCTTCAGCGCTACCCCCGCCCTTCACTAACTGAAACAAGCAGAAAATTCAATACTAGATTTCGTATGGAGAGCCAAATTTTCCCTTCCTGATTCCTTCTCCAGCCGAGGTAGAGCAAAAATCACAAATGTGCGGAGCAAGTAAGTACGCACCTAACCCTAAGCGCAGACAATATCATGTCGAAATTGTATTGTAATTGTTCCCTTTGTCCCCGTGGAAGTTGAAGATCGGTCCTCTCATTTTCGCGAAATCGGTCTGTCCTCTGGAAAGTAGACATTGAGATTGTCCTGAATCTGCTGGAGAACACGCCATGAAATTATCGGAGGATAAAAATGTCGTTATTGAAATGGCAGATGGAAGATCCACTAAATCTGACAGTCAACAGATCGGTCAAAATATGGGTGTTTTGTAAACGCATGGAAAGTAGAGCAAGCTTGATGAGTCAGAGAAACGAGAAAAAGAAGTCTGTAAATCGAGAAGAACGTTGCACCATTTGCGAATGGCAATGATTTCGTCCGCATCTTCGTCCCATTTTTCCTGTGCCATAGAATTCCAGATCCAGGGCTCCGTGCTTAATCTCGACGAAGAAAAAATCCGAACATTTCCCCATTTTTGAGTTACATTCCCCTTTTTGCGCCAAATCGTATGAAGACAAGAGGAAGATTCCACTCTTGAGTAGTCTCTATCGTTTTTCTAGTTTTGACAAATAGCACCCAAGAACAGCATCATCGTAAAAACTTTTTCGTACGCCACACGGCTGGCATTTTTCGCGCGCATTGATTTCGTACAACCTCAACATCTAGTATCGTCGCACGTCGTACAAGAAAAGCGAATTCGCTCAGAATTCATTTCTCTCGATCACTACGATTTGTCTCGTATTCGTTTACGGGAAAAATAAAACGAAAGTAAGTGATCATCAGCTATGCTCCGGGTAGTTGTGGCAGTACGTAGAACGCCTACCGAACGACTTGTTGAGCATTCATAGTACAACACAGCATGAAGACGAACACGAAGTGACCCATCACAGTCACAGTTACCGCTTGCCTGCAGTGTATTTTTTTCGAACGCCCGATCGAACTCGAAGGCGATACTCAACCTCGTACCTGAGTATCTCTAGCATTGCAGACAATAGAACCCTAGGCAAAACATGTTGTCTATGCTCGTTTCCGTGATCGGTTTCCTGATCGGGAACAATTCGGGGATCTCCATGTTCGACGTCTTCCAGCGACCTTCCTGCACGGGGCTTCACCTTTACGCGGAGTTTGTCCCTGACAAATCCTCCACTCTGACGCTGAGCAAACCGGATCTCGTCAAGGCGTGGCCAAAACTACTGGACATAGAAGCGAAAGGCGTGGCCAAAACTGCTGGGTCATCCTCGTCCTCAGCTACAACAACTTTCGGGAACAATGCGCTTCTCGGAACCGTCATCTCCCCCGAGGAAGCGAAAAGCATACGAGTATATTTTTTGGTTGTGGTTGGAACAAGTCTGTGAATGATGCAGCTAGCAGGTCTTGCTATCAAAGCATTTTTTTGTGTAGTTTTGCATCGAAAAAGTAAAAAAAAAGTAAATTGCATGAGGAGCTCGTTGTAGCTTGTCCGTGTGCAATGAAAACAAATGCGAAAATAAGCACACCAACAAACAGGTCTCGGGGTTCCCTCTCATCGGAAGCCACAAAATCACCAAAGTGGACGAGAAATCCGTGACAATGAAGCCGGCCTGCTACATAAGTAGCACCGATTTCGACGAAACGTGGTCTCCAGTGCTGCTTTCAGATTTGCCAGAAGGTACAACAGTTTTTTGTGTATCTCTATCTCTTGCGACTGAATAACATGAACATATTTATGTATTTTTCAAATACAGCCACCTATAATACGATATGCGCTTTATACATGTAACAAGGCATAATTACTCTGACTTTGTGTCTGTCCACGGTCTAGTAGTAGTACCTCACGAAATGCTTCGAAAATTAAAAGAAATCTGAAACCAAATAAACGCTAGGTATCCGCACGTGGATGAAGCAGCGGGGCAGGGAGCGCGAGATCCCGGTTCACGGGAGTCTGACCGTGGAGAGCCTGGGAAAGATTACCGCCATCGCGCCAGAGCTGTTCCAAATTGCGGAAATCGGTGGTGAGGTCGCCATCGTCACTGTGGAACCGAAAACCACGTGGGAATCACTGCGCGGCCTCTTGAACGCGAAGGTCAAGGTGCTGGGCGAGGGCTCACGGTTCGTCGTCATGGGTTTTTTGACCCTCAGCGGCATTCTAGCGCTCGGAGGCGCCGCCGGCGGGGCAGACGCGTGAGGATGGAGGATGGTGGCGAGGAGGCGAAAAGCAGATTAGTATACCGAAAGTAAAAAATCAGAATTTTGGTATCTTTTTTCGAAAGCGCATTATTGTACATAATTTTTCAATCGCGACTTCCTCTATGTAGATCTAGTTCTTGTTTGTTTATACTTATGTACAAAAACAGAACCCGGTATAGCATGACTGAGTACAACCTCCAGCAGCTGCACCAACATCCCTGTAGAATGTTTTGACACCAACAATCTTCCCGCACCATGGAAGCCTACCTGCTCCGTAGGTCTTCTCTCAATCTTCCCATGCCATGGCTTCAAAGAGGTGGACCACGAACAAACTACAAGTAACGACTGAGTTATTTGTTGTTGAACTTGAACTCCACCTCTGAATTTGAATATGATCACGAAGAGTCTTCAGCTTAATCTGTATACAACAAAATTTGTATGAAAATTACCCGCAATTTTCATGCGCTACCCAATATGGACACGTTCTCTTTCTTCCCTGGTGGATAACGTAACTGTAGAGCGGCGCCCTCTACTAGCTACGTAACGTAGGAAATGAATCTCCTCGCAACTGTATACAAAGTAAGTTCAAGGCCGCCCGGCTAGTAAAAACGACATTTCCCCTGGTGAGAACAAACCGCGTTTCAGTGATCTCAGAGACTTAACCGCGTTTCTCCTGCAGGCATGGATGGAGCTCCGTAAAGTTTCCGCGACCTACGACAAAAAGAAAATGCAGAGTTCTACCGGAAAGTGCCGCCTGGAATCTTAGTGAAAAGCGATTCCGTGATGTTCTGAAGAAGATCTTGCTTTGTTGAAGACCCTTTATTTCTTTTCGTCGCAGCTCGCAGCGGTCCGATTCAGATACATAGAGATTCCACTAGATCAAGAATCTGATCTTCTCACGGTGAAAGTTCTTTGATTATTTTTTGCATTGTTTTGCTTCTACTTGTTTCTCCCTCTTTCGACTTTTGAAGATTCTCGTTTTCCATTTCCTTTTTGATCATCACATCTGTCTCGACGGACCCTCCGACAGCGATTATACCAACCAGCCTTCGCGAGTGTGCTTGCAGCATCGTTGACTTCTGATGTAGCATTCGTTACTCAAGAGCATGACTTAAAGCAGATTTATACAATAGAATGCGCCGACATGACCGAACAAGCCATTCATATTGCAAGCTGAATTCTATTTGAAAATTTGCTACGATCATCCAACAAGGAGCCGCTCGGCGCGACAGAAATATGTGCCGCTTTTTCTTTCACAGCGTGCTGCTCGCGGGCCTCCTGTTCAGCAGTCAGGAGAGCGATGCAGTTACGCTTTCCACCCGGAGGACATTAGGTGGTACAACAAGCAACGGCCCGCTGAGGAGCAAGTTCGCACCACGACACCATCGAGCCGTGGTACCTCCGCACTCAGCGAAGACCATGAGCAGATTCAAAAGCAGAGAGTTGTACTCGCCGGAGGTGCTGGCACAGCTGGGAGCGTATGACGACGTCGCGCTGCTGCTTCACCATAATCCGACCTTCGGAGCAGGAGGACCTGCTGGGTTAGACAAGGACATGGATACTAGCATGGCTCCTTCTGGTGGTAAAAGTATAACAACGACAACGTCGAACGAAGGAGCTGCAGGGGGAAGCGCAAGTGGCAGCAACGGGGCACTGGGAAGTGGAGCTGGAGATTTGCTGATGAACGCAAATAATGAGCAACTGATTTCACCTAGGGCTAGGCCCACAAATTATAACTCGTCGAACCACAACCAGGACCAGCACAACAATCAAAACCCGACTCCGGGCAACAGCATTATGACCCAGACGGCCGAGATGTTTCTGAGATTGCATGAGGATTTGGTGTTATTGTTCACCTGCGGAATTAACGGGCGTGTGAAGCGACTGCACCACAAGTCCCTCCTCGCGTCCCGCACCATGGAGAACCGGCAGAGTGGTCCTGCAAATAACGGTCCAACAGACGACGACTTTGACACGATTCTGGACAACATTGTAGCTGCCGAGCTAGCGCAGCAAGTAGATGACCCTCAACTACTGGCGAACAGCTTGCGCCTGGCCCGGCGGGCGGAGCAGCGGCTGAGGCGGTGTCCGCAACAAAGATTACATGAATACCGGGTCATATTGAAGAAGAGTCTGGAGAACGGGATTCCGAAGACGGATGCAGAGGTGCAGGCCTATTTGCGGGATGCACGCGAATCGTGGATCGCCATGGGAGGAACTTCTACGGGTGGTGCTTACGAAGATCATGTGTTGGGGGACGAGCCGCCGGAAGTGAGGGCAGAACATGATTTCGCACAACGCTTCGACGTGGTTGACGACTACTTCGCAGCGCTCGGAACGAACAGACCGGGGAGCAGACCGGTGACTGACGGTGGTGTCGTTGCTCCTGGCAATGCACATGCAAGTCGGCAAAATCACGTCCCAATCATCACACCCAGAACTAATCTCAGCTTCATCGGCGGCGCGGCTGATGCGGTCGTCGAGCTGGCTGAGGATGCAGGCTTGATTGGAGCGACCGCCGGTGGTGCCGCAGCGAGTGGCGCGAGTAATGCTGTTGATTACAATGCGAATGCAAATGCCACCGGTGCACCAGCATCATGCACTGCATCCTTCTGCGAACGACTGAACGCCACTTGCCGAAACATTTCCGGCGTCAACACTTCTTTTAACAACTACCCCGAAGATGATCCGAACCAGAGTTCTCTCATCCGGGCAACGAAGGCCACCAGCGGGAGCCAGCCGCAGTCCAATGCGACGAAGCACAATCTGCAGTTTCCCATGTCGACGAAGGAGTTGGGTGAGTTAGTAGACACGGGTTTGCTAACCAGCGCGAAAATCATCGCCTCGCCGATACAACTATCCGGGTTGGGAAACATGTTGGTGTCCGCACAGGACAAATCGAAACTTTTTCACTGGGCCTTGATCCTGCAGTTTCGCACATCCACGGGGATTTTCTCCCCGGTCTTCACGCAAGAAAGGGAAGACGTGGAAATGAAGGACCCTATGGTCGGGGAGTCGCGTTATTTGCTGAGCCAGGCAGACGTCGCCAAGATGTTGGAGGAGAAAAGGCAGGAGGAGGGTGGTTCACTGCGAGATGAACTACAGACGGAGAGTGTTCAGCCTGCTTGTTCCGCCTCCATTTCTGCTACTGGTGCTGGGAAAGAGGAACATGAACATGGAGATGCAACAACTGGCGTAACAAGTGCAACAACTCTCCCCGCTGTTCCTGTCGCACGTTCCGAAGAGCTGCTACAGGAACCAGGCACCGACGAATCGGACAATGGTTTGTTGGACGGAGAGGACGCGGTCTTGGTTACCACCGAAGAAATTTCAGAGAAGCTGCGGGACCTGCGCATTCGGTCCAACTCGACCTGCTCGACTGTGGCAACCAGCACGGACTACAATTGTCGCAGCCGATCCAACTCGATCCTGCTTGGGCAGGCGCAATCAGGTGCTGCTGCGATGGGGAGTGACGAAGCTACTTTTGAATCTGCCTCCCCGCCGCCGGTAGAGCCGATTCCGGAGCATCGGGAGCTCGCAGGAGCTCCGGCACCGCCTAAGGCGTTCAGCACAAAAATGACGGAGGCGAAGTTGAAGGAGAGTAAGAACGAAAAAGAACCGTTGGAGCAAAACGAAGAACAATTCAACGATGATTTGAACACGACCCTCCCCCGTAGCATCGAGGATTTTGAGCAGATTGAAGAAGAGATCATTAGTGTCAGAATCGAGAAGCTCGCTTCTGGCGAGGTGGTCGTCACGAGGTCGCCACCGCACGGCTGTAGGAAGGACACCACCGTGAAGAAAAACGCCGATCCGCGGTTTTCCTGGCAACAGAGCCGGATTCAAAGGGAGATGGAGAAGAAGGAGGAACAGGAATTTCTCCAGCGCGCGGAGGCTTTCGAGACCGATTTTCTGCACTACCCCCAGGCGAAGGAAGTCACGCCGATGGAGTGGCTGCCGCCGTATTTAAGCCGGAATTTGCGGTACGATGGCGTGCGACTCGATAAGAAAAAGTTCTTCACCTGGTTTCTGCAGGAAACAAAGATCGCCGGGTACTTCAAAGAGCCTGAGCTGCCACAAGAGATGCCAAGTTGTATCTCCTCCGCTGCAGCTATCGATGCGCTTTCATTTGGTGAAGAAGAAATTGAGATGGACAGACTACCGGATCTCATCCGCCAGGTGGCGCAGCAGGGGAATCATGACAAGAGCCAAGGACAAGGAACAAACGGTAGTCCTCACCCGCAGCAGCAACAGCAGCAGCGTAATAAAGACACCGCCCCACAAAGCAACGGTTGCTACCATATGGCGCACAACAGTTGCCAGCATCTAGTCTACCGGTTTTTCCGGGACGTGTTGCAACTGGCTTCCATCGGTCCCAAGTGTTACTCTCCGAACTGTGTAGCCTCTTCCCCGCTGGAGATGTTCCGGGCGCGGAAACGGGTTTGCGGCTGCAGTGGGCGGGACATGGATAAAACGATGCAAGAGTTGATAACAGAACAAATGCCGGAGTTATTCGCGCCGTGGGATAGCTGCTGTTCTCCTGATGCACCAACTACTTCTGTAGTTGCTCCTTACAGCCCACCCACAGGAGCAGGGAGGAGTCGAGAGAAAAAGAAACTCTCTGCCCGCGGACGGTCTGTAAGGAACACAGCAGAACTACGAGCACCACGCGAAGAAGAAGAAGAACCATACGACGCTTCGGGCAGCGACATGGCCGAGACGAGTGATGAACAGATTAGCAGTGCCGCCGCGGACGAGGATAAAGATTCTGACTCAGCCTCAGGAGAGACACCTTTCTCCAGCGATGACGCTCAACAGCAAGTAGACCGGCCCTTTTCTGTCCCCGTTCCTCCCGAGCAACACGCGCAGTTCGACCGAGAAAACCCGCAGGTGGCGGAATTTTTAGCCAAAAATGACAAACGACCGATGAAAATGCAAAGAACCCTCTCAAAGTCCAGGATGCGGGCCGTAAGACTCGCGAACAGGAAGCTGCGAGAGATGCGTCGCGAGCGGATACAGCAGACCAGAAGGTGGAATGGAACTGGAAGCGCATCGAGGGTGATGCCGCAGGAATACCAGCGTAGAAGGTCTTGTGTGCAGCACACAACTATTCAGCACACGCCTAGATGCATGATCCACTGCGAACCCATCGCGCGCTCAACGAGCCCCGCGATTCTCTCTGCGTCCTTCGGCATTCCCTGCTCATCCGCCACAGCCGGATTCGAGAAAGATGATGAGGGGCGAAAGCGATGCAACGACCTTTTCGAGGACTTCCAGTTGCAAGTCTACGAAGCCTACAACGAGAAGAAAGACCCCCCACTGTTCATGGGAAAAACACCGCGAAACGAACGGGGAGCCAGGTTGTTGTACTGACACTGAGGTACTTTGAGAAGAATAATTTCTTCCGAAACCACTACCAGCATCTGATGAAAAATAAACTTTCACCCAGAAGAAAAAAAAACCGTTTCCATGTTGCCGTTTTGGATCCTTTTGATCATTTTGAAGCTAGAAAGGACTAAACACTCTTCGCATCATCTGTCGAAACGAATACAACTCAATACAAAAATTAGAAGCAAGTAGCTTTTCCTTTTTCACATTAAGCCTTTTTTCCGACCACAAAAACACATCATACATACTACTGCTTAGGGTTACGTTGAGAATACAGTTCCGAATTCTATCTTTTCGAAATTTACCGGTCGAGGTCATTGTACTTCGTTCGCGTTTACAATACTGAAAATGAATAACCACTCCGTCTAATGTGTAAGATTCCATTGCCGCTGCGTACTGACAATTTTCACAACTTGTCTGTCTGCCCAAAAATGTACGGAGTTAATGACGATTGGCACAATTGAGAATCAAAATCAAAAGTCCTGAGAACGGGGAGGCACCGAGCCGGTTTAGGCTGTGTGCCCTTCCGCGGCGAAGTTGAAGCGTTGGTTTTTCTGCAGCGGTAATGTAGGGGTTGGGGATTTTTTGAGAGATTTATAGAAATCTTGTTCGTTCAGTGGAGTCGAAGTTTTATGGCAGCTTACATTTTGAGAAGTTTCTAGAGTAGCTTCTGTACTAGCCGTTCTTTTCTTTTCTTCCAAAAAAAAAATGAGAGTTCCATTCCTGTTGCTTTCCTCCCTGTGGGATTTTCTCTGGTCCGGGATCCGGCGAGCCATGGCCTTCTCCTACATGTCGAAGTCTTTTTTCAAAATGAAAGACCCAGCCATCATCAAGGACCGCTGGAGCACGCATGCCGGCGTGATGGTTCATCTCGACGGGTTTTGGTGTGTAGACGAGTCGAGCGAGATTACGCGGTGGAAAATGCCCGTGAACGACGTGAAATCAGGCGCGGAATGCGAGCAGGACTGTTTGTTGGAACGGAGCTGCGAGGTGTGGCAGTGGGACCGGCTGCGCAAAATTTGCCACCACGGGGCACCACAAATGAAAAACATCACGAAAACCGAGCAGGTTAAGGTAAACAGGGAAAATGCGAGGTGGGACAATGCTGACTTGCCGGCACAGCTCCGGCAAGTGGATCTGGCGAAAATCTCCTTGCATGAAGTAGAGAAAAACAAAAGTTCATCTCGTCTTGCCGCTTTCGGCTTCTCTTCTGACCTGATGCAGACGGACGCGTTTTTGTCAGAAACGCCAGAGCACCGGGCCGTCATGCAGGAGCGAGGCGCCGAGCCGAACCCGCTCGCCGCGTGCATGCGCGGGCCGCACCGGAATGCGACCGGGTTCGATAAAGCGATCGTCGGCGCCCGGGCACGGATCACGTACGTGTTCAACGATATGATCAAGTTTTTCGGCAAGAACATGGAGGACGAGGTCCGGGGGGTCTGCTCGTTACAGAACGCCGGACAGGTGAAGCGCGACCTGTTTTTCCGCTGGCTCGACTTCACGGCGTCGCAAGACTTGGACAGCTGGAACGCAACGCAAAGACACAAGTACTTCCTCAACTACCTGCGCGACGCTTCGTATTTACGAAAGTGGAAGGATTACAGAGCCGCGCTGGCCGCGTTGGAACAACAAATATTGCGGGCACGGGGTGTAGTTGCTGGAGGAGATAATGCGACAGTGTCAACATTAGCATCTGGTTCTGTGGACAAGAACTTGATCATGGATGCTCACACTGCTGCTGCCGCTTCTGTAGCTCTACCTTCCGCCGGAAAAATGAGCGAAAGTCAACAGAGTCATCCCTATGATGCCGAACAGGAGCTGCTGCAAACTTCTGTCGCTCTCTGGGACAGAAAGTCCTGGTTTTCGCCCCAGCGAGTGAAATTAGAAACTCCCGCCCGGAAAAAGCAGCGGCAACATCTCAAGTCAATCCCGACCGCGGTGTGGGCGGAGTCAAAAGAATCTGGTCTGACCATCAAGCAGTATCCGCCAGCGCGCGTCACCCGAGACTCGGTGCGTTTCTGTCCGAGCTTCGTTGACAAGGACATCGACGACAAGTCCGGGAAGATCAAGGAGATTGAAGAAATCCGGCGAAAACACCACCACCGCTCGTTGAAACGATTACGTGAAATCGGGGTGCCGGATCACTTAAAGAACGGGCGATTTCTCAATTTCGGCTGCGGGCGGTGTGACGACGAAGACCCGCTGTGGGAGTTCTTCGACAAGGGCAAGGATGCGGACGTGACGTCTTTGTCAAAGGGGAAGGCTTTTCCGAAAATGAAGGGGTATGGGTACGAGCTAGATCCGGTGGACGCTGCTGCTTGCGTGGAAAACGCCGGGGACTTTGTTGACGTGGTGGTTGCGGGGGTGACTCCGGAGAGTATCGACCAGCAAATGGACGAAACGGGGTATTTCGCAGCGACTGGTGGGGAAGAACCATCGGCGACATCAGCGTCAGTAGCATCCTCATCATCCTCTTCAACTGGAAGTGCACCGGATGAACAAGAAGTAAATGCAAAAAAAGTGCAAAACCAGGTAGACAAGACCATCAAGAATCCGCAAGAACCCAACATCATCGAGATCGTGAAGATCGACATTGATTCCTGGGACTACGAAATCGCGGAGAAAGTCGAGAGGAAAGCGCGAAAAACGAACACCAAGGTGATGATTTACGTGCTCGAAATACAGGGCGTCTTTCCCCCGCCCATCCGCTTCTGGTCGAAATACGCGCCGCGGGCGGAAAAGACCATCGAGTCTCACGCAGCGAGTGAGGCGGAGAAGCTGAAGAAAACACTGGTCAAAACCGAGGACATGTTGGAAAAAGCGATGGAACATCTGGAAAATAACGAAGACGCAACCTCCATCACCCTCGAGCAGATTCGCATCGCCGCAGCCTTGAACGCGACCAAAGACGCGTCGACGACCGAAAAGGACGCGGCCAGCCTCTCCGCCACCAACCTCCGGCGGTTCCGGGAGCTGGCGCTACGAAAAAACCACCCACACTTCATCGGCGCGAGTCTGCAGGCGTTTGTGGATTTGCTGCGGCCAACGCACAGTTTGATCATGATGAACGGCATGGACGCTGTGTTTGTGGAAAACAGCCTCGTCCGGGACCGGATACAGCAGGCGTACCAAATCTACCTCCCCGTCGACGAGGAGCTCTGCTTTTCGCTGCACCAGCCCTGGCACTCCTGGCGGGAGGAGTACATCGGCGACTGGATCTACGGGGGGCAGAGTTGGCGGGAAAAAATCGAGTTTGTGAAGAAAAACATGACCATGTGCGACCCACACTGGGACAACCCGACGAAGGAAGCATGGCCGTACGGAGTCAAGGCACCGAAATTTCATGTCGGGATATAGTGAGCAAGATCATGTTGACGAGTCGGTAACGGTATCATGGTGAACGATCCTGCAACTTCATATTCATTGGGTAGTGACTGTGACGATTTTCGCCTTTTTCGGAGATTAATTTGCACATGTGCACAGATGAGAAAGAATGATCAACGCGCATATAATGAGCCAGGAGGTGTTAATTATCTGACGTTCCTGTATTGCCTTTTTTCTGCCTCTGTCACTCAGGAGCTTTTGCTGTGCAGATTTCTTGTTACTTTGTGTGAAGAACGGACGAATCAATGGTGCAGAAGCTGTTCTATCGTCGTCAAATTTCCTTTCGGGATAATACAATAGTACAAACAGGCGCGACAGATGGGAGAGGAAAGAGTGTACGAGAGACTTTCAAAACCAAAACGGAAATACAATCTTGTCGTGGAGCGACGGCTAAAGTACAGAGCGGGAAAACTAAAAGAAGAAAAAGGTGTTGCTTTTGTTGCCGCTTCAACCCTGGTACCTGACTACCTGTAGTTTTTTCTTTTCCACCGCTGGACCTCGACCTGAAAAAGATAGGTTCGCTCGCGACCATGCCGTCGTCGACTGGAGACAGAAAGGGCCTGTGCCGCATTGCCAAAGACAACAACCCGGGCTTGATCGAGCAAATTCTTCGGAGCCGCGGATACAAAGATATTGTCGTTTTGGGACGGGAAACAGGCAACTTTCTACGAGGCGTTATCGAGGAAAAGGAAAAGACGGCGGAGGAGGACAGTACCTTGAAAGAGGACGGCGTTTCTTCATCACCTGTCTTTCAGTGGGCGCAGAATGCGTTCGCAGTGGATTTCAGCGTACTGGTGGGACAAAGAGGTGGTCTCAACAAAAACCTTCGCTTCGCTAACCAGCTTCATGGCGTCTCTATTGGGACCAAAGAGGGCATGCTGAAGAGCGTGAGCCAGTGGTGGCAGAAAAGGAACGTCAGCACCGATTCGACAGAAACGAAGACGGAATTGTCAAAGGAAGATTTTCCGCCCTGGTACCTCCCCACCTTCTTGGTATCGGATGTCTTGAAGAAAAAGGAGAAAGAACTCGTTAAAATTCACGGTCAAGAGGGCGCGCACGAAAATAAAAAATCTTCCTCCCACTGGATCTACAAGACGCAGACCAACAACCGTGGCAAGGGAATTGAGGTTTTTTCCAACTTCGACAACCTTGTGACATTTTTGAAAGACCAATTCTCGTCGGCGAAGATGAGCCATAACTTGAAAATAAAGCCCACGGGGATCGTGCAGCAGTACCTGCAGACACCACTCTTAACGACTTCACAGCGCAAATTCGACGTGCGTGTTTTCCTGCTGGTCGCTAGAGTGGAACCCTTTCTGGCCTACTACGCCTGTCCATTTGAAGAAGATGCAGGAAAGAAAAACCCTGGAGGTGCAGCACCGGTCGTCCCTGTAGCGTACCTCAAGTCCTGTGCTTGTCCGTTCGACCTGACCGATCTGGAGACCTCCGCGCGGCACATCACGAACCAAAGGGTGCAAAGGGAGTACCTCGGCGCGGAGCAGTATAGTGTGGAGATGAATGATCTGGTCCAGGTGTTTGATACAAAATTCTTGAACACCACCATTCCTTTCTGCACCAGCAAAGAACGTCAACATCAAGTACAAGAACAGTACCAAAAGGGCTTGCAAATCGCGATGGAGGGCCTTGCAGAAATCATCCAGGGACAGGTGAACCCGAATCACCTCGGAAGTTTTCAACTTTTCGGCTGCGATTTCCTTTTTGGCGAGGATGGAAAGGTTTTTTTACTGGAAGCCAACCGCAACCCGGCATTGCATACGAACACGGAGGCGCTTGCGCAGATCATTCCGGGACTCGTTGCAGAGGCCATTCGAATCGTCGAGGCGGCACACAGTACAGACGAAACAACCGTCGCAGACGATAGTCGTGGTGGTGTTGCAGGTTGTGAGAGTTTGATGCCCAGCAAATCGATTCCGGAGTCGAAGATTTTTAAACGGCTCCATATCTAGAATGTATGATAATTTCCAAAAAGAAAGCGGCTCAATGAAATGAAAATATCGACGCAGAGCTACAAATCGGCGAAGCAGGCTTCCAATGAACCGAATGATGAATGTCGATGTCCACTACCTGGTTCAATCAGCAACTATTTTGACGAAGTAAAACCAAAGTTTCTGTGTCAGCTATCATCGGCCTATTCTCATGTGCTTGTGCGTGTCAACGCACATATTTGTTCGTTTCAGAATAAAGCTTTCGACAGCGGCACGATCCATTCTTAATGTATAGCTCCACTCTGTTCTGTGTCAAAGTAAAAGTCAATGGACCCGAACCTGTTGGTTTTTCGAAATTGATCTCGCTCCTTATTTTTACGATCACGCCGCGTGAAGAACATCAAGCACACTTTTTAACTAGCCATAATCAAAGTTAACAATGAAGATGACACGAAGTACCGGAACCCGCTTTGTCCCATCTAGTGCTCCGCGGGCTGTTGCCCGCCTACGTGGTTTCCATCAGAAAAACCCACCATCCAGCAGCCGCAGTCGCTCCGAGAAGCATGCGGAGACTCACAGCGACCGAGTGCTGCCCTCGGTCACAGGACTAGAGAGGTGGTATCAAGTTTGGTCAACACCCGCCCAGGTCTAAGCTGCTTCTACTTCTGACCAACGGAAAAAAACGCAATGACTTTTCTTTTCAAAGCAGTTGACAAGCTCGGCGAGGTCGCCGACAAATTTGCCGACCAAGCCTCAGTCCTGCTGGATATCGAGCAAGATTCTCCCGAGGAAATTGACCGAATATTGCACGTCCTGCGGCTGCCCCAGAAATGGTTATTCGGTATAGAAAATCGTCGCGTTGAAGTTGGACCTACCGCACTTTGAACTCACATATTTCGCTCTCAGATAAAGAACCGTAACATGATGATAAAGCAAGGGGGATGACCGTGATACAACTGAATAAAGAGACTCTACTTTTTACCTTTTCAAAAAATATCTACCAGGTGTCGGCGAGCTGCGGGCGTATGTGGAGACGTACCCGTATGGAGCTCTCAACTGTTACATTCTCAACTGTTACATGAAATTTGTAATGCAAGAATGGCAAAAGTGAAAGGGAAAAGCTTGCTCCTTTTGCATTACAGGTTTGGAGCAGATTACAATGCTATCTAGCGTGTCGAGAACTTGTCATGCGGAGAAGGTTTGAAATTGTGAAAAGTGATAGCGTTTTTGCATGACAAATCATGTAACAGTTGAGAATGTAACGTTTGAGAGCCCCATAACCCGAAGGCAGTGGAGGTCCTCGCCAACGACCCGATGCGAGTCAAACTTCTCAGCGTCATCCTGCATCAACTGGTCCGGTTGCGCGAGCCCGTATGAAAGTGCACAACTCCCCTCTCTCTCATTTGTCATGCAAAATCCCAAATCCACCTTTTGCCCGTTAGCACTGTTTGCATGACAGATTCCGGAATCCAAAACAGCACTACACTCCTCTAGAAAGTTGTCATGCAAAAGCTGCATCTTTGCCAGCGTTTGTGTTGCTGTTCATGCAACACAAATGAGGGGAACGCGGAGCTGTGGAGTTCCATAGCCCGTCACGCCAGAGTTCGTCGCGGAGAATCCATGGGCGAGTTTAGCGGAATCGTTCGAGGAGCCGCAGCGCCTGCGGTTGGAAAAGGATTTGATTTCCGTGCTGCATCAAGTCGTCCGCACCATCATGGACACGAGAAAGGAGGACCGGGGGTACTTCTTCGAAATCATCACGAGCTCGTGTGGGGAGGCGTTGTTGAAGCTTCTGGACATTCCGTTATTACTAACCCTATCGGAGAACAGCGTTCAGTGCGCGCAGAAATTTGGGAAAGAGTTTTTCCGGAAGGAACCCGAGTACCTGACCAGGTTGTTGCGCGCGTGCGACGTGGGTGGGATTTCAACATCATCTACAACTTCCGCGACGGGCAAAAATGCAGATGGTGGTGCTGGAATAAATCCTGCCCCGATAATTGGGGCTTCCGCTTCTGTTTTGCTCGCGCTCGCAGGGTTTGACAATATGTCGGGGGAATCGGGGGACTTGGACGAAATTTCCCGGCAGAAGCGCAGTTGCGTTTTGGCGATCTCGCTGTTACGGATTTTTCTCACCAACTCGCCGGACATGTGCTCGGGGGCGGTTTTCGAGGAAGGCGTGGATATTCTGCTCCGGGGGATTGAGGAGACGCACGAGGGGCAGCAGTGGTTATTGAGGAATGAGCAGCCGTCGCTGATCATTTTGCAGACCATGGAGCTGCTGATCAGAGAAGGAAAAGAAGTCTCCAGGCGATTCCTCCGGCAGCAACACGAAACCGCGGATAGACTAGTCCACAAGTGCGAGCAGTTGCTGACCGTGAAGGAAGCGGACACCCGGGTTTTTTCCTCGATTTTGAACATCGTGGAACTGTTTTACGCAGATCACGACGCAACTTCGCAAACCAACACTTCCTGCACTTTCGGTCGCTTCGACGACACGAGACGGTTCTGTTTGCGCTTCGTCCCCATGCTGTCCAAGAAAACGGGCGTGTTCCGCAGCGGTGATGACCTCTTGCTGCGGTCTGTGCACCTCCTGTCGAAACTGGTGGCCGGCATGCCGAAAGGCGGGGTGGGCGGAACTCTCGAAGGTAGTGGAACAGCGGTTGCTCGCAAAGACAGCCTGGGCAGCACCTACTCCTCCGACGTCAATATGCAGAGTGAGGAAGACAACAGTGCCTTTCACCGAGGCAGGGCTTCGAGCAACGACAGCGTCACCGTTGCGGGGATCAATTCTTCCACCAGGTTTGCTGCGCCAACTGCCGACGAGAAAACCGTGTTTGCGTATGTCTTGGGGGGGAAGTACTACAAAGAGTTTTGCCAAACAGCAAAGACGAAAAGCAGTTCGTCCTCATCTACAGCTGCTCGCATCACCAAAACCGCTTCGGACGTTCCCGCTTACGAGTGGTGGTTTCACATGGTGTTTGACGAAACACTTCCCGAAGAACTGCGGTTCGTCGTGCTAGAGAAGCTGGTGGTCCGGTTTGACCTCCCAGCCGAGTATCTGGCGGACACGTTCACAAATTCCAGCGGAACGGCAGTCGACGGCGTCGTCGTCACGCCCTGCGGGAAACAGGTGATCCGCGTTCTGTCGGATTTGGAGCGCTGCGACATGGATGTCTGGTTTCGAAGCACGCACAATTGCTACTTTGCGGTGGAGTGGCTCAGCTATTTGACCGCGATTGTCGGGAAGACGCAGTTACAAGAGGTGAGGAAGAAGTTTTTTGGGTTATTAACGAACCGAGGAAAGTTGATCGACAAGGTAACCGCGAGTCTGCGGTGGTCCAAGTGCATCGCAAATGATGCGGAGTTTCCGGAGAAAAGGTTCCCGCTTATAGCGTCGACCAGCGAAGGTGCTTCCGGGAGCAAGGGAAGTGCGGGCTCGGCACAGTCTCAGGGTCCGGGTACTATCAAAAGTGCGAATGCGACGACTGTATCTGCTGCTGCAGCAGCCACGTCCTCCGGAATTAAAACCCGTGACTTCTCTTCCCTGATCCAGCAACAGGAGAAGAATTCCGCCCAGGTTTTGTCCCACGAAGAGAAAGAGGAACTTCACAGCTCCCAAACGCTCTTCGTGTTGCACAACGTGTTGAAGTTTCTGTTTTTGATCACCAGGATGAGTAGCACGACCTACAGCCAGGCCGAACAGCATCAAGGAAATCAACAACCCTCTTCACTGATGCCCTTGATTCGCGAAATAACCAACTCCAGCCTCCACCTAAATGCGATTCTCGGCATTCTGCGGAAGGAAACTTTTCCTGACCGATTCCGGTCCGCCTCTGCCGTCGTCCTCGGGCTGATAGTTTGCCACTTATCCAGCCCCGGTACAGCAGCAGCCGGGCAAACGGAGAGTGGAGCGGTCACGGGGAGGCAGTTGATGGAGCTGATTACGACGAAAGTCGGGCTGGAAGATTTCAACCACTTTCTGCGCAAGTTTGCACAAGGCAAAAGTCAGGCTTTGTTCGACAACGCTGCAAGCGTGGAAATCTCAATATCTGGTTCATCCAAAGGATCATCAGCAGCGGGAAACAAGTCCAGTGCGGCGACGCCAGAGATGCTGAGAGAAACGTCACCCGGAGCGCTAGTGCGCGTGATCGATGATATCAGTCGGGCGATGGTTGCTGTCTTCATCAACGACGACGAGGACACTAGTACAACCGGTCAAAATGCAGCCGATGAGAAGCAGGACAAGAACTCTAAGAATCAATCTGCCACAGCCACTACAACCTCCTCCTCCAGCTTCGGCTTCGCGAGCGCAACGGCCATGACCACTGCGCAGCAAGGTCCAGGGAACAAAGTAACGCAGAATCTACTGAAGATGCAAGAGCAGGAGTTGAATCGGTTTGCTGAGGAAAACCGGCAACTGAAGCAGGAAATCGCGAAACTGCAAAAGACCCAAGTCGACCGCGAGAAACTGAGCTTGAGTTTGGAAATTGACGCGCTACGGGGCCAAACGCGGAATCTGCAGGCGCAATGCGATTTGCATTTACTCGGTTACTGGAAATTGGAGCAGGAGTTGTTGGAACGGAAACGAGACGCCCGGTTGCGCGAGTCGGAACTGACGGAGCACATACAGATTCTCTGTGTCGAAGTGGAGCAGCTCCGGCGAGACCTGTTGGAGCAAAACGTGGACGAAATCAGCAGCATTCTAACCCCAATGAGCACGAGCGCGAACAGGAGCAGCGCTTCGCTGCTGAGCTTCGCCGCGAATCACGCATCGTCCGGGAGCACGAAGCAGAGGATGAAAGTCGCAAAAATTATGCGAGGAGATGCAGATACTACGACTGGAACATCATCAAACGAGAAGACACAGCACTTGGGATCGACGTCTGACCTACTTGGTGTTCGTCCCGTGTCGTTTACTTCCAACGGGACAGACGACGAAACTGTTGAATTCGATGTTGCAGACCGTGTGAGGACGTCAAGTCATGAATTAGCTGGTGCCCACCACCTTTTAAACCAACCTCGGGCGGAAGGCGAAGGTGGCGCACCCAGCAAGACCTCGGTGAGCTCCGCCAACGACAGGACTAGGCCAAAAGGCGGAATGACAATCGATACCACTAGCGAGATGGTGGACAACACGCCCGCTGGGCCACTGTCATCCCGCACGATCGAGGAACTTCGGACCGCCACGCCACTAAACGCTCTCTCTGAGGAGGAGGTCGAGTCGCGGCTTTGCGAATTGCGGGACTTGATTACCCTCCTCCACGACGAAGTTCCGGAGACGAGAAAGTACATGGCGCCGGTAGAGGAGGAGGCGATCCGGGCGATCGCGGGTATGGCAGATCGCAAGTACCACACGACTTTGGGAAATTTGTTCCAGGTCGCGCAGAAGGACAGCAGCGAGCTGATGCGGCAATTGCTCGCGGGCGGAGTGGAGAAGTGCAGCATTTCCGAAAGAGAGGAATTCTTGTTATCAAGCTTCTTCAAAGATCTGTTCGACAAAACGAAACTGGACAGAAAAACGCTGCAGCACGTCTCAGAAGTGATGATCCCTCAGTCGAGCCTCAGCAAGGTCACCGCGGGGTCGGGCGGTGGGGCTTCGTCAAGTACTAAAGGCGGGTCAAAGTCCGCGTCCCCGTCAAAGGACGTCGCTGGGGCTGGACAGGTGTCGTTGCTGCAGGAAACGACGGAAAGGAAAATCGACGAAGATGACGAGCAGAACAACGACGTTACATCCGGGAGCGACAGCACCACGCACCAGCGAGGCGATCAGTCTGCAGCCGCAGAAGGAGATCTACTACTTCAGAAGACCACGAGCAAGCAACGACCTGTAGTCACTACTACTGGTGGCACGCTTGGTGGGTTGAGCCTATCCTCGGCGTCATCCGCGCAGAAGAAGATCACAACTGCGGACGCAAGTTCGACCGAAGATAAATTCGGTCCGTCGTCAAGAGCTGCTACCACTGATCATGAAGATCCCCTGCTCGCCGCGATTTTAGAGCCTGAAAGAAAGAGAATCGTGGAACAACCACTGGTGGCGACAGCTGCAGTACAAGCGAGGGAACTACAGCACAAAGAAGGTCCTCCTGACAGCGCAGTTGCAGCCGCTCCCGGTATTCTACAGGTGCCTGGTCTTGTAGTGCCCCCCGCAGCAGCAGCAGCTGCTGCTTCAACCGACGAACTGACGACCTCTGCTTGTGTTTCGGCCTCCACATCGAAAACGAAAACGAAAACGCCAGATGACGACCAAAGGATTGCAATGGCGTCGACGCAGGCAGCCTTCGCTCAGCAAATACACCAGAGTCGTGCCGACATGCAGCAGCTACAACAACCACAGCAATTATCGCAGCAGCAGGAGACGATGCGGAATGCACCAGCGTACGGATCTTACCAACAGCCTGTACTAGCAGATGCAACGCCATCGTATACAGCGACAAATCAAAGCAACCATGCGAATTCTGTCGGGCAGACCGGGTACGCGAGCGCGACAGCCGCGACTTCCACGGTTCCGTTTCACCAGCAGTACGATCATATGCAACCGGCGACGTCCTCTGACATGGTTCACCTTCCGTCTTCTGTGCCTCAAAATATTACCGGTGGAACTACCGCTTTTTCGACTCTATCTTCTTCGCTTCCCGCTCCAGCGTCGATGCTAACGTCTTCTCAGGCAGCAGGCACCTACGGCTACGGACAGCAAGCCCAGGCTCAGGTCCAGAGCCACGGTAGTAGTTCGTACGCCAATGCTTCATCCCTCCTAACTGATTCAGGAGCTGCAACGACATCCTCATCCTCATCTCAGCCGCAAGCACAGCAAGGGGTAGGGGTGTCTACCACGGCGTCGTCTTTACAGCAACAGGTCGTCGGCATGGATACTACGCAAAGGTATCAGCAGCAGCAGCATTATTCGACCAGTGGACCAGCATCTTCGGCATCTTCGGCGAACGCAACCTTTCATAACTACCAAGTAGGCGATTCCTATAGTAAGAGTACAGCAACCCATAGTAATCAGTACGTTGCACCACAGTCGCAGCCGCAACCACAGCAAAGTTTCACCTCTGATCCAACCCAGCACCTCCTGGAGACTTCCGACAGAAGAGCGGCGGAGTATTTAGCGACACACGCACAACCAACAGCCACAGCGCAGACCAATCATCTGCAAGAAGAGCAGCGTACGCAGCATGCGCAACCAACTGCACAGCCGGAACATCAAGTTGAGGTTGCTGCACAGCAAGACTCTGCACCCGAACAGCAGCTGCAGCCGGGCTGGGGGAAGTACGCGACCGAAGACGGGGATTTTTACTACTTTAATACGCTCACGGGCGAAAGTAGCTGGGATCCTCCTCCAGGGTTCGTGGGCTGAAAAGCATATATGTCGGAGCAGTCTCCTGAAATTTATTCGTACGACCAGCGACCTCCATATCTGTACCACTACAAACAAATCAATGACAGCGCATTCGCAAAATGACGACCAAGCGACAAAATCAAATCATACCCCTTCGTAACTCGCAATAGGCACACGGCCACGCGAGTGGAAGTAAGTGCTCTTTCTAAAGATACAGCTCGTTCTTCGTGCGAATGGAAATGAAATCAACATCGGTCGAACGATCTTCACGACGAGAAAAGCGGAAATCGCCGCGTCGGTCGTGCTTCTCCGATGCTATCGTGTCGTCCTTTCCCAAACCAAAACAAACAACGCACAAATAACTGTGTGAACTTCGTTCTCCTGTGACTGGAAAAGCAAAAAGCTGTCGGTTGTTTTTTCGTACACTTCCTGGCAGGCAATTCTTTTTGTATCCGTTCTGCTGAGGACCCAAACATGCCAAGCGCTACATGTACTAGCTACGGAGAGGCATACAACTAACTTCTTCGGTCTTCTAGCTACTGCTTACAAGATGAAAACAAGCTGAAGCATTTTCATATCGGTGTTTCCGTTCTCATTTGGTGTTGAATGATATTCGACCCCGCCTAAGAAGCCTGTTCGTTCCTCAGGCTTTCTATGAGCATCTTTGCCTCCTTACAACATACGCTTTTGAACAGGCACAAGCAGGGCCCTTGAGATGAAGAGACGTGGAGCTCGTAGTGTAGCTACCCCCATTTGACCTGTGGCCTTTCATACCAAACACACTACACTGTATTGATTTCTCTTCATTTCATCGCTTGACATTCCATCCACTTCGTACAATAACTAATTCCGCGACGTAATTGTCATCTTTAACTTTAGTTGTTCTTGGTATCGACGCAAGATCACGGAGGCAAAATGCTCGCGAAACGCGGTGTTGTGCTGTCGCTCGCCGCGCTCGCCAACGCGGAACAAGCAGTAGAGGAGCAAAAATACACCGCAACCGCAGCGGTTGAAGAAGTCAAGGTACAGACTTTCGATGTTTTCACTTGCAAATAATGCAATGAATCACAGGCTGTGTGTCTGTTTCTAAGTACAACTCTTCTGTTCCGATTTGGTTTCGTTTTGCTGATGATTTTAAAGAAATTATGATGTTCGTGTTGATCGTTTGATGATGGCCTACTTGAAACCTAAACGCGTTAATCCAAAAAAACCCAATCAGGCGGCGGAGCAACAAGTTGCACAGGCAAAGGAACTGGCCGCGACGGAAGCGACGGAAGCAAAGCAGGCCGCAGCAAAGACCGCAGAGAGCGCTTTGGAAACAGCGAAAGATAACGTTGCCGGCGCCGAAGAGACAATAAAGCAGGCCCTGCGCTTGAACGAGATCCCGTCCGCAGATGCAGAGCAGACTTTAGACGAGGAACAGCCGCAATCCGGTGGCGGAATCCTGAGATGGTACTTACAGAAAAGCAGCATAATTGATAAATTGATCGACCACGAGCTCTGCTTCCAGGTCTGCATTTACGTTAGTGCCATTTTTGATTTCTCTGTTATTTTGGAACTGGAATGAGCCGCCCGCGGCTTATTTGAGCAAAAAATTATCAACAGGGGCTGGTGGTTGGTCATTGCCTACATGTTCTACGCCCAAGCGACAATTTGCGACGAGTATTTCGTGCAGAGTATCAAAGTGGTAGTCGAGACTTTCGGTATCCCGGAGGACGTTGCCGGAGCGACTTTGATGGCACTGGGCTGCAACGGACCGGAGTTGTTTACAAATTTCATCGCCATCTTCATCACCCACAACGACGTCGGCGTCGGTAAGTGTAGTCCTGAGCCATTATGTTTTTACTCTACTACTTTTTCCGTGCGGATTTATGCACAAGTTCAACTTGGTCCATTCTCCTTTTCCATTCTAATGATCTACTAGCCAGTCAACCGGAGTTGCGTCAAAAGCAAAACGCTAGCGTCTGTCGCACATAATTATCCTGTGTTCAGTGCGCCAATGATCGATATCCTCACCAAAACACAGGTACTATCGTCGGCTCCGAGATTTTTAACTTGCTCTGCATTGTTGGTGGTTCCATTGTCGCGTGTCCGGTGCTCCCCCTGGAAATCGAGAAGGCGCCCTTTGTCCGCGACTGCGCCTTCTACGCTCTGTCCATCGTCCTTCTCGCGTGGGCGCTGCAGGACAGCGTGATCGTGCTTCACGAGGCGGTAACGCTGCTCGTCATGTGCGCCGTGTACGCCATCTGCGTGACCTATGGAAGCGTCAGGTTTGAAATCGTCACAGTTGAAATACTTTGTAATGCATAAAATGCATGACCCGAGGCACGTGTGTTGCAGAGCAGGCAAATGAGGCCGATTGTCAGCCTGTTTGGGGTTACAGCTCGATTTGCTAAAGTAGCATGAGAAAATCGCTCTTCTCTGCCTAAACAGCATGACAAACTGGATTTAGGGACCACCGAAATTTGTCATGCGCTACTTGGAAACTGGGTTCCAACTGGCATCCATTTTATGCATGACAAATTATTTCAACTTTGTCGATTTCAACTCTGACACATCCATATGACCTTGACCAAACCATTCATGGACAAATTTTTCCCAAAAGCGCCACGAAGTCCGGCCGGCCGGAAATCCCTGCGCGCCACCGTCGGACCGGAAGCGGTAACGAAGGAGCAGCTCAGAATGTCTTTGGCTCCGGATGAGGCGGAAATTAAGGTATACATGACACCGTGATTTACGTTTGATATCTACTGCAGATGAAGAAGATCATGTGTTTTCATTTGAGTCTAGTGGAGGACCAGCTAAGTGGTTTTCTTTTGCATGGGATAGACACTACTAGACTTTCATGAAAGTAGTACAAGGCGGTCGCAATTGATGATTCACAATCCACTTTTTCACGTCATACATCATCTCATCTCCTCAGATCATCCAACCCAACCGGCTGGAGCACAACCTCGACGCAAGGGAGGCGGTCAGCTTCAACGTACTGCCAGAGGGGTTAGAGGTTATCGGGGACATGGAGGCCCACCCTGCCTTCCAGGCCCCGCTGTTGTCCAAGACGGAGACCAAGAAGATCATCCGCTTTGAGGACGTCGTGATGCTCGAGGAGACGAAGGAGAAAGACCTACCGATCTGCCTGCATTGCGACGACGAGGTGCTGGACTTCATGGAGGTCCAGATCTACTTCAAAGACCCGGCCTACCAGCGCAAAGTGCTCGACGCAATAAAGAAGAACGTACGTAGAATGTTTGGAATCGTTAAAGTATGAATGCTTTTACGACCTTTTGTCATTTGTAGTTCTTAAGAAAGTTTTTTAAAGTTGGCGTTCTTGGGGGTTGGCAAACAGCAAGGGACACCCTCCTGCTTTCCATGGAAAAAAGAAATACATCGCAAACTCCAGATGCCAGCCAAGGGGAAGGTGGTGTTCCAGAGTGAGATAAAACCGGGTGAGATATCAAATGTAAAAGTGTCTGGGTCTGGAAGAATGCAACTCGTCATGCTGATTTTGGACTCTAAGAAAATTTGTATTGCATGACCAGAAAGAGGGGTCCGGTTTGTGCTACACGGACAGGGCATTTCTCATGCGAAAGGTGCATCAGGAAGCCCTCTAAAAGTCTGTGATGCTAGGTCATGCATTACAGGCATCATGGATCATGAGAAATATGCATGACCAACCTGGCAATCTTCCAGACCCAGACATTTTTACACTTGATATGAGATCGCGATGACCGAGATGAAGAACGCGGACACGATTACCAAAAAGATTTTGCACGCTATCTGCCTGCCACTGGAGCTCTGCCTCGAGTACACGATGGGCTGGTGTGACGTGAAGGTGCCCGTGCACGAGCACAAGTGGGCGGAGTGCTTCTGCATGAGCATGGTCTGGCTGGCGATTTTCTCCTACCTGATGTGCTCCGTCGCCGACATCATCCACCAGGAGTTCGGCATCTCCACGGCGCTGCTCGGCATCACTCTCTGCGCGGTCGGAACCTCGTTCCCGAATTTCTACGCCTCCTTGATCATGGCCGGAGAGAACCGGTCCGCCATGGCCATTGCAAACGCATTAGGGTACTTAGAATCGATTTTGATGAATTTCTCGTGCTTGTTCGCTGAAAAAGAATTCTTAACTTGAGTCTCGCCGCTAGAGCTACGATGCTCGAAGGCGCATGCCGTTGCTAAAGTTCTTGCATCCTACGCTCCTGCAGGGTAACGAAACTGAAATCAAATGCTCTATCAAATTCATGCTAATATCAGGTCCAACATCCAGAACGTGTTCCTGGCGCTGGCCGTTCCATGGACCCTGAAGTGCTTAGTTTCCGAAACGTACGACGTCTCTGCGAACGGCATCGGGGTGGGCGTCGCATGGATGGGATTCACGTTGGTCGTTCTCGTCGGCATGGTGGGGTACTACTCCTTCAAAATGGAAAAGTGGATGGGCTGGGTGCTCGTGGTTTTGTATTTCGTCTACCTCGTGCAGACGATCTTTTTCTAAAACTATTCATTCGATAGTTCCAACATAATTTTTGTACTCTGTGAAGATGAAATGAAAGTAAATATTTTCACGGTATGATATGACCCTCAGTATCACTTTTTCATGGCAAGAAGAACATACTTACTGCTCGCCGCCCATTGCTATTCCTACGTAACAAACAGAGAAAAGTTAACCGCGGTGAAAGAAAAAGTCTCAGAAGCCTACAGTAGGATCATAACTCCGCAGCCACTAAAATGTACAATGTGGGATCTCCCTACACACACGCATGCACGTACGTACTCTAGTGCAACTACATCTACAAATGTACAAAATACGTATGCTACTACTTGAAGCGATGTACCTGGACTGGTGGTTATGGCTACTGAATTTTGTCTAAAACGACGAAGCATGTTGAGCATTTGCGTAGGGAGCGCAAATAGACTCAACATGCGAAAGACGTGAAAATCGAACCCAAGCGATAAACTTTCGCAACTGCGCAAAGCATGATATGCCACGACACTACCGCTCGCTCATGCGCCAACTTGCGACCCTAGCTGTTGCTACGCGACCTTGGTGTTCATCTTCTACTGTCGCGGAGCCGACATTTGTCTGTATTTCTTTCTCAAGCATCGGATTCCGTGCAAATAAAGCGGAAAACAACTTTGAGTATAATCTTCTCTGGAGTACTGCGACTTCCATTTGCCTTAATTCTTTTGATGCACCACCAGAAACAAAATGACATCGCACCGCGAGACTTTCTGGCGTGAGCCATTGTTGCCGCCTGGAGGTGCTCCAAAAGCTTCCTCCACTTTTGCTGACAAAAAGGACGCTGATGGCGAAACCGAGAAACCGGCGGCGCGGGAGCTCCTCAGCACTGGTCCAGACGGTGCCGTCGAAGTCCGGGTGAGAGTCATAGCTGAGCTGCAAAATATGGAACAGAAAATGGTCTTCACTTCCGTCTCCCGAGACACCACTCTCCGCATGCTCGTGCATGCCGTGTGGCACCGGCTTACCCACTCGGCCGCAGAAGTTGCGGTTGCCGCGGCTGTTCACACGCCGACTAAACAGAACCATGCTGGAAGGAACAATAAAGTCGAGCCTTCGGCGGAGGCGAGCCCGGACGACGAAGTAGCTGGCGCTCCCGAGCGCAAACGGTACAAGGAAGTCAATGGTTTGCTCGACTGTTCAGCAGGACCTTGCGCTCTTCTACGATTTCAACTGAAGCGTATTAAATTCCAGTCATGCACTAAGACTGCTCGTTTCCTCTCGGAACTGATCGTTCAAAAGATTTGTGGCGCAACATCCAAAGAGTGTCATAATTACAGGCGCAAGGAGGACACGCAGGAGGCGAACGCGGCTGCGGGGGGCCAAGCCTCGCGAGGTGCCACTACTGGAGGAGACCTTCCGATGAAGGCACCAACGCACAGCATGGAAATCAAAGACCTCCTCGCCTCCAGCAGGATTTTCGAAGCTGGGACCGAAAGTAACGGAACGTCCTCGAGGCTTGCGCAGGCAGCAGACGGGGTCTTCGAAAATTCGCTTGCCAGATGGAAGCAAATGCTCGGAACCACCACCGGCGGTGATAGTGCAGCTGCCGGCGCCAGAAGTCTTGTCGGGTTTCGAGTGTATCACAAAAGGCACGTGGTCCTTCCGGGCAGCGTAGTCGGGCATGTTATTCGCGAAAAACGAACTCCAGCTTTGGATAAGGATACTACGTCAACAGCAGCAGAAGGCATCGATTTGGAAGTAGAGGTTCTGACGAAGGGCCACGCGGGTGCGAAAGAAACTGAGGAGCGAGCAGCTTTTCCTGACGAAGAAAAAGACTTCTTCTTCCTGCACGGGTTCGAGCCAGATACTATCAAATACATTAGGCCTGTGGATAATTCCTCTACTAGTACCGAGAAAACAACGGTTTCGACGACGCACACGCAGCATAAAAAGACAACTTCGAAAGAGAAAGATCTCAAACTCGCCGATGTGGACAAAAAGCCGTCGGTGCTGAGCAAGATCCGCTGTTTCGTTTTCGATATGGACGATACGTTGCTGGAGTCCGAGCGGTGGAAGCGCGACATTTTCTTCTTTGTGATGCGCGACGTGGTCGCCCCGAAATTGCTCGAGCGGTTTATGGCGTTCTCAACTGTTACATTCTCAGCTGTTACATGGATTTGTCATGCAAAACCAGCAATAGGGAAAGGGGAAAGCTTGCAAGTCTTGCATCACAAATTTGGCACGGATTTAGATGCTGTTTCGCCATTCGATGATTTGTCATTCGAAGCAGCTTGATCGTCTTGCGGATCATGGTCATTTTGCATGACAAATCATGTAACAGTTGAGAATGTAACATTTGAGAGCGCCATACGGTTTCAGAACAACGGACCCTTGCCAAACGCCACCAGTGTAGCCGACTTTGGGGACCTCGCCTACCCCACCGACCGGAACTCGCTCGATCTGGAGTCCAACTCCCGATTAGTGTACAAGGCTGAGAAGCGTGCCTCTGACGGTGGAGGGGCGAACAGCAATAAGATCTCGAACAGTCAAGACAAAGTGAAGAAAACGAACAGCTTCAGCTCTGCCCCACTGTCCCGCAGTCAAGCGGCGTTCCAAGAACAAATTTACCTCATTCTTCACGACCTGATGGAGCACATCCGCACCACGATGCCCGGCGACCGCTACACCTTCTTCAACGAAATCGCACGAATTCTGAACAAGGTGCACTTTTTCAACCACTTTGAACTTCTGTGCGAGTCGATTTTACGCGGCCCGGCAAATAAGAAGAACGCTACCGAGGAGGAGCTGAAGAGGATGAGAAATCTCCAATTTCTGTTAACCCCGCGGTCCCCCTGCGATTTGAAGGAGGACGGCGACGAGTTTCAGCTCTTCGATGGCCCTAGTCTCGCCAACGAGTACAGCAGAATCTACCTGGAAGTGATGACGGACGGGCGTGCGCAGGAAATTCCGGGGGCGACAGAACTGCTGCAGTATCTGGCGGAAATGGAAAGGAAGAGGAAAGAAAAACAAGCAAGCCTGCCTGAAGATGAACAGCCGATAAAGATCTACGTCTCTTCTCTGACCCCAGAATCGGATCTGCAGAAAATGGTAACCATGTACCAGAACGGCCGTTGGGCTAAAATCCTGGACGGGTGCTTTGGAAAACTCCCGCTCGCAACGAGTAAGGACGTGGTGAATATGAAAATTGTGAACCTACTACACATCCAAGAGCTAGAAAAGACTGCAAGTAAAAATAGCCCTCTTGCCACCGACGAGATTGTCATGGTTGGGGATAGCGATTCGGATCTGTTAGGTGCTAGGGAATTCGGCTGTCATTTCATCGGCGTGGGGCCATACCAAATGTAAAAATGTCTGGGTCTGGAAACTTGTGATGCTGGGTGGCATATCATGAGGAAGCCACAAGTGCTGGCTCAGCATGAGAAGTTTCTGAGCTTCTAGGTGTTGCCTATTCTGCATGACAAACTGCGTTTCTGCATGACAGAAAAGTGGCGCTCTTGGGTAACGTGCATGACAGATTTGAGAGCCATGCCAGACACGCATGACAAACATGGACTCTTCCAGACCCAGACATTTTTACATTTGATAGGCCAAAGCTGCTCGCGAAAAGCAAGCTCGTTACTGAGGAAATGCTGCACAGAGACTGCCACGACGTTTTGCGAACGCTGAAAGCACTGGATATCCCGTGAAAATGAGGAAAAGAAGGAAAAGTCTCACGATAATTTTTTCAGCGTGTTGTCGCCTACTGGCTGAGATTTCGAACTCGAGTGACTGTTCTTGAAGTTGTTCTTTTTTCTCCCGTCATTTTGTGTTTGTAACTTCTTCAGAGCTACTAAGATTTTGCTGCAGTTACTTTCTCATCGCGGCAACGCTGCGACAGAGGTGACGGACGAGAAGCGATCTCTGGATCAAGCTGGTGATCACTGTTTCTTCTGATCCTGGATCTTCATTTTCTGCTTCTGCGAAGCAACTCGTCAAATGATAAGTATGTGCTGCCTCCCCTGCGGAACCAACCTGCCGCAGAAATCCTTTAGGGCAACCTATTGACGTTGCGATTCTCCTGATTTACTACTTTCACCCGCAAGCAACACGCACCGTTCAATCGTCATGACTATTCTCGAAGCAAGAACCCGCTGCACAGAACCACGAGGAGCAAGTGCTGCATTCTTTGCCCTGCATCCGACATCGTGTATTTTGGACGTGCCCGACGTGCGCCTCGGGCCGCGACTCTTCTGCTACCTGCAATTCGACTTGATCACGGGCAAAATCAGCAGAGTTCTAAAATACGAACAGAAAGAGAACGTTCTGACACTGGCGCGGCAATACCAAGGTTGTAAAGATACAACAGACGGCGCGAAGAAAAGCGATCCGGATGATCTGCGGGTGAGAAAAGAAATATTCGCAAGACTCTGGAAAAAATTTAATAGCCTGCAATTCGCCACGCTCCCTTCTTGGAACAACGACGAGAATACTTTCGCTTACGCCCTCGCTCTCGCCGATTATTTTCTCAGTCAGGAAGAGCCTGATTTTATCGGTGATGAGGTCCAGCGCTACGAGTCGTTTCTTGCCGAATTCGACACTGAATCGTTCCAGCTCCTGCCGTATCAAATGCAAAAGTGTCTGGGTCTGGAAACTTGTGATGCTGGGCGGCGTCTCATGATGAGGCCACAAGTGCTGGCTCAGCATGACAAGTTTCTGAGCTTCTAGGTGCTGCCAATTCCGCATGACAAACTGCGCTTCTGCATCACAGAAAAATGGAGCTCTTGAGCAACGTGCATGACAGATTTAAGAGTCATGCCAGACAAGCATGACAAACATGCATTCTTCCAGACCCAGACATTTTTACACTTGATATGCCGGAGTACAGCATGCTCCACCCCGGGCTCATCGACACCCACATGCACGCGAGCCAGTACCCCTTTTACGGTACCGGGATCTCCTATGGGACTGTCAGGATTGAAATCGTCAGAGTTGAAATGATTTGTCATGCATAAAATGCGATGCAAAAACTGCCTCTATTGCAGAGGACGCACGGGAGGCAGATTATAGTCCTGGCAAGGGTCAAGAGTTGGACTGCTGACTAGCATGACAGCAGGCAGCTCTTTTGCCCTAAACCGCATGACAGACTCGCTTCCAGGACCGGGGAATTTTGTCATGCACCGACTACAAACTGTAGGTCTAACTGGCGTGCGTTCTATGCATCACAAATCATTTCAACTTTGACGATTTCAATCCTGACAGTTCCATATCTCCAAGCCTCTGATGGCGCCGGACGGGTTTCTGCACAATTTCGCGTTCCCAACCGAGGCTGCTTTTCAAAACGAGAAGACGGCAAAACTGGTTTATCCAAAAGTGGTGAAGAGGCTGCTGAGAAACGGCACAACCACAGCGGTGTACTACGCAACGTTGCACACGGAGCCCACCATCGAGCTAGCCAAAACGTGCAAGCAGCAGGGACAGCGAGCTTTCGTGGGAAAGGTTTTGCTGGACCAGATGTCTCTGCGGGAAGATTATGTGATGGGTAGTGACGTGGAGGCAAGCCTGCATGAAGTGGAGGAATTTTTGCAACATCCTGTGTTCATTTCAGACGCGGGAGCTGCTGCTAAAAATAGCGACGAGGATCATGATGCGGCCGAATGTGAGAGAGCGTTTTTGAAAAATTTTGGCCACGAGGGGAAAATAACCGCAGTGACTCCGAGGCCCGTCATCACGCCCCGCTTTATTCCCAGTTGCAGCAAAGCTTTGCTGGAAGGGTTGGGGAAAATGTTGAAAAACCCTTCTTACAAGGACGTTTTGGTTCAGACCCACGTGACAGAGTCGAAGGATGAAGTTCTGTTCGCAAAAGCGATTTGGGAAGGCCAGAACGCGGAGAAGAAAAAAGCGGAAGACACTGAAGGCGCACCGCAGTTCATGGGCTGCTCGTCTTTAGTAGTACATCAATACGAAAACGACACGCAGGTGCTGCGGGATTGCGGACTTCTGGAAAACAGAAGGCTGCTTGCCGCCCACTGCGTGCACATGTCGGGCGACGAGATTGAGTTGGTGCGGAAGCATATGACGAGGAAAAACGTACCCACACCAGAGTCAAGATGGGGATTCGGCTAGACAAATCCACAAGTTTTGTCTGTTTTGCATGACAAATTTGGATTCGTAGTATAGTGCTGTTTGAGCTAGCTCAGCAGCATCACAGATCTAGCATACCATGCTGATTGGAGCATGACAAATTGCAAAACACGACTAGAAAATGCTTGTCATGGGGCTCCGCATGAGAAACATTTTCAGCATGCAGATTTGCATTACAGGTCTGGTGTGGGTATGTTTTTACTCAGGATAAAGCACGAGGTAAAAATCGCCCACTGTCCACTTTCAAATTGCTACTTTGCCGAGGGTATCCAATGTAAAAGTGTCTGGGTCTGGAAGATTGGCAGGTTTGTCATGCACATTTTGCATGACTCCTCAAGTCTGTGATGCATGCCGTAGCATCACAGGTTCTGTGAGGGCTTCCTGAAGCCTATTGCGCATGACAAATGCCCTTTCCGTGCTGCAAAATTTGGACTCTCTTTGCTGCTCATGCAATACAGATTTTTTTAGAATCCGAAATCAGCATGACAAGTTGGATTCTTCCAGACCCAGACATTTTTGCATTTGATAGAGGGGGCGCTCCCCTTGCAGCGCCTTCTGTTCGGCGAGAGGAGCAGCGAGAAAAGCATCGCAATCGGCTTGGGAACCGACATCGCCGGGGGCTACTCGCCCTCGATGTACAACTGCATGCGGCATTGTGTAGCGAGTTCAAAACTTCGCGAGGCGTCAGTAGTGGAGCCAGGGAGCTCTGCGAAGGTAATAATTGCAGCAGATGGTGAGCGGACAGATGTTTCAACAGTAACCATCTGGACCGCTCTGCACCTCGCCACCGTTGGTGGGGCGAGATGTGTGTGCATGGAGAATACCATCGGGTCGTTTGAGATTGGAATGGAATTCGACGCAGTCTGCCTGTGCTCGGGCGACACAGATGTCGAGAGCGACTTGTCGCTGCAAAGAACGCAGGATCCGCTGCATCGTGACGTCGAAAAGAACCACCTCCTAGACTTGGATTTACTAACGAAAATACACGACGACATTGCCGCGTCTGACCAGTTGCCCGTGATCGTTGCGGAACGCTTACTCCATCTCTCCGATGAACGCCATGTGCGCCAAGTTTGGGTAAGGGGAAGGCAGGTTGTGTCCTGAAAGTGATTTTATGGTCGTGTCGCCATGGTTTCGCTGTCGGCGGTGATTTATGCGATAAGCGGAAATTTTCCTGTTCCTAATTTCTTTTAGTCATCATGGCGGTCGCGGTCCCAATCGTGTCGGAACGTCACACTCTGATCCTGATCAATCTTTGAATGTGACTTGACCACTACAGCTGCTATCGGTTGCCAAAAGTGTAACGAAGCACGAGAAAGTGCACGCGTCTGATAATTTTGACTTGCCTGCAGAGAGACTTGTAAGCATGGCAGTTGTAATCGGATGATATCCTCGCCTTGATCCGAAAAAACCATGATCGTTACTTACGAAATGCAGCTATCGGTTGCGAGGAGTGGGCGATCAAGAAAGGGTCAGGAATTTCATATTCATAGCCTGCGTGGAATTTTATTGATCAAACCCCCGCTCGGTTACTTCGCAATGGATCCTTGGAAGACATCGGTCAGCGATCGAAATTTACAGAAACTTTTCTTTGTTCTACATACGTAAAATAGAAACTTTGATCTACTAGGGCTTCAGCTCAGCCTGGATTGTATTCTCGAACTGTGAGGATAGAGTGTTTTGATTATGAATACGATGTGAACAACAGAACAGACACCTGTATTGCATCCCCGATCACTTATGTGTACGTCCATATCCGGTTGATTTTACATTGACTATCGAAAACTAATACTCGTGTAGGATAGAAAAGACTACTCACAGCCTTACTCCAGTACAACTAACTTTTTCGCATCGGATTCGCAACCAATTAACGACCAGCACGTTGCTTTATTTCGCCCAACATCTGTCGCCTCACCTTTCAGCCTGTTGTATTTTTCCCAACAATTTCTCACTGAATTATCGCCGCCGCATAGAAAACGTACACACAGGAGACACAGTTTTACCCGGACCTTGCGAGACCAATCATGTTGACGTTCAAGCGTGGTGTTCTTTGTCTGCTTGCTGCGCCGACTGCGGCGCCTCATAGCTTTTTTGCGCAGGGTGTCATGGTCACTTCTGCTTCCGGTTCGTCCGATTATAAACCCGACGCGCCATCTCCTACCACGGATGACGGAGAGGATGGAACGCTCATCCTAGGTCATTTCCGCAAGCCACCCCCGCGCTATCAGGAGTTTCTTGATTACTTCCAAGTAAAGGACCCTGCCGATTTGGCCGATTTGCAGGAGGATTTCGAAGTTTCGATGGAATTTGCCGAAAACGGGGAGACTGCGGACCAGATGTGGCGAGAGAAGTACCTTCGAGGAAAATTGGACAAAGAAATGACCGCGGATCATTTTGCTAGACTAGCGGAGGAAGAGCGAGCTCGTGCGGAGGAAGAGCGAGTTCGTGCGGAGGCAGAACGAGCTCGTCGTGATGCCGCGAACCGAGAATTCGCGGGAAGGACGGGTGGAAAAGAGAAACGTTCAACCAAAAAGTCGTCCGAAGATTTTCTCGACAACATTATTCCTGTCACACAGACACAGGGTGCGGCTTTTGATATCTTCCCGACTACGCAGAACGCACAGGTGTAGGATTATCTTTCGCTGCGCCCCCACTGATATCATGAATATTGATATTAGTGTGGATGCGCCGTCAGTCTCAGCACGAAGGAAGGAGCTTGGTCAGTCTCAGCACGAAGGATGGAGCTTTAGCTCGCCAGACTAGAAAGGCTGAGCTTTCTCCACTGCACCTAATATACGCATGATCACGAAATTCTAACACCGATGCCATCATGTTGCTGCGCTGCAGTGCCACGCTTTCGTACTTTTCTAGAGGATTTGCATGTAATTGATTTATACTTCTGTGCCGATTCTTGTTATTAGAACCGTGCTGTTTATTCACATGTTAGTTTTCAGGTTTATGGAATGTTCACGTGACAGAGCTGAACGCAACCAGCAACAGAGTGCGCGCTAACGCAGCACTACTTTTTTGCAAAAGGTGCCAAAACATCTAATAAACATGGTTAGGCCGCTGGACGCAAGATGAAACGATCAAGTAAAGTTAAGTCAAGTACGTACTTCGACCACGAAAACTCGTGTATGATGACTCACGAACTCCGTGAAGTGAAGTTTTGTCCTCAACATAACAAGTAGAAGTACTTAATTGCACAATATTCCGCGCGAAAAAACGCAACCAATAGAATCTGAAGATGAACTACTTCTCCGCTGTAAATGCGTATCCTATTCCTCGTGTTCGTTGTTGACCTTGCTTCTTGTACATTTTCTGACTTTCTCGGGCTTTTGTGCACACTTGGTTAAAGTAAGCAACTTGCACCCTTGTCTACGACAGCCGAGCGGGACTTGTGCAGGTAGTGGTAGATTTGTCGTGCCGCGCATGGTGATTATCCAATAGAATGGTCTCCTCGTGCTGATCCTAAAAAACCACGAACGTGACTTATGGAATAAAGCTATCGGTTACCAATGCCAGGAATGGACGATCAAAGATCAAGAAAGGACCAGAAATTCCATGAAATGTGAAGAATCAAAGTCGTAAGTCCTCACCCTCGGTTATTTCGCAGTGGATCCCTCGAAGGAATTGGTCAGCGATCGAAATTGACAGAAATTTTGTCTCCACGTACCTACCATGGGAAGCTTGGTCTTCAGCTTCAGCTCGTCAGCATGGTTTCTAGTTGTATTTTCCAACTGTGAGGATAAGGATTGAGGGTTATGATTATGCATACGATATCACATCAATGAACAGCACAGTCCCGATCACTTACGTGTACGCATAGACTATCAAAAGCTTACTCGTGTAAGTTTAGGATAAAACAAAACCAGCAACAAATTTTGGATTAAGTACTTACTTGTTCCCATCGAGTTCGAAACCAATTAAATAACCAGCACATTGCTTTACTTCGCCTACCTGTCGCCTCACCGTCGGCGTTGCCTCTCAGCTTGTATTTATTTTCCCAACAAGTATTTCTATCGCCCCCGTGGACTAACAATAAAGAAGGTACACACAGATCATACATTTACGTTTACCCCGAGCTTGCGAGATCAATCATGTTGACGTTCAGTCGTCGTGTGCTTTGCCTGCTTGCTGCGCCGACTGTGGCGCCTCATACCTTTTTCGCCCAGGGTGCCATAATTGCTGGTTCGTCCGATAGAAGCGGCGCGCCACCTACCACGGAGGCAGAGCGAGTTAGTGCTGAGTTCGCGGCAAGGAAGAGTGGGCGCAGAGACCGGACAACGCAACAATCGTCTGAACATTTTCTCGCCAAACTTCGTGACGCACGACAGGGTCCGGCGCAGTTTGGCATCTTTTCGAGGAGTACGCAGAACCCACAGGTATAGGATTATGTTTCGGTGCGCCCAGCATATTATTGTGGGTGCGTCGTTCGGCTTCGGCATCTTTCAGCCGTGATAAGAGCAAGTACAACGCAGCGAGAGCTTGGCCAGTCTCAGCACGAAGGATGGAGCCTTAGCTTGCGTGACTACAAAGATCGAGCTTTCTCCATCGCACTCACACGCATGATGATCACGAAGTTCTCATACGCATACCAGCGCCATTATGATTTTGGTTTTGCGCTTCTGCGCGTCGTTCCTGTTTTCGTTCTCTTTCTTTTTATACATAGGGAAATTTGCAGCTGTTGCATGTGATTGTGATCAATGATACTTGTTCTGTACGGATTTCTAACCAGATACAGAGGCGGGGTGCGGAATCCGAATCCTCCGGCCCTGTTGCGCATCCTCCACGTTCATCTTCAGCTGTGGCGCATCAAGGCTGCACCGCTGGAAGTTCAGCTGCGGCGCATCCTCCATCGTCCCGTAGCAACCGCAGGAGCTCCGCCAGTTCTTCCTCGCAAAACGGCAGTATCGCCGGCGCGGGAGGAAAGAAGAGCACCACCTCGGATCTGCCGCCGGCGCATAGGGAGGTGAAACGGGAGGAGCAGGAGCGGGACGTTGCGTCTCCCGGAAAGCCAGGAAGCGACTCGAGGGGTCGTCGTGGTCCAGTCTCTCTGGAACCGCGCGCTTCTGTTGGACAGGACCAGGGCGAGGCAGATGCTGACTTCCCCGGCTGGGTTCTCGAGGACGGCGAAGAGGACTGGTTGGTCATGGACGACGGGGGGGACACCTGGACGCGCAAGTACGACCGAGAAGGCACATGTACAGGTACCCTGTACGAGCCGGCCTTGGTACCTCCTGTAACCGCTAATCCGTAAATATCCTGTACACGGTACCGTGTGGGGGCCACGACCTGTTTGCGGTTCTCAGCGGCCATGAAGTTGTGTGAATACGCCTGGATCATTTGGATGCAGTTGGGATAAAAATTGCAAAACTTTTTGTTTATGCTTGTCTGACATCTGTGATGAGATAGATGCATGATGTGTGGCAAGGTAGGTCTCGGGGGTAGGATCTTGAAGAATTTCCTCGAAAGTAGGAGAGCCAGATCTAATACTGCGCCGAAGACTACATGTGATCGCTGTCTGATTTTTACTGGGACCGTGCTGTTTAACATGTTAGTTTGCAGGCGCATGTAATGTTGAGGTAAAAGCGTTGAACGGAACGCAAGCGCAACGGAGTCGGAGTGTGCGCTGAGCCAGCATTCCTTTTTTGCGAAAGGTGCTAGAACATCTAATGAACATGGTATGACTGGAAGTGGAACGCAAGATGAGATGATAATTAGGATTAAGTATCCAAGGGTTCTAGGGTAGTAGTTTAGAATCCTCAGGGTTACTAGTTTGAATGAAGTAAAGTATAATTTCGACTACTAAAACTCGTGTATGATGATGACTCACGAACTCCGTGAAGTGAAATTTTGGCCGTAAGATAACAGGTGGTAGAAGTACAAGTACTTAAATTAAACAGCGTTCTGCACGACAAAGTGCAATAGAGACTGGAGATGAACTCCCACTTCTCCGCTGTAAATGAATGTCTATCTTGATGTTTCTCGTGTTCCTCGCTGTGGACATTTTTGACTTTCTTGTTCTGTCGTGCGCACTTGCCTAAAGTAAGCAACTTGCAGACTTGCTTACGACAGCCGAGCGGGACTTGAACTTGTGTTACCGGGCAGACGGGTTGTTGCTTTTGTTTTTCCTGACAAACAGAGTTTTCTGCTTTAATTTTGGTGTAGAGGTGGTTAAGGTTTGGGATTGCAAGCTCACTTTTCAGCAAATGTGCAGAGTAGGGAGAGATGAGAGAAAGAACACAAATGGTCTTAATTAGTAGAAGCGCCCTGGTGCTGGGTGCGAGGAAGCACGATGTCTCATCATTCAGCATTTCTTTTTCACACACAACAACAATAAACAAGCCCGTCCTCCTCCTCTCGACTAGCAAGTTCGTTTATAGCAGCTCGTCCTCTCCTACAGTTGTGCTTGTTTTCGCTTCCTTCGACACTTTTGCGACCTAGCAGCACATTTACGCTACCACAAGCAGCACATTTACACTTTTGCGACCTAGCAGCAAACCACAAGATGCTTCGCTCCCCCGCTAGTTCGCAAGTGCTGCGCACGAACGCTGTCGGCGGTGGCGGCGATCCGCAGTTCGACGGCATGGGCAATTATTTCTGGAAAAACGTTCCGAGTCAAGTGCGGGTCGTTTTTTGTTCACAAATTGAATTTGAAAAGAGTAAAGATGGAGATGCATGATGATGGCAAAAGCAAACTATCAGAAAAAAATTGAAATGCATTTCTTGCACGCAACCGTGTCTTCGTATCCCATTGGTGCATAATTTCACTTGACTCGCAGTTTCACTGCGATACCGACATGAAAACTCATCGGGTGTGTTTCACGCACAACAACTGCTCCGACGCTTTGGGGGAGCAACGTGCTGCAAATAAGGAAAACCGCAATCCAGGTATTTTGATGTCTTCATGAGTTGCAAGTACACTTTATTGATTGACTTTCAATTCTTTTCTCCCTGAGGCGGACGACGATCTGAATGAGAAAGAAGTATGTCTATCCAGAAGAGTAGAGCAGTACGGATTTGTGGAATTTCCATGATTTCATCTTCTTGGAGATGCCATTTATTCTTTTCCGTTCTGTTTTCGTCGCAGTCGCAGAGCAACACACACGCCTCAACACAGCGAACTTCGAGGGCTTTGCGAAGTACCACCGGGTGAAATTCACGGCGAATGGGGGAGTCGACAACCAATTTGTCCAACGGAACGGTACCATAATGTAGATCTAGATTGTGAATGAGCAGTTTTGTACACGTTGCATGCAAGCAATCGCTTTTCTTCGTGCAAATGTGAGATGATACCTATTTGTCACCGTCAGGTATCCCCTCCCCCACAATCGCCGAAGCGAGCCAGCCCAACCTGCGCCAGGTGATCCGCGGCAGCGACAGCAACCGTTTCGACACTTTTCGCAAGGAGCAGCAGCAGCAAACCGTAGCTGCTCGGGGAACTGAATCTCGTACTACCGCAGCAGATACTAAAATGTCGAAGAACTCCTCTTCTCGCCCGGCGAAGTTTCGTGACCAGGCGAACAAACCGAAGGACACGACCGCCAATGTTGCTGGAATATGCATTGCAAAAGCATCGTACTAGTATAAATTGCATTTCAAGTGTCCTGAGCATGAGAGATAAAATCTCTAATGCGGATTTAACTTGAGAAGTAAACTTGTAATGCATGACTACGATTCCACCTACCAGTACGATACTTTTGCACAGGATATGGAACGATGTCGAGCAAAAACATCAAGCCGGTTTTTTCCGCGGAAACGCGGTCCCCGCACTCCCACCTGAAACGTGACGACACCACACCGTTTGCGCGGTCCCCCAGCCAAGAATCCATTGCGACCACGGTGGCCAGCAGCGTGACGACAGTGTCAAACTCCTCCCCGGAGTTGAGCAACAATAAACTGGCGATGCCGGCCGGCCGGGCCTTGCACAAGCATCAGCCGATGATGCTGCGCCGCGGGAAGGTGTTTGGCCCGGTGGGGACGAACTTTTCCGCCACGGTGAATACTAGTAGTTCTGTAAACAACATCGTGGCCCACCCGGTGAAGATGCTGTCCAGTCCCGTGAAACAGACCTCGACGGAAAAAAACAACACGCGCTTGATTCCAGGTCGGAAAACGGATCCGTGCGAAATCACCGCGAAACCTACCTGCTTCATTCCGAGTGTTGCGCGGACCAATTCCACTGCCGCTCTGCCGGTGGACCAGACGGGAACAAGCAAGTTGGCGAATTTTGCGGACGAGCGACCGGCGGCGGGGGGGAAAAGTATGCTTTGATTTTCTTTTTGCAGCACGGTTTTTTTCCGTTACACGAATTGTTCAAGGAAAATTTTGTGTTTGTCGTGGAAGACGATGTACTTGCTATAGTACTTTCATTCGATTATACGCCCACAGGTTCCATCCGCTGCATTCCGCTCGAGATGCCCATGACCCGTCGTGAGTGCTACGCGTGAGGATCGAGGTAATGGTGCTTGTCTCAGACTGGGCAGTAGAAACAGAAAGCAATATCTTCCAAAATTTCGTTTCTTGTTACATGTTGTACAATCGTCCCATGGCATGGTGCTAGCAGTTCTTAATACGCTAGAAATCATACACACTCACACAATATACAAGCTATCTTGACTTGTTTAGACAGTTGGACTTCATTTTTCGATACTAGAAATAAGGCGGCAGAAAACTTGCGTCGTAAATTTGTTTCTTGATTTCTTGCATGGGCATGGGGATTTTCTTGGCGATGTTTTCCTTTTATACTTTTCACTGCAATTCGAATTCTAAAAGTCCTATGATGCGGCCGCACCCGAGCCTCCGTTTTCTTCTGACAGATGAAATTAATACTGCTAGGCCTTTTCTTACTTTTACGACTACTCAACTTAGACTTCCACACTCACATTTTCGGAAGAGCAGCCAAACCCAATGCGGTTTCCGTTCTCTAACTTTCGCACTTTTGCTACAGTTAATCTTAATCCTACTTTACCATCCTAGCCAAAGACGCTACTACTAACAACCTACTACAAGCACCGCATCTCGAAAAGCCCTTTCGATTGAATAAATACCCGAAATAGACAAATTTTTTTGATACGCGGAAAAATGGATTTTGTCTAGTGCCGCAGAAAGAACTTCAATACTCGCCGACCGCAAGCGCGCGTAGGTACTACTTTTAGACACAGAGCAGACAGCAACGCGATCATCATACCTTGTTGATTAGATTCCAGTTTCAGTCCGAGCTAATTTTTTTGGGATTTCGAATTTCGACTGCAACGGTTTGTGTCTATCTATGGACAGGCAGATATTTGGACCATCATTTTCTCGAGCGGGTGCCGACTTCTTCTTAACATCTTGAACATGACGATTCGATGCCCCTTTCTCAAATTCTGCGCTTGAGTATAAGGGAACTCTCTGACGACGTCTTCAACTTGCTGCCTCTGGTGTAACATCAACATATTTGTTCAGGATCTGAAAGGCATGGACACGTTGCATTTATCATTTGATGAAGGCAACGAGAACGATCCTAGGTCATAACAGCAAAAAGGCCTTTCATGGTGGACGAAGATGAAGATCTCGTTAGTACGTCTCTCTTGCCTATTTCCTCTGTACCTGTAGCTGTATCTTTGGAGTGTTTCTGCCGTAATTTGAATTCTTTCAGAAGTAGTGCGACCCTGTAGTTCGCACCTGCCTGATGGCATCACCGTTGTCGACCATTTCATTTTCGTCCTGAAGTATCAGTTGTCATTCTCATTGTAGATATTACCGTCCCAGGCAAATTTTCCAAGGACGATTTTAGCTATAGTAACTCCACACGGAGTAATTTGAGGTTTTGTCTTTAACACTGAAACTGACGCGCCACTACCAAGATATTTTTGCAGCATCTTCTGCCGACCTACTCTTCAGAACATACTAAAGGTTCCTACCTATTTTGAATAAAATGACTTTGTTGCGTTTAGCCATACTTTTCACTGCCGCTGGCCAGCAACAGGCCAGTGGGCGCGCCGTTGCTCCGCAAGGAGCTGCACTGGAGCCGCTTCCTGCGCAACAGAACCAGGGCAAATCTCTTCCCAGCAACGAGAAAAGAAATCCGAAGGATTCCTCCCCGGACGAACTGAGCAAGACGAGCGCGGGCAGCACATCAGCAAACACCCCCTTTTTACAGCGAAGCGCGTCCTCCCTTGCTCCGTCGCCTTCCAGCGCGCCTACCATGTCGCCGGCATCTTCGTACTGTGGGTCGTCGCCACCTGTATCTCCAGAAGGACCGACGATTAGCGTTTCATACCCGTTTGGTCAGGGAGAAAATGATGAAAACGTCGGACACTTCTACACAACTCCAGCAGCAGCTCGCTCGGCTGCTCTACTGCCGCTGCCCCCCACGTTCTTCGGCCCAGATAATGGCGCTGGGATTGTTCTTGAGGATGACGAGGTTCTTCGCGCAAGAACGGCAGCGGGATCGTCTTCGTCTGCTTCTGCAGCAGAAATGAGTGCTGGAAAAGGTAGTAGTTCTTCATCTTCCCACCTCTCTGCAGCGCCAGAAGCGCATGAGAACAATGACACTAGCTCTGCTGCACCTCCCGGAGATTTCAACTTCACGAGCATTCTTCAAGACGATCAGCAGGAGTTTCTCCAATTACAGAATGCGCTTCTTGGGCAACACGATGCTGAAAGTAGTTCTACCGCCTGTACTAGAAGTAGTACAACGAGGACCTCGAGCCAGCAATGCCAGTGTTTGGCGCTGCGCCCAGCCAATCCGGGGCTGGTGACGCTGTTGCAGAAGGTTCGTGCGTTGGAGGTGAAGGGTGAAGATGTGTCCCCCGCGATGGTGGATTTGCTGCGCCAGGTGGCAAGGATCATCGAGAGGGATGAAAAGCAGGACGCCAGCCGGTTTTGGCGCCAGATTTTCCACATCGAACTCCTCATCGTGCGGGAAAACTTCAAATTGATTCGCCACAAGCTGACGCGCAACAAGAAGCAACAGCAGGAGGCGGAGAAAGAATTGGCGTCTTGGACCGAAGGAAGTGAGGCGGTTTCCGAGTCCAGAGACAAGATGATGCCCGGCATCCCGTCCTACATTTTCTACTCCGGCATATCGCAGATGCCCGACTCGCTGCTACATCCAGTGCGGAGCGAGTCTGTCAAAGCGGGGCTGCAGGAGGCACAAGAGGCCTTAAACCGCATATCCGAGGAGAGAGAAGCGTGGCTGCACCAACGCAACGACCGGCGCCTGCACTTCAAAAAAACGGTCGACGAACTGAGCCAGAAGCCGGGCGCGGCGGACTGGTTGCCACCAGAGTGCGAGTACGCGGCATATCTTGCGGAGGATTCCGATTTTGTGGCGCTTTATTCCAGTGAAAATATGGATGGCCACCGAAGTTTGCAATCCTCGTCCATGTGGGCTCCCTACACCGCCTGGTTGCAGTCCAGTCCATTCTGGAGTTGTCCCTCGACTCCTTCCCGTGCTCCAAATGGTCTTGAGGGACGTGCTGTACTAGAGTCGGGCGAGGGACCCAGTGCGACATCCTCTCCCGCTGGCTCAGTAGCTGTTCCAGTGCAGCCAACTACCGAGGACCATAAGGGAGTGCTCGGCTTTCTGCGTAGTTCGAAGGAAGAAAATAAAGCCACCGTAGCTGGTGCGTCAGCAGACCCTAGTATGTTGCAGTCATGTCTAACGCCGACTTCGGAAGAGCTCCGTGGTCCTGCCTCCAGCGATAGATATGAGCAGCCGTTGTTGGATCAAGAAGAACAGAACCGGTTGTCCGGCAACCTCGTCGCCCTGAAGTACCTGTACAGCCAGGATGGGAGGCTCACCGGCGCGCTGAAGAACCACTCGGCGGTGGCCTGGGCCGGGATTTCTTGCGCGTCGCTGATCGTTGGGTACTTGGTCGAACGATCCGCCGACGCCGCGAAGCACACCGGTCACGCCGCCGTCGACGCGACCCACCAGATCGCGAAGCGGGTTGTTGATGTCGCAGTGCCGGATGAATATGCGTGGACAAAATGGTATCAACAAAGAAAAAGGCTAAGGCATTCTTTACTTTGCGTTTTGCAATGATGATCCAGCACATTGTAATTCTACTAAATACAACTTGGCACTTGTATGGTTGTTGCGTTGAGAGAATTTCGTAAACACTCAAACTTCACCAACTTCAGCGCAATGCAGTGCAGCGGAGAGCTGAGCCACTCTTTAACGCGGCACGTCGTCAACCACGGCCATTCGGCGTTGCAGACAACTACCAAGTACGCTGTCGCGGCGATACCGTTTGCAACATACGGCGGCTTGATTGTCATCTGCAGGGCCGGAGACGTGCTGCTCGCGGCGTTAGGGTGCCAAACGGAAAATATATCCTCCACGCAGACGCGCTCGACATTACCAGGGAGTACTGCAAATTGGCAGCCGTGTCAAGGACCACTTGCGCTCCTAGATGAGGAACCTCGCGAACAAGGCGGGGAAATTTCAAAAGAGGAAGGCACTCCAGCAGCGGCCTAGAAAATGTTCGTCACTGGATGCGGAATTGTGGTTTGATAGAAGAGCAATGAAAAGTTGGCAACGAAAGAGGGTGCACGCTACTGGGCATGCGGAGTGGCATATTCACTGTGCTTCATGCCGGAAGCAATAACAATCTCACAGCGACTGCGACAGCCGGTCACAGGGGTGGCATGCTTGCGGGGTGTAAAAGTTAACGTGTAGGTGTATTTAATTTTATCTTTCTCTAAGCTCTGGTGGCGATTGGTTGCGATACTCTATGCCACCTATTTACAAGCAGGACCCAGTTACTCGCTCGCCTAAAGAAGCGAACAGCGCGCAATTATTGATTTCATCTTTCAAAGGCTTAGGGTAAAGGGGAGAAACAAGGCTTAGTGTATAGCTATAGGCAGACCACGCAGTTCCACGCGGATTCGTGTGTCCATGTTGCAGCATTTTTTTGTTGTTTTGCACAGACAGGCGGAGTTTGATTTTGCATTGACAGGCGCGCAGTCTTAGTCATTCTCATTTACCATTTGATAGTCAGCACAGATCTCGGTAATCAGCCGCATACTTGAAGGCTACGGAGAACTACAACTAAGTTACCCCTACGACGGCGGGTGAAATTCAGGCGTCGCAATACTTTTAAAGGACTTTCAAAAAACTTTGAAAATTTCAAACTTTCTTGGTCGCCCACATGAAAAAAAAACGCAGAAAGTTGCCCGCCGGCTTGGAAAAAAAAAATCGCCTCTTGGCAGTATGTGGCAGGAAAAAAAAAGTCGGAAACGACGCGCAGACCCAAAAAAAAAGCAGCAGGAGGAGGCTGCGTCTGGGTTTTCTTTTTTTGCTCTTTGGCCTCATAGCAAAAGGACTGCTCTGCGCTTCATGGGCGCGACAGAAATCGCACACATTTGGTGGGGAGCACTTCATGCAAAGTCCCCCTGTCCCCTTCCAAAAAAAGAAAGGCGTCGCCCGGTAGTAACTCGGCGAAAAAAATGGCACGGCTGCGGCAGTGGTCTGGCGAAATTTGTTGCAGCTACGCTTGGCGGCTTTTCGCAATATCAAGCGCCACAGTTACGGCGCGAAACGGGGCCGGCCCCGGGTCCGGCCGCCCATTATGGGCGACCGGCATCGCGGGATCCGTTTGTAAGCGGCTGCGTTTGGAAGCCGTGTATGAATGAAACGGAAAAATTGCGTAGAGAATACCATGCGGCACGCGCCTCGCACCGGGGGCACGGTGGGAGTTGGTTCGCCCAAATGGCGCGGTGTTCGGGACGGCCAAAGTGCCCGAATCCGCTCGGGGAACGTGTTAAAAACACAGTCAATTCCCTGGCCCGATTCTGCCTGCGGCCAGAAAAGTCGCGAGTTTTCCTGCTCAAAAGACTTTGAAAAGACTTTGAAAAAACTTTGGAAAGACTTTGGGAAAAGCGCCCAGAAGTGCGCGCTTTTTGAAAGCTTCGCCCGATGGTATGGCCAATTTTGGCCATGCAAAAACGGGAACGCTTTTCAAAGTCTTTTCAAAGTCTTTTCGAAGTCTTTTCCAAAGTCTTTTCAAAGTCTTTTCGAAGTCTTTTGAAAGTCTTGCGTCTGACTTTGGCGAGGCGGCCGGACCTCAGACTTTGGCGCGGGAAGTTGGGCCATACCGTCGGGATTCGGCCAGTCGGCCGGGTCCAAAAGAGACAAAGAAGGCCAATTTTGGCCATTTGTGTGCTGCCATGCCCCCGGGGCTGCGCGCGTGCCGCATGGTATTCTGGGCACCAAATTCGCGGCGCCGCGAAGTTGGAAGGCGGCGCGGCGCATGTGACACATGGGGGGTCGCAGTACCACCGGCGCTGCGCGCGTGCCGCCTGGGTATCTGGCCGCATCTTTCCTAGCGCCGCCTCCGAAGCGGAAGCAGCTCGCGGCGCCGCGAAGTTGGGGGCATGTGACACACGGGGCGTCGTAGTGCCGCCGGCGCGGCATGCGTGCCGCGTTACAATCTGGCAGCGTTTTTCCTTCTGCCTATGCCACGCCCCAAGTGGGCCCACTGATTTAACGCGCCGCGCAGTCCCCTACTACAGCAACAAATGGCGACGGAACTTCGCGCGCCCTTTCGCCCTCGCTGTGTTTTTTTCTTGATGTTGGAAAGGGCCGCGCCCAGCAACGCGCCGGGCGCGCAGCCTCTTACCTAGCGCGCCATCCGGGCAACGGGAAGCGCAGGGGGACAGCGACAGGGCATGGGGCAACCAAAAGAAGGGCGCCAGCGTGTGGCGCGCGGCCCGCAAGCAAAAGTTTTATCATAGTTCTGCCCAAGTATTTCGGCTGGAGGAAACACCTGGGCGTCGTAGGTGTAACTAAGAGAAATGAAATGATACGCACTGCGATTAAAACCGCATGCGCAGCTGGCAGTTAGATTCTGCTATCCGCAAGTTGCTTTTTGTTCGACTCTGTGTAGTTCGTCCTCGTTTATTGGCCTTGTGTGGAAGCTTCGTTTTTTTTCCCTCGTCAGCATGCACTAAGTAAATACGAAAAACCCAGAACGCAGCGGGGCGAATCTGCCCTCAAGAAACAGGCCAGGCCCAATCCTCTTGGTTAGGCCAATGCTTGCCGGTGTGTTTTGCTCATTGTATAGCTCACTGGGGCCGCTAGCGTCTGCGCAGTCGCCAAGATCCCGGAGGCGGTGAGACGGCAGCCGGGGCGCGAGCTGCCCAGTTGCATCAAGAACATGGCCGCGCGCGGTTGGCCGGACGGATGGGCGGGGTCGCGCCGAAGAGGCGAAGCGGGTCGGCGGCGGGGGCGGCCGGGGGGCTTTCCGCGCCTGTTGGCCTTTGCAGTGAGTGCCAGCCAGGCGCGCGGCCTCGCCGCTCGCAAGGTCCGGCCCCGCCGCGCGCTTCTTGTTCGACTGCGCCGCTTTTGTGGCCCGCCGGCGCCCGGGCCGGCGGCGCAGCCGGACCCGGGGCAGAGCTGCCGAGGAAGCTTCTGCTCTGCAGAAGCTGAAGAGGCTGGCACCCGACACCCTCGGCACGCGCCTCGCAATGACGAGAGCCCTCTGCAAGTGCCACAAGCCCCTCCTGAAGTTGCCGCGCGTCAAACATGGCGACCGGTTGGAGACGAAACGCGGCGCGCGGTTCACCCTAGACGGCATGGAGGTGCCGGAAACGGCCCCACACCTGAGCACTTTGCTGCCTGGCGTGCGAAGGGCGGAGGGGGACAGCTTTAAGCACGCGGCCGGCCAGGGTTTGGGCGGGCGCGGTGATGCGGGACGAAGACACTCCGCAGGCGCTTGCGTACGTGCGGGCCCTGGCAGGCGCGGCGCCAGATCTGGGAACTGTATCACCCATCCGGGCCGCTGTGGGTGAGTTTGATGTACCGGAAGGATGTCGCCAAATTTGAACCAGAATGGGCGGCCCAGTTAGTTTTTGGCGTCGCGACTTCCAGAAGACGCAGCCGCGCAGGAGGCGCGGCTCGAGGAGCGCGAGCGCGGGGGGCGCGAGCAGTAAGCGAAGGAGCCGGGGGGGCTTGGCGCGCCCGCGTGCCCTCATCGGGCCCCGGCCGCGGTTTCCTGGGGCCCCTCTGCATTGGTGCGCCGCCGCCTCTAGTTGCCTGCTCGCGCGCGCACTTGGCGGCCCCGGCGGCCTTGCTGCCTCGCTCTCCCGCCACTGGCGGGCTGGACGGCACCAACTGCCGACGACATCCGCCGACGTTGGTAGTGGGAGGGCAGAAGGTGCGGACGTATGTCATTGCCGCGCCCATTTGGAACCGTGTCCGCTGGGCGTCCCGGTTCGTTTTTTTTTTGGCTCGCTGCCTTGCATTGCCGCGCCCTTTCCGCCTGGTTTTTTTTTGTTCTTGTTGCGGCGGGGGGGGGGGCCGCCGCGCGCTCGCACCGGCCGCACCACGGGCAGGCACGCACAAAAGCAGGGCCCGGGTGCCTTCCGGGCGTGCTTGTTTTCGGGCGGCCGGCGTGGAAGAGGGGGGGCCGCCAGTTTTGCGGCCCCCTCCGCCCCCTCCCGTTCACCGGCGTGCCCGCCGCGCGCGCGCCGGCCCGCCGCAGGGCGCGGCCCTGCCTACGATGGGCCCGTGCCTGTGCCAGCAGGGCGGGCGCCCCGGCTGACACGCGCTGTTCGTCGCCCCCGGCGCTCGTTGCGGCCCTTTCTTGCTTGGACAAGTCGCGGTCGGGGGCGTCGTTCGAACGAGCTGAGCGCCCGCGCTGCGCTTTGGGCGCGAGTCTGTTGCGTGCCTGTTGTTGGCTGCCCCAACCATCTGCGCTGGTCGGCGCATTTCTTCGCTGCCGAATGTTTCGTCTTGAAGAGCATGAACATGATTGCCGCTTTCTCACAGCGAAACGAAAGCACTGGCGAGTGAGTGTGGATAGCTCCTGACTATGTTACCACAGTGACAGTCACGCGCATCCCGGTCGTAGCGTCGGTTCTGTTTCTGTTTGTCTGTTTGCCGCTGTGCTCCTTCCGAGGTCCTCGCGTTGCCCTGTGCTTGTATCTTTCCACGTTGGTTTTCCGTTAGCACGTACAACAGCAACTCGTTTGCCTTAAGCAGCGAGCACGCAATCGGTTTGCGTTCCGTTTTGACCAAAAAAACAACCACGCTGCCGATGATCCTCGATCATAGCACCATACGCAATTCGATGGAGCTGCGGAGACAGTTAGGCTGATGTGTGGAGTTCCTGCTAGAGGTCCTATCCAAGTAAAGTAAGTTGAAGTGGAATAAGTCAGTCGAAAATGCCCGACGTCGATTCGTCGCCCAGCGACACTGGTGGCGTCGTTGGATCGGCGCCTCCCACGATCCTGCTTTTCCTCGCACTCTACGTGTTTGCGGCGCTGTTCAAGCGACGACTCCAAGAGGCCTACGTTCTTCTCCGGCGGAGCAACTACGTGAAATGCACGCTGTTCGACTTTTTCCAGGAGATGATCTACTTCCGTCCATTCAAGGACGAGGACACAGTTCTTTCCCTCGACGGTTGCGACGGCGACACGTTGAAAAGACGGAGGGCGGGCTTCGCGGACCTCTGCCAAGATCTGCAAAAACTGGAGCATTTGCACTGCGCCAACACACAGCTCGTCGACTGCAGATTCAAGAAAGTGAAGGTACAAAAACGGGATGGTTAAAAAATGAAATGAGTCGCGCTTTTCTTTTCATACCTATTTTTGCCATTGCCCCCTTGTTGAAAGTGCGCTTCATCCTGCGATCTGAAGAAAATCATACACAACTCCACCCCAGGTCTTGTTCCCGCTGTTGAAAGAGCTAGAGCGGAAGTATCCCAACCGCGTGGAATCCGTCGAGGACGACGGGTGCACGGTGGTCTGCAGTGCGGCGCCGGGCGAGAAGACACACAAGATGCTGTATTTGAGTATGGCATTCTCAACTGTTACCTTCTCAACTGTTACATGAGTTTGCAATGCAAGAATGGCAAAAATGCAATGGTGAAGATTGCGCCTTTTGCATTACAGGTACGGCGCAGATTTAGATGCTGTCTAGCCCTTTGGAAATTTGTCATGCGAAGCAGCTTGGTGATAGTGATACTGATGAGAGTTCTGCATGACAAATCATGTAACAGTTGAGAACGTAACAGCTGAGAGCGCCATACTGAGCCTGGACGCTGTGCGGGTGTTCGGAAAGCAGTTTTATGAGCAGGTACACCTGGAAGCGCAGAAGCGGTTTGCACAGTCCGCCGTAAACAGCATCGCGATCACACAGAATCCCGAGATGGAGAAAAACATGGGACTTTGGCAGACCTTAACGGGCATGCAAAAGTTTCGGTACACGCTGTCCGGGAGCGAAGCTGTGGACGCGTGCCTGAAGGTGCCATATGATTTGATATCGTTATCGTCCACCCCAACGTAGACACTTAGACCTACTTCCGAAGAGGACAATGAAAAAAACGAGCGGCGCAGTTCTGCTGCGGTTTTGAAATTATTAAAGACTAACAAAACCATACTAACAGGACGTGCGTCTGAGTACCGGAAAGAAGTACATCGTTCGATTCAAATCTGCCTACCACGGGCACTATCCTGTGCAAAAGTATCGTACTCGTAGTAATTGCAATCATGCAGCACAGATCTTTCTCTTAAGGTAAATCCGCATTGCAAATTTCATTTCTCACGCTGAGGAAATTTGTAATGCTTTTATACGAGTACGATACTTTTGCAAGTCATAGGCACACCACGGGCGTGGACGCCCTGAGCGCTCTCGGGGAGAACCACAAGATGATCTACTTGAAAGAGCTGGACGAGGAGACGTTGCTCTTTCTCGAAGAGTACCACTACCTGATTGCCGGTGTCATCGTGAACCCGATGATGTTTTTCACGGGACCCAACGCCATGTCACCGCCTGGAGAAAAAATGACCATGGGAAAGCGGTCCAGGACGCTGCCAACCAGGCAAGAATACGCGGACTGGCTACATGCGCTAAACGAGAAGTGCAAATACTGGTATAGGCAGGTCTTTCGAAAAATGCTTTTCTTCGCTAGAGTAAACTTTTTTCCGACCAACGACCTGGAAGTGCACGTGGGAGAGTGTTTGTGGGAATGCGACTCAGATGAAAAGGAGTGATGAATTAATCAGTGATGAAGCATAACTGACAGAGCTGTAAGTAAGTACTTAGCTTATAGCTTTCAACATCACAAAAAACTACAGTACCAAGTACCTGACGCCAATGGCGTTTATCCTGGACGACATTTACTTCGCCTTCCGCACTCCGGAGCTGTTTTCCTTCCAGTACTTCCGCAGCAAAACCAATCAGCCTCTGGACCCGGACCAGATCATTCTGGGCAAGGGCGTGGCCGCCGGCTTGCCGTTGTCGGTGATCTGCGGGAAGAAGGCTTTTGCGATGAACTACGATCCTGACTACCTGTTGAAGATCAACTATGGAAGTGTCAGAATCGAAATTGACAAAATCGAAATGATTTGCCATGCATAAAATGGATTCCAGTTCGCGCCCAGTTTCTAAGTGGCGCATGACAAATTCTGGTGGTGCTTAAATCCAGTTTGTAATGCTGTTTAGGCAAAGAAGGCTGATTCTCTCATGCTGCTTTAGCAGCTCGAGCTATAACCCAAAACAGGCTTACAATCGGGCTCACTTGCCTGCTCTGCAACACACGTACTTCGCGTCATGCATTTCGTGCATCACAAATTTTTCGATTTTGTCAATTTCGATTCTGACACTTTCATATCAACAAGGTCGTCGGAACGCTCTCCGCGTACCCGATGGGCATCGTGTCGTCCAACGTGTTTCTGGAAAAATTCGTGACCCCAGAGCAGCTGAAGAAACTTCCGATCGGAACAAGTAGTAGTGCAGGAAGTCCGTCCAGATCTAATACCTCCTCAACATCAAACGGAGACTCCCCCGCCTCTACCACGGCTTCGTCTGACGAAGATATCATGGGCGCAAAAAAGCAGAAAATCGAGGACAACATCAGAAATTCCCTAGGCATCGAGGAAGATTCCCCCAGACCCGCACTGGTGGAAACCATCTCCACGGCGGAACTGCGGACGGCGAACGGCAAATTTGATCTTTTCACCAAGGAAGTGAACGCGGCTTTTGAAAAGGAGAAAATTCCGCTAAAACTCCGGAACTTCGCGAACACGTTCACACTCGATTTTAAGTGCGATTCGCTGTACAACTCGATGTTTGTGCAGCACCTGATCGCCAACAACGTGTTTGTGACCAACCAAAGCACCGGAAAGTTTAACCTCTTGCTCGACTGGACCACCGCGAAACACGACGGGGAGAGGAAGCAGTTGCTGACCGCGTTTGTCACCGCGGGGAGGCAAATGAAGGAGCGAGGATTTTTCGTCGAGAAGAAAAAGATGCAGTTTTTCCTGCTGGCGAAGAAGTTTTTGTTCAGTTACTTAAGAATCTGCTACGACCAAATCATGGAAGATAAGCGGATTGACATTGAGGTATTCCGATTTTTTACACAGCTTGTGCTTCTTCACTTTGTCAAATTTCAGATGCACTCACCAAGCATTTTTACATTACTCTAAAAAAGAAAAACGAGAAGCGTGATCCACGAACGAATTTCACCTTTCCCATATCCAGGTATCCCATAACCATCCGGTCAACAAGTTTACGCATTTCTGGTCCAGTGTCTTCATGATCCTCTTTGCCTACACCTACATTGGCTATTTTGGTTGGTACAAGGAGGGCTTCCTCGTCTTTCTCATCACCCACGTCCTCCGGCAGGCGGGGCACTTCTTTTACGAAAAGCAGGACCGCAACTACGAAAAACTCAAGTTCGGGCACAAGGACGGGTCGAAGAAGGCCGCCGCGGTCGGAATTGCCGCGGCAATCTACGTGTTTGTGTACCTGAAAAGCATCCTATCAAAAGGAAAAATCCCCCCTCCCCATATCAAAAACGAAATTTGTGTTGCTGTATTTGAGTACACAAATCGTTATTGCTAGAAGGCCAAGAGGCGCAGTTGCTTCATCGTTTGGAGCAATTTGTCATGCTATTTCCCGTTGCCAGTTGCTTCCTGTCATGCTGAAGACGCAAGGCGTCCCTGCGCCAGCCAGCACTACAATCCGCATCTCTTCCCTTCTAGCATCACAAAGCTGATTTGTGACCACAAATCTGCATCACAGATTTCCGTTTTGATATTGGGAGGGGGCATTTTTCATTGTAATACATCCTCGTGTCCATCAACACCACTCTGGGCACGTGGCGAAATTTTGTGTGGCTCTACCGCGTCAGTTTCCTGCCCTTCATGATGGAGCGGTTGGGGTACTGGGGCGGATTGGAGGAAGCGAGGAAAAACTACCGAATTCTGGAGCAGAATCCGACGGAGTTTCAGTTCTGCAGCTTGTCGGACGAGCAATTTGTGGTGTTGTCGGGTCTGTTCACGATCGTGCCCCATTTCGCCGACATCGTGCACGAGTTTGGGTGGGTGCGCGGATGGGAATGGTTTTTGAAAATCCTCACCGACCCGTTTACCGACCTGTTGGACTTTTACGAACACTGGATCATTCACCCGAAGGAGTTTTTGGACTTGAAAAAGCAATTTGGCGTGTACGAACTGGACTACGAAACGAAGAAAGTCAAGGACTGTGAGCAGGTAGTTGGTGAAACCGAAGCGAAAAAGCGAGTTTGATAAGTGACGTATTTGTTTGAGTGTGGGTTGCGCCACTAACTGCACTGCCAGTACGAAGTTATCGTCGCGGACTACGACTATTTTCCAAAATGTATCGCGCCCGCACTATAGGACTGGGAGTCATCAGATTCGAAGAGTTCTTCTTGTATCGGAGAAGTTCAAAAACAGGAACAGCGGCACGACAGATAAATATACACTTCTGAAGATAATGGCGCTCCGATGAAAACAGTGGACTCTGTCTTCCCGCCTCACAATTCATGATTACTCAAAACGCACATACAAGAAACAGTACCGGAAGTAAAGCCCTACAAACAATAAACCGTATTTGCAGAAACTGTACACTACAATAGCGACATAGGCTACGTAAAATGAATGACTACTTTATTGCACCCTTCTGGCGCATCGATTTGCTTGATTATATCTTCAGAGACTCGGCGTGGCGCTCGCTTTTTGGCTACTTGAAACCTCAAGCAAAGCTTAATTTGCATGGACAGTACTTACAAATCTGATGAAGATTTTCAGCAGTCTAGATTCCAGTGCCAACGAGACGATTTTGCTTCTTCGGATGAGAAGGCACTGATGCAGGTGGGTGTTCGTGATCGTCAAATGAGGGCACCACGAACACGGGAGTGAGATCATGTGTAAGGTTTGTAAAGAATTCTAAGAGAGGAGCGTTCCTTGTTAACTGGTATACATCAACATGGTGCTTGAGCTACATACTAGCAGCTTCCCCACGATGAATACAAGATGATAGAATCTCCCCGCACATCAGACATCCCACCGAAACATTGAAGCCATGTATCATATAATGTTTTCATCACTTTGGAGCCCACAGCACCATTCCTTCGCCTCCTGAACGTCTCAGCACGATGAAATGTGCGTGCTGGACTAATTGGATCGTCTGAGTCATTGTCTGAATATCGTTTCTAAACAAGCGAAACTTCGTTTTTTTTTCTGCTAGAATCGTCTGAACAACCGATCCGTTTCTTTGAAAATGGCCTCAAGACTCTCCGTTGCAGCGAAACAGCACCAGCGAGCACTCACTCGCGCCGCGGCTACTTCGTTCAACGGTCAGCCGACCGCTAGTTCAAGCACGGCTCCCTTGCTATTAAACGTGAACGGGGCCAAAGAGCAACCACGGCTTTCGCAGAAGTTTCTGTGCGCAAGGACGTCAAGTTCAGGATCTAGTTCATCATCCTCACGCTTTTTCAGTTCGACTACAAAACGAACAGGCGACCAACAGCACAACTTCTCCACGGCTGCAGCAGCAGCTGCACAGAAGCCAGCAATCGACAACTACCCAGCTGGTGCACCAGATCAGCGGCATGATCCTGCCCCAGTGGACAATTCTTCAGTCCCGTCAGTATCAACCTTAGCACAAGAGGAAGACGCTATCCCCCCCTTTAACCTCTTTACCCCAACTGACGAGCACGAACAACTTCGGCAAATCGTCCGCGAATTCGCGAAGAACGAGGTCGAACCCCAGGCGTTGGACTTCAACCGCGCGGAAAAGTTCAACTTCGAGCTTTTCCTATGCACTGCAAAAGTATCGTACTCGTATTGCAATCATGCATTAAAGTCAAATCCGCATTACAGATTTCATTTCTCATGCTGAGGAAGAAAGTTTGTAATGCATTTATACGAGTACGATAGGATACATTTTTTGCAGTGCATATTTCCAGCGACTCGGCAGCGAGCTCGGCTTATTAGGCCCGATGGTGTCGGAAAAGTACGGCGGGGCAGGGTTCGACGCGGTAGCGGCCTGCATTATCCACGAAGAGCTCTCCTACAGCGACCCGGCGTTTTGCCTCAGCTACTTAGCGCACAGTCTCCTGTTCGTCCACAATCTGTATCACAACGGAAACGAGCTGCAGAAACAAAAATACCTGCCGAAAACCATCTCCGGGGAGTGGATCGGCGGCATGGGTATAGTATTTTTTGACCATTGAGGGGACGAATAATAGGCGTCACGGCTCTACTGCTGTATTTTCGTGTCATCCATATCCACGTTGATAGGGCTAAGGTTTCTGAGTTTGGGCATGCGCATGGAACAAACTGGAATACAAAAACAATCAGGTATGTCCGAGCCCGGTGCCGGGACCGACGTCCTCGGGTTGAAGACCAAAGCGATCGACAAGGGGGACCACTACTTGCTCTCCGGCAACAAAATGTGGATTACGAACGGGTGTAAAACCGATGACGAGCTTGGGGATGTCTTCCTCGTGTACGCCAACACGGCGGAGACAGCGGGGATATCGGACGCGAAAGAAGCCAGGAAATCGATTTCGCTGTTTCTCGTGGAGAAGAATTTTGAAGGGTTTTCCCTCGGTCAGAAGATCAAAGACAAGTGCGGCATGCGGGCGTCCAACACGGCTGAGCTAGTCTTTGACAACTGCAAAGTCCCCAAGGAAAACCTGGTCGGCGACCTGCACGGCGGCATGGTGCCCATGATGCGAAATCTGGAGATCGAAAGGATCGTTTTGGCCGCGATGAGCTGCGGCATCGCGCGCCGAGCCATTGACGCTATGCGGAAGCACGCACGGGAAAGGATAGCGTTTGGCAAGCCGATCGACAGCTTCGGACAGATGCAAGAGTATAAACTTAGACATGAGATTGAATATCGTCTTTCCGCGTTCGGGGATAGCTCTAGCTGTACGAAATCGCAGTTGCGAAAAATCATGCGTCCTCGATCGCACGTGAATATGAAAACACAAAAACGATGCTGATGCACAACATAAACGTTTCTTCAAAAATCCTCAACACAGCCACATTGCCACCTCCTACGCCGAGTGGATGGCCTCGCGTTCGCTGTTGTACAACGTGGCCCAGTCCACCGACCTGGACAAAGCGGGTCAGCGGATCGACTCGGACGCGATCAAATTAGTCGCTACCAAGATGGCTACCCGGGTGTGCGACCGGGCGATCCAGGTGCACGGGGGCTACGGCTACGTCGGCGAGTACGTGGTGGAGCGGTTGTGGCGGGACGCGAAGCTGTTGGAAATCGGGGGTGGGACTTTGGAGGCCCATCAGAAGAACATCGTCGCGGACTTGGCGAGCTCGGTCGGTGACAACGACTTACCGAATTGAGTAGTTGTAAGGGTTTTTGATGTTCTTCATCGTCCTCCTTGAATTGACGCAGCTCTGCAACGCCGCACCGCAGTCAAACTGCTCGCTTTTATTCGTTTTTTGGGACGACTTTTGCGTTCGGTGTAAGATAGATCGTCACATCGTGGTCACGTGTGTATGATAGAAAGATAGGTCGAAAATCTTCCTTTCAACAAGACGCTTGAGATCTTGGAGAAGAGTGATATTCGCTTTTAAAAATTCAGTGTTTATTCTGGATGATACAGCTAGTGCAAGAAGCACCGGCTGAACACTGCTCAACATGCAGTAGAATGTCAACTACACGGACTTTCTTTATGTGCAGGATGCAGTGCTTCCAACAAGTATTAAAAAAGAAACTTCCCATCATCAAAGCGAGACTGAGCCTATTACTAATTTCGTCCTGACTACGTGTTCGTTCACTTTGGTTCCGCGACCGTGCCCTGGCCACAGCTTTGAAATTTCGGTGAGTTTTTCATGTTAATTTTGTAGCAATAGCTGCAGAGAAAACAATTACGTGGACGATATAATTCCACAAAAAGCGTACGATCGTGCGACAACACTCGTTCAACATGAAATGGGACAGAAGTCGCCCGCATAGCTCTCGGACTTACAATTCGTTTTCGTACTAGGGAAGCAGGGCCAGCATGCAGTCGTACCTGGGCGAGAGGGTGGGGGGCAGGGTGGGATCTTGCCGTATCCGATCACTCTACATAATTTTCATATCGTCAGGCCCCAACGGAGATACTACATAGTGTGTAGTACAAAAATAGTTGTAAAGGACGGTCGACGTCCTCCCGATACGAACACTTCCAAACTCAGGGCTTACACTTAGTGTATGTTGAACGCGAGCTACAACCTAGATTCTTTTACATCTTTCGTAGAAGGAAGACAAGGATCGTTACTGTAGCAGGTGCCTGAAGAATTTTCGTTGACCTAAATTGCAAGAGGAAATAAAGATGACGCGCGAAGGTCGAACGAAGCTCGAGCCGTTCAAGCTTCCGAAGCCCCCACTGGGTCCACCCCCAGAGTGGCGGAACAAAGAGGCAAGCGCCCAGGTCCGGGCGATAGACATGGCGCCGGTCGTCTGCTTGCACGACGGCATGAAGAGCGGTGGTACGTTTTACCGGGCCGGATTAAAGCCATCCGGGGCGCCACGACTAAGGAACATATCGAGAAAGCGCTGCACAGTAGAAACGCCCGAGCTGGCAGAGCAATATTATAGGCTGCAGAAGAGGTAATTTATTGTCTTATTTCAGCCGGTTGAATTTGAATGGAATCATGCAAAACGTAAACCCGAACACATCACTCGCCAATCCAAATGTTCAAGAACTCGAGCGATCCTGATTCAAGAAAGATATTACTTGAAACTCCTTCAGCAAATTCAGTATGACATCGCACGTCCAATCCATAAACAACAGGTGCGTCGTCGCACAGAAGAGCACTCGTGGTCTTTTCGGTGTGATGCAGGGTAAGTCAAGGACGGTAACGCACGCGATATCTGACGTGGACCATCGCCTGCAGATCATGCGGAGCATGCTATCCTATGTAAAAACATCCCCACCCCAGAGTTGTCATGCAGATTTGCAATGACAAGAACATTTGTGATGCGCATCCCTATGATGGGCACTTCCAGTCGTGTTTTGGAATTTGTAATGCTGTAAATAGGATACGCATCTCGATTTGTGATGCGGCTGTCCTTGCTAACCTGCACTACACTACGGGCTGCAACTTGTCATGCGTGGCATCCAAAACTCCTGGATCTGTGTTGCAGAGATCCCAACTTCACTATGGTGTGGGGACGTTTATACTCAGGATACATGCCAGATCTGACGGTTCCTCCGGATGAGTTCGAGGAATTTATGGAGAACGTTATTACAGTGAAAAGTGCCCCCCACCCCCAAAGTTGCAAAAATTTGTGATGCTAAGATTCCAAATGAAAACTTTTTGTCATGCATGAAAAGAGTATGAATCTTTCTGATGCAGATTCTAGTCGTGTTTCGCATCGCTTGCATGACAAGCACCGCTCTCGCTGGGTTCTTTTGCAATACAAATTTTTGCTATTCACGATCGGAAATCTGTGATGCTGATACATGCAAGAGGGCGAATGTTTCATTTGGAAAGGTTTGCAATACAAATGCTTTCAAGTTCGGGGGTGGGGGCATTTTTCATTGTAATAAACGTTTTAGCGCAACCGAAGCTTCGGCCGCCACCGGATTCTTCACGGCAAGTTGGCTCGCTGCAACACATCTTCCCGATCAGGGATTGGAAGAACGGCGGGAAAGTGAAAAAAGTGGGAAGCAAATAATAGCTGTCGCACATGCCAATATATGATTTGTTGATAGTACATCATCACTCTTGTTTATTGCCACAAAGCTTGTTGTTCATCCGCTTTCTTCAATTTGGTTTGCTACAAAAAACTGTACCGTACTCTATGCGCTGGAAAGATCGATGCGGCTTTCGTGCTCATTTTCTCTCCTAGTGTGTTGGTTTGCTTTTTGTACAAAAAATCGGCTTGCGAGAATTGACCAAGAAGAACTTTCCGCACTGTATAACACTTGTTGCTTCTAAAACTCAAAGATTGCCAATTAACTTTACAACCTCGACGACTGGACTCGTAGCCGTGTCAACACGGCGTCCAGTGGGCAGAAGCCAGCGGACCAGGTTTTGCTTCTCGCACCACTGGAATTCTCAGCCATGTTCTTGAGAGGATCCAGAGGCAGGGAACGTATCTACGAGAGACGTCCAAATTACAGTGAAAATGATCAAATGAGCGGTGCCAGCACAGGAAGATTATAAAACTTTGCGTGAGGGAGATCAACATCAAGATGGAAAGCAGAATAGTACTACACGCGAGTCAATGTCTTGGTCTTCTCACAATACTAGCAACGTCTTGTGACACCATAAGTTCGCATCCCAAACGATGGAGTCTCAGTTGGAGGGTGGTGGCAAGCTGCCAAGCTCTCGCAACGTTGGCGAATTGGAGATAGCCTCGAGCGGGTTGCGATCACAAATCCTCCAGTTAGAGGAGGTGGTGGAGGGAGAAATAAAGACGGCCAGGAAAAGGATAGAAGAACTGAAGTACTTACTTGCTGGTTTGCTTTTCTTTGTCCGCGAATAATTAGAGTATTCTTTTGAATTACTGTACGACGGACCAGAACATTTGCATTTGTTTTTGCAAATGCAGATGCTTGGTACGAGCTCTCCCTTCTCACTCTCGACCCTATGGCAAGAATCAACCCTTTTATTCAACCCAGGGCCGACGGTGCTGAGCCCGCACAGGACGAGGTGGTTCAGGGTATGCTCGACAAAATGAAGGCCACAATACAGGCCGCGCATGAGAAAAGTACTACTTAGCGTGTATGCGCTGTTTCTGTTTGCTGACGCTTGCTTCTTGTTTATTTGCTTTTGGTAAGATGTTGGTTCGATTCCTGCATGTCCATGTTATGTAAAGCTTTTGCAGCCTAATTCTTAGCAGGTTACACAGAACTACAAAACTTGAAACAATTTTTCTACAGCCGACGCAGAGTTGCAGGACTACTACAAGAAGCTGAAACAGGACAACGCCCTAACGCAGAAGGAAATAACGGACACCAAAGTGGAGAATGCGCAATTGCAGCAGTCATTGGTCGCCTTGCAGCGCCGGCTGAAAATGCTCGAGGTCGCATTGGGGGACTGAAATTCGTGTACGATTTGTGAAACGTCGGCCAATACACCACAGATGAAAGCGCTGCCCGTTTTTCAATTAACGAAATTCAAAAACTTCATGTATGATATACACAGCCAAATGCAAATCCCAAATTACTCTTGACTACTGAAAAATGCGACGGTGAAATCACCGCCCGAGAAAGCACTAGTCTGAAAAAGAGTTCGTGCCTACGCCTACTTTTTGTTTTGCAAGCGGAGATCATGTGCGGGATCCCAAGTTTTTGAATCAGGCATCGTGTAGGGTCCACTCAGATGGATCAAGAAGAGGATTGTGATCCACGAAGATCCGCCTTCTTGACCAACAAGATGCATGCAACTATGCAACTGCTTCAGCTTCAGCTTCATGGATCGATCCCAAGACCGATGGATGCTCTTCTGAGTATGTTACTCACGCTACAAAAAGGGCGCGTCCTTGATTTTGACGCCTGAATTGGTTCCTCCAATATCATCAATGCCCCCGCTTGCAACCGAAGCAGTAAGTACGAAAAACAGTGTAGTAGAACGGAGTACACCCCTAATATATAAAGGCTCCCGACAAACACAAAGCTACCTCCCGTCCCCTAGTCCCCAGTACAACTCCTCCACTCCGCTGATAAAGTGCCAAGAACCTCAAAATAAAAGATGGACAACCTGAAGAATCACGTTGGTTCTGTGATCACGCAGGTCCAGAAGCTCATTACGGATGGCAAGGTCCCGTCTCCCCAGCAGTTAGAGGCGTACACCCAGAAAGTGGTAAATCAACTCCGGGACTTGACCCAGCGCGCTCCGGCCCACATCAAGGACACGCTGAGCACGCCCTGGATAGGCGACTATGACTTCAAGAACAACTGCGCCCTGCCCGACGTGGTTTTCACGGCGGAGAAATTGCTCGACATACTACAGGATTTAAAAAGATCACTCGAAGACGCACCCAAGGCCACGACCACGAGCAATACGGCCGCGGCCAACCCGGTCGTGCCAAACAGCGCGGATTTGAGTATGCCCACGAAACTGGGCGCGGTCACTTTGGTACCCAAAGCCGGCGCGCCACAGATGCTCAAAAAGCCGGACGCAAACACCTCCGCGCCGACTATAACGAAGTCCACCGGCCAGGAGACGCAGCGCCAGGTCCTGCAGGGCAAACCCCAGCAGTTCAAGAAGCCGGGGAGCTGGCAGCAGGACCTCTCAGGAGGCTCGGGGTCGGGCGTGAAGACGCGGCGGGACGACGCGCCGCCGGTCTCCGAGGCAAGCAAACGCATGCCGACCTGGGAAAAGAAGGATTTGATCCTTTCCGCAATCAGACGGAACCGCGTCACGGTGATCTCCGGAGACACCGGGTGCGGTAAATCTACACTAATCCCGCAGCTCGTTTGCGACGCGGTCAATTTAGTTCCTGACGACAAAGTGGTGGTCTGTACACAGCCAAGGCGAGTAGCGGCCATTACTCTACCAGAATACGTCGCAAAGGACCGAGGCCAGACGCTGGGGGATGAGGTAAGTAGTTCTATAATTGTGATATATGAAAAATGCTGGTGTCGATGTTTGCAGAGTGAAACTGCATTTGAGAATCAGGATCTCAATATAGGACAGAATTCTGCTTCAAGCCATTTGTGTGTCAAGCTAAGCAGTATAGTAGAGTGAATCAAAATCCATGAAAATGAAATACAAACATCTCAACCACCACGACAATCAACCACAGGTCGGTTACCAAATTCGTTTCGTGAACGAATTTAGCGAGCACACCCGCCTTATCTACGCCACCACGGCGATTGTCCTCCGACGTCTTCACTCCGAGCCGGATCTGGACTCCATTGGCTGCCTAATCGTCGACGAGGTCCACGAACGCGACGTGTACACCGACTTTCTCCTGCTCCTGATCCGCGCCGCCATGCTGAAGGGCCACATGAAGCATTTGAAGATCGTTTTAATGTCTGCTACATTAAAAGCTGATGATTTCGCACGGTATTTCGAGAAGGTGAACGGAGAGAATGCACTGAAGCCCGTGCACATTCCGGGTCGGATGTTCACCGTGTACGACTACTATTGGGAAGACGCGTGCAACTGGCTCGGGTTTTGCCCTCCGGCGAAGGGCAAAGGGAAGGGCAAGAAGGGCAAGGGGAAGGGAAAAAACAAAGGGAAGGACAGCCGGGACGACGGCACCAACGAGTACGGGGCCAGCGAGGGCGCTTTAACCGACGCGTACGAACGCATTGAGCGCGACGAGACGCTGGCAATCCCGCGGCCGGACCGGGTGTACGAATACAGCCAGAAGACGCTGTCCGCCTGCGCATTGTGGAGGGAGAAAGAAGTCTACGTAGATTTGATCATCGACCTGATCATGTATTTCCACGAGAACGAGCCGAAGGGCAGCGGCGCGATTTTGGTCTTCCTGCCCGGGTGGGGCGACATCGCGAAGATTTTCCTGCAGTTACACGCCAAAAACCAGAAATTCAAGTTGATCACGTTGCACAGTTTGATGACCCCAGAGCAGCAGCACGAGGCGTTTGAGCCCGCGCCCAAGGGGTACCGAAAGATTGTACTGTCCACCAACATCGCAGAAGCCAGTGTAACGATTGACGACATTGTGTACGTGATCGACTCCGGGGTCCGGAAGGAACGAAACTACAACCCGGACACGTCAGTGTCGTCGTTGGACACCACCATGGTCACCCGGGCAAACGCAATTCAGCGACGCGGTCGCGCCGGGCGTGTGCAGGAGGGCATGGTATATAAATTTTGGCTCCAGTCTGGTTGGTCTGATCGAAGAATAAAGCAGCTTGATGTCGTTTTGTGTTCATCTTCTGACCGCGCGTTGCCCTCCTGCTCTCTGTAGTTCCACTTGCAGCTCCTTGAATACGATGCCTTGTTGTAAATTTTTTTCTACTTACATTACTGTCAGGTGGTCCACTTGTTCCCGAGTTACAAGTTCAAGGCCTTCGAGGAATTTCCAACCCCTGCGATGCTGACCAGCAGTATGGAGGAGGTCATTCTCCAGTCGAAAGTGATTTTCGGTGGCACTAATGAAGACATCGGGAAGATGCTGACGTCCAGTATGGCCCAGCCCTCCTCGAGCGCTATCAAGGAGGCCATCTACGTGCTGAAGAACATGAACTGCCTTACCCGGGAGGGAGAACTGACCGGACTGGGCCGCGCGGTTGCCGCCATTCCGATCGCGCCGATCCAGGCCAAAATGCTCCTTCTAGGTGCGGCCTTCCGCTGTTTGAGGTATTCCGCGGTGGCGGCCGCCTTTCTGGCAGTGAAGAACCCCTTCCAGACGCAGCCGGGAACAGGCTCCCGTGACGCGGGGAAGGACTACTTTAAGCACGAGGGGTCGGACCACGTCACGACCATCCATGCGTACTATGGGTGGCGACAGGCGGTATTCATCAATGCGGCTTTTGATCTGCCGTTGTCCGCATTTTCATTTTCAACACCTTTTCCTTTACTTATCGATATCGCCGCCTCCCTGTGGAATTGCTACGACTTGCAGCTTCGCCGAATTTTTTCACCTCTATGTATGAGATCATGATGATGATCATGATGTACAATAAGCCTAAATCAAATCCCAATCCGCAGGTCAAGAGTGGCACTGGCGATGAGTTCTGCGAGCAGAAGGGGTTGTCACCTGAGGTGTTAGACATGGCACACATGATGATCAATCAGTTTTTGAACTTCATGCTGGATTCCAACTACAACGGCTCCGATGTCAATGAAGACGGGGACATAATGGACATGCAACCGTTCAAGAAGGTACTTAAGGTTAAGTACTATGATCTGTGCCACCGACGCTCCAAGTTTCGGCTCAGTGTGATCAGCGAACATGTCCTGTAGTTTCATCAAGTCTCGTCATTCACTGAGCCGCATCTGCAAACGAAAATTACCGGCTACTGTCACATCGTCTCCAAAAGGAAAAGGTGCCTTTCTACTCGTCATCCTTTCAACAAAACCTCAAACCTCAGAACTCCCCTGAGCACCACGCCTTCAACTGTGCCGTCACCGGCGGTTTCTGGCCGAACGGGTGTGCGCTGTACAACAACGGGCGGGGTCCGGCCATTTGGTACACTATGGGTGGCGACTCCGTGTCCGCGTTTCGTGGGTCCGTGAACTCGGATTACGTGATGGCGAGCGGGACGCAAGACGGCGAGGGCTGGATGATGTATTCCGACAGCATGAAGATGGGGCCGCACAACAGCATCATGGACAGCTCCTTCGTGTCCGCGAACCACGCGCTGCTGTTCGCCAACGTCGTATTCGTCGACCGGGTATGAATTGCAAAAATGTCTGGGTCTGGGAGATTGCGAGATTAGTCATGCTAGTCTGGCATGACTCTGAGCTCTGTGTTGCATGGCCGCGAAGAGCTCCTCCCCCCCGTCATGCAAAAACGCAGTTTGTCATGCGGAGTAGGCAACTCAGAACCATGAAAAAAACTTGCCATGCTTGGCAGCGCATCATCGTGAGTTCACTGTTCTCTTTCTTGCATCACAAGTTTCCAGACCCAGACATATTTGCCAGGCACACCGGGTGACCAAAGTCGTCCGATTCGACAAGTGGAAGGCGAACATCGACCATCTGCAGTCCATGGACGAGGTTTTGAAACTGAGGAGAGAGATCATGCCGGCCTTCCACGAGTGCATTCGGGGACGAGACTTGAGCAGCTTCCCCGAGGAACTGACGGCGCGCATGATCAAGTTCGTCTCCGGGCCCGTCGTGAAGCTGCAGAACATCGACATTACGAAAAGCAATGTCCGGCACGACGTCCCGAAGGAGCAGCTGGACCAGCTCTCCGTGTTCGACTGGCCCGAGGACGAAGGCCCAGCGGACGACGACGACGAGGACGAACCCATGGAAGGGTGAACGAGTTTTCTTGTCGTACACAGATTTCGCGGTCCACAAGCGACGCAACATGTGATGGCCCTTGAGATAGTATCGCGCTTCAGTGGTCTCTACTAAATGACTACTTATACAAAAACATGAAAACCTTCTGTAAGTAGGGAAGTAGTAGCCCTGACGAAGTGAAAAAGAAAAAGCGAAGATGAATTCTGCGAGGCCTTCGGGCGTCTGCCAATTTGCGGCTGCATAGTGTCTGTTGTCTGTCATTACCGTTTGAATAAGCTCACAAGGAACTCTTCCTGAGCACGCTCTTCGGTGATACGCTCCATCAAAGCAAAGAAAGTCTGTCAAGTGACACAGTACGGAGCGTGATCAAAATCTAATCTTAGTGCGCATGGACGCCGCGACGAGAACTTACTAGATGTTACTAGATGTAGATGTAGAGTATGAATCCATATCTGTCGCAGTAGTTTCTGTTGCCATGAATAACAAGGTGTAGTGCTAGAAGCTTCCGACAAATTGGACTTGATACATATGAAAATACGCTGATACCTCGACGTCGTCAGTGGCGGTGTAGTAGTAGTACTGCGGTTCTACTAAATCCAATTCTAAGACGTAGACCTCAAAGCGACAAGTCCCACCCCCTAATCTTCAAACAAGAGTTCCTCACTAACGCTCATAAATTTACGCACCCCAAGGAGCCCAACAAGCGCAACTAGTGCCTTCGTCCTGAATATCTCCGTCCCCTCGTCACTTATCTATGGACAACATGGCAACGGGATCCGTTCTTTTCCGCACCTTCAGCGCTGGCTTCGCAGCCATCGTTGTTCTGTGTTTTTTCCTGCCGTCGCCTTTCGGCGCCAGAGTCATCTTCGCAGAAGCGAAGCTCCTCAAGGTGATCGCCCTGGCCCGGCACGGAAACCGCAACCCGAACGCCCAGGCCGAGGCGATTTGCCCCAAGGCCGCGCCCTTTGTGTTTGACGCCTTCAAAACCGAGTACGCGAAGCAGAAAGCCGCGCTCAGTCGGGTCGGTCTGGCGGAGTGCCAGGAGGCGGGGAAATGGTTGCGCAAACGGTATATCGAGGACAAAGAGCAAGCCAAAGAGCAGCCGCTCGTCTCGAAAACGTTTTACGACACGGAGGAGACCTTCTTTTACTCGGAACGCATGGATCGCAACGTCGTGAGTTTGCACGCGTTGGTGAATTTCGGCTTTTACCCCCCCGGCACCGGGGTCACGGGGTTCGCGAAATCGGACCCCAACGTGGTTCCCATCCTGACCGCCCCGGCCTTCCACGACACCATCATGAACCTGCCCCGCGACGGCCCGTGCAAGCCGGTGTACAAGGAGGACAAAAGCAGTTTCGACGCGGCGGCCTTCCTGACAAAGGACGCGCGGGAAGTGATAGACGAGTTTGGAAAACAGGCTTGCGGCATCGACTTCTTCAACCCGGCGCAGTCCCACGCGCCGAAAGACATTCAGAAGAAGGAGGTGGCGTGGACGCTGAAAAACGCGGCGGACATGATGAATTTTGCGCGCAACGAGGGGATTGCGGTGGAAGAGAAATTTTTCCAGAATATCCAAGAAAAAAACGTTGTTAGTGTAAATTTGTGATGCGGAACATGCAAGGCGATTGCGTCTCTCATGCTTGGCATGCATTGTAGGGTCCACTGAAGGGCGTTTTCACGTACCATCTGCGCATGACAGGTTTTTGCTGTCATGCCAGACAGTAATGCTGTTCCTCCAAAAAAGTTACACCTACAATGTTTTTTTCTTGGATACAGAACGACCCAACATTACTGGACAGCGTAATTTCCATTTCCTCCAAACTCACCAACGCGGAGCGGTTCGGCAAGCCACACCAGCTGACGTACTGGCTGGGCGATTTTTACAAACAAGTTCTGTTGCCGAACTTCCTCACCGTGCCGGACGAGGACAAACGGGGCAAAAAGAAGGAGACGCTGGAGATCCCGGGCGTGGCTCTCAACGCGAAGCACGCGGACTGGTCGCTGTCGCCGACGGAATTCTTCTTCCACCAGAAGCTTCTGGTCTTCATGAACCACCGCGAGTTTTTGACCGCGTTCGCGACCGTGTTGGGGATCGATTTTGGGGTCACGAAGCCATTGCCCTCCGGCAGCATGCTGGTTTTGGAGTTGCACGAGGTGGAGAATGAAAATACTGCGAAGGGGGACGAAGAAGTAGAAAAGGAGCACTACATCAAATTTTTCGCGTGGACGCCAAGCAAGCCGAGTTTTGCCAAGAAGCACGAGTACCTGACGACCGGGCAGCCGATGGAGGACTTGTACGCCTTCGGCAACGCGGAGCCCGTGTTTCCCCGAGCGTGCAGGGATCCCGAGGGAAAGTGCTCCCTGGCGGACATCGAGCGCGCGTTTGGCGATTTGATGGACAAAACGGGCACCTGGGAGGAGGTCTGCAACGTTCGGACGACGAGTTCTTCATCTTCGTCGGCGCTGCTCTCGTACGCAACAAATCTTGTTGAAGAACATCAAGCGGGTGATGATGAAGAAGCAGCGTCGACGCGTCGGAAGGACAAGGAAAAAAATACAGACGCCTCGCAAGAGCAGTCGAGTCGCTTCGGCGGTTGGGAGGGAGCGGGGATTTTTTTCTGTGGAATGCTTTTGTCCTCTCTGTTTTGGGTCACCTTCTTCCACCGGGTGGTGTTTCACTATGCGGTAGGCCCCGTAGCAGTGCGCGAAGTAGACGGGTTGGCCAGCTTGCGCTTACCGTTTTTCCAATCGGCTGACACTCAACAAAATATCTGATCTCGCATAGTAAGTACTAGAGTATCACTGTGATGAAACGATTTTCATTTTTGTACTTACAGATTCGCTGCCCGGCGCAATCTGTCTGAATCGGCGAACGCAATCTATCTACTATCTATCTGAAGTAAGTTGTCACTACTGAGCATTAGAACTGAAAATAGGTAAAGCCGCAAAAGAACGCTGCAACTTTTTCCAGAGGAAGAATGAAACGCATGAGGATGACGATGAACATGATGACGATGGATGATTGGTGTTGTGAAACGCCCGCAGTAGATGAAGTCTCATCTAGTGAACCGGTCGCACGTGACGCTCTGAAACAAAATGCAACATAAGTTGTTGTGACGCTGACCACTGTAGTTGTATCATCTACTCTTTGAAGCTTCTGCTTCCCCGACGTCTATGCCTGCACTGCCCTGTGCATGTTACATGACGCGGAGTCTAATTTTGGTTCGGGTGCAGCACCTCCGGGTTTCGAGCCTCTTTTTTCGTGCTTTATTCGGTATCTAATAGGAGGTGGATCAAGATCTAGATCAGCATTGTTCTAGCGAAACGCTTTGCTGTTTGTTGCGACCACCAACTGGATCCTTGTGTCGGTGTCCCAAAGCCAAACTCGATCTCGAACTTGATATTGCGATCTGTGAATCCTTCGTGCGAATGTCAAGTCAATTGCAACGATCACCCTAGCTTTGTCACGATCTTCACATCGTACTGTAGTTTCATCCTTCTTTGAGCTGCGGGGGCAGATACATAATTAAAGTATAGTACTATTTTTTTTTTTCGCAGACACACTCTGAGGCTTAGCTGCACGAAGCTGCACGATGAGGGCGCTCCTCTCGTCGTGCCCGTTGGCGCTGCGCCCGATCCTGCGCAGGCGGGTGAGCATGCTTCATCTCCTACTCCAGCTTCTCCAACAATGCAACTTTCTGCAACTGGCTCGCGCCGTCATTGAGCCCGGCGACACGAATGCTCGTTGGTATGCCGATTTTTCAATGCAGCTGAACCTGACCGAGGTCGTAGATGATCTGATCGGCGCTATCGAGGATCCGGTCGCCAACGATGTGGTCCCCGGTGAGGTGGCAAGCGTGCTCAAAGCCGAGGTGTTTCCCTACCACGGAAACCTGTTGCAAATTCACGGGGCTGTGTTCCAGGAGGACGTACGGCAGTATTGGGAGAACCAAACCCCCGGCGGGACGGACGCGGTCCCTATGGCTTTGTTCCTCACGTCCATGCCCTACGCGCTGCAGCAGCAACTGTTGACCGAGTGTCCCATGGTGATGGCGGCGGCGTTTTTGCTCACGGCGGAAATCCTCGCGTACACGGAGGTAGATCAAAGCGTCGGGCTGCACAAGTACGAGGTGGCGCGGCACCTTGGGGCGCAGAACCCAGACCATACAGATGCGTGGAATTTCGGAAAAGGGCTGCGACGCGTCGAAGCGGCTCTGCAACGGGAGAGAATAAAATCCGTCGTGGACGTGGTCGTCGTGCACTGTCGGGAAGATCTGTTGGCGTGGTTACCGATGTACTTTGTTGCCCTGCCCCAAATGTGGTCTGCGGGTGCCACATCGTACATGACGAAAATCAGGGTGTTCGTGTACCACAAGTGCGGCAGCCTGGAGCAGGAAACCGAGGCGACGCTGTTGCAGCAGCTGGGCGGGCTGAAGAGGCTTGTTGAGGACACATCCGGCGTTGCTTTTTACAATGGCGCGTCAAAGGACGAGAAAACCAAAGTTCCGAAACCGCGAACATTCGTCGCGCAAAAGACCGCTGGATTGCCTATCCCTATCGAGGTGTCCTTCACAAACCTCCGTAATTACGCGATGGAAAGCATTGGGTACGCGACGCACCTGGCCTGGTTCGATGACCACAAAAGTGACGTTCTGTTTTTCCTGCAGGGCGAGCCGATCCACCACCAGGTGCCTGATCTTCTCTCCGTCGCTTTGCAGATGGTGAACGCCGGCACTTTTCCGAATTCCGTGCCGTTTCTGCATTTGAACCAGCGACGGTTCCTCGGCAGTTCGCACGAATGCGTGTACGAGCTCCTGGAAAAGATGGGATTTCCAGAGAAAAAAACCTTCGCAGGCTACTGCTGCTCGCAGTTCGTCGTGCCGCGGAAAAGCGTGCTCTTGCCGGCGTCGAGGAGGACCGATGCGGACGTCGATGCCAGGGGACAAATAAAGACTGGCGACGTCGCCGACCACGAGAGTGTTGGTCTTGGGTCCTCGGCCGAAAACGCTTTTGCGTACCAGCAGGCACGGAAATTGCTCGACCAGGAGATTCCGATCAAGTGCAGCCAGGACACGAGCCATGACGCGCGGCCAGGAATCCACACCTCGGCACTGTACGAGCACATGTGGCAGGTCCTGTTTCAGCAACCGAGCGTGTTGCCCATGCGAAAAAACGACTATGCGCTACCCGTATTTCTCCGCACCGAGGGACTCGACCCCGTGTTTCGAAATTTTGCGCTCTCCTCCGTTGCACAAAGAACCGCCGTCGCCAGCATGTTCGAGAGATGAAGACGGTGAAGATTTACGCAAAATGTGCATCAAAGCATCTTCTTCTGACTATAAGCAGCTTCATCTCTCGTTGTCGTCCTGCGGCACAACGAACTCTTGTCGTTGATGTTGTTACATGCGGCGTGGTCATCAGTGTTCACTTTTATCTCCTCGAACGTCGGACATTCGATTTCGAGCCGAAGAAACGCCGAGCAGAGGCACAGGTATAGAGGAGGACTTAGTTGTGAGGCAGAGGCAGAGCCAAAAAAAGTCGAATGTTGAGCAAGAGTCCGAGCGTCCTGGTTCACTTCCTCGAAACAGCTTTTGGTACATCGACAAGCAAATGCAGCCGTTGTCGTCAACATTGTGATCATGCAAGGAAACAGACGGCGCAGACCTGTTCGACAGCCCGTATTAAGAAGTGAGGTCAACCAAAGACAAAACCGCGAAAGAACATGGAATTCTTGGATTTGGGGACTCAGCTCATTGTCCCACAAGCCGCACAAAACGGTGAAGAGGACTTGTCCCGCGAGGTTAGTGGCACGCAGAATGACCGAGCATCAGCACCTGGTGAACGACCAGACCACGGCTCTGGTCCGCGCGGAAGGAGAACCAGGGGCAGCAGGGCGTCGAATTTCGCGGACGGAGTGGGTGACCCCAGCGCTCGAATTCCAGAATTGGCAGTCGATTTTGCGCACGAATACCGGCGTCTGTTTGATGTGGCAATAAAAGCTGGTGAGCCATTGGCTTCGACAAGGAAAAGGACCGAGCAAAGAACTTCTTCGTCGTCTAGTGGTGCCAAAAATGATAAAGAAGTTCTACAGAGGAAAAATAAAAATCCCCCGCCGGCTTCTTCGCGCAGCACTCGGCCGGTCTTGATCTCCGTCCTTTCTGTCGACGGCAGCGAGGAAATACGCACCGCTGTTCCGGAGAACGCCACCGTCGAAGATGTTTTGCGGGAAATCGCAGCGGAAACTTTTGGCGCAAAAATTCTTCCCATCGCCTTGGACTGGAGCCCGGACCGGTCGGCGCAATTCGCTTTTCCAAGAAACGCACCCGCTGTGGACTGCGGATTCAAGGGGAGGCTGCATCTAAACTACCGGCGCCTCTTGCTCGAGATGCGAAAACCGACACAGCTAGCACAAGTAGACTCGCGTGCACATCGTCGCCGAGCTCCCTTTTCAGCTGCGGCAAAAGCAGCGAGCGACGCGGATCACGTAGACACTGATGTTGACGAGCTTTTCCCGGAGGCGGTTCCAGACAGGGTGTCGAACAGCAGAAGCAGCACCGCTCAACAGCATCAAGTGCCACCAGCAATTCGGTTTCTGTTCCACGCAAAACCCCCTCGAGGGGGCGAGGAAGACGAACAGCGAACCGCGGACGCTTTTTTTGCCCCATATTTTCAGCTCGCCGTGAGTACTTTGGCTAGTACGGAAATCAACGGATTTTTGTCCAGGAAGCACAACAGCAGCCTGCTCCAGCAACTTGTGAAAAAAGCGTACGTGCCCGCCGCCGCGTGCCAGGCCTTGCTACAAAGCGAGGCGCTCTCGCTGGCGTACTTGCACCACCGCGACAGCTACGGCTGCACTCTGCTGCACATTTTGCTGTCGAAGAAAGAAATTACTGGCAAGAAAGCGGGTCGTGGTGGTTCTGGAACAGAAGCACAAGAAGCTGGAGCAACTACGTCAAGCAGCGAGGACCTGCAGATCATTTTAGAGGACAAACAGGTGACTTCGCTTCTCGCCAGCGTCGTCGAAGCGACTCAACGGATCCTTCGCAGTGAAGAACACGGCGAAGCGAAAGCTACGGTGCTGCTCAAGACCTTATTCGCGGCGACAGACAAGCAGAACCGGACCTGTTTACATTTCGCGGCGGAAAGAATCACTGATGATTTTATTCACGGTGCTGAACCCGGAGGTGGTTTGATTGTCCTTGATCACTTGCTAGCGGCGTTGTCCGAGTTTCTGGAACCGGCGGAGCTCTGTGCTGTGCTGTGCCAACGGGAATACCTTACGGGAAAAACGTACTGAAAAAAAATTTTATTTGTCACTAATGCGCACACATACTCGGTAACGCGCGGCAGGGGCTTGCTTGGTTCTTCTTCTTCGTGTTTTGCTTCTGATGTGGTCTTCATGAAATTCATTTTGACGGACCGGGACCACGTCCTCTGCTCTAGTATCCGCCAAAAAAAAACTGCACAGGTTTCTTCACATGATGGTGGAGGCGCTGCACAAGGGTTCGGTAGTTGGCGTCGACAAGAGGAGCACGAATAACGGACCAGGATCATTAACAGCGCCAGCATTAAGCTCCGCCTTCAAGACCTTAAGCATTCTCCTGTCAGAAGATGCCACCTCAGACGCCGTCATCGGTGAGCAACTGCTGGCCATCCAAGACAAGGATCAGAACGCGACCGCGCTGATTGACGCCGCGCGCTGGAACGAAGCGGCGCTTGTGAAAAATCTCTTGCTGATCGAGGTACAAACCCCCGCCCCGCTGCTTCTACAGGACAAGTTCGGAAACTCCGCGCTGCACTACGCTGCTTACCACGGGAATATGCAAGCCGCAGCGCCGATCCTGGAGGTGCTGAGCAGGACAAATACTTCTAGCACGATGACCAGCGGGCTCTCGTTGAAGCACCTCATGCTGGAGACCACGAACATCGACGGGCACAGCTTCGTATGGATTGTAAAAATGTATGGGTCTGGAAGATTCTGAGACTTGTCATGCACGGTTTGCATGAGCCATGATGTCTGTGATGCATGCCCTAGCATCACAATTTTTCTACGGGGTTCTTGATGCGTATACCGCATGACAAACGCCCTCTCCGCGTAGCAAAAATTGGGCTCCTTTTGCTGCTCATGCAACACAAATTTTTTAGACATCCAAATGCAGCATCACAAGTTGCATTCTTCCAGACCCAGACATGTTTGCATTCCATACTTCGTGGAGGTAGCGCAGAGTCGCCGGATGTACGGGTTTCTGCAGAAGCTCGCGCGCGAGTTTCCGGAGTTTTTCCCGGGTGGGAAAGGAAATCTGTTCGAGGTGTACCGGAAAATCAACCGAAAAACTGCGTCCGCTGTGGAGTCGGTCCTTGCTCCGACGGAGGACGAACGCGCGATGTACCTGGAACAAGATTCTAGGCTGCCGAATCCGATGAAATCAGGGAGCAAGCACGACTCGTCTCTGACCTTATCTTTGCTCTCCTCGCGGCAAAATCGTATCACGCAGTGAAACGAACCAAATGAGAGATGAAAAATAATGAACTCTGAGCACCAGTGTGCGACACGACAAGCGGAGTGCCCGCCCGCTGCACGCTACGCGTGAAGTGACCTGGGCTGATGCTTCGTTCTAGAAGTGTGTTCACTTTCTGTAGACTGCGTCTTGTTGTTCTGGTTTGCGGAGCACGTACGTCCTTGAGCGAGTAAGTAGAAGTGGAGTTGTAGCAGAAAACAACAATCCCGATCCGGAATCCAATTGGATTTCATCCCATATGAATGTGTGCAAGAACGTAAGTAGACTCTCGGTGAATAGAAGAATTTGAATTTCACTTTTCGCACCGTCAAACCTACTCAACATTCTATTCTTCAAGAAAAACAAGCAAGGAAAAAAATGGCGAACCTCGTGTCTTGCGTGCAGCGGCTTGGGTCGCTGCGTAAGCTGATAAAGGAAAAACCCATCGTGCGTGCGATGGAATGCCACAGCGGACTGAGTGCACTGATTGCAGAAAAAGCAAAAGCGGAACGGGCGGACGGGAGCATCGCCCAATTTGACGCGTTGTGGTCCAGCTCCTTGACCTCGTCGACGATAAAGGCAAAACCTGACATCGAGGTCGTGGACACCATATGAACTGCAAAAGTAACGTACTAGTACAAATTGCAATACAAATTGGCTCAGCATTACAACTTTAATTTGTAATGCGGATTTGCCTTAGGAACTAGATTTGTAATGCATAAACGCAATTAGTACGAGTACGATACTTTTACACAGGATACACCACCCAGAGAATACAAATCGTCGAAGATTGTCTCGAGGTAGATTAGATGAATAGAGCAATTAGGACAATTGGACCAATAAATGACTCATAACAAAATGATCCAAATTTTTTTGGCGAAAAAGGTGATCACCATGAAACCCGACATTGATTTCATCGACAAAACAGGTGACGACCAAGCCGATGATCTACGATGGAGACACGGGCGGGCTGCCAGAGATTTTCAAGTTCACGGTTCGCAAACTGGAGTCCCTCGGCGTGTCCGCTTGTATCATCGAGGACAAGAGCGGGCTCAAGCAAAACAGTTTGTTCGGCACAGACAGGAAGCAAAACCTTGCGGACATTCGCGAATTTTCGCACAAGCTAGCCGTGTATGAAATGCAAAATTGTCTGGGTCTGGAAACTTCTAATGCTAGAAGTGAATGATAGACGCGCCGCAATACGCAGCTATGCATGACAAATTTTGTGGCTGCCATGTCTCACGTATTCCGCATGGAAAACTGCCTTTTCCCATGACAGTTAAGAGGGCTCTTTCGTGCCTATGCAACACAGACTCTCGAGTCCTGCCAGACAAGCATGACAAACTTGCATTCTTCTAGACCCAGACATTTTTGCATTTGATACCGTGGGGCAGGCGGCCAAACAAAATCCGGACTTTATGATCATAGCACGACTGGAAGCCCTGATCGCGGGCGCGGGCGAAGAGGAAGCACTGAAAAGGGCAAAGGCGTACATCGAGGAGGGAAAAGTAGGATGAATCATCATCATGTTGATGGTCGTCGCGTAAATTCAAATCAATATCTCGCAGCGGTCGTGTGAGCAGTGTTGATTCTTTTTTTTCACGCCAAATATTAACGAAGTTATTGGATGTATGAATATGAAAAGGTCTTTTTGGAGGAGATGAAGATGAAGAAGTCAAGCAACTCTATCTAGGTCCAAACATCCAATTTCAGGTCGATGGCATCATGATTCACAGCAAGGAGAAGAAGCCGGACGAGGTGCTTTCCTTTATGGAGCAGTACAACAAGTTTCCAAACAAGAAACCGCTCGTGGTCGTTCCCACCAGCTACAACAGCCTCACCGAAGAGGAGTTGGCAAAGGCAGGCGCGTCCATCTGCATCCATGCGAACCACCTGATTCGGGCGGCGTACCCCTCCATGGTGGATGTCGCGGAGAGCATTTTGAAGCACGGCCGCTCCAAGGAAGTGGAGGACGAGGGGCGGGTCATGGGGGTGAAGAAAATCATCTCGCTGATAGACGAGTAAATCAAACACGTACAATCACCAGGGAATTTTTTGAACCAGATAAAACTAGAATCGCACAGATGAGTAGACCGTTGCACACCCCCTGGATCGCTGTCGTTTCCACTCGAAACGATTACCCTTCCAGCACAGCTCCATCGTTGAGGTGGCGTGTGTTGAAATGAATGCATCATGGTGTAACAAAAACAAACCAAATCCGTATCTTCCGCAGAGGCACAGAGCCGGGCTCGTTTTATTTCCATGAAAGAGAACACGCTGCATTAGCAGGCGAGCATCCGCCTTTGCTATAGGAATACGAGCAGCTACTTTTGCATAGGCATCAAAAAGGACTTGGAAGTGCATGGTTCGCTTTTGTTTTATGTGTATGGTCGTTCTTCGACCTCTAGCTCTACGAGAAATCATCTAAAGTAGTATCTTCGTGTAAAAATAGTAGTACGTCTACGTGCACGTCGTCGGAAAAATTAATAAAATCGTGCAGAACACCAACACCAATATCGTACAGTATTCGTTGACGCATACGGAGCATCTGCACCATCATCGTCGTTAACCAGTTTTTCTCTTTGTTGTGCGTTCATGCTCATACGGGATAACTCCTCTTGAATCTTCGTCTTCGTCAGCATCGTCAGCACGTATATGTTGAACGAGAATATCAATATCATTCGTGCAGCCCGGTCTTGTTGTCATTCCGAAGAACAAACTCAGTTGTCTCCGATGCACGACACTTTTTTATGTAAGTATGTAGGTCGTAACCTTCATTTTTTTTTTTTGCCTCGGAATACTTGAGTACCCTACGCAGGCACATACGCCCTTACCCAGATACACCGAATTTAATAAAATGAAGAACTTTCTTCGCTCTCGGTGCAAAAAAGAGAACCTGTTCGTGCTTCTCACCTGCAGCATCATCGCGTACTTTTACCTAAGCTGGCTGTGGCTTTGGTTCGTCAAGTTCAGAGCCAGAGCGGCAACGGATGGCACAACAACTCCTGAGGCAGATAAGAACTCTACAACAACTTCGAGGTCCCTCTCGTCTTATTTGCACGTTGATGATGTCCTGAACCAGCTGTACAATATTTTCACTCCAATTTTCATTTCATTCTGCACCTTCTTCTTGGTGGCGAACTATGCGCTCGCGGCGTGGACCCACCCCGGGAAGATCCCCGCCACTGACGAGTGGCTCGACGGGGACGTGGACACCCTGGAGTGCAAGGCGAGCAGCGGCGAGCCGCGGTTCTGCCGGCGGTGTCAGCTGTACAAGCCCGACCGGAGCCACCACTGCCGCAAGTGCGACACCTGCGTCCTGAAGATGGACCACCACTGTCCCTGGGTTGGGACCTGCATCGGGTTTCGCAACCATCGCTTCTTCGTCATGTTGCTCTTCTGGATCGTCGTCACGCTCGGTGCGATGGTGTACGTAAATCTGCGTGAACTCGGGGCGGAAGTAGCCGACGTCGAGGAGGAGTTGGCGCTGCTGGAGATTTTGTCAAGTAAGGTCGACGCTAAGGCGAAAAGAGATCTGCGCGCCGCGCAATTACAACTCGTAGACGGAATATTTCTTGAGGTGCGAGAGAGCTTGGAGTTGGCGGTCGGTCTGCAGGACGTAAAAGAATTGGAGCAGATGTTAGATGGCGTTGGCGAGAAAGACGTGGATCATGCCACCCCGACGATTGCCCAGCGCCTCTGGATTTTCACTCTGCACGCGCTGCTTCGGTTCGTGTATTCCGCGCCGGTGACGATCATTCTGGTTACCGAGTGCGCCTTTTTGATCGTTTTTGCCGGGTTTTTCTCCTTTCACCTCTTCCTCGTGGCGAACAATCTGACGACCCTAGAGTGGTGCGAGAAGCGGCGGGAGAAGGCGGACCCGAATCTCGTCACGTGGTCCACCAGGAGCGTGTTGGGAAATTTTCAGCAGATTTTCGGGAAACGGTGGTGGCGAACGTTCTTTTCGCTGCGGCCGCCCGACGTAAAGGAGTTTGGGGACGGCACGAAGTTCGAGGGTCGGTACGTGTTGGCCGTCGCCGCTGGCGCGGTTGTGACCGAGGGTACCGCGATCGTTGGAGGGGAGACAGGTACTGTTGTGTCCTCATCTACTGCGACCGCGACGCTGACATCCCCTACCAGCAGCCCTGCTGGCGTCGAGATGTCTACTTCAAGAGCAGTACAGGAAAGCAGTGGTGCACAGTCGCAGAACCAGCCTAGTACCGACCTTCGTTCACGTCGACCAGGTCCAGGACCACCGGCATCGGCGAGCCAGAGTGAGGATTCGGTTTTGAAAGAGGACCACCGCAAATAAAAAGGCACATTTTCTTGTGGGCGGCGAGCATGATAGTTGAAGAAATATATCCTGCCTTATCCCGTATCCGTAACAGAAGCGCTTGCTAGTGATGACAACAACGCACCACGGACGCACATGAACAGCAAACCATACAGCTGGCACTGCAGCTGAAGAAAGGACTTTCTGTGTATTCTGTGGTTTGGTAAGTGGTATACCAATCGACATTGAGTCATTGTCATTCTCATTGTGTTCTGGATGTCTGATTTCAGGCACTGGTGGCACATCATGTGAAGATCATAGAACGAGCGCTGAGCACTTTTTGACAAAGAAGCAGATCACTCGAGTAGCGTCATATTCATATTCGAAATCCAAAAAATAAAAACGTCCAAGATCGTGAACTTGATCTTCTTTTTGGCTGCCTTTCTTTAGCCACTCAGGCATAGCAGGCATACTGGAAACACCGTCAATGGTATGCTATTGTTTTTCGGACTACGACAGTACCAAAAAAATGCAATTTTCATTTCCGACGTACCCAGCGACTTTTTGAACTCGAAGCGAACCTCTTTTGTCCTGTCGCCGCTCGGGAGGATCACAATCTCCTACATGTTCCCGCGCTGCCCCCATCAGGCAACGGAACAAGCAATCCGTTGAGATTGGGGCACCCGAGCAATAAATAGGCCCTGAATTCTTCTCGAAAACTCAAAACTAAAAGTACATCGGCTCATCCTCATCCTGGCAAGTACATAGACATACGTGTTTTTTTTTTGCTGGCTCAGGTCCTCCCTGCCCCTCGTAAAACTCTTCGTTCTTCATCTTCGTATCCTCAGCGACGAAAAGAATTCCCCTCCTCGGCAGAGCAGCTACTTCTACGGACACTAAACGTAAACGAGAGATCTTCCGCAAAAAAACCTCTCGAGTTTGTTATAATTGAAGAATAATGTCCGTCCAGCACAGTCTGAAGATGTCAGCCGGGCCTACGAGTGAAATCGCACGCGGTCTGCCGTCCGAGATTATGTTTGCGGACAGCGACCTTCCGCCCCACCTACAAAGTGGCGGTGGCGCGTCGAGCACGGGAAGGAATAATATGAACGGTGCTACATCGTCGAGCAAGGCCTCAGCAACACTTTCCGGTCACAATAGTACCCAGCAGAACAACGGCAGGTCACCACAACAAGGTGGACCCCAGCACCCGGCTTCTGCAAGCCAAATTCCGACGGCGCGCACCCGCACGGGCACGACCGCGGGCCAAACGGACTGGGCAGCGGTGGCGATGGTGTTGGGACTCGGGGTGGGCTTCGGTGCCTTTGGGTTGCGCTACGCGCTTGGGGCCGCACAGCGTGCGGGCATGCGGGCGCCAACGTTCCCGTCCTTCGGCGCCGGAGGGGGCGCAGCTGCGGGTGGTACAGCAGGAGGAAGTGGAGCAGCAGCAGAGGGCGCTGCAGCTGGGAAATCAGCCGGAGAGCAGGGGACTATTGACTTGGGTCAACTGTTCACGAAATGGCGTAACTCGCTGTCCTGGAACACGATGGAGGGTTTTGAGAAGGAGATGAGCCGACGGGAAGCGTTGAAGATTCTCGACCTGAAAATGACCCAAATCGACAAGGATTCGGTGAGGAAAAAGCACCGCGAGCTGCTGCTCCGCAACCACCCGGACCGCGGCGGCAGTACGTTCATCGCGACAAAAATTAACGAAGCCAAAGAAAAATTGATCGGGAAAGGAAGATGATGGTGCGACGTATCAGTACTTCTGTAGTGCTGAAAGCAGGAAGTACAGGTCGACTTTCATCCTGCGCACATCGACGTGAGTCCTTGGTCGTTGTGTATGTTGTTTAATAAAATCAAATGATGGCTATCTTTGTTGTTCACCTGATTTCTGGCGACTTCTGCTCGTGCTTGTGTACATGCTACGCTGATGGTATACCTGCACGAGTCGTTCTTCTTCAAACCATTAAAGCGACAATCACGTTCTTTTCATGATGCAGAGTATGCGCTCCACGTCCGCGACCACCTGATCTCGTCCCTCGATGCGACAAGGCTCCGGAAAAAAGGGCCAAAGCTAGCACGACGAGAGGCCATCAGAATGACGCGTTTGTTCTAGTTACTCTGGGTTCTGTATGAGAGTACACAACTCCCCCACCCCCTCATTTGTCATGCACAATACCAAATCCAGCCGTTGCCTCTTGGCACTGCTTGCGTGAGAGATTCCGGAAGCCGAAACAGCACTAGAATCGGTCACCAATTTATTTGTCATGCAAAAGCTGCATCTCTTCCAGATCCAGAGTCTGTGTTGCTATGGATGCAATCCAAATTAGGGCGAGGGGACTTGTGCAGTCTGATATTCCGATCCAACATGCATTTTTTGCGGCCAAGAGTTGTTAACCGAAAAAACAAAAAGAATAAATAGGATCTCAGAGTCAGATCTTAGGAGACGGTAATTACGAAAGTTTGAAATCGAAAATCTACGAGTAGATCATCTTTGTGTAGTACGCACGAAATAAGCTCGCTGCATGTCATCACAATGAGGATCTTTACGTCAACTCCAGGAAGAGTAGCTCGCTGCAAGATTGAGGTTTGAGTTCCGTTGAGGTATGAAGGATGGTGGATGGATCTCCAAGTTTTCGGACAACTCAGAATGAAAGAAGCTGCTCTTTGGTTAACATTTGATGGTCCGTATCGTAATCACACAGGCGCAGTCTCTTCAGATTTGGTCGTTTAAGATCTGGAGTTTTTGGTCTTTAAGTTTAATTTGTTTGGATTTGGTAGCGATCTTCCTCCTCGCTGGCATACGCGGATGCTTGATTGAAAAATAAGAATAACAGTATCAGAAAGTCTTCTGCGAGATGTCCTTGATTTTCCGGCCAACGATCGCACCCGGTGCGCGAAAAGTTCGCCCCGCTTTCGTGCACCCGGGAGTGACAATTACCCAGGTATCAAAGTCATCAAACCTACCGCCTGCCACCATCAATAACGGTGTTGAGACCTCCACCACCACTACCAACAAGCGGCAGAAGGTGGCCGTTGGTGATGGACAAGCCGTCGTGGGCGATGATAAAGACGGCGCAGCTGCCACGGATTCCAAGGAGAATAGAAGGAATGGTCAGCGGAATAACGACGGGGCAGTTGTGGACAATGCCTGTACTGTCAGATCTGACGAGCCTAACCTCGCCGAGGTTCTTCATGCACAAAAAAATGCAGAACTAGAAGGAGCCCGAGCCGGAAAACAACAGGATCGGCGCATTGACCACAATGACAACATCGAGACTTCTTGCGCGGTTTCGCGGAAAAGCAAGAAGCGACGAAGAGAGGCTGCCGAAAAGCGCGAGCTCACGGCGCTCCTGCAACAGGCACGCAAGTTCGTCTCGAGCGAAAAAGGGTCCGCGCTGGACGATAGTCTTGCGAGTTTGAAGGAGCGCATAGACAACGCCGAACATCAAAACGGGAAGCCGGGGGCAAAAATAGATGCGAGAACTACAAGTGGCATCGAATTTCAGTCCGTTACGGACGCGTTTGAAACCCTGCGGACCGCATTGCCGCTGTACGAGAGCGGGCAGTTGCTGCTGGATAGTTTCTTGGCTTCATCAACACGTGAAATAGACGGAAAGCCGAACACGAATAAACAGCTGCCAAAACTGCTTCCGAATCTGATAAAGCACATCATAGAGTACCTTTCGACCGCTGTCGCAGTTCTTTCCCCGCCTCGAGCAGAGACAAGAACTTCGTCTCGGATGGCTGTGCCATTGTCAAATGGAAGAACTTCAGCGGCCGCAGAAGAACTACGGGGCAAAAACAGTAACATCAATTATAAAGGGAGGGCCACCGTCTTGGGTGACAACGTGAACCACGCACAGAAGCTTTTGACGCTGTTGCAGACCAGTCTAAAGCGCAAACCTTGGAAGAAGCTGGGGCGTCCGTACTTCCACTTTGTGCGGGACTTGGATGAGCTGTATTTTGACAGTTTGACGGCGCTTGCAGCGGACAAACCCGGGGAACGGCCGGAAACGGCGCTGTCGAATAGACAGCCACACGAATTGTACGACGCTGTGGTGCAAAACTCCTCGAAGATACAAGCAGTTTTTGCGGGCCACCCACTCATCCAAGCCACAAGGTGGGAGGAGGCGCAGCAAGAAGAAACTGCAGATGATCTTCTGCCAACATCGTCATCTTCTCTGTGGAACCCATTGCTGCAGTTCTTCCGAGCGCGCACGGCGGAGTTTCTGCACTACCGGGCACAGGTAAAAGACGATCTTGTTCCCGCTCTGGTCGAACTGCATGCGAACGTGACGCGCGACTGGGCGGCACGCCTCTACGCCTTCGCGGTTCCGACAGAAAACGTCTTGACGAGTCTGAGGGAAACCGTGCTCGCTAAAGAAAAAGAAAACCAACACGACAATCTTGAAGGCAGGACGGTGCCGACGACCTTCATCGAGGTCGGTGCCGGTCTGGGTTACTGGGCCGAGTTCCTGCGGCGCGGGCTACTAGATATGGAAAGTGCGAAAAACAAGTCACCATCTTCTGGGGGTTCGTCACCATCACACAGTCATAAGATCTCTGTCCGTGCCTTCGACGTGATGCCTTACCGCGGCTGGCGGGTTTTCGACGATCAAGAGGACAAAACAAACAGTGCACGCGGAAGCAGCGCTAGTGCCCGAGATGTCGAGCCGTGCAAGGAAGACTTTTCGGAAGCGGGACCGTTGCGAGAGTTGCTGGATCGCAGGTCGTGTGGACGCGCTTCTAGCGGAAAAATCGAACATTCGGCAATTACGGGTCGTTCTGCCGCAGGAGTAGATGAGGGAACAAATAAAGCAAAAGCGATGAAGCGATTGAAAAAACGAAAGATGGATGATAAAGCAGTGGCACCAGGAGCTGGTGTCGATGAGTCTGCAGTTGCATCTTCTCTCAACGAACACCGTACTTGTCTGTTTCTGTGCTTCCCGCCGCCGTCCGAACCGATGGCTGCGAACTGTTTGCAAAAGTTCAATGGCCGGTGGGTCGTCTACGTGGGGGAATGGGCGACCGGCATGACGGCCGACTGGAAATTTCACGCGACGCTGCTCAAGGAGTTTTCTTTGCGGAAGATCGTTCCTCTGCCCGCGCAATGGGCCACAACCTGCCACTCGATGTTCATTTTCGAACGAAAAACAGAGGAGATTGAGAGCGGACGAGGTGTTCATCTTAATATTGCAGAACCAGAATCCAGTTTAGAGGCCACGAGGACAGCACCAGCTACGACTTCAACGACCAACCCATTTGTGACGTGCCTGTCCGCTAAGCACCTGGACGAAACCAGTTTCGAACGTCCCGAATCACTGTGGCACTGTGGCGCCTGCGGCGCAAAAACGGGACGAAGAAAGCCCTTGGTGCGCTGCATCGGCGGCAACCGTGGTCTGGTCGCCTGCTCCTACGGTAGTAGTTCCTGCCGCGACGCGGTTTTGGCAAGGGACGCTGTTTTCTCATCCGCGTATTTTGCCTTCGATCCCGCCGCGGTATTTTTAAGGCCAACCCAGCATGGATCTACTTCCAGCGTCGCAGGGACTACAAACAAACAGGACGGGGCCCAAGAAAACGAAAACATTGAAGAGGACCACGAGGACCAGGAGGAGGCTCACGACGAGAACGGGTTCTTTGGCAGCGGGCGTGCGGAAGGACATAACGACTCGGTCGGAGCAACCAGGACCAAAGCATTCAGGTGGGAACCACTCACTTTCGCGACGTTTAACGACGAGGAGAAGTGGCACGCGCTCGCTCGCGCTACGCCGCAAGCGTGAGAAAATTAATTTTCGTTTCCTTTTGCAACGAGACGACAACTCTTTACAGCTCAAGTGCACTAGATCTGCGACGCTTATTATCCATAAAATCGAACAAGTCCTCTGTCTTCCAAAGTGGTCTACTTCGTCTGTCTCTGTTTTTTCGGCCTCTTGCCGGCGACGCAGAAGTATACAAGCAAGTGTTCTCATCTTCGTTGCCTGGTTCTTTATGTCCTGGCTGCAACCGGTGCCGGTCCTACTTTCAATGTCACACTGGTTCTTCTTCTTGGATGGTTAACAGGACTGATCGCGTTCCCGGACGGTCGAACATTTTCAGGACGAGAAGAAAGTGCTCTGGTTTTGACGAAGAAGCACGACTTTTTTGCGCAGCTTCTATCTAATATGCATTTTCACCGTGAGTGTGATCATTGCAGCAATTACAGAGACAACGCAAACGCAGTTCGATCTAAAACGCACGCAGTGCTGCGAAGACAAAGATCAATTCCTCCAACAAGCTCTGAATTATCCAACTCGATTTATCTGTATCTTCGCTATCGGTTGAACTATCGCTCCTTGATGGCGTGTGTCCCAGCAGGAGGGGAATTTTTTTCTCCTCGGCAGTTTAATATAAGGAAATTTAAAATTAAATAATAAACTTTTCTTTTTGCACACGAAACGCAACAGGCGCCAAACAACAGCACTTTCGAATTCGTTCAGTAGTAGAGCTTTACTCTTATGATTCTTTGCTAGGATATAAGCATCTCCTAGGTCCTAGTCCTTGATCATGTCCTTGATGAGTCAATTCTAGTTCATGTTGAAGTTTGGATAGCACTTGAAAAAGATATTGATCGTGGTGCGATTCCTTTCTGGTGCTGCGCAAGCCAGGACGAGGAATTTACTTCAGCACTTGTGAAAACGCCGAAAAACTGCTAGCTAATCCCTCGCCATCCACCTCATTTCACCATGCCAAGCAATCGATCAAACGCCGCGGCCGCGGCGATGAGCAAGCGGGCACTGAAGAAGCAGGAAAATGCAGCCCTGAACAGCGCGTCATTGCTAACGCAAAAACAGTTCTGGTACCAGAAGAACAGTGTTGCGATCGATCTGCTGCTTGCTCAGACTTCTCGTCATGAATGAGTATCATGACCGAATGATAGACTGTGCAGAATTTAATTCTTTATTTTTCACCCGCATCTCCCTCGCTGCACTCCACTGCAAATATATATCATATTCTTCGTGATTATCTACAACAGGTATGGGCTTGGATTTATGTTTCTTGTCGGCGGCATCAGTATTTTCCAGTTCGGGTTGATGCTTTCTAACTTGCTGGGCGTGGCAAACGTTGCGAATGCCGGTGTACATTACGTAGACGTCGCCAGTGAGGATGCAAAACTGAAGGAAGCATTCTTCGGTGGAGATCCACACGTGCTCTACTGCACGGGTGAGAAGACGGAGCTCGCACCAACACCAAAAGTAGTAGTGGATCTGGCTCGAATGATACAGAAGGACAAAAAAGCTGGAGATACCAAGGTACTCATTGTCATTTAACCATCGCGCGAGCGCTTTCTTCGTGTGATAATGTAGTTTCAGATTTAGTGCTTGTGCTTATTCCGCACCACGACTGTCTTTATGACGGCATTGATGAAGTTGCCTCAGATGGTGCTGCAAGTACGTAAGTACCCAAAAAAAAAGAAACCTTCCGCTCTGCTGTCATCATGACACGACATGCACATTCACCGGCACCACAACCACTATAATCATTCGACACACGACAAATAACTTTATACTGCAGTTCATCACCGCAAATTGCTTCAAGCCCATGAGCTCGGGCAAGACCATCGCCGAGCGATTTAGCTTTGGGAAGAACGAAGGTTTTGTGGCGGTATTTGCGAACGAGGATCCGCCAGTGCAGCTGAACTACCTGCAGTCCGCAGAATACGTCGCGAAGCAGATCAAGCCCATGCTGAAAACCGGCATCACCAAAATCGTGTACAAGAAGGACTGGGACAAAATCAAAAAGAAGCGCAGCTTCCTGCTGCTCGTATGAAATGTAAAAATGTCTGGGTCTGGAAGGATCCAAACTTGTCATGCTATCTTTGGACTCTAAAAAAATCTGTATTGCATGACCAGGAAGAGGAGCCCAGACTGTGCTACGTGGAGAGGGCATTTGTAATGCGGAATAGGCATCAGGAAGCCCTCTAAAAATCTGTGATGCCTGGTCGTGCATTACAGACATTCTGGGACATGCAGAACATGCATGACAAGTCTCAGAATCTTTCAGACCCAGACATTTTTGCATTTGATAGCTCGGCGGGAAAACCCACCCAAAATTGAACAACATGCACGCTGTGTTCAGTCCGGAAGTGAAGAATTACAGGAAAACCAAGATCGCTACCGTCGACACTAGCTTCTGGGAGGTATAAAGAAAAAGAAATTGAAGAGGACGAGATGCATTATGCCTTGGTCAACATCAGCAAAAATGTTGTCTTAGATCTGGCGGTGTGCTGGTGCTTCGACGTAAATCCGGCGGTCTGGTGCTTTATTTGTCTCGCAACATCTACATCTTCATGCGCCATGAGCGTGACAAATTTTCACGTATACAACTTGTCCTTTGATGTTTTTTAACAGGTGAACCAACTGGACGAAGAGTTCGTGAAGGCGTTGCCGGCGCCGGAGGAAGACAGCGAGTTTGGCACAGCTATGTGCGTGGTGAAGGAGCCGACAGCGGGCGGCCCAGAGCCCGACGAGGAGGAAGACGAGAAGGCGGAGGAAAAGGCAAAGACGGAGGAAGAGAAGCGAGCCGAGGCAAAGAAAGCCTTCAAGGACGGTAAGGACGGCAAAAAGGAGGAGGAGAAAAAGGACGAGAAGAACAAGAAGGTCAAGAAGTACAGGATCGCGTATCTGGACAGCTGGGAAGGTAAAAAGAAAGTTAATTGTTGGTGTGTGATCAATGTTCAATTCTTCTTTTTGCAAAACATTGACGGCGGATTGTGACTTCTTTGAAACCTGTAGGCGCGACTGCGTCCTTTTTGCTTGACGTAGCTGCTAACTACTTAAGTGTGCAGCTGAACAAAAATAACTCGATTGACTACAGGCGACGCCCCGCGGCAGTTTTTGGAAAAGTGCGCTGCGGGCGGCGAGGAGAGTTGGAAGGTTGCGAACAAGAGGCCCGAGGTGCGCGTGATCCCGTCCAAGCCGAAGGTGGTCAAGAGACCCAGCCGCGGCGGCGCGGAGAAGGTGACCGCGAGCGAAGATGACGGCACGAAGAAGGGCGGCAAGGAACGCATCGGGCGCCGGGCGGACGACGAAGAAAAGCCGGAAGAAGAGGACGATTTCGAAGATTTCAATCCGGAACAAGGGGAAGGAGAGGGTGAGGGCGAGGAAGGCCTCTTTGGCACCGAGGAGGAGCAGGATGTGGGAGAGGACGAGGCCGCTGTCGACGTTGAGTTGTAAGTATAGTTCTCCGAGGAGGGTGAGCCTGCTGTCATCGATACAAGATCAAGAACTTCTTTGAAAGCTGTGGATGCAACTCTGCTGGTGTAGGACGGTCAAATTTGTCGGTAAGTGGCTATCATTTTTGCGGAAGGGATTAGTCAACCTTTCGGAACAAGGGTTGTTTCATCCGGCGATGCAAAGAGGATTTATTGTGGGAGGAGCTGCACGCGCTTTTGGTCGTGTTGCGCAGCATGGACAAGGAGGTTTCTTAATGTCGAGTAGAGTAGGTTCATCGATTTCAACTGCTTGCTCCAAGAGAATTTTCTCGTAGTTGTACTACAAGACAAAGATGGGAGGTACTTTTTAGTACGGTGCAACAGCTCTTGTCTCGCGCGCGTTGCGTTGTGACATCGAGAATGACCCTTGGGCCCCCGCGAGTATGTTGTCATATGTAGAAACTGAAAACGAAGCTGATGCTCCACCCCCCGTGCAGTTACAACATATCGACGCACATCTACCAACAATCAACAGAACGCGACCTAAGTCACAACTACTGCAGAAAGGGCTGCATAGGTTGGGACGTAGTGCGGTAAGCACGAAAACCCAACGCGCAAGCAACGTTCTGTAGCTGCAAGCGGGTGTCCGTGTCCTGTTGTTCGGCTTCCATTGCAAAAAATACCGTCGCTGCAGAAATGTTTAGATGATTGCGGCACTCAATTTGTAGATCTTTGTGAAGGCGTGATGCTCCACGACTACTACTTACACTCCCGGCACGGCATGGATGTCGTGCTGTGTGCTGCAAGAGCAGTTCGATCCTCAACAAAAAGGCGACGCAACCTGAAGGAATAAGCTGCAGCTGTTGTTGTACGCAAAAAAGTTTTGCCGATCATGTTTCTTGTTACTGGAAATCAGAATCGATGCAGATTCTTGAGCGTAATTATGAGTGTGAATGGTTCTATTTCTCTAATCATCTGGCTTGCCGCGTATTGGCACCAAATATCGCCAATAGCATCAACACGGTCGCAGTGTGCCCACTTCATTTGATACTTCGCAGCAGTATACCTACGTTTAGTTTTAGAAAGGACAATAAAAAAATTAGGCCCTGTTTACGTTAAGTACAGTGAGTTTGAAGTTTTTGAAAGTATTCGTATTGCAAGTACAACTCCCGCCTTGCTTGCCTTCCGTTTACACTACAGTCGCTTTGTTTCCCTTTCTCTTTTCTTGATGTCGATGAACCCCCACGAGATACATTCCAAAACCACCATGGCAGGATGAAGAGCAAAGCCGCAGACTATTCGGAAAAATTATTGCCTGTTTATGTAGTTTCACCACTTTCCCCACGGTTGACGCAAAACAGCCGAGCGGGCCGCCGTCGTGGAGGCACCGATGCTGGAAATGGTGTTGCGCGTCCTCATCGAGGAGCTCGCGTACGAAGGCGAGGCGCTGTCGCTCGGCGACCTGCGCCAGAGGCTGCTGGAGCGGCCGGAGCGGGGCCGCAAGGGGATTCCGGAGAGTTGGGATGTGGACTTTCAGTTCACCGCTTTTCAGGCACTGCTCAACTCGAAGAAGGTCGTGAAAAAATTCAAGAAGTCGCGCCGCTCGGTCTCCGAACCCCTGCCCGTGTTGCATCATAGTGCTGGAGGTAGTGCTGCTGTGCCAGGAGGTGTTGATACGCAGCATCTTGGTACACCTGCTGGAGGTGCAGCTCCACCTGCGGCTGCTGCTTCGGGCAGTCTGCAGGGCGGCGGGTCCAGCAGCAGCACTGCGGGGATTCATCTTAAGAGCACCAAGAGTAAACAGTTGCGAGCCTCGTTTGGTGCCGGTGCATTTGCTGGACACGACGTAATGCAGACCTCTAGTGATGTAGTTGTTGGGCCTGATGGCGGCCTCGTTGGATCGACTGCGAAAGCAAGCGCTGACTCTGATGCCCCGGTCCTTGAAACTTTGAAGGATAGAGAACTGGACGCTATTCGGGACTTGGTGGAGAACGTGAGGCCTGGCGGCAATAAATCTCAGCGAGAGCAGGAGCATCGTGCAGCATCCTCGCCGAAAAGCAAGGAACCTCCAGCACAGGCAACAACAGGGATGAAAAAAAACGCAGCTTCAGCAGCTGTGATTACAACCAGCTCGAAGAATAAGAGCAGCAGCAAAGCCAAGTCCAAGGCCAGCACGAGCAACAAGGAGAGCAGTACTAGTAGATCGAAGAGCCAGCCGAAAGCGTCTTCGCCTGCAGCAAAGAAAAAAGCGAAAGCGGCTGGCACCACAAATAAAGCAGCAGCAGCAGGAGTTGTAGATCACTTCCAGGGCGGTGGAGACTTGAATTCTGGTGACGGTAGCTCGTCTAGTACTTCCCGGACCTTGGCATATTTCACGATGCTGGCCGAGAAGTTGCTAGTACAGAAGCAACGGCATCCTCTTTCCTCGGAATTCCACGATCCGGACAATCCCTGTGCCTTTTTTGACCGGCACTTTCGGCTGATGTTCGACCTCGAGCCCGAGCTGCGTGAGAAGGAGCTCCTCGGCGGCCTCCATCTCAGCTTCCTGGATTCGGCCTCGGCGGGCGCGGCGCGGGTCGCGAAGCGTCTGATCCAGGTGGTGGCGAAGTCTCGGCACGAAGGCATTTCCGGGCCGGACATCGGGCAGGCACTGAAGCAGCGGGCGCACGACATCGACCACATTCGCCGAAAGTTGGTGGACGTGGGCCTGTTTTTCCAGATCCCGCTCACGCGGAAGCACGCCCAAAAATCCGGCGTGGCTCTGTGGAAGAGCAACCAAAGCAGCCTGTTCCTGCTGAACATCTTCTACCGGGAGCTGAATCTAGAGCCGGTCGTGGCCGAGACCGAGGATAAAGATTTCAAAGACCTACTAGCCGACCACTTCGACACGTCGACGGCAAATAAAACCGAGGCCGCGGGTCAGAGCAGAAAAAGCCGAAGTAAGGACAAGAAAAGTGAGAAAGAACGGGAGAAAAGCAACGAGAGAACGACAAATCAAACCGGCACCGTGCTGGCAGCTGCCAGTGGATCCTCGGCGTCTTCGCCAGGACGAGGAACTACCCATGGTAGCTCGTCCGCGTTTTTGCCAGTCGCCTCAACTGCGACGAGAAGGATCGATGCTGGAGACGAAACGGGAAAAGAAAAAAGCACCATAGTACCACTTGCACCAGGCGGAGGTGGAGCTTCATCAGAGAATCTTCAGGGAGCCGTGGAATCTTCGCAAGTACATCTGAACGACCTGGGCATGATCTCAACAAGCGTAGTTGTCCCGCAAGAAAGCGAGAACGAGGAAGATCTGTTTTCGGCGGGGATGCAGGAGCACAAGTTCCAGGACGTCGAAGAGTTTTGCGAGAAAAAAGTGCTCGCTTTGCTGCAGGGGACGAAGAAGGGGATTCTCCTGGAAGACGACCTGTTCGTCATTTTGCGCCAGCTTCTCCCGCAACTCGGCCTGCCGCGGCGTGGGTTCTCCACCGTGTACAAAACCATGCGCGCACAGCTCGTGCGAGAGAGAAAGATCGACTGCGTCCGCCTGAAAGACGAAAGTAAGCCCGGGGAGTTCAAGCAAGCACTACTCTTGCGAACGAAGACCGGGCGCAAGGGCAGCGAAAGTATGGCGGGAACCTCAAACGCAACGGGTGTTGGGACAAGTAGCGATATCAACCTACAACCCTTCGTGATTGGCTCTTCGCACCCACGGTCTGCCAGTATCGAGTTGGCTGCCGCGCCACCAACGGCGCGCCAGATTTCCGGCAGCAGCGCGGCCGCGGCGTCGTCAACATCTGGTGGGAATTACAGGACAAGTAGAAGTGGTGGTGCAACTGCGGGAGCAGAAGGCTCCTATTTGAAGCAACAAGAGCCGTCTTACTTGCTGAGTGCAGCAGCTCCTGCTGGCGCAACAACTATATCGCCCGGCGGGACTATTGACGACAGCTTTCACAACATGGACTTCAGCCCCGCGGAACAGGCGGAGGCGGAGATGAAAGCCCGAGCTCAGTCCCTGTCTATCCAAAAGTCCACTTCGAAGAAGAATCTGTACGACAGCCAGCAAAGTGCTGCGACTCCTGAACGCCTTCGGCAGATTCGGCGGTTCATCTCCTCCCAGAAATCGCTGCTGGACGTCCGGCCCGGGCGCCCGGTGGCCCACCCGGGATCAGACTTGACGAATGCGACCCTGATGGGCCAGCCCACCGTGCCCGAGCAAGCGATACTGCTGGTTCAGGAGAAGGGCGCGGAGGGCGCGAATATGCACATGCTGGAAACCGTGCTTGGTCTCCGGCAGCGCGAGGCGCAGAACTTGATGACGCAATTGGAGAAGATGGGCGTGGTTGGCAAGGTGTTAGAATCATCGGGAAAGATCCACTCTAACCGGTACTTCGCGGCGTCCCTTGCACCCAAGGACACAAGGGACGAGTCCTCTCAGTTGCAACAACTCTCGGGCGCCGGGAATCAAGTAGAGCAGGAACTACTTTCATCAGAAGAAGGGAACAACGATCAAGCTGAAGCTTACAATTTCGATGTTGGAAGTACAACACCAGCATATGTGCAAGATGAGTACCCCGACGCGGACGGCCTGAACATGGACGACGATGGACGAACTCCGCCGCCGATTGCGGTTGTAGCACCTCCCAAAGGGCGGCAGAACAAAAAGGGTGTAAAAGACAAGGATTTGATGTCCCAAAGTAGAACGCCGGGCTTTGAAGAATCTGGTGGCGCAGACGACGACAACTACTACGGGTCGACCACACCAGCGTTTTATAATGGATCGACCACACCAGCGTTTGTTCAGCAGCAGAACAACATGAAGTCGACTTCGCAACAGCAGCAGCAGGCATCTTCTGCACCAGTAGTATCGCAAAATGCCAATAAAGACGGGACTACAACTGCGCAGGACAGCAAGCGGCGGCGCAACCTGACGTCGGAAACGAGAGCGAAGCAAGTTGTGGCTTATTTCGACGAGCGCCCGGACGTGCAGGTCGAGACATTTAATGTGCTCCGGCGGCAATGCCACCCCGAGCCGAGCGACGCGCGCACGATGCGGTTCATTCTGGACCTGGCGCTGGAACTCCGCCCGGACCTCCGGATCGGCCGCACAAAACGCCGCTTCGAGATCAACTTCGTGTGGCACGCGGGCCGTTGCTCCTTGGAGGAGGCCACGGACCTCGTCGGTCAGCTCTACGAAGAGAAGTACGGCGCGTCGTTTGCACCCGTCGCCGTAGTGCCGACGACGGCAAACAAACGCAGTAGAGGTGGTGACGCAAGCAGAGTTGATGTGCTTGTTGAAAGCAACAACGTCCAAGATGAGGTAGGCCGCGGCGGCACGGCGCCAGGCACAAGGGGCGCGGATGATCAACAGCAAGAATCTGCAGTACAACAGCAAGGATCTGCAGCGTCCACTGCGAAGCGGCGTCGAATCCTCTCTACTGAGCACGACAGCTCCTCTGCGGTACTAGGTTCTTCAGCAACATTTCGCAAAGTTTCCTTTTCCACAGACGAAGCAGTTGCACCTCAAGTAGCTGGAACAACTACCGCCACTGCTGCTTCTAGCAGCAAAGTGCCGGCGTTTCTGACGCAGTCGCGTGATCAGCCGAATCCCCTGCTCGTGGACAAAAACGTCCGAAACGTCGTGCAACAGGTCTCTGCCGACGACGTGGAGCTGTCCACCGAGACGTACAACGCGCTCGTCTCCGCGAATTTAAAGAAGGGGTCTACCGCGAGCCGGTGGCACACCTTCGACCCGCAGGTCGCGGCGTTTTACGGGTACGTGCGGCCCCAGATGGTCCGGCTCTACCTGCTGCACCGGTACTTGCTCGACCTGTGCGGGGAGAAGAAGCAATGGGTGTTCGAGACGAAGCAGCTGGTCGACGAGATGGAACTCACGAGCTACCTGCAGTTGCTGGGCGTCGGCGTCAAGTGCGATTTCATCCAGAACTACATCCTGGGGCGGTTGACCGACGAGCAAAAGGCCGCGAAGGTGTCCACGTCAAAGATCACGAACCGCACCGGGACGGCGGCCATGAACAACATTGACTTCAGCTTCTCCAGCGCCAGCGCGCAAGTTGCCGCAGCGCTGGCACCGGTCGACAGGGGAGCTACAGAGGCCTCGGCGATAGTTGCGGTTAAGGCACAGGAACTCACCGCAGAGGCGACAGCGCAGTTGGATAAGAGGAAATTCAAGCCGGATCCATTGGCGACGGACTCGAGCTCACCCGCAGGCTCCGGGTCGTCGGTGCTATCGGACGACGGTGGAGTTGACGCGCAACTGGCACGTGCTATAGCGAACGGAAAAAGTGAAAGTAACGAGCAAGACGGTCAACAAGTAGAGCAGCTGCAGACGACGTCGACCAAGATGAAGCCAAGCAAAAAGAACCATTCCTCGTCCTTCACCGAGCCCCGTTTCACCGTCCGGATGAAGGAGATGCCCGTGAAGTCCTGCGTGGCGATGCAGGCCCGGAACCTGAAGCGGGACGTGCAGCAGTTCCGACAGCAGATGCAACACTTGATCAAGCTGGGCTTGGTCGCGTACGACAACGCGGAGGATGCCGCACGGGGCAACGTGCAGAGTATGCGGGTCCGCTACCGGATCCACGATACCGGGACCGTGCGGCTGTTTTGCAGTATTTTAGATCAGTACCTGGCGGACGGTGAGGAGTTTGGTCGTGCTACTTCTGTTGCGGAGAATCATACGAAAGTGGCTGGTAGTACATCAACAGCGGGGATACAGCAACTAGCGGCCTCCAGCAGCAGTGGCGCCCCTGCTGCTGCTGCAACGACCAAGCCCATGAAAATGAAGATGGCGGTGGCACGAGCGAAGGGCAACAAGCGAAAACTGTCCAAAGACTCTAATATGGCGGAGGAGGAAGAGGGCGAGCAAGTTCTAGAGGGAGAAGTTCTTGCTGTGGTGGAAACGACAGGAAGTGTAGTTCCAGCACTTTTGGACCACGCAAAACTGAAAAAGCAGCTAGCGGAGGACAAAACCATTCCGACCTCTTCTTACGACTTCACGCAACCCGCCGGGCACGCTAGCTACTGGCGGCAGCTGCGGTCCCAGTGTCTGCAGTGGGTGGAAGCCCACCGAAACGCCAGCATCGGCATGGTCCCAGGGCTCGCGACCAGGCGAGAAAAAGGAGACGTCGCCGGTGGTATGAACCCCTTTGGAGACGGTCGCGTGTCGAGCAGAAAAAGCTCGTTCAATCGCATGGTGGAGGAAGACCAGGAGTTTCTCGATGACGAAGGTGGCGATGCCGGCGACGAGGAGGAGAATCAGGTGGCGCAAGGTGCTGGAACAGCCTTCGCCAGTGCAGCAACCAGGCGGCAGCGCAACAAACACGCCAGCGCGAAGGCGATCGGTAGAATAGTGTCTTGATTCTAGGAGGTACTTAGAGTTTGAGGTAGTCGTAGTTTTCGGTTGTCATCAATTCCTAGTTAATACAAGCATATGTGTTTCAGTTTCGTTCTTCTTCAATCCTATGTACAACTTCGACATGAGCTTCTCTACTGTTCACTTTCTTCACTCGTTCACAGATTACGCACTGCCCGGCCTTCCGTGGGCGTTCCAGCCGAACCAGTGGAACAGCAACGAGCTCCGCATCACGCACGTCCAGCGGCAGATTCTGGAGGACCGAGTGGAGCAGCTGTTGCGGGAGAACCAGAACAGCTCCGAACTGCCCCTGCTCTCCCACGGCAGCCCTTCGGTCTTGCAGATGGTCAGCGCCACCGGCCTGGATTCCGAGCGGGTGCTGTCCTACATCGAGAAGCGGAACGCGACTTTGGTGGATGCCAGTCGCAAATTCGACATTCGGTTCATTCGCGAAGTCCGCTACCGCTGCCCGATCTGCGACGGCCTGGCGCGAACCGGCGCAGCAGGAGGAGTTGCTGGTGCAGCGAACCAACAGTTGTTGGCGCAACCAGTTGGGAGCAATACCTCTGCAGTTGTCGGTGGCTCTTCTAGTTCCTCCTCAACTGCAGGGCTTCCTCCTGCTCCGTTCGCGGTTGCCGTCCCCTCCGCCACTGGCACGGTCGTGCAGCAGAACAACGTTAAGACGAACTACATGTTCAGTTTGAAACGCGGGATCATAGACCACTACAAAAAGGTGCACAACATGGACTTACCCGCCGACGAGGCGGAATACACAATGCCGGAGTATTTGGAGCAGGTGCAGCAAAACCAGAAGCCGAAGCCGCAGGTCCCCTTCACGCTGCCGGACGGCCGGTCGGTGCGGTTCCGCCGGCGCCGGCTGCTGGGGAATAATAAACACCGGTCTGCTGGATCATCTTCGGGTACAACGGGCCACAACCTGATGCGGCGCCACGAGGATTTGTTGGAGCTGCAGACGAAGAAACTGAAAAAGCAGAAGTCCATCGCGGAGTGGCTGCGGCTGTACGCGCTGGCCGGCCGCGCCAGCAACGTGCCCACGAGCACGTTCGGATCCGTCGTGTCCGGAGGCGTCGGTGCGCACGGGAGCAGCCTGGCGAGCGGCCCGCTCGCGAAGCACATCGGGTCGCAGGGCGCGCGGCTCCAGCCGACCGAGTCGGTCTTGTGGTGCGTGCTCGGGAAAATGACCAATCTGCCCCCGAAGCAGGTCCGGGACGTCGTCGCCGACTGTTCCGCGACGCACGCGGTAAACCGGCTGACGCTGGCCGACTACTTCGGGGTGTGGAGCTCCGACTGCAGTGCGGTGCAGGTGGTCGACGCGAAGGCCGCGAGCTGCGCTGGGCACCTGAAATCGATTTTGCTGGGCATGCCTCTGCACGAATACAACTCGAAGACGGCGCGGGACGCGCTGCTCGGGTACAACCGGAATATGATCGATATGGCGTTCTCAAACGTTACATTCTCAACTGTTACATGAAATTGCAATGCAAGAATAGCACAGGTCAGAGGGAGAACCCTGCGCGTCTTGCATTACAGATTTGGTGCGGATTCTAGTGCTATTTAGCCCTGCGAGAATTTGTCATGCGAAGCGGCTTGATCGTCTTGCGGCTCGTGGTCATTTTGGATGACAAATCATGTAACAGTTGAGAATGTAACGTTTGAGAGCCCCATAATCGAAGCCGTGCAGGAATCCTTCTCCAAGCGCGGCTGGGTCACGCAGTACAAGTATCAAAGTGAAAAATCCCCCCTCCCCATATCGAAAAGGTATGTTTCCGAAAATTTGTGTTGCTGATTTGAGGTCGCAAATCACGTTTGTATTGCAAGAAGACAAGGGCAGAAGCTTCTGCCCCACTATGGAAGCGATTTGTCAAGCTGTTGGACCTAAATGTGACCTGTTTGCCATGCTGAGCAACTAGACCCATGCGCCCCTCTACCTAGCCTGGGGATCTGGCTGCGGTGCCTTTCTGCAATACAGAGCTGATTTGTTTACCCAAATTCAGCATCAGAAATATCGTTTTGATATGGGGAGGGGGGATTTTTCCTTGCAATAACAAGCGGAGCGGCGTCGCCGCAGCCCGGGCGAAGGAAATGCAGCAACAGGCATCTACGGGTGCTGGCGCAGGTGTGCCACAGGCTCCCCGCTCGAGTTCTGTCCTCGTGCAACCTGCCGCGCCAGATTTGGGCGATCGACCTAAGTGGATGCTGTCGCACCGGAGCCGCCTGACGCTGTTCGGGAAAAGATCCGACCTGCTTCGGTTCTCCGCGCATTTCCGATTCGCGCGCGACGATTTCGAAGCGTCGGGAACCGTGGACCACTTTGAGGGGTCACTTTCCGGCGAGTACATGGAATGCGTGGCGCAGGTGCTGCTCAGCGAGCAAAGCGCGATCGTCCAAAGGTTGGCAAAAAGGGGGTCCCCGGGGGTCGTTGGAAGCAGCAGCGCCTCGGCGTCTGGAAGCGAAGGTGGGAATGCTAGTAAGTCATCCGGAGAGCAGCAGGAGGAAATAAAGGTCGCGCAGCTGCCAAAAGCAGCTGGCAAAGCAGCTAAAGCAGCTTCGAAGAAGATGAAAAAAAAAGACGCTGCTTCAGCGTCCGCGGTGGCGAAAGCAGCTGCACCAACAGCTTCTGCAGTTAGTTCTAAGCAGGCATATGCGCAACCGGAGTTGCTCGATGTTGATTATTGGGAGAAGGAGAAGGTGAAAGAGTTGATCGAAGAGCTTGAAACGTACAGCAGCTCGGACGACGAGACGGGGTTATATGAGGATGAAGAGAGCAGCAGTGAAGGAGAAGACAACCACGAGCAAGTACCAAGTACCACTACAGCTGCCGGGAATATCAAAAAGCCGAGGAAAGGAAGCGACGGGTCAATAGCCGCAGGAACAATTGCCCCAAGGGATGTCGGCGAAGATGGCGCGGACGACAGCGACGACCAGGATGATGGCAGCAGTACTAGCAGCGAAGACGGCTCTTCGGATGAAGAAGAGAGCGGTAATAGCGACAGCTCTGACGTCGAAGGGGAACGTAACCCACAGGGTAAAAAGAAAGACGCCGAGGATAATGAGACAGGAGGGTCATCCGACAGTGATAACGAAAATTCCGCCTCGTCGGAAGATGAATCGGAACAGGAAAACGAAGACGAGGACTTCCAATCTTCGGCAGATGATGATGATTTTTCGGCCGAGGAGGATCTTGAGAAGGAGCAGTTCGCTGCGGGAAATAAAAATAAAAGCGGAGCAGGTCATCAGCTGCAAAGTAACGAAAACAAACTACCTGGCGGAAAAAAGATGTCCCGCATCAAGAAAATCGGGAAGGGCGTTTCTCTGCATTTACAAACGACCAAAGACTTCCCACAGCTGGTACAGTTGGATTATCACGACAAAAACTTCACGACAAAATTTGATCTGGACGCGTCCGACAGCTTGTGGCTGCAGCACGAAGAGTCTTTCTGCCACCAGATACTGAAGGACGAAGAGGCGCAAACCGGGCGCCCGGTGTTCGACGCAGTCGCGAGGATGCGGAGGGTTTTGCCAACGAGTAAGATCCACGACGCATTGGATCCGTACAACGCACCACTGGACTTCGTGCAGCGCGTCGCAAGGTCGCGCTTTGCTAGTAGTTCCGGTGCGGCGATGAAGAGACTGCAGGCAGCTTCGAGTGAAGAGTCCTCGCCTGCATCAGAACAACAGGTGGATGAAGAAGGACCGGCCGGGAAGCGTCGGAAAGTGGAACAACAAACGAGACAAGCAGCTGTGTCTAGTTCTTCGGTCATTTCTTCTGTTGTTGCGGATGAAGACGAAAAGTACGATGCGATCGACGAAGTGAAACTGAGCGAGACCAACGAATCCGTTCTCGCGAAGCGGTTGGTGCAGTTGGTGAAGGCCCGGGAGGCGCAGGTAAAAATGGACTTTTCCGACGACAAACTGCTGGAGGACTTGGAGAAGCTGCGTCTCATCGTCTGCTTTTTCCCCGGCACGCTGGTCGCCGACTCCAGCTACCTCTTCGCGGTGCCGGCGCACCTGGCAAAAAAGTACTGCCAGCAACGAACGATACCGTCAGGATTGGGGTCTGGCGGCGGGGCAGCTGGGAGTAAGCTCCTGCAGGAGGACCAGGTCCTCGTGCAGCAACAGCAAGCTACGGTCGCTCCGCAAAGTGGTCTTCAGCGAAACAAACCAAAGTTGCAATTTGTTCCGGACGTGAAGGGTCGATTTGCCCGCCTCTATGGCGCCCCCGCGATCAACGAAAAGTTCCTCCGCGATCTTGCGACCAAGGTGCTCCAGAAGTGCAGCAAAAACAAATTCATCCAGGAGACCAACCTGAACCTGGAGATCCTCCCCTTTACGTACATCCCGCCAAGCGCCTGGACGAAAGTGGATGGGTCGCTGAATCTGCATCTGCTGAACGTGTTGCAAGTGCGCGTGTGGAATTTGCTGTCCAAATGCCCGGGAATGTCGGCCGACAACCTGGCACAGCAGCTCCCGTTTTTCGACGTCGCGGAAATGCGCATGTTGTTGACAGATTTCCTCGATGGAGTGGTGGACTGTAACGCGAGTGGCTGTTACTTCCCGAAACCGCTGCGCGATTTGAGGATGCACTTTTACTGACGATGATCATATATGAATGATGCTGATGCGCGATTTTCCGTATCAAACAAAGAGCTGGTGCCGCCCGCACGGCAATCTTACCTGATGATAATTGCCCGTGGATCTCCCTCCTGCACAATATTAGCAACTACTCAAACCGATGAAGACTTACTATAGATATAGTTGGAACGGAATGTAGTTGGGAATCCCAATCTCTCTGACGACCTTGACTTTAGCTACATGCGATCTACTACTCTGATGTGTACAAAAAGGCCTTCGAAATTGTTGTTCGCAGGGACATGGTGATGGTCATGGATTGTGTTCATTCTCCGTCATGCTCTTCTAGTTTTTCTGCCGTGCGGAAGTACCGGCGCAACCTAACTGATCTTCCATTTCGAGAGTTCAGGCCTCAGCCTGATGCGATGGCAAATGGCTCGGGCGCCTTTTGCCCGGGCTTGCTAAGGACGGGAGCAACAAAATCGCGGGAGCTGCCATACGGATGGAGGAAGGCTCTGGCCGAAGATGTTCTGAAGTTAATGAGCAAATAATCCTTGAAGGCAAGGAGCGGCTCGACTCGCTCGGGCCAGCGGCTTCAGAACGGTTTAAGGGGATCCAGGCGATCGGGGATGTTCCGGAGGCGATGCGGAACATTGCCAAGGCGCATCACCTCTCCGCCTCGAACTTCAGCCGCAAACGGCAACAGCTTCAAAGGCGCCGCGCCCTGCCAAGCATGCCGTGGCCCCAGCGCTGCGGAGTTCCGGCGCATCCCCCGGGGATGGTGAAAAGCAAGGCGGGGGCCGGTGTGGCGCCGATTGCTTGGCGACGCCGCCCAGCTTGGGCATGACCCCGCGGAACATTACCCCGCGAAACTTTACCCCGCGCAGCTTTTATACTCGCGGCGGATCGCGGACGAGGAGGCGCGCATCGGCGGCGCCGAGCCGCGGGGGGGGGGCCAGCGGGCGCCCCCCTGTCCGTGCCGCGATTGGGGCAGCTTTTGGCCGCCCGCCGCCCGATTTCCTCCGCCCCCCCCGCCTGCCCGGCCCAGCGGGCGGCCTGCCTTCTGCCCCTGTGCGACCCGGGGGTGCGCCTGCCGGGCCCGATCCACTCGAGCGACCGGGGCGCGCGGAGGAATCCGGCCTGGGAAAATCGACGACGCCGAAGGAATGGTCGGACAGGCGCGCGGATCACTTAGGCGACGGCACTTTCGGGCGAGTGGGGGCGGGCCGGGCCGGGCGTGCTCGTTTAGTCTGAAAGCCACCAAAGGGGGCCGGCCCCGCAGGCCGGCGGGCGCCGCGCTCTATTATTTCCCTTGGGGGCCGCCGCGGGGCGCAGCGAGCCCCCGCGGCCTCGCAGGGCCAGGCAGCGCGGCTAGGGTAGGCGCGTGCCCGGTCGGTCGGCCGCTCCGGCGTGTTCGATCGTCGTGTGTTAATCTTCCGTGACCCCTCCGCGGGCGCGAGGGAGTTGGCATTAGTTGCAATGGGCCGGCCGGCTGCATGTCGCTCGCGGGCGCGCGCCCGCCCCCTCGTCGGCCTTTCCGCCCGCGCCCTCACGCACCGGCCGCATCGAACGGGGCGGGCCCGTCGCGCAGCGCCAGCTACGTGCATTGCGTCTCGTCGCTGGCGCGGCGTGTTGCTGGGGCACTCTTGCCTATGACTGTGCTTCCGCGGCCCTCTTCTGCCGGCATCCTTCATTCGTTGTCTTTCAGCTGCTGACGCTGGTGGTGTCTTGCCGGTTGCCTTCACAAGACTCATGGTCAGCGGGCACTAGCGCGATAATGTAGCGCCCGCGAAAACAGAAACACCTCCTGCGTGTCTAACTAAGAGTGAGCTGCAGAAAAGAGAAAACTGCGACTCCGAGGCGAGCTAAAAGAAGCGCACTGCTGTAAAAGATGAACTGCTACTTGCTCCATCATCTGTGACTGCGTCGCCTGTGACTGAAACACGTGGCCGCGCGTCTAACAGGTTTGCGCATATTAGACAGCCTCACATTCGAGTTCTGCAAGTGTGCGTTCTTCTTCTCATGCAAGTATTTCAAAATACCAATACGACAATGAGAATGATGATGACAGCTGCCTGTGCTTTACTACCGTGAAGTGTCAACATGAGAGGGCGCCCTCGAATAAAGCAAAGTTGTTGCTCACGTCAGGAGCTGAGAGTCAAACGGCCATGGAATTCACCTTGATTACTCGCTTGCGCATTTCGGTATACCTCTACAGGACCCAAGACTAAGTACAAGAAAAAGAATGTCAAATGATAATGAAGTCCTCGTAACAATCAGTTCCACGTCGTACTGCAGACTTCTCGAATGCCTAATACTATCTCGTGTCTATACAGACGCACTAGGACAATATAAAAAAAAGTGACAGACAATAGGACCAGTAGAATTGGCTCGTACTTAACCGTTCGAACGATATATTTTATGCCAAGTTCGACATCTTCAACTCTCCCAACAAAGGACTTTCTAAGTCCGATGATTTTCGTAGGACCGAAGCCGCTGCTAACGCCCGTCACACAATATTGAGCGCTACTGTCATCGTCATCCACCAGCTTCTCGTCCCTCCGTCCTTACATTGTGCTGCTCTCGCGACGTTGATACAAGGCACTGCTTGTGGAAGTCTGTCTACCTCTTACGCGATAGGGGGTCAAGGTCATCGCGCTCAAAAAGGCTGTCGTTATGTTCGGCTCGGTGGATTATCACAAGGCCGGGGTGGACTTGCTCCGCCAGCAAGGTTCCGCCGGTTCCCCAGGCTTACGAAGGTATAACGAGCTCGATGCGGTATACCAGCACCCGAGCAGCGGTGGGAAGGTGTACATCGGAAACTTAGTGGCCGCGCAGACGAGGACCATACTGGAAAAGCACGACATTTTCAGAATAGTATCAGGACATTCTTTCAGTTTCAGTGTTTTCGCATTCGCTCGTATCTGGTCGTTCGTTTGTTGAACTTGAAATTTGCATTTTGATTTCGACTAGTTCTACTTCAGTATCAGTTGTCGCTGAGAAGAATCCACTGCCGTGGCGAATGCAGTCATGAAGCGAGATTCACTACGTGGCTTCTTCATCAGGTAAATTGCCAGGATGTCACGACGGAAAATTACCACGAGAAGGCCAAAGAGTTTGACTACTACCGCTTCCCAATATCACATTGGTATCAAATACGTATTCATGTTTTTCATTTTCTTTTCGCGCATGGGATGGTGATGTTGCATGAGTCGTGAAAGCGAACGCGAAGTCGAACAAGTGTGCCACAAAACAACGGGCTCACCACCTTGTATGTGCTGTTTAATGTTGCTGTAAGAAAAAATCCATCCTCATTTACATTTTTGCTCTTCTCCCAGGTGGCGAGAGCCCGGGATGGACAAGCCGGAGAACGTGCTCCGTTACTTCCTCGAGCCGTTCAAATGGATAGACACGCAGATAGAAGAGGGAAAGTCGGTCCTCATCCACTGTCTCGCGGGAGCGCACCGGGCGGGAACCACCGGCGTGGCGTACTGCATGTACGCGAACAACCTCGGGTTTGACGAAACGCTCGCCTACGTGAAGAGCTTACGACCCATAGTGGACCCGTTCGGCCCACTAGAGGAGCTGCTCCGAAGGCTAGAAGCAGGTACTGTTTTTTTATTTTTGGTTGCCATTTTTCTTTTTGAATTTGATGTCAAGAGCATGGTAGGCAGGTATGAAGATTTGCGCAGACCAGCACGCTTCGAAGAATTGACTCAGCTTTCCATAGCCATCATCAGCATTCTGCTGAACTGTGAAGCACAAAAAAAATTTAGGCCTGCAAAAGGGTGCCGTGGTTAAGAAGCCGGCCAAGAGGTTTTTAGCGGGTGTCGCCTTGTCGCCAACCGCTACGAGCCCGACTGTGAAACGAAGCTTGCCCATCAAACCACGAAGCGGACTAACGTCCTGACACTTGTGATATCTCTTCTTCGACGGCCCGTGCAGAAAGAGAAACCCTTTGAAGTTTTGACGCGACTGAGCCTGATTGTTGTAGACGACGCGCCGCACGACCCGATCTTCACACCAGTAGCCAGCCACCGCCTTTTTCTGAACCAGAACGATCATAAAAGCACGACCAGGTTGTTCTCATGCCTTCATGCCGGCAGGAACATCAACATCCGAATGAACGACGCAAAGTTACTTTCTTGTTTCTAAGAAATCGAACGCGTGACGTATTTATTAAGTACCACCGGAAACGACAAAGTAAGTGTCACTGTAACCTGTCCCGCATCTTCGCAGATGATGTTCCAAAAACCTCTCCTGCTAGCCAAAGCCACTCTCCCTTCTCGTTCTCCTGCCGCGACGAAAAACGCGGTGTAAAACTCCTACCTTTATTGCGACAACAGACTTCACCAGAAAGACTAAGGCGCTGGTGTTCCTGCGATTAAGCCTAACAAAAAAGCAACGAGAGCTCCCAGCGCCAGCACGTGGAACCGCAAAAACAAAGATAAAGCCAACCAACCGCCGCACGATGAGAGAAATAAGGAAAGGTATGCGGATGAAGGAGAATGGTTGGTTTCTGTGCGGGAGGGGTGGCTGCACCGCGTTTCGTCAGATTTTCCTTTGTGCTTGCGCCGATGTGTCAATTGAGTGGACTTTTCATCGCAAAAATAATGAGAATGGTTGATGACAAGACGCACCACATCAAGAAAAAGTAAAAACAAGCCACATTTCAAATCAAATGAAGAAAGGAATGACAATGAGCATGTTCGGAATGGTGCAGAGGCACAAGCTGCGGCTTTTCGTTTCAAGACGAACTTTTTTCTTTTCATGGTCTTGTATGTTCGCCTTTCTTTGTCTACCAAAAATATGCGCTCCAGCCTCATCCTCGGTCTGAGTCGGTCTCCTTCTTGTTGGCTTATTTTTATTGACTCACATAAATTGATGTCCGACTTTTTCATGTTTGTGGCCGTTGTGCAAGAGGAAGACAGACGTTCATGAGCAACAAACTCAAACTCGATATATCGGTATACAAACTCGAACTCCAACCCAGGTCTCCTGCATTATTGCTTTACTTGCTCCTGTGGCATTGATATCTATCTCCTGTTCGTGTTCGTTAGATGAACAAATACTTAATGTTAATTCAGAAAAAGCGTAGACGTGGACAAGCACAAGCTTAATCGGAAGATCGGCTCCTTCGGTTCTAGCGCCTGGTTGTGCTACTCGCGGCAATCGTGATTATGTTGTAGCGTTTAGTCTCAAATAAAGTTGTATCTTGCAAAAAGATGCAGAACAATCCGAACAGTCCTAAGGTATTTCCGAACTACGCAGGGCAGCAGGCGGCCCCGTATGCGGGTCCACAATCGCAATCCTTCTCCTCGTCCGCATCCTCCACCATGGTGGTGGGAGCGCCGATGCTGGCCACAGGCCCCTCGATGCCGTCTGCCTACCCCCAGCCCGTCATGATGATGGTGCAACCGGGCGCGTCCCCAACCAGCCCGAACGCGCAGGGTTTGCCTCTCACCTGGGATCGGCCGAGAATCTGCGCGGAGTGCTCGATGGACTGTTGGCTAAGTTGCGCATGCCCGTGTTTGGTAGTAGACCAGATATCGCTAGATATGAAACTCGTGGGGGCCAAATTTCACACTTACGCAATAGGTGTCTGCGTCTTTGTCAGGTATTCACTTTTACCTTTTGTGCTGGTAGACGAGGTTGACGACACTGCGAGTCTGTCTCTTGACGGACCCGGTGTAAGGAAGGAGAGTATCAAAATGAAATAACATCAAAATCACAACTCACCACAGGTGGATTGCGGACACAATTCGCGCTCTGGAGGGATTTTTCTACAGCAGCGCCGCACTCTATGACATCACGGTGCTCGCGACAATACTGGTATCCGCGGTGTGCGGGATTTTTCTGATGCGGTGGAAGAGTTCGGTCGGGAGTTTTACCGGCATCGGATCCGGCGAGGTTCTTGAGGATTTTATCTGCATGTGGTGCTGCCCCTGCCACCACATCCCTGCCGTGCAGCGCACCGTGGCCAATTGGAGAATACGGGGCCAAAGCGTGCAACCAGCACAGATGGTCATGATGTCGCCCATGCACGGAGGTGGCGGCGCACCTTCGCAGAACGTGAATTTTGGTGCCATGAATCTCTCGATGACCAGTTCTGCGCAGTTTGGCGCACCTGGCAGCATCTCGCAGAGCTACGCCGTGCCAGCAGGAGGTGTAGGTGGCGCAGCAGCTGCGCAGACGGTAACAACCACCGAAGTGCGACCCTTTGCGGAAGATACCGGTGCGGCATTGGCAGGGGGACCGCCACAGCTGCAGCTACCAGCCCCAGGCGTACAAAACGAATCTCAAACTACTGCACTGGCTACTACTGCTCCAGGGATCAACTCCTCTTCGATTGTGACAAGCACGTAATAATTGGTAGCAGCTCCGCGGTACTAGCAGAGTCAGGTGTTGAGCCTCGCCCGCGTCTCTGTAAAAAATAGAAATACCTACTCGTCTCGTCTTCTGTTGGACAACCGGGCGCTCCGTCTTGTCCTTCCTCCCGGCTAGACCGCAGTGTTCGCGTGGGCTGCTAAACACAGCATGGCGCAAGAAGCCATGACGTTTTTTTCGGTCTTCTAGTAGACTTCTAGGCTCGTCTCATTGTGCAGATTGTCATCGACATATATGATCTTGATCACAACATCACGGATCAATTAGAGCGTGCGTGTGGTGGTCAGCATTCTTCCTAGATCTTCGTTCCTGTGTGTGTCAACACAAAGCAACAAAAAAACACAAGATGTCATTATGCGAAGCAGGGCCACAGTTCGTCTATTTTACAGCATCTTGTCGCTCGCAGCAGCAGGCGCTTCATCTGGAGAAAATCATGACCCTGTTGAAGACGCGAAGCAAGCTTGTCCACCCGGAATCAGCGGATTGGTTCCAGAGCAGGAGATTGCGCGGTTGTTCGGGCGAGAGGAACTTGCAAACGCGTGGGCGGCTGCAACGTTCGGTGAGAACGGCGATGTTTCTTTTGTGGCGGACAACGAGAGGAACGCACTACCACCGTCCACGGCAGAAGACGAAAAACCTGCTTTTGGCGATAGCGGGCTGCGTGCAGCTCTCAGCGTCGACGAGGACGAGAAGGAGACGAAGGCCGCACCTGAATTGGTTTGTGACAGCATCTTCGAGCAACACACCGTCACTGGAGCAGCAGGGGGCAACATATACAACCTAGAACAAGCTGCACCACTGAGCTATGCGGGCCGCCTTCTACGCGAAATCGCCCACTACTATGAGTGCGGAGACGCGTTTTCCCCCAACCTCCACCAGGTTCTTGACGAGGTTGCTTTGCTCGGAGATGCGATGGCTGAGTTGCAGCAGAAAAATTTGATGGAGACTGCTGCACCCAGTGCTGGCGGCAACGACCCAGCACAGCGCGCAGTTGTTCTGTCATCTTTGGATGACGATGAGGACCCGGAAGAGCGCGAAGATCCGAAAGACGGAGTGGTCGGGACGAGCCGCGGCCTCAGTTCTGTTGTTGCGCATCAAGATCATTCTTCGACGAGCAGCACAATCATCACCGACGACCTCCGGACCCGGAGGCACAAAATCATTCGCCGGTGTGTTTCCACCAGCGAAAAAGAACCACGAATTGAGTCAGGAAACGAAAGGCACCTTGATGCGGTTCTCCGCTATCTCCGCCGTCTGTCATTCGCGACCCTTCTTGGCCTAGCTGTGGAGCGAGCCCTTCTGCGTTTCGAAAACGAGCGAGCCCAGCGGTTGGCTGGGGCGCGCACCTTGTTTGTCGAAGAGGATACTTCTGTCACCGGGGAACTCAATTACGAGGACGTTCGGGCTTCAAGTGGTGTTGGGCGAGAAAATGTCGCGTCGATTGTGCAGCACCGCATTGCGGACCGGATTTCTGCAACTTTGTCTCGTGCGCACGAAGTAGAATCCAATCGGAACGACGACCAGAGCAAGCCACTCTCAACACAACAGAAGCTGCACGAAGAGCTCCTTAAAAACTTGAATCTTCTCCACTCTATAGCGCATATCCAACAGACGCGCTCCGGGTCGCAGAAAATTCTTTTCATCGACGCCGAGGGATTCAAGCGCACCTCTTTCCGGAGCTCTATGGAGAACATTTCAACCAGAACCTTCGACCGGCTAGCGCAAGGTCTGGTCGTTCCAAAATTCCTAATCGACGGTTTTGTCGACGCACTGCGGGAACGCACGCTGCACAACGACCCGACGAAAACGGAGGAGGAGGTGGAGAAACACTTGAAATTCCTACCGGCGAGGGAAATAAGCCAGTACTTGCAATCGTCTCTGATTCAGAGGCCGGATTTTGACGAACACAGGCGGGCCGCGAATCGGCACGGGCTGATCGAGCACTTCGCCAAGCTATTTACGCAGCGCCTCGACCTCCGAAACGCAACCCTGGCCTTTGCTTTTCAGGATCTAAGCACCTGGAAATTTGGCGCGCCACTGCACCCGGCGCCAAATATGCGCGAAAATTTCGCCGCCCGCAGACACGCGTACGACTTCCTGACTGGGTTTGGAAACGGGCTGGCGAAGCAGCTCGTGTTCGAAGGGGAACAAGAGAATGGTGAACAGGATACAATTACAAATAGAATAAAAATTTCTACCGTGAAGGTGAACAAGAAGACCACCAATCCAGATTCTACAACCCGCAATGTCGTTGAGACGTTGGTGCTTGGCTTTCAAGCCATTCGTGCGTTTGGAATCTATCCCGAGATCGTGTTGCGGGGTTACCAGGCTATTACTGGATCGCTGATCGCAGCACGAAGAACTGATTTGCGTGAGCGAACGGATTCGACCAAGGTTAGGAAGCGCCCCTGGGCGGACTACGTCAGCGCGCTCTTGGGGCATTTGGTTGGACTCTTGAAGCAGCAGAAGGGCCTGTCCCCCGTATACTACGAGCAGGGCAAGGCGGTTCTGGTTGATCGACAGCTTTGTCTCAATCACGAAGCGAGACACCTCAGTAAGCTAATTCAAGCGGAATGTGAACTGCGGCGACTCGGTGCTGCGCATCGAAGACAGCCGAGTGACAACAACATGAGCGCGGATGGAGCCAGTGCAAGCAGAAGCATTTCGTCGGCGAAGGACGAGGGTACGGACTCCGAGCTTCTACCTTTGTTCTCGGACCTATCACAGCGAGCCACTCAGTGGAACGACTTATTTGACCTCTGGAGCCTGGAGCCAACGTCCCTCGTCACGAACCTTCAGCAGCACAGCAGGCAACACTTCACACACTACGCACGCGTGCAATATCTAATCGCTGCCGAAACGCCGGCGTTGAGTTTTCCGATGTTGTTGGTGAATAGTGTAGCCTCGTCCGTCTCGTCAAATGTTGCTAAGGAGGAACCTCCTGGTGCTGCTTCTGCAACACCAGGACCGTCCTTCCAGATTTCCGTCGCGTATAATCCAACGCCGCAAACAGAACTGCAGGATATGAAAAGCAATGATGAAGTTGAAGCCACAGATGACCACGTGGCAGCTGCACCCCATTGGCGTGGCACGAGCCAGGTGGTCCAAGAAGCGCAAAACGCCGACTTGGCCGAGGATTTTAAGGATTTTGTGTTGGTGAAAATTCTAGAAATTTTACGTCGCAGCGCAGGAGAAGACGAATGTTACGAAAGAGCAGCTAGTAGTAGAAACACCAACACGTCCAAAACAAATACAAATCCGTGCTTCTACGTGGAAATTGGCGTTGGTGCGAGCGCCATCGAGCACAACACGAGGTTTCTTCGCACTTTTCAGGGTTGGCACGGGGTCTTACTCGACAGTCACTACGGCTTACCGCGGGTCAATTTGCACCAGGAGATCGTGACAGAGGAGAACGTGTTGGAGATTTTGGCGAAACACGATGTGCCGGAGAACTTCGAACTGCTTTCCTTGGACATCGACGGCCAGGATTACCACGTCGTCAGGAAAATCCTGCTTTCGCAGCTTGGTAAAAACACCAACAAGCGCAGCTTTCGCCCGCGGGTTATCGTGGTTGAGCATGTGCACGGATATGCGTGGCCCAACGTCGTGGTTCCGCTTGACCACTGGCTGGTGCCGAAGTCGAGGAGGAGTTTTGGATCCGATTCCGAGCAAAAAAGAGTAGATGAAAACAAGGACGAGGACGGCATCACCAGAAATAAAGATGAACACGCTGCTTCTCAGCAAGACAACAACGAGAACCACAACGACGAAGACAAAAGTGATCACTCTCACTTGATGTTCGCGTCTTCGGCTCGGGCGCTCCTTGAACTCCTGCAGGCTTTCGACTACGATCTCGTGTATTACGGTGACTTTGACCTGGTATTCGTTGCAAAGGCAGACTTGAATCACGTTGAGAAACACGTTAGACACGAGTTGGCGTCGACGTTACCGTTTTTACCTGCTGGTTCTGGTACTAGTGCAGCTTTATTGGCGAACCTGGATCGTGCCGCTCTTACTTTCCGGAGCGTGAACGACCTCCACACGCTTTGCCTGCGGTACAAAACCTCTCTGCGCGTTGTGCTGCGAGACATCCGCATCATTGACAACGAGTCCTATTGTCTGCTGAGTGGTGAAGCTGATGGCGATCCTCGTCCCGAGGATGCCGATGGTGCAGTACGAGGCAGCAAGATCGTTGGGTACTCCCGGAAAACCTTAGAGACGCGGTTTCACACGGCGTCAGCAGCTCAATCCTCGCTTTTCACCCGAGAACAACTGCGGAGCGCAGACTTTCTCTTATGATTGAACAGATTGGCTCAGCCTCAGGGTCAGGAGTGTTGACTTTGACAGCAGCAGCGATGAAAGAAAAGCATTCGGATCTTCCGGCTCAATATCAAGAAAAAAGAAATGCAAAGGCGGCACTATTCCCACTTCCGGGCAATACTGTTTCGTACCCCAACGGTCTCTGCCTTCGGTAAGTATCGGTTGTATCGACGACGTTGATTAGGATGATGATGAAATAATCGGCGTAGATGAAATACAGCTCACGGTCCTAAGTATTGCTTTAGCTTTTGCTTCCTGTGCGTCAAGCTACACCTACCACGTATCGGTCGTGCCGTTCTATGTTAGTCGTCCTTCCGCCGATCTGTTTCCATTTGGCTCGTACAAAAGACTACGAAGAATATCAGTCTCATTCTGTGTGTCGGTTTGTTGTGCGTTTGCTCATGCTCGTGGAAGCGCTGTCGACTCGGTTTTCGAACGTGATGATGCTGCATTGGTCGTGTCGGCTTTTCTATTGTTTTCTGTTTTTCATATTGACGGCATGGCAATGCTGAAAAAAACATTGTCTTTTCCTAAACCACAATATCAGTTCCCGCAAACCTGTAGTAACACCATAGTCCTCGTCCAGCAATTCTGTTCCAGACGACATCGTTTGTGGAGAAAACTGCTCTTTCATCTGCGTAGCTGTCTACACCTACAACATTTACATTTACATCACGATCGCTTGTTTGAGCATCATCATTTAATAAGTCTGTGTACATCTACATCTGCGACGCCCAAGATTTTCATTTTTCCTGCACTAAAGGTACAAACTTGCTAAGACCATGCCGACCGGTTCCGGCGCGCAGGCTGGTCTCCCGTGGGCGCCTGAGGTCGGCGCCGCCATTTTTCGCACCATGGACGAGAATCACGACGGCAAGTTGACGGGCTCCGAGCTTGAGAACGCGTGCGAAATTCTGGGCATCGATTTGGAGGAACTCCAGACCGGGAAGACGTACCAGGGCAAGCCGAGTGAGTTGAAGGGGTTCGTGAAAAACTACTATGGCCCGAACGCGGAGATCCTGGAGGGTGAATTCCTTTCCTTCACAGAACACTTGTATCTATCCTGTGCAAAAGTATCGTACTAGTATAAATTGCATTACAAATTCACTTAGCATTACAAATTAAATTTGTAATGCGGATTCGCCTTAATAAAGAGATTTGTAATGCATAAACGCAATTAGTACGAGTACGATACTTTTGCAATGCATAGTATCACGAAGGCGCCATCACGTACGAAAACTTGTTCGAGATGCTATCCTATGAATTGCAAATATGTCTGGGTCTGGAACATTCTAAACTTGTGATGCTGTGTCTGGATTCTAAAAAAATTTGTATTGCATGGCCAGCAAGAGGACTCCACTTTGTGCTACGCGGAGAGGGCGTTTCTGATGCGGTAGAGGTATCACAAAGCAATCGAAAAATCTGTGATGCTACGGCATGCCTCACAGACATCGCGGGTCATGGAAAATATGCATGACAAATCTAGAAATCTTCCAGACCCAGACATTTTTGCATTTGATATCTCCGGAGTCGGCGGGGTGGCGTTGGAGCCCTGGGAAATCGCGGAACTGAACGAGGCGATGGACCTTATTGACGAGGACGGAAATGTATGCACTGCAAAAGTATCGTACTACTAGTCGTATTAGTATAAATTGCATGACATATTTTGGCAAGAAGGAAAGTGGAATTTGTAATGCTGTTTTGCCCTAGGAAACATATTTGCCATGCATATTTGCAATTAGTACGAGTGCGATACTTTTGCACAGGATAAAATGGCGAGGTGAACGGCGAGGCCGAGTTGAAGAAACTGATGTACTACGCGGGACAGAGCGAGGCTCTCGCCTATCCTGTGCAAAAGTATCGTATTCGTATAAATGCAAGTCTTGCATTACAAATCTTGCTCTTAAGGCAAATCCGCATCACAGCTTCTGTTTCTCATGCTGAGGAAATTTGTAATGCATTTATACGAGTGCTGCGATACTTTTGCAATGCATATCGCCCCCCACGTGTTGAAATTCTTCGACGACGAGGACAAGGGAAGCCTGAACTTGACGCAAGTTCGCGACTTTTTGCAAATGATGAAGGCGGCGGCCTTGTACGTCTGGGCCGTGAACAAAAACGCCTTTGAAGATGTTGTTCCAGAAGGTGGAGCTCCTCCTGGAGCATCTACATCTTCGAAGAGCTCTTCAGCCCTGTGTCTGAACGATGTAATAGCGCAGTTGAAGGACCGCGAGGACAGCCTGGGTTTCCCGGAGGGAATGCTTGTGGCGATGATCAAGGACCGGGACAAAACCGACCCGGGGAAAAGCTTGACGCGGCAGGAGTTTGACACGATTCTGCTCGGTCGTCCGGACAAGGCGCTGCAGGCGCTGCGGGACCTTCAATTGTGCCAAGGCGCGAACCTCGAAGAAATGCTGAAGGGACTACCCGACGACATCGCAGATGACGCCGGTGTGGAGCCGTGGTTATTCGATGGCGACGACGATGATGATTCATTCGGAGGAGCTGGAGCGATGTTGGTTGCCGCGAGTCCAGCTCCACCCGCAGGTGCGGCAGCGGCCGAGGCGGCAGAAATGAAGAAACTGGCGGAGGAGCGAGCGAAGAAGGAGGCGGAGGAGAAGGCGAAACGAGAGGCCGAGGCGAAAGCGAAGCGCGAGGCGGCCGAGAAAGCGCGAGCGGAGTTGGAGAGGAAAAAAAAAGCCGCAGAGGAGGCCCAAAAGAAAGCCGTGGAAGCGGAAAAAAAAGCCGCCGAGGCGGCGCAGAAAGAGGCGGAAGCCGCCGCGAAGGTGGCCGCCGAGGCAAAGAAAAAGGCGGAAGCGGAGGTCCGGGCCAGTGAAGCGCGGATTGCGAAGGCGCGGGAGGACGCCAAGCGCGCGGCGGAAGCGGAAGCGCAGGCAAAGGCCCAGCAGGCGGAGGCCGGGCGGGAGGCGCAGCGACGCAAGCAGGCCGAAGCGAGAAAAAGGTTGCAAGAGGAGGAGAGGAGGCAGTATGAGCGGGAGATCGCAGAGTATTTGGAACGGAAGAGGAAGGAGGACGAGGCGGAGGCGGAATACCAGGCGGAGATCGCTGAGCTGCAAAGGATTTATGACGAGGAGCAGAAGCAAAAACAACAAGTGCAGCAGCAGCAGCAACAAGAAGCGCTGGAAGCAAAGAGGCGAGCGGAAAAGGAGGAGAGGGAGTATCAGGCGGAAATTGCTGAGCTGCAAAGGATTTATGACGAGGAGCAGAAGCAAAAAAAACAACTACAGCAGCAGCAACAACAAAAAGCGCTGGAAGCAAAAAGGCGAGCGGAAGAGGAGGAGAGGAAATATCAGGCGGAAATTGCTGAGCTAGAAAGGCAATATCAGGAGGAGCAGACGAGGAAAAAAAAACAAGAACAACTACAGCAGCAGCAACAACAAAAAGCGCTGGAAGCAAAGAGGCGAGCGGAAGAGGAGGAGAGGAAATATCAGGCAGGGGTCGCTGAGTTGGAAAGGCGATTTCAGGAGGAGCAGAGGAGAAAAAATCAACTACAGCAGCAACAAAAAGCTGCTAGTGCTTCATCTTCCTCCCCCGCGAAGCCACCGGCACAGCAGCCACAGAAGCCCGCACCCCGCCCCCCACCAGTCAACCCGAACGAGTGCAAGTCCGACCCGCACTTTCCGATCAGCAGAATAGAGGCCATGAGTCCGGAAGACCGCATCAAGAGTTTCGAGATCATGTTCGGCATCCGCTTAAAGTTGGACGGCGTGGCGCCGGAAGACACGAAACAGGCACGCATCATGGCGGGGAAAGTGCTCGATCAGTTCGACCGGAACCTGCTTCTCTCCCCAACGGATCCGACGAGCCTGCTGTCCATGCTCCGGTGCGTGCCCTGCTCGTTTCTGAAGAAACGAAAGTGCCTGGACGAGATAGTCGTGGTGAACGATCTGAAGATGGGCGGCTTTTCGTGCGGCGGCTTGGCCTACTACCAAGGCCCGAAGAAGCCGAAAAAAGTGTTTCTGAACTGGTCGACACCGGGCGGCTGGCGGAAGAACGCGTTTTTCCACGAGATCTATCACATGATCGATTTCTGCGACGACAATGTGAACGATCCGCACGACAAAGAGTGGAAAGCCCTGCACGGCCCGGGATTCCGGTACAACGACGAGACCCTGCCGCGCGTGAACAAAGCCGTCAGTCTGGATGCGCGGAAGGGCGTGGCCCCCGCCGGGTTCGCCTGCAGTTACGGCATGACCAATGTGCGGGAGGACAAGGCCTGCTTGATGGCGCATTGGATGACGATGAAACGGGATCTCGTCGCGCGGAACGAACCCGTGTTGATGAAGAAAGTCAAGATTTTGGAAAACGAACTCCGAAATTTCGACCCCGCGTTCCAGAGAGTGTTTTTGGAGTACAAATGAATAAATTTTGGAGGAGTACTTTATCTTGGTACACATTGTCTAGAAGCAGTGGAACGACCTGGTAATGCCTGAATATCGTTATCATTCCTAAAATTCATCGCGATGGAATTTCAGTTGAGTCAGGACCACTTGGTTAGGTTTTCTACATCATCGTTCTTTGGTGCCATTGTCACCTCAAGCTCAACTACTACTTACATATCGGTTTCCTCTCTGTCATACTACCTCGCCCCAGCGGCCCTGAGCTTCCAGAGACTCGGTTTACCCTGCGCAAAAACCTTTCGTGTGGTTTGTTGGCGGCTTCTCGTGGTTTCACTTCGGAAAAAACTACAACAATAGGTACTTCGGTGTGGTCTGAAGATCTGATAGAGGAATCGTCGGTTGAAAGGAAAAAGGAATGCGTTCGCCTGTCGGTGTAACAACTTGCTGCAAAAACTCGAGCCAGCATAACAATAACTTGGCATCGTTGTGGAAGTGGCCCTCGTCGCCAGAGGCACCGAAAGTGCGCTGCAGCCACTTATTTTCGTGTGGTTACTTTCAGCGATTCAAAATTGAATCTAGATCTGCTTCTCTGTTGCCACCTCTCTCGTCCCCCTAGTCTCTGATTCCGCAACTACAGGTTTTATCTGTCTCGTATTTGCTCTCGTCTATGTTCACTGGATTTTCTTCTTCCCCTTATCGCGCTTCTACAGTTTTTCATCGACATTAATTATAGCGCCATACGCATTTTTTAAAAATCTCCATAGTACAACTAGTCTCCTGAACAAAATGTCCTACCTCCCCAAGACGTGGACTAGTGGTGCCTTCCAGAAGCGGGGTATAACCATGCGAAAGCCCGAGGATTGGTTGGCGCACTACGGCAGCGTACGCGAGGAAGAGGCAGAGATGGTGTTCCGTCACAAGCCCGGCACCGACCCGCACTTGAAACGTGAGTACAAAAATAAAAAGTACAAGTACGGCACTCGCATCACACCAGAACAAGCGCCTTCAGCCGAAGTTGCGGGAGAGCAACATCTAGATGCCGATGGAAATAACAAGACCCCTCCGGATGAGCAAGACGCTGAACCGGTTCCAAAGCTGGGGGACAAGGATTTCCTCGGGCCAAAGATGGACAGCTTGCAGGACTGGCTCAGAAAATTCGGGCCGCCGGACGCCTACAATGCGCAGCTTACCTCGACTTGCTGCCGCGACCGCGATATCAAATGCAAAAATGTCTGGGTCTGGAAACTTGTTATGCTGGGTGGCGTATCACGAAGAGGCCACAAGTGCTGGCTCAGCATGACAAGTTTCTGAGCTTCGAGGTGTTGCCTATTCTGCATGACGGACTGCGTTTCTGCATGACAGAAAAATGGGGCTCTTGGGTAATGTGCATGACAAGTTTAAGAGTCATATGAGACAAGCATGACAAACTTCAACTTGCATTCTTCCAGACCCAGACATTTTTGCACTTGATACGCGAACAGGATTTCGGCAAGCTCACGGTGATCAAAATGAAACAAAAATTCTCCGTATCAAATGTAAAAATGTCTGGGTCCTCTGGAAACTTGTAATGCTGAGTTGTGAGGAGTGAACTCTCTGTAATGCACAGCCAAGCACGAGAAATATTTGCGCTACTTAGTGTTGCGCTTTCCGCATGACAAGCTGCGTTTTGAATGACAGGCAACACCAGGGTCTCTTCTTGGATACGCATCACAAAACTTTTCAGTCATGCCAGAGAAGCATGACAGATCTTGCATCCTTCCAGACCCAGACATTTTTACATTTGATACTCCGTCTTTTTCGGCAAGCGCATCCGCAACCGACACCCCGAGATGCGCACGCAGCTACCGGACTCGAAAGCGGAAAGAGGTGTCTTGGTGCACACTATCGCCACGAGTCACCCAAACCAAGAAATCCCACGAGTGGAAACCTGGCTCGAAAAAACCAGGAAGGCCAACGCACTTGGCGGTCTGGCGAAGAAGTAAAATTGGAGTGTACGTCGCATGACGTTTTCTTGATCACGCAGCACCAGATACTTGCTCTTATCGATCCTTTAGCTGTATTTGTTCCTCGTTCCTCCCTCATCTAGTAAAAGAAGATCACCCGACGGGTTGCGATTACGAGACAAAATCCAAATCATGATTCTTGACACTGAAGAAAGTGTCAGCATATGCTCATGCTCCAACTAAAATGCTCAGCACTCGATCCAGAATGCTAAATTGACCAATGCTATGAAGATCTTAAGACAACAACAAAACAAGAACACGACGAGAAATAGCATTACAAATCCAATCTCAGCATTACAGATTCAATGGTAAAAGAACATGAAGATGAACATTATTCCCATGGACCCAATGTTGTACTCCACAGGCCTTGAGTCATGTGATTATTTGCATGTCAAACTACTAATTTCCAATTGTAATAAGAACATAAATACTCTGCTACATTTGCATTACATTCTGGTGGTATTCAGTGTTCAGTATTCGTTTGCTTTGGTTCTGGATTAACCACAGAAAGACAGAGAATAAATTGACTCAACCCGCTGCAAGATGGAAATATACGGTAAGGTTTCTAAGCAGAAAAGAAATGCGAGTCGGTGTCAATGACGAAGGAGAAAATGCACGCGCTGATACGGTTCTGCTTGGGTTTCCTGAAGTGAAGATTCGTTCACCGAAAGAAATATCTGTGTGCAGGGAGATCCCGAGTTCTTTCATGTTGATCATTCCAGCAGTAGGTCAAGCAGCTCCAGCTGTAATTGTAATTAAGATGAGCGAGATCCTTGGTCTTGGATCGAAATATGCATTTTCTAAACGAAAACTAAAGACAACTATCTATGTGGCTGCTCAGAAATGCCAAAAGACGCCGCAGATCATTCCTGAAATAGTACTACTTACACGCTATTGCGCTTTTTCTTCTTTTCGTGGAGATCTCTCATTTTCGTTTCTCGTGCTAACGCGCTGAAGGTCCTGCAAACTAAAGGAAGAAGTACGAAAACCGCTTCTGATTGCTGATTCAGTTTTCCTTGTCTATTCTTGTTCTTGACGTTGCTCTGTTGATTTTCTTTCATGATTCCATCGCTTCCTCAAAACTACAGCCTGTTTCACCTAGCGCGTACTTATGTGCGTGTAAAGAAGTAGGATATTTTATCATGTAGGGTTGTGTGATATAGAAAAACAAAAACTCAGTGTGCAGATTGTGTATTCGCTTACCACAGTTTTGGTTTCACACACCAAAATTTCCTTTTTACATTGTTTCGATATTGAGGAATACAATCTGAAGAATACTTTTACAACACTCGTCATTTAGACAACACACAAGCAGAAAGTGCATGTTGGGTTGTCGCAGAGAATGCGCGGCGGAAATATTCTTTAGTAAATTCCAACATCCTGTCAGAAACAACTACAACGCGAACTCCCGGGGCCGCATAGAATTCCAGCGACGTCAATGGCAAGCGCAATAAAGGCCGACGGCACGCAGCACAAGAAATATAGATGAGACCACATATCGATTGGGATCACATCGAACTCCAATAAACGGGACCGCGGCTGCAGAAACTACCTACAGCATTCCGGGCAACAATTTGGGGAGCGCCAGGGATATTTCGACATACGGAAAAGGAAATACAAATACTATCTATTTACGTGGAGAACAGAACATCAGATCGATAGACTCCGAACATCGAGACCACGACCGATCACGACGTGTAAAATGAACAAGGTCGACGCGAAGATGAACCAGAACCGCTCAGGCGACCACGTGCGGCGCAGTGCTGCGGCCCGGCAATACAAACTGATGTCAGCTGCAGTTCTTGTTGCTGCGTCAGTTTGTAGCACTACCTCTTTCATCAGCTGCTGGTGCAACGACTTGATTGTGCCCGTTGCAGCTGACTCGACAACCGAACCGTCCCGCCTCCCGCGCAACGCGGGAGGCGGATACAACCACAACCACTACGCTGATCCATCACAGCAAGGGTGGCGCTGGCGGGTGGGGGAGTGGTGGCGAGATCGCTGGGGCCGCTGGCAGAACTGGTGGTGGTCGTCGCCACAGAACAACCGCTCGTCACAGCCAACGAGTAGATCTCCGTCGCCCACTCCAGGACGACCGGCGCCTGCTCCGAAAGCTTCTGGCACACCATCTGGACAACGACGACGTTCGGACACATACGGGGGACTGCATCGAAGAGGGGGCCTCGATAACTTCGTAGTGCCGCCACCCCCCGCAGCGCTCGCAGAAGCCGGTTGGCCGGTGCGTCAGCACCGCGGAGCGCCTCACCAAGGGACTCACTCGGCAGCAGCAGCTGCGCGTGCGGCCAGAAGGGGTGGAGCTACGCCAGCTGCGCGATCCTCTGGTTCAGGAGCCCTAACACTGCCAGATCGAGCACGTTCTCCCGAGGCCATGCGCAGGGAGAGGCTGAGACTACTAGACCCGACCTACGATCAATTCACCGGCGGCCCTGCAGCAGAAGCGGGAGGACTGCAACAAGTGCAGCCACGACCAGCGCAACAGCCGGCTCGTCCTGCACGCGCAAAACCTGCAGCAGCAGGCCACGGGAGCACAACTACAGGAGCTCCTGCTCGGGGTGGTCGCACGAGGAGCGGGCGGTCCTCTAGTACGAATGTTGGTCCAGCTTCTCCTCCTGCACAAGTCGCGCAACCACAGGCGACCTCGACGGGGGAACCATTCGGCGGTTTGGCTGATCAACATCAAAGCACCTTGATGAGCAACCACGGCGGCCTCGGGGAAGGTCATGATCAAGGATCATCATCATGGGGATCAACATTATTCCCTTCTTCAGGTCGGTCTTCTTGGCAGTACGAACCCGCTTGCCAGGCCGGCAATCCGGTGGACCCGCTGACCAACCAGCCGATCACCGCGCGACCTTTGGTGCTGGTGGACTTCTCGCAGGCGAGGGTGGACTGCTTTTTCGACCAGGCTGGGGTCCGGGAGGCTGTGCGCGCCGGGCTCCACCCGACCGCGGAGACCGCACTGGAGCCGTGGAACTACATGCTGCTCGACGCGTATGGAAGCGTCAGGATTGAAATCGTCAAAGTTGAAATAGTTTGCCATGCATAAAATGGATACCAGTTGGAAGCCCAATTTCCAAGCGGCGCATGACAAATCATAGGAGAACCGGAATCCAATTCGTCATGCTGTTTGGGCACAGAGGACTGCTTCTGTCATACTTTTTTAGCAGCTCTATTTCGAACCCTAAATAGGCTCACAATCTGCCTCACTTGCCATCCCGGCAAGACCGGCACTTCATGCCTTGGATTTTATGCATGACAAACTATCTCAGCTTTGACGATTTCAATCCTGACAGTTCCATAACGCGGACTTCATCGACACGCAGCTCGACCAAATCGAGGTGCTCGACGAACGGCTGCCGGCAGATTTCACACGAGTCTGCCACTCCTTCCGCCACGCGGTCGAACGCCAGAATCGTGAAAGCCGTGGTCGGGGTGGTGGTTCTCGCGTTGGTGGAGGTAATATTGCGACTGGGGTTTCGTCGTCTCTGCAGCCTTCAGCTGATTCGGAGTGGGAAAATTATTCGTCTTTACTGCACGACGATGATTCATCGGAGTGGGAAAATCATTCGTTTTTACTACAAGACGAGGCGCAACAAGCACATCATGCGGGGCGGCCAGCAAGCGCTGCGCAGCGCCCGCCGTCGCCGCGACCGCAACCGCAACATGGTGGGCAAGAACATGGATCACCACGGGGACAACAAGGGGCAAGTGCTCATCCTCCCAGAGACGAACACATCATGCAGTGTGATCCCGATGATACGGACGCTTTCACGCAGGACGCTCTGAAAAATGTATCGTAAGGAAAAATCCCCCCTCCCCATATTGAAAACGCACCGTCCTGGAAATTTGCGTTGCAGATTTGTGACCACAAATCCGGTTTGTCATGCAAGAAGGCAACTTTAGGCTGTCCCCCGCGTTATGTAGGCGATTTGTAATGCTGTAGGGCCTACAGGGCAGACGTCTGCCATGCTAGGCGCCTACAGCAAGAGGCCCCTGTCTAGGCTTGCGATCTGCGTGCATTGCTCTACTGCAAGACAGATTTGATTTGTGTACAGAAATTCCGCATCACAGATTTCCGTTTTGATATGGGGAGGGGATATTTTTCGTTTTGATAAAATGCGAACAGGCTGTTGCTGATTGTGGATGTGGTGCAAAAGAAGGCCTGGTGCTTCGAAGACACGGATGATGCAGCTAAGTACTTCTCGGACGTTCCCAGGGCGGAGGGATTCAAGCCCATTCCAGCTACTCGGGCCACGACCGGATTCTTCAGCAATGGGAAACTCACTTGGGTTCTGCTGCGTGAGCGCGAGCTGCCGTCGGGCTCGGGGGGCCATGCAGGTTTAACAACACAAATGCAAGTGATGAAGCGTAGGTGGGGCTGGCGCTGGGACGCCGAGGAAGGAAGACGGGTCCACGTCGTGACGTCAAGAGAATACGTTGACCCGTCCAGCTTCTCGCGCAAGTTGGCCTGGGTGCCCCAGTGGTTCGCAGACTGGAAAAGAACCATGGCAGCTGCGCGCGAGGGAAGCCGTTCCGAGCCGCAGCTACCCATTCCGTGATCTACTTCGTCTTGTTTTACGACCACAGTGAAGTCATGAAGCAATATTTTCCGTATTAAGAATTGTTCGCCAGGCACGTCGAAAATGGGCGGTGGAAATCTTCGCGATGGACGCAAATTGTCCACTGTGATGTTATTTTGACAAGAAGGCCCTTTGAATGTTGGCGGAATCAAACTATGTGAAACTCAAACTAAAACTATGTGAAGGCAGCGCAATACAATGGCACTACAAGACATAAAGAATAATTACTCGTGCTCTACTACGTCTATGATTTCTGTTTCAATTGCAATTCATTATCTTTAGAACTTCCCAGAAAAACTTGTAGAAAGCGTATACAATAAGAAATAATGACCGCAAGGATCACGATTACCATAGCAAAAAGTATTTATCAACCGTGGACAATGAATAAATGTAAATCAAACGAGACAAAAGTAAGTACTAGTTTACCCTGTCCTGTCGAACTACCGCGCTCGCGAGTTGAACTATACAATGCTTTTTATTTTTTCAAAGTAGAAGGCAAACTACAAGCTCGGAAATCGACTAACAAACGAGCTTTGCCTTTGCTTAGGGTGATGAAAGATGAAACAGTCTTTCCCGGGGGCGTATCAAGGTCCTTCCAGGAGGAAAGACGAAGCCAAGATAAAAATCAGCGATGTAGGTAGCACCCGGCAGCAAAGTGGGCAGGATTACTTACCACGTAAGTAGCGGCTCAACTGATGATTCCAGCACTAACATCGGACATTATAGAATTCATTATTGTACGATCTGGAGGTGGTCGATCAATCTCGATGTTATGTGAAGCTGCAGCTGCTTCGAATCACTTCAAAAGTTGTCTGTTTTATCATTGAAAAAATTGTGTAAAAACAGAAGTTAGTGTTAGTTTCGTAATCGAATGCGAAGTTACCTAAGAGTAAGACCTGTAGAAAATTATCAACCTTTAGCGGACGAGATTGAACAGCGAGCGCGTCAGTGACAGGGTAAACAACTCATGAATGAAAGATCTCGAAAATGCAAAATAGTGTGTACTTAGGAATGCGTGTAGCATATTCGATAAGTTCGATCGTGATACTTTTATGTGATATAGAGTAGAAAAAGAAAAAATACTTGGAGATTGTAGTTGAAATACTTGATATTATGATGGACTTTTTGCTTGAGAATCAATTATCTGTGACAGCAATATGAACTACATCAGGGCGTCAAAGGTGCGGGGGAGCGCGGCTAAATGAAGCGCTCTTCCTTCATTTTTTGCCGGATTGCTGTTTCAGCAAGTGAAGAACAAGATAGAAAAAAATTATAGAGGCACTAATTTGTAGTTGATGTACATGTATGATTGATCCAAAAAGAAAAATAAATAACTTCTACTATTGTGTCGCGGTTGCGTGATCTCCTCGTCTCACTGAAGAGGTTACAAACCCGCAAACTGCAAGATACAGAAGTGGTTCTAGCTCTATTGAGCAACATGTAAGATGTAGTCGCGAGAAGCAAAAAATTGCACACCAAGACACCCTGCATACTAGCATATTAGAAGTAATGAGCACCAGCATACGACCATAGAGCAAGAGCATATGATATAGACAAGATCGAGAATAGTTGCAAGCAGACTGCACTCGGCAAACACGACGACAAAATGAACCAACATGAGAAGAATGATCATGATGTTTCTGTTTCTCGCAGATAGTCTTGAAGTAGCATTGAATGACACCTCGAGATTAGCGGAAGCAGAACAGCAGAACAAAGACAAACATGTTTTGAGCCATGATTGCATTCATTTTTTTAGACAAAACACGACCATGACCAACATCGTTCACATGAAAAAACCGCAGAAAAAAATCACATCTTTCTTTGCGTCGGGAAAGCAAGGAAGAAGCGACGCGTTGTTTCTCGATGAAGATGGGATAAAGAAAGACAAGAGCTGTTCTCTTGGAGGATTTGAGCCCGTTGATCCTCTTGCGTCCGTGTACTAGTTCCAGTAAGATACGAAATCACAACCTCTACCACAAAAAAATTAGAAAGTGAACAAGGCTCAGGGAGGACTATTGAAAGCAAAACAAGGAAGCAAATCATGCAAAGGTTTTCCATGACATGGAGAAGCACTGGATCTTTAGTACACAACTTTTCTCTTTGTGACGATCCTCGTCTGTTCGTCGCGGGTGGTGGAAAAGAAAATTGCTTCAAAAATATCTTCTAGAGGCTCTAATAAAGTAGATTTCGATTCAATTCACGAGATGCATCATGGGTCCACAAGATCTTTCGCAACAAACGTGGCTAGGCCCGGTGCCGAGGAATTGAAAATAGATTTTTTCCCAAGTAATTCCGACAGCGACTAGAAATCTCTGGTGTTTCACTTTGATGTACCTTCTACTTCTAGCACTCTTCTTTTTCAGAATTTTTGCACGACCTACATACTTTGATGCTTATAAGTATATGTTTCGGAATCGAAGTAGATACTTTTTTTTCCAGCGAGCTCATCAAGCTTTAGGACATGGACGATGCGGACATAACGTATTATCGAAGTAACATACCGAGACGAGCCGCCGTCTCGTGTTTCCTCGCCTCTACGATTTTGGCGTCGACAAGTGCGGCGCTGAAAACGAGGACGCAGGATGAAATTTCTCCAAGTACTAGCAGATGAGCTTCGATAACAAGACGACATATGGCGCCAGCGTCGAGAACAACTTCTCCGCGGCGATTTTCTGTCGGACGGACAACTTCACCAGAGTCGTCCGATTCTAGTGTCATGATCGTGCACCAATTTATTGCATCGTGCTGGTGACCAGGGAGCTGCCAGCCCAGGCAGAGAGGTAGTTGAACTCTTGTTTAATGTGCTGGACAAGAACTTGGGCTACAGCTAGACAACTCGAAAAGCTGCACCATGCTCAGAGCCTTGACGAATTATTTTCGCAACGCCGTCGCCGGCGATGGCGATGCGCAAGAACAGCAACAGGCGCGACAGCACCAGCAAGACCGAAGACAAGCGCACCAAGAGCGGCAGCAAGCGACTGCACCTACTGCGAGCTCATCTTCACGACCTGCAAAGTTGCGTCGCGTCGTCGGGCAGCTGCAGGACCAGGAGGAGGTGAATGACCAGAATTTATCTCGAGCTCCTATAATACGTCAAGAAGGTGGACCAGCGACCAGCAATGCACTGTCCAGGACAAGGCGCGCACAGCTGCACTCAGTTGTGGATCATGCAACTAGAGCTAGCAGAAATGTTGGCGAAGGGCGTGGAGGAGGCGGAGGACGACCTCCACACGGTCATCTTGCAGAAGTCCAAGTCCTCCCTTCGCAGCAAGAACGACTACCAGGAGCCATGCTGCATCATTCCTCTTCGTCCCTCTGCAGCAGTCACGCGGCGAGTCCGGCCGTGCAGAGCGAGATCGAGGCAGCAGAACAAGCGAGGGACAACCAACGGTGTGGGTTTATTTCCCGGCCGGCTTTCCCTTTCCTTCCCACAGCGTCTTCCCAGCGCTCAAATCTCATGGCGAGGAACGCAATAGATCCCAACAGCAGAAGTAAACCATTCTCGCAAGAACCACGTGGAAGTAGCAACAGCAACAAGCGCGGCTCCGTTTTTGTGAACCGGACGGATCTTGAGCCAGACTTGCTGGGCCCGACTTCCGTTGTACCTGGGCGGACTGCAACAACTGCGGCGATTGCAAAAAATCTGCTGCCACATCAACACGCAACTACCTCAGGCAGTAGTAGAGGTATCTACCGTGACGATCCGGATCAAATCTACTTCGAAAAAGCAGCGAAACGCCTGAAAAGGAGGCCAAGCCACGACCACAACCACCCTGAACGCGACTTGACGGCCCGAATCATCCAAAAGCAGGTTTACGACCCGGATTGGGCGGACGTAATTGTGGAGGTTCCGCTCGTCGATAATGTTGCGATAGCTTCAGGAGGTTCTTTTGGACGCGCCTTGACCGACGCGCCGCCTGTATTGCCGTTAGAAAATCAAGTAGGGGAAGAACGATTTCAAGTTCAGCCACAAGAATTACACAGGAAAGAATCGCTGTCACCACCACGAGACACGAGGCCTGCTTCGGGAGGTTTTAACAGCGAACAAGCAGAAAATGCCTCTGTTGCTCCGCTTCCGCAGCGACTCGTGGAGCAGCATCGCCAGCGTTTTCTGCAGGATCTTTCGGAAGAAGAAAGTTCGGAGGTAGAAGACGAAAGTAACGATGAGCCAGAGCCTGGGGTAGTAGAGCAACAATTTCATGATCCAGAGCAGGAAGGAGCCCCACCACAATCGGGAGACATCAGTGGAAATGCAGCAGCTGCTCTCGCCTTTGGCGGACCCTCTACTACCTCAATATTTGCCGCAGGCGGAGCGACTCCTGGGGGAGATGCTGGGACGACCTCCAACATTTTTTCAACAGGACCCGCGCCCGCCGCATCGACTATTCCGGCTGCGGGAGCAGGTTCTGGGACTGGGTCAATATTTGGAAATCTTGGAGGCGCGTCTTCGTCCACGTCAATATTTGGGGGCGCCACGACCAGCGTCTTTGGCACTACGACAACCGACAACGCGTCTAGTGCGGCTAAGACGGAAGACAAAGCCGCCAAGGCCGCCACAGGTAGTTCTGTCGATCTGAGCAAACCTATCGCTAGCGTAGCCAGTATCTTTGGCAGTGCGCAACCAGGAGGTGATAGTTCATCCGCAGCAGCTGGTAGTTTTAGCAGCATCTTTGGCACCAGCACGGTGCCGGCGGCTGCATCGACGCCAGCTGCTTCAGCAAAGTCACCTTCAAAACACGTCGGAACTACAACTTCTGCAGCAGCGGCTGCAAGAACAGATAGCGCTCCTCCTCCTGCAACTTCTATATCCCGATCGCGGTCCGCAGCCCGGGACAACAACAAAAAGCAGAAAAAGCAAAAGAAGAAGAAGAACGAGGACGCGGATTTGCGGGGAGCCTCCGCCGCAGACCTTCAAGCGAGGAACGAAGAGTACTTTGCGGAGAGGGCGAAAGCGCCGCTGATCGCTTCCGGCCCCGGAATGTTCGCCGCTTCTTCTTCATCCGCCCCCACGGGGACGGGGGACGGGCTCGCCAGCTTCCTGACCGGAGTGAGCGGAGGAAACGAAACACAGGAAGTATTCGGCGCCGCAGGAGGCGAAAGCGGACAGAACACGACGGGCGAAGCAGGAGGAACCGTTTTTCCACCCCAGCACGGCGACCAAGAACACGAAATTGGGTTCTCCACCACGATGCCGCCACCGATCTTCGGCCAACCGGACATGGCGCAACCAGAGAACCAGAATTTTACGAGCAGTAGCAGTGCCGATGAGGACATGATGGACATCTCACACACACCCCGAGGAGCCGACGCCACCGGTGGTCAGAGCAACGTTTGCGCCTTTGTCGAGCCCACGCAGGACAATGTGTACTTCCCAGAAACGGCCGATATTTGGCCCGCAGAAGCACGAGGAGGAACAACCACAAGGTACTTGTACTACCTGCTACTGGTTCAGTTCTATACTTGCATACTTACATACGTACAGCACGTCTACTTCGAAAATTCCCAAGATTAAAAAACGTGAACAGAACTACAAGCAGGAAAAGGAAAACGAATGAGAAAACACATCAATCGCAAAAATCTTCTACAGGTACGTGACCATCCGGCGCAACACGCAACTTCCCGAGTCGTTCGGTTTCCGGCCGCAATTCGGCACCGGCTTTTCCCACGCGGCGGACCGGTGGTGCAAGCAGGGGGTGTACTGGCTGTCCACACCGGGTCCCGAGGCTGCCAAGCCGGGCACGCCGAACGCGCTGGCGCAGAGTCTAAAGGTGTCGCCGCAGACTGCGGGGCAGCTGCGCGTCTACCAACCGCCGGCGCGACGGGATGCTGCAAGCGACCCGGTGTTTGGGCCGGCAGGGAAGGACCAAAAGCAGATTTTCGGCACCAGTGCCGACTACTGGCGCCACCGCGCGCTGACCTGGTCGCAACCGGAAATCCAGAGCAGCATGCAGGCAAGCAACTACTGGCTGAAGGCGTATCGACTAGCGGCCTTTGACCAGGAGGTGTTTAAGCGGGTCGTTTTGGACAAGGTCCTTGCAGAGGAAGAGTGGAAAGAGACCCACGCGACGATGCGGACAGAGGTGGACAAGATCCGAGAAGAAAAGCGGCTATTCGAGCAGCAGCGGACCTTGAGGCAGCCCCTGCAGTATGAGATAAAAACTGGTGAAAGCCAGAACCTAGCGCAAAAACCGCTCTTGTCGGCGTCGGCTGTCGCGGCAGCGAACGCAAACAAAGTGACACTCACGGCAAATGCAGCTTCGAACAAGGTAGGAACTGGAGCGAGTTCATCTTCGAGCGCAGCTTGGAACAGGAGCGACAATCGGACCAGCGAAAATCAAAAGCAGGGTGACCAAGAGCAGGAAGAAGGCGCGTGGGAAGACCAGTGGACGGAAAAAGAGTGGGCCGACTGGCGGGAAGAGCGGAAGAAAAAGGTGGAGAAGGAACTGAAACGAGAGGTGAAAAAAATCTGGAAACAGGACGAGCCGTGGAATCAGAATGCCGCCGGCGGTGCTGGAAAAAACACCAGCAGTAGCAGCTCGTGGAACAAGAATGCCGGAAATAAAGTTAAAGGCGGAGGTAAGAATCAAACAAACTGGTGGGACAAAAACAGCCAGGGAGGTAACAGTAAGAACCAGCACAAGGGCGGGAATAAGTCCTGGACACCGGGCATGGCTACTAACAACAATCCCGCGGCAAATTCGGCGTCGTCCAAGGACCACCAGCACCAGCAAGGCAAATTCTCTTCGCAGAAAGGACAAGGTCAAAGTTCCTCCATCTACCCCGCTGGAGGTGGCAAGGGCAGCGCAGGGAAGATGCACAATCCGAAGGGACGCAACATAGTCTGGACCCCCAGCGCTGGAACGCACATCGAGGGACAACAACCTGCTGCTGCTCCGCAACAAGCGTCGAGCTGGAGGCAGGACCAACAAACAGGTGGAAAGAACAATAATTACGACCAGTACAACAACAATCACAATCAGCGAGAAAGCGGCAAGCACAAGCTGAAACTGAAGACCGGGAGAGAAAAGGACCGGATTGCGCACCGCGGCCCCGAGGCGGCGGGGGTGAACACCGCAGCGTCCTCGCAGCTCCCACAGAAACAGCAGTACGACCCCCGGTTCACCGCCAAGGCCCAGGGCGCGCAGAAACGGTGGCGGTGCCAGCAGTGCACACGACCCGTGCCTTCAGAAGACGTGCTGCACTGCGCGGTCTGTGACCCAGTGAACGGCCGGAGCTGGGTGCCACCTGTTCCCGCAGCAGAGATCATCAAGGACGAGGGGAGGAACCGCCCGAAAGTGAACCTCAAAGCAGCCAACCGCCACATTCTCCACGGCACCGGGTTCGCGCGCCAGGGAGGCTTGATGGGGAACGATCGAGGGAGGCGGTGAAGGTGATGATGCTCGTAGTTCTTGTGGTCTCACCGACTAGCCGCTGTCCCTGTTTGCTGGGCGGACTTTTGGTTCCACGCTGGTCTCATGATCTTGTCTGCTACGCGGACTCAGCGATGACGATGCCACAGTTATTTCTCTTTCTGACTGCATAAAAAGCGCGACGTTTGTGACACCAACCCAAGCGACACGAAACAACTCATTTTTTTATTCAGACGACCATCATCCATGAAAAACGGAATATACACCGCGAATGAAGCGGACAAAGCAAAATAAAAGAAAGCGATTACATCAACCCGTACTACATGTGTTGTGGGCGCCCCAAGTTTGCGTTTTTTGTTCTGTTTTACGATCAGCGGTGACAGCACAAGCACTCATGGAATAATCGGAGGTGGTACTCAGAATGAAGGTCCAGCAGAAAATGAAAATGTAGTTTTCAAAACTACAAGATCATGGAACTGCACAACATGCATCGCTGAAACAGAAGACAGGCACGCTTGTGCAGTCACAGTCAGCAATCCATTACACAAAATAAACGAGATAGGAGTTTATTGCAAGAACTTCAACTTCTATCTTTTTGTCAGATTCTCGCATTTAGTGTTTCAGAAAAAAATGCGTTTTGTTTTGCCTTTTTGGATTGGGGCGTGTTGGCAATCATGCCTCCTTCGGCTCCTGCTCTTCACTTCATTACCCACTCTTTTCAGCAGTATGGTTGCAACGCCTGAACGAGCCGCGAAGGCGATTGAGATGGAAGAAGACTGGTCGACTGGCGAGGAGCTCCTGCAGCAACTAGATCCAAATGAAGTCGTCACTAATGAACCATCTGCAAGTTTTTGTGTGAATCTTCTCTCTCTCCTCCCATCCGAGATCCTTTCCAACAACGTTGCGCGAGCTGCTGGCACTGGGGACTTTCTGAAATTAGCCTCTGGCTCGACCGCAACGGCGGCTTTGCACCACCAGGTGTTGCACAGCGATCTTCCGGGAAGTTTTCGGGCAAATGTGGAGAAACAGCTGAAAGGGGCTCGCTCGTGGCAGGACTTTGTGCAGGCGGTGAAACTCTGGCAGGACCGATTTCGCCCGGACGCGGACTTTTTGGACGTAAACAGACCCGGACGCAAATTGTTGCTGAAAACACTCAGTCACGAATTGCAGCGGTCGCCACTAACGTTCAGCTGCACCCACATTCTACCGCTACTGCGCCGGTTCAGTGCAGGGGAGATTATTGAGGGATTAGGTGCCTGCAACAGAACCTCCACTGCGAACAAATGCCGCCCGGTCGTCGGGTGCATAGCCTCTCGTCCAGTCTGTGCATCGATCCCGCTTCCGACGGCCACCAGAGCGGAATCTTCGAGTTCATCTGCTTCCCCGCGCACCGCTGCAAGGCAAAGTGTGGTGGACGCTGACGCCACGCGCGTGCAGGAAAAATGGGGGCGGAACGTCCTCCACACCATTCGGTCGTCGTGTGCGGATCACTCTGGCTGCGCGCACACGTGTAGGGCGAGTTTGTTGATGACCATTTTGCGCCTAAATTTTGTCCTTCCAGCGGACCGCATTGCGCGTAGAACGAATTCTGGAAGTTCATCAGGGACTAGCTGCCAAGGAGGTGCTGGGACGAGGGACACTACGCACGGTCCTCCAAAGACGACATGTTTGTGCTGGAAAAATTCGCTCGGGCACGAGAAGGAAAGCGCGCTGCTGAGTCGGAGAAGACAGTGCGTAGTAAGCGAACAACCGAGAAATCCAGATGGGAGCGTGGCATCAAATCCCAAGAAAAATAAGGGCAACGATCATGCTCCTGAAGATCATCATGAAGTTCTTATGCACCCACCGCCACCAGCACCAGCAGCACCACCAGCTGCAACCAACCCTGGATGGAACGATCACGGGACGTTCCTGCGCAAGAGAAAAAGTGACCGGGGCCTCTTCGGACAAGAGGCCGTTCACCCACCTCCGCGTTCCAGCGATGCCTTTTTGCGCGTGCCGTTTTACGGCTCTCAGCCGAACTTCTCGACCGCAGCGTGCAATTTCTGTGTCGACCGGCGTTTCGCGAGAGAACTTGCGGGGTTCATTCGGGACAGCGTTGTAAAACTTGGGATCGAACTTGCCTCCACGTCTAGAACTGGGACCGCTGCAGAGGACTCCGACATGGTGGTTGAAGAGCAAGATCATGTTGTTCTTGAAGACGTCGACACAGACATGATTCCAGCCGACAACGAGGAGCTGCCGCGGCAAGCGCGGGATGTTGAGGACGAGATGATGGCACAAGAACTGCAAAACCGCGAGGAAGATGAGGCAAATGCAAATGATCAGCTTCAGCACGAGAGGCAACTCCTGTGGCGGATCATCTACAACATCTGCTACGGCTGCGGCCCGGAGTGGTTCTACGCCGATACTTTTGGCTTCACGAGGCAGCATGTGCGTGCGTTGACGAATCTTCTTGACCAAAGCATCCCGCAGCTACTAGGCGGAGATAAAGTAGGAGTTGAAGAACAGGTGCCAGGTGGAACTCCATCTTCGCGGCTTAGTGTGCCACTTATTTCACAGCAACCATCAGTCTCTTCTGGTGAAATAGGTGATGGCGCTAGTACATCAACAGCCACCACATCTACGTCACCGAGGCAGCTTGATTCGATCACGCGGCTGCATGTGAGATGGAAGAAGGAACTTGCGAAGCACGAGAATGACCTGGCGTGGGTGCAATTCTGGCTTCTTTCAGTTTCTGTGTCAGTGTATGAACATGGGGTCAAGGATCAACTAACAGCCTGTGGTGCTACTGCCGGCACTTCCTCGTGCACAACATTTTCGCCTTCGTCGATGGCATCAGTCTCAACAGCCGCATCTTCTTGTTCCCCAGTTGCAGCGGAACATCAGACTCCGCCTTGTCTTCCAGATCAAGACGCGGACGGGGATATCTCTTCTTTCGGAGAGGTTAGTGCACCATCCGATGAAATTCAACAGCTGGTCGACGGTCACGTTGCTTTGCTCGAGCTAATTCTCGTACGAGCTGTTGAGTCCGAAGTGCGGTTGCGTGTGTTGGAATTGATCGGTTACTGTTCCGATTCAGTGCTAGATTCCATCGCAGAGGCTCTGTGGAGGCTCCTACCACGGCATCCGTACAGCACCGACCCAGCAGTGAAGGCGAGACTGGAAAGATTGCTAAAAAAGGTCTGGGCGTATCGAATGTCCGGGCGGGAGGAGGAGCGCGGGAAGAGGAGACTTGCGGAGTTGGCCGCGGAAGAAGGCGACGGGCTGTGACAGTAGGAGAATGCTGTGCAGGTGCCGTTTTGATATGTTTCACTTTCAGTTTTGTTCGAGAATACAGTCTGTGAACAGGCCTGCGAATGAATCTGTTTTGCTTTTTCGAGGTAGTGTACACAAGAGCGACCCATACGTAGATACTAGTAACCTACTTCTGTCTCCGTGGGTCCTGTAGAAAGAATCCGAAGACAAAAATGAAACTCGCATTGCAATTTTTCTGCACAAATGTACAAGCTCAGCTCGCAGCTGTCTGCTACTATTTCATTTGAAGAAAATCCAAATTGGCGAAATGAATGCAAATATCAACGGTTGTGCTTGTGGATGAAAGGATCCAGTCTGTGGATGATCGCATGTTTCTCCAGGTCTTGCAAATGAGCCTCGCTTAGTTCTCTGCACGACCATACTGGTGGATGCTGAGTGTAGTAGGCCGTTACGAGAGCGACTTGCAAAGTCGGTCTGGTTCTCCTCGGTACATGGTCATCAACATGCTGTACATAATCCTGCACAAGCATCATCAGTCTTCTGTCTTCATGAAGAAGCACTTCTTAGTTCTGGCATTTTCAGCCTTCGAACTTTGCCTTAGCGATACGTGAACATCTTCTTCCATACTTCCGCTGTGGGATTGTCAACATCTTTTTTGGTTGCACTTGCAGCAGAGTCAAGTTTGTAGAGTGAGAGGACAACAAGCTGCTCACAACACCTATTGAAATAACCTGCATGCCCTTGTTCCACCTGTTCGTTGATGCCCCCGTCACCCTCGTCTCCAGACATGCTAGCAGCGAGCAAACTGTCTCGCGGCGCCGCGAGCAGGGTACTGCCGCCTCTTCCCTTCGTGAAGGACTACCCGGAGTACCTTTCAGGTCTGCAGACCATCATTGGTGTTGGGAAAAATTACAGCAAGCACATCGACGAAATGTGGGAAAAGTACGAGAAGGATCTGCCGAAAGCGAAAAAGCAGAAAACCGACCCGAGTCATTTGCACACGGGGTCGAACCCAATCTCGAGAACGCGACAGTCGCGCCCGAGCCACGACCCGATCCTGTTTCAGAAACCAAGAACCTCCCTCGTGTTCGATTCGCCGATCATGTACCCGAAGAGCTGCGGCCCCGTGCACCACGAGATTGAACTGGCCGTGATAATAGGCAAGCAGGCATACAACGTGAGGGAGCAAGACGCGCTGCAGTACGTGCGGGGTTTTACAGTGGGGTTGGACATGACGGCCCGGGACCCACAGACCGCCGCGAAGGACAACGGACACCCGTGGGACGTGGCTAAGGGGAGGCCTCACTTTCTGCCTCTACCGAGAAACTACCTGACGACTGCGGAGTGTTTGCCAAATGGAAGTGACGCCGCGGGTGGCAGTCTTGCCGGTAAAAATATTTACCATTATAACTATAAGTACAGACCTCGTCGTCCTCGTAGTCCTCGTTGAACGTGAGCTAAACAACGCATTTTAGTTTCAAGCATACCATCTCCAATTTCGATAGAGTTGTAGGAGGATGATGAAATTTCGTCGATTCATGTTGGCGTATCGTGGTTACCTGCGTTAGCGCCCGTGGTTCGATTGGCTAAGGACAACAATAACTACTGAGCACAACAGATATTAACATCCAGGGGCAAATGAAGGGATGTGGTATAGCAGTTTCTCGACGCATTGATAAAATACCTCCCCGGATGCCCCTGGATGACTCAATTCATTTCTCAATCAAAAAATAGCACCCTGCTTCGATTTTTTCCCCCCGAATACGATAGCGGTCTCTTTTCTGTATTTTCTTTCTAAGGGCAGCAGTTTCGTATATCCCTCTGTAAGTACTTCATAGTGGGTGCTATATCGGCGGAAGGTTGGGGATTCCGGCTCTGCCGTTGGCATTTTTTTGACTTCATAAGATTTTTCCTCTTCTTTGCAATTGGTAGTGAGGGGCTTCAAGGGGGTGGAAAGTGACGGACGAACCTTGAGAATTTCAATATCAAAGGTGAAGAGAAGAAACATCCTATGCTCCTTCTCTTCGGAAGATATAGATGTCGCACTTTGATAAGAAAGCAGAGGATGACCCCTAGTCCCGAAATTTCCGCTACCATGGGCATTATTTGTTGAAAAGCAGTCACGTGTCTTCAATTTGCAGGTGCCTTGCGCGCGACCTCTAGAGATAATTTCCGTCTCCTCTAGTCAGATTTTGTCTCTGAAGAGGGCAGAAAGAAGACTAGCTACGCTGACGAGAGATCCTAACTCGTCATGATTGCTCTTTCCAAAAATGTCCGCCACTGTCGTTCCTCGCTGATGATCATGCCTTCCAATCCCCTTTTTTTATTCAACGAAAAGCTTTGTTTTGTGCTAGTCAGCTTGGGCGACAGGGCACAAGGAGACAGGTACAGTGACACAGCCGCCAAGACATAGCAGAGGCTAATGGAGTCGAAGACAAAATCAGTCTCTTGGGTGCCCGCTTTCTTCGCGTAGCAAGATCGTGCGCACCCTGGCTGTGTCTTCCCAAGCGTGACGGGGTGGAGCGATTGCGTACCTATGAGGATGAGGAGCCTCGGCTTGCTAAAACATCATTGCGGATGGCCCCGCATTGATGTCGGACAAGTCCCGAAGACGCATGCTGATCACATTGAACCGCGGCGGAGGAGGAGATGAGCAGAGACCTATCTTAATCCTCCTTGAACACTAGGATCTGCACTACTTCTCTTTGCTTATGGTTTATAGTTGATCTCATACTAAAAAAAAGCATACTTTTTCATCACTGCGTTCGCAGGTTTTACTGAGTTTTGGATGTATATGTAAGAATACATTTCGACATAACTGAATAAAACAGCCTCCTGCAAGAGCGCCCTTCCTCACGCAGAGTTCGGATTGGAGCTGAAAGTGAATGGAAAAGTGCGACAGTCCACCTCGACGAAGGATCTACTTTTCGACGTTCCCTTTTTGATTGCGCACATTAGCAAGGTTTTTCCCTTGATGCCTGGCGACGTTATCATGACGGGAACGCCGGAGGGCGTGGCTGGCGTGGAGCACGGCGACCATTTGGAATTGGAGCTACAGCTGCTGGACGGCGCGGAAAGCAGCGACAAGGCAACCAAGTTGAAGTGCGACTTCCACGCGGAGCTCTTTCAGGATGATGATGCTGTATGATAGTGATAGATCGGGCATCACTGCTCAAGATGGGATATGGTTGAAGAAAATACGAAGAGAAAGAACTCGAACTCCGAAGCAGTACTACAGGCCGCGGGTGTCCTGCTGCTCTATGACTATGTGGGCATCGCGAGGTACCACAAGGAGATAAGTACCACGCCAACAGATGAAGCGAACACGTCTTCATCCCCAAGTCAGAGGCTCCAAGATCGCATTTTTCTTGTGTTCGGGTGGACAAGTATTTTTTTAGGATGGATTTAAACTTCTGATCCCAAGAGAAGCAGATCTGCTCTCCTACGTTGCATCTTGGGCGCATGATGAAAACGAAGATCAACGAAGCAGTTCCAGTTCGCTACAACTTTGCAGACTGGATTTGGAACGAAGGAAGACAATGAAAAAGATGAACCGGATCATGGTATCGCTTATGCGTCCGAAGGTGATCGGATCCCGCCGGCTCCCAGAAGGTCCGAAGTCTTCGACGTTGACTTTGCACGCCTGTACACCCAGCATCCACCTTCAATTCTACCGTTATTTGAACATGACTTCACCTACTTAGCTACTTAAAAAGTTTTTTTCGCATTTGCTCCACCTCTTGCAGCAAGCAGAGGAAACGTGAAAATTACATTGCAACGCAAGCAACTTCGCTATGCCCCACTACTAGAAATAGAAATTGACAACAAGCTCTTCTGGACGTCGTACACGGTTTGTTGATTTGTTTACGCACGACTACTTGTTCTTCAATCAAACTCGATTTCCCGGTGCTTCCACCCACTGAAATGCTTTCTTTGGAAGACAGCCACAAGTATGTTGCGAAGATCGAAGGGCAGATTAAAGACAAGCTGGAGCAATGCGGGTCCTTGTCCGGGAAGAAATTCGCCCGGCAGCGACAGGGGCTGCAGGACGAAATTGCAAAGTTGAAAGACGGACCGCAATACAAAGCGTGTCTGAAGCTCGTGCAGACAGATGAAGCCAGTAAACCAGCCGCACCCGCCGCTCCAACAGGAGACGGAGCGGCCAATGGCGCAGCTCTCGCGAACGGAAGTACGCCGTCTTCCAAGGAAGGGGCGTCGACGGCGGCGTCCAGTACGTCTGCCACGCCCGATCTGCCAGATGGGAAGACCAAACCCGCACCAGCGCCGGTGGTAATAGAGGCTGGCTTGCAGGAGGTGGTGGATAAGATCCAAAAGATCCTTGACACAGGCTCAAAGAAGGACTTGGAAGCCCTGGGACCCATGGCGCGGTCCGTTTCCGAAAAGGATCTGGTGCTCGCGAGCGCGGCGAAGATAAATACGGCACTAGCCACGAAAAAACCCCCACACGCGATTCCGAACGCGATTAGTGTCTGTGAGCAGCTTGCGTTTTGCACGTCGCTGATGTCGACCGTATATCTGGACTTGCTAGCTCTATCGCACGAAGGGAAGCTCGCGGCCCAAGTCACGAAGGTGTTGGAGGCAGTGCTGCAGTCGGGACGGGGAAACGCGTTGCCAGCATTCTTGCCGGTAATACTCGGCGCGATTGAAAAGCCGCCAGGGTCGAAATGGAAAGTCAAGGTAGGAGGTTTTCGGCTGTTTATCTTTGTTTTTGATTGTAGTATAGCAAATCCAGTCCCAAAATTATTTTGCACTGAAGCAGACCCTGTAGCATCACAAATATATTACTTCAACAGCTTGTCGCCCTTGATCTTTGCGGGACCATTCTCGATCTTCTGCGCGAACACTGTCCCAAGCAGATGGCGAGTTTTTTGCCCCAAATCGTCCCTGTTCTGCGCGGGGCAGTCTCGGAAGTGCGCGGTGAATTGAAAGAGCAGGGCACAAAGCTGTTGACCCGCGTCGGCGAGATTGTCACATGCCCGGAGATCCGAACCATGGCCCCGGCGTTGATTTCCTGCCTGCTCGATTTTGGCAACATGAAGCTCGCAAACGAGACACTGTACAAAATCGCGAACATATCCAAGAAAAAAAACTGTGTAAGTGTAACTTTGTCTTGCAGAAAATGCAAAACTGTATACACTTGTCATGCTGGACATACATCAGAGGCTATTTTCGTACGTGTTTTCAAGTACTAGCTGCTCCTAAGTACGCATGCCAGGTTTTCTGTGTCGTGCAGAGCAAACCCAAACTTGTGATGCTATTCCTCAAGAAACTTAGACAGTTTTTTTCTTGCATAGAACACCACGTTTCTCCACTACGTCGACGCAGCGTCCTTCGCCCTGCTCTTCCCAATTGTCCACCGAGCCATGAAGGAGAGACAGCACGTATCCCACGAAAAAAGTGTTACAGTTACACATTTGTAGTGAATTCAGCAACACTAACACAAATTTCTCTGCATGAGCGAAAAAACTTGTAATGCAGAAACCCAGACCCTGCTACGGGAAATGAAAAGGAAAACACCTATGCAACGAGGCTCCTATGCATATCCGGCATGACAGAGCTTGTCTGCCTTGCTCGGCCTACAACACAATGTGTAACTGTAACACTTTTTTCTTGCGATAGCACGATGCGAAGAAAAACGGCATCCAAATCGTCGGCGCGTGCGTCATCCTGATCGAGCACCCAGATGTTTTGATGAGCTACCTGCCCGCGCTCTTGCCAACGGTAAGCTGCGATTGAACGAAGTTTTTTGCCTTCTCATTGCCATTCATGTTGCTCATTCTTGCTACACAGCCAAGCTGCAAGTTCTTTCACTTTGCGTACACGGTCTAGAATCATGAAGCTGATGAGCATGAAAAAGATACGCCAGTTATTTCAAAAAATTCCACAGCTGGAAGAACTCGCAGTGGACCCGACCTTTGAAATTCAACGCGAGGCCGCGAAGGCCTTTGGAACGCTTTCCAAGCATCTCCCGGATCTCCTCCAAACGAGAATTCTCCCGTGGCTTCTAAGCAAACTAGAGTCCAATGACGCCGACCAGCATCAGGCGCTGAACGACCGAACCGGCGCTGGGCACTCCCTGTCAGAGGTCTTGAACCAGGTGGCGCCGCTGTTTGCGCCGGTCTTCTACCACGTGTTGATTCCAAGATTACTCACGGGAAACCCGCGCCAGCGCGACGGCGCCCTGTGGGCGGTGTCGTTTCTCTGCAAAGCAGACATTTTCGAAAGGTACGTCGACCAGGCCTGGTGTGTATGCATTGCAAAAGTATCGTACTAGTATAAATTGCATCACAAATTTTGGCAACAAGAAAATTCGAATTTGTAATGCTGTTTTACCTCAGGAAGGAGATTGGTCATGCATATTTGCAATCAGTACGAGTGCGATACTTTTGCACAGGATAGTGCGCAGTGCTGAAAAACCTAACGCACGAGGACGCCATGGTGAATGAGAGGGCCTGTCAGGCGGGAAAAGACGTCATTCAAGAGTATTACTAAATTTCCATTTTCAACATAATTTTCATTTTCATTTCATCTTTTCTCCATCGTGAGCTCCCAGGACAGTTTCGTTTATCACGTGCTGCTGCGTGCTGGATACAACTTTAACTTTTTACAGGTTGTTGCGGTTGTGCAGTGATTTCGCAATGCTAATGCCTTCACAAACCCTTACCCTTTCCCTTGCAGGTTTGGCGGCACCCGTTTCGCCGACCTGTTCCCCCCGCTCGCGGAGGCGGTGCTCACCTTCGAATGCATTGCAAAAGCGCGCGAGATATGCATTGCAAAAGCATCGTACTAGTATAAATTGCATAACAAATTGGCTTAGCATTACAAATTAAATTTGTAATGCGGATTTGCCTTAAGAAAAAAATTGTGATGCATAAACGCAATTAGTACGAGTACGATACTTTTGCACAGGATACGAGATGGCGATGGACTTAGTCGCGGCGCAGGCGGAAAAGATCGCGGAGATGAAAAAGTACGGCCAAGACTACCTCTATGGATGTGTCAGGATCGAAATCGACAAAATCGAAAAATTTGTGATGCGTAAAATGTAGGGCACCGAAGGCCTGTATTGGGGAGCAGGCAAATGAGACCGATTGCAAGCCTGTTTAGGGGTATACAATGTGCTGCCAGAGTAGCACGACAGGAGCAGTCTTCTTTGCCCATACAGCATGACAGACTGGATTTGGGTGCTCCCGAAATTTGTCACGCGCTACTTGGAAACTGAGGCTCGAACTGACATCGATTTTGTGCATCAGAAATTTTTCGATTTTGTCAATTTCGATTCTGACACTTCCATAACCTCTCCATGACCTCCGCTTCGCTAAAAGTCCGCTACCAGCTCGTTTTACTGCTCCTGATCGGTCGGGCCGACGAGGACCCGGCGGTGCGGCGGCAATGCGGCCTGATGTGGAAGGAGGGGATCCAATCCGGGCAGAAGGCGAAAAGGGAAACTTTGCCGGTGTTGATGGCAACCTTGCAGGAAATGCAGAAAAGCGCGAACGAAAACAAGAGAAACAGCGCGAAGCGGTGTCTCGCGGAAGTGCTGGACGAGGGGGAAGAGACGTCGGAAACTGCGAAGGAACTGCTGAACAGTGGGAATTTGAATCCGGTATAGTAGATGAAACGTAAAAGACATACCACGTAGACAAGAATAGGCACACCGGTTTTTTTCTCCGCGCATTTATGAGGCAATCAGCACGATACAATTACAAAAGTAAAAGAACATGAGCATCACAACAAGATGAACCAAAAAATACAACAGGAAGACAACGTGTTCGTGGATATTCCCTGGGATTCTTTGAACAGTCACAAAATTCCCGACCCTGCCACCATCCAGCAGATTGACACCATTCTTACCAATCTCCCCCGACGCCCAACCCAGATGTCCCTGGGCGAGCAAGCGGCGAAAGTACTGGATGAAAACCTCGGCGCGTTTGACGAGCAACTTCTCCGCCCCTTTGCGAAGAGCTCCCTGCTCAGCTTCCTGCTGGAAAATCTGTGCGTGGAGAAAATCACCACCGCGCTGTCCACCGACCCGCTGTTCCAATCCGGGATGGTGAAACAGGAAGTCATTGAAAAAGCGTTAGAAGGGTACGAGCAAGATGCAAGTGATGTTGACCACGGGGAGGATTTGATTTGCCGGGTGGACAACCTTATGCTGATGTACGGTGGCGGCCACTTGCTGTTAAAAGATACAATCTTCGAGTTGCGGAAAGGCCAAAGATACGGCGTTGTGGGCCGGAACGGTGCGGGAAAGACGACGCTGATGAACCTGATCGCTTCCGGCGGTGTGTCGCAAATCCCTGCGGATCTCCAGTGCGTCCACGTGAAGCCGGAAGTGCTGCAGGACTTTTTGGAAGTGACGTGCGTGAAATGGATCAAGAACGAGCACCCCACGGCGAAAAAGGAGGAACTGGAGAAGTCCCTCGCCGCGGTCCACTTCCCGCCGGACATGTGGAACGTCGCGATTGGGGAGCTGTCCGGTGGGTGGCGGATGCGGCTACTGATCGCGAATTCCATGATGAAACACGCCGACGTGTTGCTTCTCGACGAACCGACGAACCACTTGGACGTCACCGCTGTCCAGTGGTTGTGCGACTACCTCGTGTCGTTACATAAGACTGCGATCATGGTCATTTCGCACGACCCGCTGTTTTTGAACCGGGTCTGTACGAAAATCATCAACTACGCCAACGAAAAGTTGGTGTATTACGAGGGGAATTTCGACGCTTTCAAGGAAAAATTGAACCTGAACGACGCGGACGCCGAGGAGCTGCTCGCGGGACAAATCGAAGTGTCGGGCGGCGCCAACGGAACTGCGGTTGTGCAGCGGGAAGGGTCCCCGTCAACAGCGACGGGGGTATCCCCAATGACAACAGTGACAAAGCCTCTGGGTGGCGGAGGTACTTCTAGCTCTGAACCCCCGGCGTCCCAAGCTGCGGGAAACCGGGACGGCGGGGTGGAATCGCCATTAGTAGCTGGGGAAACTACGGACGAGGCACTGGCGAAAACCGCCTCCGTGCAGTCCTCCGCGATGGCGAAGACGAGTTCGATCGCGAGTGCGATGTCCGAGGACAGCACGAGCACGACCGCAGCGCCGGACAGAAAAGCAAAAATCGTGTTTCCGATTCCCGGGAAAGTGCAGGGGCTGACCAGTCTGGCGAAGCCGGTCATTGAGATCAAGGATTTGCGCTTCGCGTACAACACCGAGAAGGGAGAAGTGTTGAAGGGGATTTCGCAGAAAGTCACCATGAACTCCCGCGTCGCCATCCGCGGGAAGAACGGGGCGGGGAAGTCCACGTTGATGAATTTGATTTGCGGCGAGATCCACGCGAACGCATCGGCCGTGCCGCAGGCAGGCACGTGTGCAAAGCACCGCAACTGCCGGTTGGCGTACCTAGCGCAGCATCACATGTTCCACTTACAGGAATTTTTGCAAACCACGCCCTACATCTACATCCAGAAGCGGTTTGCAAACGGCTACGATCAGGCTTACCAAGACCGGTTGAAACTACCCAGGTATTATTAGAGCTTTTTGAAGTTGTTCTTTCTGTGCAACGAGCTTACCATCGCGTAACCTCGGTTACACGATGATGTGATGACTTGCGTGCTACGTAATTGAGTTGGCCGTGCGAGAGACAGTAGAAACTCAATTACATGTTGTACGAACTTCAGATCCCCTGAAGAGTTGGAGGACCGAAAAGAGCGCGCGCGTAAGCACGGAAAATACGGGAACATGGTGCATGATGTGGTTGGGAGGCAGATGCGCGGAAAGGAGCCCTGGTACGAGATCCGCTGGGAAAACTTGGACGATGCCAAACAGAACACATGGGAAAACTTAGAAAAGCTCCGGCTGCTCGGCATCGAGGCGTACGCGCTAGCCTACGACGACCGGATGGCGGCACAGACCGCGCAGATTGACCAGCGACCATTGTCAGCGCGGGAAATTACAAAGCATTTCGAACAATTCGGTTTAACGGAGGAACTAGTATTGAACAGGAACATTGGAATGTTTTCAGCAGGGCAGAAGTCGAAAGTTACGCTTGCCGCAGCGTTCTGGACCAAACCCCATGTCATCGCACTGGACGAACCGACAAACTACATCGATATGGAGACGCTGGACTCTTTGACCTTGGCGCTGCAGCGGTTCAAGGGCGGCGTGATTTGCATTTCGCACAGCAACGAGTTCGTGAAAAAGGTGTGCACGGAACAGTGGATGTTGGTGGACGGGCAGATCACGCTTTCGAAGGGGATCGAAGATCTGGTCATTGATCCGGCCGTGGCGTAGAGAGGCTGGCGTGCTTTCCCTGTAATGTGTTTGTGGTCGATGTCGTCGACATGACCACAACCTGAGCATGAACATGATGAAGATTTTACAGACACCTGTGCACGCATTATTTTCAGGAAGGAAACACAAAGGCTGTATTGGATGGAGGAAATGAAAGTGTTGTGATTGATAAACTAGAACAAAAGAAACTGAGTGCGAAGAAGTGCGCGACTGAAAAAGCTGCAAGCTCGGCCAAAAAAATTGCGAGGAGCTTCTATCTTGTGTGTTCTCTACCCCAAGCGCACAGCAATGCTTAATATCCCGATCATTTCCAGCGTGCTGATAATAGCTTCGGCCAGGGCCAGTGCGGCAGTTATGCGCGGCGTTCCTATTGGTGGAAACCGGTGCGGGTAGCCTCCTGGTGGGCGAGTGTGTTGCAGCGCGTCGCAATGAAGGGGCTCAGCGTTTGCCGGCCGGGCATTCGCGAACTGCTTGCGCCTTGGCAGTTGCCGCCATTGGGCCGCCCGGCTGAAGTCCGTCCGGCATTTAAGCACTAAACTGTTGGCGCGGCGGGTGTTTGGTGTGTCCGGAGGAATTTGCCGAAACGCGCCACATTCGCGGCGCCTGCAGCCCTGTGGCCCCGCCGGCTAAGTATGGGGCGGGCGCGCTTGGCCGGTTTGCTGGGATGGCGGCCGCCGCGTGCCCGCGCGGCGCCGCAAGGGCCTACCGGAGGCAGGGAGGCAGCGGGCCCGCCCGCTCGACGCCCCGGGCTTGCTGTCATTTATTTACCCCGTGCGGGATTGGGCCCGCGCCAGGGGAGAACGACGGGAATGCAAAAGCCGAAAATCTATGCGCTTGGTACCTGCGAAGCTTTGAGGCTTCCCGTCTGTGGCCCTCATAGGAAGGGTTGCGGCGTTATCTTCGCCGGCAGTGACGGGCTTTGTACAACAGTGGCCACCTTCCTCCTTCGACATCAAGGGCCCGCCTGAATAACGCCTCCGGCTGCATGTCAAGGAGGGCGCCAGTGCTTGGGGCCCGGGCGGGCATGAAGGCCACTGCCCTGGAGTACGTCCGTGGACCGACGGCATTTGGCACGGAATGGGGGCGCGCCCCCCCATTCCGGGGGTTCGGTCCGTCGCCCGTGTTGCGGCCGTCGCCGACATGCTGAATACCCCCCCGCGTCACCCAAGTGCGCCGGCGCCGCCGCCTTCCGCCGGGCGGCTACCTAGGCGACCGATGGCGCCCGCCCCCGGTGGGGCGACGGCGGGACGCCGGCGGGGAAAGCGAAGAAGAGGGGCGCGCGGAAGGGGCGCCCGCTTTTTCGTCCTTCTGGCTTCCAGTTCCGGCCGGCGGGGTGATTGATGCCGGCGGCGGCAGAAGCTTAGAAGAAGCAGGGGGCGAGCCGCCTCGCGAAGGCAGCGCAGGACTTTCCTGGGCGCGCAGCCCCCGGGGCGGGGGGAGGGTGTGGCGCCGCCCTTTGCCTTTTATCAAGACACTCGACTTGAGTCATTCGATTGGAAGGACGACGAGGCCACGCGCGCGATGTGTGCCGTCGGGCATCGCGGTGCGTGGATGTCCCGGCCCGCAAAACTGCATCCTTATCGATAGGGCGACGCTATACGGCAACCCGTATCATATCAAAGACGCCGCGGGTGTAACACCGGGCGGAGGAGCGCCGGCCATCAGCCGTAGGAAGATGAAGCTATCAAAAACGCCAAGGACGTCTTACTTTCCCACGGTTCCACCGGTTCCGCAAATGCCGGCCCGACCGTGCCAAAAACGTGAGCGCCCTTCTTTGTGCCGTTTGCAGGCGGGCGGCCAGGGGGGGCCCGTCGGTCGTTTCGCTTTGCCGGCCCCTCCGCATGCCGCCCGGCCCCATTGGGTGGCCCGGGTGCCGATTGCGGCTTTGTTGGTGGTCTGGCTCCTCCTGGCTGCCCCTGTGCGTGCCTGGCAAGCCTCTTGTGGATTGATTGTGGGTGGGGCCCGCCCGAGAGAGGTCCGCCAAGGCATTCGGCGCACGATTGCCAGGGCGCTCGACCGTACGATGGGCGCTGGTTCTGGTCGCCCGGAGGACATGGGGCGTCTGTATCGCCCGAGCTTTTCTGCTTTTTTGCCAGCCCTTTTCCGTGGCGCCGCCATCCCGGGGCTTGAGTTATGTTTTGGCGCGGCCGCGTTGCTTGCAACTGCTGCAAGATTATTTACATGCATACCTAGCAGCCCTCATTGACGGGCATAGCCCACACATCTACAGCTACAGGCGAAGTGTCTCACCTTGTGGGCGAGTGTTCCTAGGGTGTAGTTTCACTGTGTTTCGCTCAACAAGATTTTGTGTTGTGCGCCCGATCTCGGGCAGTCTGCCTTATACAGGAGCAGTGCGCTGCGTCCCGCTCCCGTTGCGCTTGCGGTTTGTGGATGAGGGAGCAGTGCCGGTCACACCTATTGGTCTTGCATGTCAGCCAGGAGCAAGCTGCTTCTGCGTATCTTCTACACGGTTCAGACGAAGGAATGTTCCGTCAGTGGTGCTCAGGAAGCAATTGAAGGAATTTGGCTTGATTGGATTTGCTTTACTTATTTGTGCACGCTTTTGTTCGGTCTCACCAGTGCTGCAACTCACTTATTGATAATAGCTTCGGTAGGAATTTTCTGTCAAGCGCTTGACTTTTAGAGTGACAGCTTAGACATTTTGCCTTTTGGCATTTCGGTCCGCTTTGGGTGGTACAGTTTTGCTGTGAGAAAAAAGCGAAAAGTCCATCGGTTTTGTTTGTAATCTGCCAGCTTTGGGTGGTTCCCGTTTTCGGGAAATGGTGGATTTTTTGAATTGCTAATTGCTTCAGGCTGACAGCATGGATGAAGTCAGATTAGCCCTCTCGAGCTTGAATCGCTACAAACCCCTTGCTGCTTGCGGTGTTCGATTGGACCGATTTTCAGATTTGTTTCTGGGTGTATTTTTAGCGGCACGGTTAGCCAACTCTCACGGTTTGGAGTCGTGACTGCGTATTTGCTTTGGTAGGAGGTCGCGCATCCCTGTATGCGCTTTGTTTCATCTAGTGTAGCTATAGTTTTAGCCATTGTAGCCCCCCAGTCGTAGCTATCAAACTCATGGCGCCCGGACTGCCTACATCCACGAGGAAGCCACGCGCATGGCCTATACCTATTCTCTGTTGCCTCGGACGATTGACCCCCCCGCGCCCAGCGCCAGTCGTCCGGCAAACGTGCCCAACACAACCCGACACGAAACCGCTTGTGGGCGCACACGGTGTGAAGCGGATTGCACGGGGCAGCGCATGAAGTGGAAAGTGATAGTGTGTGTTTTGTGGTGTAGTCTATCTTAGTACATACTAGCAGCCTTATGTTTGCGATTTTATTTGTTTTAGCGGTAGGCAAAGATTTGCTTTTTCCTTCTGCAGAGTAGTGTCTTTTGTTTCATTTTACGTAGGTACATCGCAAGCAAGTTAAAGCTTTTGTTCGGTCTCACCAGTGCTGCAACTCACTTATTGATAATAGCTTCGGTAGGAATTTTCTGTCAAGCGCTTGACTTTTAGAGTGACAGCTTAGACATTTTGCCTTTTGGCATTTCGGTCCGCTTTGGGTGGTACAGTTTTGCTGTGAGAAAAAAGCGAAAAGTCCATCGGTTTTGTTTGTAATCTGCCAGCTTTGGGTGGTTCCCGTTTTCGGGAAATGGTGGATTTTTTGAATTGCTAATTGCTTCAGGCTGACAGCATGGATGAAGTCAGATTAGCCCTCTCGAGCTTGAATCGCTACAAACCCCTTGCTGCTTGCGGTGTTCGATTGGACCGATTTTCAGATTTGTTTCTGGGTGTATTATTTGTGCACGCTTTTTCTTTGTACATCTAGCCTGATACATCAATGAACAGATTTGTATTCGGTGTTCATCACAACTTTTGTTTTCAAAGCCCGACATCATCATCTGCTTCTGCTGCTGCATCTCGGCGAGTCCCACAACTATCTTCTCTCAAACTGTAGCTTCCTGGACCGGTCTTCGTGCTTTAAGTTTCATATCGATTCGCTCTACTCCTCTGCCCACGCAAGCGTTCTTTATTACTTTGTCTTTGACTTTTGAACTTTAGAGTTCATTGTCTCGCCGTTTGCGATACCAAAAAAAGAACCAATCCCCCGCAAAGATGATGCTCAAGACCGTCTTCTTCCTCTCCACCGCCATCAACGGCAGCAGCGCTCTGCTCCACAAGTTGCGGGAAATGCGCAACAGCAAAACCAAAAACCAAGTTGCCGCTTTGTCCGACAAAATTTCGTTCAACGGGGAAGAAATTTTCGGCTCGGAGCTCGCGGGCGGATCCAAGAGCGTGGAGACCTGCTACAAGACCAGCCGGGTGGACAAGCTCGAGTCCGTGAAGGTTTGCGGCGTCAACATGAAGGTCGTCATCTACCTGCCCAACGACTGCCTAGCCAAGGACCCGCACAACGTCGAGGTACTAGATCACGTAGATAACACGTTGTCAAAAATCATCCAGTACGTCTACGAGAAGTTCAATGCGTATTAATTATAATTACGGCTTGTTGTTCCTTGATCATTTGAGTTGTCGGGCGTGTTGAAAGCGATAGCAGTACGCGTTGATGCTGGATGAGCACTGGAACACGAACCCTGGCACAATACTTGTTCCGTTGATGTCCATTTGTATCCATTTGAATGAATTATAAATCTCCCAGGTTGGTGTGTGCGATGGCGGCAAGCCTTCCACGACGTGCACGGAGATCACCGCCGATAAGAAGGGCGACAACTACTGGATCGACTCCGCTTTGTCCTACATGATCATGCCCTGCGACGTGTCCCAGGAAGCTTCTGTCGATGACGCTCCGGCGATCAACGGCACCGCTTTGTTGTAGGTCGTAGCACTTCTCGTACGACCACAACAACATGATGATGCAGAATGTTAGGAACAAATCGGCCTAGCAAAGAAAAAGGCTCCTAAACGCCGACCAAATGAAAACAAAACGGCAACTAACGGGGCAGAAAAGCACGAAAGGGCGGCCCAAGAGCGCCCCGGCCTTTTCAGGTTGTGCCCCTTCTACCCTGACGCGCGCGCCCTCGTTCCGTGTGCCAATTGGCGGCCTTCGGTGGCACCAGCGGGAGCAGCGCGAATTCCTATGCGCGGCTGTGCGCGCATGCCTTCTGGGCTGTCCGGCCACCG